TAACAAAAAAAAAAAAATAAATAAATAATAATAATCATAAAATTGAATTTTAATTGTAGTGATTTTCATTCTATATAGATCTGAAATTACCAAGCTAATAAAAACCTTTCCAGTAGATCGTATTTTGTACTTTAAACTGCTCACGAAGAACTATTTTATCACTAGAGACACCAAATAGAACCTCGTAATTACCTTCGGACATTTTAAAGTGCTTAGTCAACTCATCAAAAGTGGAAGTAGCAACTTTGAGGCTAATTTTGCAAACCGCCCTCTTAGTTTCATTAGGGTTCAAATGGACCTTCGTGAAATCTCTTAAATCTTTCACGGGACGACTTTGTGATGGGTCCAGTTGTCCAATATAAATTTGAATTGTCTCAGATCCAGATAATGAAGAGACATTTCTAACATCACACGAACAAACCAAAAATTCATCATCAAGATCCACTTCCGGATCAGAAAATTCAAATTTTGAGTATGATAGACCGTGACCAAAGGCAAAAAGTGGTTTCTTTCTAGTTTTCTCATAATACTTGTAGCCCACGTAAATGTCCTCCCCATAAAGGACCCTTCCACCAGTATTTTCAAAGTTCAGGAAAGCTGGATTATCTTCATTTTTAACTGGGAACGAAAGAGGCAACTTAGCGCTAGGGTTCACATTTCCAAACAAAACATCTGCTAGACCATTTCCCATCTCTGTTCCACCATACCAAGACTGGACAATCGCTTTCGCCTGAGAGGCCCAGCTCATAGTGACGGGAGTACCCGATTGATTTACAATGACAGCATTGGGGTTTGCTTTGAGAACTTCTCTGACAAGTTGATCTGTCTTTCCAGGAAGATCCATGGTTGCTCTATCGAAACCTTCACATTCCCACTCTTCACTAAGTCCTATGACCACTACCACCTGATCCGCTTTTGCGGCAAGTTGAGCGGCTTGATTGATTGTCTGCTCTTCGTCGATTTGTTTAGCACAACCGAACGAAATTCCTCCTCCACCAAAGATCACAGCCTTAGATGAAATCAATTTGCTGGTAGGCCCCGATCCGAAAGTACATGAGATCTTGTAAGTACGACCAGCAGTTAACTCAATAAATGCTTTCTCTTCAACTGTACCATTGTTCATGAATGATGTTCCTTGTGTCTGTTGAGATTCGTTATCAATCATCTCAACGTCGTCGATAAATAATTTTGCTGTTCCCCTAACACAAAGACCAAAGTCATAGACTCCAGATTCTTCGGGAGTGAAATACCCCTCCGTTGTTCCATAAAACACTGGATTGTTTCTGATGGCCTCATGCTTATAATCTGACAAGTAAACATGAGTTTTTCTAAGATGAAAGGTATCAAAAGGAACCCTATCAACAACATCATGAGGTTGAGTATAGAATTTGAAGATAAATCCGGGCTCTCCATCTTTTGTTTTAATTTTGTCATCCATGAGCGGTAACATTTTGTGAGAGTAGCACCCGGGAGCATAATGGGCTAAACTTTCGTCGTCTAATTGAGCTTTTAATCCTTCATATGGTGTGACTGCGTGATAAGTTGTCAAGGCAGCCGAACCTCCACCACAGTAGGCAGCAAACTTTGCATTAGGTCCGATTACCAAAAGACCCTTCCTCTTGTTCAATGGGAGCACATTATCTTCATTCTTGAGAAGAACTATGGATTTTGCAGCCATATCTCTTAATGATTGAAGCTTCGTATCATTGACGACGCATTCTTCTGTACCTCCTAGTCTCATTCCTTGATCTTGGCAGTCCTTCACCAGTCTTAAAACATTTCTGGCGCACATATCTATCGTAGTCTCATTGACTTTATTTGAAGTGACACTATGGCTTACAAGACTTCCTCTCCATTGACCGGGGCCGGGCATCTCCAAATCAATTCCACCAAAATTGAAAGACATGTCGGCTCCGGTGAGTCCCAACCCAGCATTTAGAGACTCAGAAACGCTATAGGTTCCAAACCAATCACTCATTATCAGGCCATCAAACCCCCATTCCTTTCTTAGGATTTCACCAATCAAAAAAGGTGATTCAGAAACATGAGTTCCATTAACTTTGTTGTAGGATGTCATGAGACAACGAGGATTACTCTCTTTCAGGGCAATTAGAAATGGTAACAAATATTGTTCTCTCAAAGCTCTCTCTGTGACGATAGTGTTTGAAGCTTTTCTCTCATGTTCCATGTCATTGCAAACGTAATGTTTTAAACATGCAAAGACATTCTCAGATTGCAGGCCCTTGATATACTGGGCAGCAATTAAGCCAGACAAAACCGGATCTTCGCTAAAGGACTCAAACCCTCGCCCGCCTAGTGGGCCTCGGGCAATGTTTACTGTTGGACCCAGTACAACATTGACTCCCTTTAATTTGGCTTCTGCAGCCAGGAATTTTCCAATCGAGCTAACAAACTCTTTATCGAACATTGCCCCAATTCCTGTCCCACAAGGAATACATGAAGCCGGAATTGCATCAAACAATTTGGTTCCCCTGATACCATTTGGCCCATCGGACACTCTAATCGAAGGAACACCAAAGTTGTCTAAAGGCTTAGTATGCCAAAAGTCCTCTCCGGATAGAAGAGAGACCTTCTCCCCTAACGAAAGCTTGGAGAGAACCTCTTCGACATCAAACATTCTTCCTAGTGTGTAGATAAGCTTTAAGCCAGTTGATCAGTAAAAATTGGATTCGATCTTGTTCAGACTTATAAGTTGATGCCGACAAAAACTTCAACTGTAATATCAAGAACTATCATTGTTCGATTGACTGATAATGCAACCCGCGGGCATTGGTAACTAGATAACAACCAATCGGCGAGTCAGATATGAGGAATCTTGTCAGAGCATGAAAGTGGGCTTCCCTGAGCTATAATAGAAACGACCCGCGGGCAATAAAAAAAGCTTTAGATAACAGTGCGGCTATTGTCAAAGACAATTTTGTGGAAAAACCTTCGTTGAACCGCGGGCGATAAATCTTAATCTTGCTTATTTGGTTAGATGGGATCACGAAAGATAAGGAGAAAGTACAGACCAAATACCCTTGACGAACTCCTAACAGGACACTATATGTCAAGGGTGATCTGTCACTGAAAACAATCAAAGTGAATAAATTCTAAAATGGATTCTCAAGGAGCTCTATACGACTATGGAAAATTCAAACATCTATCACCTTTGGTTCCTAAAAACAAATATGGTTTACTGGCTGCTACTATTGCAGTTGCCATCATTGAACCATCTACCTTGGGCATGGAATCGTCAATTATGGGATCTATCAACTCTTTGGAACAATACACCGCTTACTTCAACCTCACTGACAAAACTATCAATTTGAACACGGCTTCTATTTGGATTGGAATGCTTCTCGCTGTCCCATTTATTCGTAGGATCACGGATGGTTTTGGGAGAAAATGGGCTATCATGATAGCTATTGGCATCATGGCAATTGGTGTCATTTTATCTTCTGCTTCCATTAATATCGCAATGTTCATTGTTGGAAGAATCTTCTTGGGTTTGTCTTCCAGTATCATTTTCTCCGCAGCCTCTATTTTGGTGTCCGAGATATGTCCTCCAGATATTAGAGGTGTTGTGCTTGGCCTTTTTCATGCCTGCTACTATATTGGATCGCTAGTGGCTGCAGGTGTTACGTATGCGACCCGTGATATTCAAAGTAATTGGAGTTGGAGAATTCCTACAATTACTCAAGGAGTTCCAACTGTTTTATGTGGTCTCCTACTGATCTTCTGTCCAGAATCTCCTAGATGGCTTATGTTGAAAGGTAAAGTTGATGAAGCAAGAGAGATCTTCTATGTCATGGCAGATAGAGATGCAGCTGCTGCAGAAGTTCTGATTGAAGAAGTGAATTCTGGCATCATCGAAGAATCGAAGTTTGCAAACGGGCTTGGTCTATGGAAAAGACAGTGGCAAAAACCGTCAAACTTGAGAAGAGCTTTTATTGTCATTAGTTTGAGTATGATGTCCGAACTCGGAGGTTCCACCATTGCAACCTATTATTTTACAATTTTGCTCAAGCAAGTTGGTGTTACTGATACCAAAACCCAGTTGGAAGTCCAAATTATTCGTTCTGCATGGTGTTTTGTTGTTGCTTGTATTGGCTCTTATACGTTTGATATATTTGGCCGGAAAAACCAAGCCATGATCGCCACTTTCTTCATGGCACTGTCGCTACTGATTCTTGGAGGTCTTGTGAAAAAATACAACGAAGATCTTGATAAATCTACCGGGTATGGTGCAATTGCTATGATGTTTCTGTTCTCGGGTTTCTATTCAGTGGTTTGCACTCCTTTGACATCTCTTTATCCGCCTGAGATTTATCCTAATAGTACAAGAGTTATCGGAAATTCGATTTTCATGATCAGCGCTTATGGTGGAGGACTCTTCTCAACTTTCGTGTTTTCCATTGGAATGAGTAATATTGGCTGGAAATTTTACATGATTGTTGGAGGTTATGACATGATTTTCATCCCTATAATTTACTATGTTTGGGTGGAAACAAAAGGACTTACTTTGGAGAAGATCAGTGAGCTGTTTGGTGATGAACTTTCGACAAGTGAAGCTGACGAGACTACAACTGAATCGAATCCTAAACTAGAATCCGTTGTTGTGACTTACTCGGGTGTTCAGGGTGTTCAGTGAAAGATATCACTTTCAGAGAGGGATACCTTGCGTTTAGTATGTAAAATTTATTAGTGAGATCTTCATATGAGTTCATATACCACAAGCCAGCAACTGGCCACTATTCTGGAAACGAAAGTGAGAGCAGCTCAGCCTGACAACCATGCACCAGATCAGATGTTATAATGCAATAACAACATGAACTTGAAGTAAATCTCTCTAACTATCATTTATCGTTCCTGCAAGAGTATTGTCGAATGATTGTGGAACTCCGTTCACTGTTAGCCAATCAATGAATGCATCGTCGTTTGTCATCAAAGTATTTGGATCAACATGATCGGCCCAAATATGAGCCTCATTGAAGTTGTTAATTTCTGGAAAAGTGTAGGCGCTCTCAGTGGATCGTGCGCTCTGTCCTGATTCAATTTTTGATAATAGCAACTCAAATCGTAACAGAGCCAACTGAGTAACATGCGTGGACTTGGTCAAAATGTGTAAGTTCTGCCTGTATAGGTCCACTTGTTCTTTCCAAAGATCATCGTCTCCTTTGGCTTTAGAAGCAAGATAAAATGCCAGTATGCATATACCCACTATCGAGAAATTCATTCTAGAATAACACCACCAATGAACATCCAGGTATTTGTTCCGCACAGTACATAAATATTGATTGAGTTGATTGGCATACTTCAAAGCACATCCATCCAGAAATGAATAACAGTCATCCCTCTTGCTTCGAAGAATGGAACGGCAACATGACAACGCACAAGTCGTTTTAGCCAAATGTAATGAAATGAGTGACCCAATATATGTATCGGGAACTTCCACAGAGAAATAAATCGCCTCTACTGCATCAAGTCGGTTCATCAGAGTGACAGCAATTCCAACCATCTCTTCTGATGATCTGTCAGAATTCAAAAAGTGTTTGATGGAACAGAATTCTAACAAAACTTTCGATAACACTTTTGATAGATGAACGAAAGCAACAAACAAGTTAGCGCCTATTCCAAGCCCACCAAGTGGTGTTTCATCATCTTCAAGAAAATCGCTCTCTTTGATGTCCTCAACTTTGAAATCATCATCATGGATATGAGATGGACGAGATAAACCTATGCTTTCCCATTTATCATGCACGTATATTGCCCACCATAATACTCTTCGTAATCTTTTCTCCTGAGAGGGAATATCCCAACCACTTGGGTCAATATTCAATCCCAATTCTTGTCCTAAAGCCACAAGAGATCCAGATAAAGCCCAATGGCGTGGGGCATTGGCATTCCTTATTATGAGAGGTCGAGCATTGAGCTTGAGCAGAATGGCTTGAACTGTTTGAAGCGTCGCAGCACCTTGTTCAAGTGAAAGCGATTTGAGAATGAAATCATTCAATTGATGCCAATCACCCTTTGCATCCTTGGATAAGTAAAGCTGCAGTTCTTGGCCTTCAAGAAATGGTGTACTGATCACATAAATGGACGCCAACAATGTTGAGGAGACCTGTTGATTCGTAAGATTCCTTAAAAATAGTGACCTGCTTATGATGGGGTATGATGGGTTCACCATGATGAAATAATTGTTGATAAGACTCTCAGCAAGTGGCTCTACCACTCGTTGTATATTATCGACACAATATTGATCAGGTCTAGGATTAAGATATTCGGTAGGGCAAACAGCAAAGATAATAGGAAACTTGGTGTCGTTGAAAAGGTTTTTGACTTCGTATTTAGTATCTGCCCCTGCATCTCCTTCACTTTTATTTAAGACTTGACTGAGAAGCCATGGGTCCTGATCGCCAGTTAATCCCACGAAAACACTCGTTTGTCCATTATGCAACTCCAGAGAGTTTGGCAAGTTTGATCTGTTCCTCAATTGTAATCGGGTGACAGCCAAAGGTTCCGGACGTGTAGTGTATACATCAAGTTGAGTTTTTCCAACAACTGGTAAATGAGCGGCTTGATGAATAGCTTGAGACTGGTTCAAACTTGTCGGCTGAACCTGCACTTTTGATTTCTTCTTGATTGGGAGAGAGTTGTATGAGCAAACCAAATTCCTTCGTTCACAGTTCACACATTTTTGATTAATTCCTTCTTTAAAACATGCTTCCCGCTTTCGCCGGCAAAAATCACATGGTCGCTCTTTTCGACTTCTATAGCGTCTAGCCCTGCTCTTGGATGGGTTAGACGTACTAGAAGCGTCATATTCTACTTCGTGGTTTGGCATACTTGTGTGAAAGATTTGTATTCCTATTAGCTGGTTTCGGTCCCTAAATTTTTATATCAATTTATTTGTTTATTCATAATTCCACCTCGCTTAGTAATAGACTATTTGAGGATTTACATGGATACGATTCTAAATATTCGAGCTAAGACACTGTCCTTGTTTTATCGCATTTTCTTATCATGAAACTAGAAAGATGAATAGATCGTAACAGCCCAGACTTGTGCCACTCACGAGTGAAAAAAAATGCATACAGCAGGGTTCGAACCTGCGTCCCATCACTGAGAATAGAACTTGAGTCTACCGCCTTGGACCACTCGGCCATGTATGCTATTAATATAATGCTGACGATCCGGCCCAACATATGGTTACCGTCTATCATGTTTCGTTTTCGTTTTGTACTTTTGAGTTCACTTCTTTTCCTACCTTGGGTAAAATTTCCTGTAAAAGGATCTGCCCTGCCCCTTATATTCGCCTTCTAGAGTAGCAAATCATGGCAGCCCAATCCATTGCTCGTCTCGTATTGGTCTCTGGCCTTGCCAATCATAATAAGGATCCTATCGACTCGGTACCCTTTTCCGGTTCCTTATATATTTTACAAGGGGTCGGTTCAACATACTGAGTTAACCGAGTGGACTGGGGCCAAGATGTGATATCTCTCTTGAATGATAAGACTAGTGACCAATACTCGGCAATCACAGAATAAGCTGTTTTCATTGGACTCTTCAGGAAGATTTAGAAGGGCAGACAAGTTCCCATGAAAAGGAGGACCCCATACTAGGAGAATTGAAGAGAGTTAGTTTAATAAGGACTATAGGTTTATTCGAATCAATAAGCAGGATGAGCAATAACTTGGACCGATCCTTGTCTTACTTTTGCATCTGGAAAGGACTTACTACAACCACGCCTAAGATATTTTTCTTGTCAATCACAGTTTTTAATTAAAGCATGCATACCTCTATTTCGTCGCCAAATGTGCATATATCAAAAAGACAAGTAGTCTCAAGTTACCACAAGGAGGGCTAAGAGAATTGACAGGTAATCGAAGAAATTTCGTTGGAGAAATCTTACTGATCCCAAATCTTCGAGCACATGACAGAGAAACAAACGAATAAGACAGATGAGCTGGTGACCGATATCTTTAAATTTGATTCCTCATTACTCACTTTACATTAAACTTTGACAATTTTAATTTTATATAAATTTAATTTTCGGTCGTCTGCTTCAATAGCTGAATTTACATTATCACCACAATCTCGGAGGCAGAAATAGACTATGGGAAAGTCGGTAAGTATTAGCTCTCTCCAGAATTGTATTTCCACTAGAGCTTCAAAATGCATTATTGATTGGTGGAAATAAATTGTGACTGACAGTAATATTGCTATTGCTGTTACGAATTGAAATCTCATCAATTAGTTAAAGAAGCATCACCATAAAAGGTCACTATTCAAAGATTCTCAGATGAAAAAGGCTAAACAGGAATATCCAGCGCTAGAGCGAATACCCTTCGTTGGTACTTTGTGCCCTTTGTGCCCTTATTTCAGTCTCATAATGTCCTGTAGACCATCACTGCAACAGTTGGACAAACTTAAAATATATTATTGTATACTATCTGATACTATAAAGTTTTATCTTCCGAGGAGAGTTTATCTTCGATTTATAAGATTGAGTAATTATCTTGGAATGTCGTTTTCATCGTTATATTCGTTGGAAAAGTCTGGGATTGCCTGAGGGATACCGCTTTCTCCCAAACTCTTTCTTTAATCCCAAAGGAAGTACTGATTATTCAAGATGAGGATAAATAAGAGTGTGACAACCCAGGTCCAAGTAGTCAGTCAGCTATTGTGAGAGGATAGGTATTTGAGTTCAGTGATTCATGCTATACCGAAATGTGATTGTAACTTGACAGATAATACTCATACAGGGCAGTCAGATTCATATCTGTAAGATTCTGTTTTCAAGATGGTTAACTTCTTCAGTATTCAAAATGTTGTAGTTAATAAGTCACTCTTTTACTATATCAGCTAAATAAGTTGCTCACTTTAATATGTGGACGAAACCCACATATTGAGAGTGTTTTCAAAGTGGACCTGTAACATTCACAACCGATCCTTAATCACTTCTGATATACGTCACATATATTCTATACGATGTGTCATTTGCTTACGTCGACTTTCTTCTCAGACAGAGTCACGTGATTAAGCCACGACTAGCTTCATCACAACAATATCAACGCATAATACTCTCACATACATAATATCAGAGCTGTCCTCTATCCAAATAGAGAGGGAGAGCGCCCCTTAAATGATATTTGGAAATGCAACAAAAAGACCTCAGCGTCTCTCCTAACTGAGATAGTTTAGTCTAGCGACTCTCGATTAGGACTGTTGCTATTTTAGGCCGTTAGATCTGAGTCTCACGCTCCTTTCTTTTATCTTGCGTAATCATTTATGCATAAAAAATCAGGTAAGCAGTTGAGACCAACTTGCACTAACTCAACAGACTTTGACAGGATCCAAAGTCATAATTTCAAATCTTGCGCCTTTCGCACTCTACGTGCCAAACTGACTTTTGTATAAAAAAGCCTGTTTAGAGAGATTCTCTCCCTTTAAGAGCTTAAAGTTAATCATAGAAGTCTCAATATCCGCGCAGGAAAGTGTCAAATTAGCGTCCCGAAAATGATTTGCATGATTTTTGCCCAATTTAATTTATATCCGTTATGCTACTTTAACCACTTTTGCTAGTATTAACCATAATATTATTACATTAGATTCCCAAGCTACATGCAAATAGAACTTTCAATGCTGATCTAAGTTGCCATCAAGCAAATACTCAAGAACCACCCATAAATACTTGAAAGGCGTAGGATATCATAGACTGATCTACCAGCTATTGTAACTTTTCTCACCAGAGCATTTTTACAGAGAACTGTCTCTACTAAAAAATTGTTTTCGTTCTGGATGCTGGAGTGAATGGGAGGATCATTGAAGTTGCCCACATTCGAAGTGCTCGTCAATAAAGTGGTTACAATTACGCCGAAATAACAGTTGACATGATCATAGGATCATACGGGGGTATATGGGCAAGTACTACTTAAATGCTTGCATGCATAAATATTTTTTGTTTGTAACTTGACAGATAATACTCATATAAGTCTGTCTGGTTCATGGTAAATATCAACTTGTAGTATTCTCAGATATACAATTTTAAAGCTGTCTTTGATATAAGGGGGAGTTAAGCCCCTCCTTATATAGTAACTCAGATATGGTAGGTAGCTATGGTTACCTGCGCATACATAGTGGAGATTTCGGGTGAGAGACTAATAGTGCAGATGCTTCAACTACCTCGATCTCATGTTCCAAGATCTGAGTCTCACACTCCTTTCTCTTATCTTGCATAATGCATAAGAGATTGGATAAGCAGATCGAGACTAACTCATATTGGCTCAACATTTTTGTTACTCATTAATCAAGGGCTATCAGGGGCATCAAGTCAAAGTTGAAGATGAACCTGAACTGAAGCGACCCAAATCAAGACAATGTAGCGTCTTGAGCCTATCGAAGTTTTGGGCGATTAATCGATTTCTTTCTCCAGTTTAATACTTTGATACGATATTCCAGTCTGCAAAGTTGTCCCTGAGTAAGGCTTTTCCCTTTCCATAAATATCATTATGTGGAGCATTTCTTATTCAAAAACATGTTTCACATTATAATATTTGCGTTCTTTATCAAACTGGGCTGTGTAGATTTTGCATAACCGTTATGCATTTAGATCTTATCGGTTTGCAAGTACTTTAACATTCGGCGAAAAGAAAGAGGATTTTTGAATATTGAGGTATCTGCAATAAGACTCACATGCATAGCAGCCACCCACATATGCAAAATCCACACAGCCCGCTTTGAAAGATCGGAAATATGAATCAGTGGAACTTGTCTTTTAAAGAGAAACGTTTTACATGATCATATTCAAGCAAAGAAAAATTCTAAGTATTAAATTAGGCATAGTCATCAGAGCAAATCAAGAATATACCTCTTACAATAGCAGATAACGCTAAACAATTTGACTTCTAATAGAAAACATTCAACGCATACCATCAATACTATAGTAGTTTCTCATCTCAAGAAAACGATTTTACCATATTGTCTGTTTACTATGCGATCCTACCTCTATAGACGTAGTCAATATTAAATTTATTCTGACTTCGCAATTTGGGAGCTATGAAAAATATTGGACTCCTTCGAGTCAGGTGTATAGATGATGATTTGTAGTACCTCCAAAGTTGATAGACAGATTTCAAAACAATGAAAGAGTTGCAATTGTCCTCAGTTGAGATGAAGCTAGTCGTGACTGAATCACGTGACTTTGACTGATAAGGAAGCTGGGCGTCAGGCAACTGACACATCATATAAAATGTATGTAATGTGTGTCTGAAGTGTTTAAGGATTGGATGGGAATGTTACAAGTCCACAGCAACGTGAAACAAGTTGTGATACCTCTATGCGCTCATCATATGAAACATACACATGTTGTGTCAGACGTATAGTATGAAGATATGCAGCAAACCGTCGTTTGAAACGAGACGGAGATTCTCATCTTCACTTTTTTCAGTCAGTCACGTGAGTGAGTTTATTGGTCAATTATTAAACAATCAACTGGCAAAGTTCCGACACATCCCCTCAGTTGGTGAGCGTTCTCCCCTTGCTGAATAACTTCGGTGAAATATGTTTCATCACCTTGATGGTAACTGCTTTAGTTAGTATGCCCGCCAGTTGGTCCCCTGTACCTATCTTGACAATGTCATACACATCGTTGAGATAATATTGTCTTGACATATAGCATCTTGCCATGTAATGTGTTGACTTTGAAGAGAAGTTAGTTTCCTTTCTTGATTAAGCTGATGACAGAGCTGTTGTCAACGTGAACAATTGGTTTCTTTTCGATGTACTCAATCAATCCAGTATACTCAAGAAGACCGATGAACCATAAGAAGAGCTCTTTGACTGCGATGGATAGTGATTCCATTTCTGCTTGGCACGAAGAGTCACATATGGTTGATATTCTCTTGGAGTCCCATGAAAATGGAGATCCGTTAATGGCGAATATATGACCTCCTATAGATTTTCTAGTGACAACGTCTTGGGCTAGATCGCTATGTGTGTAGATAGACAATTGGCAGTCACCTGCTTTGTAGGTCATTTTGTTACCCCTCGTATGATATAGATATATGATCAGATGATATAATTGTTTGAACAATTCTAAGTCTGGTGTAGTACTGAATCTGGCCAGGCAGTTCACCGCATAAGTTATATCTGGTCTTGTCATGTTAAAGATAGAGCACTGATCCTATCATTTTTCTATATCTAGTCACTTGACTATCAGATAGAAGATAGCGTCTTTTACTGGCAAGTGATAGAACTGTGGGTATATTGGAGTTTGCAGTACTTTGGATGTCTTGACGTCGTATGTTGATACAATATCTTCGATGTATTGGCTTTGAGAGATAGAGATGGCCTTGATATTCCCAGTGTCATTTCTCATGATCTCTAACTCCATTCCAAGAAAATTCTGTTTCCCTTCTTCATCAGGAACAATGATTCTTAGTTCGTATCTATCTTTCAGTTTGACAATAAGGTCGTCTAGTACTTCATTTTCTGTAGCACAGAAGATCAAATCGTCAACAAATAGACCCAATAAGCACGACGTTCTTCCTTCGGTATATTGTAGTATGAATAATGAAGGGTAGACTTCTTCCCTGGATATGAATCCAAATTGTCTTAAAACATCGCTAATCTGGTCATGCCAGAGTTTCCTGATTGTTTAAGTCCGTATAATGCCTTGCGTAATTTGTAAATCACCCTCTCACTAGGTGAGCATGAAGGTTTAACGAGGCCATCGGGAGAGTGAATGTACAGCTCAGTGTCAAGTTCATTGTTCAAGTGGGCAGATTCGAAGTCCACTTAAGGGAAGAACCATTGAGCTTGAGCGCAGTGGGCAAAAATGAGCCGAGCAAGATCAGCCCGGAGCGTAGGAGAGAATGTTTCCTCGTAGGTGGCGCTTCGTTGTAGATCACCATGGGCACAGAGACGAGCTTTGCATTCTCCTGAAGTTTTAATGGCAAAGGTCCACTGTGTAGGTGTTGTGCGCTCTTTGTAGATCTTCTGATAGTCTTCTTCAAAACATATGATGGGTTCAGGATCCCATGTCTCTTTTTTAGTGTCAGACTGAAGTTCATTCTGTATTGCTATCTACCATTTAGAGGCATCTGATGCGCGTAAGGTGTCTCGATAGTGGTTTTGAACATATAAGAGATTAGCCTGTTTGGACGCCGAGCGCAAAACACGATCAGTGCGCCTGATCGGCATGGATCTTTGGTATTTGACGACGACCGTTTCGTTCGGTAGTTCAGCAATTTCAACTGGTCTTTTGACTGCAAAACGGGATTCCTCAGGTAGGTTTTGATCGGGCGAGCTCTGATCTTTTGTATCAGATGATGGATCAATTTGTAATTCAGGAATCGGCGAAGTTGGGCGTATCACGATCACAGGTTCTGATTCAAGTGATGACAGAGAGGAACTGTGTGCAGATAGAGATGTCGTGCCATCTCGAGATGAGGTTGACGAGTGTTCGGGGAATGTGATCACTGACGAACGGGGTCCATGGGTAACCGATGACTGGTCATTGGATTCTGTGGACTCCTTATCCTGTTCAGGTCCAAAGACATGATCATGGGGATGGATTTCAGGAGATTCCACAGTTGCACCACCCTCTTGAGAGGTGGCCCCTTTGCTAGGATGATCCGTGTCGGTATCATTGTTGGAGGGAGAGATATGAATAGGTGACGAACTCACTGGTTCGAGTCGAGGAGTGCCAATGATATTACGTGGTTCACGTGTCTGTAGATCGTATTTCAATGTCAGGTTGGAGAGGATAACTAGCAAATCCAGATTTCTAGAGGTGATAATTATAGTAGAGAATCGTAGCTGGCATAAATTTGAGATGCCGAGTCCGATGGATGGTTCATCTGTTAATGTTGGATGGGCTGTCAGGGACGAAAGTGACTGCTCCAAAGATTGTACTGCTTCAGGCCAGAAAAAGTTCGGTAGACGGCCTCCAACAAGCATTGCGCGACAGTCGTAGAGGATTGTTAGGTTAAGGCGTTCAGCGACTCCATTAGAAGCTGGTGTAAAACCTGAGGTGAGTATCTGATCAATTCCGTGTTGCTGAAGTATAGGATCATCTTTTGAGTTTCTATATTCTAAACCTTGATCGGAGAAGAATTCAAAAATATTGTATCCCTGATTGTGAACCCAATGGATAACGTCATCAATTTTCGTGTACACTAAGGTTTTGAGATCAAGGGGATAAACAACCGTGTATGATGTGTATGAACACCGGAAAGAGATGAATCTCTTGTATTCGAAGGTTCCGGGAGTGACTTTGATATCGCAAACATCTGAAGAGACCATAGCAAAGTGTTTATTTATCAGATGGTTTTGGTGAGACTCATGGATTGCATTAGAACGACGGGCTTTGCCTGTCATGCACAGTATGCATCCTTCCTTTGGTTTTTGGCAAGATCATTTAAATCCAGTTCTTCAATGGATGACACAATGGTTTTGTGTTTTAATGAAGTAGCTAAGTCTTTGACGTTAATATGTCCCAGTTTGCTGTGCAAATGGTACACTCTGGATTTTTGAGCAGGAATGAGGAAAGCCTGATCAATGAAGTATAGACCGTCAGCTTTCCGAATTGGGATCTTATCCGTTTGAAGGGATAAGTAAGGGGAATGAGGGTCGAAGACAGGACGGATTTGTGAGTCTTCTAGAGATCTGAAAGAGATGAGTGTAGAAGATATATCCCCCGAATAATAAGCAGTTAACGGAGCAACCTTGCCACTGAAATTGAGGGCAGTACGTCCAATTCCTTGAATGCGTCCTAATATTCCGTCATTTTCCACGACACCTCTGAAATTTCCACATCCCTAGGCTTCATGAATATAATCATGAAGAAAGTGATGATTTTAGAGATTGTTAGGTTGGCACCGGAGCTAAGTAGGATCTAATTTTCGTTGTCACGGGTAATAAGGTTTCTTTGATCTTTGAAGTCAACGTCATGAGACGCTCTGGCATATTGTTTTGTGGTTTTAGGACCTCTAACTTCTTTTTCAGACTGAGCAGCATGGTTTTCGTCTTCTGTCATCAATGTGTTAAGTTTGTAAAAACTCAGTGGCCCAGTCAATGCAGCACTCCTAGTCATTAAGTATGATCTAGGACAGTGCTAATATATTCGCAACTGTTGCCTCATTGACTTCAAGGCCTTCCTTTTGGATGAGTCTCAATAATTGATTAATATGAACAAATTGATATGCCCTACCCGTGGAACTCTTTTCGAGCTTGAAACGCTCGAAGTTCTGTCCGAGAGTTTTTGAGTTAAGTTTACTTGTGAAAAACTTGCTGTGGAGGTACTTCATGATGTAATATCCCCAATTTGTTGAAATCAAGTAAGCTGGTTGGGGAAGCATTTCTCCTAAATACTAGTTTGATTTTATTCCTTGAATAAAATCACCCAACCAGTTAGCTGGAATGCCTAATTTGAGATTTAGATCTGTATCCTCTTCAACTTGCTGAATGAAGTACGTGTAGGGAGTTGTTGCCAGTATACTCTTCAACTTGTACCAAAATGTTGCATAGTTGATCAGATGTAAAACACTGTCTTCATACCATCCCAATCGTGTCTTAATTGCCTTGCTTTCAGTTTCAATCATTTGATGGCAGGCAATAAGGTTGGTTTCAGAAACAAAACTGAATTTCACCGATTCAGTGTTAGGAGCAATTTGCTCCTCTGATTCGGATTTGACCTGATTCTCAAGAAATTCAGCTGAAGGTATTTTCAGCAGATTCTGTTGCATCTTTGATGTTTGTTGTGATGAAAATAGTCGTGAGCTTGATCACATGACTCTGACTGATAAGAGAGGCGACGTAAGCAAATGACGCAGCATAGAGTATGAATGCGGGGTGACTCAATAGTGTTTCCGGATTAAATGGTAATGTTTCCGGTCCTGTTTGAGAATGCTATAAATATGTGGGGCTCGTCCACATATAAAAGTGAACAACTTATCTAACTGATATAGTAAAAGAGTACATTTATAACTACAGCATTATGAGTACTGAAGAAGTTAACCATTGTTGTGATGAAGTTGGTCGTGAACTTAATCACGTGACTCTGACTGATAAGAGAGGTGACGTAAGCAGATGACGCACAACATAGAATATATGTGTGTGGGTGGTGACTCTGAAGTTTTTCAGGATTGAATGGTTTCGGTGTTTTCGGTCTCATCTGAGAATGCTATAAACATGTGGGGTTAGTCCACATATGGAATTGAACAACTTATCTAAACTGATATAGTAGAAGAGTCAATTGTCAACTGCAACATTATGAATACTGAAGAAGTGAACCATCTTAAGAATAGTATCTTACAACCAGCTTAAGAATAGAACCTTACAGTAGCTCCCGTATCAAACCAGTAATTGATAGATTCTTTCCATTAGAAGTCCAAATTGGTTAGTGTAGTCTGCTATTGTGATTGATGTAATCCTAATTTAGCTTAATAAGTATGTTTAGTTCAAGACTTCGATACTGTATTCCAGTCTGCAAAGTTGTCACTGGCAGGGCGTATCCCTTTCCTTAATATCATTATGTGAAACATTTCTCATTCAAAGACATGTTTCATATAATATTGTTTCCGGTCTTTTCTAAACAGGGCTGTACATATATTGCATAAGCGAATAACCGATATAAAGTTAAATCTTATCAGTTTGCGAGTACCTCAGTTTTTAACAGATGGACGGGATATTCATAGATCGCGATAGTTTCATTGTTGCTCATAACCTCGTGTACTTTTACTTTGAGATTTTTGACCTTGCCGTTGGTGAATATATGCCGACAAGGCCAATATGAGGTTGAAACTTGAGTATCAATCTAGTAAGTGCTGACATGTCTTTGAAGTGTTCATGCTAGCGCAAATGCATAGTCTTACTTGCAATCCGAAACGTACATTTTGTTTCTTTGTAAGAGCTTTAACAGACGGTTAATGATGATTTCCAAGACATTCAAATGTCAATTCTTTATGGGTCTATCTTTATTGAGTTGTCAGGGGCTATAGTTCATCTTCCAGGTTCGGATGTAAAACTGAACTCGAGTATGATAATAGAGATCGGCACTCCTCTGAGCCAATGAAATGGCTTTTGTATTTATGCATACGCTGGCTGCACTGCAGTTTCTAGCGCGAGGTTTTTTGGCTCACATCTTTCACGTGTCTCCATCTAATATCTGGCATGAATGTGCATCTGTATATGCAAGCTTATGTAATCAAATATAAACAGGTTAGGCTTATTTTTGCAATTATAAAGCTTAGTTGCTTATTTCATGTTTAGGTAATTCTCTGATTAGAAAATTATTAGTAATACCTGTGATGGACTATAGCCATTTTGTCGTAACACCTGAACAGCCTCAAGACAGATTAAGTAAGCATTTGTTATGTTTTTTCGTCTTCTGGGGGCAAAAATATATTAACTACGAAATCGTCGATCTGAAGATATATTCAGTTGTCAGCCGTCAGATTCATCAGAATTCTGATACTGCATTTCTAAACGAGTGGGTTCAAATTGTTGAATGCCCATTATACTACGTAATGTCTTATACCGTCTTACACCAGGAAGAATTTGTTATAATCTGATACTTTTGGTTATAACATTAAGTTTTGGTCCATCCCTGCGTAATATTTTAAAAGATTGGAAGTCGACAGTCAAAACAAGCATTTTTTTGGTTACTCGTATGACTGACTAGTTACGATTATAAAACAGGTAGATCGAAAACAACTCGGTACTCTGTTCAGGAGTCCTTCACCAGTTGCGTCATTACGATTCTTCGAGCGTGGTCCATATGACGTAAATTGAACTGATCTCGCCTCCTCTAATTCTCCCTCAAAATCAACTTATGAAAAGAGTTCTAATTTTATTCCCACTAGAATTACCTAAAAGCGGCTTCGAAGATAATTGCCAACTACTCAGACTCATTGACAAAAAGATGAAGATTATTGCAAGCCCTGTTTTCACTTCTCCCTGGAACACCTTTTTGTGTACTCCTAGCTCTCCAATCGCACAAATTTCAGAGCAAAAGATTCAAAAAAATCTCCGAGACCGGGAATTGAACCCGGGTCTCCCGCGTGACAAGCGAGAATTCTAACCACTAAACTATCTCGGAAGTTCTTGTTACTATAAGGATCCGCTCCCACATACTGCTGTCCTTTAGCTGCTGATGAGATCTCTAGTTTCATTCTATACCTAAATACACTTCTTTTCCTACCTTGGGTCGAATTCCGTGTAAAAGAATCTGCCCTGCCCTTTATATACTTTCTCGAGTAGCCAATCACTACAGCCCATTCTATTGCTCATCTCGTATTGGTCTCTGTTTTTGCTGAATCGTAAAGGGAATCCTATCGACTCGATATTCTTATCTGGTTCCTTACAGTTACCATCATGATCCGGTCCAACATACTGTTCACCTTTACCCATTTGTCGAGACTTTCCTCTTTTCTCTTCACTTAAATTCCTCATTGTTACCCCTGGGTCTAATCCCCTCATTCTATAGGATCTTCCTTGCCCCTTTCATATAATTCCTAAAGCAGCCAATCAACCGATGACGCATCCCTGTATTCAACCTGCACTGGTCCTCGGCCGCTTCGACCAAGAGACTGGTTAACTACAGTATGTCAATATTCCTTAATGATTCGATGTGTTGTTCCCATTCCTAGCTGTGAACTAGGTCCTAATCAGCTATACTAGTAATCCGCACACTTTCGTGAAGATATCGATCCGCTTTCTTGATAGACCTATTACGGCTTTACATGAAGACACGTTGGCGACTATTTAGACCACACAACAAGTTTGAATCAATTGTATAGTTGCCGTCCAGTTTGAAACTAATTCATGAGTACAGCCCGTAAACACCGAATTCTGACCAGACCGATTTTTTTTTATTTTCCTACATCTTTAAATCTCGGAAGCATATTGAGGAGCACATCTAGAAGATGTGCTAACGAACTCAACTCTCGACTAGTAAACGCACACTATCTACTCATAATCAGCATTATATATTTGCCCTAGATATCATGACCCACATAAATCTATGACGCACATCATAGTTATTGGCTACGCTTAGCAATGTTACAGTTAATATTGCGTATTTAAATTTGACTTGCATTTATTGGTAAAGATCGAGCTTCGTTTCATGATAATATTGAATTCCAATGAACACGGAAACAAGATACACCAGACTCAACTTTATCGCATTTCTTCTTGCGAGCTTTGTTGCAGTGGCTCTCGCAGTCTTTATCTCTACAACCCAATCCTATTTCATAACTGATGTACTTCAAATAGGGGACGAGGTGGGAAGTTATGTTGGAACACTTGGCTTATTCGACGAGATTCTTTCAATGTGTCTTGTTCCATTTGTTGGCGTCTTCTGCGACAGGGTAGGATCAAGAATCGTTGTTTCGGCAGGCTTTTTCATATGTGGAGTGAGCCTTTTTGGGTTCGCTTATTTCGTTACCGACAATGTGATTCCACAGATGCTTACTTGGAGATTGATTTTCTCTGTGGGGTTGACATCATCTCTCGGGATTATTACAATTATGGTGATCGAACTGAATCATTCGGGGTTCAATCCCGTGCTTTTTTCCTCGTCTCGTGGCAGCCCCTCCCTAGACCCGGATGCCACATCTGAGTCAGTCCGTGAAGCCCAAAGAGAGGGATCTGTGGAAAGAGCCCAAACCACTATTGAAGAGGTTGATATTTTAAACAAGGATCGAAAGGATGGAAAACAAGTCTCACTTATGGGTACAATGAGTGGTTTGGGGGCTGTATTTTCGGTTATGGTACTTCTGAGGCTACCTGTGTTCTATGGGGGCTCAAGGACAGCAAAGAAAGCAATGGAGCTATCCTATTATTCTGTTGGGGTCCTTGCTTTTTTGACGTCAGTTTTCATGTGGTTTTGTGCTTACAAAAATTCTCATGATTTGTGTTTCAAATCAAAAGATCCAGCGCAATTCCACAACGAAAGAAACAATGATGCTCTTAGTGAAGGAATTCAATCACCAGATGTTGATGCGTTGGGCAACAGTCCCAAGCTCGAATCTGAAGAATCGTATCTGGATTCTTTGAAAGCAGGAGTCCGATTATCTTTAGAAGACCCTGCAATTCTCATCGCATACTTATGTGGATTTCTTTCCCGATGCATAACGATCATTATCACTCTCTACATACCATTTTATGTCAATCGTTATTTCAAGGATTCTGGAAAATGTGCAAAGAGCTTTTCGGAGAAAATAGAATGTCCCGAGTCCTACATTTTGTCTTCAATCCTCACTGGAATTGCAAATTTGTTTGGTTTACTGTTGGCACCTGTGTCAGGCATTCTGATTGACCGTCTGAGCAACTTTACATTACTTCTCATGATCGCCATTGGGGTCTCACTTACCAGTTTTGTCTCGTTCTGTTGGGTCAGCCAACCAGATCACAGTGGCCTAGTCTATGTCTCATCTGCCTTAATGGGGTCCGCTCAGATATTGCTGATCATCATTTCGATGACAATGCTATCAAATATTACATCTCGAGAGAAGTATAAAAAAAGGAAGGGATCCATTTCTGGTGTCTTTGCTTTTGTTGGGGGCATTGGTATAATCTTCACCTCTTATGTCGGTGGACTTCTTGCAGACATGAATGCAAAGTACCCTTTCATTCTGGCGGCTATTGCGAATGTGGTCTGTGGCGTGATCATAACGATATCCTCTCGACAAAACTTTAGATCTATTAGATTAGTCTGAAGAATTTAATAAAGAAGTAACTGTGTATCTACAATCATATGGAAATAAATCAATGCTATCATGTTCCGTCTATTTCTAGCGGATCCTCTTTCGAAGTATACCAATTAACATATATTTGTATCAGCTGTTCTAAAACATCATGTCAAAATCCACTGGACAAATAATTACCTTTCTGTAAATGCTGCCCTTGATTTGACTTCTGACAAGAGATCTTAAAAAAACAGACCAGTTCTAGTTCATTGAGTCCAAAACTAGTACTTGAATCCAGGTGCAGATCGAAAATGCGGTTCGCAGACAGGATTACCAATGTTCATCCCTCAAAGAGGTCGCAAAAAAACGTAAAACTGTGAAAATCAATCATATTCATATTTTCTGTCACAAAGTCAGTTCATGCTTCACATCCAAAATCTACCAAAATAACTTTCCTAAAACTAAGACGCCACTGAGTCGTCAAATGCTCCCATCTCGATGGGTGATTGACTTCTGTTAACAATTGACGATTTTGAAACCGTTAATAAATTTTTATTTGGTAGTGGATACCTTATCTCGCAAAGTACCCTCGCTAAACGATACAAAACAGTCACGTTTCATCTTGTCACAAACCGTAACTTTCGAGAAACCTTACTCTATACAAAACATTTTGGAAGAGTGATACTGAATCAAACACGAAGACATGGAACATTCGACCATTGATACACCATCTGAAGATCTCTTGGCCGATTTATCAAAAAAATCGACTATCATCACTAGACCATTGATTGACTATGACGAATCTTTGCCCCATAGGAGAACTCTTGGATTGTACTCAACTTGCGTGTTGTTTATTGGAAGGATGTTGGGGTCGGGAATTTTTGGCACACCTGGCTTGATATTGAAAGACTCCCAAGGCTCTTATACCCTATACCTTTTTTCTTGGATAATAGGAGGAATACTTGCGTATACTGGTTTGAACCTGTATCTTGAGTTTGGTTCGTATCTTCCGGTAAATGGGGCCACAAAAAGGTTTCTGGAATACAGCTTTCCCCGGCCTAAATTCTTTACAACGATTGTATACGGGTCATTTGCGATATTATTTTCTATCAGCTCTGCAAATGCTCTATTATTTGGAGAGTATTTCCGATACTCCCTCGGATTCTCACCTAATGAGTTTTGGACTACACTAACTGCAAGTGCCTTAATCTTAGGCTGCGGATTGCTCCATTTTTTCAATCGCGAAGTGGCCTTGCGGGTTCAAGGTTGCCTTGCATTTTGCAAAATGCTTTTGTGGATAACGATACTGATGACTTGTTTCTATGTTCTGTTCACTCCAAGGAGCTATACACATTTGCCGAATAACATCAGCCGTGTCCAATTTAGATTACCCGAAAAAGTTCAATTTTTCAGTTCCTCATATTCGACCGCATTACTGAAATGTATCCACACATTTGGTGGATGGACCACAGCTCACACAGTCCAAAACGAAATCAAAAACCCGATTGATACTCTCAAACTGGCAGGGAGAATCTCAATATTACTCACGGCCCTAATCTATGCATTTTTGAATATTAGCTATTTGATGATTTTGACACCAGAGGAGCTCATAAAGTACGGACAGTTAGCTGGAGCGTTGTTCTTCAACAAAATATACGGAGAGAAGATTGCTTCACAATTCATCAACCTACTGGTATCTCTTAACTCGGCAACAAATGTTCTCATAGCGGTCTATTCGAGTGCGATAATGAACCAAGAAATATTCAGACAAGGGTTTCTTCCATTGAGTGAGGTCCTTTGCACAAATGCTCCCAAGGGAACTCCCTCGTTTGGTATACTAATCCATTGCTGCTTGAGTATTGTTGTCCTCCTCATTCCAAGCACTTCACTTTACAATTTGATCATTTCATCGCAATACTATCCTAATCAACTCTTCCACGCAATTCTGTGCCTGGCATTATTGTTCAAAGTCAGAAAAAGATTTTCCAATATCCATGCTCCAATTCGCGCCAATACGATCTCGGTTTACGTTTGTCTGCTTGGATCAGTATCAGTCGTCATAAGTCCCTTCTTATCAGGAAGGTACAATTTTACGCTATACAGCTATGGTTTTCTAGGATTAGCCAGTGTTTATTGGGCTTTGACAACGCAATTGTTACCCAATTTATTTGGCTATAAATACAAGGTGGTGCCTATGAAAAAAGCAGACGGACTTATATATTTCAAGTGGATAAAAACTTGATACATTTGATACATAAGTATGAGCATCAATAGCAATTTGCATGTCACCTGATCGCGCGAAGCCATTATGATGCTGTCACAACAGATGTACCCTCTTGAAATCTAACCTTGAACAGTCTGTTTGCATTCGTAAACATTCCCTCCTTTAAAGAAACCACAATAAATTGGGACCCTTTGAATCTCGTTTTGATCAAATGACCAATGTTTTGAGTATGGCTCAAATCAAGAGCAGCGTCGACTTCATCTAGGATATACATTGGGGCAGGTTTGAATTGCAGAAGTGACATGATCAGAGATAAGGCAACCAAAGATCTCTGGCCTCCTGAAAGCTCGACTAACGATTCTTTCCAAACATTTCCTAATTTCACACGAACCTCCAATCCTTTTGTCACATCTTTTTGGTCAGTTAGAACTAATTTGGCGTAGGCCTGTGGAAGCAAATCCGCAAAAATTTGACCGAAATCTTTCGAAACCTTATTGTAAGTTTTGAGCAGCTCTGTTCTCTTATAGTCGTCGAGTTTTCTCACTGTGTCTTCAATTTTGGCCTTGTCTTTGTTGATTTGTCTTATCTTGGTTTTGAGAGACAGCTCATGCTTTTCGTGTTGCTCTATCTGAGCCATTATGTTATTGTTGACTCCTTTTTTTCTCATCGAAGACGAGCGAGTTTTCAGCTGATCAATTCTTTTGTGACAGTGTTCAACATTGATGTTAGGGTATTGTTCTAGAACCTGGTTCAAAAGCTTCTCGTCAGTGACCCATTCTTGATTCTCTATGATCTTGCGCACGCTCTCTTGGATAAGATTGAGTTGAGCTTCACTCTTGGTCGATTTATCCGATTGTTTTCCTAAAGCAACATCTAAATCATTTAATTCCTGACGCTTCAAATTCAGCGTTTGAGTCATTTCCTGTAATTCATCATTAATTCCCAGAATTGCCGATTTTTCTTTCTCACAAGCTATTTTGACTTCGGAAATTCTCGTTTTCAATTGCAGACATTCGCTGTCTAACTCTCTTAGTTGGTGCTTTAAGTTTTGGATCAAATTTTCGGCTTCTCCGATTTGCTCTTGGAGACCACTCAAATCATTTTGTTTCTCCTCTCTCTCGATTTGCAAGACTTGTAATGATTTGTGGGCTGTCTTCACCGCTTTCTGTTCTTCCGGTATACGAACTCTTAATTCTTCAATTTCATGTCTCAAATCTGCCAATTTAGACTCTCCGTCGCTATCAAAATCTTGGAGATCTTTTTTCAAACGATAAATCTCTTGCTGAACATCCCTGCCTTCCTCAAGGGACTTCTCAATCATTTCTTGTAGAGAGTCTGCTTCTAGTTGGTGTGCTCGAATTTTTTCGAGCAGTTTGGCAGATTCACAGTCTTTTAATTGACTGACCAATATGTCTCGCTGGTAGGTCTCGGTGCTCAACTCCTGCTGAACAGCTCGTGTTTCCTTGCTTAGACTCTCTTGATTTGTGATTTCAGCTTGAATTTGTTTTAACCTTCCCAAAATGTGTGATTCCTGATTTTTGAGCTGTCTCAACTGCTCGAATGCTGCTAGTAGAGAGCTGGAATTTTGTTTGGAGCCTCCTGATAGACGTCCTTCTGGATCATAAAAGTCACCCTCCAAGGTGATCGAACCAGTTCTGACGTTGGGGTTGAAAGTCACTTTTTTCGCAGTCTCAGGATCTTCACAAAGAAGTCGATTCCCAAAAATGAACTCCATCGCCTTCGTGAATTCATGTGGATATTCCAACGTATGCAGAGCGAGTTCCACTTTTCCAGGAGCAAGCTCTTTGGCGGCCTCAAGACGCCCACTCGAAAGTGATTGCGCGGTTATTTTGTTGAGAGGGATAATCGTCACCCGTTTCTTCAAGTTGCCGTTTTCAAGCAACTCGGATCCCGACTTCTCTGTATCGACAACAACATTGTAAAGCTTTCCGCCAGCACATACCTCTAGAGCAGTTGAATACTTGCTATTAGCTTCGGGTACCAAAAAAAGTTCTCCAACAAGTCCTTTCACAGAGTCCTTATCCAACTTCGTTCCTGACATATCGTATTCAAAACTTATTCCTGGGTATCTTTGAAAAAGCTTCGATATCGATTTACGCAAGTCGTTGAGCTTCTGATGTGTCACTCGTTCTTCATTTTTCAAAGATTTGAGGGTCTCAGAGTCGAAACCTGCACTCGATATAATTTGAGACAGAGCCGAGCACCTTTCAATTTTGGATTCCAATTTCTTCTCGAGCACAGTTATGTCGTTCTTAGCTGCTACAATCTTGTGTTTTTTGGATTCCAAATCGTCGTTGAGATGCTTCTTTTTCAACTTGTATTTTTCAATTTCAACATTGATGGCAGACAGTCTCTGTTTAGATTCCTGTAATTGGGATAAATAGCCACCTTCAGAAGAACCCTTCGACGAGAAACCTGTTGATAGACTTGACAGTAACTCCTCTCTTTGACGAAGCTCACATTCTAATTTTTCAAGGATAACCTTTCGGCTGATATATTCTTGTTCGGCAGCTTCAAAACTCTGTAGCTCAGGTTGCAAATCTGTGGGGCACTCTGCTTGACGTCGTCTTAATTTATCCAGTTTAGAGGTCTCTTGCTCAAGAATCTGTATCTTGAGATCTTTTGAAGTGACTGTACGAGTCATCTGATTAGTGAGATCTGTTTCAGTTTGCTCCAACTCCTTCAAATTCCTTCCTCTTCCTATTTCATTTTGTTTCTTTGTACGCGTGACAACCAGATCATTTTCGAGAGTATGTATCTCATTTTCCAAAACATTTTTCTTGGATTTGAGACTGTTCAGCTTCGCGCAGTCTGAATTAACTTGACTCTCTTGTTCTTGTTGTTTTTGGTAAAGCGATCTATAGTCATGAGCTGCAACAGCTTTAGATAGCGTTTCCAATTCAATAAGAATGTCTTGGAATTCCATGACAATGCGCTTTTGTTCACGTAGTTGGCGAAGTTTAGGCTCGACTTCCTCGACTAGAAGGCTCTCCGTAGTTTTCAATTTGATATTTTTTTTAGCCATAATCCGCTCTGCCTTTTCACGTTGCCCCTCGTACATCTTAGTCCCGGCAGCCTCTTCGATCAACCCAAGAATTTCAGTAGGCTTCATATTCAGCATTTTTGTGATTTTACCTTGCATGATCAAAAAATTAGGGTTGTTGATATTTAATTGCACCGATTGAAACAAGTTTAGTATCTGAGACTGTTGAACTTTGTGTCCATTAATGAGATATTTTGAGGCCCCTCCCAACAAAACCTGCCTGGATATGCTGATCTTGGGATATTGTTCGAAACCAATAGGTGACTTTGTCTTATCAGCGTTATCAAAGGTGATTGTCACAGATGCTTTTGTGATTCCTGCCTGTCCTCGCTTGTATATTAGATCTTGTAGATTTGTGGCCCTAACAGTAGACATGCTTGAAATCCCAAGAACGAAGCAAATTGCGTCCAAAATATTGGACTTTCCTGATCCGTTTAAACCAGTGATCGCGTTAAACTGGGGATCCCAGGATGAGATAACTGTTCTAACAGCATAGGATTTGAATCCATCTAATACCAACTCTTCGACTCTCATTTATCAAATAGCGAAAGTGAAGACACACTAGAGTAGAGCTGGAATAACAGTTCTATCAGTTTTCTGATGTATTCAAACACGTAAAACAAGTTTGAGATCCTGTTTACATTTTGAATAGACGGGTCGAATGTTTTTGGGTGGTACACGCACACAATATAGCGATTTAGGTAGACTGCCGATTGACTAGCAGCTGATTGTGAATTAAGGCTATCCTACTGGTAAGTTAGCGGAATACAGTCCGAGACAGGTAGAGACGTACATAAATTCTTCAAATTCCCTATAAGTAGTCGCTAGCCCGTTTAAAGAAATTGCTCAAAATAGGCTTGCAAGCATAAATTCAAGCAATTTGAGTCGACTTTATTTTTGATTATACCATTATATCCGCATTTGTCAAATATCACGAAACAAAGGGCGCGTTTCTAACCTGAAATATGATATCAGACAAATTTGGGACCAACGCTGCAAGTGCGATACAGCAAGCGCTTGCGAGGGATACGCCTTTATTAATTTTAATAGGAAATAATGCGGAATCGACAAAGGTTTGGGAAAGAATGGTACTAGATAAAGGGTTATCTGTTGAAAATCGGGCTCTGATTGAGAACGATCTGGTCAGCCTTCGAGTCAATAAGCCTTCGCTAGACTATACCATGCTCTCTGATACTTTTTCTGAAGTTGCCGGTGCTACCCCTCCCGCACTGTTTGCCATTTACCGTGGAATGATAGTTGAACAAATAACAAGCACAACCACCGTCAAGGATGCAAACCTGTGTTTATTGCGCCTTAAGAAGAAGTGGGTTTCAAAGAAACAAATTAGCTCTGTTACTAATTCCAGATCACACGAGTCCAGGCCCGAAGTTACAGATGTTGCTGTGACTCAAATTCGATCTGGGGTCACAAATAGTATCAAAGTTAAGCACCCAGAGGCTGAAAGTACGAGCAGTAAGATCAAGAGCGAATTAGAAGATCAACCGAACCACAAGAGAGTCAAGAAAAATGAGGAGGCTAAATTGGAAGATATGGGTGACACCGAAAGCGGCCATGAAGTAATGCCAAATTATCATCGAAGTGGAACGAATGAAATGTTGAACGCATCTCAAATCCGGGTTAAGCTCATTGATGGAGCTGTTACATGCTTCAAGTTTCCGAGTGACTGCAAATTGTCATTGGTTAGGGACCATGTTGTCGAACAACATAAGGAATACCAGCAAATCCCCTTTCAATTTTTCAGGGCAATTGATCGATTCACTTTCACACCAGAAGATGAGAATTCAACACTTCATGAACTTCAGTTGAACAAATGCACTTTAATAATCAAGCCTATGGATCCATTTGAAGCACACCAGAAACCTGACAATATAGGAGGAAGCTCTACTTTTTCATGGATGAAAAGAAAGCTTGGAGCTTTATTTTGGGGCAATAACGACCAGGTTCCAATATTCAACTCTCCTAAATTCGGTGAACAAACACGTTCACTTGCGGATGGCCTACGAGAGACTACTATGATTTCTCAACACCCAGGCTTGGATTCTGATACGGAGTCTGATGCTGTATACCAATCTCCTGAAAATCGCTCCACAATTTCACGGTCCTCTTCGCCATTTGAACCATCGCTAAACATTTCTTCCTCGGATTCAAACTTCGATATTCGCGGAATAAGCAACACAAATTTCCTTTCCAACCCTAACAATATTTCAATTGGTACAACCAAACAGCCTCTCCCTAAATTGAAATCGATTGGAATTAATAATTCTGCCGCTTCGTCCAAGACAAGGTTAGCAGAAATATCAGACTGCAAAGGGGAATTATCGGAAAGCAATATCATAAACATGGAGGATAGCAATGACGATAAGGTTATTTAAGGGTATTTCTAACAAGTATGGAATTACAATTGTATTGACTTGTAGCTATCAATCTTAGTACAAACTTTTTTCAGTAAAGCGTGCTTAAGGACCGCAACACTCCTCCAAGCAGAAGCAAGCAAGAAGAGCAGCTAGACATCCACCATAACATCCACATCCACCGCTCTTTTGCTGTGGAGGTTGTTGTTGAACATACATAGGCTGCTGTTGAGGCTGGTAGTATCCTTGTTGTTGACCGTATCCACCTTGTTGAGGTGGGTAGCCACCTTGCTGCTGATAATATCCCTATACTGTTAGTATATGAGTTGATGCTGATGGTAAAGGAGCCAAGAAAAACAGCTTCGAGTTCCTAAGCAGAACCATAAAAATTTCGCTTGGCAGCCGTCGCTCGGGGATACCAGTCTGAGAGACATATAGCGACTAAATGTCTTTGTGTACTTACTTGGTTGTTGTTCATTGCTAATGGAAATGAGTTAGAATTTGTTAGAGTTCTTGAAGGAAGACCAAAAAAGAAATTTGAAACGATCGATGTTTTCTTTTTTTAAAATTTCAGTTAAACAAGCTCGATGGCTATAGCATACGTGGGTGGCTGTGCGAAAAACGATTAAACTAAATTGGGAACAATAGAATAAATTTTTTATGGTGTAAATTAACTGAAGGTTCCTCCAGAGCGCGCATTTTAACTCCTTGACTTATTCATCTGGAGGCAAATGAAAACAAGTTCTATTGGTAACAAAAATCCATCAGCAAAACAATGGAGCCGAATTTGTGAAGTAGATTTATTGCAAAAGTTGGTCTCTGTAATGTGCTTGATGATTGATAAATTTGGCAGCCCGTCTATCGTTAAGATCTTTCGATTTTTCCTGTCTTGCCCAAATTCTCTTTTTACCTTGCAACTCTTTGCGGTCAATTTGTTGAACAAAGTGTCTAGTCTCTGCAGCCACGAGTGTTCCTTGACCTTCAGTGAGTTCCCTTTCAGGTCTCAGATTCTGCCTATAGTATCTCATTAGAGATCTGTGGCCTGCAACCTGACCGTTGGGCAGCTGGAGCTGATACCCGTTTGTATATAAATCCTCGCTATCATCAAGTTCAGACTCTTCCTCGTTGCTGTCGACGTTACCATCATCAGAAATATCCTCCCAGTCGTCAGCTGCTCCTTCGGCCTGTTCACCACCATAAGACGACTCAAAATTGTAAAATTCCGAGATTTCAAGCTTTTCGTCGATTGTATCATAGGGAATTTTACAGTGCCCTTTTGCAATCATGTGTTGTCTGACGCTCTCAATATTTCTGCCCTGGAATTGGCAAGCTAAACAAACATTTCCCAAACCCACTTTTTCGGATAAATAGCCAATTAAACCTGGTTTATCAATGAGATATGGAGCTTCCGGAATATAGAGACCATGATATTTGTACATGTGTTCAACGTTTTCATCCAAAGTATGAGACTCTTTGTTACAAAACATGCAGACCTCAAGAGGTATGTTAACCGCATTCTCTAACTTTTGTTTGATAATTGATTCCTCAGGATCAATATCATCAGCTATTGTATTGAGCTCTTGTGGTTCAGGGGCCCGGTCTGTAGATATATTGACATCAGCGGCAGTCAATTTGGCAACTAGAGAAGGCGAAGAAGGTTCAAGTTCTGATTTGGTAGTATCATGATGCTGATACTGTCGTTGTCTAGCGAGCTCCAAAAGTTGATTCTTTTTCTCTATGAGTGCCTCTTTTTCTAGTCTGCGTTTATCTTTCTTTGTCAGCTGCTTGTTAGTAGCCTTCGATTTGACATTGATTGAAGAGTCCTCATCGTCAACCAAAAAACTCCCCACTTTGTCATTAAATAATTGTTCATTGATTGGAGGCAAATGAGAAACTCTTCTTTTAAGATTATATCTGTGCCAGTCTGTTTTCATATGACGCCTTTGCTCTTCAGCTTCATGAAATGCCAAAGAGCACGAGTTGCATGTGTATGAAGGTTTTGACATTTGTACTGGAATTAGCAACAAAGCGAACTTGAACTTGGTGAAAAAAGATTTTGCGTTTTGAATGAATTTTTATCAAAAATTTTCTGCACCGCCATGATCAAAAAATATTTGATAAAATTCAATATTGTAGGTTTTGGTTTTATATTAATACGACGGTGCCAATTTGACTCATGCTAGAGAACATTCATTATTCGTTTCCAGTTACTACGGACTTGTAAGGGGGTGGGGGACTTTAATTATAGGAATCAACAAAAGATAGTTCTATGTTTCGACGATCAACCCCACTTTGAATGAGGGGGTTTGGATTTGAGGAGACAAGGTTTTTTCTTCGATCTGGAACCAATAACCTTTGATGCAAGATCTGAACACCGTCAATGAATTGAACAGCTTTTGAATTTCTCTCAATGCTTTGTACGTTTCGTACTGACTATTGCCGACTGTTGCCGATGAGAATCAAGGTGAGTGCTACAGAGAAATAGTTGAGGCAATTTTGTTACCCCACTTGTGAGACTATGTTGGCGTTCAATTTCCCCGCACCTTGTTTTCTTTTACATCTCGGTTGAGCTAGACACTTATTCCCGGAGTTCATTTCTCGAATTTGATAGGCAAAAAGTCTCTTGGAACAAAAGAAAGGGACACAACAGTTGTTATTATCTCGGAGTAACTGCACCTCACGATTTGGGCTTGAAATTATTTTCCGGTTTTTCAAGTGAGTGTGAACTCTTAGAACAAGGACTTATCGTCTGCACAAGCTCATTCAATACAGTGGGTGGTAAGTAGTACCCTATATCTGTATTCAAAGAGCAAATTTCATGGTTATATAGGAATTAACATAATTTATATAATTACTTGAATTGCACCGGACTTTCTAAAATTCCACCAACTGGTTATTTTCAGATGTAACAAACAAAATCTATTGTTGAAAATAATAGCGAAATACTGGATTTTCATGCAAATAATCATTTATTCATCCATTATTAATCTCCGTTATATATGGGTATTTGAATCACAATTCACTCTTAAAACTCTTCTGTTGGAATCATTTGACAAAGACCTCTCTCTCTTAGTCTGAATTTACTGTGCGAATTATTGAATTATTCGTCGTAAGGAGCAGAGTTCCGGCTTTTGAAATCACCCCACTACGACCGTTTCTTCATATATTTACTTCCGAAGAAAATGTTGAGGAAATCAATGAACAACCGGGAACATGGGAAAGTTACTATTAAGAAAGAAGGAAATGAATCCATTGAACGATTAGGATCACATCAGGGACTCAAAGAAGATTACTCTCTCTTAGGAGCAAATTCTCCGTCTCCTGCTGATACTACGGAGAGTAATTTCGGAGTCCATACTAGTGAACTAGCATCAAATGTTAGCCATGATTCGGTCGTTTCTGATCTTCACCATAAAAACTGTATGGTTCCCAACTCGAGAGCAAGCATCTCAATAAACAATCACCACAATAGACACGGTACTTCACATACAGCAATCAAGCGAGAGAGCTCTGTTATTTCCGATGATATTACCCATTCCGAGATTGATGAAACAGAAACAGGGAAATACTCAGCTCGTCACAAGCAATTGATTGAACAAGCTTGTGACTCCTGCCGGAGAAAAAAGCTAAGATGCACGAAAGAGTTCCCGAAATGTTCCAAGTGCACAGATCATGGTTGGGAGTGCGTCTACTCACCACGAGCAGTAAGATCTCCCTTGACTAGGGCACATCTGACGGAAGTGGAAAGCAGAGTGAGGCAATTGGAGTCGTTTTTGATGAAGGCTTTCCCGAGTGAGAATTTAGATCATATTCTTGAAAACTTCACCCCGCCTGACTCGCTAACTTCATCATCAAGCAACTCTCCTAACTTTGGTGCACGATCGATTGTGACACCTCGACAATCACAAAGTAGCATCCCTACTACCAAGATGTTCAAAGATCCTATTGCCAGTGACACATCTACCACGCTTCCCAAAATTGGTTCCCCGCAGAGAATGTTCACGAGATTACCGGATGAGTTCTTAGCGGGTGATCTCTCCAATAATACCAATTTTGATTGGTCAGAAGATGATGAAGATTATGAAAGACGATATTCATCGAATGCTTCAGCCTCTTCACCCTCTTCCACAACCTCGTTACATGAGAAGAATTCTATGGTCTCACTAAGCCACCTTGATCAATTTCCAGGCGGACAAGGCCAAGAGTCAACATTCACCACAAAGACAAACAACTCATCAATATGTACGTCTCCTTATTTGAGAGCATCCGTGCCATCAATCGTGACGGATGGAATGGGTGTCAATTCAAACAAATCAGGATTCCTTGGAATTGGATCATCGTCTTCATTTTTAAGGGTAATGAGGATTGGCAAGATTGATGAGGAGAGATCTGAAGATGCAGACATAATTATGGATGATCTTGATTTGAAGGAATTGGATGAACCTAGTACTGAGAAAAACCAACCACTTTATGCAAGCCAGCCTATGAATCCAGAATTGAAAGAACAAATTGTGGACGGTCTGAAAAAGGGACTTCATTCATTAGAGCAGACTAAGAGGGAAGAAGACATGGAATCTTACATGAACTTGAAATCTACGGAGGAACAATTTTTGGCTAGCTATTTCCGTTACTACCATACGTCATACCCATTCATACACAAGGAGACATTCATGAAGCATTACAACAAGGAGTTGCCTGTTAAGAATGAACTTCATTGGCAAGCTCTTTTGAACACCGTACTAGCTTTGGGATGTTGGTGCTTGCATGGTGAAAACTCAATGCTTGATTTGGCTTACTATCAACGCGCCAAAAAGGCTTTGAATGTAGGAGCAAATGGTTTTGAGTGTGGAAATCTCATGTTGTTGAGCTCTCTTGTGCTTTTGAGCAACTTCTCCCAAAAGAGAAACAAGCCAAATACAGGTTGGAACTTCCTTGGGATTGCAGTCAGAATGGCAATGTCTTTAGGTTTACACAAAGAATTTCAAGAACAAGGAAACAATGCTGGAACTAGAAAAGAGGAGATCCTCAATTTGGAGATCAAAAGACGCTTATGGTGGGGACTATACATTTTTGACGCAGGGGCTTCAATTACGTTTGGAAGACCAATAAATTTACCTCCCTTGGATACGGTTGATGTGAAAATGATGAGCAACATAAACGATGAAGAGCTCTCGAGGTTAATTGAGAATCGGAATATTTCTGGATTTATAAGTGATGACATGCTCAACGATGGGTACCCCACTCTATACTCTGCAATGATCCAGCAAACCAAGTTGACTTTTGTGACAAACCCAATTTATTCACGAATTCTTGCAAAGCCTCCTCCAACTCTTCAAGAATGCTTTGAAATGAATCTGAACATCGAAAGTTTCATTTCTGAGCTACCAAGATATTTCCACGAAGATGATCTTATAGCAAGAAAGGAATTTTTTGGTTCTATTCCCAAAGATCTTCTTTTGACCGCTGACGAGTCAAGGTTCCCCGAATGGTTTTCATTATCCAGGAATAGACTTATTTGGAGGTACAAGAACATGCAAATTATCTTATTCAGGCCATTTATTTGGCAAAGGATTGTTGCAGTCCAAGATCCAGAGGTCATGAAGCTCTGCAAGTGTGAAGAGGCCAAAGAAGGAAGAAGAATCTGTCTCAAGGCAGCTTCAGAAACAATCAAGTCAATTGGTAAATTTGTGAAAAACAATGAGGCAAATTTGTCAATTATAGCTGTTTGGTATGCAACGTACTTCTTATTCCAGGCTGTGTTGATCCCTATTGCATGTCTCTGTTCCGAGCCTTTTTCTTCCCACTCAGCATCATGGATCGATGACGTGAATACTGCCAAAGGTGCGCTGAGCTTGATGTCGAAGTATAATTCGATGGGATCCAAATTATCAAAAGTGATCGATAAGCTTTTAAGCAAAACTTCTTTAACCGAGAAACATAAATTTGCAAAATCAACAGATGCAAATTCGCAGTCAAAGAGGCCAAATTTCGGCAAAGGAAACTTCGCAAGTTCTAACACTTTGCAAACTGGCAATGAAGGAAGCGTTTCAGCTTTAGGCTTAAGTGGTTCTGACCTCAGGGAAGTTTCTGAAGAGCAAGCGATTGGACCTGAGAGGTCACTCAGGATTGATCCACCAGAAAAGAGGTTTAAAGGAGCAGGAAGTATGTTTGTGGGTTCGAGTTCGAACTCAGAAACTTTTTCAAGATTCAACTCGATTGGGGGTTTAGAAAGTTTTGAAAAAGGAAGTGAAGACAATGAACCGGGTCTGGCGAGTATGGATGACGAGCGATTAAACTTCACTGGATTTTCTCCTGCAAGTGTGAGATTATCGACAAGTGGAGACTTTTCCATGGCGCCCGCTATAAACGATGAGTATATGACCAAAACCAATGAGAAACCTAACGACATTCAAAGCGAGAAATCAGAATTACTGAATGATATCTATTCCATGATATTCGATGAATTCACTGATCCTATGGCTTTTAGTGTTGAATAAAAAGGTTGCAGTATATAAAAATAAGAAGTATAGATTTTTTCCCAGTTGTAGTTGTTCATATTGTGAATTGGCAAGATCGTAATACTGATCTCTGTTTTTGAGGATTAGACGAGGCATTATGATGATAAATATGCAATACTTTCTTCGGTTTATATACCATGCAAGGCTGTGCAAGAAAGTCAGAAGACACCGGCTTACGGCATCTGGAAATTGTTTTTTCTCAATAGTAACAAAACGAATCTTCTACACGCGAAACTTTTAACGTAAGCCATAATAACGAGAGACTCCACCGTTTGATTAGGACACCATACAAAAGGAACACTGTCATGGTTGCCAAAAGAAGACCCGGAATTATTCTAACTTTGAACAATAAGAAACAAAAAGTGTCGGAGAGCGGCCACTCTCCAGCCATCTTACCCAAGGAGTCTTACTTCGACATTTTAGAAAAGATCAATGGTTTGATAGATGAAGAATTTGATACTGCCATTGTTGGGGACTTTCTCAAACTTCCATCAAAGAAGCTGTATCCCGACTATTATCAGTTGATTGAATCCCCAATTTCGATTAGCGAAATTAGATCCAAAATTAAGAAAAGTGATGCCTATTCTACTGAAGACTTTCTTGGCGATTTCAAACTGATGGCAGATAACGCAAGTACTTATAACGAGTCACAAAGCTACATTGCCCAAAATGCTCGCAAGATCTACGATTTTGTGGAGGCTGAGATAAGTGAGGCTATTTCGCAAGCTGGAGCGAACGAAGGTTCACGGACAAAGAAAAAGCTCAAGGGAAAGCAAGTTTCAACTGAAAATGAAGCTAGTTCTAGCTATTACAATGATTTGAAAAATATACTCAAAGCTTTGGTCAATTATAAGCTCCCTACTAGAGGAAAGTTGTCAGTTCCTTTTATGGATCTTGTTGACGGAGCTATGTACCCAGACTACTATGAGATAATAGAAGAAGGAATGTCCTTCAATCTTGTCAAGGAGAGGATAGACGAAGCTTACTACACGAATGATCAAGCTGGATTTGAAAAATTTAAAAGTGACGTTAGACTGATATTTAAGAATGCACAGACGTACAATAGTGAGGAAAGCTTGCTTTATCAAGATTCGGTTGTTTTAGAGAGTGTGTTTGACGACAAAATTGCTGGTTTTGAGGCATCTCACTTTGATTCTTTGGAAAATGAAGAAGCAAGTAATTCTGGACCAAGTACCAGCCACAAGACTTCATCTAGATCCAAAAGGACTCCAATAGAAAGCGATGATCGTAGAGGAAAATCTAGATCGCATAAGAAGAAAGGCTATATTGAATCAGACGATGACGAATTTGAAGACGAAGTTGAGGAAGACAATGAGGCCGAAGATTTTGAAGAAGAAGCAGTGGAAGAGGAAGAGGAAGAGGAAGAGGACAATGACGCCGATCAGAAGAAAAGAGGTGAAGAATTTCGGGACAAGAAGCATAGAGGTCAACTAGGAGTGGCTATTCAGAACGTCAAGGATAAGAACGCTTTCGTTAGAGCCCATACACATTCGCCGGAAAACGCTACTTACATTAAACAGTTCACCATCTCCTCTAGCACGAAACAGTATACCCAGACAAATAGCGAGGGTTATTATTCCTTCACTTTGAAGGACCCATCGGTGATGAATACTTTCAGCTTGCCTTCCGGAATTGTGGGACAGCCGCTAGATATTTTCGTTTCTCTAACGAGCGCCATCATAAACGAAAAGTACATCGCCGATTTGAAGGTCAATAATGAAACGACTAAACCATTTCCGATTGCAGTTTCATATGATGAGAGATCTACAGACCACGATTTTCTTGCATCCCGATACGAAGTCAAGTTGGGTCACGGACTAAATCTTGTGCAATTCTCTGTCAAAGTACCTGAATCTAAGAAAAGGGATAATCACGATGAAGAAACCAAGCTACGTCGTCGTGCAGCTACTCTTAGTTCAGCCAACGCCACCAATAACGGGGAGGATCAGAACTACGAGACCGAGCATGTCAAACTTTGGATTAACGTCTCCCAATAAAGTGAATAAAACTGTAAAATACTATATGCCATTAAAGATCATTGAAATTCGATCTTAAGCGGCCCGACGTTGGCTGTGTCAATTGATGTGCACCTTTCAAAGGGAGACCCTAAGTTATCTTTCAAGATAGACAGCTCTTTCTCCATCTCTTCCGAAATTTCATGATGATCTAAAACTTCGATTTGACTCTGTCCGTTCGAGACACCGGCGGACGAATCGTTAGCGGCAGTTGCCTGCAACTGCGGTGTAAGTTGTTGGTCCAAAGAAGGAACGGACGCAAGTGTTTGGTTCTCTATTTGCTTTTGCACAGCTTGATTCTGCAATGACGGAGAAGCAGGATCTTTGAAGGCTGGTTGCGCCTGTGCCTGTAGAAAGCCTGTCAAATCTATCAACTGGTCGTTCGTAGCGTTTAAAATGTTATTCAACTCCTTGTTTCTCTGTTCTAATATTTGTTCCTCTTGCTGCTGTTGCAGTGTAGACACAGGTTCATTTTCACCAATGAGAGGGGTGGTCTCATCATAGTCATCATCAAATGAGCCACGAAGACATGAAAGACAAATTCCCATGGTGTTTAGATCTCCGACTTAAACGATGGATGTCAATATCTTTTTATCCTTAAATAAAGAAAAAAATCGCCAGTTAACGGTGTAAAGATGTTTACATTCAACAACATCATAGCATATCGCAAGGTAGCAGCCTTTGTCTGCAAGGTAATAAAGAAACAGGAGGCAATCCACATCCAGACAGTCGCTAGCGAAACTAAAGTGGGTTTGGTTGGCTTCTGAATGTGTTGTTTGATCCTAGTTCAAACAAGACCCGTTGGTATATATTATCCAAAGTCCATTCCAAATATACGTTAAACTAACTTTTATGCCTATCCATCAAATCTAATTGTATCTATTTGATGCACTTGGACAGCTTCTACTGCCTCCCAGAGACCTTTTCTACTCGCATAGACCGAAACCAAAATCATATCTGAGGTGCGAGGTGCGAGGTGTTTTTCAGCTCAAAAACTACAAGTTCAAACTTCGAGTGGCAAAAGAACTTGTTTCGTTTAAACTCAGGACCATATATAATTGTTGGATAATTCATTTCCTGCAAACTTTTAGATTATGACTGGACTCAGCTTTGACAACTTTCAAAGGAACCAATTCCTTTCAAGATCTGGGACCAACACCCCGCAGGCAACATCCACGGGAACAACAATTGTTGGATGTAAATTCAAGAATGGAGTTGTAATTGCAGCTGACACAAGAGCTACGGCAGGACCAATAGTGGCGGATAAGAACTGTGAAAAATTGCATCGTTTGGCACCAAAGATTTGGTGTGCTGGTGCCGGAACGGCTGCAGATACAGAGATGGTCACTCAATTAGTGAACTCAAACTTAGAATTACACTCGATGTCGCTCAATAGACAACCAAGAGTTTCATCAGCTTTACAAATGTTGAAACAGCATCTCTTCAAATATCAGGGACACATTGGAGCGTACTTAATTGTGGCAGGAGTCGATCCCAAAGGTGCACATCTATTTTCAATTCATGCTCACGGATCTACAGATGTTGGATTTTATCAATCTTTGGGTTCCGGATCGTTGGCAGCTATGGCTGTTCTAGAACGCGAATGGAAAGAAGAGCTCACTCGCGAAGAAGCAATGAAACTATGCGCCGACGCAATCGAAGCTGGTATTTGGAATGATCTTGGTTCTGGATCTAATGTGGATTTGTGTGTCATGGAAATTGGGAAGGATGCTCAGTTGTACAGGAACTATCTCACACCAAACGTTAGAGAGAGCAAAACTAAGAATTACAAATTTGCTAGAGGCACAACTGCAATTTTGAAAGAAAGCGTTTTCAATCTGTGCGAGGTCGAGGAGGTTGAAATTAGAGGAGATGCTATGGAGGTCGATGCCTAAACGGTGATCATGTAACGTACATATTTTAATGGCCATTAAGTTGATTCACAACTTTTATCGTTCCTTCGACAATGGCTTCATGTTCTAGAGCATGAATTCTTTCTTCCCATTTATCCAAAGGTTCCCCCTTGATAACTTCAATTTCTCTAACCACCAACGGATTCCCCTTGTCAACTTCCTCAATGACATAATGAATCATACAACCTCCTTTTTGAACTAAACCATCTTGTCCTGCTTGCCAAGACCGCTCAATAGCACATGTCCCTTCAAACTGGTTAGGGAGAGCAGGATGAAGATTGATTATAGGAATCGACGCATCATTCAAAGGTTTCAAAAAGTCTGAAGAAAGAATCAGCATCCACCCTGCGCACACAATCATATCAGGCTTGATAGATTCTAAAATCAATTTGACCAAATCCTTGTTGAACTCTGCTCTTGCCTCAAGCCTCAATTTCTTCTCCTCTTTTGGAATTCCTTTGTAATACGTTTTGAGTTCGTGGGTCGTAGTAGCGATGGAAGCTTTGGCAGCTCTCTCAAGTCCATACGCATTACTAGATGAAGAAATCACATGCGTGATCTTTCCAGCTATTCTTCCACTAGCACAAGCATCAATGAGTGCCTGTAAGTTAGATCCGCTGCCGGATATCAAAACCAGAATAGATGGGGACATCTTTTACAAGGAATTTATATTCAATTAAATTTTTCAAAGCTTGTCTGAAGTGATCTTTCAATTTGCACAGCCGTTTTTTAATAATGTCAACTACATTGTGTGCCTTGATTACATCAATTTTTCCTGTATCCTGTTGAACATAACTGAGCTGGTTTTGACATACAATTCAGCAAATTTCTCCTTTCATCTGAAAGCCATACTATTTGCTGTTTTGAAGTTCACAAATTACTTTTGCAATCCAAATCTCTGGTAACTTTCTTTAATCTTTCCACTGCAAACATTTGGTTGAAATTCCATCCACTGAATTAGAACCTACCTTCTATCGGTTGTCTTCATCTTTGGGTTTCCAATTCCCATACAGAGTCATGGATCTCTATTTTCGAGGTGTGAATTTTTGATTTGAAGCCTGAATGTCGGTGAATCATTAAGTTTCGTAGGGAGCACGCGAAAGAACTTTAACTTGGCTTCTGAAGCCACCAGGACTTCAAATCTTTGTATGATTTATGGCTGTTCTTGAAAAGCTGTTTCTCAAAACCGTCTAAGTTGTTCATGAATTCAAGATTGTTTCCACTGAAGTGATCATTAAGTTTGAAACTCAAATCGTTCAACTCACATGCTCGATCAATAAGCGCCTTGCTGATCAGCTCAACAAGCTCAACATCTCCAAACATGAAAGACCATTTAGTGACAATTCGGTAATAAAACACGTAGGGACTCAGATTCAACATCAAGGCATCAGATTTAAGAAAATTGAGAAACGCAGGTGAAAAGAACTCAGGTTCCAGAAGTTTAAGAAAGGTAGTATCGCCGTCCTCATTTTCACTGGATGGCGACGAATCGGATATCGAACATATTGCCAGTATTTCAGCGAGCCATATTGGTAGTTCAAGCTTGGTATTTTCTTTAATAGCGTGTCCAGCGTCCCCACTCAAATACCCTAGTCCTGGAATCGTGATCGAGAACCTGCAAGGCAATTTCTAACATGTGGTTAGATCCAGTTATTACATTGCTTCAACTTACCTGGCTTTCAGCTAATATGTCATCAACATCATAGTAGGTCATAGTTCATCGAGAACAGACTTATCAAGTTTAAATTGTATGGAACAATTTTTTGATCACAATAAATAACAAACTTTTAGAGACGCGTTTTGGTTACCAAAAATTGTCAAAACTCAAGATACGATATTCTACTACATTATACTCTTAGTCAATTTTTTCAAATCTATGTAGAATTGGGTGGTGCCTTGCTATGACTTGAGTTCATAACAATTGATGATCATTCCCTTCAATTTTTGGGCGTTAAGATCGTCAAAACTGTTGGTTGAATCGTCTATCACGAGAGACTGCAACGAATCGTAGATGCGACGATCAACTGGGTCGAGATCATTGAAGTCTGGCAGTTTGTCCAATTCTATGCCAAATTCATGCTTCAGCTGGCGAAAAAGGACGTCTGTTCGCTGATAGTTGTTGATAGAGTTTTTGAAATGGTGTATGAATATGAATTTGAGAAGGGGATTGATCCATTTTGAATCTGAAGAATCGTAAGTCGTAAGTATGTGCCTCATGATTATGTTCAAAGCAGGGGAGCTGCTTAGTCCAAAGTCATTTAAGAAAGTGTTCAAGATGCTGACCGCAAGAGCCAAACGTTGGTGCTGTATGCAGTATTTGGTAAATATGGTAACAGTCGATGATCTTGGAACAAGATCTCTGTATGATCTCTGTATGTTCATGAATCTCCAAGCACCTTTAAAATCGTCTTCTCCTTGAAGATATTTGAATATTGCACTATTCATGCAGTTAGTGTCAAGCTTCCCTTCTGCATTATGGAAATATTCAAGAACTTCGCTCAAAGAAGCCCCTTGGTTCATCATATCAGTGAGCTCAATGTCGCAAAATCCTGGAACATTAAGATGAAGACCATGAGATATCATTAGTTGTTTCAGTTCTTGTTTTGCGGGAACCTCAGAGGGGATAAGGCTTAACGAAATGTAGTACGAGCATAAATCCACATTTATGCCCAAAGTCTTCATTCGAAGCAATATAAATTCCCAGATCATCAAACGCTCTAAGAAATTGCTGGTATTTTTAAGATAATGAACTCCCAAAAGATTGAATGTCATTGCGTTTGGTTTCTTGTCATCCTTTTCCAATCTGCGAAATATTCTTTTAATCATAATTTCATCGTTTCTTTCCAAAAAGAAATCGAGTAACCTGTTCGAATACTTGACAGAGTGTATGAATTGAATATCCTTTTCTTTAAAAATAGCTCTCAAAATCCGAGCTGCTCTGTGAGTGTTGTTGAGGTACTTATAAGTTGTAAGTTGATCAACAACTTTTCGGAGTTCATGGCAGGAGACTCCTTCTTGTAAGCGACCATTACTAATCAGGGTGTTGCAGATTTTTGGAAGCTCGCTTCTCATTCTAGGAATGCGAAACACCCTTTGAAACGATAGTTTTGTATATTCCAGTTTTGAAAAATCTTCGGTGAGGTCCATCAAAAGACCAAATATCTTCTGCGATGCGTAAGACACCGAGGAGTTACCAGTTGCATTCTTTGATTTATCACCAATGAAATCAAGAGCAATTCTTGATTCAGTGATTTTCGAACGTGATTTATGAGAGTGGTGTCTGTGTTTGAATGCTTGAGGAATCAAAAACGAATTCCCAATCCTCGGTCTGCACATATGAGAGGTCAACGGTCGCACTGTCGCACCAAAATCGAATATAAGCAATTTGTTCATTTTTATGATCATATTCCTCTCATCTCTGCTTCCAATTGGCCTCTGGTTATTGCCGCTTTCGACAAACTTGCAATTATCAAAGCGAAATTTATTTGAAAAATACGTTGGGCGTGCGACATCAAACACTAACGAAGATTTTCAACTCGAAATAAAATTCTAAAAATTTTTAAAGCTCGAGACCTATCGTGAGCAGATCTTTGTTGATAATTTGCTTGTGTTTACGTCACAAATAGGTACAAAAATGAGCAGAGAAGGTTTTGTTCCTCCTACTGCGGCAAATCTAGGAAATGCAGCCTCTGGAATTCAGACGATGAAAGATTACGGTGTGAAGTACATTTGCGCACAATGTGCCGTCAACTTTTCACTTTCTCCAAAGGAGCCTGTCAGATGCAAGGAATGTGGTCACAGAGTTCTTTATAAAGCTAGAACCAAGCGGATGGTTCAATTTGAGGCGAGATGATAGGGGCTCGATTTACTAATATCACGGAGAGTATTCGTAAGGGGCGAAATTTGTATATTATTAGGGCAAATAAACAGCGTAACATTGTCTGCATATTGTATATTGGCTTTCAAGTCAACTATGTACAGGATTTAGAACCTAGTTGCTTTGTGATTGGGGTCAAGTGATATTAGTTTCGAAGTTTTAAAAATTGTTTTTGGGGTTATAATCATGAGCATGTTAAGTGTAAAGCTAGCCTCTTTACAACTGGGCAAATATTCTTCACCTTCACTACTGCGCTCCCGTCCATTAATTAATCGAGGGATACACACGCAAAATGAGATTGTGCCATCGATTACCAGTATCTTGCAATCTTCTTCTCATTCGTCAGCAAAGCGTGGCATTGACTCAAAGAATTGGATTAAGATGTCAAAGGATTTGGAACATGAGCTCACAAACCTTCTGTTATGCTTTAAGATTGATGATTCAAAGGAGCAAATAGCCGAATGGAAATTCCTGAACGGCATGTCCAAAGCTACTAACGGACCAATAAGCAACCCCCCTAACGGTTTGCCCTATAATACTACTTTGGATTATCTTAAACGACTATCAAACCATATTTTCATTCGCTACCAGAGGTCTGTTATCGATGTCACATCCCGCATTTTGAAAGATGAGAAATTTAGAACTGATCCGACAGCATTGATATATTCTACCAAAATATTGTTGTTGCATGGATACCGAACTGAAGCCTTTAAGATTCATAAACAAGCACTATATGGTCCAGAGCAAGACTGTTCAACGGCAAGTCAGTTATTCAACCTAATTTTGTTCAATGAGATGAGTCAACTCGAAGAAGCAAGCCATGAAACTATTATTAATACAATAATGACTCTAATTAAATCACTTCCACAAGATTCAGCGAAGATAACATATTCCACTTTGTTAATTGTGTTTCGTAATATATACACACCAGATGAGAGATTACGAATACACCGTTATCTTAAAAAAACTAGACCAACTTGGAGCTTGCGGCCCTTTTCTGATCCCTTACTGAAAGACCATTTGTTGAAGGGAGACATCAGTAAAAAAATTATAACGGGCAAGGCTAAACACTTATCGATACACAATGCCAACATGGTACTTTCCTACTTGCTTGACCAGGACCTGAATCTGACTGTTGATTTTTTCAATCAAAAGTTTTCGAAAGATTATACTTATCCCAATGCTGGAACCGCTGCAACATTTGCGAATTACTTTGTTCCTCGAAGACAATTTGTTGAACTATTTTGTGTGCTGTACGTTATTGAAAACAACTTTGAAGTGAAGGTGACATCCTTTTTTGCCGATACGCTCAGAGGAATGATGATGAGCTGGTCTTCACATCCTGAAAACACGAACAGGGATTCGATACAGCTCTATTACGATTACATCAATGGTAATCCTCGTTTAAAAATTCCAAATGATCTCAAGCGGAGAACGCGCCAAAGGCTTCGTTTGACCCAGAATGCGACAAGCAGCAAACGAGCCAGACAACTCTTCAAAAAGATTGAGAGATCGAACTTGGACAGATTATGCATTTTAGGTATCCAAGACATTTGATATGACGATCAATAAGGTAGCCTTTACGGATGCCATGCCAATATATACGTTTTCGGAGAGTCTTTATGGTCTCTGAACCAATATCATGATCTGCTGATGATTACTTGTAGCCACTTATATCTTTCATATTCTTGATGATAGCTTGGAAGATTTGGGTCAAGCTGCGGCTTTGTATTCTTGGATTCGAGTATACGGAGTCGTTCGACGGGTCGAAAAATTAGATAAAAAATATTTTGGGGATAACCAACAGGGTAGACAATCACAGCACTAGAGCTCAAATTTGCATTAAGCACGTTATAACTTGGAAATTTGCAAAAAATATATGATCCAGAGTGATAAGATTGAACATCATACATCATTCAATTATGTCTCCTCGTGTAGTGAAGGATCTTCCAGACAGATATGAAGATTTACAATGCTTCCTCTTCTCAGAGACTGAGACCGTGAGTGAGTTTCTAAAGTGCTGCTATGACCCTTCTCACTTGCTGGCTCAAGAAGCTTGCAAAGATGATGACGACGACGATCAATCCGAATGCTGTTTTGACTATTGCTGTTTTGACAACTGCGTAGATGCTCCATCAGAACAGCCTAAACAAGAGTCTGGTACTCCATCTACTCCCCCGGATGAGAAAGTCAAACTTGAATTTGGTCCAACCGAGTTCAAACTTTACAACAGAGACGGAGAATTGAATTTGACAAATGAAACCTCTACAAATCAAACAGCTGAACAAAAGCTGCCACCAGATATGTTGGGAAGCCAGCTCCCTTGTGCGAATGTCTCACATCCAATACCATTGCCTACACCCCCAACACCTCCGAGTACTAGCATTTCCGGACTTGAGAGTCGAGAATTCTCTCAGACCCACCACCACCATATGCAGTTCGAAGACCAATATAATGGAAACGTTATACGGCATGATATCATTATACCATCGAATATTCATTGGCATATACACAATCATCATCTGAACCATCCGCATTATCATACAATGAAAGACGAAGAATTAGAGAGACCTCACAAAAAAATGAAGATGGAAACGAAGGACCAACCGTCTCTGTTCAATTGTAAATGGGACGGCTGTCAGGATGAATTGGATAGCTCCACATTTAATCAGCACCTTCTAGATTCTCATTTGACGCAGAAGACAGATGTGTACGACTGTGGATGGCAAGAGTGTCCATTTACAGCTGATAACCTGGACGATCTTTTGGCACACGCAGGAATTCATTTAGAAAAAACCCCACCCCTTGCAGAGAACCTAGATTTGTGCAAGCCTTTGCCTGCTCATATATGTCAGTGGGAACACAAAGATGGATCCGTTTGCGGGAAAGAGTTTGCTAGTACATCTGATTTAACGAACCATGTTATAGACATTCATGTTCAGTCGAAGAAATCAGAGTACACCTGTTGTTGGAAAAATTGTACCAGAGAGCATAAACCATTTAGCCAAAGACAGAAGATTATTCGACATCTCAATACGCATACCAAACACAAACCATTTGTGTGTCACTATTGCATGAAGAGCTTTTCTTTGGAGCTCATGCTTGAACAACATCTGAGAACACATACGGGCGAAACACCGTTCAAATGCAACATTTGTGGAAAAGAATTCAAGACCTCGTCATCATTCATCATTCACCAAAGAATCCATACTGGTGAGAAACCTCTGGAATGTCAAGTCTGTGGCAAGAAGTTCAGGGAGTCTTCAAATCTGAATAAACACATGAAGATTCATTCGCGGAAATTTAAATGCGACTGCTGTATGCGGAGCTTCGACAAGGAAGCCAAATACTTGAAGCATCTTGAATTATGCCAAAAAGGTACTTACGGGAACAAGAATTGTATTTGTAAAGGTGATATGGAGGCTGATATTAAGATTAGTGTATGATGGCTACATAATTTATTTATTTTCGAGTGACAGAGTTTTGACGTTTAACACTTCCAACAACTCCCAGGTTCAAAAAAAGACTCAGAATGGCGGAGAATCCCGAAATCGCAATACCCAAGTAGTAAGTGTATTTGGTAGCGTTAAACAGGTCAACCGGATGATCTTGTTGATTCGCCTGACCGTAATACGGATCCTTTGCTGCCAAAATGGTGGTAGATATACCCAAACCAACCGATGAACTTAGCTGACACACGGTATTAAATGTTCCAGCAGCACGACTTTGTAGTTTGCGCTCAACTGATGACAGAGCACAACGATTTGAGACATTGTAGATTAAATCAACACCGATAACCACCAAGCAGAATCCCCAGAATGGACCTAAGAAGTAGTTGCGATCGATGCTGTTGGTTGCCCAAATTATGCTTGCTACCACAAAACCCCCACAACCGATTGTAATAAGGTACTTTCCCGGGATGATATGCATGGTAAAACCGGCAAAAATATTAACCAAAACTCCAATCAGTGGTTGTGGTAAAAAACAACATGCCGTGATTATAACCGAGTACTTTCGTATCTGCTCGAAATATAAGACAGCGTTGTAGTTCAAAATACCCGTGAAAAGCATCCAACTCAGACTAACGATACTGATACAGACGACAAAGTTTCTGTTTTTGAACATTATCATTGGCATCAAGGGGTTTTTAGGAACGTAAGTCTCATAGATTCCGAAACCTATCACCAATGCGACACCCACGACAAGGAGTGCAATGATATATGGTGTGCGCCAACGTGATGTAGTGGCATCCACTTGAGTCAATGAAAAACAGATCAAAGTGAAACCTGATAATGACAAAAATGCTCCGCAATAATCAATACCTCTAAAAATCTCTCTCGCGTTCTTCCAATCGATTTTGCGATCATTAGGTAAACAGAAGAGAACACCGAAAAACATCATACAGTACCAAATAGCAAAGAAATATTGCACAGCTCGCCAATTTAGAGCCTCGATACAAATTCCTGCTATGAAGTAACCTGATGCAGCCCCGACAGGTGCTCCAATTCCAAAACAGCTCATTACCAGATTTTTTCGCTTTGAGTTCTTATAGCTGGCTCCCAAGAAACCTGCAGCAGCAGGGGTTCCACAAGCAACCATAGCGCCTTGTATTGCTCGAAAGACACACAGAAGAATAAAATCATTCATGAATCCTGCAATTAGCGAAAAAATAGCGAAGCCAGAATATCCTATCAAGAGAGCTCTTTTGCGACCAAATGCGTCAGCAATACTCCCCATAATCAGCAAACAACTTCCGTTTGCCAACGTGACTCCTGAGACACACCATGTTAGTTTTCCACCCGTAACATTAAAATGATCAGAAATAGCAGTTAAACTTGTTTGATAAGCTCCCGATGCCATAGACGACGCACAAGGCGCAAACGTCAAAAACAAGCAACACAATACTTCATGGATATTGGACCTGAATATAGGAGGCCGCTGCTCCGCGTCTGCATAGTCAAGACTAGCCTTTGATTCAACCTTTTGAATGGTCTGATTCTCCTGCTTTTCTTCCTCAACTATCAAACTTTGAGGCTGAATCTCATCTTCTGGAACCCTTGAGGGCAAGCTTTCTATTTCATTATCACTCATGAACAACCCTTGCTATGTGGTAATGGAAAGGCTTGAATTAATCGATAATTTGAATAATTAATCGATTGAGCGATATATTATTCAAAAGCGGAAAAAACCCGATTAACAGGCACTTCACAATAAGATTTCGGTGTGCCACACATATTATTTCGGATATTGAAATTTTTTGATCAATTTAGGGTAGAAATACAGGAGGTTTTTTTTCTCGAATGCGAGCTTCCTTGATTCGATCTGGGGTAAATCTCGCAGGATCGCCCAGCAAAAAGATTCGTTTGGATCCCAATAAACTCCTACAGATTATTGAAAAAGATGAAAATGATTTACGAAGCCAAGAAAGATACGAAAGTAATGAAAAATCGCAAGCCAAGACAGTTCCAAGAATTGATGGTCAGTTTTTGACCCAATATTTCTCAACAGCGAGTTCCCTTATAATTCCACAATTGCAGACTAGAGACATAACGAATGTGGGAAGAATTATACGAGACTCAAACGTTAGTCTGGACTGGAGCATTTACGAGCTCAAAAAACTTCCTGGTGAAGAAGCTAGATCATCAGATGATACGGAAACCATTAATCCAATTCAAAAAACAGAGAATAAGGGTAAGATTTTACCAGAGGTCATATTTCTAGGTCGCTGCAATGTAGGAAAATCGTCATTAGTGAATGCTCTCATGAGTTCCAAGAAAGGAGAAGTCACACCTTATGCCAGAGTTAAACAGAGCGCAGGATATACACCATGTCTCAATTTCTACAATGTTGGCGGTCTTTTCAGACTTGTTGATTCTCCGGGATACGGTGTGAAGGGAAAACCTTGGCAGGGTGAGCTTACAATGGAATACTTGATGAAAAGAAGAGAGCTGTGCAGTTGCTACCTTCTTTTGGATGGAAGTCTTGGGCTCAACCAATATGATAATGCAATACTGGAGGCACTTGTTGAAATGGGATCTCAATTTGACGTTGTGTTCAATAAGATTGACAAGGTGCGAGCCGAGAATCGAGTCAAACACTTCGAGAACATCATTTCCGACTCAATGCTCAGTGATTTGAAAATTAAACCTAGATTCTATTTTGTTAATTCAGTTGAAGGTCGTCAGGGAGATATTACAGACCGAACTGGTATCGATGAATTACGTTATGGAATACTCGAGACTTGTGGATATTCTGATATCGGAACGTTGAGACCAAAGGATCGAAAAAAGCCTCAGAAAACTACAGTTAAGGTTAATAACAAGAAAGGGCGATTCTAAGCCAGATTGACTGCGATATATCATTAATCAAAAGCAAATTCGTCAAATTATGTATCATCAAGTGCAACGTCACATATATATTCTCTTAGCTTAAGAGAACGTTCAAGTGTTCATTCAACTCTCAAAAAACTTATCGACGGAAGATCCTAGATAAACTGAAAGCTGTTTTTTGGTGCAAGGTAAGACCTTACATCTCACCATTGGGGTCTCGCTTTTCTCGTATGCTTGAAATCTATGACAACCTCCAAAGGCAAAATACTTCTTATTACCCTTGTCGGACACCACCAAAACATCGATGGGTGGCAATTCACCAGGGGTAATATCCTCTAGCTTGCAGGTAGCTGAAGCCATTGGATTACCACCTAATGTGGAAACCATAGTATCTATCTTGGAGTAATCAAGAACCGGAGGAATCGGTCTGATAATTTGGGACAGTGGTATAAGTTCAACTTTTTGTAATGATCGTGTTTGCAGTGACATATTATTGATTTTGCTGTTAGAAAGGGGTGACGCCTCTATTTATATGTATTCCAGTCTTTATCGGCTAGGCTTCTGGCATATTATTAATTTGGTAGCAATGCACAGCCTTTTTGCTAATTTTCCTCTAGAGCCCAGATCTTTACTAAAATGCGAGACTAAAAACTTTAAACATGTCGAGTCGATAGACGCGTCGACTTTTTTGGATTCGTCTGTGTTTGTTTACAATTAAATTAATATTTGGATGGGAAATAGTTTGAACATCAATCGCCTTTTCGAACATTTATCCTACCATCGATACGACAAATATAATGGACGGAGGAGAAACAGTGGACTATAAGTCACTTCCGTTAGAGGAGCGCTTGCAGCACAAGGTAAGTTATATCCAAAAAGAATCACATAAACGCGTTGCTAACAATTTAAGGTTTGGAAAGCACGGCTTGAAGCCTACGAGGAGGTTGGTATCAGTTTCAAGAATTCCGGAAGCGAAGATGATAGATGCTTTGAAAGGTTTTTAAAGAATCCAGAGCTGTTGAGAAAAATGGCGATGGATAGTAACGTCGTTGCACAAGAAGCAGCCATCAGCACTCTGTGTTCTTTCTTGGAATTTGGTGGCCCTAATGCATGCACAAGGACCAGACAAGCTCTTGTTGGACCATTGTGTGAAAAGGGGTTATCTTCTGCAAGAGCGGGAACCAAGCAAAAGTCTATAAACGCGCTTCTTTGGTATGTCGAGCTCGATAAGGCCGATCCAGTTATTGAGTCTCTGATCCCATTTTTGAGCGCTAAATTACCAAAGCTTGTGGCTGGTGTTGTTGGGGCATTGAATGAAATTTACAGGAGTTTTGGTTGCAAAGTGTGTTCTCCGAAACTGGTGCTAGATGCTTTACCTCAACTGTTTGGCCACGCAGATAAAAATGTGAGAGCAGAAACAACTAATCTCTCCATAACATTAAGATCTTACATGGGAGATGTTTTTGAGTCACTAATATTTGAAAAGCTGAAGCCAATCCAACAGAAAGATCTTACTAAAGCCTTTGAAAAGATAACAGAGAACCCTTCTCCATCGAGACTTTTGAAATCGCAACAGGCATTAGCCAACCAGGCTGAAAATAGTACGGATGATGTATCAATGCAAGATGCAGAAGATGAACCAAGCCCGGCTTTAAGCGCATTCGATCTGGCTAACCCTGTGGACGTTTTATCAAAAATTCCTTCTGACTTCCATTCTAGAATTGAATCATCAAAATGGAAAGATAGGGTTGAAGTTCTTGAAGAGGTTGCCAGTGAATTTAAAGCCCCTAGATTCAAAGAGGATGACTACACGGACTTGCTGAGGATTTTGAGTAAGTGTTTGAAAGACGCAAACGTTCAAGTGGTTACCATCGCATCAAACATTATTGAAAATCTGGGTAAGGGATTGCAGTCAGGATTCCACAGATACATTTTTCTTTTGATTTCACCACTCTTGGAACGCACGAAGGAGAAGAAACAGAGTGTTTTAGATGCTTTATCCGGAGCCCTTGATGTCTGCTACAAATACTCTTCCCTGAGTGAGATTTTGGATCCTACTCTGCAGTTTATGACACACAAGACTCCACAAATCAAGATTGAAAGCTCCAAATTTCTGATCAGATGTTTGAAAGAGACGGAGACAATACCTAAGAAACAGGAGCTCGATTCTATTATGCAGGTTTGTTTGAAGTTAATGTCAGATTCTTTGGCTCCAGTTAGAGACTTGGCATGTGAGATTACCGCTACTTTGATGAAAATTGCAGGAGAAAGACAATTTAGACCTTATCTTGAAGGGGTTGATTCTCGAAGAAGCAGAAAGATTGACGAGTATTTTGAAAGCTGTGAGGTGAAAGCCAAGGGAACTGCTCCAGTGAAGAGCTCCAAAAGCGACGTGCCACAATCGACTATTCCTAACAGGGTAACTAAAAAGACTTTGCTCGAATCGGCAATGCCTTCCAATTTGACTCGGACAGCAGCCACAAACCTTACGAGATCTTCTGACTCGTCGTCTTCGTTGACTTCCAGAAAACTTTCAAGCACATCTACGACAATTCCATCGAAGCGCGGACCAACATCACCGTTGAAAACCGCAAGCAATACCAGTAAGATGAACTTGACGTCAAGGACACTGAAACCTACCAACTCCCCTAGTTTCAACAGGACATCCAATGCTCAGATATCAGCCACAAGTACAGCCGACAAGCAACTTCTTGAGTCCCTAAAAGTAGAAAAGCTGAAATGGAACCAAGAGAAGGCTGAATTGAATGATCAATTGCAGACTAAGACGGAGGAGCTCGATCTGGTTAAAGAGAAACTTAAAGATTATCAAGATAGATTGACAGAAGCCACCATGTCTGTGAAATCGAAGGATATACAGATTTCGAGACTTCAGAATGATTTAGATCAAAGCGATTCAAAGATACGAGAGTTACAATACCAGATGCAACAAATGCAAACGGACAAGGTGACTGTGAAACAAGAACCGGTGGAAGACTTTAGATCATCTGTGCGGAGTTTTGAACTTAATGACTCCAAGTCTGATCTCAACCGCAGAATCTCTGATTTGAGTATCCAGACATCATTGGAGAAGGAAAACTACTTCGGAGGAAGCGCGGCCAATTCTGCAAGTACTCGAAGCAAATTCAGCTCTGGTCTGTACGATGTTGATTCCAACGATGACAGCTGGAGAAAGGCAGCAGAGGTGACCAATCAGCTCAAGGCAAGAATCGAGATGATGAAATCGAAATCCAGGACATTCAATCAACTTTAATGGTTCTGAACAGAAAATGTTTCAAACTGTTGTGCAATTACTTTATTATACCCCGTTAACCCCTTTTTTACTTTTTTCGTAATAAGCGATTGTCCCGAGAGCGGAAGTTTCCAAACTATCAAGACTGGAAAAAATTTGTTTAGCTATAAATTCAAGTCAGCAATATTATTCATACAAAGCATTGCAATTAAAGTTTAGCGATGTCTTCCAAAGTGAGAATTCTTCTTCCAGTCAAGAGAGTGATCGATGCTGCTTTGAAGCCAAGAATCAACAAGACTCAAACTGGTATTGAATCTGCTGGTGTCAAGTTTAGCATTAATCCATTTGACGATATTGCGGTTGAAGAAGCCATCAAAATCAAAAATGAACATAAGGATTTGGTGGAATCCATTCATGCTGTTTCGATCGGGCCAGCCAAGGCTCAAGATATTCTCAGGATCGCCCTAGCAAAAGGAGCTGACACTTCGACTTTGATCGATGTCCAAGATCAAGAGGTTGAGCCACTGCAAGTTTCTAAGATTTTGAAAGCTGTTCAAGAAAGACAGAACTCGAACTTGATCATTTTGGGTAAACAAGCTATTGATGATGATTCAAACCAAACTGGCCAGATGCTTGCCGGCCTGCTTAACTGGCCACAAGCAACAAATGCATCGAAAGTTAAGATCAACAGCGATTCAACCGTTGAAGTCGAGCGAGAAATAGACGGAGGTGTGGAAGTTGTCAAAGCGTCTTTGCCAATGATTATTACCACCGATTTGAGATTGAACGAGCCTAAGTTTGTGACACTCCCAAAGATGATGAAGGCCAAAAAGAAGCCTTTGGAGAAGCTCAAGGTGGAAGATTTGGGCGTCTCTATCGAGAAGAGACTCGAAATTTTAAAACTTGAAGACCCTCCAGCAAGACAGGGTGGTTTGAAGGTTGGTTCTGTTGACGAATTAATTGCCAAACTCAAGGAGCTCAAGGCCATCTGATGTCACTGTGTGACTAGTTCAAGACGCATAGAGCTTTATAAAAAGAACGTATCAAATTACTTTATGATAGATGATTTTTAGTCTGCCCCACAATTTTTTTGTAATCTCCAAAAAGTTCCGATAATGTCTGTGCTGAATCAGTCGTTCAAATATCTAGAGCCAATTGTCAAGAGGTGGAATTTTGCCAAACCCTTGATAGTTGGTCTAGAGGGCCCTCAAGGCTCCGGCAAAACATATGTCACAACAGAACTTGTTGACTTACTTTCGGCTCGGTTTAATCATTTGAACATTGTACGGTTTTCAATTGACGACTTTTATTTGACATACAACGAACAGTTGGAAGTGAACGCAAAAAATGAGGGCAATATTCTCTTGCAGGGGAGAGGTCTTCCTGGAACACACGACTTGAAATTGTTGCTCGAGTGCTTTGAACAAATTGAAAGCGGGAACTCAAATGTCGCTATTCCTTTTTATGACAAATCCTTAAAGAATGGGAAAGGAGACAGAGCACCAATTAGTCAATGGACACAAACATCAGGCCGCAAAATTGATATTGTGTTGTTTGAAGGCTGGCTGAATGGGTATCTTGCTTATGACAATGACCAGGATTTGGTTTCAAGATGGTTGGAAATTCAAAAGGCCTATAAGCCGAAGTTTGACAATCTGAAGATTGAACACATCATTAAGCTCAACAGCGATCTCACTCAGTATCTCTCGATTTGGAAAAAGTTTGACCAATTCATATACATAACAACTTGCGATATAACAAATGTGTACACTTGGAGATTGCAACAGGAACATGCCCTGATAAAGCAAAAGGGAATGGGTATGTCGGACACAGAAGTGGAACAATTCATTGATAGATATATGCCAGCATACCATTTGTTTTACAGCAAGCTTCCGGAAATGACTAAATACGTTGAATCGTGCATCAATTTTGATATAGGTTTGGACAGAAAGATTGCCAAACAGAGTCATTATTGAGATAGGTCGTCGAACAAAGTACGCTTCAAAGAACGGGTACGTGGACCAGGCTTTGTTGAGTAGACGTGTTGTTTAGCTGTATTTTTTGGTATAGGGGAATTGAGCATTTGATCCAATTTGGGTTGACTTTCGACTCTGGCGATAGCTTTCGTCGATATGCTAGATCCTTCGCTTTTAGTTTGCAGGTTATTGATTCTTTGCAATATGGTTTTATTGAAGGACTCTTGCTTTTCCATGATTTGAATTATGTGGGCCTGATTTTCCAATAGCAAATCGGTGTTTCCCTTGATATCTTCACTGAAATCGTCGTCTAATGACGATTTTTTGGAGCCAAAAAGCTTGACTCTAGTATCCAACTCTTTCATCAGACTTTTAGACTGGGTTGCAACCGTCTGAAACTGTCTTATTCCTCTCTTCATATCCTCAGAAAGGACGCGTAAGTCTTTAATTAGCTTTTTTGAGAGCTGACGAATTTCGGTGCTTTCGAGCTCCAATTTATTGGCCCACATAACTAACTCTTTATGATCCTTTGTATATTCGCTTGTTTGAGAAGAATATCTAGTCTGATCTTCGGACGCGTCGTTCTCATCTGCTGATTGATCCGTTAAAACTTCATCATTATAGGTCGTTCCTACTTTGTATAATTGGAGGGTCTTACTTGAGTCAAATATCCCCCGTTTGTGTCTTTTATTCTGCGACTTATCGATGTCAGTCAGCTGTGTCTGATTGCTGACTCCAAAAGACAAATTACTGCTGGATGGAGATTGGTTGCTTGAAAATGAAGAGTAATTCATTGATAAAGCCAGTGAAGGAAACCAACTACCCCTTTTTCGTTTCCCAAACAACCCTCGCACCAGGTTTTTTATTTGCACTAAACTAAAATTATTTGTATAGTATTTTACTACTAACTGCTGGATCCGAGAGACTGACTAATGAACAGCGACAAGCCAAGATGTCGGGGTTAAAACATTTTCTTGAAGGTGAGTTTCAACGCCGTATCTAAAAATTCTAACTGATTCAGATAAAGTGAAAGTAATTACTTCAGACGGAAGATTATTTATTGGGGTTTTAGAAGGATTTGATCAAACATCGAATGTTGTACTGTCGAAGAGCTTGGAGCGCATATTTTCTTCATCAGAGCCTACAAAGGATATCAGCCTTGGAGTATACATAATAAGGGGAGAGCAAATTGTTTGTGTGGGGTCTGTCGATGAGGAAATAGAGAGTCAAACTGATTATAATGACATTCACGGAAGCCAATTGAAAGACACCAGAAATCCAATACATTAGCATAATTGTACAGTAAGAAGCTATCGCCACTAACGAGTAATATGTACCAAATTGATTCAAATCATCTATTTCTCCTTTACCGTAGGGATTCCAAATTGCTTCATTTTAATAGCCAACTCGAGCAAGTAATCCAATGCCTCAGTGTAAACCTTGGCTTTCCAAATGTTTGGTCCCCAGACAAATATTCCATGTCTACGAACGAGGATTGCAGTGGTCCCTGGATTCTCTTTGATGCATTGCTGCAAGCTATCGGACAGTTCTTCTTCCCTTTCGGTATTTTCAAGGATCGGAATCACTAATTTATCAGAGTACCAAAGATTACCTGTTTCAGTAAGCTTTGGAATTGCTTTGATCTGTTCAATGTTGGAAATCTCAAAGTATTTGTCGAACAGAAGCGTACACATGACTGCATTCTGTGAATGTGTGTGAATACAAGCACCAGCATCCCGGATCCGGTATATATCTAGGAATAATGGAGTACAGGCCGATGCTTTGTAACCTTCTGGTGTTCTCAGATATTCTTTAGTATCCGTATCCAGAACGAACATATCCGATGGTATCATTCTTTCTTTATGGACACCGCTTGGTGCAATGTAGGCCTTTCCATCTTCTCTGATCGAAACTCCACCACCAGTACCGGTGCACCATCCGCTGGTGTAGAAGAGTCGGCACAGCTCACAAATCACATTGGCCGGGTGCTTTGGATTTTTTGAATAGATCAGATGATTGTTGTTCACAGTGACATCGATTGCTGTCTCATCATGATGGCACTCACAGCACGCCATAGTTTATCGTAATAAAAAAATTGGCACATGCTAACAAAAGTATGGCTTGAAAAAAAAACGTCACAGACAGGATTCGAACCTGCGCGTGCAAAGCACACCGCCTTAGCAGGGCGGCTCCTTAACCACTCGGACACTGTGACCGAAGCGCAAATTTTGGGAATTATTAGAATTTACTGACTAATCCAGGTGGCTGGTCTCCAAGAGCTTTCCTAAAGCAGTCGAAGTTCAAAGCCTGCACTATTGAAACGCGTCCAAATCAAGTATACCCTACATACATCATCGTAATGAAACCTCCTAGTCGGCCCAATCGTCTTGGCTAAGCCCCATACCTCTTTGAATGATTCTCAAGCCACAAAATATTTACAAGTATATTTTTAGAAACCGTTAGTCACGAAACATCGCTTCTTTGTTCAATAGGCCCAGCAACAAAGACATAGTTCAGGGTCTGATATGATGCCGAGATGGTACCGCATTGTAACTATTTTTAAGTTCGAGGCTGAACATGGTCGATAGACAAAAACTGGGCGCAGCTGCGTCGATTGTAGATAGTAATCGGCGACATTATGTCAGACGCGTTTTAAATAAAGCTATTTAAAAAAATAGGCAAGAGCTGAACATACTTTCCTTCTTTTTGCTAATCAGTACTTTACAAATACTCGAACTCACGCTCCTTCTGTTAACAAACCGAAACGAAAATGAGCCATCCCTATAGCAGCCGAGCACAAATCCGTGCCAATCTGCTGAATGATGATCCATACTCATTCAACTCTCAAAGCCAAGCCCAGCCCCAGACAATGCCTAGACCGCAACAACACCGACAATATCCAAGACCACAGCAAAGACAATACCCACCGCAGCAACAGCAACAGTATTATCAACAACCTAACACGTTTGTGGGCCATCCTTTACAGCAATACAACAACTATTCTGTTCCTCAACAACCCCAAATGTACCAACAACCTATTGCGCAATACCCACGTCAGCCAAAGGCTAATGAACAACATCCACATTTGCAAGGTCCAAGGCCACAACCTGTTGCATACGGTGATAATTATAATTCGGCCCCTGGTCCTTCGCGGCCCTTTGTACACCAACATCACCAATCTCTTCCTTATCACCCCGAATATGTCTCTCCCAGACCTCAGCCTCAGGTGAGATCCAGTTCATATACTGGACAGTCTAATGATACACAACTACAAAACAGTTCGAATGATTATCAGAAGTCCATTGCACCAACCGAGCCTTTAAGATTAGGCTCTCGCCCTCATACCAGCGAAAGCAGTGCCGCGAAGGAAAGAACTGGCAACATGAGCGTGCCCATATCTTCTCTTGATAACGACAGAATTAATCAGCTGGAAGATAAGATCCAACAGCTTGAGAAAATGCTGGCTCTACAGGAGCTTGGGTCGAAGAATAATTCTCTGACCTCAGTTTCAAGCGGTGGAAGTAGTGTTGTGACGAAGGACAACTTGAATTTTGTCAATCCGGTCCCAGGAACTAGCAAATTGAGTTTGCCGATGACTCCTGATAACAAAGCAACATCACAAGAATCACCAACCAATGAATCTGTCTTGGCACCTCCACTGCCTCCACCTCCTCCTATTGAAAGACGCTCAATTGCTAATAGTCCTGTTGCTAACGCGTTTTTAGCGTCAGGGTTTGAGAACTCCAATACGCGGGACAGTGTATGCTCTTTAAATTCAGACGAGAAAGAACTTGTTGGAAGTCTTCAAGACTCGCCCGAAAAACGATCTGCTGACTTGAGCTCGGACCTGCCTCCTTCCTATGAGGAATTGGAGAAGTCGGGAAGTTTGACTTATTCCCAGTCGATCTACCGCACTGGTTTTGAAAAAGCTGGATTTCACTTGGATCACATGGAAATCCCCAAGAGAGCTCCAAAGTTGATGAATTCAGGTGGAAGTGACCAGTCTTCGCCAATGCTCAAATATAAAAGAAAGCTTCCTCCTCCGGCCTCAGACTCTGTCGATACGATTCTGGGTGGTCAGAAGGAAAGCATTCTGGCGCGTCCATCTCAACCTAAGGCTCCTCAAAGACTTGAAAGTGAGTCCAGTGTGAGCTCAAGTATTTACAGTGAGCCTCAAAATAAAGCTGTTGGATCCTCTCTTTCTCACCAGACAGCGCAGAGGGCTCCTGTTTTGCCGAAACCTGATACAGAGAAAACCGACGTGTTGCAGAATACTGTACGGTTCATCAAGCCATCATCTTTCAAGAAACACACCAGCGGAATCATTGAGCCTATTCTTCCATCAAAATCTGAAGAATCTGTGGACAGTTTGATCAACGATTTCGGTGTTATCAGAGATAAAGCATTCAAAGATTATAAAGTGTTCACTCCTTCAATTCAGTTTGAGTGGGCGATTTATCTTCTGGAGGCTGTTTCTCGCTCTGACTTGATATCCAAGATGGCTATCGATGGACGTTTGAGAAAATCTCCTATTCCTTTGACATCTTTGGGTCCCCAAAGAGAACAATTTTTGAACACAGCAGTTAAAGTTCTTGAGAAAGTCATTCAAATATCGCCTAACTCCACTAGAGCTAGAGTGTATCTTGGAGATATTTACTCTGGAGGAATTCATCCTGGCGTTTTGCCAAAGAATGAGGTCAAAGGTTATAAGCTTTTCTACGATGCAGCTACCAGACAAAACGATCCTGTCGCCTGTTACAGAGTTGCCTGCTGTTTGGAATCGGGTGTGGGATGCACCAAGAGTGTTGAAGAAAGTTGCCGGTTTTTCCAAAAGGGAGCTGACCTTGGAGATCCATCTTCGATGTGTCAACTTGGTATGTTGTGTTTTGCAGGTGTCAATGGGTTCGCACTAGATATTAAGAAATCTGTTTATTGGCATGAGAAAGCCTGTGAGGCATTGAAGAACCCCGAAATCATGGGATCCGACCCATTGATTTCCGCAAGATCGTTCAGTGACTCTAGAGGAGCTCTTTATACCTTGGCTAAGCTTCACCAAACCGATCTCAACATTCTATGTTTGGATAGGGACACCTCAAAGACCCAAGCCACGCTGAACCAGATGAGACAGGCTGGAATATTCAGAAACGTTTCAAAGACGTTAAGTTACTACCTTGAAGCTGCCAAGTTAGAGCATCAAGAGTCTCAAGCTTCCCTAGGATTCTATTATGCACAAGGATATTTCCCTACGAGTCACTTCAAGTCCGATAAAGATTCTATGGGAGGAACTCCTGTTCCTTCGGATCCAAGAAGATCTATCTACTGGTTCTCGAAAGCTGCTGCAGAAAATCACCCATATTCGTCCTTAGGTTTGGCCAAATGGTACGGATCAGGAGCTCAAGGAGTGTTGAAGAAAGACGAGCAACAAGCATTTCTTTGGGGCCGCAAAGCAGCTGACGAAGGACAACTTGCAGAAGCTGAGTTTATGATCGGTTTATGCTTTGAGCAAGGGTTTGGAATTCCAAAGAACTTCCAATCTGCCGTTGCATACTATAAACGAAGCGCTTCTAAAGGTTACAAGAAGGCGTTGTCCAAGCTGAAGCAGTTCAAAGAGCAAAACCCAAGCTCGAGATATTAATTATTGAAATGATGTACGTTTTTATAGAAGTGGTTGGGATGACTACAAGGTTTTCACAGCTAATGCATCCCAGCTGCCAAATTCTTAATGATCATGAATACTTTTTTAGTGCAACCAGAAAATTGAAACGACTGCCATTTCACAAATACGGGTTTTTTACACCGCTTTTTTTTCCTATAATGATTTGTTCAATTTGCTTTATCGTATTTGATCTTAAAAGGGAACCGTTTGGAAACAACTGGACGAATATTTATATCAATTAGTATTTTACGCCACTAATTGAGCAATCCTTTAATTTATCAAACATTCTCATTGATCAACTGAATTAATTACCAAATGTCGGAAGTTAAAACCCCATTAGCTAGTCCTCCTGTGAAGAAGTCTAACTGCGATCTTTTGACTTGGAAAGATCCAGCAGCTTCTGGAAAAGTGTTTGGATCCATTGTGGGATCTTTGCTGTTGCTCAAGTATGTTAACTTGCTTAACATTCTTTTCAAGCTTGCAGCCCTTGTGCTGTCTGGTAAGTGAAATGCCCTAGTTGTGGCTTGCCTATTTGGGTCACACGAGATTTGTTACTAACTGTGTTTTTAGTTTCTGCTCTAGCTGAGTACACTGGTAAGTTCGCCACTGGTCAAGGATTTGTTACCAGATTCAAGCCTGCTTACAAGAACGTTGTTGGCAAATATGCTGACCAGTACTCTGGTGAGGCCGCAAAATTGATCAAGGAGGCAGAGGTCAAAGTCCAAGAAGTTCTTTACTCCAAGGACATTGAACAAACCTTGAAGGTTGCAGGTATTGCTTTCATTTTCTACGAATTGACCTCTTTCTTCAGTTTGTGGACTTTGCTTTTGACTGCCACTTTGGTCTCCTTCACTGCTCCAGTGATTTACTTGGGCAACAAGAAACAGATTGATGATGCTGTTGTCACATACTCCAAGGTTGCTAAGGACAAATTGGCTGAATTGTTCGAAGTGTTGAAGGAAAAAGCCGGTCCTCACTTGAAGACCGCTGAGCAAAAGCTCGGACCTGTTGGATCTTTCATCAAGTCCAAGGTCCCTGTCAGAACTGCTGGCTCTACCGTTGGTGAAAGCCCAGCTGCTACAAGTGCCACCACTGCTACTACCTCCACTTCTGCTTCGACTACTTTGCCTTCTGTTCCTTCTACTCATCCAGCTGCCTCCGCTAAGATTGGTGAAGAGCCAATCACCAACCCATTGTCTGTTGATGACATCAAGAAGCAAGCTGAGGCTGCTTTGTAGGTATGGTGAGCGAGATTATGTCGTTTTTCGATAGTTTTGGTTTGCTTTTGTAAGTGAATAACACACATCCATTCAATTTTAAAAAGATGTAGTCTTAAAAACAGTTACCTTTTTCCATTATCTACCTCACATGATAATACAACATTTACCTGACCCACTATCAGTATTTGGAGATTCTTTGTGAGCTCCTGATCCAGGAGCAGCGGCAGAGCTCGTGGGACCGTTTACTTGGCCGTTTGGTCCATTGGTTGCAACACCAGAGCCTGCAGTAACCGGATCAACGGCGCTCGAGTGCGACTCCTTTTTGCCCTTTTTAGCGCTCGACGACTGCTTCTGTCGTTCCTTGGCCTCTTCCAAAGGATCTGGAAATGAGGTTCCCACCAGTCCAGCATGTTTGTAGCCACTATTAATTATAATTTTCACAAGGTTGTAAAAAGCTTCGGTGACATTCAAACCAGATTTAGCAGACGTCTCAATGTAGGCACATCCCATTTTGGTTGCCAGATTTATGGCCTCGTCTTTAGAAACCTGTCTTTCGTCCACAAGGTCGGCTTTGTTTCCCAATAATATCAATGGAGCGTACGGAACCTGTTCGCTTTTGACTCTCATGATTTGATTGTAGAACGTGCTGATTTCTTCAAAAGTTTTGCGATCGGTTAAACTGAACACCAAAAGAAACCCTTCGCCGGTCTTCATGTACAAGTCTCTCATTGACGAATACTCTTCCTGTCCAGCAGTATCCAAAATATCCAAAGACGAAGGAACACCGTTAATTTCACAATAGTGTCTGTACGAGTCCTCAATTGTAGGGTCGTACTCGTTGGCAAACTCTGCTTGGGTCAGTCTGATAGTCAACGCAGACTTCCCCACCACAGGTGGTCCGACAACCACCAATCTGTATTCTTTGGACTAAAATTGTTAGCAAGACTTTGGAAAACACTCGCAATACTTACTACCGTGGCCATTGACAATAATGCCTTCACAAGATGATTAACTGAACCGTAATAAACCAGATAGTATAACAGAATTATTCTGTCTTTGAAATACTCTCGAATGTGGAGCACAGTCGGTTAAAACTCGTGATAAAACCTCAATTCGTCTCACTGATAACACAACAACAAATTACCGACTCACGACTGTGGTCAACCTCAACTATGCTATGTTTTGAAGTCACTTGTTACACCTTGCTCTGCAAGCTTTAAGGAATTTTCTTTTCCAGCCTCATTTGAAGCGACCCAGCCAATTTGTTCTATGCACGCTTGCAAACACGCGCTTTACATCCAGACACCGAAAACTGCAAACCGAGCCGGGAACTTATACTATAGTGATCACGTAATCGAGAATGGAAATTTCAGGGATGGACCATAGCCAATTTTTTTAGGTACCAATTATCTCATACATACAGCCTTACACCAGGAAGAGTTTGTTATAATTCGATTTTTGTGGGTTGTGACAATAAGTTTTGGTCCATCCCTGAGAAATTATTGTAACTGATTTGTGTTTGTTGGAGATGCTGAAAGCGTTTCTTGACCAGAAGTTCGGTTCTCTTCAGGATCTGGGAAGTTTGGATAGTGTCATTAGTCAAATAGAATCAGATAAAGATGCATTAAAAGAACAGGTTACAGGAAAATCCACTGATATATACGAGGAACAGGGCAAACAACTTATTCAGATTTTGGATTCGATAGTGGACCAGGACAATTTGGACGCTGTTGACGATCTGATTGAAAAACATGGAAATATCGAGATTCTCACCAGTTTCAGACAGGAGTTAGTCAAGAAGTTGGTTCTTAAAGAAGTGACAGATCTGTACAATGCATATTTGAGCTTGAATGATAATTTGAACGATTTTGAGCTTTTGGATCTTCCGAAGCTGAAATCAGACGAAGCTATCAAACAGTTACAAAGGTTAGGTGAACAATTACAACGGTATGAAAAGACGTCTGTATATTATCCCAGCGCAGCAGAAAGTCACAAGGAATACATTGATTTGCTCCATGAAAAGTATAAGTCTATTGCAGCGGGAGAACTTCGCGACAGAGTGACAAAAGAGTTCCAGCAGCACATCACACACTGGGACGAGGAAGGAAAATTGAAAGCAAGCGAAGTCGGTTCATTGAAACTGTATTTCGATCGAGTGGTCAAGTTACAGTCTGTTTACAATAAAGTCGAGACAGCAGAGCCAGAAACCATTTGGGCGTTTGACTGCTTGGCATCAAACTTCAAGGTGAAATTCGTTTACCATTTTGAAGGATCTAACGAAACTAATAGACTGGACAAACCCGAATATCCATTGAACTATTTGCAAGGATACATCAAGAAAACCGCACCTTTGTTTGAATCACTTTACTCTCTTCAGTTTTCCAAATATTACCCCAAACTTGGAGCCGTCAAATGCTTTATTCTTTCGCTCATGACCCCGATAAAGGAGAAGTTTGACCGTGAAATGCACCTTGTCACCAATGACGAGGGGTTACTGAGTCATTTAATTCTGGAGCTCCAAAAGTTTGATCAATTCTTGGTGAAAACGTACAAGTTTAATCAATTGGGAGATGAAGGAACCAAACTGCTAACATACAAGCTTGTTCTCTCGAATAACGACGTCTTTGATCGTTGGCTAAATAACGAAAAGAACTTTGTCAACCACAGGTATGAGGAGATCATGAATTCCAAAGATGCATTTGAGATTGACGAGGACTTTGTTGAAGACGGAAAGACAAAGCCTACGAAATCAGCAATCAACTTGAAAAATCTCTTGGAAGGTATAAGCAACAACTACGCAATGCTTCCAACCAAGTTCCAGGTGAAGTTTTTGAGCGAGGTTCAGCTGAGGTTGCTCAATTCGTACTTTTCAAGCTTGAAACAGGGGTTCAATGCTTTGGACGCAATTATTCATGCTAAAATCAGCGACGAAATCTCGGCTTTGGAAAGAATATGTCGAGTTTGGTGTTCGTCCAAGTACATCATCGAGACCATGACAAACTGGGGAGAGTCTATTCTTTTCATTGAACTGTGGAGTTCAATTAATGGCAACAGTCGTCTGGAAACCACGTTTTTCGAATCGGTTATCAGTGGTTACAAGAAAGACCTGATGGTGCAGCTTCCACGGAAATTGCAGACGTATTTTGAGCGCGAACTCAACAAAACCATGAAGTCTTATTTCCTTTCTAGTCAGCAATGGGGCTCGATTGGCGACGGTGACGTTACTGGTGCACGGGAATTGGATTTGCCTATTGCTACGCTACGCAAAGACCTTGGCTATTTGCGCAAAGTTGTTTCCTACGGTGACTTTCTCAACATTGAGCTCATTCTGTCCGGGGCAATCACTGCTTATTTTGAAAAGAACGTGATCTATTGCAACAGGTTCAGTATTGGTGGAGCCAAACAGTTGGAAGCAGATTACACCAAGATGTACCAATCGCTTAATTTGCTGAGGGACAACTCCAATTATGGAAAAACCAGCGAGATATTGATTATCTTGACCAGCAATGACCAACAACAGCTTCTAAGTTCCAGTTCGCGGTTCCAGCATTTGAACGAGTACCAAGTGAGCGAGTTGGTGGCTCGCCGCAAATAAATAATTTTAGCATATTGTACACTACTTTGAATAGAGTTGTGTGAATCAAAAGCTTCATAACAACTAACGAGTTTCTCGAAGTTTTGCAATTACAAGACAATTGTCATAGTCCGAAGATCTGCGATTTGATCCAATGGAGCCGACAGAGTCTATTTCCGAGCATAATTTGGATTTTGGAGACGATACGCCGCCTACATCGTCGTCTAACTCTCCTCCTGGGACAGAGGGACATGGCCACGAAGACGATGTTATGAGCAATATTTGTGGGGAATTTGGCCAGAAAGGTGTGGTTTCTGGCTTGAAGAAGGATGAGGAGTGTACATTACAGAAAGATGGAGGACTAGTAGCTGTAGAGAACAGCACAAACAAAGAGAATAAACAGGATTACTTCAAAGGCTCTCAATTGGCGATTCTTCTGAGGGCCACCGAGTACTTTGCCGGAGGACATCTGGAAGGCCGGAGACGGCGACATGTTGTGTTGGAGAAGAGTGCAATCGAAAAGGAGAAAAAGACTTCTAAAAAGAAGAGCCAAAAAGCAGATCGGAAACCAAAGCGGGTCTTGATAAAGAAAGAGAAACCAAAGCAAATAAAGAAGCCTGAGATAACGAGTGTTCCAAAAAAGCGAGGAAGAAAGCCCAAACAAAGGACCGCGGTGAGCGATACTGACAAGGAGAAAGAACCAGTGGTGCAGAATACAATCAAGCCAGTGTTAAGACAGCCATGGTTTTTGAATCACGAGTTGTCCAATGATATTGTCATTAAATGGCAGTTCTTTGACTCCAATGTCAGCAACGAGCGGAAAGATCTGGTGCTGAAAAGTGCGTACGAACTGGTGAATGATCGGCTGGGCCGATACATTACTGATGATCCCCAGTTTGAGCCGCAACAAGTCGAGCTGTTGTATCCGCTGTATGATTATCAAGAGAAGTATCTTCTGGTCGAGTGCAAGCCGAGTGCGTGGTTCAATCCCGTCGCCGATGCTGCACGGGTGATGGAACTCACCGCACTGGTTTATTTCCCTGAGGATGCCAGAAAAAAGGTGGTTGATCTCGAGAACCCGGACTTGAGTTTGATCAAGAACTGGGACGAGGCTTGCGAGAAGAAGGACACTGCTGCGATGAAGATCATCGTGGAAGAATACAACAACATGGTGCGCGAACTGCGATCATCCAACAGAATCATAGAACACATCAAATCGTGCACTGTTTTCCCACAGCTGCTGGTGCACGAGATAATGAACCAATGCTACTTGCGCGCTGTACTTCCGGACTCGCGGAAACTCAAGACATACAAGGCGTTCTCGAACTACGTTTATGGTGAGCTAATGCCGGCATTTCTGAGCCGCGCGTATAATCAGTGCGGCCTTTCCCATGATAAGGTATTTATAGATCTCGGCTCTGGGGTCGGGAATTGCACTATTCAGGCTGCGCTGGAGTTTGGATGCGAGAGCTATGGCGTGGAGATCATGGACCATGCGTCAGACTTGTGCAAGCTCCAATGGGAAGAATTTGACAAACGGTGTGCCATTTGGGGAGTCAACCACGGCCCAATTGACTTCTTTTTGAAACAGTCGTTTGTGGAGAACGCTGCTGTGCAAGAGATTGTGAACCGAAGCGACGTGATATTGGTGAATAACTATTTATTTGACGCTACGCTATCAAAACAGGTTATTCGGCTACTCCAAGGTCTAAAATCGGGCACCAAGATCATCAGTTTGAAACCGATTGTTCCTCACGGTTATAGCATGACCTGGGACGACGCAGACTCGATCTTGAACCGCATGAAATCAACCAGATACACTTACGAAGAGAACAGCGTCAGCTGGACGTCAAAAGGCGGGTTCTACTACATAACAGAGGTTTTGGACGGAGTGAACGAGGAGTACTTCCAAGCGTCGATGTCGAGAACACACAGAAAACGTGGAGAACGAGTTTCGTTGAATGCATTCACCAATAACGTCTAGAGAGCTATATAAGAATCAAGTGATCACGAATAGATTCCCGTATAAATAGTTTATGGGTTCTGCTTGACGAAGTTGACACCCTTCTCGATGTTCTTGATCAGAGTCTCCTTAGCAGTGTTAACCATCTCCTCCTCGGCGTTGGTCAAATTACCCAAGCCGTGGATTTGCTTGACACCGTCAACACCCAAAGTGACCTTGGAGGAGAAGAACTCGACACCCTCGGACTTGTACAATGGAGAATCGACGAAAGAGCACTCGACAATGTCCTGTTCACCAGCAAGACCGTTCAAGACGGCACCGGCAAATCTGGCACCGGCCTGGGCCATGGACAAAGTAGCGGAACCTGCACCGCCCTTGGCCTGGACAACCTCGTCACCGCCGAATTGAATTCTGTGGACCAAAGCGTCGTAGGTCTCCTTTGGCAAGTTCTTGTGGTTAGTTTGAGATATAAGAGGAACGATGGTGATACCAGAGTGTCCACCAACAACAGGAACAATCTCGTGGACTGGGTTGGTCTTTGCAACCTCAGACAAAAATCTGGAGGATCTCAAAACGTCCAGGGTGGTGACACCAAACAGTTTCTTTGGATTGTACACTCCCTTGGCCTTCAAAACCTCGGCCACGATCGGAACGGTGGAGTTGACAGGGTTGGAAATAACCAAGATGGCAGCGTTTGGAGAGTGGTCGGCAGCAGCCTTGGCCAAGTCTCTCACAATGGAAGCATTGGTGTTGAACAGGTCATCTCTGGTCATACCTGGCTTTCTTGGAACACCAGCAGGAATAAGAACAACATCGGCACCGTCCAAAGCCTTTGCCAATCCGTTGTCCTCTGGTCCGAAACCAGTAACGGTGGAGTTTGTTGGGATGTGGGAAATATCAGTGGCAACACCAGCACCCAATCTCAGGTCGTACAAGGACAATTGGGTCACCTTGTGGTTCAGCTTCATCAACAAAGACAATGGCTGTCCAATACCTCCGGCAGCACCAAGAACAGACACCTTGTAGGCGGTGGAGGCGGTGGAGGAGAAATGTCTAGTGGCGAATTTAGTCAACATGATCACAAACGGTTATCAGAAGAACAAGAGAATAAAATAAAGACAAGTTAATTCCTGGATCCGATGGTTAGGGGTGCGAATGCAAGCAAGTTATATAAAAATTACAATGTTATTGGTCGTGGTTAAAAAAATGATTCCAGATGGGTTCCCGGAATCGAGCTCGGACGTGGGCTGACGGACGGTGCGGTTAGCCGGGCCGGTGAAGTTGATGACGCTGTTGGCGGCTGGCGATGCCATTGTGTGCCGTGGGAGGTGGCAGAGCTACAACGGGAATGCTGCTGTGTATAATTCTTATAACTATAACTCCGCAACAAAGCTGCCAGTACGGTGGCTACAATTCGTGGGGGTGGGAATTTTTCATGATGATCGACCGACCGGACTCATCCATGGGAAAAAACGACTTCCCCGGGTAATCGTGCTCCATGGGAAAACCAGGTAGCCAGATGGTGTACGGGTGTTCACAAGTACGAGGGAAAAAAGACGGGAAACGGAAAAACTCAACCCTGGTGTTTGGTGTGGGAAGATGTGGCTAGAGACACGTAAAGATATGCATGGAAGTAAACAAACAGGGAAACGACGCGAAAGACAAGTTTACCGGATTAGGCAAAATTCCAGAGTGCTAAAATGACGGCTCTAGACAGGGAGCCATCCAGGAAAAGAGGGGTCAAAGCCGTGGCGGGCGAGAGGCCCAAAGGGCTATAAATCCGAGGTGGTGCCGACGCGTTGGGAGAAAATCTAGTAATCGGCCCCAAAAGTAGTCGGAAGTGCGTTTTTCAAGCCTCGACCGTTTTTAAAATAGAAGTGGATTTCAGTGGGACAGGCGGTGCACGGGTGTTGCAGATCCAAGACGGAGGAGGGGTTTTCGACGGGGGGCGAGTTGGAGACGAGTAGTGGGAGACAAACCAGAGCAGTTTTACTGAGGATATGTAGCAAACAAGGAAAAGCGGAAACGGGGTGGGGTTACCCTTTTCATAAAATTCCCACCCTCCAGAAGTGAGATTTGAGAATTTTGCACAAAAAAATAGTGGTACCGCACACTTAACTAAATCGGGTTAATTGTTGAAGAAAACCATATTTTCCCGTTTGGATCTTCTTCACGGTACTTAAAACCACCAAAAACAGCGCCACGTCTGTCTGCCGCATTAGAAGAGAATATTCTTGCTTGTTTTAGCTTGACATTTGTGGTATAAGTTGACCAGATTGATACGGTTGTATATTTCGTGCTTGGCCAACGAGATTGCTTTGAGATACCATGATGTCCTCATCTCCGCCGCCTAATAGCCAGACGCCTTTCAAGGACCAGAACGTTGTGATCTCCTCGTCTCCGATGTTGACGGAGACGCTTTCGTTGCATGCTGTGAACGAGTATGGGCTGCTTCATCGGCCCGAAGAGTTGATCGTCGACCATGAGCACGATCACGACCACGAGTCCAGTCAAAACGGGTCTAACGGGTCTATCAACGGAGTCGCGTCGTACGAGATGCTGGATTTTGTTCCGTTGTCCAGCCAGGAGGACCCGTCGCTGCAATACCCAGCCTATTTGCATCCAATGACCGAGTCGTATTCCAGCTCCACCATTTCGAGCTTCAACACCGACCAGCCCATTCCGTCCAGCGCCAGCACCGGCTCCTTGACAAACGTCCACCGGACGCCTATGCGGCCCACTTCGACCATCACTCCAATCAAACGGTCCAACTCGCTCATCACTCCCCGGCGGCCGTCCAACGTGGCCAAAGCCTCGGCCGTGGACAAGTCGCCAGGAACAGGCAATCCGTTCTACACGCCTCCTGCGTTCTTGTCTCCTAAGATCACCAAACACCGTAAACAGCGGTCCATCACGGCCTCTGTCTCGTTGTCGCATCTGGACACCGATCTACAGCTGCAAATCCAGAACAGCCACCAGGGTTCGCCCTTGCACACCCCGCTGCGCACTCCGGGCAACCTGGGCGACGAGGAGGAGGAAGACGGCGAGACCGAGGATGCTGGATCGCAGTCGTACTTCATTTCTCCCTCGGTTTTGATGAAAAAGAAGTTTGGCGGAAAACTGTCCGAATTGCAGACCTTGAGACACGAACCCGGCCACGACCACTCGTCCTTGACCCACATGGACCCTCTCACTGCTGCCAACGACTTCATCAACCCGGACTTTCTGCAAAAAGTCGAGGATATTCCACTGCTGATCGATGCAGATAACGTGGAGTCGTTGGACCAGCAAAAACTCATGCATCCGCCGCTCGTGAGAGCCTCGACACAGCCGCCAGTGCACCCAAAGCCGGGGAGACTAACGCGGTCGAGATCCAGCATGAACTTGAGCGAGATTGCCACGTACAAAGAGGCCAAAACTGCGGCTTTGCGGTCGGCCAACTCGTTTATGGACGATCTGAACTACTCCATCTCGGAGGTTCCCGAATCGGCGCCAGCCACTCACTACAACTACGAGCTGCCGTTCGAGACACAGCCTGCGGGCCGCACCTCGCGGTTCCAATATTTAACTCCTCCCAACTCGTCCTCGTCGTCAACGCCAGGAGTCAACTCGTTGCTGGCCAAAGACAAGCAGAAACCGCCGTCCGCTGCTAGCACAGCGGGCCTGAAAGAGCCCGAGCATCTCGACCGTCCGCTCCAGTCGTCGCGGTCCAAGTCGCGGTCCAAGAACTCCGACCAGGACAAGAAGAAGACGCACGAGTGTCCTCTGTGCCACTCCAGATTCCAAAGACCCGAGCACGTCAAGCGTCACATGCGCTCGCACTCGTCCGAGAAGCCTTTTGCCTGTCCCGAGGAAAAATGCAACAAACGGTTCAATAGAAACGACAACCTTAAACAGCATCTACGCAAGATTCACCATCTGGCCGTTTAAATAGATTGTATAGGACAATTGATTGTACGCCAAAAAAACAAACACTACATGTCACCTCATTTGGCTCTGCTTTCAAAGAGCCTGTCTGATCTGGGCGTCGATGGGCATCTCGCTCACGTCCACACTGGCCACCACGTTGGATTTATGGAACTCCTGTTTCATCAAGCCTGCCACGCCATAACAGATCGCGGCAATCGTCAACAACACAGCCAGCGCAATCAGCGACGTGGCCATGCACGTGATACTCAGCCACTGGATCACCGCCATCACCACGTAGAATATCACTCTGTAAAGGTTCTGGTCCAGAGTTTGAACTCCTCTGATAAACCAATCTGGAACCCGGAATATTTTCAGTAAAAATGGCACCTCCACAAATGCCAAAACGATACCTTGCACAATGGCCAAGATGGCAAACACAATGACAATATTGAAATGGAAAATGTTAGCAATTCCCAAAGCTATCGATAGAAAAATCAGAACTATTCCTATCCATTGTCCGTAAAGACTTCAATGTTAGTCAACCAACAACTTTCAAACCACTCACCTGAAGTTCATTGACTTCATGTCCTGCGCAAATCCGCTAATCTTGATGTAATCCGTAAATGCCATTTTGTTGAGTTAATAGCGAAACAATTAATATTATTTTATTAGCACACTTTTTTTAAAGGCTGTGTTAGCTACGCCAATTGATATATAAAATATTTCAAAGCACAGCTAGGCGCAGACCTTGGAATTCGATTAGGACATGTCTGAGCGCTTAGATGAGCAGGACACGGGGTCCGATTCCGATATTGATTCGTTGACCGAGACGTTGGAACAGGTCGGAAAGCTTGTTTTTCCAACGTTCTCCATTCTGCCCCATCTGCCGGCCCTACCCAAACTCGCCGCTTTGAAGATGGATTACAACTCCACCAGCATTGCGAAAAAGTTCTCCGAGCTTTCGTCTTCCACGGCTCTTCATTTCCAGGGTTTTACAGAGAAAAAAGACGAACTTGCCAAATTATACAGCGAAATGAGCGAGTCTTTGACAGACGTGATCAACTCCAACATCGATTATCCGGTCGAGGACCTTCATGAGCCTGCTGGAGTGGAGATTCTGCAGGAGCCAAAGACAACCGTTTCGCTGGTCAAGGACCGACTGGCCAGCTACGACCATCTGACGTTTTTGACGTTCGAACAGTTCAACGACCAGAGCTTTCTGCGTAAACGGATCAAAGAGATCCTCAACCTGGATCTGCTGCCATTGGACCAACGGTATCTGATCCAGAAACTCATGTCGCGGTCGTACTACGAAAAACAGCGGTACGAGCGCGCTGAGAACAACGACACAGACGACGAGGCCGACGGCGACGAGGTGGCTCTCGAGGCGCGCGACCTCGAGCCAACTTACTACAACCTCGAGGAGGGCGTGTACGGATGCATGCACTACCAGCGCAACTGCAAAGTGGAGTGTCCAACGTGCAAGAAATGGTACACATGTCGGTTTTGTCACGACCAGGAGATTTCGTCACACCAGTTGCAACGGAACCGGATTTCTCATGTTCTGTGCATGTTTTGCAACACGCCGCAACTGGCCCAACAGTTTTGCGTCAACTGCGACCGCAAATTGAGCGAATATTACTGTGCTACGTGCAAACTGTTTGATAACGACGAGATCAAAAATATCTACCATTGCGACGATTGCGGTATCTGTCGACTTGGGTTGGGACTCGGACAGGACTATTTCCATTGCAAAAACTGCAACGCGTGCATTTCCATCGAATTACAGGAAAACCATAAATGTATCGAGAACTCGACCCATTCCAACTGTCCGATCTGCGACGAGTACATGTTCAGTTCGACAAAGAAGGTGGTTTTCATGATGTGCGGCCATCCGATCCACCAAACGTGTTACGATGAGTTCACCAAACATTCGTACAAATGCCCTATTTGTTCACGCACAATCATTAATATGGAGCTCCAGTTCCGGGTGCTGGATAAGGAGATCGGGGCCACGAGGATGCCGGACGGGATGGCCTCATGGACGAGCGTGATCAAGTGCGTTGATTGCGGCGGCAAATCGCGCGTTCCGTACCATTATTTGGGCATGAAGTGCGACCATTGCAAAAGCTACAATACGATGCAATTGAAGCTCGTCAAGAGCGAAAAAGACCTCCAAGAAATGGACGAGATGGAGAAGAACCTGGAAAAAGACCTAATAACCAACTCGCTGGACGACAATTTCCAATTCGACGACAAACTCGACGTTACTGGGTTCGAACTAACGGGAGCAGCCAATATCGAAGACTCGGACTCGGAGGACGACTACGTGGACAACTTTGTGCGCGTGATCAACAACTTCGAAAAGTACTCCACCATCAGTGACGCTTTCAAAGACTGGATCAATGCTTCGAAGAAGAAAGTTGATGCTATATAACAATAATTGCTAATTTTTCCGGGATCGTAGACTGGCGATGGGGATCGAGAGGATCCGTGATTTTTTCGGTGGTTGGTCCATGGTTGGTTCTGTTTTCGACCGCAAGATACGCGGCGTTTCGTCTTTTATCTCGTGCAAGCTTTCCTGGCTGCGCATCATGTTGTCCAGCTTCATGCCGAGTTTGACCCGGTTTTCGTTCTGCAACCGGAAATTGCTCAGCTTGGAGGCAGCGTCGTCCACCTCCAGCGTGGGGGTGCACGAGCGCAGCGACGTGCTCGACGCAACGTGCGGGATCGTGCCCACGGACGACGCAATGAACTCGGAAACCACCGGCGAGCTTTGCGCGTGCGGCCGCGACATGGGCACGCGCGTCTGCGGCTTGATAGGCGAGCACTCAGACGTCTGCGAGTTGGACCGGAAGTTGCGCATGCTCATGGACGATCTCTTGGATCCTGGCGAGTGCGACGACGTCATCGACACGGGCGTAGGGATTGGCCCGTTCCGAGGCGGTGTTGGCGCTGACGGGATCACTATCGGCATTGGAGGAGCCTTGCGCGAGAGCTTGAGACTGTGCGACGAGGTGCTGTGCTGGTCGTTGACACTGACCTGGCTGTTGGAGCTCGAGATCGTGTTTAGTATGCCGTAAACGGGCGACGGGTCTCTGGTGATTCTGATGGACGACGAGGTCGAGACGGAGTTTGCGTCTTCTATAAATTGGCCGTCCGTTTCGTCGTCAGACGAGGTATGCGAGGATAACGAGTATTTGCGTGACTGGATGGTGGGCAAGGAGATTTTGCCGTTCAAGGGGCTCGGCACGGACGTTGTGTGAGCCGTGGAATTGGCCGGTCTGGCCAATGCGGGCGGATGTGCCTTCAAGGTGTTGTATTTGGCCAGAACATCGAAATCGTACGCCACATCTTCCGGTTTCCATCCCTGCTTGTTGAGCAACTGGGTATCTGCCTTGTACGCAAGCAACAGGTCCACACAGCTAAGAGACCCATACTCCAGGGCCAAATGCAGCGGGCTGTTGCCGTCGTCGTCCTGGATGTTTGGGTATGCGCCGTTATCCAGCAACACTGTGAGGCACAGGGGGAAGTTATGGATACAGCAAAGATGCGACGGAGTGTATCCGTTCTTTCCGCGCTGGTCGATACACACGTTGAAGTACTCCAGCAACAGTTCCAGAGACTTGTGGGAGTTGTTGGAGCATGCGGTGTGGATAATGGTGTCGTGATCAAAAGTGAGCTTTATCTCGTCCTCGTCTGTGATTTGGGAGTAGAGTTTCGGGGGCTGGTTCTGGCGGGACGGTTTGTAGACGCCGGAATCTGGCGTTAAGGAGCGCTCGCGCACCTTGCCGAGCAACAGCTCGCAGATCTCGTACCTATCGTGATAGGCAGCGTAATGAAGGTTGGACCAGCCGTTTTCCGGGTTGATGTTGTCGAGCAGGTCGGGATACCTATTGAGCAGCCTGCTAACTATGAACAGCTGCCCGTCGATGATGGCCTTGCGCAGTCGCACGCTCGGGTCAAACATGGGGCAAATATGGGAACAACAAGAACCTGAAACAAGACGGGGAAAAAAACTTGAGTGGGATGGAGACCGCGAATTTCACACTAAATAAAGATTATAATTTTAGAGCGAGTATTATCGTAAAGCGTCTATACATTAAAACTATGTAACTGTTACCCGTACATGGGTGGTCTTTCTTCACCCGAGGACGGCGGGAGGGGCATCATGATGGGAAAATTCTTCTTGAGACACTTGAATTCCGCCTTGTTTGTGCTGAGATGACTTTTCAGCTGGTCTTTGCGGTAGAACTGTTTTCCGCAACCCCACGAGGTGCCGTCCGGATTTATCCCACCGCAAATGAACGGTTTCACGTTTGAAGAGTGTTGTTCTTTAGTGTGGCGCGACAGGTCAGACGACCGGCTGAATTTCACCTGGCACTCGGTACAGCTGAAGAGTTTCTCCTTCTCATGCACAGAAAGCTTGTGCGAGATCAGATTGTGTTTGCGTGTGTAGGATTTGTGGCACTTGTCGCATTTGAACCGACTCTCCTGAGAGGCGGACCGGCGAGCTCCAGAAGTGCCTATGGCGGAGTCGACCGACTCGGACAGCTGCATGGGGATCGAGACCGGCACAAACGACTGCACGGGCTGCACAGGGGGGACCGGATACACGGGAGCAGGTCCAAATACCACAGGCTGAACAGGCGGCTGACCCATGTCGGGCACCACGGGCGGCGAGATGGTGCGCACTGGCGAGGGCGAGAACTGGCCGGCTGCAAAAGGATGCGGCACGATTGTTGTTGTGGGAATATACTGTTGCTGGTTTGGAAACACAGTCTTGGCCGGAGGCGCGTCGACGCTCGGAAACAGCTTGTTGATGCTCGGAAGTTTCACCTTCTGCGAGGAACCATCGGGAGACGCGCTGGAATGTGTAAGATGCTGGATGTTTGGATTCAAGTTATCCTGTTGAGGTTTGTTGGCAGACATCATCAACATTGCGACGAGATGGACCTTTTATAAAATCGCGTTCGAGTGAGTGCAGACGGCAAGAGACAACACTTGGATGGCTTTGCGAGCTTATGGACAGATGCAAGACTGATAGTTTATGGAAAAGAGGAGGATGGAGAGGAAACACCATTTATAACGGTTTTTTCGATTGCACCAGCCTGCAGGACTTGGCCTTCGCTGTGCTGCAACACAGCACAGTTCTATTGTTTCAGAGAACGTTTCGAAAAGACACTCCTTCCTATTATAGTATAAAATCATTCGCTTGCATATATCTAGCTAATAAACTTTGTATAGAATCCTTTCAAAAATTTCTTTTGCCAATTATGTATGCGATAATTTCTTTTTCTCAGGTTGGTCCCCTCTGTTTTCAAGGCGGATCAACTGCTGAGCCTTGTCGGAGCGATAATGCACTGCCGCAAGCTGCACCTAAATCTCAGGATGCTGCAACAGAAGATGAAATGCTTCTGTGGTTCCAGCATGGCAGATCCTCGGTCCCTTAGTCGATAGCACAATTCACCACCCTGACTTTTCGCAACTCGGCCCTGTTTCACTTTTCTCTTTACTCGCTTTGAATTTCTGTTGCGTGCGCACAGCCCCATCTTAACTACCGCCCAATTGCCGAAGACGTACGCGCGCGTATTACATCACCTATTACATCACCGTTTCTTCTGTTTGGGGCACAGCCGGTGCAAGGATGGTGGCTCTCTCCGCACAGTTACCTCTGTTCCCCCCGCTGGGATTTACAAAATTATCTCCACGAAAAAAGGTAGTGCGACCCTCATCTTTAGGGTGTAAATCCGGACGGTAGCAGGAGATAATCACGGCAACATGTTCGGTCCGGAAGTGACGATCGCGGCCTTCAGAGGTATATAAGGACACCGATCCATCCTCTGGTATCGTCAATGAGTTCTCCATCTCCAGTTCCTATCTCTGGCCCAACGGGCTATGGACTTATGTCTCTTACTGTTCGTCCCAAGCCAATTCCTTATGAGCAAGCTTTTGCTGCCATCAACAACGCAATTGCCGACGGTGTTACTTTCCTGAACGGCGGTGAGTTTTATGGAATCAACGTGTTCAATCCGGATCCAACGGTTGAAAAGAAGCCGTACGAGAACCTTAAGCTCATTAAAGCTTATTTTGAAAAGTACCCAGAAAACAGATCCAAGGTGACTGTTTCGATCAAGGGCTGTCTTGGTGCAAAGGGTCCAGACTGTTCGCCGGAAGGTGTCAAGAGATCCATTGAGAACATTGCCTCGTACTTCCCGGAAAACAAGTTCGATCTGTTTGAGACCGGCCGCATGGATCATAGTGTCTCTGTGGAGGACTTTATCAAGTCTGTGATTCCTTTCATTGAAAGAGGAACCATCAAGGGAATTTCTCTTTCTGAGGTCAATGCAAACACCATCAGACGTGCTGCTGCAGTTTATCCAATTTCCTGTGTCGAGGTGGAGCTTTCTCTGTGGAGTACAGACATTCTGTTCAATGGAGTCATGGACACCTGCAAAGAGCTGGGAATCCCTGTGATTGCGTACTCGCCGCTCGGAAGAGGTTATTTGACCGGCTCGATCAAGTCGGTCGACGACTTGGACAAGGCAGATTACCGTCGCTCTTTCGACCGGTTTGCTTCCCAAGAAGCTATCGACGCCAACAAGAGCATCATCGACAACATTGCCAAGTTTGCCAAGGCCAAGAATGCAACTCTTGCCCAGATCGCCCTGTCGTGGGTCAGAAGCTTCAGCGAGTACCCTGAAAAGTACCCAACGGTGATTCCAATTCCTTCTGCTTCCACCGCAGAGAGAAACCACGAGAACAACACCCACATCAAGTTGTCCAAGGCCGAGTTCGACGAGCTCACCAACCTGGTCACCAACCAGAAAATCTACGGCGGCAGATACGCTGCTATGTTTGAGCCGCATCTCAACGGCTGACCAAACATATAGTGAAACAATATGTCAATTACATTTTTCCTGTAGAAACACAACGATCAGCTGCCTCCAGCAAATAAAAAGAACAATAAGCAATAAATTCAGAGCGATCCGTTCACGGCCTCAACCACCTTGTCCACAGGAGACTCGGTCCGCGAGCCAATGAGTCTGTCCACGGTCGGCTTGATTCTGGCGTCGTACGTTGGCTTGATGGCCGAGGTGTATGCCTCGTTAGAAAGTCTTCTGGACGTCTTGGCAAGTGCCACTGGGGTCGAAGCAGACGCTTTTTCGTCGCTGTACACCTCTGTGACGTACGTTGGCAGAGAAGACACCTGGCTCACGTATGGTTGCGCTCTTTCGTATGTGGAAGACAGAAGTTTTCTTGATCTTGCGAGCTCGCTCTGGGCGGCGTCGGAGACCTCCTGTGCTTTGGCCTCAGCCTGTTTCTCGAGCGGGAGCAGTCTGTCAATGACTGCCTCGTAATAATCGTTCAAGATCTTCACCACGGAGCTGACGCGCGATCTGACAACTGCGGTTGCATTCGAGAAAGTGGTTCTCACACGCTTGACAGACTGGCTGGCCCAGCCGTTGTAGTAGCTTTCCAGAGTCTTGGAGATGGACTCGTATGAAACAGATGTGATTGAAGGGAAAGTTTTGTCCACGTACGAAAGTGCGGCATCCGTGGTTTGGTCCAGATAGTTGAGGATAGAGACCGCAATAGAGACGTTAGACAGCAGCCCAACCAGTCTTGTGACAAGAGTATTTGTGTAGGACTCAATCACCTTGACTGTGGAGAACCGCTCCACAAACGCGCTGGTATCCGCCACAAGTGGGTACTTTCTCAAATGGGAGTAAGAATGGGATGTAATTTTGCTAGACTTGGCGGTTTCGGAGGCACTCATTATGGGTTGAAACGAAACGATACTAGAATGATAGTCTTTTTCAGCTCAATAACAACTCTTATGGGATTTACAACGGTGGTGTCCCACAAAAAAACAGCAATTATTTCCTTTCAAACTGTGTACAGAATTATGAGCCTTTTTATAATAATTAAATATTTCTGTCAATTTCGATAAGGGCGATAAGTTATGCGAGTAGCATTAAAGTTGTGTGGGCTGATAGCCAGATTTACAGATAACGTGATGGGCAAAGCTGGGAAAGTTGAGCAAGCTGGAGACAGCTTTTAGGGGGGTAAATTAACAGATGAACGTGGACTACTATTGGCAATCTCGGAGATTTGTGCTTAGGTTGCCCTGCTATAAAAAATTCCCGAATTAGACACAGATCTCTGACATGTGAAAACTGAGCAATCCCGTGCAACAAGGCCCAATGTCGCAGCCGGGTAACCATTTCAGTGGAAATTGAAAATTGGTATTTTTTTTTTCTCTCTCAACGAAAAATATCGCTACAAAATGTCCAGCAGATACAGCCCGTTGGAAAGATTACCGGCGCATTTGCGGAACTTTCTGATCAAACGGAGCGAGCAGGCACAGCTGCCAGCGTTCCGTCGTCAGACCGACCGGTTTGTTCCCGAAGAAAAACGGTTTTCCAAGCCCGAGCAATGGAAGGTGCTTGAAGGAGACAGAGTGATGTTTATCAAGGGCGTCAACAAGGGGAAAATCGCTCGTGTTTTGGGCCTCCAATCGTTCTCCAACCACATTTTCACAGATATCTCGGAAACAAAACCGATGGTTGTTCCAAAACAGCTCTGGCAAGAAAATCAAGATACTTACTTGATAGATTACCCAAAAACGGTTCCTGTTGAAGACGTTAGAGTTGTTGCCACAGTTGCCCGCGAGGATGGTACAGAGTACGACATTGCTGCTGAGGACGTTGTTTTCAAGGGAAAATATTTTGACGAAGACTACAAAAAAATGATGCCAATCAGAAGAGTCAAATACCACGAACATATCATCATTCCATGGCCAAGAGTGGATCCTGTTGACGACTGTGCCTTCAGCACTCCGCCAGACGTTGTTGAGGAACGGACCCATGTGGAAAACTCGATTTTAACGTATGACCAACCATCCGACTTCTCCATCGAGTCTCTGAGAGACCCAACGATGAAGAGAGCATACAAGTGGAACAAGCAGGTTTTAAAGAAGGGAGATATCACCAAATTGACTCCTCCTTCAGAGATCTTCAGCGAAACAAAGAAGGCCATGTTTGAAGAAAGAAAACAGATCAGAGAGGCCCAAATCAAGGAAATTTCTCCTGAAGTTTTGGAGTTCATTGGTTCCAGAGTTGCCGAGCATCTCAACAACGTGACCGATCCTCGCTTCAAACAGTATGTTGACAAAGTTTCTGGAGAATCAAGAGCCCGCAAATTGGAAGCAAAACAACAAGAAAAACAGTTCCAAGACTTGAAGATTAAAGAAGCAGAACAACGCAATAAGCAAAAGAAAACGCCTAAACATTAATCACAACTTGGATTCATCTTTGTATATATGACGATCAACATTTTATCTTATCATTTTCTTACAATTTCTCGTAATCCAACTTACCTTCCAATTTCTTGTTGTCAACCATCTTTCTAACAGCCTTCATCAAGTCTCCTTGGATGATGTAGTCTCTGTCTTCTCTGATGGCAAAGAAACCAGCTTCTGTGACAACGTTTCTAATATCTGCTCCATTGAACCCATCGCTCATCTTCACCAAAGCTTCAAAGTCAAACTCGCCTTGCTTTTTGATCTTGGAAGTGTGAATCTTGAAGATCTCAAGTCTTCCGTTCTCGTTAGGAAGCGGGATCTCGATCTTTCTGTCCAATCTTCCAGCTCTCAACAAAGCAGGGTCCAAGGTATCTGGTCTGTTGGTAGCCATGATGATCTTAGTCTGGCCCAAGTAGTCGAATCCGTCCATTTGATTGAGCAATTCCATCAACGTTCTTTGGATCTCTCTATCTGCAGAAGTACCTTCAGAAAATCTCCGACCTCCAATGGCATCGATCTCGTCCATGAAAATGATACACGGCTCGTGTTCCTTAGCGTAACTGAACATTTCTCTCACCAATCTGGCAGACTCTCCGATATATTTGTCCACGATTGCAGATGCAGGCGAGAAAATGAAATTGGCTCCAATAGTTGCCGCCACCGCCTTTGCCAATAGCGTCTTTCCTGTTCCTGGAGGACCGTACAGCAGCACACCTTTTGGAGGCTTGATACCGACTCTGATGAACAGTTCTGGGTTCTTCAGAGGCAACTCGATCACCTCTCTGAGCTCACGAACTTGTTCGGTCAAACCTCCAATTCCTCCAAACGAAATCTCGCCCGGCTCGAATGTAGTCATATTGTACACCAAAGGATCAACTTCACGGGGAAGAATCCGCATCACCGTTAATGTAGTCATGTCCAATGCAACACGCACTCCTTTCTTCAATTTTTCGCGCTTTATGGTAGAACGACACCCCACAATGTACCGTGGGCCAGAAGAGGCCTTCACTATGAATCTTTCCTCGTCCAATTGTTTCAGCACCTCTCCGATGATCTGTCCAATGGATTGCAATGCTTTAATGTCATCTTCTGTCTTTGTGAACTTCTTTTCCAGGTCTCTGATTCCCAAACGGGCCTCTTTCAAACGAGATTCCCATTGACTGTGTTCTATGAGTTTATTTTTCAGAGCAGTGAGAGCCGATTTGCGCATCGACTCTTCTGAAGATTCTGCAGGCTGCTGCGAAGAGCTTCCACCGGAATTGGCGCTTTCGCCATCCTCGTTAAGCGCCGAAAGCAACGGATCGTGTTCTTGGCTCATTATTTGCAAATAAATACCAGTGGCAAAAAGTTGAAGAAAAAAAAGCCGGGTAAAGCATTTTCCCATAGAGCTGGTCTTGAAATAATTATTGGAAAAAAAATAAAATAAATCGTCCTTTGTCTTCCCCAAATGGAGTTTCACGCTGTAATTTTCTGCGGAAAGGGGTCTTCTTTGTCGCCAATTTCCGCTGTCAAGGAAACGGGCGTCCCAAAGGCCCTATTACCCGTGGCCAACAAGCCCATGATCCAGTATGTTCTTGAATGGTGTGACAAGGCACCGTTCCGTCAAATCACCATCTTCACAGAGACACATACTTTGGCCAGAATCTCCAAGTTTGTTGATACTTATAAAGAGTCCAGAGACTCAGATCTGGCACAAACCAGTCCAATTGAATGCATAGGAGCAGACGCTTCCAGTACTGGAGTCATCTTGAACCAGTACAAAGGCCATATTCTGAAAAATACCGGCAACTTTGTTCTTTTACCTTGTGATTTCATCACAGACGTGCCTCCTCAGGTGCTGGTGGAGGTTTTCCGCGGTCAGGATTACAACAACATTGGTTTATCCATCTGTTACAACAATAGTTTTGAAAATATCGATGCTAATAAGGTGTTGAACTCAAATTACACCATGTATTCCAAACAAAATAGCCAATTGGTGCTTTTGGATTTGTGTTCCAAAGGATCTGTGGCACTGTCGAAATTCCTAAAGATCAGAACCCATTTGTTATGGAGATACCCAAACACTCAAGTTTCCACTGCATTATTAGACTCATTTATTTTCTTTGGTGACTCACGTCTTTTCAAGCTTTTGGAAGACCAGAAAAACGGCCTTATATCCAGCAACTCGGCGACAAAGATTAAAAGAGACCTTGCACGGAGATCGTGGAAACACTCGACCAAACAAGAGGCCGTGGGGCTCTTCATACTACCGGAGAAGTCCACTTTTGCCAGATGCAACAATCTGGCCGTGTACGCAGAAACTAATCGTCATGTGCTTAAGCTGCATGCCAAAGAATCTAATACCACTGCATCTACACAAAAGCCAAAGGAAAAAGCAGACAAGCCCAAAAACCTGGCTACTGTCGGTGCCGACTCATTGGTCGGGGACAACACCGAATTGGGAGAAAGAACAAGCGTCAAGGGCTCTGCTATTGGCAATAACTGCAAGATCGGTAATAAATGTCGGCTCACTGCATGTGTTGTTCTGGATGGGGTTGTTATTGAAGACGACGTTTCGCTACAGAACTGCACGATCGGAGAAAATGCACGCATTGGAGCCGGTTCAAGACTGGTGAATTGCAACATCGAGGGCGCCTATGTCGTTGGATCCAAGGTGAACTTGAAGGGAGAGACGTTGACTAACTTAGAGATTGGTCTGGAGGACGAAGATGGGTCTTTTGAGGCCATTGACGACGATTCCGACGAGGACGACTCTGAAGACGGGGAAAGCGGCTACGATGACGAAAGCTTTGAGGAGGAGGAGTACGATGACGATATTTTCGATAGAACGTGATGGAGTGTAGATAATAATAGCAATCTAAGAACTAAGGCTGATTTCACGAGATCAAAGCACCGTTTAGGCGGGGCTTGAATGATAGGAGATGGCTGGTTGCTGGGCAGAAAAAAAGCTTATGTGGCTGTGCGGCTTTCGATCTCTAAGCGAAGCGAGCGGTTGGAACTGATTGCAAGGGAGTACGAATCAACGGCATTGAATGAAAACATGGATTGCAAAATACTGCTGAGCAGTGTACACTTGATTTACACCGCTACTCTTCCCCCACTCGAGCTTCTAACTCGTCATATCCGCTCTGCTACAAATCTCGAATTTTTTTAGATCGAAATCTCGGGCCCTAATTACATGGTCGTGCGCCAACCTGCTGCATGCTTGAAAGAAAAGCGCCGCAAATCCAGCTGATACGTAAACCAGCCATTCGAAAATCAAGTGGCATGCGATTTGGAAACCAACAAACAATGACTACCGATTCCACAGGATCGATATATAAGTACACAACACGCCCGAAATTTCCCACATCTGCTCAATTTACATTTAGATGAGGTCTCTACGCCTGACGCTAGCCGCTTCCCTGGCTCTTTTGTGGGCTCCACAGGTGTCTGCCTACAGCAGCTATGCCCAGTCTCAGCCAAGATACTGGAACACCTCTTCATGTTCTACCGATTCTACTGTGACACATACTAGTACTGTGTCTCTGCACAGCAGTGACCCTGACGCTTATGTGGATGAGACCGTCACACCAACTGTTACTGGTACAGACAACATCGGAGCCACCGATATTTCTTACATCACTATTACTTCCACCTACACTGACTGCAACTACCACAGCGAGTGCTCCACCTGGACAACGACCGAGCTGATTGGTTCTTACACCACGACTATTTCAGGCCATGTTACTGTCGTGACCGACCTGAAGCCTTTGACCGGTGCTTCGAGCGATGGAACCAATGTTCTGCCAACAGAGACCGGATCTGCGTCTCTGAGTAAGTCTTCGACGGTTTCCACGGCAACTGCTCCGGAAACCACCACCGAAACCATCACCAGTTGCTCTGCCGGTAAATGCTCGACATGGACCACCAAGGAGCTCGTTTCCGACTACACCACCACGATCTCGGGCCACGTCACCGTGGTGACCAGCCTGATTCCGCTGTCTGGAGAGTCTTCCACACAAAACGCAGGAACAACCGTCACTGCGCCAGAAACCACCACAGAAACAATCACCAGCTGCAAGTCCGGAAAGTGCTCTACATGGACCACTGAGGAGATTGTGTCTAGTTACACAACCACCATTTCCGGCCATGTGACCGTGGTGACGACTCTGTGTCCGCTTTCCGGCTCGTCCACGGCCTCTGAATCCGCATCCGCCGCCAAAACCACAACCACAACCACCTCCGCATCTCTTTCCGAAGTTCTCTCAAGCTACACAACCACCATTTCTGGCCAGGTCACCGTGGTAACCACGCACTGTCCTGTGTCTACCGGTGCTCTTACCAGCTCGAAGGGTGCTGGCGGAGGATACGAGGTCACCACCTACACCACCACTATTGGAAGCCTGACCACTGTTGTGACGACTGTTTGCCCAGCCAGCTCCGTGTCGGCCTCCGTTTCGAAGGCCAGCTCTTCTGCTGTGCCAGTTTCGTCGTCCACGAGCGGCGCCAGCAGCGCCAGCTCTTCAGGAGCCGTCACCGTGATCACAACCGATGTCGAGGGTGTGACCACCGTGCTCACCACCGTGTGTCCCGAGAGCGAGACGGCCAAGTCAAGCAGCGCAGTGCCAAGCAGCTCGAGCAGCTCGAGCAGCTCCAGCAAAGTCGAGTCTACCTCCACCTCCTCCACTGCCACCACTGCCTCCAGCTCCAGCTCCACCGCCTCGACCGTGGAACTGGCGCTAGAGTCGACAGTCTCGGTGCCTGTGGAAACGGAAGCTTCTGCCTCGCAAGTCGTCTACACCTCCACCATCTCGAGCGTGCCAGTGGTGCTCACAACAGCCACCCCAGTGTCGGCCCAAAGCAGCACCCTGTCCACCTCGAAAACTACCGGATCCAGCACCGCCGTGTCGATCTCCACCTTGGAGGCCGGCGCAAGCAAGATCAGCCTCGGCGTGGGACTCCTCTCGATGGTGTACGGACTACTCTATGTACTATAAAATTAATACGGACTAATTGGACTAATTGGAAAAATTCGACAAATAGCATCAATCATCATGTAGCGGAAACTTAGTAGCCAGTCACCCATTGAACGGATGGCAGTTTATGAGATGTTTCGGCGTTCTTCTGGCAACCTTTTCCCCTCCACTCGTCCACGCTGGACGGTGCAGTGAATAGGCTGCGTTCGTATCAAAGCCAAAATTTTTCACCTCGAGCGAGTTTTTATACTAGTTGCTTACATAATGCAGATAAATAGATATTAATTTGGCAATCCATGGGACGGTTGTACAGTGCTGATCTGGAGCCCAAGAAGAAGACCAAGAAGGTGCCGCGGTCTTCCAAACGGCCACTAGTGCGTCGAGGCGCCATTCGCCGCAAGTTCCCGCGGTCCAGTCCTTATTTATTGCTGCGCAACCCGCAGTTTCTTGTTTCTGACGATCCCCGGCCCGAGACCGTGGTAAGACAGCTCGAACACACAGAACATGCCTCGCAATCACGCTAGTTGGCGCAGGTACCCACATCGCGGCGCGAACTTGCACGTGTCGCACATCGACTTGTACGCGGGGCCCATTGGCGGCCGTTTGGCCAGCCACAGGTCCATTCCCGTGGTGATGGAGTGGTTGGCAAACTCTCTGCTGTACGGCCGGTCAAAGCTCGCAAAGATGTCTGTTTCGAACGAGTATTCAACGCTCGTGCTGGTGATTCTGAAATGGTTCAGAGTTTCGAGCAATTGCGCTGTTCGTGCAGCCAACAGTTCGAACGTTGGCGGTGTTTTCCATGCTTCCAAGGCCAGCTGTTTTGGGACGGTGTTCTGGATGAGTCTGACACGGCTGTCTGACGGTTCGAGACTGTATATTGGAGCCAGGAGGTTCAGGAGGTACGGGGCTGATTGCTGGGCGGTTGGCGCGCTTGTATCGTACGGCGCGAACCCAATAGGGTTGCCGTTCTGGAGCCGTTCTGCATCGGCTATTAAATAGTGGTTGTTGAGAAGCAGATATACCATAGAGGCAGGGTCGATGACGGTTTGCGGGTCGATTCCTCGTTTGCGCAAGTTCAGTAGCAGCATCTCGTAGGCAGATTCCTTGCTGGCGCTCAAGATCTCCAGAAACCGCGCGTACATGGCCACCTGGACCAGGTTGAACTCCTGCGTCGAGGGTGGGGGTGCACGACGGAACGATCTGGTTTTCAGGTCTGTCACACAGAGCTCGAGCTCGTCGGACCACAGCTCGGCCGTCTTGTGCACGGCGGGCACTACCTGGGCGAGATCGAGCGGGTTGGTGACGTCCATGGCCAAATCCTGCTGGTAGTTGCTAAAAGCGTTGTCAGAGCCGGTTATTGAGAGCAGGTCGATAATTCCACTGATCAGCACCAAATCCGGCCGCAAACTGGTATCGCGGGGGTCTGCTGCAGACATGTCATTAACCAGTTCGTCATGCGATTTGTCGTAGTACCCGTGGACCAAAATCTCGCGCGCCTGGCCGCACGTTGCAAGCTGTGCCAGCCGTGAGACGTTTTTCGAGAGACCGTGTGCAGACTTCTTCTCGAACGTCTCCGCGAGCAACTCTCTGAGGAGACCCACAATAGAGTCCGGCAGCGGACCAGACTCATCAAGCGGCTCGACATCGGGCACGGGGGCGGTCGTTTGCGGCAGATAAAGTGTGGTGTCCAGTTTCAACGTACTGTCACCAACCAGCATTTCCTTCACTGGATGCATCTGGAGCTCGATTCGCTCGTGCTCCTTGGTTCCACGGATCATCGCCGGCGTGGATGGAACCTCAGTAACGCCCATGTACAGGTCATACATCTTCTGCAGCTCGCAGTATGCTCCCGTGAGAATTTTGGTGACCGACAAACGGATCTGGCCGGGATCACCCGTGCTCAGCGACTCGAGCTGCTGCAGAGGAGTGCGACCAGTCAGATTCTCGTGGGTCAGCACCTCTTCCTCAGGAACACCAGTGATGGCCTCGAGCACTCCTGGAAGCTGCTGCACTGGACCTGTGGTAGTGGCCGGGTCTGTGAGGCCAGTGTTCGCCACAAACCCGCGCTGTTCCTCGCTCAGTTTCAGAAAACTGTCAATAGCGTCCAAAGTACTTGGTTTCGCGTCGTAGATCGCAAACGTCTCCTCTGCCATAGTCACCTCTGTCTGGGTGTCTGGCTCGTGCTGCTGCTCTGCAATCGACAGTACCAGCGTCTTGGGATTTCTAGAGTCCAGTTTTGGAACACTGGAGTACGCCAAACGACGACACAGTGTTCTGAACGCGTTCCTCGTCCCAAACTGCATTACTCTATCTTCATTAGTTCTAAGTACATTTTTCACCAGAATAAAAATACGACGCGTCGATCGTCCTCCGCAGATTGGTAGCAGGCAGGTTTGAGACTTGCGCCAGGTCAACGTCTCTTGCCCTTCTTCTTCTTCTTTGGAGCAAGCGCATGGCCGGTGTTGTTGATGTGCTGAAACAGCTTGTTGCGGCTCGAAAACGTTTCGTTGCAAACGGTGCACTTTTCTGTCGCAGACGGAGCAGCAGGCACAGGCGAGACTCTGGCCGCGCGGCCCTTTTTCTTCTTCTTCGACTTGGTCGTGCCCCAGTCGTCGTCAGAATCGGAGTCTAAGAACGCGCGCGCATCCACCTCGTCTTCTGATGGGGATGGTGACTCCACCACCTCTGCCTCCTCGTCTGGCTGCACCGGCTCCTTTTCCATCTCCTCCGCCACTTCTTCCTCTTCCTCCCCGTCCAGATCCTCGACCGCACTCTCGTACTCGTCCTCGCTCCGCACGTACCCCTCGTCCAGCCCGAGCTCAATGCCCTCCTTCCTCATCTCCCATTGCAACTTCTTCAGCAGCTTCAGATGCTTCCTGCTCTTCTCGTGCTCCAAAAATTGCTTCTCGTGCTTGAAGTTCTTGTTGCAGATAATGCACTCGTAGAAATCGTCGTCTCCCTCGTCGCTCTCGTCCAGCTGCTCCTCCATGTACAGCTTGTCGAGCTGCTGCTCGATCTCGGCCAAATCCTCAGGGTCCAGCATCTGCCAGTGCTGTTCTGAGAACTCTTCCTTATCCTTTTTGCGTTGCTCCTTATCGCGCTGGACCTGCTGCTTCACCTCGTCCTGCTGCTTCCGCACCCTGTCCTGCTCGTACTTCTTCTGCGCAGCAGGATTGACTCGTGGATCCCGTTTCTTCAAGAACGAAATTAGCCGTCTGACGGCCTCGTTGTAGTCTCGCCGGGCTTGGTCGCGCAATTTCTTATTCTCCTTCTCCATTAGTCGTCGAGTGCGTCGATCAGGTGCACTAGAGTATCTATACTCGTCCACCCAGTTGAAGCTCTTGACAGACGCAAAATTCGACCAAACTTTGTAAAATATCCGAACAACATCACCATAATCCGACCGAGACTTGCCAAACCGAGGAAATAGCAGATCGTTGGTATCACAAGCATTCGCAGACGCAGTATCGTCCATATACTTCTCAAACCCAGGCAGTTTCTGTTTCTTACCAGACGAAACCTCCTCGCTGGCAATTCGGTCCAAAACAACCCCCGCAACAGCATAAAACCCATTGATCGAGTCGTCCATCTGCGAATATAGGTCCGAGTTCAAATATGCAAGAATGTCTTCCACAGAAAGACCGGCGTAATAAACGTCGCCCGACTTGTCGTCCTCTGCCTCGTAATCGCCGTCCTCCATCAAAACCTGGAACTTGTGCGAATCGTACCACGCGCGTTCTTGCGGATCGCTCAATGTATCGTACGCAACCTTCACCTCGTTGAACTTCCTGCTGGCTCCTTCAATATCATCGGGATTTTTGTCTGGATGGAGCCGCAACGCACATTTTCGGTACGCCTTTTTGATCTCCAGATCGGACGCCTCTACAGACACCCCAAGCAGCTCGTAGTAGTCGGTCTTCATGCGAAACTAGCCTGGCTACGATTTTTCAGGTGAATCAAAGTACAATCTTTTTTTTTTCTGTGCGGTGCAGAGATGTGGTTCAGTCCTGGTTCTGGTTACGAGCACGTGCCGAGATCAGAAAAATGGCCACATAGTCAAATAAATACTAACAAAACAATTCGCACGGATGGTGGTTCTAGCAGCGTCCATCTGCACAAGAGGCGGAAAAGCCATTCTTTCGAGACAATTCAGAGACCTGTCCAAGGACCGTGTCACGTCGTTGTTGGCCGAGTTCCCAGCGTTGCTGTTGGACACCACGAAAACTCAGCATACCACGGTGCAAGGAGAAAACGTTAGATACGTGTACTCGCCGTTGGAGGAATTCTATGTGGTTCTGATCACAAACAAGCATTCAAACATTTTACAAGACATTGACACATTGAACCTGTTTTCGCAGACCATCATGTCGATTTTGAGGGTTGTTGACGAACGAGAGATCTTTGACAACTGTTTTGAAATTTTGAACGCGTTCGACGAAATCATCAATTTGGGCTACAAGGAGAACCTGTCGTTGTCGCAGATCATCACGTTTTTGGAAATGGAGTCCCACGAAGAAAAGATCCAGGAAATCATCGAGAGAAACAAGGAATTGGAAGCGGCAGAGGAGAGAAAGAGAAAAGCCAAGGAAATACAAAGAAGAGAGATGATGAAGAAGAACATGGAGTCCTACGAGTTCCAGCAGTCACAGAATTTCGTGCAGCCTTCATACCAGCCGGCCGCGCAGCCTGCACAGCAATTCAGCGAGCCAGCATACTCTGCGCCGCAAAAGCCATTCGCCAAGGCTCCTCCACGGAAGGGAGGATTGCAGTTGGGAAAGAAGGCCGCCAGCTTGGGCGGCGAGGCTCAACCATTGTTAATTTCTACACCTTCTCCAAGACCGACTTCCTCGCAGTCGGTCAGCACTCCCGAGCCGGCTGGCAAGGAGAAGATTGCCAACAACGGTATTCTGATACTCATCAACGAGAAGTTCACCGGACAGATCACCAGAGAAGGTTCCATTTCCACTGCAGAGGTGCAAGGAGACTTGCAATTGCGTATTAACGATCCGTCGCTTGCATTTTCGTTGGTCAACCTGCAACTTGGATCCAAAGACGGACAAAACACCGTTTACAAAACACATCCAAAGGTGGACAAGAACCTGTTCCAATCGGACTCCATTATTGGCATGAAGGACCAGACCAAGCCGTTTGCCTCGAACGATCAGCCATTGGGCGTTCTGAGATGGAAGTCTGTCTCCAAGACGTCTGTTTCTGAAGACGCCAACACTCTTTTGCCGCTGGTTCTGACCACGTGGGTCAATAACAACGAGGACGGAACGGTCAACCTGACTTTCGAGTACGAGGCTCTTGCCGAAAAACAGCTGGACGAAGCCAGTTTGCTCATACCTGCTGGCGAGGCCACCATCGAGTCGAGCGACCACGACAACGTTTCGTTGCAATACATCGAGGAAGGCTTGTTGGTGAAGCTGACCGGTCTGCAGGAGAACCCATCTGGCTCGTTTGAGATTGTTTGTCACGGAATTGAGGACGAGGAGGCGTTGTTCCCTATGGAGGTTGTGTTTTCGATTTCCGAGCCAATCGAGTCAGGAAAAGAGCTTGGAGACGTTGCTGTTGTTTCTGTGGTGAGCGCCGAGTCCAAGGAGGAACTTCCGTTTGATGTCCACTACAACGGCTCGAACGAAGGATACTACATAATTTAGAAATGAGCTCCATAAAAACAATATAGTGCAACCATGAAAAATTCGTGTCCGGGGTCGGAATTTTGGCGGACACCCGGGGAAGAGAAAAAAAAACCAATATAATCATCCATTCTTCCTGGTTTAACACTGTTTTGTAAAAACTGTTGCCCGGAAAAAGATCATGCTAAGTGTCAGATTGAGTGCTAAAACCATTGGAACAAGAGCTTTTTCGGCCACCACCAGAGCCATGAGAACAGAGAAGGATGCCTTTGGAGACATCCAAGTTGCTGACGACAAGTATTGGGGAGCCCAGACCCAGAGATCGTTGCAGAACTTCAAGATCGGAGGTCCAAGAGAGATCATGCCTGCTCCAATTGTGCATGCTTTTGGAATCTTGAAGAAAGCCGCTGCCACTGTCAACCAGGAGCTTGGTGTGTTGGACCCTAAATTGGCTGACGCAATCAAACAGGCTGCCACTGAGGTTGCCGATGGAAAGCTTGTTGACCATTTTCCATTGGTTGTTTTCCAGACCGGTTCGGGAACCCAGTCCAACATGAACGCCAACGAGGTGATCAGTAACAGAGCCATTGAGATTCTGGGCGGAACTCTTGGCTCTAAAAAACCCGTTCATCCTAACGATCATGTCAACATGTCGCAGTCTTCGAACGACACTTTCCCAACAGTGATGCACATTGCCGCCGTCACCGAGATCACCAACCATTTGTTGCCGGAAATGAAGGCCCTGAGAGACTCGTTGGACAAGAAGGCTGAGGAGTTTGCCGACATCATCAAGATTGGAAGAACTCACTTGCAAGATGCCACTCCATTGACCCTTGGCCAGGAGTTTAGCGGATACGTTGCTCAATTAACCAAAGGTATCGGTCGTGTTGAACAGAGTCTGGAGAACCTCAGATTCCTCGCTCAAGGAGGAACCGCTGTCGGAACCGGATTGAACACCAAGAAAGGTTTTGCTGAGAAAGTTGCTGCGGAGGTGTCCAAACTGACCGGATTGCAGTTTCAAACCGCTCCAAACAAGTTCGAGGCCCTGGCTGCCCACGACGCCGTTGTCGAGGCCTCCGGAGCACTCAACACCGTGGCCACCTCGCTGTACAAGATCGCCAACGATATCAGATACCTTGGATCTGGTCCTCGTTGCGGTTACGGCGAATTGGCATTGCCAGAAAACGAGCCAGGCTCGTCCATTATGCCAGGAAAAGTCAACCCTACCCAGAACGAGGCCATGACCATGGTTTGCACCCAGGTGTTTGGAAACCACGCCTGTATCACCTTTGCTGGTGCTTCTGGACAATTTGAGCTTAACGTGTTCAAGCCGGTGATGATCTCCAACCTTTTGTCGTCCGTTAGACTTTTGGCCGACGCTTCCTACTCATTCAGAGTCCATTGTGTTGACGGCATTGTTGCCAACGAGAAGAGAATCGGCCAATTGTTGCACGAATCTTTGATGCTTGTCACTGCTTTGAACCCAAAGATCGGTTACGACAACGCTTCCAAGACCGCCAAGAACGCCCACAAGAAGGGACTCACTTTGAAGCAAAGTGCTCTGGAGCTCGGAATGCTCACCGAAGAGGAGTTCGACGAATGGGTCAGACCGGAAAAGATGATCGGTCCTAAGGACTAAAACATGTAGCTACCAAATATATTGACGTCGATCGACGCGTGAAAGTGGCAAAGAACCAGAGTCGAAAATATTATTTATTAAACTTCTGTCTTTGTAATCACTCCATGTTTTCCTGTTCAAGACGAGTCCTCGGCTCTCGTCTTGTGACCGGCGTGTCTTTAAGACGTGTACGGCTCGCAAGCACCGTTTCGGACATCAATTGGAACGGAAATCGGCCAGCTGGTGCTGGAATTCCATATGCTGGCTCTTCCTTGTCCAAATCGACGTCTTTGCCCTCAACGGATTTGTTTGACTTCAAGTCGAAAAAAAACGATCCCGAGTCCAAGGACGACTCCAAGAAGAAGGACAAGGACATCAAGGATCAGGACAAAGACAAGAATGACAAATCTGACGTCTCCAAAGACCAGAAGCCGTCGTCTTCCACTCCGGCTTCCTCTGCGGGAGCGAACTCGGTGGGGTCTGCTGGAAACTCGGGCTCCGATGAACCGCCTGAGGATGGTTCATCCAACAACAGCCCTGCAGCCTTTGAATTGCCAGAGATCTACCCTCCGATCATCGGTTTGCCCATCTCCAAGCGGCCGTTATTCCCTGGGTTCTACAGATCCGTGATCATCACAGATGTGAATGTGATCAAGGCCGTCAAGGAGGCAACCTCTACACAGTACCCATTCATTGGATGCTTCTTGTTCAAGGACGAGAACATGGAAGGTGATGTGATCAACTCGAAAGATGAGGTGTTCAGCACGGGTGTTTTGGCCCAGATCACATCCAACGTTTATACCAGAGACACAGAGACCGGCGTGGAGACGCTGACCACGGTGTTGTTCCCTCACAAGCGTATCAAGATCGACGAGCTGTTTGTTCCTAACGTTTCAAAAGCCAAACACTCTTTCGTGAAAGTGTCAATCCCGGAGACCGGCGAAGTTTCCGATAAGCAGATCATCGACGGAATCACCGGCGAAAAAGAGGGCGACGAGCCAAAGTCTCCTGCCGAGGTGACCAAGCCTGCTGATGAGGACGTTGTGATCGATGAGGATGACGAGTACAACCCAACAGCGTTCCTAAAGAACTACCCAATCAGTTTGGTGAACGTCTCCAACGTTGAAGACGAGCCATATGCAGAGAGAGATCCTAGAGTCAATTCTTTGACTGCCATCACCTTGGAGACACTCAGAGAGATCACCAAGCTCAACAAGCCTTTCAGCGACCAGCTGCTTTATTTCATCAGCTCGTTGAAAGGCGACGTCTACTACCATCCTGAAAGACTGGCCGACTACGCTGCTGCCGTTGCCGCTGCCACTCCTCAGGAGTTGCAAGACGTGATGGACTGTACCAATATTCCAGATAGACTCGACAAGGCATTGAACTTGTTGAGAAAAGAATTGATGAACAAAGAACTGCAGAAACAGATCGAGCGTGACATCGAGGAGAGAATGGCCAAGAGACACCGTGAGTACAATTTGCAAGAGCAATTGAAGTGGATCAAGAAGGAGCTCGGCATTGACGACGGTAGAGGCAAGCTGATTGCCAAATATAACGAGCGTGCTGCCAAGTTGAAGTTCCCCGAGGAGGCCGAGAAGGTTTTCCAGGAGGAGATCAACAAATTGCAAACTCTGGAGCCATTGATGGCCGAATACGCTGTCACTAGAAACTACTTGGACTGGCTGACAAGCTTGCCATGGGGAATTCACTCCAAGGACAGCTACGATTTGCAGGTTGCCAAATCGGTTTTAGACGATGACCATTACGGTTTGGATGAGGTCAAGGACAGAATTCTGGAGTTTATTGCTGTTGGAAAGCTGTTGAACAAGATCAACGGTAAGATAATCTGTTTTGTTGGACCACCCGGTGTTGGTAAGACCTCGATTGGAAAGTCCATTGCAAGAGCTTTGAATCGAAAGTTTTACCGGTTTTCTGTTGGAGGACTGACAGATGTTGCCGAAATCAAAGGTCATAGAAGAACATATGTGGGAGCCATTCCTGGACGTATGGTGCAGGCATTGAAGAACACCGAGACGGAGAATCCGCTGGTTTTAATTGACGAGATTGACAAGATTTCCGGTGCTCACCATGCGAGCGGCGATCCGTCTGCTGCGCTGCTGGAATTGCTTGATCCGGAACAGAACTCCAACTTTATGGACTTTTATCTGGATGTTCCTATCAACTTGTCGCAGGTGTTGTTTGTCTGTACTGCCAACACCTTGAGCACTATTCCTGCTCCGTTGTTGGATCGTATGGAAGTGATTGACATTGCTGGATACGTTGAGGACGAGAAGGTGAAGATTGCCGAGAACTACCTCATTCCTGCGGCCAAGGAGTCTTCTGGACTGAAGTCTGTGAACGTTGAGCTCCAGGAGCCTGCATTACAGGAACTTATCAGAGGCTACTGCCGTGAGAACGGTGTTAGAAACCTCAAGAAGCAGATCGAGAAGATCTATAGAAAAGCTGCGCTTGCTGCCGTCAAGGTCGTGGATGGTGTTGATTTCGACAAGAAGGTGGAGGTGAAGTCTAACGAGAAGCCAGAGAAATCCGAGAAGCCAAAGGAGACCAAGGAGACCAAGAAGACCGAGAAGGAAGCTGTTAAGACTGCTATCGAGGAGACCAAGGAGGAGAAATCCGAGGAATCCGAGAAGAAGGAAGAGGAGGAGGAAGAAGAACAGCCGCAGACCGTCATTCCTGAGACTTACAAGGTGGAGATCACTCCACAGAACCTGAAGGACTATGTTGGATCGCCAATTTACACTGCAGACAGACTGTACGAGACTACACCACCTGGAGTTGTGATGGGACTGGCGTGGACCTCAACGGGAGGTTCTGCGTTGTACATCGAGTCTATTTTAGAGCATGCGATCAACAAGGACTCGACACCAAAGGTGGAGCGGACCGGACAGCTGGGAGACGTGATGAAGGAGTCTGTGCGGATAGCGTACTCGTTTTCCAAGATGTTCCTTGCCAAGCGTTTTGTGGAAAACCGGTTCTTTGATCGGGCGCAGATGCATTTGCACTTCCCTGAGGGTGCGACTCCGAAGGACGGGCCTTCTGCGGGAGTTGCGATCACGTCGTCGTTCCTGTCGCTTGCCCTGAACCGGCCTTTGGAGCCGGACGTTGCGATGACGGGCGAGCTGACGTTGACGGGCCGAGTTCTGCGGATCGGCGGCCTGAAGGAGAAGACTCTGGCGGCCAGACGGTCTGGTGTCAAGACGGTGATCTTCCCGAAGGACAATCTGTCGGACTGGAACGAGCTGCAGGACAACATCAAGGAAGGCCTGACTCCTGTTCCCGTTGAGTGGTACGACGAGGTGTTCACCAAGCTGTTTGGCGACGTGACGTCTGCGGAGGGCAACGCCGTTTGGAAGAAGGAGTTCGACGCCATCGACGCAGCAGAGGCCGACAAGAAGTAAAGAGCAGCACCGAGGCATGTATATACACGGCTGTGCAATTTGTAACGGAGAGAAAAAAAAGTTCATCTATAAACCGGTGAGAGCAAAATGGGCAAGAAGAAGCCGCAAGACGAAGAGACCGACGCGCCAGACACGATCGACGAGCAAAAGACGCTCGAAATATACAAACAGGCGCTCACGTTCAACGTGATTGCCAAATACGACCCGCTGGTGGATCAGCTGGTGCATTTGACGTCGTACTGCGTGGTGTACGAGTTTGACTCTGAGCAGAACGACTGGGTGAAGCTGGACTTCCAGGGGCCTTTGGCGGTGTATTCACGGAAGAGCGAGGTGAGTGGGGGTGTTTCGAGCGAGCAAGTTGTTGGGAACGACGCTTTGTACACGTTTGGTTTGATAGTGTTAAACCGTATCAATCCGGCCAATTTTAGTGTCGGATTGATCAGCACCAAACAGCTGACCGACCCGGACGAAGGAATCATTGTGGAAAACACCGACCGGCTGATCATAGTGCGCGATCTGAGCCAGAAAACGTACGGGCTGTGGATCTTTGACCCGGCAGACAGAGAGTATATTTGCGAGGTGATGAAATATTGTATAGAAGGAGAACGGAAATGAATTAGAGGGTGTCGCTATCGGGCCGACGCTTGTAGGTGGCGCGTTTTTTGCGTGCAGACTCGTTGAGCTGCGGGAACGCGCCCGGCATGGGCTGCTGGTACATGGACGGGCTGGGTGACGAGACAGGGGCAGACCCTGGAGCAGGCCGTTTCGAGACCGGTTTGCGGACTTTTTTCTGTTTCCGGTCGCGACCAGGCGTGGTGTCTGTCTCTGGCAGCGAGGCCGGGCTCATGAACGCGGTGTTGCCCATCGACATCGGCGTAGACCCGGACCGCGAGTCTGGCGCCGTTTTCAGCTGCGTGTGGCCCGCCGCAGCCACCGCAGAGGCCATCTGTTCTTTCTGCTGCTGGTTCAGCATGCGCTCCTGGTTGATCAGCGCACGCTGCTGCTGGGTCATCCCGCCCAGCAGCCCGTTCATGCTCGGGTCGTTCATGTTCTGGTTCATGCCCCCGGAAATGGCCGCCTGCTTGATCAGCTCCACCTTGTGCCGCCACATCTCCACAAACCGCAGCCGCTGGAACTGGCCCGGCTCGTTGTTGTTGGTCTTGGCCGACTCGGACAGCCGGTTGTTGTGGGTGTACGACTCGCTCAGAATCGTCATTAGTTGCTCGTACTTGGAGTTTGTGTGCGGCAGGTCCTCGTGTAGAGGTTTGTACGGGTAGTTCTTGTACGAGAGCGGGTTCAGTTTCGTTGGATGCTCGTCCGAGTCGTACTCTCTCGCATCTGGGCGGTGCACAAACTTGAGAGTGTCCGACTCCGGGTCGTACTGCGGCTCCACCAGGTCGAACGGCCGCAACGACTTGTCCATATGGTACGGGTTCAGCACGGGCTGCAGGTTCACGTTCCTGTTGGTGGCCGTGAGCACCTCGCTCTCGAACGTGAGAGCAAACGTGTCGTGGAATTGCTGGCTGTCCGCGTGGTAGGCCAGGTCGTCGAACTGGGCCAGCTGCGTCAGCCGCAGCACCGTGCGATACTCCTTGGGCTTGGTTTTTGTCTCGGGCGTCTCCTGCTTCACTTTCGGGTCGGCCGTGGCCGGTTTCTCGTCCTTGACCGGAATTAAGTTGCGATGGTCAAACACTTTCAGAATCAGACTTCCGTCGTACAGCTGGACGCCTCCGTCCTTGATGATCTCCATCAACGCCTCGGGAATCTCGCCCTTTGCCACGTACTCGAGAAACTCCTTCACGGTGGGCGAGCTCTTCGGGATGATCGCGTCCTGGTTGCCGAACCGGTAGTGGTTCCCGTGGATGTGGAACTCGAGCGAGGCCGGATAGTTTTCGAATTTTTTCAGTATTTCCTCGCTGCTCTCGTAGAACCGTTGTGTTTTCGCTCTTCTTCGCAGCTGCTGGATCATCAGCATCTTGCGTTGTTGCGGGTTCAATTTCGCGAGCTGTTCCTGAGACAGCCCGAGGAAGTTTCTTTGGGGTTGTTGTTGTTGTTGTTGCTGTTGTTGTTGTTGCTGTTGCTGCTGCTGCAACATCTTCTTCTGCAAAAGCTGCTGCTGCTGCTGCGGCGTCAATTGCTGGCCCGACCGCGACGCATGCAATTGGGCCTGCTGTTGTTTGATCATCTGCTGGTGTCTCTTGAGCAGCATGATGTCCTGGTCCTTGAGCTCGCCCGACTGAATCATCTGCTCGAGCCGTTGCTGACGCGTCATGCCCGGCGGCGGCTGGATCGAGTTCAGCAGCCTCATCATATACGCCTGCGTACTGTTACTCATGGTGAAGAAGAAGACAAGATAAAAAATAATTCGCGACCTTTTCCAGGTGTAGAGGTGGGGGTGGGACATGGCAGGGGGAGACGGGGAGCGAGGATTTCGCGGTGGCAGCGCTGGACGGGGGTCAATTGACTGGACAAGACCAAGTTAGACGGCACATGTTGCGTTTGTCCAGATGAAAGAACCGCAAACCGGACCCCACCGTGCCAAGCCGGAGCCAAGCACCCACCATACACAGGACTTCGAGTTCAGCCCCCATGTTCACCATCGACACCGCTACACCCAACTGTAACACCCCCCCTCCCACATTTATTCCTCCCCCCTTGCTTTGCATAACTCCAATAACCCTCCTCCCGCTCCCACCCCTGCCTCGCCCAAAATTTCAGTACCTTGCTCACTTTCTTTTTCTTGTCTCATGATCCACCATGTCCATGGCGTTCCAACAGTACCAATACGTCCCCGTCGCCGAGCACGGCTATGAAGCCGCGCCCCTCGGCTACCCAGCAGCCTACCCGTCAAGAACCGTGTACCTGGGCAACGTTCCTGCCAACGTGGAGGCGCATGAGTTGCTCAACCACGTCCGATCCGGAACAGTGGAGTCGGTCAGGATTATCCCGTCCAAGAACTGCGCGTTTGTCTCGTTTCTCGACGAGAACTCCGCCACCCTGTTCCACTCCGACGCCACCCTCAAACACCTCACCGTTGCAGGCCACGAGATCAAGGTGGGCTGGGGGAAACCCACCCCGGTACAGCCCCTGGTGGCCTCGTGTGTTGCGCGCTACAACGCCACCAGAAACGTCTATCTCGGCAACCTGTCCCCGGCCACCACCACAGACGACCTGCTCCAGGACCTGCGCCAGTACGGATCAATCGACACCATCAAGATCCTGCCGGAGAAAAAAATCGCTTTTGCACACTACACATCCATCCTGTCGGCTATCAAGTGCATCCAGTCACTGCCTCTTCTCGACAAGTACAAGGACAAGAAGGTTTTCTACGGGAAAGATCGGTGTGCGTTTGTCACAAAGACACAACAGCACAACGCGGCACAGTACCTGGGACTCAACCCGAACGTGGACTCGTTCTCGTCCCAGGTCGACAGAGACGTGATTGCAGACTCGCTTGTGCGACAGAGCAGCGCGGCGGCGGTGATTGCCACGTCGGCCGCAGGCCCGGGAAACCAGGGAAATAGAACCATCTACTTGGGCAACCTGCACCCGGACTCGACGGTCGAGGAGATCTGCAACGTTTGTCGGGGCGGGATTCTGCATCACGTTCGGCTGATCCCCGAGCGTCACGTCTGCTTCATCACGTTTATAGACCCGGTCTCGGCAGCACAGTTCTTTGCAACCTCCTCGTTGCACGGCCTGGTGATCCACAACCGCAAAATCAAGGTCGGCTGGGGAAAACACTCGGGCCCGCTGCCCAACTCCATCAACCTCGCCGTCGGAAACGGCGCATCCAGAAACATCTACATCGGAGGCCTCGACAAAATTCCAGAGGTTAAGTTCACCAAGGAAAAACTATACACCGACTTTAAAGTGTTTGGAGAAACAGAGCAAATCAACTTCTTTGACGAAAAACACTGTTGCTTCGTCAACTTCACCAATATCTCCAACGCCATCAAGGCAATCGACGGCATTAGAAACAACCCCGATTACGTCAAGTGCAAAATCAACTTTGGCAAAGATCGTTGCGGTAACGCCCCAAGACACCACCAGAACTCCCAGGGAGTGCCGTATCTGTCAGGCCAGATCGTAAACGACGTCAACGGCCAGCAGTTTGGCGACCAAAGCGACGACGACGACGATTACCAGCAGCCCGAGCTCGCCACCCCTGCCGAAATGGAAAACCCAATGGGTATCTTCCGAACATCGGTGTGACTCTTTTCCCCAGCAGCCTGCATTTCCTGATATTCAGTTCATAGTCTTTATTTCGATATCATTTTGTTCCCTTTACCGTTTCTCCATACCCGAGCGTAGTGACTCTTTTCGGGAATACTCTTGCGCTTATCTCTGTGCGTCCCCTGTGTTAGCCGATATTTTTCCCCAAGTTTCGCCTATCCAATATCATATAAAATTCAACCGGGACCCTTTCTTCTGGCCATTTATTCATGTGGGACACTCTGCAGAAGTTCTCCGGCAAGATCGACTCGCTGGGAGTCGAGTCGCGCGGACTCGAACGATGCATGCCCTACGAACGGTCCCAGTCGCGAGCCTTGGTGCTGTCCATCATCGGCTTGTGGATATCGGGCTGCGGAGGACTGACGTCCATGTCCTCGTTCTTCCTGGGCCCGCTTCTGTTTGGCCTCGGATACAAGGACTCGATGGTGGTGGGTCTGCTGGGCACATTGCTCGGCTGCGTTTTGCCTGCCTATTCCGCAACCTTGGGTCCCAGGTCTGGCTTACGTCAGCTGTGTCTGATGCGGTTTCTCTTTGGACGGTTTGCGATCCGGTTTGTGTGTCTGATCTCGGTGATCGGCATGGGGGGTTGGACGGTGAGTAACGCTGTTCTTGGCGGCGAGATTCTGCGCGGCGTGAGCAACGGGAGTCTGCCCATCGAGGTCGGAATCATCATTGTCAGTGTTCTGAGTCTGGTCGTTGCTGTCTTTGGAATCAAGCTTGTTCTCAAAATCGAGACGGCTATTGGAATCGCTGTGATCATCACTGTCCTGTTGATGTATCCCATGGCACGCTCAGAAATTACCATCAACCACGACACCGTTTCTGTCGGCAGCAATTTGACAGTTATTGGCAACCGGCTCTGTTTCTTCACGCTCTGCTATTCTGTGACGGCAACGTGGGCCGGAATCGCGAGCGACTACTACATCCTGTTCCCTGAGAATTTCGGGCAGACTAAGACTTTCTTTCTGACGTTTTTTGGGATAGCCGTTCCCACGGTTTTTGGGGCGGTGATTGGTCTTTTAATCGGCAACGCGGCATTGGTGAACGAGAATTGGAACGCAGCGTACGAAAACGACTCCATTGGCGGGTTGTTGAACGTTGTTTTTGACAATTGGGGCAATTTCGGCAAGTTTTTGCTGATTGTGCTCTGGCTTTCATTAATGACCAACAATATCCTCAACCTGTACTCATCGGCCTTCATGATCCAGATGATGGACCCATGGATCCACCGCAACATCCCGCGGTGGCTGATGGTGATTGCGGTTTTTGCAGTGACACTAATTTTGGCAATGGTGGGCCGCAACAAGCTCAGCACCATCCTGTCCAACTTCTTGCCGATGCTTGGATACTGGATCACGATCTACATCGTGTTGCAACTGGAAGAGAGCTTGATCTTCCGGTCAACTGGTCTGTACAGCCTGTTTCACGCAGAACACAAACACAAGGAGGTGTTCGAGGAGGTGTCCAAGGACCAGACCAACGAGCTCTGTTATGTTCAGGAAGAACAAATGGAGATCAAACCCCGGTATAACTTTGCCATATGGGACAGACCAGACTACCAAACGCACGGAATCGCTGCGTCGATAGCCTTTTGCATGGGAATCGTGGCGGCCGTGCTGGGAATGGACCAGGTGTATTATATCGGGGTGCTTGCTCGCAAAATAGGAGACTATGGCGGGGACATTGGAGACTGGCTGATTATTGTGTTTACAGGATTGAGCTATCCTCCTCTTCGGTACGCCGAACTTCGAATCTTTGGCAAATAGACGTTAATTAACACTCACTGTTAGGTATTACCCCTTTAGTTATTATTGGTTGCTCCCTTTTTCGCAAACAGCGACACCAGGTAGTACTTGAAGAACCATTTGAGAGAGTCCAGAATATGGACCATCGACAGGATCCAGGCTGCGGATTGTTCCTTGGGCTGCTTTTTAGGTTGTTCTGGCGAGCTCACCTGTTTTGTTTCCAAATCGCGGTCTTTTCCCACATCCACCCATCCTGACGAGTCGGCTGAGTCTGGCTCTTGGTGGGTTTGTTCCAACATCGCGTCTGTGACCACCAGCACGTTATTCTCGATGCCCGATTCATCTGGTTCACGCGGCTCGTCTGGAGAACACACCCATTGCTCGTTATCAACAACAAACTTGTACATCAGTTTTGTCCCCTCTTCCACGGGTTTGTCTAGTTTCAACGTTGTTTTCCACACCCCGTTGAGGGGATCAAATTCCAACTTATCTTTGGAAGAAGACCATTCATTAAACGATCCAGCAACATAAACTCCACCATGGACGTGGTCCTGGTCCGATAGCTGAAACTCGATGCAGTACATAAAGAGGGAGTAAAAAAAAAGGTGATCAATAATATCCTTTAACCACAGCTGTAATTTACGCGTCGATCAAGCCAAATCACAAGAACAAGCGTTAAAGATTAAAACACACACTTTTATTTCCAACTGTTGTTTCTATTAGTGCTTTTCACTGCCTCACCTGACGGTGACCTGATCCCCTCAGATAAACACCCGGGGCCGATCGACGGGTCGGTACTTCAACAAATTTATTACCCACTTTTTTATTGTTTTGTTTTCTCTGTGTTTGGCCAGATGTCTCCCTCTGGCTCTTTAGACGGTGACTTACGAGTCGATTTGACTCCTGTTCAAAACCACATGCCACATGAACGTCGCGAGATAACAGAAACCTTGCGAAAAGCCCAGCTTGGCCAGACCCTGGCGCCTGAAAAACTCAACAATAATTACAACTACCTGGGCAGCAAGGATAATTCGACGCCGTTGTCGTTTGCGTCGGCCAACAAGACACCAGTGTCGATCTTGAAAAATTCGTCGCTCAGCCCGGACCGCAAGTCTGTTAGTGAGGACTTTGTCAACTCGCAGCCCGGGCTCCGAATGTCCAAGACCCAGGACGGCCACTTGAACCCGGTCAAGGGCGCCTACAACGTGTTTGATAAACGATTTCCCACGTCAGGATCGCCCATGAACCTTACAAACAGGAAAAGAAGACGTCTTTCAAACACAAACCCCCGTCCATCGCTCGAAACCAACAAATCAACAATCCTGCAACAAGCGGCCCCAAAACAGCAGAAATCGTACTCCAAGCTGGTCTACACGCTTCTCTCAGACCCGCAATGCGCATCGAACCTCACTCTGGTGGTCCAGATTCTTCTCAACACCCTGGTTTTTGTGTCGTTCGCTACTATGGTGTTGTTTTCGTTCCTGGCAATCAAACACGATGCCGACCGCAAGATCCAAGGATACTCCAACAAACTCATGCACGAGATCTCTCTGTGCAAACGAGAATACTTCAGAAACAACTGTTCTCCCGAACTGCGTGTTCCAGCATTGGAAGAACCCTGCAACGAATGGGATAACTGCATGAACAGAGATCCCGAATCAGTGATCACCACGGTTGCCTACTTTGAGATCATGGCCGACTGTATGAACGCGTTCTTCCACAACCTGAGTTTCCGGACGCTTTTCGGACTCATCTTGTTGATCCTGTTCTTGGTTCTTGTTCCAAACGTGTTGTTCAACAAATTCAGGTCTTCCAAAACTACAACAACCAACAATTACTACACATTCAATCCGGACCAGTCCAATGCAAATGCGTCGCAAATATCGCAGATGTCTCCACTGCGGTCGCCAACACGGTCTCCACAACGCATTTTGGACTCTTCTGTCTACTTCACTCCTCCGGCAGCGCTGCTATTACGAGATGACAGTGCCAAAGTGACCGGATCGAGCGTCAGATTCGATACGAACGTTAGTTATCATGAAATCCCGGGACTGGAGGCCAGTCCTCTAAGTCGGTTCGTCAACAAGGATAAATATTAATACAAATAATTGACATTGTACATATCTACACGGCCACTTTCTTTCCACCCATCAACTGGCTCAACAGCTCGGCACTGTTATTACTCTTGATATTATCCGAGCTGGAGGCCGGGAAAAGTCCTGGTGGAGGAGGAGTGGCTGTGCTTGGTTTATCTAGACGCAGAGCCTTCAGTTTCTGTTCCTGAAGGAGCTGTTGTTGTAGAAATTGCTGTGCAGATTGCTTTCCGGCTTGAAGAATGCTGTTTTGATATCTCTGTGGCTGAGGCTGGTAGAATTGTTGTGAAGGTTGTGCTGCTTGCACAGGCTTGGCAGCCTCAGGAGAAACAGACGACTTGTAGCTGTAGTTCTTGCTGAACGGAACGAACAACAACGAGTCGATCAGCTTGGACATGTGCTGTTTGTTGTCTTCTGGAGAGATCAAAGTGTTGTGCATTTCTTCTGTATTGAACCGGTGGAAAGGCGCCTGGGCAGGACTTTTTCTCAAACTGGCCTTGATCGTGTAGGAGAACTCGTCGTGACTATTGAGCAGCTTGAGGTTCTCGTCCACCATCTTGAAGCACAGCAGAGGGTCTTCAATGATACCGATGTCCTTGCTCTTGTCTTTCTTCTTCTGTTGGATAGTTGGTGTTTTCACTGGTCTTTGCAACAGAGCATCGCCCAAAGATGGGAAGGCAGAAAGTCCGCCAGGAACAGGAAGGTCGTTGATGGAGGATGGACCAAGGCTCGACTGGGACTGGACTTTGGCCCACGAGGCCGTTGGAGGAAGAGCAGGCATGTTTTCGTCGTCGTGGGCAGAAGCAGGAGCGGGCGACGGAGTAGGAACCGCAGACACCGGTTCTGGGGAGGGTTGTTCTTCGTGGTGAGACGACGACGACGAGGCGGGAGGAGGAGGAATCAGACCGTTGGTGGCACTTCTTTCCTCGTACTTCTTGTTGATGGCACGAGTGGACAAATCTTTCCGAGTGTACGAATCGGCCTCTTCTCCTGGCTCGTGCAAGAACATGCAGTTTGGGTTTGGACAAGGCTGTCCTCTAAGGTAAGAAGAGCAGTACTTTGTTGTTCCATGGGCAGCCTTGAGGACCCGTCCATCGCTGATCGAGCCGTCAACAGCAGCAATGCATCTGGAGGCGTCTTCTTTCCGAGCAAACGTGACATAAACGCCATATCCCGGGTTGGTATGATGCGGGTTGTTTGGGTTTGGAGTTCTCTTGTTGATGACGATTTTCGAGATCTTACCGTACTGACCAAAATACTTGTCTGACCGCAAGACTGCTGGTAAATCTTCTGCACTACATGGTGGATTTAGACCCACCACATACACCAAATTCTGCTGGATGACTCTCATGCCTGCGAGATGGTGACGTTTAGCCTGTTCGGCGTCCTTCCGTTCCTTTTCCACTTGTCTTCGTTCCCGTTTCTGTTTCTCCTTACGAGCCTGGTTGATCTTCCATTCTTCGGCTGTAACGTTCTTGTGCACCACGTTCTTGTCCTCGTACTGTCGACGACACGCAGGACATTTACCGTTGAGCTCCGGGTTCGTTCTGATGTTGTTGTAACAAAACTGACACACCTGGTACCCACAAGGACATGGCCAGAAGTTTTTATCTGTGATGTCCATTTCCTCCACACAGAGAGGACACAAATCGTCTTCTTCGTCGGGCACAAACGAGTCGTTTTTATCTATAGCTAGATCCAGAGACATGGTGAGTGTTAATGACGGTTTATATGAATATTTTGAAACTTATTTAATGTTTGCCATTAAATTGTATTACTTGCACAGACCTAGTTCTGGCAGTGGAAAAGACGGTTCCACCATACAAAAAAATTAGTATCCCATACTAACGCGACTCTGTCACTTGTACATAACACAGACACTTTTCTTGTCCCGATATGGAATCGCAGGTGGTGCAATTGATCTCGTACCAGACGAGTTCCGATAATTACACGAGAACGCGGGCTGAACAGGAGTTTGACCAGCTGTCGCGGTCCGATCCGTCCCAGACTCTATACACTCTTGTTGTTGTTGGCACGTCTGACCAGGTGGACTTTGGCGTTCGCCAGGCCGCATTGCTGCACATCAAACGACTTGTTCCCAAGTTCTGGTCGCCCGCGTTCGACTCGTACGAAGGTCCGTCCACCGTCCAGACAGAAGCCAAACAGTTCATCAGAGACGGTCTCTTGAAACTGGTGGGCGATCCAGACTCCAAGATCAGAAATTCGGCCAGCTACGCGATCACACAGATCGCCGCCGTGGACTACCCGGACGAGTGGCCGTCGTTGCTGTCCAATCTGTACGACATGGTCACCGACACGAAGAGCACTCCGAGCCAGGTGTTGGGCTCCTTGGGCGTGTTGCAGGACCTGTTTGACGACTTGATCCCGGAGGAACAGTTCTTTGAGGGTGGTGTTTCCATGAGGATCATGCAGACCGCCGAGCTGATTCTCAACTCCGACTCGTCCACCCACCAGATCAAGGCACAGACTCTCAAACTACTGAAAACGGTCATTGAGATCCTCAACACGGCAGAGATCTCGGGCAATCAGGCCCGCGCCCAGTTCGTCGACCAGGTTGTTCCGCACGTGCTGGACCTGCTGGCCAACATCGCCGCTGGCTTTGTCCACGACAAGTCGTCGCTCGACTCGCTTTTTGTGGCTGGACTGAAAAACGAGCTGTACGGGTGTCTGACCTCGCTGGTCACCTCGTTCCCGCGGGTTGCCGAGTCCATCAACGGCCGCCTTCTCGAGACAGTTTTGGAGGAGATCAACAACATGGCTTCCGTGTACGTGCCGTTTCTCACGGTGGAGGACATGGACGCGGCCATCAACTCTGCGTTCCGGGACTCCAAAGAGTTTCAGGCCAGCCAGACCGAGCGGATCGAGTCGTCCAAGAGTCTTGTTACGCTGATCGCCTCGGAAATCGAGTTCTTGCAGTCGTTGCTCGACCTGTCGAACGACGTCGTTCCAGGCCCCGTGCTGCAGAAACTGTGTGCTTTGCTGGTCCAACTGAGCGGATTGCCGGTGGAAGCACAGTCCGGTTTCGAGGACGATTTCAACGAGTTTGTGAGCGTCGAGACAGAACTCTCGATCGAGACCGGAACGGCCGTCAGAGACGCCGCCAAAGATCTGCTGGAGAGCGTCACTGCGTCGACCAACCAGTCCATGATCAACCAGCTCGTCCAGACGTTTACTACCCAAGTCCACGAGGGTGCCGACTGGAGACTGCTCGAAAGCACTGCGTACCTATTGATGTGTCTGTTCTCCAACGATACCGGCTCGGAAGACGCAAACGTGCCGTTCAAGCTGCAGGATCTGCTGGAGTTTGTGATCAACCTAATTCCAGCACACATTGGTGATTCACAGCTGTTTGTGTCGCGACTCGTTTTGCTGGTTCCCAAGTACATCTTGCGGTACGAGTCGCAGCTCGAGACGTTCAGCGTGTCGTCATTGGAACAGATCCTCGCTGTGGTGCACAAACTGGACCACGGCTTTGAGATCGTCAAGGCTGCCAGTCTGATTTCGTTCCAGTACTTTAACCATTTTGTGCGGTCGTCGCAGTTCTCCGAACAAACACAGTCGCAATTGCTGGATCTGGTCAACCAGATCATGAACGACGCCACAGAGGACGCCAACATCATGATCCTCGAGTCGTTGACCATCATCATTAATATCAACAACACCGCTCTCGTGCAGAACGAGGCTATCTTCAACCTGTGTCTTACCATTGGGTTCAGAGACTGCTCCAACTACTCGCTCACGGCGTCAACGCTGGAGTGTATCGAAGACCTGCTCAAGGACATTCCACAGGAAAACTACCTCAACCTGTGCTACAAGGGCCTCGAGCCATTACTCAAGATTATCGCCGACTCCAAGGGCCAGTACTCGCCTGAGCTCGACCTTTCATTGCAGGTGCTCACGGTGTTCATCAAGGGCCCCAACCAGGACTCCCAGATTCCCCAGGACGTGTTCCAGTTCCTATTCCCCGAGATCTGCAACCTCATTCTCAGCTGCGACGATGACGAGACTCTGCAGTCGTCGTCCGAGGTGTTCAACGGTCTGCTGGCCAAATCGTCCCAGTTCATCATGTCGTACCGCGACCCGGCCTCCGGCACCTCGGGGGACGAGCTCGTGCTCAAGATCCTATCCAAGTTTCTTTCGCCGTCCATGAGCGACCGGGCAATTGTCCGCCTCGGCGACCTGGTGGTGCTGCTGATCCAGAACTTCAGCTCAGAGGCGTCTGTGTGGCAGTACTTTGAGGACATTCTAAAAGCCGTCACTCTGAGACTCATCTCTGCCAAAGAAATGATCACCATCGAGAACCTCGTGCTCATTTTCAACACGCTCACGGTGCAACAGCCGCAACAGACAATCGACTTCCTCGCAAATTTCTCTGTGGACAACCGTCCAGCACTCGAAAAAGTGATCCCCGTGTGGTTGCAGTCGTTTGAGGTGATGCGTGGCTACGATAAAATCCTGTCCAATATTAAGGCCTTTATTGAAATCTACAAGCTGAACGACCAGCGACTCAAGTCGTTTGCGGTCAACGGCGACGTGATCCCTAACCAGATCCCGGACGACGTGATTGTCACGCGGTCCATGTCCAAGAAAATGCCCATCAAGTACGAGCAGATCGGCGCGGACGTCAAAATCATCAAACTTCTGCTCAGCGAGTTCAAGTTCCAGGAAAAATCTGCCCAGAGAGCACAGCACGCACAACAGGTCCAGAAACCAGACAGCGACGATGACGACGATGGCTGGGAAGACCTCGACGAGGTCGGGGTGCCCACGTTCGAACAGCTGCGTCAGTACGCCGAAGAAGACGAGCAAACAGGCCGTTCCGTCGCAGACAACAACGGCGACGATATCCGCCAGTTGCTCGGCTCCTTCTTCAAAGAATGTACAGCCAGAAACACCTCTGGGTTCCACGAGATCTACTCGTTGCTCAGCGAAGAGGACAAGCGGTTCCTGACCGAATACGTTGCATTCACATAGCCATAATCAGACTTCCAGCTTGAAATCAAACGTCACCTCCTTGATCACGGAATCGATTCCGTTTGTCATAAAAAGACTGCTTCTTGCAGCTTGTTCCGCGTCCTCTTTTGTATCCTCTGTAGGTTTCTGTTCGTCAGCAATTTCCTTTTGCGCAGACTGTGCAGAAGTGTAAAAGATCTTTGGGTTGGTTCTGAGTCTGGAAAACGGATCGTTGAAGTTGTTGCTGAGCAGCTGTTTCTGTCTACTCTCGACGTTCTTCTTCTCTGCTCTTCTGATGGCGGTCTCGTTGGTCTTCTTGTTACGCAGGTTGATCTTGTCCATTCTCGAAAGCTCTCCCGAGTCCGCATGAACGTACTTGGACAGCTCGTCGATCTGTTTGGTCAAACGCTCCACATTGCCCAGATCCTCTCTTTCAACAGCAACCTGCAACTCTTCTCTCAACCTGGCGAGTCTCTTGACTCTGTTACCCGAGTCCATCGTGGCCACGGAAATGGCCTCTTTACGTGCAACCATCTTGTTGATATCCTCGTCAGTCAGTTTTCGGGTGGACATGTCTCTGAGTTCTCTGAACTTGGCGTCCACATCGCCCAGCGACGGCAGCTCCAAACTGGAGTCCTCGAGCCGTCTCTTGTACGACTCGAACTCGCTCGGACTGATTGGCGAGTCGGAAAGACACTTCATATCGATAAGTTTCTTGGAATCTCCTTGCGAAACAACCAAGTACGTGTCGCACGGCTTGTTCAACAAATGGTATGGCTTTCCGCCGCGTTTCACCTCCTCGATCTTGGCCATTCTGTACTGCGACTGTCCTGTTTCTCTGGAAACACCAACATTGACCCGGACAAACGTGTTTCTGATCACCTGGTCAAACTCGTCTCTAAACAGGAACCGTGACAAAATCGTCCGACTCGAACGCACTTTGCTATTAACGTCCTTCAAAGTAGCGTCCTGGTAGTACTTGTCGTCGTAATCACTAGTGTGCGATTTTCTTTGACGAGATTCCACCTCGTCAGAGTAGTATCCTTCCTCGTAATCGTCCTCCTCGTCTTCTTCAGCAGCCATAGTGTCCTCCATATCTTCGTCCTCGGAGTCTGCTCTCTGTGTCTTTCTGGTCTTCTTTTCTCTCTGTTTCTTCAACTCGTGTAGCTTGCTAGTACGCAATTTTTTCCCCGTGGGCTCTGCCGTCTTGAGGGCGCTCGACTCGGCCTGGCTTTGCCTTGCCCTCAAAGCAAGATACCGTCTCTCACGGTACTTTTCTCTCTCCTGTTCACGATCGTACAGGACCTGTTCTCTGGTGACCTCGTCCATGCTCAACAACGCAGCCTTGTCCTCCTCATCTTTGAACTTGCCCTCCAACGGATACGGGTCTTGTTTGGATTCGTCGTCCTCGTCGTCCTCGTCGTCGTCCACGGTCTTGCGCTTGAGCCCGCTTGTCCGCGAAGTGGTCTGCAACGTTGGCTCGTAATCGCTTTCCTCTCCCTCGGAGCCCATTCCGGCAAGGGCCAACAAATCGTCATCACTATCACTCATATTGTTAAACTATCCAAGTTTTCTTTGTTGGTTGATTTTTTCTAAACAACGCTACCCGGACCCGGCACAGCCATTAAAAAAATAATTAGAGGAAAGGCACCTCCAATTGTTTCCATTATGACGGGATCGCGACATTTGTCCCAGGATTCGCACGAGGAACCGCATGGTTTGGGCGGCCCGCAACGAACGCGGTCGTCCACCGCCAAGAGATCGCCCTCGATTCTTGTCACGGACGCCAGAAAGAACCAGATAAAGGCGCCTTTTGCTGGCCATAAACAAGAGAGAATCAAAAAGTCCGGCCAGCCAGATAGGGTCTCGCCGCCTGCGTGGGTCAAGTCTTCTTCGTCGAAACAACGGCGACCTGTCTCGATGACCAAATTTAGCGACATTTCCGTCTCCAACATCATCTCCAATATCAGTGATATTCCTTCTTCAAGACAAAGAGAACTCCCACGAAATGTTTCTCCTAATGCGCAATACATCAACAATCTATCGCGATCGGGTCCCCGGATGGTCCCGCAATACTACAAGACTCTTCCTACAAGAACGTCCAAAACGTCGCAGAAACTCGTTCTGATTCCAGACCATGATCAGGTCCCGTACTCAATTGACGATGACGAGGCCGCGTTGCTGCGGAACCACGAAATCGGCGAGGAAACAACCACAGATAACATTTTCAACAGCACGCACGTCCGCACAAAGGCAGAGAAACTGTCAAAGGAACAGAGAGCAGACGTTTATCCAAGAGTGACGGCCTATTTGATCTCGGAAGGGTTTAATTTGAACCTGACAAGCAAGTTCTTGTCAAAATACCACATGGTTTCTCCAAGACTGTACGACGAGGCTCTTTATGTGCCGTACACTTTGCCGTTGCTTCCTGGAGACAACGGGTACCGAGTCCAGTCTAACAACTCGGCCAAGATGCAGCATGGTAACCAGCTGTTGGAGAATTTCCTCGACAAGACAGAACAGAGAGACCACCATTACGAGTTCTATTCGGGTCAGGACGGAGACGTCCAAAGCATCGGGTCGCCGAAAATGAGTCCTGCTGGCAGTCTCGTGGAGGAACAGCAGCACAACAACGAGTTTGATCCGTACGAGCCCCAGTTTTTCGTCAGCAGCAGTCCCACCGACAGCATGTTGTTGGAGGAGGAGGCTCGTGATAGTGACTCGGCGGGAGAGGCAGAAAAGACCTCAAAGTCCAGCGACACGTCTGCGATCGACGACACAGAGTCGTCTGACCGTTTGGAAAAAAACGGACACGGGACTCGTCGTAAGTCGTCGACATCGTCTAAGAAACGGGCCAACTTGCCCGACTTGACCAAACACGCCGAGATGTTTGTTCTGGACTACGGAGTGGTTGTTTTCTGGAACTTCACCGAGATCCACGAAAAGAACATTCTTGCGGACCTTGTTTTCGCCAAGATCCAGCCCGGCGAGTTCGAGCTTGACGATGACGACGACGACGACCAGCACGACCCGTCGTTCCCGAACTACTCGCTCACGTCGTCCAACAGCAACGAGGAACAGCCCCAGACGCCGGTCACGTTTATCGTGAAGCCTGTTCCCGAACATAATATCGAGACCGAGGAGTTCCACTTTGAGTACATCAGCGACATCCCCACGCCACGGATTTACAACGACATGATCACGCTCAAGTCCGGTGACCATCTGATCAAGCTGACGGTGTCGCATGCCATTGCACAGTCCACCAAGCTGTCTATGTTCGAGAGCAAGATGAGCAACATTCTGAACTCGATCTCCAGACTGCCCAAAGCCCTGGCTCTAACAGGCAAGTTACAGAACTACACACGTCAGAAACTGCTCATCAAGACCGGAAAACTGTTCCAGCTACGTAACGAGGTGAACTTGTCGTCCAACGTGCTGGATAAGCCAGAATACTTCTGGACAATCGAGCCCGGTCTCGACCCATTGTACTCGGCCATTCGCGAGTACTTGGAGATCGACCAGCGAGTTGAGGTGATCAACGACAGATGCAAAGTGTTTTTGGACTTTTTCGACATTCTGGCAGACTCGTTGGCAGAACGCACAATGACCAAGATTACTACGATTTTAATCATCGCGATCGGACTCAGCGTGCTGGTTTCCATGGTTGAGATTCTTATTCGATACTTGATCATTCACAGATTGGAGTGATTAACTACTTAAGCTTTGGCTCCGTACTTGTTGACGCTCTTTCCGTCTGGAACAGTGAAGAACACAAGACCGTTGTCGGTGGAGTCGAGTCTGAAGTATCCCTTTCTTTCGAACTGGATCACGTCGCCCACCTTCAGGTCCTTGACGTTGACGTCGGCAATGGCCTTGGTATGGAACTCGGTCTTTGGAGTGAGGAAGTCCTCAAAGTTGTCACCCTCGTCCAATTTGTCCTTGGTGATCAGATGGTCAAAGTCCACCAGGTCCACATGAACAAACTTGTCGGCAGCAAGCCAGGTCAACTTCTTGCTGGTCTTTCTGAAATCTCCGTCCAGGTGCAAAGTGGCCTGGATCTCCTTCACCAGTCCGTCCTCCTTGATCACCTTGTCACAGATAACGTTACCCCAGTCCATGAAGGTGACCTCCTCGCCGTCGGCAATGGCCTTGGCGTCCTCTTGCTCCAACAAAAGATCGGAAGAGAAGTACACCTTCTTGGTTCCAACGTCAGGATTCTTCTTGTGCTTAGGTCTGTCTTCAGAAAACTCCTTTTCTGGACCCTTAGAGAGCTTCACGTGAACAAGATGGTCCTCGGCAAGAGCAGTGTGTCTTGGAGCAATTGGATCAATCACCTTCTTGTTGGCAGACCAAATGATGTTCCAGTCCAAGTTGATAATGTTCTTGGATGGACCTTGCGAGATCACAAAGTTCCGCAGTCCCTCAACACTCATACCTCTTCTTCTAATACCTCTGACAGTTGGGAATCTTGGGTCGTCCCAGTTCGAAACGTACTGCTTGTCAACAAACCATTGCAACTTTCTCTTGGAAAGCAAGGTTCTGATAAAGTTGACTCTGGCAAAATCCCAAACGTGCACCTTTCTCAGGTTCAAAGCCTGCAGAATCCACTCGTACTGGACGTTTCTGTCTCTGTACTCGATAGTTCTCAATGCGTGAGTGACTCCCTCTATAGCATCAACAATAGGAACACAGAAGTCGTAAGTAGGGTACATCTTCCACTCGGAACCAGTACGGTGGTGAGGAGTCAGGTTGCATCTGTAGATAACAGGGTCTCTCAGAGTCTTGTTCAAAGCACTGTAGTCAATCTTGGCTCTCAAACAGTTCTTCAAACCTTCCTCGGTACCGTTCTTCATCTCTTCAGTGAACACGCGCAAGTTCTCCTCAACGGTTCTATCTCTTCTGGCAGACTTGATACCGTCCATTCTTTCGGCTCTCATCTGCTCCAAAGGAGTGTCGTCACAGTACGCCTTTCCTTCCTTGATCATCTTGACGGCAAGGTCGTACATCTCATTGAAATAATTGGACGAATAGGTGATCTTGTCACCTTTAATGCCCAACAGCTCCAAATCTTCCAGAATGGAGTCCTGGAACTCGACCTTCTCCTTGGAAGGATTGGTATCGTCGAATCTGATGATCAGCTTTCCGTGGTAGGCCTTGGCGAAATACTGGTTCAACAAAGCAGCCTTAGCGTGACCAATGTGGAGGTATCCAGAAGGTTCAGGAGGGAATCTGGTAACGACCTGGCCGTCCTTTGCGTCTGGAAGATCGATCTCGAAGTTGGCCTTGTGGGTCTCCTTCTTGGTTCCAGCCTTGGAAGCCTTTCTGATCTCGGCCAACGATTTGGTCAACAGCTCAACAACACCTCCAAATCTCTCGTCAGATTCCAGGTACTGGTACCATCTGGTGATGTTGATGTAGACAGCGTTCTTCAAAACAGATCCCATCACGGCGTTGGCACGCAGAGCTCCCCAAGCAGCGATGTCGGCAACAGAGGCGTCGTAGCCAACAATGAACGATCTCAAACTCAAATGGGAGTCCAGTTTCTCCAGATCAACAGAAAGCTTCTTGAAGTCCTTGACGGTGAGGTTCTCGTAAGCGAACTTAACCCAAGGCTCAGAGGCAGACTTCTCCAAGAACAAGTGAGGGAACTTGTCAGCAAGATGGCTCAAAACCTCTGGGCCAGAGGTGATGGTTTTGTCTCCATCAACCAATCTCAAGGAAGAGTTGATCTCTTTGGAAACAACCTTGTCGTCAATAAAGTCAATTTCCAACGACTTTTCTGTTCCGTTGTTAATGAAGGAAGCAGCTGTCAAGGCAGCGTAGTCCACCAATGGAGCTTTTCCAGCAATTTCCAATTTGAAGGACATGATTTAAAAGAATAAATTAAACTTTATTCCAGTTGGACAAAAAAATTTGACGCTTATGTAAAGCACCAGCTGGAAAATTTGTTTTATCCATGGAGTTTAGCAAAGTGTATCCATTGCAATCGCGCGCGTCGGACGCGTCGGTGAAACAGCCCAAGGAACTGATTGGGTATTCGAGAGATATCAACGGTGTCTATCACATTGATGATTCACAGCTGAGTTACTATTATTTTCCCGATAGCCAGATGAATGTTCCTGGTGGAGTGGATCTCCAGGCTGGGTTCAAAGAGTTCCAGGCGAACGGCGAGGACTTTGGCGAGTTTTCCGGGTTGCTGGCTGCTCTGGAGGTTGTTGAGCGCAAAAACTCAGCCAAGACCCCGGTCGATATCATCACTTGGAGAGGACTCATGAGAAGTTTGATGACCCTTCCCTTCTTCAACAGAGAAAAGCTAGTTTTCAACATTGTTCCTTTTGACGGCCAGTTGTTCATCCAACAGGACTTCCAGAACGCCAGAGAGGCCGCCGAGCTCGAAAAATTGTCGAGATCAGACCTCAATAAACGTCAAATGTTCTCTGGGTACAAGTTCGAGCAGGTCTCTACTCTGTCCAAGCCATGGGCTCAATGTACACGCAAGGAAATCGAGCAGCGCGGCAAGGTTCCTGTGAATAACATCGAGCAGTACGCGACCGTGGTCAAGACCTCTTTCGGCAAAACAAACCTTGTCATGGGAGCAGAAGTTGACTGTGTTTTTGATTACAAGCCCGAGGACTCTGATCCGCTTCCGCATTACGTCGAGCTCAAGACAACACGTATACTGGACTCGCCCAAGTCTGTGTTTTCCTTTGAGAACAAACTGTTAAAGTTTTGGGCCCAATGTTTCCTAGTTGGTATTCCAAAGATTATCTGTGGATTCAGAGACGATAACCTGATATTGCGCACAGTGGAGGAATATAGAACAGACAAGATCCCTGTGATGGTGAAAAACAACCCGCTTCCGAACAAAAGCCCATCCAAGAACAAGTTCATGCAATCGCTCAAATTTTTCAACGGTCTGATCAACTGGATAAACGAAACTGTTCCTCGTGACGAGACGAGAACATACCGTTTGGTGTTTGACCCAACGGTTAACCCAAACTATTTGAACTTGAGCGAAAATTCGCCAGATCTGACAGCCTCGTTGCTGGACCCGGAATCGGGGGTGATTCCTAGAAAGTTTAGAGATTGGCGGTCTGAGCTGGCTGCTACCTCGACAAATGTGTAGATCATAATGAAATGTAATCTGAACGACTCAAGTATCCGGCTGGGCGGCCTTCATTTCCTCCAATTTCGAGGTCAGCTCGGCATCCAACTCAGAGCTCTCATTAACAGATTTGGTCACGTATCCCTTCAACAGATCGTTGATCTCGTCTAGAACCTTTGTTTCCTCTGTCTTTTCGCTATGGGTTTCTGACAGGCGGTTGAGCAGCTCTGTCTGGATCAATGCAACCACCCGTCCTTTGTTCTGTGTCAAAATGCTGGGATCTTTGTTCACCTTCAAATCGATCAGTTTTTGAAGCAACTCATTCAGCTTCGAGTCGTCCGATGAAACAAAACTATCTAGCAATTGTTTCCGTTTCAGATCAAAAAGTCCTTCTTTCTTATAGCCGTTGATCAAAGTATGAGCATTCATCAGGAACCAAAATAAAACAAAGAAAAATATTTTATTTATCTCCCACTTTGATTATCTACCAAGATGTCTTTACAAGTTCCCCCATCGCCAATCTCCGCCAATCTTACTCCTCCGAAATCCCGAAAACGACTAGATGGCCCACCATACAAATGTGACTTTCCAGAATGCTCCAAAGTGTTCCAGAGATCCGAACATCTTTCCAGACATAAGCTGAATCATAATCCAAAGAAGATCTTCCGTTGCGACTACCCGGCATGTGGGAAGACATTTGTGCGCAATGACTTGCTAGTTAGACATAACAAACGACATGAGGCCAGAAACGAAAAGACAAACACCTTCACCAAACAGTTATCCTCAGCAAATAGCATTGTGCAAACCCACAAACAGGAACAACCCCCTACACCCACGGCAACAGCCCCCGACGAATCGGCTCCGAGTCTGATCAGCTGGCTGTTCCAGGACGAAAACAAACCTCTGGGCCAATACACGTCAGAAGAAATGTTCTCTACAGACTTCTCTGAACTGTTCTCTAATAACGGCCAGAGCTTCTTCTTGCAAGAAGGGTTTGAAGACCTATCGCCGTCAACGGCTATTTTGTCCGATCAAACAGCTCCGCTGGAGAACCCGCGCTCCGAGTACTCCAAAAACGAATACCAATTGACCGACCTGAACATGATCAAGTTCAAAACACTAATTCCCAGTCTCGCAACCCATCCCGACTTTGTGCAGTTCAAGCTCGAAAAACTGCTCAGAACATACTGGAAGTTCTTCCATGCTAGGTTCCCTATTCTACACAAACCGACGTTTGTTGCGTCGCAGACCCCTCCCATGTTGCTTCTGTCAATGTTCATGATCGGTGCAAGATTGTCCACCATTTTCCAAGACTTCTACTCCCCGGACCATATCATGGATCCACATACATTTGCAGATACCATTGCCGACCCTCTGAGATGGCATATTTTCTCCTCGCCCAACTTCCAGCCACCAGCAGCTATATGGATCATCCAGAGTCTTCTGTTGCTAGAGTTTTACGAAAAGAACTGTTCCACCCGCAAAATGCACGAGCGGGCCCATTTGCACCACGGAACCACTATTCAGTTACTGCGTAGACTGCCATCGCTTGGAGGCTCGCCGCAGAAACTCGGACAGCTCGAAGACGTCAACAATTGGTACAATTGGATAGAGGTCGAGTCGTTGAAAAGAGCTACATACATGTGTTTTTACATGGACACCTCTGATGCTATCAATTACGGCCACCAGATGTTAATCTATGCGCACCAGCTACAGTTGACGATGCCCGTTGCTGACGAAGTCTGGGACGCCAATCTGGAGTCGTTCAAATACATCATCAAACAAACAAGCAGACCTCAACGGTTCCTAATTGTGTTGAAGAACCTGCTCAATGGTGTTTCTACGAAAACCAACTCGTTCGGAAAGAAAGTGTTGATTTCTGGTTTGAGTGCTGTGATGTTCCAGATCCAACAACGAGACCTGCAACTGGCTTTTGGTTTAGACAAGTTCAGCTCGAACGAGAACGCCAGCAATTGGCGAGAGCTCATGACCGCGGCGTTTTCAATTTGGAGAAACGATGTGGGCGACTCATGTTGCTCTTCAAGAATGGCTATCGAGAACGTTGAGTCGTCCACCACGTCCACACAGTTCTCCTTGAGCGATACTCGGTGCAAATGTGTGGTTTACCACATTGCCCATATCTGTATGTCGATTTCGCAGTACGACTTCTTGATCTACGCCGGTGCGCCGTGGAGAATGAACGTGAAGCCGTCGTCTGCGCTGGAACGGGAAGCTATTTGCAAACGGGTGATTGAATGGACAGAGACCAAACACGCACGGGTTGCAGTTGTTCAATGCTATTTGCTGCTGTTTGAAATGCTTTTATCTCCACAGGACTCGAAGACCGACTTTCAGTACGATTACCAGGCAGATAGCGACTTATTCTTCCGGTCCAATGCCGTTTCCATCAGTGTGCTGGTTTTATGGTCGTATGTCTACATCAAATGTGGAGTCGAGGATAGAACCAAGAAAGAGACCGGGTACGAGTATTTGAGACGAATCCGCCAGGAGTTCACAGATATCACCAAATGCAGTTTGCACACGAGTCAAACAAACTGTTCCGGGTCGGAGTACTACGGGTCTTTGTTGAAATGGTCTGCTGCTTTGGATCTAATCACGAAAAAAGAGCAGATGACCGGGCTGCTGGATATGATGGGCGAGCGCATTGCCACGACAGAATACTCGATCGTCAACGAACTAGGAAAACTGATCAAGTTCTGCTCTGTCAGAAGCGCAGGATCGCCAAGCTCAATACTGCACGACATGTATGATTAATAACTGAACCAAAAATTAACATATTTACCAATAGCAAAGTCACATGCCCATCTCTGCCTGGAGCTCGCGCAAGGCCTTCTCGTCCTCGTCCTCCTCGTCCTGGACCTTTCCTGTAGGGGCGTCTGGGAGTTGGGCCTTGACCGGTTTCGAGGCGGCCGGTGTGCTCACGGATTGCTTTGTGTTGGTCATCTTATTATCGAGCTCTTCCTGTTGCAAAGCGGCCAGCTCCTCGTCGAGCTCGTCCTCGTCCACCAGGTCGTTTCCGAGCGGCCGACTGATGGCGTCCGAGATCTCTTCGCTGAGCTCGACTTGTTCTCTGATATCGTCCATCGTCTGGTCGACCTTGTCGACGTTGAAGTCGCCGTGCATTTGTTTCATGGCCTTTGCACCCTGCTTCATGGCCTTCATGGTCTCGAGGTTCAAGTTGGCCGACTCTATGGCGTTCAGCTGTGTTTCCAGGGACTCCACCTGGTTCTCAATCTTGAGCACGTCTGTTTCCAGCTTCTTCTTCTTCTTCAACGCCATCTTGGCCAGATTCTTGTTCGACGTCACATTCTTGCGCGCAATAGCGTCCTGCTCCTGGATCTGTGTCTCTAGGAACGCAGACTTCTTGTTAAGCGTGGAAATGTGCTCTCTAAGTTCCACAATCGCCTTCTTTGGAAGCTCTTTTTTCTGCTTCGGATTGCCGCCGAAAAAGTATCCCCACATCTGTTTCGTGTATTTAGCGCCTGTTTGTGGTGTTGTGTCGTATGATGCTTGCTGGACAACGCGTTGCGCTGCTTGTTGTTCTGGTCTGTTATCAAAAGCTGCAAACAAAAATAATTTATATTGCGGTGCGAGGGTTACTTGAGATTATTGAGCAGTGTGGCAGCCGGCGAGTTCCCCGACACCGCGCGGGCCAGGTTCTGCAACGTTTCGAGATCTGCACCGCTGGGAACGCTGTCGCCAGCCCGCATCTGCTCCAGCTCCTCGCCGCTCAAATGCAACGCTTCCCGACAAAAGAACTCAAAGAAATCGTCTTCATCGACCTCATCGTCCCCGTCGTCCTCGGCCTCGCTAACAGGGTCCTCGTTCTCGCCCTCCTCCATGAACCGCTTGAGCTTCTCTACCAGATCGTCCTCGTACGTCTCCTTCTCGTCCTCAAGCGGCTCCAACGGCTCCCAGTCCACCCTTTGGTCAATTATGTTGTACCGTAGCAGCTCTGTCTGCAGCGGGTCGCTCTCTATAGTTTTGTTGTACTCTTCAAGCTGCTCGATCGCGCCAGCCTCGCCGTCGTTGTCCTCCATTGCCAGATCTATGAGCTCGCCCTTGCCGGCCGCGGTCTGGCCGTACTGCTCCAGCTCTGCGTGGACGATCGCATTCACTCGTATTTTCGCGTGCACAAGCTCCTCGTCGTCCCGTCGCTGCGTCTTCACGCCGGTCATCCGCACAGAGTCCATGTACTCTGCAACGGCCGCCCCAACAACGTACATCTTCTGTGCAACCAGCTTCCGTGCAGTGGACGGCTTCACCAGCACCGTCTCGAGCGAAATGCGTTTCAAAGCCTCTTCGGGATACCCCGTGCACACCCTGGCAACACACGCCGTCACCTCGTGCAGTACCTCGAGACGGTAGCTCGCCGTTTGCAGAAAAGCAAGGGCCTCCTCAAACGAGGGACTGCGGCCCTCGCAGTACTCTGGCGGCATACAAACCACCCGTCGCTGATTGATCCACACTCTGTTGGACGCACAGTCCGGCTCCAGCCACTCGGGCACCTCCTCCGCCGCCTCGATCAACAAGAACTCCCGGTCCTGGTCGTGCAGGTGCAAGTACATGTTCTCGTCTCTGGAGGTGAATTTAAACAGCAAACTAGCCACGGTCCAAAGATCCGTCATGCTCTCGCCGTACTCCAGTTCCCCGTACACAAACAAATGCCCGTCGTCCACGAGTTTGTGCTCCACGGGCCTCACATGCCACGGATAGTGCTCCACATACGGTCTGAGCTCAATGTCGAGGTATCGCCGCAAATCTGCCAATTTCGCTCGCACCTCCGCACTGTCCATGTACGGTGCAGTCACCAGAAGCGTGAAACACAGCGTCTCGGGCGCCAGCAGCTCGTCCGTGTCGTAAGTGTACACTTTACTATGGTCCATTGCAAACACAAGTTTTTTTCAGTCTACACAGCCCGGAAATAGCAGCTACGTGTGGAGCACGGAGTTGCCATCCACGAGCGCCCAGTCGATCTGCGCGTCGGCGCCGTACTTTTCTGCGAGCCACGCGTTGCACTTGGTGAAGTGGTGACAGTCGAAGAACCCGCGCGACGCGCTCAGCGGCGACGGATGCACCGACTTCAAAAACAGGTTCTGGGACCAGTTGATGGGGCCGGCGTTGGCCACCGTCTTTTGGGCGGGCGACCCCCACGCGACGATTGCCAGGCCACGGCCGCTTCTGTTGGTGTGTTCGATCAGCTTCTTGATCACCTGCATCGTGAACTGCTCCCAGCCACGGCCAGAGTGCGAGTTGGCGTTGTGTGCTCTCACCGTTAGACACGTATTGAGCATGAGCACGCCGCCAGAGGCCCATTTGGTCAGATCGCCCTTCTTGGGGATCTCGAAGTTGGCATACTCCTTTTTGAGACACTTGTAGATGTTTTTCAACGACGGAGGAGGAGGTGTAGGGTCCTGCACGGAAAACGCAAGACCGTGGGCCTGGTTGAAGTTGTGGTACGGGTCCTGGCCCAAAACAAGAACCTTGACGTTGTCCACAGGCGTCAGTCTTGTCCAGGAGTACACGTTCTCTTTGGGAGGGAAGATGGTCTGGTTTTTCCACTCTGTTTGTAGATACCGTTTAAGGTTGAGGAAGTACGGCTTGGTGAGTTCCTGGTGGATCAGCGAGAGCCATGAGACATCCATAGACTCGATCTCGAGACGCAGAAGGTCTTTTTGGTCCGGAGTCAACGAATCGATCCATTTCTGCTTATCAAACGTGCTGGTGGTGACTGTTTGCAGGGTGATCTGTTTCTCGACAAAAGCTTCTTTTTTGGTGTCCTTTTTCTCTGAAATTGCCAGCTTGGTCACTGCAGACGACTGGTGACGTTTCACAGTGAAGAAGTCCGTGATTGCCCGTTTTGGAGCCACTTTCGACGTCACTTTACTCATCCCAAACGTTGTTGTAATTCGCGTCGCGTTTTTCTGGCTGTGCCCCTCAATAATTTTTTTTAGACACAAATATTTAGGGGGGCACTAATTCTGTTACTACAAAAGACGAGTGTCACTGCTTTATCCTTTGAATTGCTGGCGTTTAGCAGAATTCTGCACCCGAGTCAGTGATTAAGCGCCGATTCGCAAATGAGCAAGACGCCGTCCGCCAGAAGAGGCAGGTTCGACCAGATCCTGCGTTCTGTCAAGAGCCAGGTGTTTGACGAGTCCCAAGAACCAGAGAACCTGACGACGGAATCCGCACAGTCCGTTGCTCGCCGGAGACTCAGCTCGTGGGCGTTCACGAGAACACAGTCCACGGTCCAGCGAGACGAGCCCGTTCAGTCGGCAACAGAGGTGGAAAATCCCCCCACCACGCTTGTTACAGAGGAGGAGTCCACGAAAGTGGTCATCGAGTCCGACAAGGACACAGACCCTGTGGAGGCCAAGGAGCGAACCCAGTCGTGGTCGCTGTGGTCGAGGCCGTCCAGACAGATCGACCAGCAAACAGATGCCATATTGTCCGAGCCGGTGGCACAGAACGTTTCTGAGCTGCCTAAACCAAAGAAACAGAAGACCGAGCCGTCCACCGACCGCAAGAGCCAGGTGGTGCCGTCGTTCGAGTCTCTGCCGCGGGTTTCGCCTCGGACGTACGCCTCTTCCGCGCTCAATACGCTCAAGTCGGTGACTGGCTACGGTGCAAGTCCCGTGGACCATTTGGTTGCTACCCGTTCTCCGGCCAAGTTCAAACGGGTGTTGATCATCGGCGTGCACGGGTTCTTCCCCACCAAGATGATCCGGCCTCTTATTGGCGAGCCTACAGGAACCAGCGCGCGGTTTGCCCAGGCTGCCGAGAACGCTATTCTCTCGTGGGCCCAGGAAAAGAACATCAACATCTCGACCCAGAAAATCGCTCTGGAGAAAGAGGGCAAGATCTTCGACCGCGTGGACTTCTTCTTCGAGGTCATGCAGAAGTGGCACGACGAGCTCGCCAATGCAGATTTCATTTACGTCTGTGCACACTCGCAGGGCACCCCGGTGGCCATGATGCTGCTCTCGCGGCTGCTGGAGCACGGCCTGATCGCCGACAACAAGAAGATATCCGTGCTGGGAATGGCGGGCATTAACAGCGGGCCGTTCTACGGGATGGACCAGTCGCTGTTTGTGCGGGCATACTCGTCCATCGAGAACCAGTCGCTGCTGGAATTGTTCCAGTTCCAGAACTTCGAGAGTCTGCAGAGCCGCAAGTATCTCGAAAGCGTGCGCAACCTGGTGGCACACGGGGTCAAGATCACGTTTGTGGGGTCCGTGAACGACCAGCTCGTGCCGCTGTACTCGGCAGTCGCGTGCCACCTCTCGCACCCCAACATTTACAAGGCTGTGTACATCGACGGCAACTCCAACACCCCCGATTTTGTGACGCGGATTCTGAAGCTGTCGTGTCTGCTACAGAACCTGGGCCACCGCGACCACGGGGTTGTGGCGGAGATGAGCTACGCATTGGCGGGTCCATTGACGGGCGGGGGACATTCCCGTATCTACGACAGTCCCGATGTTTACAAGCTGGCGTTGGACTTTGCGTTGTGCACGAGCGACACGGGCTACTGCGCAAGTCAGCCCGTGCAATTCCACCAGGTGGACGTTTCCAAAGTTGGGAGCAACCCGTTCACGTTGCCGTGGTGCACGCGAGGACTGTTTTTCGACGTCAAGAAACGGCTACCGCACGGCACCGACGAGATCGATATGGTGTTCAAGGAGTTCGACGACTGGGATCCCGAATCAAAGGTGCTCAAGGACGTGAAATATCGTCTTAACGGAATAAAAGATAAACTGTGAAAAAAAAAAGACTCATTTTTTTTCATAAACGGTCATGTCCGATAACAAATCTGCTTCGCAGAAAGTGTCCACATTGGGCGGCTTTTTGGCCGGAGGTCTCGCGGCATGCGGAGCGGTCACGGTGACAAACCCGATCGAGCTGGTCAAGACCCGAATGCAGCTCGAAGGAGAGCTGTCCAGTGCCACCAACAAGCCAAGAACGTACAAGAACCCGTTCCAGGCCCTGGGGCTAATCTACAAGAACGAGGGCATCCGTGGGTGTCAGAAAGGTCTGTTCTGCGCATACATCTATCAACTCGGTCTGAATGGATGTAGACTGGGTCTGTACGAGCCCGTGCGGAATTTCTTGAACGGACTCGTGTTCCCGTCGCGGGAAGCGCACTCCGTGCAAAACATCCCCATCAACGTTGTTTCCGGCGCTCTTTCCGGTATCGCGGGAGCCATCATCGGGTCGCCGTTCTACCTGATCAAGACCCGAATGCAATCGTACTCCACAAGCATCCAGATCGGAGAGCAGACCCACTACAAGTCCACCTGGGACGGTCTTTCGTCGCAGTTCAAGCAGGGCGGTGTGCTGGGGCTGTTCAAGGGCGTGGACGCGGCCATCATCAGAACGGGAATGGGCTCGTCCGTCCAGCTGCCAATCTACAACTTTGCCAAACACGAGCTGCTCAAAACCGGCTGGATCGACGAAGGAACACACCTCCATCTGTTGTCCAGCACGATCTCCGGCCTGGGAGTCGGTGTGGTGATGAATCCTGGAGATGTCATCCTCACGAGAGTCTACAACCAGCAGGGCAACAAGTACTCCGGTCCAATCGACTGTCTGGTCAAGACCGTCAAGAGCGAAGGTGTCGGGGCCCTCTACAAAGGGTTCGGAGCACAACTGCTCAGAATCGCTCCCCATACCGTGCTCACGCTCACGTTCATGGAACAGACCATGAAGCTGGCGTACATGGTGGAGTCCAGACTGGGAGCCTAAAATAGTAAATAGATTCCGAATAGATATTGTTTCATTGAGACGGAATAAGAACAGACTCGGCCTCGTCGTGGTCGGTCTGGTCGGTCTGGTCTGTCTGGTCGGTCTGGTCGCCGAGCGCGTGCGACGTGGACGTCGACCCGGCGGCCGACGACGCGCTGTTAGTCCCGCTAGCAGCGTTGCACCAGTACTTGTGGTAGGTCCACGCCTTCGACTGGCACTCTTTCGAGCAGTACTTGGCCCGTTTGCATCGCCGACACTTTGCAAACTGGCGAGGCTCGTCCTCCCACTTGCCGCATCCAAAGTACGCGCATTGGCGCCGCCCACCCTTCGACTCGTCTTTCCGGTTCGAGTTGCGAACAATCACCGAGGCCCAGTACGCAATGTCCTTCGAGTGCAGATGCTTCACCGTGAACTTCTCCACCAACGGGAAAATGTTCACCCGCTTGATCGGCTTGATGTCGGGGTCGATGTGCTGCGAGTTCGGGAACATCAGCGACAAGGGTCCCATCTCAAAGTCGTCCCAGGTGTCGTAGTTCCAGTTCGACGAGTAGTCCTGCTGCTTCGCGTTGTATATCTTGTTGTTGCGCAAACGCAGCTTGTTGTGCTCCCGGTGAGAGTACCGCGAGATGGTGAGTGCAAACTTCTCGAGCTTCGTGGCCTTCTCGATCCGATCCGGCTCGTTCAGCAAAGCGTTGTACTCCTGCGCCAGGTGACAGTACTTGCTCTCGCCCCGATGCGAGTCGTGGAACTTCTGCCGTTTCGGCTTCAGCATACTCGAATTCAACGAGCTCGTGGTGTGCGAAAACTGCTCGCCAGTCAAGTTCGATTCTCCGTCGAAATTGCTGTCGTCCGGAATGATGAACTCGTCCAAATCGTGCGCAGCAACCTCGTCATCTTCCAGACTCTCGTCGTCGTCACCAAAGTCGTTCACCAAATCGCCATTCTCGTTCATCTCGCAGTCGGTCTCCAAAGGAGGCGGAATGTTGTAGTTTCGCAGCGACAATCCGTTCACGATGTACGTGTCCGCGAGCTTGTATCTCAAATAGGTGTACTTGGAGATGAAAGCCAGCACCTGCAAAGACCAAACAACATCGTCCTCTTTGGGGATCAAAATGCCGTTCTCAAAGTCCCGCGGAATGGACTGGTTGAACTTCTCCTCCATCTTCTTGAAGAACGGAAGGTCCGTGTTAGAAAGGTTGTCGCTCAAGATGTTGGATATTTCAGGGTTGTTTACAAGTTGGTTGGTGAAAACAGGGTTTTTCGCTAGCTCTGGGTAGTTGGTGATCAGTTCGTGGTTGATTTTCGAAATGTCGTCGGTGGTGTTCAATCTATCAAGGAAATTGAGGAAAACGAGTGACTTGGACAGCTTGGAGTATTCCTCGTCTAGTAATGCTTCTGTCTCGCCGAGGCCTGCCTCGTTGGCGAACTCCTTTTTCGAACGCTCGTGCTTGGAAATTTCGGCCTCGGCTTCCATCACGGTCTGGTTAGCTTCCTCCACGAGCCGTCTGACGTTCTGGAAAACCTCATTTATCTGGACATTGTCCAGCCCGTCGTACAGCTCGTCGCGTTGTTGTTGTTGTTGCTGCTGCGCTTGTTGTTGTTCGTCTCTCGATGCGGGGAACGAGGACGGGTTGGTGAGAATCTCGTCTCCGACTTCCGAGGCGGCCGCAGTTGCAGACGTGTTTGCGGTGCTAGAAGTGCCGGTATTGAGATAGTTCACCTTGTTGGCTTGAAAATGCGAATTCCAGGCGGTTTTCTTGGAAATAACGTAATTGTCTAATATCGTGGCAATGATTGGTATCATTCCGGCATCCACAACCTTCTTTCTAATTCTCTCGTTGCCTCTGGTACCAACAAGAACAAGACACTGAAACGCAAGCACCCATTTCCAGGCACTAATACATTTCTCCTTCTCGGAAGTTGGCCGTTGACATTCGTACAAAATATCAACCAAACGTTCGAGCCCACCGTCCTGGGAAAGAGCCTCACGCACTTTCAGCGACGACGACGCAAGAAATGTCAGATGGTTCAACGAATTCACCAGAGGCTTGTCCTCGGTACAATCCAAAGCTCGGCGATCATACAAAGTGGATGTTATCGAAACGGCTGCCTTGTTTGCCGTAATAGACTTGTTATTGGAATCTCTCATTGTGAGATAAAAGCAAAGTATGTCCTAATCGGAACGGATGATTCTAAGGAAATCAGAATAGTTACAAATGGAGCGATGTTGACTGATAATTTTGTCTGTTGACGAAATGGATTCAAATTCAAGTTATTTTGACGATTCTTTACACTCCCATTTGCCACTTAGAAAAAAAAGTTTCCTCTACAAAAATGATCACCTAGAAATTTTTTTCTCCTCCACACAAAAGGGCAAAAACACCCTTGCACCGCTTATTTTTCATAATCCCGCCTCACAAGCTCAGACCCAGAGTTCTTTTCCGGAAACAGCCATGTACTCGTTCAGGTCAGCAACCTTGGAAGTCCAGGTCTCGAGCTGTCCCTTCATGGCCTGGATTTGTTCCACAGTCATTGTTCTAGGCTGGATCCACGTGACTTCGACCTCGGAGTCAACCTCGTTAATCAAACCTTTAATCAATTGCAAACTAAAGCACTTGATAATCAAGTTCTCCACCTCGTTGTGGTCTTTCAAGAACGGCACGTGTGCACGGATGTCGTCGTACTTGAACACTCTGTTCTTGGTTGGTCTGTTGAAAATCAGCTCAATCAACGACATGATGCACATTTTCTGCTTGAGGAAATTCACATTGGAAGCCAGCTCCGCAACTTGTTGGATCTCTTTACCCGTCACGACGCTCTCGAAACTCTTGAGGTCTCCAGAGTTGAGCGACAGCAACAGCTGTTTGAGCCATGGGATCGTCAAGTACTTGAAGATGTCGTGCATGATGATCTCGCCGAAATTGTAGATCTTGTCGCCCAGCAAAGCACTCACGCTGATATCTCTCACGATCTCCTGTTTGTTGGTGAGGTTTTCAAGGTCGTCGATACATGCCAGGAACAGCAGCGAGTTGTAGTAAACGGCCGTGTAGTCACCCTTGAGCTTCATCAGACTGGCGTTTGTGAAATAGTAGCTTGCATTGATCCTGTTGTCCAAAGACCAGTTGATGGTTTCGATCTTCTTGGAGCATTCGTCGATGATAGCGGACGCCTCGTCCACAAATCCCAGTTTCAGCTTGACTCCCGCGATTTCTATTTCCAAGAACAACAACGCCTGGAGGATGTCTATGTCTGCGATATCGTCGTCGTCTGTCTTTTTGATGTTCTTTCTATTTTTGATGAGTTGTTTGAGATTCAACAGGTATTCCAGGCTTTCTGGCAGCTCCGACTCCTGGATCGACAACAACAGAAACTCGATTAATTTGAGTTGGTTGATCTTGTCGTTGAATTTGAGAATGAAGTTCTCAAACAACTTCAGTCTAATTGGCTGTGAGTTTGGGTTCTTGTAGAACTGTTGCGACAACAACTCCGTCAATTGGAACCACAATTTCCGCTCGTAAAAGTCTTCCAATTGGTACATCACGCCGACAAGCTCGGCATTTTCGGCCGACTCGATCTCTTCACGAAGAGTTATTAATACTGTCAATGGGTCCGAATCCATGAATACACTGTTTGGTGAAGATATATTTGCCACTAAGAAAAATAAATAAAATGGCAGTGGGAAAAAATTTAAAGCACTAAATACAAAGAGAAAATATATTTTAACATGGGTTTTTCGCTGGACTCTTTGGCGCCGTCGTTGATCAATCTGATTCGACTATCGTCGGCTGTCAACTCCAAAGACATTGGTTTCTACAACAGCATCGATCCGACCGTGAAAACAAACTCAGACGAGGTCAACCAGAGACTTATAGATTTATTGAACGAGACCATATCAAATGCGGTTTCCATCTCGACCGATCAGACCGACCAGTTGACCGTCGACGACGAGTCGAAAAACTGGAAGGTCGTCAGCGGGATCCTCGACACTTTGTTCGAGAACGCAGAGATTGCACTTGATCAAAACCAGAAAAAGACCCAAGCTTCAGCTGTCAAGGATGAATTCACCTATTTGGACGAATCAGACACAGCAGGAACACGAAAGGCATCTCCGCAGCCTCGTAACATTGCCAAACCGCAGTTGTTGTTTAAAACTCCTGTCGATAACTTCGAAACGTCGCCATTTAAGCCGTTGATCACTACAAAGCCAAACGCATTGATCTCGTTCAACGAGTCCATGGAGCTTGTTCCAGCCGTCCCTGACACTCCAGAACACTACAATAATCCGTACACGTACGAGATCATGAACCAGGAGTACCCAGACTGGATATTCCGAACGTTGGAGCCGTTCGACTCCATTCCTTGGAAAGAGAGCGAAGAGCCAACCTGGATCGACAAGCCAGAACAGCTGGACGAGCTGCTTGTGGAGTTGGCGAAGTGCAAAGTCATTGCCGTCGATCTGGAACACCACGATTATAGAACCTACCATGGAATCACGTCGCTAATGCAATTGACCACAGACACCAAGAAAGATTACCTGATAGACCCATTGAGTCCCGACCTTAGACCGCATCTTGTGAATTTGAACATTATTTTCACCGATCCAAACATTCTGAAAGTGTTCCATGGTGCTTTCATGGATATCATCTGGCTTCAAAGAGATCTGGGCCTATATGTTGTCTCATTATTTGACACATACCATGCTTCTAGAGAGCTGGGACTCGGAAGACACTCGCTGGCACATCTGTTGGAAACATACGTCAAGTTCAAGACTTCGAAGAAATGGCAGTTGGCCGACTGGAGAGTGCGTCCGTTGAACACAGAGATGAAGAACTACGCCAAAGCTGATACGCACTTCTTAATTGAAGTGTTTCACAAAATGCATTCCGAACTGGTGAAGGACCAGGACAAGCTGAAACGCGTTCTTTATGAGTCGCGCAAAGTCTCAAACCGTCGGTACGAGTACTCCACGTTCCGTCCCAAACGTATCAAGTCTTCCAACGGGTTCCCTAGCGGAGCAGATGTTGTTGCAACCAACCAGTCTGTTCCACAGCTGCCAGAATTTAAAGAACAGATGTTGTTTGCATCCACGAATGTCGACCTTCCATGGACCAACATGGTCAACTCGAACTCTATTCCGATGGCCAAAAGACCGTTGTTGGAAGTTTTGTTCAAATGGAGAGACGAACAAGCTCGCAAAGAAGACGAGTCGCCACGGTTCATCATGTCTGATTTCATGCTGATATCTTTGGTTAATGCTTTTGACAACGAATCGCAAGAAGTGACCGAACAGACGGTGTTGAGCGTGATCAATTCCTCTTCGAGGTTTGGAAGCTCCCAGTTTGTTCGTACCCGGTTGAGAGAGCTTGCCGAACTGATCCAAGGGTGTCTAGACAAGCTGAAGGAGCTGGACACGGCTATGTGGGACAGTGTTTACGAGACTACAGATATCAAGGACGTTAAAGGACTCGAAGAAGCGTTTGAGATTATAAAGAACGATTTTGCTGCACAAAACGAGGCTTCCGACAACGGCGTAGTTGTGCCGAGGTCAAGTGCCGATGGCGCTGCTTCTGTTCAGTATACTAATAAGGGAGTCAAGGTTGTGAATCCAGACGAGATCAGAAACAGGTTCCAGAAAGTGATGGACTATTTCAAAGAGGAGGACAATGTGGAGGTTGAAATTGACGAGGAAGATGGAGAAGAGTCTGAGGTTGAAGAGACAGCTAGTCCCGAGCCTGTTGCAGCTGAACCTGAACCGGTTTCCACAGACGACCTGATTACGCTACGGAAACATCAGCCACGTAAACGAAAGCAACAGACTGTTGAGTCTGAGAAATTGGACACTTCGCAAAAGATCATGGTGAACAAACCACAGCAGCCTCGCAAGCGCAAGACGTTCGAGCCGTACAAAAACGAGTCGTCTGGCTTTGCTCCAGTGAAGAAGAGACAGGCAACACAGGGACGCAACCTGATTTTCAAGAAATAATATTATTAGCCTTACACAATTAGGAGGACTTCTTCAACGACTCGGTCTGGCCACTCAGCAAGGTGAACGTTGGTGCAGGAAGCTTGTCTCTTCCTTTAAGGAAGTCGAGTTCCATGACGAACGAGAATTCCAGGATTTTTCCCTTACATTTTTGAACGAGTTCTCCAGCGGCCTTGGCCGAGCCTCCGGTGGCCAAGATGTCGTCGACGATGACGACGTTGGATCCCTCAGGGATGGACTCGGCCTGGATCTCGAAAAAGTCCTGGCCGTACTCTTTGGCGAATGCTGCAGAGTACAGCTTACCAGGCAGCTTTCCCTTCTTTCTAATAGGAACAAAGCCTGCATTGATTGCCAACGCAAGAGATGGGCCGAACAGGAACCCTCTGGACTCCAATCCCACGATGTAGTCTATGGTTTGGTTTGGGAACGTGGCCTCCAAGTGCAACTTGAACGCTCTGACGAGTTTGTTGAACAAAGAAGGGTTTCTAAAGATCGGCAGGAAGTCTTCGAACAGAATGCCCTCGGAGGGGAAGTTCGGGTACTGGTGGAGCGCGAGTTTGAGCTCGGCAGCGATTTCTTGCAGTTGATTAGACATGAGGAAAAAAATTGAGAAATTAGCAAAAAAAAATAGCACTGCCATGTGATCACGGAGAGAGAGGGCTATCCGGTGGGGGAAGGAGAGACTTGGTTGTCCACATGCTGTGTCCTTTCTTTTTCCCACCAATTTGACGTGTCACCTGCTGTTTGTGGTGCTCATCTCGGCTGCTGCTGCCAGGTCTCCTGAAACAGTCGCCAGGCTGCAGTTAAAGACGGTCGACGCGACGAAAAAAATGTTTCCAATGACAATATTGTTTGTTTCGCTCATCTCGAGAGACGTAAGTTTCCGCAGCCCGCCACTAACCCGCAGAACCGGCCATTGTACATCCAGCCGTTTGTCTCGGAGACGCTGACAGAAGAACGCGCCGCAAACGAGTTGCTCAAGTACAACTTTCTGTCGCACATGTCACTGGACATCTTCGAGTCGCCGTTCTCGCAGCCGGCTCCAGACCCCAGCAGCAACAAGCGGTACGTTCTGCTGTTTGTACAAGACGGTGTGTTCGTGTTTGGCCAGCAAACAAGCACCGGATTACGCATAGTGGTTGGTGCCACCAGAGTGGAGAGCGAACTGCCAGACGAGGGACTTAACCCCGTGTTTTCAGATATACAGCGAGCATATTTAGGCGTGATCTGCAACCCGTTCAAGGCTGTCGAGTCCGAGAACGAGGAGATCTCGAACGCTGCATTCGACCGCAAAATCAAAGAGTGTGTGCGAAAATGGGAGGCCAAATGGGACGCTCCGCCCGCCGCACCGGCTACTTCAGAACCACATTAGCGCTCCGCAGTGCCAGGTACTGCTGGTCCACGCCAGGGGCCATGTGTTTCACGATGTCGTAGCATTCTTTGTCATAGTACCGTAATTGATTATGAGGCGACTTGTAGTTTGTGGGCAGTCCGGTGATGTCGCAGTAGGTCTTGATGGGCTTGAGCGACGGAGGGGCCGCCAGCGACTGGTACGTGATGAGTGTTGGGTCGTGGGCTTGCTGCTGCTTGAGCTGGACCCGTTTGGCCTCGTCGTTGATGATCTGCCGCAGAAACCGGTGTCGGCGTTTCGGCGCCTTGTATCCGGGAGGCCGGAACACCAATGGACCGTTGAGCGCGTCGGAAACCTCTTCAACGCTGGACATGGAACAGAAGGGGCGGTGTTTAGTTGCAATTACGTTTTTCGTAGAGTTTTATTTAATACACTGGTGAGAGGCCAAGGTGGGTGGGTACACCCGTGCACCGGCTAGTCGAACACGGCAGCAGGGTCGCGGTACATGTAGAACTGGACAAAGATGACGGCGTCCTCGAGGATGGTGCCCAACGAGCCGAGCAGCCAGCTGCTGTTGAGGACGATGTAGTCCCAGTCGGAGCGGTAGAACAGGATCTGCAGGCCGTAGGTGATGTTTCCGAAGGTTGACAGCATAAAGAACAGCAGACTGAGACCCTTGCACGATTTCTTTGTGTAATTCTGGGCAATCTGGGGCAATCTGGCGCTTAGATAGAGGAGCGCGGACAGGTAGCCGCAGATTTGTGCGCCGAGGGCCATTTCTGTATCTGGTTGTTCTTTTGGTGGAGACGAGCAGAGGAACCCAATGAAGCCTGCTGCGAAGACGGCAAGCAGGGGCAAGATGTACTTGACGAAGATTGAGTGGTTTTGGGGCTGGAGAACCACGTCGTCGAGCGTGGACGATTTCCGACGCGACGTTTGGCCGAGCAACGGAGCCTGTTCTTGCGACAATCTCTTTGGATAGATGTAGGTGAAGTAGTAGTAGAATGCCAAGGTGAATCCGTCCGCGAAGGTGAACCAGGCGGCTAATAAAACAACCTGGGGCAACAACCCGGCCCATAACGCGCCCACAAGGTTCAAAATGTCACCAAGTGTCCACAGAATAAGGAACAAGGGAGAGATTCCCTCGGCGGATTTGAGGCGCCATTGCTCGATGAGTTGCGGCAGCAGAAGAACCAGCCAGCAGGCAAGCGAAACAGACCCGGCCACACCGGAAAGTTGGGTCCGCAACAAGGAAGGCGTCGAGGATAAAAGATCCATAGATAAGAAAACTGACTAAGTTTCTTAAAATGGTGTGTGGTGTGAAGAAATGCTATAAAGAGAAACCAGGGGGGAAAAAATTTTGCTCCCATTTCTTGTTTATCAATCATGGTAAGTATAAGCGGCTAAAGAATGGCGCTGATCTCCACGGAGATGCGGCCAGATCTTTGTAATCGTACCGAGAAATGGTACGCATCTTTTTTATTTGCTGAGTTTGTTCGCAAACTGTAGAGATTAGTGCTTGATGACCGATGTTTTGATAGAGTGCTAACCTCGATGACCCAGCCTTCGAAAAAAGTTGCCCCTGCGCCATTAGCCAAACAGCAGAAAGCTGTCAAGACGTCTGTTTACGAGGCCAGTCCTCGGAATTTTGGGATCGGCCAGTCGATCCAGCCAAAGAGAGCCTTGAACCGGTTTGTGAAGTGGCCTGAGTACGTCAGACTCCAGAGACAGAAGAAAGTGCTGTCAATGAGACTGAAGGTTCCTCCGGCCATCTCGCAGTTCTCCAACACTTTGGACAGAAACTCTGCTGCCGAGGTGTTCAAGCTGTTGAACAACTACAGACCAGAGACTTCTGCCGAGAAGAAAGAGAGACTCGTCAAGGAGGCTGCTGCCATTGCGGACGGCAAGAAGAAGGAGGACGTGTCGTCCAAGCCTTTTGTTGTCAAGTACGGACTGAACCACGTTGTTTCGCTGATCGAGAACAAAAAGGCCAAGCTGGTCCTGATCGCTCACGATGTTGATCCTATTGAGCTTGTTGTGTTTTTGCCAGCTCTGTGCAGAAAGATGGGTGTTCCATACGCGATCATCAAGGGCAAGGCCAGACTCGGGGCTCTGGTGCACCAAAAGAGCGCTGCTACCGTGGCGCTCGTGGACGTGAGGCCAGAACACGAGGCTGCTTTGGCCAAGATTGTGTCTACGGTGGACGCCAACTTTGCTGAGAAGTACGAGAACGCAAGAAAGCACTGGGGAGGCGGTATTGTGGGCGCCAAGACGGTGGCCAAGCTCGCAAAGAGACAAAGAGTCCAGCAAGCACAGCAGCAAGCCGTGCGCACTGTTTAGAGATTGTATACGTCTAAAAAAATGTGACTGCGAAAAATATTTTACGTAAGCGCGACTCCCCGCCTCGCACCGGGGTAGTTTAGAAGAGTTGAATTTTTTTACATACTCAGCATTTTATTATTCACCATGGCCAAGTCGAAGAACCATACCGCCCACAACCAGACCAGAAAGGCCCACAGAAACGGTATCAAGAAGCCTAAGACTTACAGATACCCATCTTTGAAGGGTGTTGACGCCAAGTTCAAGAGAAACCACAGATATGCTCTGCACGGCACAGCTAAGGCTTTGGCTGAGAAGAAATAGGCATTTAGCGATATAGTAATAAAGAGAAGTTAAGTGGAACAGAAGGACATTGCGAGCGACGCTAGCGGTGTCCATGTAGATATGTAAATTTCGGCGATTTATAACCAGTTCTCACAGTCTTACTCGTATACTCAAGTTATGTTCTGATTGATTACTTTCTTACATCCTCACCCTTAGTCGTCGTTCTTGTCCTTAGAACCTCTCAACAGACCGGTTCTTCTAGCAGCAATCAAACCGGCCTTCTGACCAGAAACAGCACCTCTAGAGATGGTCGAAGCCTTACCAATATGTTGATGGTTACCACCACCGTGAGGGTGATCAACAGGGTTCATGGCCACACCTCTGGTCTTTGGCCACGAGTTTCTCTTGACCTTGTATTTGTGGAAAGCTCTACCAGCCTTAAGCAATGGCTTGTCAATTCTTCCTCCTCCAGCAACAACACCAATAACTCCACGAGCGTCAGAAGAAATGATCTTCTTAGCACCAGATGGCAACTTGACTCTGGTCTTGTTCTCGTCTGGGTTGTGTCCGATGATAATCACGTAGTTACCAGAAGTTCTTCCCAAAGCACCTCTGTCACCAACCTTCTCTTCAACGTTGGAAACAATCGTACCTTCTGGCAAAGATCCCAATGGCAAAACGTTACCAATGTTCAAAGAAGCCTTCTTACCAGCGTAAACAAACTGTCCCGTGTACACACCCTCGTTGGCAATGAAGGTCTCCTCTCTAAGCTTGTACTTGTATGGGTCTCTGAAGGCAACCTTGGCCAATGGAGCTCCACGACCTGGGTCGTGCAAGATCTGCTTCACAACACCTCTGATGTATCCGTGCTTCTCGGCGTAGTCCAAGGTTCTCAGCTTGGCAGCACCCTTTCTCAGTCTGGTGTGCGAAGTGAAGATGGAGCCGGCACCCTTTCTTTGGTTTCTGATAACTCTACCCATGTTGGTTAAGAATAAAATTTTTCAAACAAGACTTTTTACTACACAGCTGCGGGATCGGGTCACGTGATGTTGGAACGGGCGAGTTCGTCGCGTCGACCGGCGCGTCGGCACAACTCCCGCGCACACAAGCACCAGTGCTTATGCCAGACCATTCATTTCCGCTTCTTTTCGAAAACAATCCAAAGACTTATACGTGATCAGGTAAGTTGGCAACATTTTGCAAACAGAAACAGGCGTGGGCTGTTTAGCGCGTGCGCGGGATGCGTCAAGTAACACCAGTTCATTAGTCGAAACCATTGCAACACCACCGTTCCCCAGTTGTTGTCCAGAGACTTCTTTCTTCGATCGTCATATCCCGTTTGTTCATCCCAGTATCGGCCAATTCAACCACCGTTCCACACACTCGTGCATACACAACCTGCATTCTCTCTCTAAACTTGTCTGCGCGCCCCCCACTCAGCTTGTCCCCCGTTTCTCTCACCTCCCCCACCATATATACTAACCCCCCAGATGTCCGAAATCACAACCTCTGCCCCTTCAACGTCCCTCGTCAACGCCAAGTGGGACGTGGTCATCTCCAACGCCATTGTCAAGTCTGGTCTCGGTTTCGGAGCCGGCGTGCTGGCCTCCGTGTTGTTTTTCAGAAGAAGAGCCTTCCCAGTGTGGCTCGGTCTCGGCTTCGGTTTCGGAAGAGCCTACTCGGAAGGCGACTCCATCTTCAGAGAAGCCGGTGTCAGAGAAGTTAAGGCATGAACCATTTAGATAGACGCAAAATCGTATTACATTAGCCCCAGCTAAATCGTACACCCGTACACCACGACAGCAGTAACTTGGGCTGACCGGAATTTTTTGTTCCTGTCACACCGCGCTGACCCTGCCTGCATAAACAATGCGCCCGGTTAAAAAAGTCCCCGGCCAAGTCAAGGGCCTGCAGCTGGCCCTATCTTATCGTCCTGCGACCGTTGAAATACTTTGTAGCATCGCAAAATGGTCTTTCTTAACCCCTGGGCTGCTGGATGATGTCCTATGAGCACCTATGACTCAATGGAGGACGGGGGCGTTCTATGGGCCAATGAGCGCGCACGGAATTTTCTACCCGTCTGACTCATGCACGACCAACGAGTTCCATTTTCCAGTCTGTTGTAACTCGTGTTGGAGACGAGCTACAACTCCGGAGGAAGTTCCCACATGGTGTCCTGATTTTCGTGAACTTGTCTTCTGAGTTTCGTCCCCTTCCCGCTGCTGGATCCCGCGTTATCTCACTCCGTCCGTTATCGAGTCCGTTTGAGACGTCCACGACCAAAAACTTTTCACGCACCAGGCTCCGGCTATATATGGCGGGCAGTTTGCCATGCTGTAACGCAATGACTATTAGCGACAACTTCCCAACAAGCAACGAGTTCCGTTCCGACACCTTCACGGTGCCCACCCAGAGCATGCTGCAGGCGATTGCGTACTGCACGGTTGGAGATTCTGTGTACAAGGAAGACCAAGACACTTTGGACCTCGAGGCCAAGGTTGCGCAACTGGCCGGCAAAGAAGCGGGACTCTTTTGCTGTTCCGGTACCATGTCGAACCAGATCGGTTTGCGAGCACACTTGCACCAGCCACCACACAGAATTCTGTGCGATTATCGCGGACATGTTTATGCGCACGAAGCTGGAGGACTGGCCACTCTTTCGCAGGCCATGGTGACTCCTGTGATTCCATCTAACGGCAACTATTTGACGCTTGACGACATTTTGGACAACTATATTCCTGACGACGGCGACATCCACATGGCTCCCACCAAAGTGATTTCGCTGGAAAATACTCTTCATGGAACAATCATGCCATTGGACACCATCAAGGAGATTTCCGGCTGGTGTCGCGCGAACGGGGTGAGATTGCATTTAGACGGTGCTCGTCTATGGAACGCCAGTGTTGAGACCGGAATCAGTATTGCAGAGTACTGTCAGTACTTTGATTCTGTCTCGCTTTGTCTTTCCAAAGGATTGGGAGCTCCTGTTGGCTCGATTCTTGTTGGAGAACGGAAATTCATCGAGAAGGCCAACCATTTCAAAAAACAAAACGGTGGCGGAATCCGTCAGGCGGGTATGTTGACCAAAATGGCCAGCATTGCAATCGACGAGAACCTGGAAAAGCTTCTGGTCGGACACAAGTTTGCCAAGCAGGTTGCGCAATTCTGCGAGCAGAACGGGATCGCGCTGGAATCGCCATGCCAGACAAACTTTGTGTTTCTGGATCCAAAGAAAGTGAAGATCGACCCGGCCGTCTTGGCAGAATTGGCCGTCAAGTACAAAGTCAAGGTGATGGGATACAGATTTGCTTTCCATTTCCAGAACTCTCCAGATGCCGTGGAAAGGCTCCAATTGCTTCTAAAAGAAGCCTATCAACATTCGCTCGCTCACCCTTACATCTCCAAAGGTGCCGTGCGAATTTATAGATCTGCCGAGACCGCCACGGCTAAATAGATTTCTTTAACAAGACATAGGGGAAAAAACCCTTTTAAAAAATTTAGTGGCTCTTTGTTTTCCATGCTTATTCCTATTGCCCTGGCCATTCTGGGATTCCTTTGGCTGTTGCACCGGCTGTTGCTGTTGCTTTCGCTGCCTTTGGAGAAGTCCATCAAGGTCTTGAATGTGTCGATCCCCACGGTGCCGTTGGTTTCCATCGACAAGGTGTCGCATTCGAGTATGGTGATCCATTGGGACAGTCCCGTGGACGAGGACGACGCGGACCACAGCACAGACCCTGTTTCGAGCGGGCCGCCGATACTGCAGCACGCGTCGCCGAAAACTATCAGTCATTACGTGCTGTACATCAACGGTATCCAAGCGGCAGTGATCAACGGCGACCGCCATTCGTGCGTCATAAATGGCCTGTTCCCGGAAAGCAACTACCAGGTGGACATTGTGGCGTTCAACATGGCCAATTTCCGATCCAAGTCGTCGCCCGTTCACGTGAAAACAGGCCCAAATAACATGTCTGAGCTCGACCATCCGGACCAGTTGTTGGATGTGCTTATTCCGCACGACGAAAGAGAAACAGTCACGAAAAAGTCAACTTTGCGCCAGACATCGCCGGCAACACGGTCCCGCAGCAACACGGCCGACCAGGAGAACCTCAAGAGTCGCATCCATCCGCATTTGATCACCGACATCGGCGAGCTCAAGTTTCTGCTGGAAACGGGTCTTGACACCGTGCGCAGTCTGTCCAAGGCCAGCAAGGAGCTCGAGACCGATTTTCTGGAAGAAGAGTCTGTTCTTATAGCCGCGCGCAATGAGGCTAGAGAACGCAGAAAGCTTGAAGACCAAAACAGATCCAGTCTGCGGCAGGAGATCAAGTTCCTTGAAGAAACCCGAATGAAGACAGAAAACCGCATATCCTCGGACCAGACCAAGCTCGAGACGCGGCGTCGCAAGATTCAGGAGAAGAAGTCAGAGATGAAGCAGTGGAAAGTTTTGTTGGCCGAGAAAAGGGCCGCTAAAGAAAAGCTCGAGGAAAGAGAGCCTGTTGAGCTTGAGACACTCAAGTTGCAAGTTGAGGAACTCAACAAGGAGATTTTCAAGCTGCAAATCGAGGTCCACGACGTGGAGGAGGATATCAAGTACGATCTGGCGAACAGAAAGAAGCAGGAGACTTTGAAACAACAACTTCAAGCATTATTTGAGCAGCTTCGTACTCACACAGACACCGAAACAGGAACTTTGAAGCCAGAGGGACGTACCCTGTTTGAGGAGCTATGCAAACTGCGGCCGGACTGGGAACAGGATTTCAAGAACGAGTTTTCGTTGGACGACCAATTTGATTCTCAATGGAAAGTTTTACGAAACACCGACAAGGAGAAGATCGAGACGTTGCGCCAGCAAGTGGACGAGAAACACTCGCGGCCAAGCTCGCAGTACGAGAACTTTGGCGCGTTCAACGATGGCTCTATCAGCAATATCTTGTCGACTGCAATGAACAGAATGAACACTCCATTATCGTACAACGGTCTGAGTCCCGAGCCGACTCTTTCAAGCAGTCCACCTGTTTGGAACAGTCCGATAAATCTACAAACCAACCAGATGGACATGTTCCGCAATCTTCTCGACAAACCACAATCTGCAGAGTCTCCTCACTCGCACGTTTCCAACTTTGATTTCTCTGCAATCAACTACAACGACAACATGATGTTTGGGCTTCCAACAACAGTGAATCCAATCATTCCGGGTACGACCGACGACCAGGTATTCCCGAACGGACTTGTTCCTGGGATGTCTACGTCGCCCAGCATGCGGGACTCTTCCAAGTTTTTTGGATCCATCAACAGCCAGCGGCACATCAGGTCTAACGGATCGAGCATCGACCGAATTGGAACCGCCGACTCACCACAGGACCCGCCTCCGCATCTTGGGTTTGATCTCTCGCGCGCAAGAAGCACGAGTTTTGGTTCCAGCATTTGGAATAACAGTGCCAATAATTCCAACTGGGGATCGATGAACATTCTGAACACGCCATTGAACGACGAAATGACACCAAAGATCTACTTTGAGTCTGAGGATCCAATGCCAAAACCGTCATCGAATGCTTCGTCTCCATCGTTTCTAAAGACCAAGCTTTTCAAGTTTGGATCCAGTCCTACCAAGACGGGAACCAAGTCGACCGAGGGCGACGATTCGAGTGTGGCCACCGACGAGGAGTTGCAGTCTGGTTCTGGCTCCGGTTCTGGCTCTGGACCCAACTCTATGGGTTCCGGATTGCTTGGTAGCGGGTTTGGTTCGAGATCGTCTCGGTTCTTCAAGTTGAAGAAGAACCAATCAGAAGACTCTCCACTGGAGCCAGCGTCCGACTCCTCGTCATCTGGAAACGTTCTAGCCAGACGGTTGAGCTTTGCGTTCAAAAGAGGCGACAAAGACAAAGATTCTAAAGGCGAGTCGGTGATTGAGGAAGAAGACGAAGATTAATATAGCATTGAAATTTTAACTGTATATTTAATTATATTATTTATTTAACACTGTGGTTACTTTAATGTCAACACTATATTCTGACAGGGACGTTGATCGGTTTTTGACCAATTTCAATGAGCTTCATTTGGCTCGTGAAAAGGAGAATCGGGATCGACTGTCTGATCTGGAACGCGAGGTTAGCTTGAAGCGAGAGCAATATGAAAAGTCTCCAAAGAAGAAGCCTCTTGTTCCTAAGAAAACCAAGAAATTGGGCGAGAAAGTGAAGGAGGAGCTGGCCAAGAAGGATGTGGAGGAGTTTCTACAGGAGATGGAGCCGCAGGAGAAAGAAGAGAGGTCCCAGAAGGGGCCTCAGCCTATAAAATACGAAGACGTGGTCAAACAGAAAGTATTGACCCCAGAATGGCGCAAAACGGTTTCCAGTGCACAGTCGACGCCCAAACCGGCGCTTAAGCCGGTCTCGAAACCGCCCCCAGTCGTTGTTTCCCCCAAACCTGTCGCATACACCCTCAAGCCGGCCGTGAAACAGACGTTGCCAATTCCAACCATCGCGCAATCGACGTTTGTTGCGGCCAAACCCCCCAAATCTGCCGACCCTCCACCGCCGTTTCTGGGTGTCCAGCTATCGCCAACGAGGAAGGCCGCTATAGAACCGAAGAAGGAGAAGCCAGAGGCCCTGAACCAGCTGGCTTTCCTCAAGCCTGCCAAACCAGTCCCACAGAGGTCCACAGAGATCCCCGAAGCTCTGTCGAAGCTGTCGACGCTCGCCAAGGCAAAACCGGCGCCTAAACCAGTTCCTCCAAAACCCGAGGCGTTGCTCAAGTTCTCGAGCCTGAAGAAAGTGCCGGCCGAATCCCCGAAACCCAAGCCATCGCAGTTCCTGCTGCCTCCTCGCGCAAAGACCGAGCCGCAACACCCCGTTCCGAGGGGGATCGCACTGCCTGGACTGGCGCAGCCGAACGTGTTTTTGGCCAGAGCCTCATCCGAGCCGAAAAAACCATCTAGAGACCTTTCCAGCTTCGACACCCAGGGACAGGCTCTGGATCACGTGACCAAAACTCGAGCCAAAGGACCAAAGAGAAGACCGCCAAAAGGGAGCAGCAACAGCAACAACAAGACGTACGGAGCTGTTACGTCTGCCACCACCAAGAAGGCGCCCCCTCCGATTCGCAAGTCGTCTCGCCAGGTGTCCAACAGCGAGCTGTTCATTTAGACTCGGTAGACGTATAATTTACTCAGGACGATCGACGCGTCTGCACATGAAAATCTATTTTCGTAAACTGCAAAACAAAACCTTATTTACTGAACAAAATAATTATACCCATCTGCTAATTGTCGGTGATTTGCGTTGGAGGTTGGATCAGCAGATATAGCCAATCAGAGAACAGCATTGGGCAAATCACCAAGTACCAGCTAGCGCGACAGACAGACAGATACCCCTTTTTTTGACGGATTTGGCTCAGGGGGAATTTTCCCAGATCGGTCATTTGAAGAACACGATGGAAGCTCAGCTGGGATCTCCCAAGCTGTTTCGACACAGCACAAAGCCACACAAACAGCGCAACTATTTGTATGTTGGGTTTGTTGCCGTGGGACTATTAATCATCGGCATTGCCGTTTATATTGTTTCTGCCGTGTTGCAGACTGGCGATATATTCAGGTACACGCCGTCTTTTGACCCGTCCAGCGCGCAAGAGACGGTGTTTTACGATCTGAAGGACTACATGGGTCATTCTGACGGGTGGTACAGGGGCGACCAGATTTTGATCTGTGTGCCGTTGCGAGATGCCGCAGATCATCTACCCATGTTCTTTGGACATCTGCGCAACATGACATACCCGCACGCGCTGATGGATCTTGCATTTCTTGTTTCTGACTCGTCAGACGATACTATGGGCACACTCAAACAACACTTGGAGGAACTACAGGCCGATAAGGACCCCAACATGCATTTTGGACAGATAGAGATATACGAAAAAGATTTTGGTCAGGTGATTGGCCAAGGATTCAGCGACAGACATGGGTTTGCTGCACAGGGGCCTCGGCGACAGATGATGGCGCGTGCACGGAACTGGCTTTCGTCGGTGGCGTTAAAGCCGTACCATTCGTGGGTGTACTGGCGAGATGTCGATGTGGAGACGGTTGCGCCTACGATTATTGAGGATTTGATGCACCACGACAAGGAGGTGATAGTCCCCAATGTGTGGAGACCGTTACCTGAATGGTTGGGGAACCAACAGCCGTACGACCTGAACTCGTGGCAGGAGAGCGATGGCGGGTTGCAGTTGGCGAACTCGTTGGACGAGAATGCTGTGATTGTGGAAGGATATGTTGAGTATGCCACATGGAGACCGCATCTTGCGTACTTGCGCGACCCTTACGGAGACCCGGACACCGAGATGGTGCTTGACGGGATAGGGGGTGTTTCGATCTTGTCGAAGGCGTTTGTGTTCAAGAGCGGTGCGCATTTTCCTGCGTTTGCGTTTGAAAAGCATGCTGAGACGGAAGGTTTTGGCAAGATGTGCAAGCGGATGGGTTATTCTGTGATTGGGCTTCCGCACTACGTGATCTGGCACATCTACGAGCCTTCGAATGACGACCTAAAGCACATGGAATGGATGGCCCAGGAGGAGACCCGGCAACAGCGAGAACAGAGCCAGCAGAAACAGTACGATCGGGTTTATCAGGCCGGGTTTTTGGACGTGAAGGAGAACTGGGACGAGGAAAAGCCGATGATCTTACGAAACACAGACAGCTCGCGTGGGTCACGCAAGATCGACGTTGTTTGGGAGGACGTGGATACGTTCAATGCTCAGCCAAACTCCAAGCTGGCCGATTTCGACCCGGCTGTGTAGAAAAACCAAACTGTATAATTACCGTGTTTGGAAAAAAAATTAAATACTCCATACAAAGACTCCGTTCCAGATGCTTCATCTGGACAAGATAATTGAGGATGTGTGTAAGTGCAAGATCATTCCCGAAAACGATATTCAGGAGCTTTGTTTTCTTGCGCAGGAACTTCTGATTCAGGAGTCTAACATCCAATTGATTGACCCTCCAATCACCATATGTGGGGATATCCATGGCCAATTGCACGATCTACTTCGGCTGTTTCGCATAGCCAAAGAGCCGCCCACTACAAAATACCTGTTTCTAGGAGACTTTGTTGATCGAGGGTTCTACTCTTTGGAGACGTTTTTGTTGTTATTATGCTACAAGATACGATATCCCGATAGAATATACTTGATCAGGGGCAACCACGAATCGCGTCAGATCACCAGTGTTTACGGGTTCTACGACGAATGTATGCGCAAATACGGGTCGGCGAACGTGTGGCGGTACTGTTGCGACGTGTTTGACTATCTTTCGTTGGGGGCTTACATTATGAGTGGAACCAACAGTGACGGGGGAGTTTTGTGTGTTCATGGCGGACTGAGTCCTGCCATCGAGACGATCGACGAAATCAGTCTTATAGACCGCAAACAAGAGGTTCCGCACGACGGTCTGATGTGCGATCTGTTGTGGTCAGACCCGGAAGAAAACATACCTGCCTGGGCAGTTTCTCCGCGCGGAGCCGGGTATTTATTTGGATACACCGAGGCAGAACGGTTCTTGTTCAAAAACAACCTCAGTTTGATCGCTAGAGCGCACCAGCTGGTCATGGAGGGCTATAAAGAGGTCTTTGACGGGGGTCTTGTGACTGTTTGGTCTGCTCCAAATTACTGTTATCGATGTGGTAACGTGGCGGCCGTCTTGTCGCTCGACGATAACCTCAACAGGAACTACACGGTGTTCGATAGCATTCTGCAAGATTGCTCAGAGATTCCGTCGAAAAAACCGGTCGCAGACTACTTTCTCTGAGGCGTGAGGCTTGGACGTGCGCGTTACAAAATTTCAAAACAGATCTTCAAAACGCTTTCTCTTGTTCAAATTTTAGCCTCTTGTCATGACGTCCAGTGCAAACACGTCTACCAAGGCAGTGTTGACCTCGATCATCACCAACGGGGTCATCTGTGCAGTGTTTGTGACTCTGTTTTTGCTTTTGAGACTCAGATTCAAACGGATCTACCAGCCTAAATCAAGCTTCAACATTGTCCCTGACAGTGAAAAACCCCCTCCTCTGCCTCAAGACCCAGTCACGTGGATCTTTGTTCTTCTCAAGAAACCAACCCCTTTCATCATCCAACAAGCCGGTATCGACGGTTACTTGTTCCTGAGATATCTGGTCATCATCGCTTGCATAGCTTTGGGAGGAATGGCGTCGTGGGTCATCCTGTTACCCGTCAACGCAACTAACGGCAAAGGCGAAACGGGACTCGACCAATTGGGCATTTCCAACGTCAAGTCTGTCAACAGATACTATGCACATGTGTTTATCTCGTGGATCTTCTACGGAACCGTTTTGTTTGTCATCTACAGAGAGCTGCACTTTTACTTAAACTTGCGGAATCTCGTCTTGACCACCCCGGCCTACGCAACCAAACTCAGCTCCAGAACAGTGGTGTTCCAGACCGTCTCAGACCAGTACTTGGACGAGGAAGAGTTCTTCAAGCTGTTTGACGGTGTCAAACGTGTTTGGGTTGCTCGTGGCCAAAGAGCTCTGTCGCACAGAATTAAACAACGTGACGCTCTTGCTTCCAAACTCGAAGTCACGCTCACGAAGATGCTGAAGAAGGCCGTCAAAATCAAGGCTAAAGCAGACAAGAAGGGCACTCCGCTCGAACCAAGCGACCAACTGTCCACATACATTCCAGAGAAAAAACGGCCAAAAATGCGTCTAAGCATTTTTGGTAAAAAAGTCGATGTGATTGACTACGCAAAGGAGAAGATTGCCACCTTGAATGAACAGATCGAAGAGTACCAGAGTGATTACAGCCGCTCCAAGCCAATGAACTCCATCACCGTCGAGTTTGAAAATCAGTATTATGCCCAATTGGCTGCACAAACAACCATCCATGACCAGCCGTTCTACTTTAGTCCAAAATACACCAACGTTGATCCAGGTGATATCATCTGGTCCAACATGCGTATTTTCTGGTGGGAAAGATTACTCCGGTTTAACTCAGCTTTGGTTGCCATTATTGCCCTGATTGTTTTATGGGCCATTCCTGTTGCATTTGTTGGAATGATCTCCAACTTGACCTACCTCACAAACAAAATGCACTGGCTCAGATTCATCTACAACCTGCCTAAAGATCTACTTGGTATCATCACCTCTTTACTCCCAACAGTTATGTTGGCCATTTTGATGCTCCTGCTCCCAATCTTCATCAGACACATGGCTCAATTGGCTGGTTGTGTTTCAGTCCAGGCTGTGGAATATTACACTCAACAGGCTTACTTTGCATTCCAAGTGGTTCAAGTTTTCCTTGTCACCACTATTTCCTCGTCATTTGCTTCTACAGTCACTCAAATTGCGGAGCAACCTTCCAAAGCAATGGAACTGCTTTCATCGAACCTGCCGAAATCCTCCAACTTTTACATCTCCTACATGATTTTGCAAGGATTCTCCATTTCCGGTGGTGCTCTGTTCCAAATTGTCGGTTTTATCTTGTTTTACGTTCTGGGAAGACTTTTCGACAACACTCCACGTAAATTGTGGACCAGATTCAATGTCATTGGAGGATACCAATGGGGTACCATGTACCCGATCTACAGTAACTTGGCTGTCATTTTCCTGTCCTACAGTATCATCTCGCCAATGATCATGTTGTTCACATTCGCTGGGTTCAGTCTCCTTTACATTGCATTCCTGCACAATGCCACCTATGTATTTGGCAAGAGTCCTGATGCTGTCGGACAAAACTATCCTCGTGCCTGGTTCCAGACCATGGTTGGACTATATCTTGGAGAGATCTGTCTCTTGGGAATATTTGTTGTTTCCAAGTCCTGGGGATGTGTTGTGTTGGAAGCCCTGTTGCTTGCATTCACTGCGTTTGTCCACATTCATCTCAACAAAGCATACGACCATTTGTTGACGGTTGTTCCAAACACTGTCATGAGACCCCTGGATGGCCATAGTCAGACTCTTTCATGGAAACCTCCTCATGCCAATAGAACATCCAACGGCCCGGAGTCTTTTTCTGGTTCGTTGACAAAGGAGGGTATTTCCATGTCTGAATTGGATAAGGAAGAGTTCAAGGAGACAAAGATCACCGAACATTTAGCATACCATGCTCCGTTGCTCATTGAAGGAAAGGACTATTATGCCAAACAGAGAACAGAGAACAAGATCGTCCAGTTCTTCAAACCGAACTCCTACTACACGTTCAAGAGACTCAAGGCGTACTTGCCAAGTTCGTTCGACGACTTTGCAGACGAAGACCCAGAATGGATCAGACATGCGTACGATTTCCCAGATGTTAGCTCCAAATGCCCAACTCTGTGGATCCCACGCGATCCAATGGGTCTTTCCACCAAGGAGATTGAGAATCTACGTGGTGTGATCGCCGTGAGCGATCAGAATGCCCATTTCGATGCTCACGGTCTAATTCACTGGACTGGTGCTCCTCCATAATTGACACGATAATACTTGGGCAGACAATTTTAAATAAATAAATATCCCTAGAGAAGAATAGGTATATTTCTATATTTCCCTCTTTTGCTTTGTTTGCCAATGTTCCCATATAAAGTAGACGCCGACGCAGTCAATGCGCGTCTAAACCAAATAGCTGGCGCTTATCAGCTTCCTAACGCTTTACAGGAGTCCAATGCCGTTCTTACTGCCGAATATACCCTTGATAACTACAGAAACTCCATCTTTTCCTCTTCTGCGAACCTGAGCGAGTCTCCGTCGTCGATGGACTACTCGAGTCAACCGACTCTTCTGGTTGGCCAGGGGATCACGGCCAATGACGGAATTTTGCTGAACTCGATCAACAAGGTTCCTTCGTACCACCTGTCTTCCAAAACGGACGACGTTGAACACCATACAACAAAGACAAAACATATTCTTAGTGGACTTGGAACCTCGGACTCGGTGTCGACTCTGGGGATCCATAACATCGGGTCGTCGTCGCTGAACAACAAACTGGTCCGCTTGCCCTTGAAAGGAGAAAACACAGACAACAAACAATGGTCTTTGGTGAACGGATTGCCCTACTACGATAAAGAGACGATCGACAAAGAGATTCGGTATTTGAACCAACGCAAAGCCCGCTCTTCCGCTTCGGGAACACAGTTTTCTGCAGAAATGAACGAAACCATAGACGACGTTGAGTATCTCCACGGAGCAGTGATACTGAACCAGTATTTGAATAATAAACGGTTGGTTAGAAATTATCAGTGGTTGATGTACTATAAGGAAAAGAGAGGAGGCCACAAGCTGGGAGACGCCATCAAGTCGAACGACAGCATCAAATTCCAGTCTGTTCAACGATTCCAGAAATCGATGGAGCGCAAGATGAGACTTCAAATGGAACGCAGAAGAAGAGAACTGGAAGGTATGCCACAGCTGTCCGAGGAAGAGCTAAAGAACAATGAAGAAGAAGAAGAAGACGATATTGAGGTGGAAGGTCCACGGTTCCAATCAATTGACATTCCGGTGAATCTCACCAAAGAACTGATTATAGAGAAGGTGTTACCAATCGACGAGAAAGAACTCATCCAGGCTCAAGATAGACTATATGGTATTCAAAATTCCTATCAAATGCTACAAGATGCCAAACAAACAGACGGGATTATTCATTCAAAGCTGCTCCGGCTGAGAAGAAAACCCAACCCCAATGCTCTTGGGTATTCCAACATCCGGTCTAAAAAACCACCGTACGCCTAAAACCTAGAGCACTTTCGCATGTTTGATATCGTTTCTGAGTTTGTACACCAACAGTGTCATGACAATTAACAGACCAACCACAGGCATCAAAATGAATCTGACTGCGGAGGTGAACTTGTTGAATTTGGACTCGAAATCCGACTCGTAGTTAGTTCCACGGTTGGTTTGCGAGTAATAGTCCTGCAACTTGTTGAGTTTGTCGTTGATACTTTGGTGGTTCTGGGATTGTCCTTGGAAATGTGTGTTGAACGAAACAAATCTGTCGTCAACCAGCTCCAGCAGCTGGTTTTGTCTGGAAATCAATTGCTTCAACGAGTCATACTTGGAATTGAGCTCATCTGTTTGTTTCAAAAGGGCCTGGTACTGTTTCTCCATCTGGCTGTTTATTGTGTTGTGCTTGTCCGTCAGGGCCTTGACCGATTTCGACACATCAAACAGTTGTTTTTGGAGAACGTGAGGAGTTGACTGTTGTTTGATGAGATTCTCCAGTTTGACGAGCTGTTCGGTTATTGAGCTCGAGTCTGTGTTCGATGCCGACTTTGCTGCCAATTTCTTGCGCAGTTTCTCTTGGATCTTTTGCATTTCTGCTGCGGTCAAGGTCTTGTCGGACTTGATGACGGGGCCGTTTTGGTGCTTGGCAAACAGTGATTCTGAAGGGTCGACTTTCATCGAGCTGATCACTGTGTTGAAGAACTTGAACATGAAAACCTCGAACTGCTCTGTTTTCTGGATGTTTTTCGGAGCAGAAGCTGTGAGTCCGATCTTTGCGTTTTTCAGGATCGAGTCGAGGTTGATTGCCGTTGTCTCAAAGAGCAATTTATTGTCACAGGTGATTTTGAGCCAATTCTTCTCGTACGCGACCTTCAACGTCGAAGGCACCTGCGAGTCCTGGAAACTGTGTGTGTAGGCTCCGAGATAATCGTTGGAAATGTCAATTTTTTTCGATCCGTCGTTCAGATACACTCTCAGAACGGGACCGAGGTCGATATCGTTGGCGTCCAGCGTGATCTGAAGACCCGAGTACTGGGCTGGGCCTCCGAAGTTCGACGCGTCGGAACCAGGGTTCGAGTCGATCAGCCAGAACGAAAAGCCTGCTCCTGTTGGACCGTACGATCCAATCGATCGAAGTGTGAGATGGACAGAAAAGCTGTCTGATTGGACGGTGTTTCTGGACCAAATTGCGCCCTGATACAGACCTTCTTGGTTTTTGGACGCGATGGAAGGAGTTGGGGTCAAAACAACACGGCCTTCGTCCACTTCGATCTCGCCAGAGTATTGCCATGTCGATTGGAGATCAGCAAGAGACTTGACGTTGACTAGGTCGGGAAACGAAAGCTGGTTTACCACCGAGCTAGACTCCTCTGACGACAAAGCATGACCAGAATGGGCCGCACAATGCTGCAAAAACACAAAGAGCCAGACAACTGAATAAAGAAGCATTAGGTGAATGTTTTGGAAAACAGCACAGCCCAGAATTATATGGGCAAGTTCGCTCGTAACCTTTTTTTTTTCTCTTTATTGTTGCCCGTTTTTTAAGATGGCAGCGTTTCGACGAACAAAAAGAGTGGGAAAAGTTAAATAAGTTATAATTTACAAGAACAACACCGGCTTTTTGTTAAGTACTATCTTTAGGCTCAAAGATTTCCACGCAGAGATCTAATTGGTTGAACCCCCACCATACATTCCGACCAACCAATTGATTTCTCTTTAGACGAATTCATAGCCTTGCCTCAAATTCCCAAGTGACATCGAACAATTTGCCAGGCTCAAGGGCCAATAATACCAAGGCATCGTCGCCTTTCAATAGTACCCCGTCTCTTTCCTCACTGTTAAAAAGAGCCCCATTAGCAGCAATCGACTCGTTGATTCAATCCCCGTCGGAATCAATTGATATTACTGTTGTTCAGATCAACTCCATCATTGAGTCTCATCCAGATACTTTGTTGGATTCCTTTACCAAATATTTACTAGACATTATTTTTGTCGATCCAAATAGCAGTCAATCTTCACGCGAAATTGCTATTCGAACTCTCAAAGACCAAATACAGATCCACGTTTTCCCAGACGGTGTTGCTATCAAATCTTTTGCATCTTGTGTCTGTGAATTTTTAGACTCTGTCGATAATTGTTCTTTGACTAGTATCTTAGAAAAAACAGGTATTACCGGATTCTTTGCAGTTTTCGCCACACTTGCAATCGAAGCATACTTTACTTCCAACAAGTCAAGCACCTCAAAAGACCTATCCACCCAATTCGCTCCAGTTTACCGTGAAAGTTTACCGGGATTAGTGGACCATCTTAATCAACTTAAATCAAACAGCAATTTAACTGAACCACAGGCTCTTTCATACGGACACTTCCTTGAATATTTTCTAGAATCCAAGGTTTTCACTGCTCCTCACAAATTATTGATCATCGATTATCTGACCACCATCCTAGACCGTCACGATAATTCAATTCTGAATAGATTGATTCACTCTGGAATTCAAAACTATTACAAAGACCTAAGCAAAATGGAGTTCAGACAAGTGCTCGAACATTTTGAGCCTTCTAAATTGTTGCCAAACAAAATGCTTTCAGACCTATTGGGCGCACAGTCCCCATCGTCGTTGGATGATGCAGTCGCTCTCATATTGAGCGAAGTGCTCTATCCAGGCTCGCAGAAACTTTGCGGCCAATATGCAGACCCAATCACAGCATTGACACCCTCCAGTGTCCCAGAAGCAACAGCCAGAGGTGCGCAATTAGCCACCATTCTCGGCAGATTGAAGACCCAGCCAAACTGGCAGGACGTGTTCAATCTCGTTTTCCAGAAAACAGCAACGGCAACATCAATGACCCAGGCATCTCTATCGGGACTATTATCATCATTAGGTAAAGACAACCTGATTGATCTTTTCCTCTTCACTGCATGCAAAACATCCAACCCACAATTGTTGAAAGATCTGCTAATTCAACTCAATTCTCTTGATCCAAACCAAGGTGCTATTAATTTGTTTGAGCATAAGCTAGAACCAGTTCTTTCAGCAGAAGTGAACTCTAGAAACCTCCTTCTCTACTTCAAGTCCATCGTCAAAGTGGAAGTGAAAGCAATTGCACTTTTGCAAAATGAAAAGATTAATGACAGCATAGTTAGCAACATTTTTGCTAGAGATTACAGAGCCGCACCAGAGTACATTGTGTTGGCTTGTCTATACATACTGAACGACGAGCCAGAGGCCAAAGAGAACGACCTGATCATCAACATCATGCAGAATTTTGTTGTTTCTCTTTTGGATGTCAGCTCTCCATACCTAGGAGCCATTTTCACCAAGTTCGAAGAATTCAATCCCGTTGAGCTCGGAAAACTTCTTGTGAAGTACTATGAAGTCAGAAAGACCACAGACTCAATTCATAAGATAGCCAGCCTTACTGCTTCGTTCAAGCGGGATACCGTGATCATGTCTATTCTTTCAAACTCTGGAGACTTCAAAGATGCCTTTTCGTTTGCTATCATCTTTTCCCAGTATGGTTGGAAGAGATTCCAGGAGTTTGTTTTGACCCAACTCGATAGAAACATTGCCGTGGTTGCAGGAACAATCATTGATTTCATGGAAAGCCAAGCCACTTTAGAATACGAAAGTGCCCAACAGGGCCATAGACTTGGTAAGTCTTTGAATCTTGAAACCGTTTACTTCTTGATGACCACCTTGGGAAATAGACAGATTCCAACTGACTTGTTTGAGAAATTCAGAAATTTGCAAGCTTTGTGCCTGCAAGCATACCCAAGACTCATTAACTTCGGACAAGGACATGATAACGCCATTTTGATGAACAGCTCAACCAACACGTTCTCCATTGATGTCGAGAAGGAGATGAAAGTGTACTATCAAAAGATGTACAACAAAGAGATCGAGATTAAGGACATAATCAACATGCTTCAGAGACTCAAGGTCAGCGATAATCCTCACGACCAAGACGTGTTTGCATGTATGATCCACTCTCTTCTGGACGAGTACAGATTTTTCCCAGAGTACCCAGTTGATGCGTTGGCCACCACTTCTGTTCTGTTTGGAAGTACTATTTTGTTCAGACTTGTGGAAGGTCCTGCCCTTTCGATTGCATTGAGATACATTATAGATTCTGTGAGACAACCTCCAGAAAGCAAGATGTTCAAGTTTGCTATACAGGCATTGTACTCATTCATGAAACGGCTGGGCGAGTTTCCAAAGTTCTGTGCCATGATCAGCGAGGTTCCAGCTCTCCAAAGCCAACCCCAATTATATGAGGCTTGTAAAACAATTGCATCAGGGGGATCGTTACCAATAGTTTCGCCTCAATCTACAACTGCCAGTGTTTCTACTCCTCGTGAAAAATCGAAGGAGCTCGATCCATCGATGTTTGTTTCGAAGTTTGCATCTATCCAAGTTCCTGTTGACATTTTGAATGATGTCAGACAGGAGACTCCAGCCAGTGAAGTTTTGGACAGAGTTCTTTTCATGGTGAATAATCTTACTGATGACAACGCAACATCTCGTCTTACTGAGCTGAAGGACCTGTTGGCTTCCAAGTATTTCGAATGGTTTTCGAACTATTTGGTCAACCAAAGAGCAAAGTTGGAGCCTAACTACCACTCGTTGTATGGAAAAATTGCAGAGTATTTCGATTCCAGTTTGTTTGATGCTCATTTATTACGTGCAACTTTCCAGCAAATTGTCTTACTTTTGAACAAAGCAAGAGATGCTGGAGACAGCGAGGACACTGCTGATGCCTTGTCATCCACTGAGAGATCTCATTTGAAGAATCTTGGTTCCTGGCTCGGAAGATTGACATTGACCAGAAACAAGCCTATCCAGCACAAGTATTTATCTTTCAAAGGATTGTTAATTGAGGCATTCGACCACAAGAAATTGGAAATTGTCATTCCATTTGTTTGCAAAGTGTTGGACCAGACGAAATCATCTAAGGTGTTTGAATACCCAAGTCCATGGTTGGTTGGTATACTGCAAACATTGAAGGAACTGTACGACGTTGCCGGATTAAAGTTGAACCTGAAGTTTGAAGTCGAGGTTGTTTGCAATTCATTGAAGGTCGAACTCAGCTCTATCGAGCCATCGACTATCATCAGAAACCACAAACCAGGTGAACTTGAACGCTTCATTGAGTCGCAGAAGATGATTACCAAGTTGGCGAGAATGTCTCTGGATGATCAGAAGAACGTTTCCCATAACCTGGGAGGTGTTTCACTTCCTGGTATGGGCCAGTCTGTGTTGGCACCTCCTCAGGCCGCCCAACAGCAACTGAACGTTCTTCAACAGTTGCAGCAGCAAAGATTGTTGGCTGCTGCTCAGCAACAACAATCGGAACTTCCAGGTGCACAAGCCTCTTTCGACTCTCCTGCAGCAGGTCACATTTCCACTGCCAACCAAGCTCCTCAACCACAGCAACAAACTTCTTCTTTCGAGAGTTTGAACGGAAATTCTGTGTTTGTTACTCATCCAAACCTCAGACGTCTGTTTCAGTTCGCAATCACCAAAGCAGTCCGTGAGATCTTGCCTCCTGTTGTCAGCAGAACCAACTCTGTTGCATTGGTGACCACCAAGTCGCTCGTTTTGAAAGATTTTGCGTTTGAGGTTGACGAGCTGAAGCTTAGAAAGGCATATATCAACACTGTCAGACACCTCTCCGAGTCTCTCACTCATGCATCGTGTAGAGACTTGTTGAGAGAAAACATTCAGCTCAACTTGGACCAATACATCAGTTCTTTGGGACAACAGATCGATCCTGCTATTTTGGAAGACCTGCCAAGAGCAATTAATGACAACTTGGACTTGGCTTGCTCGATCATCCAAAAGGCAGCCATGGAGAAATCTGTTCAGGATCTTGACGAGATGATGCTACCATCCATTGCTTTGAGAAGACAATTTAGAGACTCCAGACCAGATCAGGCTTTCTGCGATACTCAGCATGCTTCCAGATACTCCATGTCTCTTCCTGACCCATTGGGAATCAAGCCTAACGGAGTTACTGCAAAACAATTTACCATCTACAACGAATTTGGAAAACCAAAGAGTGCTATTAATCCATCTGGTATCCCATCTTCGATCTCAACTCCAGCTGGTGTTGCAGCTGGTGTTGCGAATGAGGCTGTGGCGACTCCTCCTGCTCTGAACGCTGGTGTTGACCAAGCTGCTTTGGCACAGAGAGTTCTGCAAATGCAAGCACAAGCCCAGGCTCAGAGATTATCTGGCACTGCACAGGCTCGCCCAACAGGTGTTCCAGACCCTGCAGCACAGATTTCGGTTGACCAGACACAAAAGACCTTGGAGCAATCATTCTTGTATATCCAACAGCTTTTTGAGGCTATTGTCAAGTCTACCGAAGAGAGCCAGGATAAGGAGATGCATCTGAGAGAGATCTCTGTCGACAATCCACTGAGAAGCTATCTTGCGGATCTGATCCAAATTTTGAGCCGATTGAACCATAACGAGTTGCAGATGAAGTTTGCTCAGTTGATCATGAACGCTTTGTTCAGTGCACCAAATACCAACCAATTGCTAATTGAGGCTCTGATTTTCCTCTTGGACAAGTCTTGTGAGCTTTCGTCTTATGTTGCCAAGTTCGTCACTACTTGGCTGATCAACTCCGAGGACGTTAGAAAATACAACAAGAAGATCATGGGTTCTTTGGTGCAAGTTGGAATGATTTCTTTGAGTGATCTCGACTTGAGCATTTCCAGAGCACTGGCTTCCAAGAAAGACGAACAGATCTTGACTTTCGCGAGTGAGTTTGCCACGTCTCTGATCTTTGGAGCTACTCCAGTTGCTTTGAGATCTGACTTCCAAAACACGATTTCCGCCATCCAATCTTTGGACAATGGAATCATTAGCAAGAATACAGCTGCTCAAGAGCTTTTAAAACGGTTGGATGGAAAGACCGAGCTGAAGGGCGAGAACTTCAAAACTTTGATTTCCGATCCATCCAAGTTGAAGGACTATTTTGCGTATGTTTTTGCGGAATGGGTCAAGCTGCAAAGATTTGGCGATTCTTCCAAGAAACTGCATCTGGACTTTTTGAATGGTCTTTACGACCAAGGTATTCTTTCCAAGCCTGACCAATTCGTTCTGTTCTTCACCACTGCCATGGAGATGTCAGTGCTGTCATTTGTTAAGGAGAGTGACAACTCCAAGAAATTGGCTGTTGAGTCGTACACTGCGATCGATGCGTTTGCTGAGCTGTTGATACAACTGATTGTCATTCAGGAAGACCACTCTTCTTCAAGATTAAACTTCTTCAAGTCTGCACTTTCTGTGGTGCTGCTTGTGTTTGCACACGATCACGAGATGAACAAGGCAAACTTCAATGAGAGACCGTACTTCCGTTTTTTTTCCACCTTGCTGTGCAACTGGAACTCGTTGAACCACGGCGGATTCACGTCTGTTGCTGATGACGAGGGAGACGTGAAGAAACTCAAGAACTTCCATGTGAAGTTCTACCAGACCCTTGCCGACTTCTTCCTTGCCTTGCAGCCGGATGCCTTCCCAGGCTTCACGTTTGCATGGGTGTGCCTGATCTCGCACCGGATGTTCTTGCCTGTGATTTTAGAGCTCGAGGAGGATGCAGAGGTGAACAAGGCCAAGTTCGCCTCGTTGCTGGTGTCTCTGCTCCGGTTCGAGAGCATCTACGTGAAGGACAGCTACGTTTTGGAGGCGGTTTCTGTGGTTTACAAGGGAACGTTGCGGGTGTTTGCCGTGTTGTTGCACGACTTCCCCGAGTTCCTTGTTGAGGCCGCGAACGTGCTTGTGAGTGCGATGCCTGCGTCGTTTGTGCAGTTGCGGAACATTGTTCTTTCTGCTGCACCACGGCGCCTGGAGATCCCAGATCCGTTCCAGCCTGGACTCAAGGTGGACAGACTGCCGGACATCATTATATCGCCTCCTGTGATGGGGGCTCCTGGCCAGCTGCTGCAGGAGAAAAACGTGAAGAAGGTAGTGGACACGTTTTTGCGTGTTCCGTCTGCTGCGACAGCCAAACAGATCATCAGTGCGCTTGAGCTTGCCGAGCCTGTTGCGGAGGCCGGGATCGGGTTCAAGAGCACCAAGTACAACACGAAGCTGATCAACGCGCTTGTGTTGTACGTGTGCATGGGAGCGATGGACGAACGAGTGAAGAACGGTCTTTCATTCAACCCGAAGTCGACACATGTGACAATTTTGAGCTCTTTGATGCAGGAGGGTACTGTTGAGTTGCAATTTTTGCTTTTACAGAGCATTGCCAACAACCTGCGGTATCCGAACGCCCACACACACTGGTTCAGCTGCGTGATACTACAATTTTTTGGGTCCAGTACGTTGTGGGGACAAAACCTGGCCAATGTTCAGCAGCTGATCACCAGAGTGTTACTGGAGCGGATCATCTGCAACAAGCCTCATCCGTGGGGGCTTTTGGTGACGTTCACGGAGCTGTTGAAGAACAGCGAATATGCGTTCTTTGACCTGCCGTTCACCAAGAATAGCGTTGAGTTTGAGCGGCTGTTCAATTCTCTACTGTTGTACATTAAGAACTCGCCAAGTGTGTGAGTTATATATATTTTCTTTTGGATTATGTAAGGGAGAAAAAAGTTGGAAAACAAATATATATATAAGCCTCTTGTTGATGTTTTCTACACTTCGACGTCGATTGGCGCGCAACTCTGAGGACGAGAGCGACGATCCGTTCAAGGAGACCGGGTCGCAGGTTAGCAAAAGCCGGCGGCCGCCCAACACGGCGTTCCGCCAGCAGCGACTCAAGGCGTGGCAGCCGATCCTTGTTCCCCGGGTTGTTTTACCGTTGCTTGTGCTTGTGGCGGTGATCTGTGCGCCCATTGGGATTGGGTTCTTGCTCACCACGTATAGCATCGAGAAGATGGAGGTGAATTACAGCAAATGTGCGGAATTGGCCGGCAGCAGTTTCAGCGAGGTGCCGTCCAAGTATGTGAACTACCACTTTAAGGGCGGCAAGTCGTCGAAAGTTGAGTGGAAAAAGAGCATTACGGAGGACTCGAGCGTGTGCACGGTGCAATTTGAGGTTCCTGGAGACATCAAGGGCCCGATCTACCTGTACTACAAGCTGACGAATTTCTACCAGAACCACCGCAAGTACGTGGAGTCGTACGACTGGCAGCAGCTGCGCGGGAAGGCTGTGGAGCACGACGCGGTCAACAGCAAGTGCGACCCAATGCGGTACCGAGACGGCAAGATCGTGTATCCGTGCGGGCTTGTTGCGAACTCGATGTTCAACGACACGTTTTCGAGTCTGAGTGCGCAGTCTGGCGACGACTACGAGTTCAGTTCCGAGGGCATCGCGTGGAGCTCGGACCTGTCGCTGTACCGGGAGTCGCAGTACGATGTGGCGGACATCGTGCCGCCGGAGAACTGGATGCAGAGGTATCCGAACGGGTACACCAAGGCGGACCTGGCTGCGCTGGCCAAAGACGAACGGTTTATGAACTGGATGAAGACGGCTGCGTTGCCGTCGTTCATGAAGCTGTACGGGCGGAGCGACACGACGCTGAAGCAGGGCACGTACGCGGTGGACATCGGGCTGAACTACGAGGTTGCGATTTTCGGCGGAACAAAGTCGGTGATTTTGTCCACGTCGAGCGTGCTTGGGGGCCGGCATCTGAGTCTGGGTATCTGCTATTTGATTGTGGGCGGGCTGAGCGTGGTGTTCATGCTGGCGTTTTTGGTGAAACACCTGTTCACGCGCAAACAAACGGACCATGCGTTTTTGGACGGGCTCGCTGGCCAGGAGCGCGAGGTGTTGTAGATAGTGGAAATAAAATAACTTTGACTGCCAAATTTTAGCGTCAAGAAAAACAACCCTCATGTCCCGGGTCAAAAGAATCGCTAAGGAGCTCGAAGACGTCAAGAAGGACGCTCTTTCCGGCGTGACGCTGACGTTGGTGGAGGAAGACGACCTGTCGCACCTGAAAGGCACGTTTATTGGGCCTCCCGGCACGCCCTACGAGGGCGGACTGTTTGAAGTGGACATCCAAATCCCGGACGCGTACCCTTTCAAGCCGCCTTTGATGAAGTTCGACACCAAGATCTACCACCCGAACATCTCCTCGCAAACAGGGGCCATTTGCCTGGACATCTTGAAAGATGCGTGGACCCCCATTTTGACGTTGAAGTCGTCGCTGATTTCGCTGCAATCGTTGCTGCAGTCGCCCGAGCCAACCGACCCGCAGGACGCCCAGGTCGCGAAGGTGTACATGAGCGACCCTAAGAAGTTTGCCGAAACAGCAGCCAGCTGGACCAAGATCTACGCCCCGAACGACAACTACCAGCCGTCCAAGACCAACTACGACGAGTTTGTGCAGCAATCCAAGGTCCAGGACCAGGACGAGTGCGCCAAGTACGGCATCGAGCGCGCCACCGTGCAGATCTTCGAGGACATGGGCTTCCCGAAGGACAAGATCATCGGTGCGCTGCGCAAGCTCAACCTCAAGAAAATCCGCGTCGACGACGTGCAGACGCAGCAGTCGGTTTTGGACGAGATTCTTCATTAGTTAATACACACTCTACTTGCCCACCTTGCGGAACCCGTCGTCGCTCGAGCCGTTCGAGCCGTTGGGACCGTTCGGGCCGTTCTTGGCCTTCTTCTTCTTCTTTGTAGCGGCCGGAGCCAGGTCTTTTTTCGCCCGCGGCTCCAGCTTGATGTCCACGCCCTTCACGCTGATCGTGCCCGTCTTGATCGCCTTTTTCTGCGACCCCTGCTCCGTGAAGTTCACCAGAGCAATCATCCGGTCGATCTTGCACAGATCAACGTGTCCAAAGCTCTGCTCCAGCTTCTGTTGCAGCTCCTCCTCGCTGATGCTGCCGGTCACTCCCTTCACGTAGATCGGGTACACCACCTGGCCCTTCTTGTTCACCATCTGACTCTTGTGCTTCTTGGGCTCCTCTTTGATCTCCTCCTTGGTCTCCTCCTTCTTCTCCTCCTTCTTCTCCTTCACCTTCTTCTCCGGCTTGTCTGCCTTGGCCTTGGCCGCCGCAAACGCGATCTGGTCCGCCCAGCTCATCGGCTTCGACGACTCGTACTCGTCCTCGTCGCCCAGCCCCGTCTCGGGCGTGGTGTCCTTGCTCTCCACGGAAAACACCTCCTTCTCCACGCTCTCAGGCGACTCCACTGTCTCCGGCTCCGGCTCCTCGTAAACAGCGTCCACGTCCGGCACAAACGCAAGCACGTCGCTGTACACGTCGTAAACGCTCCGCTTCACCGTCGGTACAAGCAAAAACGTGTGCGAAAACCGGAACGCAACAGGCTCTGTGTCGTGGACCGGCCCAGGAACAAGCTCGCCAACACAAACAATCAAGATCGACTCCTGAAACGACTTGGTCGCCTCGATCGTCTGGATCATCACTTTCGCCCCCGCCAGCGCCGACCGTCCCCAGTACTCGCGGATCTGCTCTCCTCCTTCAACACCTATAGCCTCCCCTCCAACGGGGTCCCGGAAGTCTGCGTGGCGCAACGTCGCCCCCTTCGCGTACACCTGGTACAGGTTCTCGGTCCCCGAGTGCACCAGGTTGTAGTAGTACTCGATGAACGCAATGGCCACCCGGTTTGGGTCCTGGTCAATGTCGGACATGAACAAAATAAAGAAAAAAAAATATATTAAATGGCCATTTTTTTTCGTTTTTCAGTCATCTATTTAAATACATCATCTTCTGTTCCGGCGTGAATTGGGCCTTGTCGTCCACAAAGCCCCAGATCTGGTTGCTGAGCGCGGCCAGGTCCTTGTCCCCCACCAATCGCCGCATCTCCCAGAAACAAAGGTGGGTCAGCATCGACTGGCCCCCAACTTGCAGCAGGTTGTGGTTCACGTTGCGAATCACGCCCAGCTCCTCCGCCAGCGTCTCCAGCGACCGCGTCTTGTGCGCCCCGCCCAGTCGCGTCACAGAAACGTACTTGATATCGTAGAACGTCGGGAAGTACAGCGACAGCCACTCCTCGAACTCCTCCTCGCACATCGGCATCGCACGGTTGATCAGCAGCGAAATGATAAACCCAAAGTCGTATCCCGCGTGGTAGCTCACCCACACGTTGTCCTTCATCAAACACAGCCCGCTGTCGGTCAGGGCCTGCGCAAACTCAAACACATCTATGCCAAACTCCTTGAGTCTGCTGAAATTAAGTCCGGTCGTGATTAGCGACTCCACGCTCTCGCGACTGAACATCTCCGCGTCCAGATCGAACCGGAAATTAAACTGCCACGTTGACGGAACCCCCTCCGGACGGCGTCCATCCTTGTCGCTAAGCGTGATTCCTATCTGGATCAGGTTCAACAGGTCCGCATTCGAACGAACCGTCTGGTAATGGTAGTCTTTGGTCGACCGAAACGACCCAATTGGCCGCGCCACAATCCCTGCAAACTCCGTCGAAACACAAATGTAGTTGTACCGCTCAGCAAGCTCTCGTAACACCATCATCTCGCTCTCCAGGTTGTCCTTCCACACCTCCCGCACCATCGGCTGGGCCTGCACGGGCTGCGGCTGTTTCTGGATATGCTGCTGGCTCAGTCTCTGCGCCGCCAAAACCGCCTGCTGTTGTTGGACCTGCTGTAGAAGCTGCTGCTGCTGCTGCTGTTGAAGCGTCGCCGCAAGAACCTGCTGCTGGATGCTGCGGTTGTGCACCTGTGGCGACATCATCGAGCCCACCTTCTGTGGCGCAGCCATCTGGCCCGGCTCCGCGTTGTTCAGAAACTGCGACATGAACCGCATGTTCATCTGATTCGCCATGGTTTGTTGGTTTTGGTACTTTTTTTTTCCCTACTGAAATCGTTTATTATATAAACACCCGTGCACCGCAAGAGGCTCACACCTTCTGCTTCTTTGGTAGCAGGTCGTGCTCCTGCTCGGCCTCGTACTCGGCCTGCTCGGCGGCCTCTGCGCGCTCCTCCCGCTCCGCGCGCTTGCGCTTGTACCCGGCCTTCTTGTCCTCGCCCGTGCGCTCCTCGGTGTCCTGCGGCGGAGCCACAAACCACGGGATCTTACCACGGTTGAAGTCGGTGATCACCTGCTTGGCCACCCCGGTCTCGTCTGGCTCGCCGCCCTTCAGCAGCCGCCCGTTCTTGCGCGCAAGCAGCTCGATGAACTCGGTCGAGTTGTTCCAGCCCTTGATCTCGTACGTTCTTTCCAGGTGCTTGCGTTCGCACTTGGCCAGCAGGTCAGGAATGAACTGTTCTGGGTTCGAAACGTGCTCCACCCGCACCACGCCACGGAACAAGATGTCCGACTCGGTGTCCTTTGTGGACGGCGGCACAATCCCCGGACAATCGATCAAAAAGATCCGTTTCATCAAAGTAATGTACTGCCAAACCTTGGTCTCTCCAGGAATAGGAGCCACCATGCAAACCTTCTTCTTTCTGAGCGTGTTGATAATACTGGACTTTCCTGTGTTTGGGTACCCAATGAACCCAACACTGATCTGTTTTCTGTCCTGGTGCAGCACCGAAAACTGACGCAAAAGCTGGATCAACGAACCTTTACCAAAAGAATTGGTGATACTCGCGTGGAATGCAAGAGTCGGATAGTCCTTGGAAAGATGCTTCACCCATGCAGCCTGAAATGTTAGTAAAGGAAAACAGCTTGCTGTTGTTCGAATGTAGGGTCTTTTACTACGAAAAAGCCATGTCTCAGACTCGTTCAACTCATAAAGTCCCAAACCACCAGGGCGTTGGCTCCAAAACGGAGCACAACAGGCTACCGCGCCATTCCAAAACGAAATAACGCAGTAATTGGCGAAATCAATCTCCCAAAGTTGTAACAGACAAACCATATTGACAAATAGAACGTCCTGACAAAAAACTTTGGTGTCCTGGTGCCATTCAAACAACGTCGCAAACGGAAAAATATAATACTTACAGCAACCCATGTGGGAACCAAATCGCACTTGTTCAACACAAAGATCAGATGCTTGTGAGGACACTCCTTCTTGATGTACTGTTCAACAGACTGACACCGTGTTCCCAGCGGATCACGAGCGTCGAGAACGTGTATCACCACGTCGGAAGAGTCAATGACTTTGTATAATTCGTTCCAGATTCTTTTTGATTGACCTTTGGAGAAAATGAACTCCTTGGCCTCTGCGCTAAATTCGTCAGTATCCACGCCGCCCATCAGTCCAAGAGTCGCATTGAGGTCCTGTTTCTCCTCGAACTTGGTCTGGTCGTCGTTAGTGGCCTGAGCCAGTTCTTCCAACGACCCGGCCACGGCAGCTGGTTTTTTGCGCTGGGCTTTTGGCCCAAACGTCTTCTCAAACGACTCTGTTTCCAGAATCCGCGCGCTCGGCGACTCCGCGGTATCTTTCTCGTCCAAAAGTGACATTGGCAGTTTATTTCTTTTTAACAAGACAGTGTACGAGTCGTCTTTCTTGTCGCCCATGGCTTCTCTGAAATGCGACAGGGCGTCCTGGGCAATCACCCTAGTGTTGCCGAACCACCGTCTGTTTGGATCGACTCTTGCCGTTGGGGCCTTGGTGTCTTGCAAATACGCAGCCTTAATCACCTCTCCCTTGGCATTTCTAACGGCCTTTCCTCCCTTGTACATGTTCAGATGTTTCACCTTCTTGGCGTCTCTGTAGAAGTTCTCTCCCTTCACCCTAAGGTTACCATCCCGCAGGTCGTTCTGACGAACTCTGCGGGCCTTTTCTGTTTTCCCGGTAGCCATGATCAATTAGTAGGGGGATAAAATTTTTTTAGGGCCAGAGAAAAAATTATTAGCTAAAGAAAAAAAAAAAAAATAATAATTACATAAGCCACTCGCGTTTGATAAAGATGGGTCGTCCAAGGATCCAGTTCTCGCCGTTCAAGTACCCGAACCTGCGCAAGTCCGACTCGGCAGGGACGCCTGATCTGGGAGACTCGCCTCCGAGCTCGGGGACTTTTTCTGTTTCGAAAGCTCCGCTCAAATTGCAAGGGACCGGGCCGTTGCACGCTGGCACGCCTGTTCGCAAGGAATTGGTGGCCGACCTGGACGACGACGTCCGGCTGGACGGGTCCGACAGCGACGCGGGCAGTTACAACTATGACGAGTATAATTCGAGCGTGATGTCGCCGGTGAAGCTGCCAGAGACTCCTCCGCAGCACGAGGACGGGCTGGAGCTGCAGCGGGTGGAGGAGCCGATCGTGGACATCAGCAGCGAGTTCGAGGACTCGGAGGACGAGCGGGGGAAGGAGAAGGTGGAGAGTTTGTTGGTGGAGGAGTCGGTCAAGGACGATGTGGACGCAGAGGCGACGATTCTGCGAGTGACCGATTTCGTGGAGAAAAGACGCCGCGAAAAGGCGGAGAACCCGTCCGTGGAGCCCGAGCAGGCGGCATCAGAGCAGTTCAAGATACAGGAACACACAGAGCCAGAAAGGACGGAGCCAAGCGAGTCAGAACAGTCAGAACAGTTGAAACAGTCACCGCGGCCAATCGAGCCAAGCCAGCCGAATGAACCCGACCTGTCCCACGAGTGGACGGAGCGATGGTCCAAGAAGCAATGGGCGCATCTGTCACGGTATCTGCGTCTGTATCGGGCAACCAAAAACAAAAAGTTACTGGCTCCTGAAAAACTCGAAAGAGAGTTCCATTGCACGGCAGAAGAGGTCGTAGCGCGCAGCGAGGTGCTCTCCCGGTACGCCAAGGTGCGCAAGATCACACGCAGACGTGTATAATATGTATAGTACGATGGTATCATTGTTATATTTAGAGCTCCTAAACTATCAATTCTGGTCGGTTATGTAGGGAATGTTGATTCTAACTCTGTGACTGTACGGCAACTTTGGGATCACAACACACAAACAAGCCACCAGGTTGACCACAAACAGATTGATATCGTAATTGGAGTAGTGAGTGGAGATTAAAAACAAGGCCACAGGCACACCCATGAGGAATTTCTTAACAGGAGTATACTGGTCGCCATTATCGATCTGTTCCCACATGGTGAGGTTATCGTACGCTCCGTTGTTGAAGTCGAACGGCGTTCCCTTAATCTGATGGAACATGATATACGAACCAATAACATAGGTGACGTTGGTCAGAGTCCAACTCCATTCGTTGTTGAACATCGGAATGAGGTCGTAGAACACCTTAAGCAGTATTATTATCACGATATGGATGATCCAAGCGCCTTTAAAATGGACCCAGTTGGCGTTCATGTTGGACTGGATGTCCTGGTCTTGTTTTGTATCAAACGTCTCCGGCTCGACTTTGGAGATCAACGACGACGACCGCCTGCGACGGTGGTCCTTGGTGGCGTGCGACGTCGTGGGAGACACGGTGAGTCGTTCTGGCGACGACGGGGTGGGAAACGGCTCAACATTCATCTTGGAAGGAACAATTAAGAGTGAAAGAGAATTTATTGCGCCAGGCGTCGATAAGACCCGCGCCTGCGTCGATCGGCGTGCCGACTGCAAAATAGCAAGGGCCAGCATTCGGGTCGAATTGGGGCCCATACTCGGTGATGGCGGCGTGTGACGGCTGTTACAGTACACATTAGCATTACTTAAAGTCTCTGTGTGGAATTCCCCGTGCTGCTGCTGCCGCTCGCTAAAATTAACCGTACAGGGCGGTCCCTTGCATACCCAACCGTTTAACGACGTCTTCTCTTGCGCGTGCCAAACTCCACCTCCTCCGGGCCCTTCAGATACACGTCTCTGTAGTACTTGAGCTGGTTGATGCTCTCGAGAATGTCGCTTCTTGCTGTGTGTGCCCCGATCTTGTCTGGAGTGTACTCGTTGACCGTTGGGTTGTGTCTTCTGGCCATCTCCATGATCGACGACACGTCGATGATCCGGTACGTGAGGTAGTTGGTCACTTTGGGCATTTCTTTGCACAAATACTGTCTGTCCACATGGACGCTATTTCCGGCCAAAATCCCCACTCCTTTCGACATGTAGCGGCCCAGGTAGTCTGTGAGCTGTTGTTGGACCTGGTCGACCGTGTTGGAAGACTCGATCACCTTCTGGGTGAGTCCCGAGTCGCCGTGGTGCGATGTACACCACTCGTCCATCTGGTCCATTCTTTCCTTTGGGTAGTGAACCACGGCCTCGTAGCCGGTCTCGTCGATCAGCCGGAGGTGTTTGTCGGTGATGAGACAGCAGACCTCTATGATATGGTCGTTCTGGAGGTCGAGTCCGGTCATTTCACAGTCGACCCAGACGATGGGCAACAGATGGTCGTATTTGCCGTTGACGGGCTCCAACGGTTCGAGCTGCGGCACGGCCGGCGTTTTGGGCTTGAGGATTCCGCTGAGACTGAACATCGATTTGCCGAATCCGGTGCTGTACGGTCTTGCAAGGGAGAATGTCCTGAGACTTGTTCGGAGCATATTTTTTTAGAAAATTATTTGGTGGGTTTACTGGGGGTGGGGGGAGCGGAAAAGCTTTATCGCAAAGTGGCGATCTTCAATACTCTTTATCGCGCAGTCGCTATCCCCACTCAAGCTACACACCCTCTGTCTTTTCGGCCACCAGCGCAGACTCGTTGATGCCCGTGACCGGCATCGTCTCCAGCACCACGGCGTTGTTCTGCAGCGACAGGTTCAGCAGGTTGCTGAATGCGTTGGCAGACGAGTCCGGGATGCGCGCGGTGTCGGTGTCTGCGGTGGGGGCGGCCAGCGCGTCGCCCGTCTGCAGCAGGTACTGGTGGCCGTTGGACGGCGAAAACGACGGCAGATGTTGTAGCTCGCCAATGGCGTTCCGTAGACTGAGCACGCTGGCGAGAAACCGACTCGACAGCACCGCGTGCGTCACCGGGGCCATGTACACGCTCGACCCGATGATGTAGTAATCGGCAAGCGTGTCTGTTTCTGTCTCGGACGTTCTGTTTTGTTTGCGGATGATCCAGAAGTCCGGCTCGCGCACCATGGCGATCACGAACTCGATCCCACGCATCTTGCGCAGGTCCTGCAACAGCAGGTCGTACGGCTTGTTGTAGAAGTTTGTGTCTGTGAACTGGTTCTGCATCTTGAGCACCTGGTTATTGGAGGTTCTATCGAAGAACGGCGACTGGGAGAAGTACTCCAGCACGTTGTCTGTGCGGAGACCAAACGCATTGACCCATTCGGGCGAGCGCCATTGCAACTCGTCCAGGTTGTCGAGAGACATGGGGAAGAAGAAAAGACACGGATTTTCCAATGGCAGAGAGGTGAAGAAAAAAAAATAACCTGAAAATTCGACACCAGTTATGTTTCGGTTATCGATGAACTTTGTGCGCTCGTACGCAACCAAGAGCGTGAAGCCGAGCGTTCCTGCTCCGAGTGCGTCGGTTCCCGACGTGGGCACGTTTCTGGCGAAAATCGGCCGCGGAACGTCCGAATACACAGACACCTTTGGCAACGACTGGACAAAGTTCTGGAAAATGGGGTCGAGTCAGATGAAAGAGCAGGGACTCGAGCCGCGCGCCCGCAAGTACATTCTGGACTGGCAGGAGCGGTACAGAAAGGGTGTTGAGCCGGTGGAGATTTCGCGCGGCGTGAAGAAGAACGGCGGAGAACGTAAGAGAAGAATCTATTTGGCCGAAAGACGGCTCAAAGACCTAAGAGAACTGGCCCAACTGAAAAGACGGTTCAAGATTAAGAACAACCTGGAAAAGAGAAATAGAGATCGGTTCGAAAAGCTCCACGAAAAACAGAGCCCTGTGTAAATAGTATATAACCGTCAATTGATAGCTCCCGACGCCCGGTACTTTTCCACGATCTTCCAGTACTTTCCCTTGGTGCGCTTGCGCCAGTACTCGCCCGTGTATATCATCACGATGAACGTGCCGATACAGAACAGACAGATGAATGCGGAAGCCACAAAGCAGTTTTGGAGACCAACGTTGGTGACAAACGGCGTGATACCGTAGTCCATGGCGAAGTTCATCACGTTCCGGATCACAATCACCACGGTGATAGCACTGTAGGTCATTTCCTCGTAGCAGTCCACGATGTAGGTGACCGACGAAACACAACCAATGGTACATAGACCGGCCATGAGTCCGAGCCCAAAAACGACTCCAAACCAGTGGATTCCCTTGGCAGCACCGACTCCCCACAAAATCAGCGACACCGGGCCGAGAATCATGTACGGAACAAGCACCCAGAACCGGTCCTCTGCCTGCGACATGCCTTTGTTCTTGCGGGCGAACCAGATCTTGATGTAGTCGGTGGACCAGCCAGCGTAGGGGTAGATGATGAGAGCAAAGATCACGGGCGACACGTAAGCCAGACCGCACATGGCGGGCGAGAAGTTGTACGGCTCGCCGCCCAACACCAGTGCCTCGGTAGCGTTCAACACAGAGTACCAGAATAACGAGGCCCCGTACAGGAACCCAGCGTAAAGCACGGCAGGGAACTGGGCCATGTAGAAAGCGCCCATGAAATGGTCCTTGAGGTTATTTTTTGGGTTCACGCCGTACGTGAGCGACAGTCTTTGCCAGAACGTTCTTAGCGGCACGTCTTCCATGGTGACTACCTCGACATTGGCGTGAGTTTTCTCGCCAGAAGCATAATCTTCACTGACGGCTCCACTAGGATGACGGGGCTTGAAGTAGTTGGATTCCTCAAGGAAGAAGAACAGAAACACGAAACACACCGCGTTGAAGATACACGCGAGCCACAGCACCCATTTCCATCCCAATGAGTCGTTAATAAAACCTGCCACCATTGGAGCCAGATAATTCGACCCAAACAGAGCAACACTGTAAACCCCCATATAGGTTGCTCTTTCGTGCTCGAACCAAACGTCACCCACAGAGATCTCCGGCAACGACTCACCAGGAGCCTGCAAGATTCCACAGAGGATCTTGGCGGCAATCCATTGGCCGTTACCCTTGACATAGGTAAGCCAGAGATTGAAACCCAGAGAACCAAGCGTAGACACCAAATAAACGGGTCTTTTTCCGTACTGTTGGGCCAGCGGCATCAACAGCAGGTTTCCCAGACCAAGAAACAAAAAGAAGTAACCAGTACCGTTGTTCAAGTCCGAAAGACTAATTCCACTGTAGTCGGAGATTTCCGTGAGAATGGAATAAATACAACACGACGGAATACCACCGCCAAACACGAAAACCACCAAACAGAAGGCGTGCATCAACTTGCGGCCTTTGCTCCAGTTAAGCGGGTCGTTGGGGTCGTTGGACGGCTCGGGAATCAGCACGATTCCCGTCTTGGTTTCAGCCACATGGGCAGACTTGTCCAGATCAACAAGGTGAGAAGTTCCGGGAACAGCAGAGTAGTCAATTTCACGCATGGGGTTGCTGGATGGTCTAACTGGTAGTTATATAGCGCTGGGCTTATCAATAGGCGAGTCCGATTACTGAAAATACGTCCAAGTCTCGCGTGATAACAAGTTGATCCCGGCTTTATCAGTTACCGCTTTGGGAACAAAAATTCGGGTATCAGATAACTTTTCTGATATGAAGGGGTTTGGTATTGGCGTATTTAAACCACAGTTAGTCCACCAATTGTGGGTCCATTCACCATGAACCTTACTCTTTACGGACCTTACACCAACGACACCGAGAACCCTGCTCTTTTTGAGACTTTCAAGCCGAAAATCGAGGCGTACAACAAGAAATTGGCCGACAATATCTTGGACGAGTACAAGCTCCCGGAGGACCTTATCCCCACCGAGCTTGGACTCGACGTCACCCCGATTGCCAAGAAGTTCTTGTCCAAGGAAGAGTTCGCCATCACGGAGACCACCGCCACCAAGCTGGCTTCCGAGATTGCTTCCGGAAAACTGACTGCTGTTGAGGTGTTCAAGGCCTTCGCCAAGCGTGCAACCGCCTGCCACCAGCTCGTAAACTGCGCCATGGAGCTCTTCATTGACGAAGGACTCGAGAGAGCCAAGGAGCTCGATGAGTACTACCAAAAGACCGGCAAAACCGTCGGTCCTTTGCACGGGCTCCCAATCTCCATCAAGGAGCACTATGCCTATAAGGACAAGGTCACCCACGCTGGATACGTTGGTCTGATCGAGAACGTCACCACAGAATGGTCGCACTCGGCCAAACTGTTGCTGGACGCGGGTGCTGTCTTCTATATCCGGACAACAGAGCCACAGAGCTTGATGCACCTGTGTTCCCGTAACAACATCACCGGTGTGTGCAGAAACCCTTTCAACACGAACCTCACGTCTGGAGGCTCGAGTTCCGGCGAGGGTGCCATCACCGCGTTCAAGGGCTCTGCGTTCGGCCTGGGCTCCGACGGTGGAGGGTCCATCAGAGCCCCGGCAGCGTTCTGCGGCGTGTGGGGTATCAGATGCACGGGCGGAAGAAGTCCATTGTTGGGCATGATGACTGCGCACTCGAGTGGCCAGAACGACGGGTTCCCTGTTGTTGCCGGTCCGCTGGCCAACTCGCCGGAAGACTTGGAGCTCGGCTTGAAAGTGCTGCTGAACCAGCCGTGGAAAGACGACTCGTCCTTGCTTCCTATGCCGTGGAAAGACGTGCCGCTTCCAAAAGTTTCGGACTTGACCATCGCCATCTGCTACGACGACGGAGTTGTCAAGCCAACTCCACCAATGATCAGAGGACTAAAATATGCAGCCAAGCAACTCGAAGCAGCCGGCGCCAAAGTCATCGAATGGGATGCCTTGAATGTGCTGGAGGTTGTCCAAGCCGTTCACCATGTCTATAATGCAGACAAAAATGCGGCTCAGAAGAAAGAGCTTGCTGCTTCCGGAGAGCCTATTGTTCCGCTCACGTACAATTGTTTGGAGTTTGGATGCGGCGATAACGGTATCTCGCTTGTTGATTCGTGGAAAATCGCACAGTTCAGAGATGAACAACGCAACCTGTACCTCAAGACAATGAACGACAAGGGCGTGGACTTCATTTTGATGCCAACGTACTGCAACGTGGCACCAAAACCAGACACCTGCCATTATTGGGGATACACCTGCATGTGGAATTTCCTGGATTTCCCAGGTGTCATTTTCCCTTCGGGACTTAGAGCAGACCCAGCTGTAGACGTTCCTGACTTTTCGGAACCAAGATCAGAGATAGAGAAGTATGAGCACGACTTGTATAATACTGCTCCGGAGGATTTCAAGGGAGCTCCTATTTGCCTGCAGCTGATTGGCAGACGGTGGTTCTGTGAGGACACCCTCAAGGCGGCAGAAGCTATCAGTGGTGTGCTTTGAGTCTGGGCGGATTTATAGTCTTATCAAAATTTTTTAGCCTCCTCTTATCGGACCGTCTTATCAGGATGAAGATAAAAACCGTCAGGTGTATATATTCTGGAGTGAAATTCAAATCTGCCGATTATTATGCCTATGAATTTGGCTGCCGCCAGAAATAACCGGTCTCGTCGTGGATGTCTAACTTGTAAGTGAGTTGAATATAATCAACTAACATGTGCAGGTCGCGTGAGACACATCAAGTGTTGCGAGTCCAAGCCAGTTTGTACGGCCTGCAATAAGAGTCTTTACAAGTGTGTTTGGGAAGGAAATCGTAAATCGTTCAAGCTGGAAAAGGTGAGCCGGAAAAACTACACGTTCGTCAATGGATTTGTCAAACGTGTTGCAGTCAAGAACCCGGACGCCCCAGATTTTGACAAACAAATGGTGGACGATTTCTATTTCCGACAGTACTTGAAAGAGACCGTTGGTCGAGTCGACACCCGTCTTAACGGGTTTCAGTCCTGGCTCATCGGAATCGATCTATCTGAAGAGGACGCTTTCTATTACCATGTCTGTGTGAAAGGGTTCATGGTTTCTGTCTCGCCATTGCTCACACACAAGAATCTCCAGCCGGGAGTCGTGATGATCCCGCAGGGTGCAAATAACCGATTATTGGTGGATATCTTTTGTGCATGCGGAGTGTCGTTTCTGTGCTGGGAGAACAAAGACCTTCAACTGGTGGCCAAACAGAAGTATGAAACCTGTTTCGCCAAGGTCCAGGAGATTTCTGAGGAGTACGTTCTTGCCGAGAACAACCATTGGTTTCTGATCGCCGTGTTGTGTCTTTGCTTCAACAAACGGTATCAAGAGAGCCGGCACCACTCGCTGTTCTGGTTGCTGCAATTGGCTCTTCGCATCCTCGAAGGTTGGGTCCGGAAACTCAACTACCAACGTGTCGGCTTCGAACTCGACGATATGGTGTGTCCATCCAAACCGTTATTGAACTCGACCGAAAAGATGTTGCTGGAGAGCTTTGTGTACAATTACTCCATTGCTCTGCTCCAGTACAATCCAAGCAACGAGTCAATGACGTCGCCGTTCCAAATCATGGAGGAGTTCCGGCCGTTTTTGAACCAGAAACTGTACGACTGTCCTGCGCCGTGGATGAACAACCCTGTTGTGGGTGCGTCTTTGTCTGTGATTGAGATTGCTGCCAAGTGTAACTGGCTGCGGCTTCAGATGCCGCTGGACGAGTCCAACACACAGCTGGCCATGCGGCTGCTCAACAGTGCCAAGTACTACGTGTCGCCCGTGCTGCCTCCACAGGTCCGGACCACACAGCCCGAGCACGTCCAGAAACGGCTGATGGAGAGCTGTCGAATTGCACGGATGTACGCCAATGCGGCGCAGATCTTCCTGACCAAGTTGTTGGACCCGGAAATGGACGCTGCGGACGAACACATCCAGCAGCTGGTTGGCCGTGTCGTGGACGATCTGCGCGGCCTGAGCATCCATTGCCAGGCATCCTCGATCTGCACGTGGCCGTTGAGTATCGCCTGCACCGCCGTCAGGGACAAAAAGCAGAGAGAGTACATTCTCTGGCGACTCAAGAACTTCAGCAACGTGCTGAAAATGAACACTTTTATCAACGTTTCGCAAATCCTCTCGTTTTCATGGGGAACAGACCTCAATTGTGGACCGGGGTGGGACGTTCTTCTGGATCAGAGATGCTACCAGCTTTTTCCAGTGTGAAGTTTGCGAGTTCTTTTTTGAGCCACTGGGTTTCCTTTTCCATCACTTCCATCGATCGTGGTCTGCGGTCTTCGTCGCGCGCAACCGCCATTTTTTTCACCGCTTGTTGGAAGAACCCGTTCAGGTCGTGTTCGTGGGTCTCCAACAAATCGTAGATCCTGTCTCCATAGCCATCGTTTAAGTATCTAGGAATAATATGACAATGAACGTGCGGAACCGACTGGCCAGCGGCCACTCCGTCCTGCATCGCCAAGTTCAACGAGTCTGCCTTGTAAACTTTCTCAATGAACTGGTGGATCAATTGAACTGTCATCATGTAATCGATGCTTTCCTCAGTAGTTAGGTCTTTCAACCGGGGCACCACCCGTAGTGGCACCACCAGAACATGGCCCGGCACAATCGGTTTCAGATTCACCAGAGCAAACGAGTGTTTTGATTGGTAGAACACTTGCGAAGTAACCGGGAACTTGTAAAAGAGGATCTTGGACATTTGTTTAAACAAACAAGAAATATTAATTTTCCCATGTTATTGTATGAATGTTGATCATTACGAAATTCTGGAGGTGGCCAAAACAGCCTCCGACGCAGAGATCAAGAAGTCGTTTCGGCGGCTGGCGTTGAAGTACCATCCGGACAAGAACAAGGACACCAATGCGGAGGACAAGTTCAAGCAGATAAACGATAGTTATACAGTGTTGATGGACCCCCAAAGAAGGGCCGAGTTCGACCGCACGTACGTGCCACGAACTTCGCACAAGCAGTCGTTCACGCCGAACGCGGCCAAGAAGCCGTCTGCGTACGAAGAATACGAAAGAGCACGTCGTCAGTACGAGGAGTTCAAGAGACGTCAAGAGCAGGAAAAAAAGGCGAGAGAAGAGGCCCGGCAGAAACAGGCCGCCGACTGGGGAGACAAATGGTCCTCGTCCGACAGTTTCTACCATTACAGCAGGTACACGCGAACAAGTCCTGTGTTTGAGCCGGAGTTTGAGCCGAGCTCGCGAACAAAGACTCCGTACTCGTTTGCGTCTGGCGAGAAAACGTACACGGGCCCAACGCCAAACGTGAAGACAGAAAAGCCCCGCAAATGGACGAGCCAGACCCAGGACACCCGCACCAGCGCAGATTTCGCAGAAATGCTCAGAGAGTTTAATATTCCGCAGTTTAATTTCTCTGCTCCCAAACCGTCGCCGTCAGAAACCCGCTTCGCCAGCCACGGCACGCCCGACGACCCGATAATACTCGACACCGGAACCCAGGACGATCCCATTGTAGTGGACGACCAGCCGTCCCGGTCCAAAAGCCCGAAGAAACCCAAACAGCGGTTTTGGAAGCCGGCTCCAGATACCCGGTTCAAAAACCGCACCACCTTGGAAGAGCAGGGCGAGAACCAGCAATCGACAGCCCACAAGGCTAATGTCGAGGACGTGGAGGACAGTTTCCGTATCCACGTGGAAAACGTTCCTCCATTCACCCAAACTACAGGCAATTTCGACATGTCGGAAATGGGCGAGAGTCTTGGCGTGGAAACGGAGATGAACGTGGATCGCGAGGACGAGCACGTTGAGCCGGTCGTGGAGCCGTTGCTTTCGCTCGCCGATCTCCGTTGCAACCAGGACGAACTGGCCCATATTTCGCCGCCTGTTGTGCCCCAATTCCACCTCACAACCCAGGACCATCTCAGAGCCCAGATGGCAGATTACATGGTGCAGGCGTTCAATTACCAGCACCTGGTTGCAAGATACACTCAGACGCGGCAGGAGGCCAATGCGCAGCACATTGGCCAGATTACAGCCAACCCAGCCAACATGAACGTTTATAGACAGAGTCTGGAGTACGACCGACTTTTGAACACTGCCCACACGCAGTTTCTGGAAACGTACCGGTCTGTGCTCGACCAGTACGAGCTCGAACTGTCCAAGTACGTCTGAGCCGGTGTACGGGTGTGTACATAACGGAAAAATAAATTGTGGAAAAAAGAGGTTTTTGGAAATACGTAATTTGCCATGAACGGAACGGGAGCTGGGAACGAGGAGGTTCCTCGGGACGTGCGGCTGTTGCACCTGATATTTGCGACGCAGGGCATCCAGTCGTACCAGGACCATGTTCCCTTGCAATTGATGGATTTCGCGTACCGGTACACCTGCGGAGTGTTACAGGATGCGGTTTTGTACAACGACCATGCGTTTGGCGGTGCTTCTGGAAGCTCGAACAACGCTCTGACGAACGAAGATATTCGGCTGGCGATTGCCGCGCGCACAAATTACCAATTTAAGCCTGTTCCTCCCAAGAAACTACTGTTGAAGCTTGCGGCGGAGCGCAACGAGAAGCCGTTACCGCCGGTGATGCCTGCGTGGGGAGTCCGTTTACCACCAGAGAAGTACTGTTTGACGGCCAAGGACTGGGAACTGGACGAGGAGGTGGACGAGACAGAAACAAAGAGACAAAAGACAGGCTGAAATTTATAGTGAGTAAATATTTTATTTGTATATTACAAGTGTTATTTTTATGACTTTTGTGACACAAGGTTCGATCCCCGAGTAAGTGAGAATTGTTGGAGCGACTAACGCCAGGGTTGTGGAGAAGACGATTGGAGAGAGTCTGGATGAGCGGACGGCCATTCTGGAGAATATCAGCGACCTTGGGCCGCCCGATATGGTGCACCTTAAAAAATACAATGGGTCTTCCAGTACCAAGACTCCTGTTTTAGGCACTTTTTTGTACTACACGGGTCCTGATGTTTCGAATTCAGCCACAATTGCGGCCTTGTTGAATTCGTTGAGCAATATTATTGGCGAGGAGCCCCAGATGTGGTTTGGCAAGGAAAAGCCATGGAAAGTGACCGAGGCAACGTATTGCACGTATAACGTGTTCAGCAAGGTGGATGTTCGTGTGACGTGCAAGTTTCCGGGTCAGGTGGAGTCGTATATCATCGATAATCTGGGAAATAAGGTCATTGAGAGCGATAAGCTGTGGACAGAAACGTTTGTGAGTGCTGTTGTTCGGACGTTGATCAGTGCGGACGTGGACATTGACGATTTCACGTCGGTGGTGGAGATCCGCAAGATCAACCCGTTCTGGAACAAAGAGGTGGCCACGTTGTTTTTGAAAGGGTTCGAGGAGCTGTTTGACGAGGGATCTAAGCTCGGGTGTTCAGAAGACCTCCAGATCCCAACAAAGGTGAACAATTACCTGGTGGATGCGTTTGTCAAGTTTGTACAGATCACAGGATTTTGGGAACCTGCCCTGGAGGTGTTGGAGAGAATCACCCAGGAGGAACACACCGCCAAATACCTGATTGCCAAGCTGTATTTGCTCAACAACCAGGAAACCAAGGCGGTGCGTGTGATGTACGACACCATCAGATTGAACCCGTTGGACGGCGAGATGCTCACGTTGCAGGCCGAGTACTGTCTGAAGAAGAACAAGCTGGACCTGGCATTGCCAATTGCCATCAAGGCCGTCAACAGTCTGCCGTCGTATTTCAAGCCGTGGTCGATTTTGGTGGAGGTTTACATTCTGCAACGCGACTACGAAAAGGCCCTGCTGACGCTCAACTCGTGTCCGATGGTCACTCACAAAGACAAATACATGCTCAGACGCGTGAACCATCCGCGGTCGGAAGAACTGCACCTGCCGTTGCCCGTGGACGTGAGTCTGGGCAGCGTGACGAACCTGAGCTCGCTGGACGTGGCTGCTGAGCACGACAAGGTGGACCAGAGTCTGCTGAACCTCGCGGCCGCCAACCTCAAGTCCACGTTCGCCAAGGCGTACAAGCTGCTCACCGATATCGTCTTGGAAACCGGCTGGGAGCCGCTGCTCAAGTACCGCACCAAGGTGTTTGTGATGGAGGACGAGTTCAAAAAAGAGAACCTCAAGCCGTCGCTGGACGGCCACGCCACCAACGGGTCCACAGAAACCAGCCAATCAAACGGGACTGACGAGACGGCCAGCTCCCAGTTCAAAAAGAAGCGTCTTTGCGAAAGATGGCTCGACAACCTGTTCATGCTGCTCTACGAAGACCTCAGAACCTACACCATGTACCGTGCGCAGGTGATGCACTTCGAGGCCCAACAGATGGATCTGGAGAAGTCGACGCTCGAGTGGGAGCTGCTGGGACTCGTTTCCGAGCGTCTGGGCCACCACCGAGAAGCTGCCCAGTGCTTTGAAAAGGGCCTTTCCCAGAGATTTGCAGTCAGAAGCTCCAAACGACTGCTGGACTACTATCTCGACCAAAAGAAGAAGAACACGAGCTTGGAGTCACACACCAAGCTGAACGACCAGATTCTGGACCTGGTGGTGAAGCTGACGGTGTGGTTCCACAGATGGTACTGCTCGTTTTCACCAAAACTGATCCTGACGTTTGTGGACCTGATCCACGAGGTCGGGCGCACCAAGATAGAGAGCGAGATCAAGGTCAAGTACCAGAACGACACCGGCGTGTACGAGCTGCTGAAGGACACGTTCACGTACCTGGAGGAGTACGGTCTTGTCGAGGAGGACTGAAAATTCCCCACCTCACACCCACCTCACACCCTGCTCCGCACTTTTTGTAACGGAAAACAAATAAATACTCTTGTTGTTATTTAAAGAAAAGAATGGTGAGTACAACAGCGTTGACAGACTAACGGCAGGTGACAATCGGCAACGCACACGACGATCTGATCCACGACGCTGTTCTGGACTACTACGGCAAGCGTCTGGCCACTTGTTCGTCGGACAAGACGATCAAGATCTTCGAGGTCGACGGTGAGACCCACAAGCTGGTGGAGACGCTGAAGGGCCACGACGGGCCGGTTTGGCAGGTTTCGTGGGCCCACCCGAAGTTCGGCGTGATACTGGCGTCTTGTTCGTACGACGGCAAGGTTTTGATCTGGAAGGAGGAGAACGGTGTGTGGTCCAACATTGCTGAGCACGGGGTGCACCAGGCGTCGGTGAACAGCATTTCGTGGGCTCCTAGCGAGTACGGGGCTGTTCTGCTGTGCACGTCGAGCGACGGCAAGGCGTCGGTGGTCGAGTTTCTGGAAGACGGGTCGCAAAAGACGATGGTGTTCCAGGCCCACGCTATTGGAGCCAACGCGGGATCATGGGCTCCTCCACACAAGGACAACGTGAAGGAAAGAAGATTCGTTACGGGAGGATGCGACAACCTTGTGAAAATCTGGAAATTGGATCCACAGGCAAATAATTACATCGAGGAAGCTGTTCTGTCCGGCCACACAGATTGGGTCAGAGACGTGGCGTGGTCCTCTTCCCTGCTCTCCAAATCGTACATAGCCACGGCCTCCCAGGACAGAACGGTGTTCATCTGGACCAACGAATCCATCGGCAACCATTCCGGTTGGAAAAAACAGCTACTGACCGCAGATAAATTCCCCGACGTTTGCTGGAGAGCAAGCTGGTCGCCGAGCGGAAACGTGCTCGCCATCAGCAGCGGCGACAACCGCGTCACTCTGTGGAAGGAGTCGCTCACCGGCAAGTGGGAGTCTGCGGGAGAGGTCGATCAATAATGGTATGTACTATTCAATTTGTTACAGCAGGATTATGCGGAACCGTGCGTTCTGGTCGTCATTACGGTTTTCTCCGGGCCCATCTTCGCCCTGTTGACGCAGCAGTCTCCATCTGTTGACCATCACGAGCGCGAAGATCGTCACAAACACGGCCAGAAACAACATGTCGGAGTTGCTGATGTCGAACGACGCCTCAAATGAGTAGTCTTCTCCTTCGTATTTGCGCGACCAATGGTGGAGCGGCTCCTCAACAGGGTCTGGCGCCCGCTCGTTGCGTAGTCGCTTGTACATCTGGATCCAGTCGTCCCATGTTCGTCCTTTTTCCTCCTCCATATTCTCTTCAGACACTTTTTCACCGTACCACCACGTCTTGATCCACAACCGGATCAGAGCCAGCTGTGCAGGGATCGTGGGCTTCATGTCCGGCCCATACACTCCGTCGTAGTACCGTTTAGCCAGATGGAAGTCCTGAGCCAGCCCGATCCCCATCTCGTACATGTATCCCAAGTTGAACCGGGCCTGGCGAGCACCTTTTTTGGCGGCCGACTCATAGTATGACGCGGCCAGCTCGTAATCCGGCTCCACAACGTACCCGTCACCGTCCTCAGCGTCGCCGACCTGCGACTTTTTGAGTCCGTGGTAGTGAATGTCACCCAAGAAAACCTCAGCGTCCATGTTGAGTTGACGACTGGCTCGACTGTAGTAGTTAAGTGCACTTTGGAATCTGTCGTATGGAACCCGCGGAGGCTCCTCCAGGTATCCAACGGGAGAATACAACAAATACGCAGCTGAGGCCTGCGCATTTTCGAATCCTTGCTCTGCCGCCATTGCGTATCCAATCAATGCCTGCTCCAAGTTCCTGTTCAACAGCTGGTGGAATGCCCAACTAAGGTCACAAACAACAGGCTCCACACTCTCCACAAACCTTTTGTATCCTCGCACCAGATAGTTGTCCGGATACCCTCCTTCTCTATCGTCGTACTGGACCAGCTGGTACATCGCCTCTATGCTTCCACGCTCAGCAGCGCGGAGGATCTGGCTCTTGGCCAGAAGAACGTCCGTCTTTGCGTCAAGCATGGCCTTGTGGTACAATGCCTTTGGAGACACCTGCGCCTCCAACGAATAAAGCTCGTAAGCTTTCTGAGTGTACTCAGGAGTTCCCTGCAACTCGTAAAGAAGACCGAGATCAACACGGTTTTCCGACGATCGACAGAGCTTGTTGCCGCGCTCGAGCCAAACACGAGCTTTATCAAAGTCCTTGGCCGTTCCTTCTCCCCGAAGATACATGTGTCCGAGATTCGCACAGCATTGGCCAACGCTCTGGACCAACGCTGGCGAGTTCGACTTGTAGTAGTGGACATGGCCTTCCAGCACCTCGTTGACGACCTTGAGCTGTATTCCCTGAGATGCGCAGTCGTGAGCGATCTCAAACGCCTTGTCATAGTCGCGCGGTCTCCAGTAGCTGCCCTGGTATGCATTTTTCACCGAGTTGACCTGATCTTTGTAGGAGGCCGATTGGAAGCCTATATCTGCGTACTCCTCAATATCGACGACTTTCTGGAAATCCAACGGCACGCTCGAAGCCACATCGCTGGCCCCGGACCCGTAAAGCCCACCGTGGAGATCGTACACTCGGAAATTGTACTTGTCAATGTTGGGGCCTCCGATCGGACTTTCCTTTAGGTAGTTGAAACACTCGTTGGCCACAAAGTTGTAATAGTACAGAGCCAGTTTCGTGTTTATGGCCACAGAAAGTCCCGTGGAGTACCTGTATGCTAGAGCCAATGCGGCCTTGACGTTTCCTTGATCTGCTGCCAACTGATAGTACAACAACGCTTTTCCTTGGTCCATTTCCACTTTGCCAAACAGACCGGTGGCATAAATGAAGCCCAGCATGTACTTTGCGGTGGAATTGTCGGATAATTGGGTCATTTTCTCGTAATAATGCAGAGCATTGGTTGCGTTTGTGGGGAGCGAGAAGTTGCCAAACAAGTTGATCTGGGCCAACGTGTAAACGGCGTCGACATCGTCGTGGTCAGCAAGATACTGCAAATCCGACAACGCCTGGGTCTGGTTATCGGACATCTTAGACGCCAGATACCGTTTTTTCAAAGTATCGTACTGTTCGTAGTAATCCACGTCCAAAGTCAATTGGACTTGTTCCGTGGGAGGCGGGTGGAATTCCTGGAGGAACTTGACGCGGCTCCTAAGCGCCGGTTCTTCGTTTCGCAGAACACTCACGCTTTCCTCGACGGAAATAGCCGCCGAACTGGCCACAAGCCAGCTGAGGGCAACGATCCGAAGCCACTTCATCTAAAGAAAAAAAAAGACAAGGAAATATTTAGATTATTTGGTGTTGGGGGTATTTCCATGGCCCTTTTATTTTGTCCGTGTTTGGAGCCTGTTGGGGCAGAAGCAGGGGTACCTTCTACGTTGAACGATAGAAGAACCCACCACAAGCGAGAAGACATGTTTTTCTGCGGCCAATGTGCCAGTGTCAAGTGCTACCGATGTGTTGATCTCCACCATGGATCTCGCTACTGTCCGGGCTGTATGCGCCAGTTCGAGTCCACGGCCCGCCATTGTCAGCGTTCGTGTTTCAAATGTCCGCGGTGTTTGTCGAAACTGGCCGTTAAGTCGCAAAACCACTACAAAGACGACGATCCGTCTAAGATCGACTACAAACAGTTTCTGTTCAATTGTCCCAACTGCCGGTGGTCGTTTAGCTCCGGAGCAATCACCAAGCCGCAGCCCGTGCACGACGTGGTGCTGGCGCAGCAGAAGTCCGCGCGCGATTTGCGGTTCGACGACCTGCGAACGTTCTACGAGAAACAGTACGAGAGCTCCAATGCCACGGAAGCACGACATCGCAAGCGGCTGATCGCCAAGTACTCGTCGCTGGAGCTTGCGCAAATGCTGGAGAACCGCGGAGTCGCGCAGGTGGACGTTGCGAGGACGGCGTTTGCAGAAACGTCGCCTGCTCCGCTGTTCCAGGAGCTGTGTGCCAAGACCACTGTCCGGTGCAAGAGCTGTCGGTCTGTTCTTGTGGAACCCGACCCGGAGCCTGCGTCGTGCGAGTTTGCAACGCTGTCTGTGGCAATTGACCACGTTCCGGAGCTGCGGTACGGCGACTCGCAGCTGACGGCGATCAACCCGGCTAAACACCCCTCGGAGATCACCCTTGCTGTGCTGGAGCCGGAGAAAGTGCATCTGGACCAAACACGCGTGTCTCTGGGCGGGTGTCCCGAGTACACGAGTCCCGAGAAGTACGCACGACTGGTCCCGACGGGGGAATTGGGCGGCCGCACGAAATACTCCCGTGCAGAGTCCATCACACGCAAACACCGCAGCCGGGGCCCCAACTGGGCCACGCTACAGATGGAGATCGCCGACCCGCACGTCACGACGGTGTCTGTTTACGTGACGGTGCGAAGTCCCGCTGGCGAGTTCTCGACGTGGCAGACGGTCGAGATCGGAAAAGTTTCCGGCTAGCTACAAACGGATAGAAACAGATCAGGCTGTGTTTTTATTCATAACCCAAAATATTTTGGCATGGATAACCACGAAAACATCAGCGTCGAAACCATTGCGCGTCTGTTCAACACGGTCGCGTTCGAAGACAGAAAGGTCAAGATCTCCCAGAAGACACTGGAACTGGTGGCCGAGTACATCCGGCTGTTCACGAGCGAGGCGATTGTGCGGTCGAACGAGGAACGCCTCGAAGAAAGACGACGCGATAACGGTCGGTACCAGGTGGATCTGGACGAACAGGTGGACACACGACAACAGGACGCGGTGCTGGACACGCGTCATCTCGAAGCCATTGCGGGTCTGTTGACCTTGGATTTCTAATCTAGTATTTACTGTTCTACTCAGTGTCCGCCTACATCCTGGGGATCGATCTTGAACACCTTATCAGGGTTCAGGATCCGGTTAGGGTCCAGAGCGAGCTTGATCTTGCGCATAAGGTCGATGGCGTCCTCGCCAAGCTCCTCAACAAGATAGTCTCTCTTTCCATACCCGACACCGTGCTCTCCAGTGACGGTACCTTCTGCTTCCAAAGCACGGTCCACCATGCGTTGCACCACTTTTTTGCACAGGTCGTACTGGTCCTTTTTGAACAGGATCACGGCGTGGTAATTGCCGTCTCCAACGTGACCCAAAATGGCCGTGGTCAGGCCGGCCTTGTCAATGTCGTCCTTGGTGTCCTGCAACGACTTGCACAGTCTCGAGATCGGAACAGCAACATCGGTGGTCCAGACCTGGATGTTGTCGTCGATCGTCTTTTTACCATAATTAATGCACGACCATAGAGCCACTTTTCTAGCGTTCCAAAGCTCGAACTTTTCCTCCTCGGACTCGGCCACTCTGAGCGACTTGTAGTTGTGCGCCTTGGCGATCTCCTTGATGGTCTTGCTGACGGTTTGCGCAGAGTCCTTGGAGTCTCCGCCCACCTTGAGCATGAGCGTTGGTAGCTCGTCGTACTTGAGCGAGGTTTCACCCGAGAAATTGACAAACTGCATCATGCGGTCGTCCAGCAGCTCGATAGCGTTGGCGGGAATCGCACGCTGAACAAGCTGCGCCACAGTGTTGGCCGCGTCGGTCAAAGTTGGGAACGAAACAACAAGCACATTTTCAAAGCGTGGTTTCACGTGCAATTTTAGTGTGGCTTCTGTAACAATGCCCAAAGTTCCCTCGCTGCCGATAAACAGTCCGGTCAGATTGTAGCCGGCAGCAGACTTTCTAGGCCGTTTCTTGGTCTTGACGATGGTTCCGTCGGCCAAGACGACCGTCAATCCAGCAACGTTCTCCTTCATAGTTCCGTATCTAGCAGCATTGGTACCTGAGCACGAAGTGCCCACCATTCCTCCAATACACGCACCTGGCTGTGTTTGTTAGTAACGCAGTTTTCCATACTTACACCTGGATCAGGTCCAAACATCAAATTGTAGTCGGCTAAGTGGTCTCTAAGATCTTCCCAGCCAACGGCCGCTTGGACCACCACGTCCAGATCCTCCTTGTGGAGCTCGATGATCTTGTTCATCTTGCTGAGATCCAAACAGATTCCTCTTCTGGTTGGAATAAATTGTCCCTCCAACGAGGTTCCTCCACTAAATGGAACAACCGGCACCTTGTTCTTGTGACAAATCTTCATGATCTCAGAGACCTCCTCGGTGCTCTCGGGATAAACAACAGCCACAGGTCTCTGGTCTGGCTCAGCATGGTGAGTCGACCAAAACGTGTCACTATGGTCGTCAAGAGAGATCTTTGTGTTGGTGATCTTGGAAGGACCCAACAAGACAGTCAGCTCGTCGATCGCCTTGTCTGCATCGCCATACTCTGGCGACAACAAGTCGTTCAGCTTGGACGTGGACGATTGCGGGAACAAGAATTCCGGGACGTTCGACCCAACTTTCACAGAAACGTACCCAGCACCCAAAATCGAGCCCAACACAAAGATCCCCCCAGTCTTGAGGAACCCTGACCCCGCACCGGATCGGGACCCTGTGGCCTTGGGAGACTCCTGAGGACCGTTCTGGGTCGAATTGAACCGTCTGAACCGACCAGCCCGTCTGGAAACAACCCTCAGACCTTTATAGCTCTGTTGTCTGAATAAATTCATCGCTATCTTTTTTCTGGGGATCCAGGCTATATTAGTAATTTTTCACACATACGCAGTGCATTGTATTATTTGCTTGGAGTTACATAAAATCGTCGTCTCCAAAGTCGTCGTCGCCTGGTAAAAGATCGTCGTAATTATCTTTCTTAAAAGACGATCCAATGTTGACTTGACCTTTAACCTTCTTCTTTCCAGCTCCTCCAGTAGAAGTTCCGCCTGTCTTGGCCAATCTTGCCTGTCTTTCCTCCTTCACCTTCTGTGTAATCATGGCGTTCAAAGTGCTAACCACCTTTCTTGTGTTTTCCACACTCATTGGACCACACAGATCTCTAATCAGATCGACCGCCAGCGAGGTGGAATAATGCAGCTGCGACTTCTTGGCAAGGTTCGTCAGCGCAGGCGAAACGGCCTTTCTCAACTTCTCGTAGTCTTGCTTGGTCTCCACGTCGAATATCGGCAGCGCAGTTAGCGGAGTGTCCTTGTCGAGTTTCGGAGCAGCAGCCTTTGCGGCCTGTTCCGCAGCAAGAGCCTTGGCACGCGGGTGCTCATTAGCAACACCCAGACCGCCAAACAGGTCTGCGGCGTTGTTCAGATCCGAGTTTAGCTCTGCTTCCTTCAACATCTCCCTTCTTGTCTTCTCGTCCACAAGGTCAATTTCCAAAGCAGACTTCTCGGCGGTCTTCTTCTTGCCGCCCTTCACGGCCTTTGGAGCCTTGGTCACTGTCTTCTTGGCCGCAGCGGCCTTCTTCTCGGCCTCCTTTGCGCGTTCCTCCTCGGAGTCAACGTCCCACGAATCGAGAACAGGCTCGTCGTCCTCTAGCTGGTCTTCCCAAGACTCCGTCACTTGAGCCTCCGAAGTGGTCGGAACTTCAAACTCTTCGTCGTCTACCGGTTAGTCGTTCCGTCGCGTCTAGTCACTTACCCCAAGACATGTCTTTGTTAATTAATACGGAAAAATCTTTTTTCCCAGGAGAACAAAAGTGTTTGTCTTTGCGTCGGTCGTCCCTGGAAATTCTCAAGTGGCAAAAAAGAATTAAATATCACTACAACAAAACACATTGACTATTTCTTAAATGGTGAGTATTACAACGGGAAACGCGCCAAAACTAACCGCCCAGTCATCGCAACTTAAACTCATACCCGACGATTCGTACAAAGCCGCCGTCAATGTGACCGCGTACGGCGATTCCGCGCCCTCTGCCCCTGGCCTCCACGACACTCTAAGATCCGGCGAAGGTCCACTTTCGGTGTCGTCGAAAATCAACAATAGACATCCTCTGGAAGGCAGAATCAGCAATTGGGAAGCCACACAGAGACACCACCAATTGGAAACTTATAGACGTATATTTGGAGCTGCTGACCCAATCAAAAGGGAAATGGAGCTAAAATTGGTGCAAGACTCTCAATTCAAGCCGGCTGTTTTGGGAGGCCCTTCGGATTTGCACACAGATATTCTTCTCAACAGAGAAACAACCATCGACTGGGAAGATATCTACACAGGTAAGTTTACAAAACCTTCATGTTTTACTAACAGAATCAGATTCAGGAAAACAGCCAATGGACTTCCATTCGGAGATGGAGAAGAAGTTTGGCATTTGAGTAGATTGAACACGGCTGCTGCTGAAGACAGACCCTGCCACCAAGTCGAATTCTTGGGGGTCCTGTCGTGTGCTTGCTAGTGCATCCAGAAAAAAATCCAGACGGAAAAATTTTTCGATTATTTATGGAGACGGTACGTTATATTCACGTCAAAAGCATCCATAACCAATAACTTAACAGTCGAAATGTCGCATTCGGTATACGGAAATTGGTAAGTGTTTACCCTCTTTAGTAGTGATGAACCAATGTCTAACATGTTTGTAGGAACAACCCGAATTCGGGCGATCCACAAGAAAAACCAGAGCACACCTATAATATCAATGGCATATTGAATCCGGGTGTGTTGGCGTCTGCTGCGTCCACCCCTGGCCAGGAGCCGTTCTCCTTGTTGAGCTACGGCCTATTGGATGGCCAAAGACCCCAAACTACGCCGGCTGCTCCTCTAGAGGCTCAGATGGCCAATTTGAGGGTCGACGATAACCAATGGAACACACAGAGTTTTCTGCACCAACTGTTGATCCAGAAACAAGCCCAACAGCTCCCGTCCGCGCCCGTCAAGGTCGATCCGTCGCAGATCAGATGGTATTATTTGGACGCTTCCAACAACGAGCAAGGTCCTTTTGATTCGTCCCTGATGCAGCAATGGTACTCTCTCAGATACTTTGATTACAGTCTACGTATCCGTCGTCATGACCAGGCCTCGTTTGTGACGCTGGCGGAGTTCATCCAGTCGATCGGCGAGTATGTGATGCCGTTTGGTGTTCCTCTTGCTCCTGTTGCTGTTCAGCCAGCGGCCCCTGTTGTGCCAACGTATCCGATGTACCAGCAGTCACAGCAGCCGGAGCCGGTTGAAAAGCCAGTTGAAGAGCCGGTGCCAGCAGCTGAGGCCGTTCCGGTAAGCACAGAGCTGGAGGAGCCGGCCGTTGCTTCCACGTCGACCGTCGTGTCTCCAGAGCCGGTTGCTGCTGTGGAGCCCTTGCAGACGGTCAAGTCGGAGGGATTGCCGCCTCCAGAGACCGCTCCCGAGCCAGAGAAGACCAAGCCGCAGTCGCCGACCGTGTGGGCCCCATGGGCCGCTGCCACGCCTGCCAAGCCTTCCAAGACTTTGGAGGAGATCCAGGCCGAGGAGATCGAGCTGCAGCGGGAGCAGGAGCGTCAGGCTGCTGCCGAGAAAGCTGCGGCCGCTGCGAAACAGCCTGCGGCGAAACAAGAATCCAAGGCCGCCGCCGGACTGCCGTCCACGGTCGTCTGGGGCACCGGAGCCGTGCAACCAAACGCCCCGGTGAAGTCATTTGAGGAGATCCGCAACGAGGAGGCCGCCAAGATGAAGGCTGCTGCGGCCGCGTCGAAGGCCAAGCCTGCTGCCGTTTCGTTTGCACAGGCCACTGCGGGCAACGGATGGACCACTGTGAGTGCGAAGAAGCCAGTCAAGACAAGCGTTCCTGTGGCGGGGGCGAAGGTTGCGAGACCAGCGGCGATCACGCCGACTGTGTTGCGGTCTGTTTCTGCTCCAGTGGCGGCGAAAAAAGCCGTGGTGGGTAGCACGGTGGCCTCACCAAAGCCCCAACCAGCACCTTCCAATAACTCGCCGTCCAGAGAGTTCCTGGTGTGGTGCCGCACACAGCTCAACAACTTGCACAAGGGCATCAACAAGGAGGACATCCTGTCTATAATCATCCAGTTCCCCACTGGAAGCGAATCACAAGAAATCATTGCCGATACCATCTACTCCAACTCTGCCACCATGGACGGCAGACGGTTTGCAAGCGAGTTTCTCAAGCGCAAGGCGGAAGTGGAGCGTCTGGCAAAGACCCAGGGCCTGCACTTCAGCTGGGCGGAGGCGCTTGCCGCCAGTATCCGCGGCCAGGAGGACGATTTCGACATGGCTTTCACCAAAGTGGTGAGCAAGAAAAACAGAAGAAAAAACTAGGCAGAAATTAATAGCATGTCACTAGCATAGAATTGGCGTTGTAGAGTACTTATGTTTGCACCAATTGGTGTTTGAGGGTTTCTTTGATCGGGTCCAGCGAGTTGAGCCGTCTTCTGAGGGCCTCGTTGATGGTGACTTCTTGACAAACAGGGAAGAACGTTTGGGCCCAGCCTTTTTTGTACGATTCTGCTTCGGCGGCCAACTCATTGAGCTCCAGCTCTTGCAATTTGCTTTGCAAGTTGAAGCTCTCGTACACGTCGTCTCCGATCGAGCCCTTTTGGTACAACACCTTGACGTACTGCTGGATCTCCTTGAGTTTGATCATGCGACGGATGGCCTCCGCGCCCCGGCGAATCAGCGCCGCCTTGAGCACCTTGTCGTTGACTTTCGGCTCGGTCGCGTTTTTCAGCTGTAAATACATCTCTTTTTGGTAGTTTTCGGCGAAGATGGGTCTCATGGACACGAGCTTGTCGAGTTTTTTGCGGCGATGGGCGATCGAAAACAGCACCAGTGTGGTGAGCAGCACCGCCACGTACAGGATCGGGATGTAAACCGACACGGACGAGGTTACGGATTCTGATTCTTGGCTCATTCAGGGGTTCGACAGTTGGAGGCGAGCTGGTTGATTTTTTCTTTGTGGTGGACAGAAACACCCGTGCACTCGCTGATGCCAGGAATTTTAGCTCGCAGAGCCGGCGGCAAATTCCGTACATGCGGCATTACTGCAGATTGCTGCTTATCTGTGCAGAGTTTTCCTGCCAACTTTGGTAGCAGCGATAGCGAGTCGAGCAATATGTGTAGAGATTGCTGATAAAAGAAAAAACATGCAGCCAATATAAGACGGCTCGGTTGCCCTGAAGATCTTTGCAAACCACAATGTCCAAGAAAGAGGAAGAACTCAAGCAGATTTCGTTGGACAACGAGTCCCAGAGCGCAGGCTCGGTCGAGGACCAGACCGGCGCCGTGGGCAAGCTGAAAAAATTCTTCAAATGGCTCGAGCTGGACGGAACTCAGAACTTTACGCTTTCCCAGCTGTTCTTGTACAACTACGACCTCAAACCAATCGAGGAAAAGAGACGCACCTGGAAGTGGTGGAACTTTGTCACGTTCTGGATCGCCGACTCGTTCAACATCAACACTTGGCAAATAGCCGCTACCGGAGTGCAGGCCGGTCTAAGTTGGTGGGCCACCTGGATCACCGTCTGGCTCGGCTACTCTTTCTGCGGCTGTTTCGTCACTCTTGCTGCCCGGTACGGTGCATACAACCATGTTTCGTTCCCCGTTGCTACCAGGTCGTCCTGGGGAATCTGGGGCTCGTTGTGGCCTGTTATTAACAGAGTCGTCATGGCCTGTATTTGGTTCGGCGTGCAGTCCGTGCTGGGAGGCCAGTGTGTGGCTCTGATGCTTCGGTCCATCTTTGGCAACGACCTCGAAACAAGAATCCCTAACCATCTGTCGGGAAACACCAGCTCGTTCCAAATGCTCTCGTTTTTCCTGTTCTGGCTCTTCCAGCTACCGGCCATCTACATGAGACCACATACCGTGCGCCATTTGTTCACCATCAAGGCCATTGCGTGTCCGATCGCGGGCATTGCGTTCCTGATCTGGACGCTGGTCAAGGCAGACGGCGGCGGACCCGTCATCCACCAGGGCAGCTCGTTGTCCGGCTCTGCTTTTGGCTGGGCCTTTGTCAACAGTATGATGAACTCGCTCGCCAACTTTGCTACGCTCATTGTCAACGCCCCAGACTTCTCCAGAATGTCGCACAAACCAAACTCGGCCATATGGTCGCAGCTCCTCACCATCCCGCTCGGATTCTCCATCACCTCGCTGATTGGTATTCTCGTCTCCTCAGCAAGTACCATTTTGTACGGCGAAACTTACTGGGACCCATTGGAGGTGCTTGGCCGGTTCCTGGACAACTACAGCCGTGGAGCCAGAGGAGGAGTGTTCTTGATATCGTTCGGATTCGCCATTGCTCAATTGGGTACAAACATCTCTGCAAACTCATTGTCGGCCGGTACTGACATGACTGCCTTGCTACCAAAATACATCAACATCAGACGCGGAGGATTCATCTGTGCCATTATTGGCTACGCCATCTGTCCATGGAACCTGCTGTCCTCGAGCAACATGTTCACCACGTATTTGAGTGCGTACGCCGTGTTCCTGTCCTCCATTGCCGGAGTGTACTTTTGTGACTATTACATCATCAGAAAAGGATTTATTATATTGGAAGACCTCTACACCGCAAACAGCTCGAGCGTCTACTATTACACCGCCGGATTCAACTGGAGAGCACTCGTGGCATACATTTGCGGTATTGCTCCCAACATTGTGGGATTTGTGGGTGCCACAGAAACTCATAAGGTGCCGGACGGAGCCACCAAAGTGTATTACCTCAGTTTCTTCACCGGCTACGCCGCCTCGTCGTCCGTGCTGTTCCTGCTCACCGCCCTGTTCCCTGTCAAGGGAATGCCTACAGAAAAGCTCGTCGACAAGGTTTGGTTCGAGGAGTGGAAAGACGTGGAGTCATTTGACGACTTTTTCCATTCCCGGCTCCATACAGCCAACGTGGTCGAGGAAGAGGCCTAGATTGTATCTAGTTACAACACGTTCGCTTTGTGCTTTGTAAAAAGAATCAATTTCTACTAGTTAACTATACCTTCACTGATGGTGAGTCTGTCTGCAGACAGGACACTCGATTGTCTGGAACCCATGTTGTTTCTGAGCCGGTCGAGCAACGAGCCAGAACTAGTAGGCTTGGAGGCTCTGGAGCTCGGCTTGAGGTAGCCCGTGGCTGGCGGATTCTTGGACAGCTTCTCGGTACGGTACTTTTCGTAAAACATGCCGTGTGTGGTGTCTTTCAGGTCCTGCAAACAGGCTCCCAAAAGACACGTTCTCAGCACAATGTAGTCGCTGTGCAGCGGGTCGTCCACTCTAACCACGCCGTGCGGCAGTTTCCGGACCTTGTACTCGACCTGGTCAATAATGGCTCTGTCTGTTCCGGACACAATAGCGAACGGGATCAGGTCCTGCACGCTTGTCGACTCCTCGTCGTCGTCAATGTCGGAGAAACAGTTGCTGAAATCATAAGTGTTGATCTTGTTTCTGGCCAGATCTCTCAAGATCAGACCTCTGTTCAAAGCCAGCTCCTCGTCGGTGAGCAAATCGGCTTTGGAAATCACAGGAATCACATTGCACCGTTTTCCAAGCTCTCTCATACAGTAAACGTCCAACTCACGCAATCCCTTGCCTGTTGGTCTGATGAAGTAGATGGCCGCGTGGATTCTCGTGTCGGTGGCCTTTGGCGTTCTCTGGATCTTGCACTCGTCGTTGAGCACCTTCTCAAACTGCGATTCAATATAATCGGTCAAACACCGGGTGGAGTCTCTGTTGTCGATAAAGTCGCCAAACCCAGGCGCCATGATCACGTCCAGGTCGATTCTGGTACCCCCCTCGTAGATCTTGGCCGAATGGCTCTCGATGGACATGTCGGCGGGGGCAGGCCGGTTCGTGGTGATGATATCTTCGTTGCACAGCGTGTTGACAAACGTGCTCTTGCCGGTACCTGTCTGGCCCACAACAAGGATACTGAGCTGGAGTCCTCTTTTGAGGAACTTTTTCTGGCGGATCTCCTCCGCGGTAAGCTGGACGGTTAGAATGTGGACAACTGGGGGCCACTTACGATGTTCAATCTGGCACTGGCGCTCATTTGCAAAAGGAAGCGTTATAAGGGAGTTATCCTTTTTTTTCTGGAGCTGGGTTTTTTTCTAGCGCCTGGTCGGTGGGGGGTGCCGCATCGCCCACCAGCCGCACAAACTGCTCGTGTGTGAGTTTGGGCAGGTGCGGCAGCACCTGGAACGGCGTGTCCAGCGTGGCAAGCGGCCTGCTCAGCGCAACAAGGTCCTCGTAGCACGCCCACACCTGGTCCTTGTCGGTGTCCAGCTCCGCGAAAAACTCGCCCGGCACCCGTGTGCCGTCGCGCGCGCAGCTCAAAACCACCCCCAGCACAGAAATCACGTTCGTCTCGTGCAGCAGCATCAACGGCACCCGCGACGTGAGTTCGAACGTGTTTGTGCAATGGATGAACAGGTCTTTGGACTTTCGCAGCCACTCAGACTCGCGCGGGATGTCCTCCTCAAGCCGCAGTGCTTTCAGCGTCACCCGGTACGGGTTGGCAGGCGTCACCTCGAAACACAGAGTCTCCAGCAACATCTCCTCCAGTTTGATCATGAGGTCTTTCCAGCGCCAAAAAATCTTGGAGTTCTCGTCGATGGGGTCCTGGCTGTTGGGCATTGCGGCCTTGGCGCATACCTTGACCACCTCGGCCAATCTGCGCCGACACTCGTCAGCTTTGCACGCAATAAACAGACTTGTTGCGGCCACCTCGAAATAATGGTGGCTCAGCATGTCACGCCGCATGTAGAACCGGTGGAAGTAATACGACGCCGTGATGGCCACCGACCGCGACAGTCGCAGCTGTCGACAGCATTTAAACAGATAGATGATGCCTTTTGCTCGTTTCTGGCACTCGTCGTCGAAACTGACCCGTTTGAGCTCCGAACCACTGCGCCGCGTGGGCGTGCGGTCCCGCACGTCCGCCAGACTGTACCGCCAGTTGCAGTGCTTGACGTTGATGGTGCCGTCCCAAAACTCGCGCTGCGGCGACGTCGTCACGGTTGACATTTTCTGGTGAAATATTTTTATATTTTTTTCAACTATCTATTTACACCACCTCGTCCATCTTCTGCACCACGTAGTCCAGAATGAAGCTCTGTTCAACCAGGTCGTCCACACGCGTGTAGTTGCGCTCGCTGTAGGGCAAGATGCCGTCCACAAGCCCCATCAGACCGGGGATCTCGTACAGTTTGTCCACCGGGTAGTTTTGCAGAATGGCCTTGATCAGTTTCTGGGCCACCTCGAAATGGCGTGCGTTGGTGTTCCAGTCGCGCACGCGCTTGAACAGCAAAACCACCTCGTCGTCCGCCAGCTCTGGGATCGTCGCCTCGATCGCACGCGACCCAATGCACGAGCCCTCGTCGCCCTGCGCAATACTCGCTTGCAACACCTTGTACAGCCGCATTGGGTGGTTGAGCTTCAGAGCAAGCTTGAATGCATTCACCCAGTCCTTGTCGCTGATATAGTTCTCCAGCGACTGCTCCTGCTCCACTCTAAGCTTGCGGTTCTCGGCCTCCAGCTCCTGCACCTCCTCGGTGTTGTCCTGCCACACGGTGATCGCCCCGTCCGCGTCCGCAGACACAAACTCGTTTCCGTCGTTCTTCAAGCACAGCGCCCAGATCCGGTTGTCGTGGTTGTCCAGCGTCTGCACACACGTGCCGCTCGACACCTCCCACACCTTGATCAGCCCGTCCGCACCGGCCCCAACCACAAACTGGTTCTTGGCCAGAAACGAGACTCTTTGGATCGCGTTCGCCTGGCCCTGGAACGTCTTGACACACGTCAGGTCGTCCAACGACCACACCTTGGCCATCTGGTCGCCAGACCCGGTCACCACAAGCCGGTCGTACGCGCAGAACGTGATGTCGTACACGGGTCTTTTGTGGCCCTTCAACACACCAACCGTCTCGCCCGCCTGGAGGTCCCAGATCTTGGCGTTCTTGTCGTGGCTCGCGGTCGCCAGCAGGTCGTTGTTTGGACTGATATCGATCGAGTGGATCATCTTGTCGTGCGCTTTTCTGGTGTAGTCCGAATTTTTCACGTGCACAACCTCGTCAGCTGGTTTTGGAACCGTCCACTTCTTGATGGTGAGGTCCTCCGAAGCGGTGATCAAAAACCGTGGGTACTCGTTAACAGGCGTTCTAGGTAGCCCCACAGCGGTGACCGACGAGATGTGGCCTTCGAAAACAGCCTGACAAACGAACCCTGCAACATCGTCATACCGCCAAAGTCTCGCGGTGTTGTCCTTGGCTCCGGTGGCCACCCAAAGACCGTCGGTGGTGCAATCCAGAGCGTTCAGCAAGTCAGTGTGGCCCTCGCACAGCACCACGTCCAGCGGTTTCTGGGAAAGATCGACAATTCTCAGCGCTGGAGAGTTGGTAGCCAATGCCAGCTTGTCGAAATTCGGTCCAACATATCTCATGTCGGCAATTGTTCCGTGGTTACCTGCCATGACACGCACCGAAGGGAAGACACCGTTCTGGAGCTCGAGGTCCACTTCGACGATCGTCTGGTCGGAGAAAACCAGCAGCACCGAGTCCAGGCCTTGGTCTAGCAGCAAGACATCCATCACATTGAGTTCCTCAGTGGTTTCCAACGGGACCTTTGTGGTTGCAACCAATTTCTCCAGGTCCATGTCCCAGACCTTCATGATCCCATACTGGCCCGCAGTGTACACCAATTCCTTGCCGTCAACCTCGAAAAACCCACAAGCCTCCACAGACTGCGAAACGGGCACCGTCTTCACCTCTTTCCACGACTTTGTACTATACATTATCACGACGTTATCTCTTCCACTGGTGATGAAATAGTCGCCTGTCTCGTTGAATGCGACACCTCGCACCGTCGCCGAGTGTTCTTTCATTGTGTGCAAACATTTGCGTTTCACCAGGTCCCAAACCTTGACCGTTCCCATGATGTCTCCACTGGCCAGCTTCCAGTCCTTGGAGTCGAGTCTACCGAAGAACCGCAACGCCGAAACCGTCGACGGATGGCCTTTAAAGTTGTGTGTGATGAACGAACCCTCAATATCCCAAACAATAACACTACCGTCCGTGAGACCAAATGCAAACAGCGAAGAAGTGGGATCAACGCTGGAAATGTACGAAGCAGCGGGCAGTTTGAACGTTTTCACAAACTTGCTCTGCTGCAGATCAAAGATCCGCAACTGCTGCGATTGGGATACTATCGCCAGCTCGTTTCCGTCCGGAGTCAGCTGCAAAGCGGTCACAACGTCTCCGTCTCCTTGTATCTGATGAACAACCTCGTCTGTTTCTCTATTCACCACGACGACATCTTCGAGCACCGCGGTCGCCAGCACGAGTCCGTCCCCGGAAACCGTTGCGTTGGCCGATCCAATGTAGTACGGCTCGATGTCGATCTTCTTGTAGCTCCTCTTTGTGGTATAATCCATACTAAAAAAATATTTCAAAAATATTTTCTCCTTATTATGCAGAAAACTACCCTACCTTTAAATTTTGTACAAATTTTTCCACAAAAGTCAAGTTTCTCAACATGTCTTCTCCTATTTTGCACATCGTGAAGCCGAACGTGGCCACGCCTGTGAGCTCGGCCCCTGTTGGACCAGTCAAGGTCGTGATACAGGCTCCGGCCCTGATGCAGTTGATCGACGCCGTTTACATGGACAACGAAGAGAACCTAACGCAAAGCAGAACCATCGGTACCCTTTTGGGAACCCGTTCAGATGACGGATCTGAGCTCGAGATCAAGGAATGTTTCATTGTCCCGCACAAAGAAGAGGCCGACCAGCTCACCATTGAGGAAAGCTACCATATTTCAACGTACCAGTTGCTCAGAAGAGTAAACCCTGAATTGTTGATCGTGGGATGGTTTTCCACCAACCCGGTGCTGGATTCGTTCACAGGTCTGTTCCAGGAATTCTACTCCAAAAGCTCGTGTTTCCCGCACCAACCAATCCACCTGACATTGCAATCCAAAGATGACAACGGAGACATCATTTCTCCAATCCTGAAAACATACATCTCTTCTCCCGTTGGGCTTCCTTCCGGCTCGAGTCTGGTCAACCAGCTGGGAATCGACAAGATCGGCTCCTACGCGTTCACCCCGGTTCCCAACGAGATCGCGTACTCAAACTCCGAGCTCAACACGCTGAAATATCTTAATAAGGGAGTCAAGTCTGACTCCAGAACCGTCGACTTGACCGGCCACGACGAGCTCAAACAGATTCTCGCTTCTGTGTCCGACGTTTCTTCCTTGCTCGACACCCTCAAAGCCTACGTGGACAAGGTCACGGCCGGTGAGATCCAGGGTGACCAGAACGTTGGAAAAAGTTTGCTGGAGTCGCTCAACACACAGCCCAGCTCCATCGACCCTGCACAGATGCAAATCATGCTCCAGAACCACATTGACGATGCCTCGCTTGTCGAGTACCTGGCTTCCTGCGTGAAGCAGCAGCTCGACCTCAGCGCCAAGCTCACCAACTTCATGACTCCTGAGGAAAGCGCAAAATAGCTTGTATAGGATTGTAACCTAGAATATCCATCCTTTATAAATGCTTAGCCATATATAAATGCTCTTTAGCTTCCGAACAGAAAGCTTAGATCGTCGTTCGTGCCAATGTCCACCAGAAGCTCCTCCACGTCGTTGAGGATCTCCTCGCTGAACAGCCCGCCTTTTGTGGGACGCAGTCCTTCTGCCTGGGCCTCTGCCATGCTCTGTCTGCGGGCCTTGGCCTTACGGTGCAACTTCGACGCCTTGCGCAGCGACTTCGCTGTCGCAGCAGGAATCATCACCTCGCTGCCACCAATCGACCCGCGCGGCTTGCGTTTCTTCTTCTCCAGAGCAGCAACCGCAGCACGCACTTTTTTGCGCCGGTGGTCCCCAAAACTGTACTTGCGCGTCGCGTCCGTGTGGGGTGGATAGTAAGTGCTGTTGACCACGCCTTTATTTCTGAACGCACTCAGCGGAACCCGTCTCTCGTGGAACAGGTCCCAGTCAACCGACGTGGTCTGTTCCTGCTCCTCGTCCTCGAATTCGCTAATATTCAGCAGCTCGTCCAATGCGATCGGCGGAGCAGCAGGAAGAGCAGTGGTCCGCTGCCGCTGGCGATGACCAAAGGTCATCCGCGTGCCCTTCACCACAGACGTGCGGTTGTCCTGGCCGGGGTGCAGAAACCTCGTGGAAATCCCGTCGATGATGCCAAACGGCTTCCGCGCCTTGGACAGCGCAAATGTGCCAAGAAAAGGCGCTCTGAAGTTGTTCTTGGAGGAAGAAAGAACCTCCTTGGCCCGCTTGCTACCAATTTTCCGGGTCGGTCTTGCCGGCAGCGAAGTGTCCTCGTCGGTCTCGTCGCCGTCCTGCTCCTTGATGTCCTCCTCGTTGCCCGATGCGTGCTCGGCGTCGTTGTCGGACTCCTCGCTGCCCGACGTGAAAAAGTACTGCACCAGCTGGTTTTCCACGTCGCTGTCGTCCTCGTCAGAAACGATCGCGTTCATCGGCACAACATGGTCGCCGCGCTTGTTTGCAAAAGTGTAGTCCGTCGAGAAGATATCGTCCAGTCCAGAGATGTTGGAATCACTGTCTTCGTCTTCATCTTCGTCTTCATCCTCATCTTCGTCCTCGCTGTCCTTGGGGGCAGGAAGATACTTGACCTTTTCCGGCTTCATTTCCTTGATCCGCACATGTTTTTCCTCGTCACCATCGTCAGTGACTGCGCTTTCATCAACGATAGACGACCGCGGCGTGACTGCGGGCGAAGAATAGTCGTTCACGTCGTTCGAGTCGTTCAAAATCGCATTTGTTTCCTCCTTCAACAGATAGTTGTCCTCTTTGAAGTACGGGTCGTCTTCAGGAAGCAAGAAATCGTAGTCGTCATCGCTGTTCTCAAATGCAAGCAGCTCCAAGTCGTCGTTGTCGTTCTGCAACGCCTGGATCAGCTCCTCGTTGTCAAACTCGTAATCTGCGTCGGAATTGATCTCTTGGTCGTTGAACTTCGGAACGTCCAAACTGACCGTCTCGTCGATGATCGTGGCGTCGTGGAACGTGCCGATATCCACCTCCTCACCTAGATCCTCCTCGCCAATCATGCTGCTGTAATCTGCCTGGCCGGCATCGAGCTCGACTTCTGATCCAGCAGAATCCAAACCGTTGAACTTGCGCTCTTCATCCTCCAGAACCTGGTCCACGAGCTCATCGTCAAGCTCCTCCACCTCCTCAACTATCTGTTTTTGCGCCTTCTTGCCTGTCTTGCGGGAGCTGCTGCGTTTCTTGGCAGCCTTCATGGCACGGGCTTTCTCCTTTGTGAGCTGAACAAAGTCCACGTTGTCGTCGTCCGACGACGAGCTCGAGTCGTTCTCACTATCCGAATCGTCCGAGTCGTTCTCGCTGTCGGAACTGCTCGAAATGATCTCGTTCACTTGCTGTCGTGCAGAGTACGCTGCCGATTGGTCGTCTGATTCGCTCTCGCTGTCGTCGCTATCGTCGCTGGAGTCAGAATCTGACGAATCCGACACAATGCTGAATTGTCTGTTGTTCTGGCGCTGCGGGGACGATACCGGCCGCAGCACTATTTTTGGGCCCTGCGCTACCCTCTTTGAGGGAGTTATTTGCTTCTTACCTTTCGCCATGATCGGAAGGTTATACCAGGGAAATTGACCTGTTTCAGTTTCTTGGGTATAGTGTATTTATCGCTCTTGAGAATATACCGTGGCGCGTCTTGCTAAAACCTGAGAGCACGCAATGTCAAGCTTCTTTAAGAATTCCCCTTTTATCTTGTAAATAATTTCAAATTTCTGAAAATTTTCAGATCTCTGCAGTGCTTACGCAATGCTGAGCTAAGTTGACATAACGGCCGTGGCGACCAAGCATGCGCTCTGCGGGGGGAAACCGTTGTCTGGGCAATGCGATGTGGCTACTATAAGTGTTACCGTTGACTCTACAACAACCCCGGTCAGTCAATCCAACAGCTGGCCAAACTGGCCAAACTGTGGCTCGCCTGCCAAACCATCCCTTGAACCGCCTCAAACCGCCTTGAACCGCATCTCAGCACCAAAACCAACCATAGCATTACCCACCTTCACCAGTTCTCCCACCCTCCATTTCTCCCCCACCAACATCAACAAATGTGAAATACAAAATATTATTTTTCTCACTTGCAATGTTCGCCAGAGGGAGTCTCCGTTTGCTCAGACCGCTGACCCGGCGTGTTTCCAGCGCACCAAACCCCCCCGCGCCAAAAAGACGGTTCGGCCTGGTCTCCAGGACGTTTTTCACCGCGTCGGGACTCGGACTCGCCGCGTACACTTACGACACGGTCCTGGGAGCCGGGATTACCAACAGAACCGTGCGGTCGTTGTCGACGCTGATCGTCATGTCGGTTGATTACAAGCGGAATTTCGAAGAGGGTAAAGATATAGAGGCCTTGCACGAAAGAAACGCTCAACGGCTGTACGATCTGTTGATTGCAAACAAAGGACTGTACATTAAGATGGGCCAGATGATTGCTTTGCAAGGAATGGTGTTCCCGATCCAGTACCAGCAAAAGTTTAGCCAGCTGTTTGACAAGGCGCCAAGAGACGACTGGGACACTTGCGATAAGGTTCTGAAGGAGGAGCTCGGCGCCGACTATAGAGAACGGTTGTTTGAGTCCTTTGATAAGACGCCTGTGGCTAGTGCGTCTGTGGCGCAGGTGCATAAGGCGAAGCTGTTGACTGGCGAGGAAGTTGCGGTCAAGATCCAGCACGAGGCCGTGACGAAGCAGATGTGGGTGGATCTGGCCACGTACCGGTTTGTGATGAAGGTTTGTGAGTGGGTGTTTGACATGCCGTTGACGCCGACCGTGAGATATGTTACCAAGAAGATGACCGAGGAGGTGAACTTCGAGATCGAGAAACGCAACGGCGAGCTGATCTCGTCGTATATCCAGAAAGACCCCGAGTTCCGCAAGAATGTGTACATTCCCAAGTATTTCCCAGAGGCCTCGTCCAAACGGGTTTTATCTGCAGAGTGGATCAACGCAGACACCATCGGCGACTATTTGGCGTTGGGGGACAAGGGGTACAACATCAAGAAGCTGATGAATAATATCATCAAGGTGTACTCGAGACAGGTGTTTCAATGGGGGTTGGTCCATTGCGATTTGCACCCAGGGAACCTGATGGTGAGATTTTTGCCGGATAAGACACAGCAGCTTGTGATATTGGACCACGGACTTTACGAGTACTTTGGCGACGAGTTCCGGCGTCAGTACGCCCAATTTTGGCGGTATTCTTTCGAATGGGACATGAACAAGCTGCAACAGGTGCTGGTTGAGTGGGGAATAGATCTGAGCCAGATTTCAGACGGCCTCAACATGATGGACCCAAAGCAACGGGAGGAGATGCGTGGACGGATGCGCGAGATGCGGAAGTTGTCTTATTTTGAAAGACAGCGGCTCATGAGCGAAAAGACCCGGCAATTCTTCAAGAACTCGGACAAGTTCCCAATGACTTTGCTATTCATCATGCGTAGCATGCGGATTGTCCAAGGTCTGAACAAGCGGTTTGGATCGCCGTGCAACAGAGTGGACATGCTGGCGACCGAGGCCATCAAGACGGTCGAGCTGTTCAACCTAGACGACGACAAGTTCCAGTCTGCGTTGAGAAGATACCTCACTTACACCATCTTCCGGATCACGTACTTTGTGCGGTTCCACTACAACAAGCTGCACAAACAGGTTTCCAAATGGTTCAATGGTAAGCCTGTGCGCGACCTGGAGGAAGAGTACGAAAGGCAAGCCGTAGATGCCAGCAAAGGCATGGGACTGGACGCTGGCTCCCTGTAAATAGAAGCCGTATAAATCTTTGGCTGTGTTTATTTTTTTCCGTTGCTAAACTTTTTTGAAGAGTGTGATGGCTAAGTGTTTGTGACCTACTGATAATTCCGATATAAATTAGCAGATGGGCTTTGCCAGCCTTCCCCATAACGTCCAGTCGGAGGTGATTAGGCGGCTGGAGCTTGCCGATAGACTCCGACTGGCGTATTCATGTCGTTTACTGTACAAGACGGTGATTCCTCAGGTTTACTCACATATACTATATTTGGACAACAAGACGGTTTGCGACAAGAATTTCGACGTCGAGCTGGTTTCTGATAGATACACTTTGGTAGGGCCAGCTGGGTTGCGCGGATTATTGCAAACTCTGTCGATGACGAGCTGTATGAATTTCAAGTATGCGGACATGGTTTTGGAGCTGTTTCTGGAGGATGCGCAGTCACAATCGGACCAGTTGGTACAATGGCGTGCAACAAACCCGGTTTTTCCCAACTTAGTGGATTACCGGTTCCCGGCCACCGTTGACCTGTCCCCGCTGAGTTTCCTGGAGGCCCCCAATCTGGAGACTCTTGTGGTGGATGTTAATTTCTGCAACGAGGTGGAACGCAACCAGGGCCTGGTCAGCTTTGTGAACCTTGTTCATCTGCGAACGCTCGTGTTTGCCGGCAAGCTGGCCCGCAACGAGGACATGGTGATCTACCGGCTGCTGACGTCGTACCCGCACTCGATCAAACGGTTGAGCGAGTTGCGGTTCGAGTGCAACGGCGAGTCCGGCGACAGAGTGTACCGACGGGTTGTGGGAGTGATGGCGATCTTGCGGAAGATTGGCATGCTGCTCAACAACCTGTCCAAGATCGCGCTTCCCTTGACCAACCACTCGACTCCGGTGATTTTGAATCTCATCAGCAAACACGTCCATCTGGAGCATCTGAGCAGCTTAGAACTATTTATCGAGGACGACGGCGGAGTGTTGAACCTGCTCACCACAGTGCAACATCTGGCGTCGATGCTCAGACCGAAAAGCGGCAATATCCGCGAACTATCTGTCCATTACAAACTCACCAAGCCAGACATAGACAAGAACCATTTGCGGTCCATGATGCTGCTCAAGTTTATGGAATCGTTCAAACACCTGCACAAGGTGTCGATCGACCTTGAGGTCGAGGGCCTGGACCTCTCGAACCTGCTTATGATTGTCGGCACACCATTGTCCGGCAACACCCGATCTCTAAGAGACATTCGACTCAACATCAACACGCCGTCCGAGAACCTTGTGGCAAACCTGCTCAACAGCGCCGACGACCTGCATGACCTGTTTCCGAACCTCAACTACATGAACAACTGTCCGTGCGACAAGTGTGCCACCATCTATAAACAGCTAGAGTCCCTGCCATCGGAGATCAGACAGGAGGCCGTCAGAGTGTCGACTATGATGGTCATTGGCAACGAGCTCGACCGCAGCCAGCTTCAGAGCGACCCGATCAGGTCCAGACGCAGGTTCCTGCGGACCCAGACTGCCCCGTTGGGGTACTTGTTTGACCATTTTGTTGGTAGCCAGCTCAACGCTTCACTAAGTGTATTCCCGAACCTCAAGATATTCGAGGTATGCGGCCTGATCTATCACCAGACGGGCCCTGAGTTCAAGCTGTTGCTGGGCCCCGAGTTCCAGGGACTGGATCCCGAGTCCGAGGCCGCTCTGCTCGACATGGGCCGCGTGCTTTCCGGCACGTACTAATATTATATAAGGCTGTGCTCCCAAAAACATTATGTAAGGCTGTGCTCCAAAAAACATTTCACTTAATGCTATACTTCAAAAGAGAGCCAGGACTCAAGTCGCTGTCGAACGTGAAGTCGTCGGAGCGCCGCAGACTGTTTGCGACGATCTGCGAACATTACGGGCTGGACGAGGCAGATCTTGTGGCGCGGGACGTGGCGAAGCTCGTGCTACCCGCAGAGATCAAGTATGCCGACTTCAAGTCCCCCAAGGCGTGGGGGACCATCTACACGGACCTGGACGGTGTGCCGATCTGGTTCAAGACGAGAAACTCGCCACTGATTCCGTCGCTGTTCACGCTGTGGAAGTACCCGCGCATTGTGCCCATGGTGACCACGCATCAGTACGTGATCGAACGGCTTGTTGGAGGCTCGAACCTGATGTTGCCCGGCACGCTGCCGCCGTTTTCCCCGGGAACCAAAAAGGGCGCCGTCGTGGCCGTGGACGACTACAAGCACCCGAACGTGGCCGTTGCGGTCGGGTTCTGCGAGATGGATCTCGAGAACGTAACGGACGTGGTGGGGTCGCAGGGCGTTGCCGTGGAGCTCGTGCACGTGTACGAGGACTGGCTGTGCGGGATGGTTAAGGGGGCCAAGTTGCCCGACAAGGTTGATGTAGAGCCGCAGCTGGTGGACGAGTCGGTGAGCGCGACGAGCGAGCAAGTTGCGCAGCTCGAGATCGCCGAGCAGCCGGCCACACCGCGCGAACAAGTTGCCCTCACGCCGCAGGACATGGACGGCCTGTTCCTGAACGCAACGCTGTACACTCTGAGCCAGGACTCGGTGGAGACGCCGATCGACGCGTCGCTGTTCATGTCTGCCCATGTGTTGAAGAACTTCCCTCCCATGGACAGCAGTCTGATCAACATCAAGAAGACGAGTTGGAAGAAAACCGCCAAGTATCTCAAGGCGATGGAGAAGGAGGATCTGTTAAAAGTGAAGGGCAAGGGCGACGATTTGGTGGTGGTTGCACTGAACAAAGATAACGAGCAGGTGAAGAAGTTTGAGCCGTACCGGGTGAAGAAGACCAAGACGGGATCTTCCAAGGCAGCCCAGTCGGGCGAGGCCTCATCGGTGACACTCAATCAGATGTACAAGGCACATTCCTCGGCAACCAACTTTCTACGTGCGGTGGACTCCGTTAAGGACTACTACACTCAGACAGAGATCAAATCATTGGTTGGCCAATACATACAGAAACAGAATCTGGTGGATCCAAAGAACCCGAAAAGCATTGTTGCGGACGAAGTGTTGCAACGGTTGCTGAAAACTGAAAAGATCGAACGCTCGAAAGTGGTGGACGTTGTGATAAAGCAGCATTTTTCACCGTACTACCAAATAGTCCGGGGCGACGAGTCCACGAAACCGAAAAAGGGCCTGCCCCCATCGATCAAGGTGATCGAGGAAACCAAGATTGGGCGCAAGATCGTCACACGCGTGGTGGGCGTGGAGGAGTTTCTGGTGGACCCTGACGAGATCAGCTCTGTGCTCAAGGTGAAGTGTTCTGGCTCGTCCACGGTGACCAACAACGTGCAGAACCCAAAGGTGATGGAGGTGACGGTGCAAGGGCCGCACTTCAAAACCGTTCAGGAGGTGCTGGTGAAACAGTACGGCCTCAAGCCGACGTGGGTCGAGTACGAGAACAAGCTCAAGCGCAAGAAGTAAGCTTACTCGGACTTGGCAGGCTTGGCCGGCTCCGACACGAGCTTGTACTGGTTTCCGTACTTCTTGATGACGGACTTGGCGTTGATCCAGTACTGTTTGATCTGCGGCGACACGGACGGGTGCGAGAACAGGCCGTCTGCGCGGACCTCGATTTTCTTGAAACAGGTTCTGGTGAAGATGGATTTCTCGTATCTAAACTTGATGAAGGCCCCATAAACAACAAGCGCGATCCAGAACCCGCGAGACCAGATCAGGGCCTTGAACACAATGTACACGAACGTGGCGATCTCGAAGTTGGCCGCGTAGTACATGGACAGGTCGTTATAGTTCTTGACAAAGGCTCCGAGCTTGTTGGAGAGACCGGCTTCGTTCTTGAGGCCGAGTTTTGGCAGAATGGCTCCTCTGAAGTAGTTGATGGAGTGGAAGAACGAGAAGAACCCAAATGGGAAGATTGCAAGGGAGATTCTTGGCAGAACCAGCAACAAGGCAGACGCAATCAAGGTGTACTGGACGTTATCGTCGGCAAGCAGGGCTTTTGGGTTGTTCACCTTCAAGGTGCCTGTTTTGTAGCCCTGGTGGATGATGATACCGAACGATTCAATCACAGCCACGAAAATCAAGTTGTAACTGAGTCTGTGTGCCTTCCCCTTGGATCTGAAGGTTAGGAAGTAGACAAGACTGAACAAAAGCGTGGACACATGGCCGGTGAACCAGACAAATTGCGGCGTTTTCACCAATTCCAGGAGCTGGTCCTTGGACGACTTGGCGGGCTTGGAGGCGGCAGGAGTGGACATTGGGAAAATCTATAGAGATAGCAATTCAGCGTGAAATGAAGAAGGTAAACATTTTTTGCTGTATGGCGAATTCTATGTATCACAAATATGGCTGTGCAGAGAATGGAAAAAAAAATTTACACCAGATCCATCAGCATGAAGCAGAAAAGAGCCAAGCAGTATAGAAAGCAGATCCATCAGTACGTGTCGACGTTTCGGTTCAAGACGCCGATCCAGTGTATTGTGGACGACAACGTGATTTTGGAGTGCGAGAAAACCAAATTCGATGTCATCAAGGCGATTTCCAGAACTGTCCAGACAGAGGTGAAGCTGATGATCACCCAGTGCTGTATCAACCATCTTTACGAGACGCGCAACCAGCCGGCGATCGAGATTGCCAAACAGATGGAGAAGCGCCGATGCAACCACAAGGAAACGTTGTCGAGCAAGGAGTGTATTAGCTCGATTGTGAACATAGACGGCAAGAACAAGCACCGGTATTTGGTGGTTAGTCAGGACGAGCGGCTTCGACAAGCGATGCGCACTGTTCCTGGAGTCCCATTGATCTACATGAAGCGGTCGGTGATGATCATGGAGCCGATGTCGCCTGTTTCGGAGAAAGTTGTTCAGGAGACGGAAGCAAGAAAGCTTTCTGCAGGGTTGAATGACCCGACGGCGGGGATTCAGAAACAGGAACAGGAGCCAAGCGAACCAGCTCCCAAGAAACGGAAGGGACCCAAGGGACCAAACCCGTTGAGTGTGAAAAAAGCTAAAAAGCAAACAGACGTTGCAGAGGAGACCCAGGAAAAGAAGAAGAGAAGAAGATCTCACAAGAAAACCACCACCGAGGACGGTTCGGACCACGAAAATTAGACTGTGTATAATACATTAGAAGCTATTTACCGCAGGCAATAACTATTGTTGCGAGATGTACAGGACGTTGTTTCCTCTGAGGAACACCTCTTCGTAACTTCTCACCTTGTTGTTCTGGACAAGTTCGGTTGTGTCTTTGAGAACCACGTTCATGTACCCGTCGATCGACGCCAGCACGCCGTGGTACTCGAGTCCCGCGGACAGTTTCACCACGACCGGCGAATTTGTCATTTCGGAGAGAAAGTTGGACGTTGACGACATAATAAAATTAATTAAAATAAATTTGTCACTCTGGGCTTATGTTGAAAACACTAAGGGGTGTGCGATTTTATTCTGGGCGGCCTGTGCCGTCGAAACTGGCCACTGCGCGGCCCGACGCGCGGCTGCTGAACGACCGGCTGAAGAAGGAGCAGGACCTGCGTCGCGAGCGCAACAAGCTCGCCCTGTCGTCGCTCAAAGACATATTTGCCATATTCTCGCCAACTGCGGGCGACGACGACGAGCTCGACACGTCCAATTTCGACCCCGCGCCCGTGTACGCGAACCCGCCGTCGTATCTGGAGCTGTCGCTGCCAAAACAGCAGTTCATCGTCGACGAGCTCGACGACAAGTTCCGACGTCATTGGAAAAACGTCGATCCCAGCCTCAAACGGTTTGCGTACTGGCTCGCGTACGGCTCGTACGGACCGCGTGCCGGGTTCGACAACCCCCAGCTGACCGCCCCGCCAGACCTGCCGTTCGTGCTCCCGTCCGCGGTGAAAACAGCACACCCAGCGAAAACAACCACAATTACACAGCTGCCGGCTCGGAACCCGCAACTGTTTGGCGAAAAACGCACCCAGCAGGCGCAAAAGGACAAAAAACTCAACCCGTACAACCAGTTTGTGCTCGCACTCGTCCTCCTACTGTCTGTGCTCAACTACCTCAAAGACAAGAAGATCAACGACTCGGGCACGCCGCCAGACTACGGCTACTTGCAGGGCAACCAGCTGGTCCAAATGGACGAGCTGAGCAAGAAACTCGCCGCGGCCGTGGCCGTGCAGCCCGTGCCACCACCGCCCAAAAAATGGTACTATCTGTACATGAAGTAAACGACGGTTAACCTGTAATAGATGACTGGTATTCACCCGAACCTGTAATAGATGACTGGTATTCAACTTATATGCTATGCAAACTCCATTAATTGTCCTCGCCAGACTCCTCTTCCTCGTCCTCGTCCTCGTCCTCGCCCACATCAAACATGTCCTCTGTCCAGCTCTTCTCCACGGTCTGTCTCACCCGCTTGACGTACTGGCTGCGATGGTCTTTGTACAAGTTGGCAGCCTCAACGTTGGCGGGCGAGCTGATGTTGGGGTCGTTCAAAAGCGACTGAATCGACGTCAAAATCGACGACACATCGTACGTGGGCGACCACCGTGTCTGCAAAATGTCTATACACAGCTCGCCGGACCCATAAACGTTCGGGTGGAACATCTCGGACGTGAATCGCACCACTGGAGGCTTGCTTGGGTATTGTTCGTCGAAAGTGAGTCGGAGTCTGAAGGTGCCGTCCTCATACGGTGTGTCCTGTGGGCCGATGATTATAGCGTTCCAGATCATCACGTTGTCTGCTAAAGGCGACGCAGAAATGCCCCCCGCGGAGTCCTGCTGGACCCGCTTGAAATCTCTCATTAATCTTCTTCTCGCCGGTGTTGACATTACTGAGATATGTTTTTGCCCATGGAACGAAAAAGAATATCAACCCGATTTCTGGTCGGCCGTATTTGCTTATGTAATGGGGGAAAATGAGAAGCCGTTTAAAAGTCACCAACAACGGCCCCCACGGGCCGCAAACGTAACAGCCGTGGCCGGTGGCAGCATGCTCCAACACGTCATGCCGGTCACCACGACATTCAAAAAACAAACCAGCCCTAAAGGACCCGGTCCTCCAAACAGTCAAAAATCAGGGAGTTCTCCCATGCCGGGACTCGAACCCGGAGTCTTTTGATTAGGAATCAAATGCGTTAACCATTACGCTACATGGGTCCCTGTAAAAAAAAATTCAGGTCTCAGCATCTTTGTGCGGCAGTTTCTAGTCGTCGCTCTCCTCGGAGTCGGAGTAGATCTTGGCCTCGAACCGGTCGCGGTACTTGTAGTTGGAGTACAGATACGGCACAACTTCGGCATTGGACAGAATCAGCTGGTCTCTGTCGAAGAATTGCAGTTCGTTAATCTCCAAAACAACGTAGCCTGGGAAATACGACGCCTGGGACGAAAAACTCACTCCGTCAAACATGTCGCGCACTTGCAAGTCGTTCAAGTACCGAACGGTGAACGACGCGACGGCGACCTGGGAGTTGACAAGACTCTGAGTTATTCGGGCTCGTTCGCGTCGCTCAAACTCCGAAATGGCAGCCGGGCTAACGAGTGCCAGAATCCTGTGATTTGCGTCGCACACAGATAACGGCAGTCCCGAGCCGGAGTCGGGCCGGGGAAACACGCGCAGCACCTTGAAAACAAACTGTCCACGGTATTCGTGTCGAACAGGCTCGTCGCACAGAAGCGTGGCCAGCCAGCTCTTCAGATGCGCACCAGCAACAACCTTGACTTTGTCCCGCGAAGACACAGGCATGAGACGGATTTGCAGCTTACGGGAGCAATTATGTCAGCTGGCGCAGGTGTGCTGTGGCACGCGGGAAAAAACTGGTGGAGCAGTGTGCCAAATTGGTGAGAAATCTCGAGATTGAGATCGGGTTCGAAGTTTCTAGAAATATTTTAAGTCGTGCGATAAGTGAAAAACTCGACGACGGTTCCTTCAAATCTGTGGGTCCTTCTAGTGCCATCAATGGGGAATATATATATAAATGCGTAGCATCCCAGTAGGCGAAATCTTTTCATAGAATCGTTTTCTACAACTTCTTAGAATTATAGAAATTAATATGTCTAAAGCAGTTGGAATTGACTTAGGTACAACCTACTCGTGTGTTGCGCACTTCTCCAACGACAGAGTTGAGATTATCGCCAACGACCAAGGTAACAGAACCACTCCATCTTTCGTCGCCTTCACCGACACCGAGAGATTGATTGGTGATGCTGCTAAGAACCAGGCCGCTATGAACCCAAAGAACACTGTGTTCGACGCTAAGAGATTGATTGGTAGAAAGTTCGACGACCCTGAGGTCCAGGGTGACGTTAAGCACTTCCCATTCAAGGTTATCGACAAGAGCGGTAAGCCACAAATCGAGGTTGAGTTCAAGGGTGAGACCAAGGTTTTCACCCCAGAAGAGATCTCCTCTATGATCTTGACCAAGATGAGAGAGACCTCTGAGGCTTTCCTCGGAACCAAGGTTAACGACGCTGTTATCACCGTTCCAGCTTACTTCAACGACTCTCAAAGACAGGCCACCAAGGACGCTGGTTTGATTGCCGGTTTGAACGTTATGAGAATTATCAACGAGCCTACTGCTGCTGCCATTGCCTACGGTTTGGACAAGAAGAGCGAGGGCGAGCAAAACGTCTTGATCTTCGATCTTGGTGGAGGAACTTTTGATGTCTCTTTGCTTTCCATCGAGGACGGTATCTTCGAGGTTAAGGCCACTGCCGGTGACACTCACTTGGGTGGTGAGGATTTCGACAACAGATTGGTGAACCACTTCATCAACGAATTCAAGAGAAAGAACAAGAAGGACCTCTCCGGTAACCAGAGAGCTTTGAGAAGACTCAGAACCGCTTGTGAGAGAGCCAAGAGAACTCTTTCCTCCTCTGCTCAAACCTCTTTGGAGATTGACTCCTTGTACGAGGGTATTGACTTCTACACCTCCATCACCAGAGCCAGATTCGAGGAGCTTTGTCAAGATCTTTTCAGATCCACCTTGGACCCTGTCGAGAAGGTTTTGAAGGACTCCAAGCTTGACAAGTCTCAAGTTAACGAGATTGTTCTTGTTGGTGGTTCCACCAGAATTCCAAAGGTGCAAAAGCTCGTTTCTGACTTCTTCAACGGTAAGGAGCCAAACAGATCCATCAACCCAGATGAGGCTGTTGCTTACGGTGCTGCTGTCCAGGCTGCCATTTTGTCTGGTGACACTTCTTCCAAGACCCAAGACTTGTTGCTTTTGGACGTTGCTCCATTGTCTCTTGGTATCGAGACTGCCGGTGGTGTCATGACCAAGTTGATCCCAAGAAACACCACCATCCCAACCAAGAAGTCCGAGACTTTCTCCACATACTCCGACAACCAACCTGGTGTGTTGATCCAGGTTTACGAGGGAGAGAGAGCCAGAACCAAGGACAACAACTTGCTTGGTAAGTTCGAGCTTTCTGGTATTCCACCAGCTCCAAGAGGTGTTCCACAAATTGAGGTCACCTTCGACATTGACGCTAACGGAATCTTGAACGTTTCTGCCCTTGAGAAGGGTACCGGTAAGACTCAAAAGATCACCATCACCAACGACAAGGGTAGATTGTCTCAGGAGGAGATCGAGAGAATGGTTGCCGAGGCCGAGAAGTTCAAGGACGAGGACGAGAAGGAGGCTAAGAGAGTTGCTGCTAAGAACGGATTGGAGTCTTACGCTTACTCTTTGAAGCAGACTGCTTCCGAGAAGCAATTCGAAGAGAAGGTTGAGGCTTCCAAGAGAGAGACTTTGACCAAGGCTTGCGACGAGACCATCGCTTGGTTGGACAGCAACCAGAGTGCTACTGCTGAGGAGTACGATGACAAGAGAAAGGAATTGGAGCAAGTTGGTAACGACGCTTTGAAGGACTTGTACGCTGAGGGTGGTGCTCCAGGTGGAGCTCCAGGTGGATTCCCAGGTGCAGGTGGTGCTCCATCTACTGAGGAGACTTCTGGTCCAACCGTTGAGGAGGTTGATTAGATAAATAATATGCTAATATGATATAAGTGTGAAGACGTGATGTAGTGATGTAGAGAGTAGGGGCTGGCTACCGAGGGTATCAAAAAAAAAAACAGATTGGTGAACAAACCAGCTAAAAAAAGAAAAAGACAACGCACCCAAGGCGGGAGTCGAACCCGCAATCTTTTGATTAGAAGTCAAACGCGTTAACCATTACGCTACCCGGGCTAGTGCAACGGTTGAAAATCGCCGTGCTCATTAAGTGCGGCCATTTGCGATCCCACGCAATTGATTTAGTGAAAATAAACTTAGTCTTTGTCTAACATGTCAAAACAAATTAAACAACTGGGCGAGGACATCTGGAAGACAAAGGTCGACAAGGTGAACTCGGAGCTGTTCACACTGACGTACGGGTCGATCGTCGCGCAGCTGTGTCGCGATTTCAACTACAATTACGAGGAAGTAAACGCACAGACGTTTCGCATGGGTTACAACATTGGGGTTCGGCTGATTGACGAGTTCCTACAAAAAACACAACTTCCACGGTGCAGTAACTTCCGCGACATGGCCGAGGTGGTGTCGAAGGTCGGGTTCAAGATATTTTTGAACATTGTGCCGACGGTGACGAATTGGTCTGCGGACGTGTCGACGTTCAGCCTGGTGTTGACGGAGAACCCTCTGGCCGACTTTGTGGAGCTACCGGACGACGGCAAAGCGACCAAGGAGCTGTGGTATTCCAACATCCTTTGCGGAGTTCTACGTGGAGCGTTGGAGATGGTCCAACTGGACTGCGAGATCGCGTTTGTTAGTGACGTGCTACGGGGAGACGAGACTACAGAAATGCGCGTGCGACTGGTGCAGGTGCTGAAGGACGAGATTCCTGCGGGCGACCAGTGAATCATAGCATAAATGGCAGCCTCAGTCACAGATGTCTATCATTATGATCAGGTAATGTAGATAAGGATAGAAAAAGACTCATCATTGGCCAGCAGGGTGCTATAGGGTCGTCCGCTAGAGACTGGCCCCGGTATTCACCCGGATGTGGTCCTACTGGAGCACATCTTTGTAAATACCAGGAGCACAGAAAATTTCTTCGCTGCCACAACTTTACACGGGTTACGTATTGGGAGAAACAAATAAATATCTATTCATGGCCAGTGTACACAGCCCCGCGGCGTCAATAGACGCTGTGAGCACGGAATTAGCGTCAGAACCGCGCGAGCAGACGCCAGATGTTCAATTAAAGGACCTCAGGTTGGCAGATGAGCAGCCGGGCTTGGCAGACGAGAACCTCAGCAGCAGCGAACACCAACAGGAACAGGAACAGGAACAGGCTGTTGCGGCTCCGGTGAACTGCGTGGATGAGATTTCGCGGTCGATCGACGACTTTGCAAACGGACTTGACACGGAGTCGGAGCCGGGAAGACTGCCCGAGTACAGAGAAGAGTTCATGGGCGAGTTCGAAGACGACGCGGACGCCACGAAGGAAACAGACTTTGACTCGCGCGACGCCAACGACACCTCTTTTGACAACACCTCCGACAGCGTGTCGGTAGCGCAAGACAAGGCCGAGACAGCGTCGTACTCGTCGCAGGACGACCGGTTCTCGTGGCAGCAGCACGACGACCAGCTTTCTGACAGCAACTCGGAGCGGTCTGTTTCGTCTTCTGGATCGCTTTCAACACGCCAGACCGAGGAGAGATCTGAAACGTACTCGGATTCGGAGGCTGACCAGTTTAGACAGGAGTTTGTTCGCCAAAACACCCAGGACACTGTCAGACCGCTGCGTACAGACACTCTGGGGTCGTCAGTGTACGAAACCCCCGTTAGCGAGCGGTACCAGGGCCGGAGCCCGGTAGTGCAGGCTCCTCCGCAAAGACAGCGTGTGCGATCCATGTTACTTGAAGAGTCCGAGGTAAAAAAAGACGATGTGGTGATTGACGATGAGGAGCCGGCAAAAACGCTGCCCAAGATCAAAGAATCGTCTGCGTTCCCGAACATCGACCTCAAGAAGATCGTGCAACTTCCAACGACACAACAGCGGCTCGAGCGTCTTCACAAGGCCAAAGAGGAGCTGGACGAGTACGACACAGGACTGTCGAGCTACCTAAGCGAGTCTACGAAAGCTACGTCGTTCACGTTCAACGAGGCCCAGCTGGGCCCCAATGTGCTTAATGCGTACAAAAACTCGGACCAGTACCACTCCACCACGCCGTCCACCACAGAGCTGGCCAACGACCTGCTCAGAACGTCGTCTGTGATCAAGCAGAAGGGCCGCAACCTGCTGCGCAAGATCCACCTCAAGTGAGCGCGCTACTGCCGCTCCTGCAGCTCCTGGCCGGCCACGCGCATCTGGTGGTCCATCAGCTGCTTCACGCGGTGACACCCTTCGATCCCCAGACTGATGAGCCGTTCGAGCTTGTCCAGCGGGATCTTATCTTCACATAGCATCAAATTTAACTTATCGGAATCCCCAACCACGCCGATCGTCACGAAACTCAGGTCGGACTCCTCCAGCGTGTTCATGTCCAGCAAAGGTGTTTGATCAAACAGCCCGATGCTAATGGCGCTGACGTAATCGTACAACGAGATACCAGCGTCGATCAGAGCCAGCGTGATGGCGTTGCAGAAACACGCCAGCAAGCCGCCGTCCATGGCCAGCACCGTGAGACTGATGTCTATGACTGTTCTGGAGTAATTTTTCAGCACGATGGTCTTCATAAAGCACCGTTTCAGAATAATGCTGATTTCCTGTAGTCGTCTATCGTTTTTCTGTCTTTTTTTGCGGTCGTTTGCTGCGAACGGCGGGTAGTTGATTGTGATCGAGAGCACAGGCCCGTTAGCGTCGAGTTTCGTTCCTGCGGCCAAGTTTGCCCCGTGTTCCATCGGGCCTTTCACCAGGCACAGGATCTTGGAGTTTCCCTGTTGGACGTACGCGGACCCGTCTGCCGCGTGCGGGTGGGTGTTTGTTCTGCATTCAAACCGTCGCAGCTCGTTCCAGCGTCGACCGTCCACTCTGAGTCCTTCTGGCGAATACAGCTCGAGTCTGCTCATTGAAGATATTTTTTAAGGCTGGATTAATTTTTTTCTGCCGGGCAAGTATGGCTCAGTTATCTTTGGAGTTTGAGTTGCAAGATGTTTGGGAGAAACTGAAGACTGTGATTATCTGGACGAATGTAAGGGGAGACAGGAAGCAGTGGGGGCTCTCGTGTGACGCGACAATGCCCAGCAACAAGTACTAACCTACAGTTTATCATTGCCATGGTGATCATTACGCCATGGTTGCTTGCGATCGTGGTCGACCTTGTGGTTTACGTGGTGCGTATTGGCTGGGACGGGGTGGCCAGAACAGCAGGTCCTGTGTTTGGTAAACGACGTGCGGTGAAACCTTTGAAAACGGAATAAGTTTCAAAGGGTGGTAAGGTGGGGGGGTGCTATTTGGCAGTGTACGTAGGGAAATAATTTAATTATTCAATGAGCGACACTTCTTCGAAAACGCCAGAACCGGTTGCCAAGCCGGCCACAGAAACCCCCGCCGAGGACACGGCGCCCCCACCTATGCCCAAACGGCCGCTCAGTGCGTCCGAGCAGGCCGTCAAGGACCTGAAGGAGGCGTTCCCTGGCGTGGAGGACAAGTACGTCAAGATGGCGTTGATTGCGTCACAGGGCCAATTGGACCCGGCCTTCACCGCGCTGCTGTTTCTGTCGGATCCCACGTCGGACATCACGATTCCTGACGTGCAGACGAAGCCAAAACTGTCCGCCAGAAACTCGTTTGACCAGCGCAAACAGGTGGAGAGCGACGAGGCGTTGGCCCGCAGGCTCGCACGCAACTACGAGGGCCGTGCTGCTGGTGCCAAGACAGCCCCACCGAAACCAAAGCGCAAGCCCGTGTGGGCGGCAATTGAGGACGACGGGTCGGAGAAAGAGGACGACTTCGTGGACTCGCTGGCCAAAAATGTGGAGGAGGCCCGCAACACAGTGGGGGGGTGGCTCGGCAACATTGCCAAGAAGATCCAGACCGAGGTCAACACGGTGCAGCAGGGCCAGGGCGAGAACCAGCTGTTCAACGCACTGGGCAGAAAGTCCAGCGTCCAGTCCAGCAGAACGTCCAGAGACAGCACGTCTCCTCCTCCAGCAAGACCTGTGCGGCCGCAAAAGACAGAGTCTGTGGCTGAGGTCGAGCGCGACGTGGCTGGTATCAAGCTAGAGGATGCCACTACGGAGACAGAGCAGAAGAAGAACGCGCCGATCTCGACGATCGATCCTGCTCCGGTCGCAGACGACACATTCGCGGTCGACGACAGCGACGAGGAGGAGGAGAAAAAGGAAGAAGCCAAGAAGGAGTAGCGGGAAATGTATATGTTAACGTATTTTATCCATAAATCCACTTTCTTTGAACCGGCCGCCGGTCATGATGGTCTTGAGCACGCCATGTAGGATCTCTGCCTGAATCGGCTCCACGGGGGAGTTTTCGCCGTCGATCGAGATGTACGACTTGCGTCCCGGTGCGAGCTTGGGGATCAGTCGGTACGACTCCACCTTGATGTGGTCGATGTCCTTTTTCCAGATGTGTTTGCCCTTGTTGAGGTTGAGCAAAGCGTCGGCCGTGCTGATGATGTTGCTGCGGCCATCAAACACAATCATGTCGATCGAGCCGTCGTTCGGTAGGGCTGCCGGGAAAAAGTTGACGTCTTTGGAGATAAACGGCATTTTTCCTGTGTAGAAGATGGCCAGGTTGTCGGTGACTTTTTCGTCGAGCCACTCCCAGCCGCTCGGGAGATGGTCCTCGTCGAAGTTGTGGTCGGCCTCGAAGCTGTTGAGCTCGAAACTGGTCGCAGTCAGCGGCACGTTTGTGCTTGGGGGCTGGCTGTACCGCTCGCGGTAATGGTCTGCGAGCTCCTGTTTGTTGTTGGTGATGCGCTTGACCGCGATCTTGCACGGAAACTGCGTCTTGGTGAACACCTTGACGGCCACGCCGATGTCGAACCGCGCCTGGCCAACAAACCGCATCCATTCGGTGCCGATGTCTGCCTCGGCGATGATGCCAAACGTCTGACTCAGAAACGAAAGTTTCGACAAGCCGCGGCTGTTGCACACGGCCATCAGGTCGGCACGCACGACGTGACCCTTGACGATCTCCAGCGCAGCTAGGCCCGGATTGAGTGTGCCCAGACAAGAGAGCGACATGGCGTTGCCCGACCCACACGGGGCCTGGCACACAAACAGCTTCGTGAACGCCTCTGCGCGGTCCGTGCGCTGGTACAGCCCGTTGACCACCTCGTGGGGGATCCCGTCCCCCGACGCGCAAATCACCCCGTCGTATTTTTCAATGTCCATCTCGCGCATATAATCCGTGGCGTGGCCGGAGTAAGTCGTGTTGACGAGCTCCACGCGGTACCGTGCCGCCTTCAGCACAGGCTCCACCTGGTGCGTGTAGAATTTGTGCGCCTTGCCCTGGCCGCTGTGCGGGTTCAGAAAAACAACCACCGACTTGTGCGGTTCGGAGTCTGCGTACGCCAGGTTCATCAGTTTCGTGGCCAGCGCCTTGGAATTGACCTCGGCCACGCGATCGGACGGGCTAACATCCGCCACCACCGTGTGAATCGCCACCTCCGACGCCTTCTCGACTACATACGTCACCTCCACGCTCTGATTGTCCCCCACCTCTACCCACACAATGTTCTTGAACGGCACCAGCTTGCCGCCAGATAGCCGGTCAAAGTCGCTAGACCCAATCGAGCACACACACGTGATCCCCGGCTCGTGGTCCTCATGCCTGGATTCATCAATAATAATGCCCTGGCTATCGATCTTGGCACCAACCATAATTAAACAGACAATTTTTATGGTGGTTTTCCTCCCTTGTGGCACAGCCCAGATATATATTATATATACTCGTTACTCGTTACATAGTGTTAGTTACCAAACATGGAATAGCCGCCGAACGTCGATGTTGGCACGGGGTACTGCTGGAACAACTTGGTCTTCTTGGACTTCTTACCAGGCGTTCTGGTCAAGAACTGAGACGGCACCTTGTTCTGGATCGAGATCGAGCTTGTGGTGAAGTCCACCACAATCTCCGGCTCTTTCGAGATCTCCTCCGTGACAAACCGGTACCAGTACTCCTCAAAGTCCTCGTCGTCCATGCCGTTCGACTTGGTTGCCTTGAGGAAGTTGTGCAGCTCTTCAAGCGTCATCTCCTTGCCGTTCTTGCGGCGCAGCAGCCCCAATGTGAATTCGGTCATTAGCCGGATCTTTTCCAACCGCTTGCTGTCGTAAACGCACTCCTGCATCCGCGGAACCAGCCCAAACACGCTCTGCCACGGCTGCGACACCGTGTACCCGCTCTCGCACTCGATCCGCGAGTCGTAGTCGCACATGGCGTGCGCAGGGCACGGCACACACGCAGGCTTGATGGAGTCCAAAAACGCGTCCGTTTTGTCAATAAAGTGTGAGATCTGCGGCAAATCCGACGTGATGTACGAGCCGACTTTGCGGATACTTCCTTCGCGGCCGCAGAAACCAACATCCACCGCCATCGAGCGGTAGCCAAGTAACGAGGCCACAAATGGTAGCAGCAACAAAGCATACTTGAAAGAGCCCTTGGATTCGGGTTTCGTGGTCTCGGCTGGCACAGGGACCTCGACCTCGACCTCAGCAACCTCCTCGTCCTTGATTTCCGTCTCGCTCGTGTCCACCTTAGCTTCTGTCTCAACAGCAACCGCCTCCTCTTTCATCGCAATCTCCTGCTCCACGTCGGTGAGCGAGCCCTCAGAGCCCTCGGACAGGTGTGCCGAGTCGTTCAGACTCTTCAAAGTGTGTTCGTCGTCTTTGAAAGTCGGATCTAGCAGTCTGCTTGGGCCAGAAAGCACTTCCTCAAACTCGAGTTGCACTTCTGGCTCCAGCTCCAACTCGGCCTCAACCGACTGATTGCTCTCGTTTGCCGGGTTCAGCAACACCTCTTTCCTTTGAGGACTACCCAGGCGCGAAAGAATCTCGGAAATGTCGTCCCCCGCCACCAGCTCCTCGCCTTCAAACTTCTCCAGCGACAAAGGTGACTTGATGCCTGCACTGACCGATTTTTCTATGCGCGAAACGGTGGGGGACTCTGCGTCGTCCGAAACTCCACTTTCGTCAGCGTTCCTCTTCTTTCTTGCCAACTTCTTCCGCTTAGGCGTGGACTCCTCAGACCCTCTCTTTTGAGGAACAGTCTGGTCCAGCTTGGGGCTCTTTGGTTTGCGGGTTCTCTTCTCCGGAGTGGCGTTTCGCGACGATTTCCTGGAAGACCGGTTCGGACTCTCTGGGCCTTCAATGCTAACATCCATGCTAAGACTGTGTTTGTACTCCTGGAGCCAGGTGGCCGCGTTAGGGCGAATATGTTGCTCGTAAAGATTAATCAGGTCTGTTTTCTTCGCACTGGAAGGATACTCGATCTGACGATCGACGAGAATCGACCGTAGCCGCGGAACCGTCACCTTGTGGGGGTCGAAGGACGGTTGCAAGTATTCCAAATCGTCCATAGTAACAAAGCTTGTAATGTTTATGTTTTAATTTTTATTCAAAACACAACCATGTTTGTAAAATGACAGAGGGTAGTGGAGAAATAAAAAAATTTTACAAGTCCTTTTCGTCTTTAAAGCCATGTCGAACCCTAACCAACAACAAAACCAGGACGATCTGTCTCAGGGGATTCAGAACTTGAACGTTGGAGCGCCGCAATTCAACCCGACCGCTGCGTCGGCCTTCGTTCCTGGCCAGTATGGCCAACAGTATGGTCAACAGTACGGCCAGTACGGCCAGTATAACCAATACCAGCAATATAACCCATCGTATGGACAATACGTGCCGCCTCAGTCATTTGGATACGATGCCGGAAATGCGTACGGATACCAGCAACCCCAGCAATCCAACCAGATGTCGTTGGAGGACTACCAGAAACAGCAACAGGAGGCTCTTAGCAAGACCAGCAAGCCAAAGACCAAGCTGAAGTTGAACCTTAACAGTAGCACCGTCAAGGCTCCTGCCAAGAAGAAGGAGGAACCAAAGAAGGAGGAGCCTAAGGAGGAGCCAAAGAAGGAGGAGGTCAAGACAGAGCCAAAGAAGGCCGAGGCTAAGGTCGAGACCAAAGCTGAGCCAAAAGCTGAGCCAAAGGTGTCTGCCAAGGCTGCTTCCAAGGAGAAGATCGACAAGACTACCAAGCCAGTTTCTTCTGCCTCGGTCATCAAGGAGCAGGAGGACCAGCTCGACGAGTCGGTTTTGCAGGACATGTTTGGCGGCAAGGACCACATGTCGATCATCTTTATGGGACACGTTGATGCCGGAAAAAGTACGATGGGTGGTAACTTGCTATTCTTGACTGGTGCTGTTGACAAGAGAACCGTCGAGAAGTACGAGAGAGAGGCCAAGGACGCAGGAAGACAAGGATGGTATCTTTCTTGGATCATGGACACAAACAAGGAAGAGAGAAACGACGGTAAGACCATCGAGGTGGGAAAGTCGTACTTCGAGACCGAAAAGAGAAGATACACCATTTTGGACGCTCCGGGCCACAAGCTGTACGTGTCTGAGATGATTGGTGGAGCTTCGCAGGCCGATGTTGGTATCTTGGTGATTTCTGCCAGAAAGGGAGAGTACGAGGCCGGTTTCGAGAGAGGAGGCCAGTCCAGAGAGCATGCCATTCTGGCCAAGACCCAGGGTGTCAACAAACTTGTTGTTGTGATCAACAAGATGGACGACCCAACGGTCGGCTGGTCTGAGGAGAGATACACCGAATGTATCACCAAGTTGTCGATGTACCTCAAGGGAGTTGGCTACCAAAAGAACGATGTCACCTACATGCCTGTTTCTGGCTACACGGGAGCCGGTTTGAAGGAGAGAGTCAACCCTAAGGAGTGTCCATGGTACTCTGGTCCATCTCTGCTGGAGCTGCTGGACGCCATGCCTCTTGCTGCCAGAAAAATTAATGATCCGTTCATGCTTCCTATTTCCGGGAAAATGAAGGACTTGGGTACCGTGGTGGAAGGAAAGATCGAGTCTGGTCACGTCAAGAAGGGCCAGCAACTAATCATGATGCCGAACAAGATGCAGGTCGAGATCCTCACCATCTACAACGAAACTGAGGCCGAGGTCGACACTGCCGTTTGCGGAGAGCAAGTTAGACTCAAGTTGAAGGGTATCGAGGAAGAGGAAGTGTCTGTCGGATACGTGCTTTCGTCTGTGGCTAACCCGGTCAAGACGGTGACCCGGTTCGAGGCCCAGATCGCCATTGTCGAGCTCAAGTCGATCTTGTCGTCTGGATTCTCCTGTGTGATGCACGTCCACACGGCCATCGAGGAAGTCTCGTTCTTGCAACTGCTCCACCATCTGCAAAAGGGAACCAACAGAAAGTCCAAGAAACCACCTGCGTTTGCTAAACAGGGAATGAAGATCATTGCTGTTTTGGAGACCACCGAACCCGTGTGTTTGGAGACCTACGAGGATTATCCTCAGCTTGGTCGGTTCACCTTGAGAGACCAGGGCCAGACCATTGCCATTGGAAAGGTGACCAAGCTGTTGTAAGCTTGGACTCTGGCCTTTTATTGCTCATACATACTACACACGCGCCGGTATATATAGTCGAATCGAGTGCTGTACAGAGTTGGACGTAGCAGTGAGAGAGCTAACAGGTTGTCGTGTTGGGCAGATATCTTCCGGAACGTTTATTCGGCGAGTAGCGTAAATGTTTCGAATTCCTCTCTTTAGCTCAGTTGGAAGAGCATGAGACTGTAATTGTTCACGTAATCTCAGGGTCCCCGGTTCGATCCCGGGAGGGGAGACTTTTTTTGGACACTGCTGGCCCATCCGGTAAGTGTGTGCACTTTTTTTTCTGGCGTTTTTTCTGAAGTCACAGGTTCGAGCCTGGACGGTGCCCAAACAGTTGGCGCATTCGTTACCGCGAGGGAGACTAAGGTCAAAAAAATTTTGAGGTTGCGGGTTCGAACCTGGCCGAGGAAAATAGAGCACACGGTGTATCTTGTCGAACTGAGCACCAATCGGCCTGACATTTTGCAAGTAGCCTCTTGTACACAGAGACAAAAATACCAGGCCGGTTTTGCACCCAAATGGCTGCCCCCACGTTAGCTACACCGCCAACTAGTTGATAAATTTTTTTTTAAAAAAATATTTCACAACCATGAAGCTCGACACAACGCACATGCGCTACCTGAACCAGGACGACTGGCGAGTACTCCAGGCTGTGGAGAACGGGTCGCGGAACCATGAGGTGGTGCCCACGAAGCTGATCGGACAGATCGCCAACCTCAAGACCGGCATGGGCTCTGCAAACAGAGCTATAAGCGATCTTGCGAAATTGAGTCTCATATCCAAGCTCCGGAACGCAAAGTACGACGGGTACAGGCTCACATATAACGGGTTCGACTATCTGGCGCTTAAGTCGATTTCCCAGCGGAAAAACATCGCCGAGCTGGGCACCACCATTGGTGTTGGAAAAGAGTCGGACATCTATGCTGCCAAGGACGAGGACGGGATCAGCAAGGTCCTGAAGATCCACCGACTGGGACGTGTTTCGTTTCGCACGGTTAAAACCAAAAGAGACTACTTGCGCAACAAACAGGCACAGAGTTGGATGTACTTGTCGAAACTTGCTGCCGAAAAAGAGTACGAGTTCATGACGATTCTGTACGAGAACGGGTTCGAGGTGCCGAAACCGCTGGACCATTCACGCCACTGTGTGCTGATGACACTAGTGGTTGGGTTCCCGATGCGCCAGCTCCGCGAACATTTCCAGTACAAGAAGCTGTACTCGCAGCTACTGGAGTTTGCCGTTAAGCTAGCCAACCACGGCCTGATTCACTGTGATTACAACGAGTACAATATCATGATCAAGGAAACAGGCACGTACGACCCGGCCAGTGAGCTTGGGTTTGTGGTGATCGACTTCCCGCAGTGTATTTCCATCAATCACGTGGACGCAGACTTCTACTTCAAAAGAGACGTGGAGTGTATCAGACGGTTCTTCCGCAAACGGTTTGGGTACACGCCGAAGGACGACTCCACGATGCTCGACACGGACGGCTACGGCGACGGGTACAGACACGCATACCCGGTTTTTGCCAGAGACGTGCACAGAACAGGCGACTTGGACCAGCAGGTCAAGGCCTCTGGCTACAAGAGTGAGAACGACTCGGAGCTGGCGGGAGCTTTGGGCAGCATGCAGAGAGACTACGAGGGAGACGAGGAAGAGTCTGACGAAGAGACTGAGGAAGATGACGAGTCCGAGGAAGACGAGGAGGACCTTGCGTTCTCGGAAGAAGAAGACGAAGAGGAGTCCGACAACGAACGAATCATCCAGGCCCTCAGCGAAGGCCAGGAACTGAAAACAGACAAGTTTGGTAACTACATTCTCGAATAACTACAATATCTCGATACTTAATTCACTCCATTATGCGAATAATTATCTCACACTTAACGAGTAGCCATAGCCTTAGTAACAACTCTCTTAAGAGACAACTCAGCCTTTCTCAAATCGTCAGCAGAAGAGTCCTCGATCTCAAGAGCAGCAAGAGCCTCGGAAAGAGCAGCCTCGACCTTGTCCTTAGCACCCTTCTTCATCTTGGCAGACAGGACTGGGTCAGTGACAGTAGCCTCGATAGAAGAAACGTAAGACTCAAGTCTCTGTTTTTGCTCGTGCTTCTTGGAGAACTCCTCGTCAGCCTTCTTGAACTTGTCGGCGTCGTTGATCATCTTCTCGATTTCAGAGGTGGACAATCTACCGATAGAGTTGGAGATGGTGATGTTGGCAGATCTACCGGTGGACTTCTCAACAGCAGTGACCTTCAAGATTCCGTTAGCGTCAACCTCGAAAATGGCCTCCAAGACTGGCTCTCCAGCTGGCATTGGTGGGATGTTCTTGAGGTCGAACTCACCAAGCAAGGTGTTCTCGCTACAGTTGACTCTCTCACCCTGGTACACTGGGAATTGCACGGTGGTCTGGTGGTCGTCAACAGTGGTGAAAGTTCTTCTCTTGATGGTTGGCACAGTGGTGTTTCTTGGAACAACTGGAGCAAAGACGTTACCTTGCATAGCAACACCAAGAGACAATGGAATAACATCCAACAACAACAGGTCCTTGGTCTCATCAGAGGTGGATTGACCAGTCAAGATGGCACCTTGAACAGCAGCACCGTAAGCAACAGCCTCATCAGGGTTGATGGACTTCTCAAGTTGCTTACCGTCAAAGAAGTCGGACAACAACTTTTGGACCTTTGGAATTCTGGTAGAACCACCAACAAGCACAACCTCGTCAATCTGGGACTTGGAGATCTTGGCGTCCTTAAGAACTTGCTCAACAGGAGTCAAGGTAGACTTGAACAGAGCAGAGTTGATGTCCTCGAATCTGGCTCTGGTGATGTTGGCAGCAAAGTCCTCACCCTCGAACAGAGAGTCGACCTCAATGGTGGTCTGGGTAACAGAGGAAAGGGTTCTCTTAGCTCTCTCACAGGCGGTTCTGAGTCTTCTCAAAGCTCTAGCGTCACCAGAGATGTCCAAACCGGTCTTCTTTTGGAAGTCCTTCTTGAAGTGCTCAAGCAAGTTGGTATCGAAATCCTGACCTCCCAAGTGGGTGTCACCGGCAGTAGCCTTAACGGTGAAAACACCACCAGCAATGTGCAGCAAGGAAACATCGAAAGTTCCTCCACCAAGGTCGAAAATCAAAATGTGTTTCTCCTTCTCGGACTTACCAGCACCAAGACCGTAAGCAATGGCGGCAGCAGTAGGCTCGTTGATGATTCTCAACACGTTCAAACCAGCAATGGCACCAGCGTCCTTGGTGGCTTGTCTTTGAGCGTCGTTGAAGTAAGCTGGGACAGTCACAACAGCCTTCTCAACCTTTTGGCCGATCTTGGCCTCAGCAATCTCCTTCATCTTGGTCAAAACCATAGAAGAAATCTCCTGTGGAGAGAAAGTCTTGGTCTCCTCCAAGTACTCAACCTCAATCTTTGGGTTGCCGTTGTCGTCGACGACCTTGAATGGCCACGACTTGATGTCCTTTTGCACAGACTCGTCGGAGAAAGCTCTACCGATCAGTCTCTTAGCGTCGAACACAGTGTTCTTTGGGTTCAAAGCGGCCTGGTTCTTAGCAGCGTCACCAATCAGTCTCTCTTCTGGAGTGAAAGCGACGAAGGATGGAGTAACTCTGTTACCCTGCTCGTTAGCAATGATCTCAACAGCGGAGTCATATGTAGCAACACAGGAGTAAGTGGTACCGAGATCGATACCAATAGCACCTTGGAAAACACCGTCAGCCATTATGTCTATTTGTATAGGTAATTAAAGAAAGTTAACCCCCAAAATTTTACCTTGAAATATTCCCAAAGTGAAAAATTTTTCAGAAAAAAATTAGCAGCTTTTGGTCCGCGCACGCTGAGTTCTTCAACAGTTGCACCGCCTCAACTTTTGGTAGCACGGTAGTTGAAGATTTTTGTTTGGATCAGTCGTTCCGCGTGGAGCACTTCTTCTTTTGATCCGGAGACTTCTATGAGTTGTGTTTGATTAGTTTTCAGGTCCAGCTCGTCTGGCGAGTGGATCTTGATTTTTGCGGTTGTTTGCTCTCGGATCTTTTCGATGTCTCGTCCTTTCTTCCCGATGAGCGACCCTGCTTCTTGTCGGAGCACTCTGTACTGTTTGGCGATGGTGGTGTTGGTGTTGAGGTCCATTTTCTGAAGCGGGGCCCGTTGTTTGTGGGTAACGGCGGTGTTTTCCTGTAGATAATCAATTCGAGTTGGTGGGCGAGGAACCACCGTTTTTGGGGCCGTGGTGACTATTGGCGGGATATCGTGTTTGTCCAGCCGATACACCGATCCAAACGAGTAGTGTTGCACCGGCCGCAAAGAAAGTTCGTGGCTGCCAAACCGCGGCAGAATAACAAGAGGGTCGTTGGGCAACGAAAAAGTTATCTTGTTAGAAAGAGGGCTGCTCAACTTACCAAAGAGTAGATATCCCAGACCCTCTGCGGTGGGCCCGAGATTGACACTGCCCACTCCATCAAACAGGCATGGACACGAAACAGATCAATAAACACGTTGGAGACTGTTTGTTGGGGGCCCAATTCGTCCAAAAGAGGGATCAGCCGTGATTTGGGACCGAGCACCAGAGTGACGGTGCCAACTCCACTGTCTTCACAGGGGTCCAAATAGGCTCGCGCTGGACTAGTCTGCAAAGGGTCCTCCAAAAAGGGTCTCAACGATAACATTGGTGGGTTAAACAGAACAAGAGTCTACACGAACTCTACTATCCCCTCCTTTTGACACATACAACACGAACCCATGTTGTGTGCCATCCCACCTTTCCCCAGACAAGCGTGACATCCCACCTGGGAAATCGCTCCGTTATCGCATACAATTACCCGATTCAACACTCCCGCGACCCGAAAAAATTATCGCGATATTTTTCCCCAGTGTTAAGTTTTTTGCGCTCTCTTATCCGACCATGAGCGTATCCCTGGCCCAGGCCATCTACTCGGCAGTCAAGCCGATCATACGGATGTACCTGATCATACTGACCGGGCTGTTCATGACGAAAATGGGCTTTGTCAGCGTTGCTACCACAAGAGCACTGAGTGATCTGGTGCTGCTGCTATTTATGCCTGCGCTGGTGTTTGATAAGATCGTTTCTTACATCTCGATCGACGACATCAAGACAATTGCCGTCACGTGTCTGTCTGCGTTCATGATGTACTGCTGCAACGCCGGGGTGACCGCCGTGATTGTGAGTTTGACCCCGGTGCCCAAAAAGAAAAACGACTCCTGGATAGGTGGGGCCATGCTGGCTGGTATCATGCAGAACGTCTCGGACATCCCCATCTCGTATTTACAGGCGTTGACGGTGTTCTCGGAGGACGAGACGAACAAGGGCACGGCCTATGTGATTATCTGGCTCACAATGTATCTGCTGGTGCAATTCAACTGCGGGATGTTCCAGCTGGTGGAATACGATTTCCGACGCAGTCACGACGTGGAAGAAGAACCCAAACCGCCAGCGCTCGAGCCGATCGCCGAGGAGCCGGGCGCCGTGGAGGACGGCGACCCAGAAACCGCCAGCAAGCAGTCGTTGTCGAACACAAGCTTGTCGAGCTCCAACAGCTACGAGTCCGCCCGTCTCGAGGACCTGGAACCGCACGCACTGGTCAACGACCACGAGGTGCACACGCTGAGGGCCGCGGTGGCTCGCATCCCGTCTGCACGCAGCCACATCGACTACGGCCTGTCGCGCACCACGTCGAACGCTTCGTCGATCCCGTCGGTTGTGCTGTCCCGCCAGTCGAGTGTCCAGAGCGGCGCGCAATCGCACGTCCAGGAACTGATCCGCGAGTACTCGCATAACGAACCGTACAACCGGAACGTGCCCACCAACATGAAAATCATCACAGAGACCAACCTGAGCTCCAAAGACATCCAGAACGCAGGAAAGTCGCCGTTTGTTCGCCGCTACAAGTTGCATTACCTCATTTTCTTCTTGGAGAACTTCAAGAAGCCCAGCTCCACCATGCTGGTGGTTTCGCTGATCATTGCGCTGATCCCGTGGCTCAAGGCCCTGTTTGTGCAGACCGACGTGTACATGCCCACGCCGCCCGACAAGGAGCCGCCGCTATCCTTTTTGTTGCAGTACGCCGACTACTGCGCGGCTCCGTGCGTGCCCCTGGGACTGTTCATGATCGGATGCCTGCTCGGTCGCCTGGAAATCACAGCCATTCCGCCCGGGTTCTGGAAATCGATCCTGTGCCACACAGCTTATCGCCTCTGCATCCTGCCCATCATCGGCATCCTGTGGGTGTACAGACTGAAGTCTGCCAACTGGATGACCGACTCGATGGCCCAATTCGTCACCTGCCTGGAGTTCTCGCTCCCTTCTGCTACCGTGCAGGTGTACCTGACTGCCAGCCACATGGACCCGGAAAAGGGCACCGACACCCAGATCAACTGCCTGTCGTTGTACATCATTGCCCAGTACATCTCGCTGGTGGTCACGCTGCCTATAGTCGTGTGCTACACGCTGAAAAACGTGATAGACATATAGTTTTGCTACCAGTCAATAATGGACGATCGACGCAGAATATTTATTATATACTTTTAAAACCATCCAAACTAAGGTGGGTCTGTCTCCCTGCTGTATTTTCTTTCATCGTGAAGTTATTCAGGCTGTTGAAACACGGACTGCGCCTAGTCCAACATCCGCATCGGCTGCACCGCCACAATCTTGCCAGATACATCAACAACCGGTTTCTTGTTTCCAGTAAGGACAAGGTCTTTTTCTTTCTATTGCGCAAGGACGTGGACGCTGCTTTTTACCGCAAAATAATGGACAACCCGACAAACCAGGTCCAGGTGAATGCATCGGAGGACGAGCGACTGTCTGCTGTTTTGAACTCGGGCAAACGCAGACTCATGAACGCTTTCAAGACCACCAAGGAGTCTTCGTATTTCAGGAGCATCACCTCTGCCATTCAGCAGAGTTTTGCCTACGACGAAGAGACCGCCTCGATTGCTGCAGTGCACGTTCCAGACGACACAAAAATCGTCCTGTATCGAACATATACCCGGTTTATCAGCAATGAGTACATCACAGAGGTTTCTGGTTGCATATACTGTCCTGGAACGATGAACAGGAAGAACAAGCTGATGATGTCGCTGATCCAGCGACTTTCGAAACCAAACGTGCCCACGTCCACCGTTTCGCAGATAGAGAGCGAGATCGAGGACTCCTTGACCCACCCAGACACCAAAACCGCAGACACAGACTCTGCGTCGACAGTTTCTTCTGGGTCTGAGTCGACGGCCTCGTCCTCGGTGAACGACACGATCCGCGACCGGATCCAGGGCATCATGGCCCGGAACATCCCACGCACCCCGCTCAACATCACGCTGTACTCGGACGACAAGACCGACTCTCTCTTGGGAGCAAATCTGTACACCGACAGCGTGGGGGCGTTCAATTTGTCTGTTGCCTCGTCTTACAAGCCGTCGTATATCACTGTCTCGTCTTTGGAGAACCCGGCGATCCAGGAAACCCAGATCGCGAACGTGATCGACCCAAAAGGTGTGAGTGTGATCACAGACATCGACGACACGGTGCGAACGACGGGAGTTTTGGGCGACAAAAGAGAGCTCTTTAGAAACGTTTTCGCCAGAGACTTCAACGAGTGCGAGATCCCGCGGCTGGCCGTCTGGCTGCAGCAGCTCAAGTCCCAGTACCATTGTCCCATTCACTACGTTTCGAACTCGCCGTGGCAAATATACAACATTGTTTGTGGATTCATGGACTACGTCGGTTTGCCTGTTGATAGCATTAGTTTGCGGCAGTATTCGGGCAATCTGATCGCCTCGTTCACAATGCCCTCGTCTGAGAGAAAGAAAGACTCGTTGATCAAGTTGTTCAAGGATTTCCCAAATAGAAAGTTCATCTTGATTGGAGACGCGGGAGAACAGGACATCGAGGCATACGCACAGCTGGTGAAATTGTTCCCAACACAGGTGCTTGCCGTGTACATCCGAGCGCTCAACGGGGCGTTCTCGTCAACGGGCGAGGACATGAAGGTGTTCAAAGAGCTGGAAGCAATTCTTGCAACCAGAGACCGTCATGTGGAGCCCAAGACAGAAAAGAAAAAAAAGAAGTTCACTCCTATTCCTCCGCCAAAACCAAAGAACCTCCAAGGAGAAGCACTCAAGCTGTCGGACCCGCCCAAAGACCACAAGTCGTACAGGGACTCGCTGCGATCGCCGATCCTACACCGGGAATTCATTAGAACACAGATCTCCAACACTCTATCTCATTCCTCAGATTATATACCTCTAGATCCGCCGCCACTCCCAAGACGTGGCTCGCTGCACCGGTCGTTGCCGTCGCCTCCGCCGGTTCCTCGTCGCCCAGCAGAGTCTCCACGGTACGCTCCCTTGTCACCGACGAAAACGTTCTCGTTTTCGCAACACCCTGAAAGTCCGTCGGAAGATTACTCTTTTGACAAGAAAAAAGAGCTGTGGAAAGAACGGGTCCAGGCAGTGGTTAGCGAGTACCCGCCCGAGGTGGACTTCCGGTTCTGGTGGGACCCGTCCGACGTGATGAACGAGTCGTTCGAGGCTGTCCAGCGGGCACAATAGGCCGCCTCCACTCAAGTTGCATTATTTTCCTCAAAAAAAGCGTTCTTGCCGTCTCCGTAGTCCTTGATATTCTCCTCCTCCACCTCCTCTATAGCGTCGCGGAACGCAGACATGTCGATCTCCGTTCCCTTGTCTCCTGTATCTTCTTCCTGGTAGAACTTGTCGGCAAACTTCTTGATAATGATCTCTCTTCCCGTCAGGTCGCGCTTGGCCTTGTCCTTGCTCTTCTCTTTTTCCTGTGTGTGTTTCAGCTTCCATTTGGCAAACGATGCTGGCGTGATCGGAGTCAGGTTCGTCTTTGGCAGCTTGTCTCTTTCTGTCTCGATGAAATCCTCCAACGTGATCTTTGGCTGTGCGTCCAATGCCATTCTCTCCAACCGTCTCTGTTCCTTGGTTTTGAGAACAAATCCTGGCGGAAGAGAGTGTCTGTACTTACACTCCTTGTTCTGTTTCGGATCAGAGTCCGGACACGTCCAGAACCAACCGTATTTTCCATCCTCCACCGCGCGGATGAAATGCTTACAAACAATGTCTGTGGTGGTCTTTGGGTTGCCATGCTTGGACAAAATCACCTTTCTCAGCTTCTCCTCGTCCCAGTTGTCCATTGTGTCCAATTTCTTCTCCTCGTCCTTGTCGTCCGAGTACAAATCTCTCTTGGCGGCCTTTCTACCCACCGTCAGGTCGTGGCTGAACTTACAGTTCTTGCCTCTTGTACACGCACCAGCTTTGAAAAATTCACACAAGATCGACTTTGGATCCACTCCAAACGGCACTTTCTGTGTGGGGATAGACGATTGCAGCAGCTTGGCCGCCTCCTTCTTGGCGTCCTCGGCAGCCTTCTTCTCGGCAGCACGCTGCTTGGCCATGGCCTCGGCCCGCTTGTCTACTCCCTGAGATGTGACCTGGTTCACAAACTGTTGCACCTTCTTCGACTTGTTCTTGTTTTTCAGCCCAAAAGTCTTGTCCTCCATCTGCTTCTGGACCTTCTTGGCCTTGTTCTTCTTCTCGGCATCTTTTTGTGCCTTTTGAGCCTTCTTTGGCGGCATCTTGCTCCACTTGGTAAACTTTTTTTTCAGTGTTTTTTTCAAAATTGCCCAAACTTTTCAATTATACTTGCACAGCCAGAATCGACATAAAATATCCCAAGCTGTGATTGTGAATTTCTCTTGTCTTTTTATTATGTTGGCACTAAGAGTCAGATCGTGTGCAAAAAACGTCCAATTAGCGCGCGGCTACCACAGATTTGCCGCCAACAACCTGAAAACACCAAAGATGAGAAAAGAGTTCCGACTGGCGTTTGTTTCTGGCCTGTTGCTCGCAACTTCCTACGTCTCCCTAACAAACAACAACCTTCGGTCCGATTCGCTGCCCAGCCAGAAATCCGCCGCCACCGAGCAGAAACAGTACTTTTCCGTGTCCACAAACTCACTTGACGGGATCTCGTCCCAACAGAACAAACAGGGCATCTATTTGCTCACCGACGACGAGGTCAGCAAGCGTTTGAGACAGTATGAGGAATCGTACAATGTCAATCGCGGAAAAGGCGTGGTCAGATACGATATCTGTCAATTGCCAAGTAACAACCCCATTGAAGACGATAGAAGCGAGAAGATCGTCCAGGTGCCCGTTCAGGATAGAGAGAACAACAACGCCCGTGTTGAAACAGACTGGCACTTCTGGTCTATTTTCGACGGCCATGCTGGCTGGAACACCTCGGCCAAGTTGAGAGACCATTTGCTGGACTACGTGATCAACGAGCTTGATCAGGTCTACAAAGTTAGTGACAAGAATCTCAGATTGATTCCTTCGAACGAAGCCATCGACAAGGCCATCAAACAGGGTTTTTTGAAATTGGACGACGAGTTGGTCAACAAGAACGTGCAGAAATTGCTGGATTTACCAGGAAGTAAGGCCCGTGCAGCTGAGCTGCTGATGCCCGCTCTGTCGGGATCGTGTGCCCTGATGTCATTCTACGATACACACTCGCACAGCCTGAAGGTGGCCGTGACAGGCGATTCGCGTGCCTTGCTGGGATCACTCGACAACGAGAATCACTGGACAGTGACCGCGTTGTCGACCGACCAGACGGGTTCCAACCCAACAGAGGTGGCCAAGCTTCTGAGCGAACACCCAAACGAGCCGAACGTGGTGAGAAACGGAAGAGTGCTTGGATCGTTGGAGCCTTCAAGAGCGTTTGGAGACGCCAGGTACAAATGGGACAAAGGCACACAGACCAAAGTGGCTAACCAGTTCTTTGGAAGACAGCTGCCTGCCAACTTGAAGACCCCGCCATACGTGACTGCCGAGCCGGTTGTCACCACGCACGAGGTTTCTCCATCAAAACACGATTTTCTGGTGATGGCTTCTGACGGTCTGTACGAGATGCTCACCAATGAGGAGATCGTTGGATTGGTGGTGAGATGGATGGAGAACAAGAAGATGGTGAAGCCAAAGAAGTCGTTTGTGGACACCATCTGGCCAAGCTCGAAAGATAAACTACCTCTTGTGGAGGACGTGACCGACACCGGGTCAAAGAGCAAACAAAGATTACAGACCAAGCGGAAGTCGAACGAGCTTGGGTTCCTACTAGAAGATGAAAACGTGGCCACACATTTGATTAGAAACGCACTAAGTAATGGCGGGTCCAAGGAGGAGGTGAACATGCTTGTGAGCATTCCTTCGCCGTTGAGCAGACGCTACAGGGACGACCTGACGGTGAGCGTGATCTTCTTTGGCGAGGGCGAGAAGCACGTTTCCAACAGCGCGCTCGAGATCAACCAAGAGGCCACCAAGGGCGGACTGACGATGAAGGCGAAACTGTAGCTGGGGCATTTAGCAAGCACAGTTTCCGATAGCTCCCGTTTCGTCAGTAGGGGCGTTGAGGTCTATTCTTCCTGAGGAGGATGGTTGGTCTGCTGGTTTTGCGGCCTCTTCAGGTATTTGTTTTCCAATTGCTGTGAACACCTCGTTGACGTTGAGAGCTGATTTTGCACTAGTTTCGAAAAATAATAAACCTTCTTCGTCTGCCAAAGCCTGGCCTTCTTCCACAGACACGCTTCTGCGACCCTCGATCTCGTCTCCTGTTTCCGGGTCCACCAAAAGATCGTATTTGTTACCCACCAACGCAATCACAATGTTCTTTGAGGCTTGTTCGTGTAGTTCTTTAACCCAGTGTCTGGCCTTAATGAAACTGGCCGGTTTCGTGATATCGTACACCACCAGGGCAGCCTGGGCGTTTCTGTAGTACAATGGAGCCAGATTGGCAAATCTCTCTTGTCCCGCGGTATCCCAGATTTCAAACTTGATGGTTTTGGTTCCGATGGTGCATCTTTGAGTAAGGAAGGCTGCGCCGATCGTTGGTTCTTTGTTTTCCTGGAAATCGTTGGAAACGAACCGCAGAACCAGCGACGACTTTCCCACAGCGGCTTCTCCCAGAAGGACAAGTTTGACTGACGTTTGTTTCGACATTGAGAAAGAATAAAGTATTTTAATGAAGGAGAAAAGATTAGTGGCGAGGGTGGCGAAGTAGTTGCTGAAAGGTTATCGATGTGCTTGCTACGGGTTATACAAAGGTTATTGGGTATAGGACGGTTATCGGTGCATGGACCGGTCGTTGTGTTGTTGTAATAAATGCCAGCTTGCTGTTTGCTGGAGGGGGGATCCTGTTCCAAAATGGCTGTGTCTAGGCTGTGCATTGAATTATCCAAACAGGAAATTTTGGAGGAAATAATTTCTCAAACAAAAGGGATCTGTGCAAAATGGGGCGGACTGTTAAATAGCGCCAGATCTGCTCGTTTCGAGACTTGAGTTGCTGAAAATGTCTAGTTATTACTTGCCGCTGTCGTTAGAAACCAGCGCTAATCGCCGGCTGGTGCTTGAAAACGGAATCAATGTCCTCCTCGTCTCCGATCCCACTTTGGACTCGGTGGGGTGTGGCTTTTCCGTTGCCGTGGGCCACCATTCAAACCCGCCAGATAGCTACGGTCTAGCCCATTTCTGCGAACACATGGTCTGTGTGAGCTCGAAGGAGTTCAAGGAAACTGATCTGTGCAAAAAACTCGTGTACAAGTCCGGGGGTAGATGGAATGCCGTGACTGTTGGTGAGAAAACTAGCTTCTTTTTTGAGGTTCCGGTCGTGAAGATGCAGGGTTCCTCAGAGACGGTGTTTGAACAACTGTTGAAGGTGTTCCCCTCGTGCTTCAGATCGCCTGCTTTCGACTACACGTACGCAAAACGAGAAATGGTGGCAGTCGATAATGAACACACCAAGAATCGCTGTGTGGTGGGGAAAATCGCCCATCACGGTTTGAAACTGCTGGCAAACCCTAACCATCCGTTCCACCAGTTCAGTACAGGCAATTTTGACACCTTGTCCAGCGGCCGCAAGTCAAACGTGAAGGACGAGCTGGTCCAGTTTTTCAACCAAAATTACCACGCCTGGAAATCTGCCCTCGTCCTAAAAGGCCCTCAATCGTTGAACGTTCTCCAGAAACTGGCAGTGGCTAACTTCTCCGACTGTCTCTCAGTGAAACCAAAAGAAACCACTAATGTGCTGAAAACCAGCTGGGACCACGTTTATCAATCAAAGGTGTTTACTGATTTTGGTAAAATGGCCGTCATCGAGAGCCAAGGAACCTCACCAATACTAAGAGTTTATTTCCCTTTTGAAATTGCAGATAAGGACTCTCTGGTGTTTGCACAGGCCTGGTGCTACATTATGGGAAGTGAAAACCAGGTTTCTTTCAACGCTCAACTCTTTGATGCAGGGCTCGTCAAGACGTCTGTTTCTTCAGCTCCAATAATCACTTTTAAAGACAGAGTTCTGCAGCTCGAGTTTAATCTCACTCCAATGGGTGCAAGAGAGTACGGGAAAATATTAGACTATTTGATCAAGTACACCGAATTTGTGTTTTCTTCAGACCCGAAACGAGTCAAACGGATGGCCAAGCTTCTTTCGCAATTCAACTCCATTGAGCTGTACAACTTCATTCATCATGACCCTGACGTTTCCATTTCTGCTCAGTGCCGAATCCTGAGTCAGCGACTCTTGGAAGACCAGAAAATTAACAACTCGTGGCTATTCAAATCGTCGCCATGTTGGGGGTTTGACGATCCTGGGTATAGTGGCTCTTACGAGGAGTCTTCCGAGTCTCAAGCGTGGTGGATAAACAAAGCCGGAAGCTTCTCCGGCCAGATTTGTCGCACAGTGTCTCGTTCCAATATTTTGGCTACCCTGGTTGCAGATTCAGATGTGGTTGCAAAATTTGGCCACTCTTTTTCAACCGACCAGTACTTCCAATTTAAGTTCAAAATTGTTCCTATTGAGTATGAGGAATATGTCTTTGCATGTCATTTGCAACGACCAAACCAGTTTGTGGTTGGGCAAATAGACAACCAGACTGTGATGTACAGAGCTTTGATGTCATCTATGAGAAAGAGTCAGAATTTTGTCTATGCTACCAAACGCGAGGCGACTCCACCTGTTCAATTGAACTCACCCGACAATGTTCAATTGTGGTACCAAAAGGATACTGACAAATACCAGGAAAAGGTTTTTCTTACTGTGGAGCTGACCAACCCAATGAAGCCCTGCGTCGAGACTACTCTTTCATTGGAGATGTTTTGCGATATTGTCAAAGAACACCTGCGCGAAACCCTGTACCCGGCTCTCGAGCTATACTATGCATTTGACATTGTACACGCAATGAAGGGTAATTGCGGGATTGTTGTTCACGTTTCTGGTTCATCTGTTGGTGTCTACGAGATATTCAACATTATCATGGAGACCATCAAAACTCTGAGTAAGGATCTCGGATCCTATCTGACTCCGGCCATGTTCCGTAAATCACGCATCAGAATCAAAATGAAGTACGAGAACCTTCGTACTTTGAGATCTCACGAACTCGCCTCTTTGGGATTGGTGTCCGTTCTGGAATCGTGCACATGGGGACTCGATGATCGTTTGGAGGCTCTCGAAGAACTCGATCTGGTGAGTGTTTCGCAATTGATGTCGAAGGTCTTCCGATCATGTCACTTGGTCAGTTTCTTGCATGGAGACGCTGAGATTTCCGATTATCAGAAAGTTATTTCCTCGATCCAGTCAACGGTTGATGAGTTTTCACCGAAATTAGACAACACGAAAACGCTAGAGCTACCGGTCAATTGTAATTACCGAATCCATGGACATTCCCCGGATGAGACAAATGCACTGGTCTCTTTCACTCAGCTTGGAAGACGTGAGAATGTTTACGAGAGGTCTATGGCCCGTTTTGCTGCATATATATTGTCTACATTGTTCGCAGCCAAGTTGAGGACGCAGTACCAGCTTGGTTATGTTGTCTTTGTTGGACTGAGAACACTCAAGGAAACAGTCGGTATCCATTTCACCATCATGAGCGGCGACTTCACACCGCTCGATCTGGATGCTAAAATTGAAGAAATTCTGAAAGAGTGGTTTGTTGAGTTCCAAAGAGCAGGAGCACGGTTTGAGACAGAAAAGCAAAATTTCCTACAATCATATCTTCGGCCATCTCAAGAAAGCTCCAGCTTGACATTTGGTGCTATTGGAACCAGTTTGGGGGATGGTGCACTGATCAAGGAACACCAAAACTTTTGGGACCAAATCTACAACCAATCTTTTAGATTTTCCAGCTCTGGCCACGACGACATTGATCGCAGCGTAATTGATCGATTGGAGTTTGCAGACTTTGCAAAGTACTTGGACAAAAAAATGCTTTCTGAGGATCGTTCTAAACTATCTATCATGCTTGCTACCAAATTGGACGCCAGAGAAGCAGAGAGGAAATTAAGACCAATGCGGTTGCAAATGTTCCTGACGGCAGCTGGTCTGCCCGTGAAAGGAGACAAGATCAAACAGATCGTGGATGAGGCCGGTGATTCTCAAACACAGCTGGTGAGACTTCTATTCAAGCATTACCAGGGAGAAGGAAGTTCTATTCGGCTTATTTCGACGGCAATTGCCAAAATTGCAAAGGACTTGTTCGCCAGGTCGAAAAAAATCGAAGTGTCCACTGTGGCTTCCACGGAGATTATCAATTTGGATAGCTGGAAGCATCAGTTGCAAGAAGTTTGAATGCTCATCAAACCTGTTTTTTCTTGGCGACCCAGAACTCGCTCTTGTATCTGAATCCGCCTAAAGATCGCGGGTCTCCACCGTATGTGGCCTCTATTCCAGACTCGTGCTTGGTAAACTCGAATCCTGTGTCTTTCACCAAATCTACCAAGTCGTCTCTTGAAAGCTCCAAGCCCCGCGCTGGAGTAGGAACCTGTTTCCATTCACCATCGTCATCTTTGCGCGAAAACATCGTGACGGTCTCATCGTCCTCGTGGTGCCACAAAAGAGGCCCGAAATTGATCCAATATCCATCGTCTGCTAAACAATGGTGAATTGCTTGCAAATACTCGATGATGTTAGCTGCGGTGTCAAGGAAAAAACAAGTTGCAACCACTTGGAACTTGCCCTTATTTTGCACCCGAAACTCTTGTGCCTGTTCGTCTGTGGTGTACACGTCGCTGACCCTCTCCAGATTTGGCGGGCCATACAGGTCCACAAAGGATCCGGCCACAATAGACATGAGGTCGGCAACTGGGATGTTGGGGTAATCGTGGTTGATCAACGAGATATCGCCTGGATTGTAGTCGGGGACATATATCTGGCGAACCTGGTCGGAACGTTTCGCGACGTTGGTGCTCCGGTGTACATACGGACAGATGACGTAATTGTTTGCACAGAAGGAGTGGTTTATGATGAAACTGGAATTTGTCAGCATGTGGTAAGAAAACTCGTTGCCTTGAGTCCGGAAACCTCTTTTGACGAACTCGATCACCAGTCTGCCAAGACCGGCTCCTGGAACGAGCACTTCCACGTTCTGGCGAGCCTCGACGTCCGGAAACAGCGACTCGCACTCTCGCAAGATACGGCCAAACGAGATGTCTCTTTCTTGCTCTCCGTCGGACGACCATTCTCTAGCAAACTGGACCAGAACGCTGCGCACATTTTCCAGGTCCTGGCCTGAGCATTCTGCCCAGACGCCGGGGTCTGACTCTGCGCCCCAGATAGGCGCCACGGTGGTGGCGATCTGCTGCAGAAACTGCGAATTGAGGTCGATGGAGTGTTCCAGATAGTCGATGTGGCTCTCCATCCAGGGCAACAGATTTTTCTCCGATGCGGTCAGACTGGCGTATTTGAGCCGTCTGCTGGCCACTATGCGCTTTGTGGCCCACGACTTGTACCCATTGTGTGCAGAAAACACCGAGGTGAGTGCCTTGTACTCCTGATCCATGGAAAAATTAATGATACAATTAATTTATTGAATTATTTAATTTTTTTTCCGGGTTAGCTAGCCTTGGATTTTCTTTTCCAGGTTTTTCACCAGAGTGGTGAGCTCGTCGAGCTTACTGTAAATCTCATAAGTTTCCCACGCAACACGGGCATCCTTGCTTGGACCGATAGGAGGAGCCAGTTTCTCGAGGTTGGAGTTCCAAGCGGCGAAATTGCGTGCAAACGTTGGGTCTTCTGCCTCTGCGCGCTGCTGCACTTTCAAAGAAGCCCGGATATTGTGGCCGGTTTCATCGTTATGGTCGAAACCGTCAGTTAGATCCCATGGCGTGTCGTCCTCGTTGTTATCGTCAGCAACCTTTCTGGCTCTGTTGTACTGGACGCGTTTTGCGTTCTGTGCCTCGTAGCTGGCAATGAAGAGCAGCACAGGTGTGTACAGAACAACCATCACCTTGTCACAAAGCGATAGATACAGTCTTCTGTCGAGCCACCAACTGAATGGCAGCTGGAGGAAGACCATTTCCACGAGGTTCAAAGGAGGACAGAAGATCTTGTCGTCCGGAGCACGAACGTACTTAAGGATTTTGGCAGAGTACTGAGCCAGGTACTCGTCCGTGGCGTTCTCCACCACGTCTCCGTAAGCCTGGGAGTACAGAGCAATAAGGATGTTGAGCAACACCAGGACCACAATGAAGGTGTAGGCATAATAAAGGATAGCGCCGTACGGGTATGCGAATCTCTCGATTGCGCCGAAATCAGGGCCGCCCAGCACGGTCTGCACCATAGTGGTGGTGAGGAAACTGGTGAGTTCTCTTTTTCCGTCAGCCTGGTCCAAACCGATAAAAGCCTGCAGGAAACCGATCGTGATGATGAACAGCAGGAAGAAGAAGATGAACGACTCTCTGATCATTTTCTTGACAACCACAATCATTGTTCCGCAGAACTGCAGAACGTCCAGGTACAGGAGCAGCCGCGACCACATGAACGGAGCGGCCAGCGACAGCAGTCTGTACGAGATCACGTTGAACTGGTCACGTGTGTCGAGGGACTGGGAGCTGATAGCACCGATCCGCACCGACATGGACGCGATGACGATCATGTACAACGCGTCGTTGAAGGCGTTAGAGAACTGCACGTAGAAGTAGCCAACGTGGTACAGTTTGATGAGCTCGTCGATTGCAAAGCCCAGCGTGAACAGGTAGTACACCACCTCGACGGCTCCCAAATGGGCGGTGGTGGTGTCGGTGTTGATGATGTAGGTGTAAAGCACGAGATAGAGCACGGAAAACACAATTTCCAAGATGTTCTGGTAGAAAGGAGTCTTGATTCTGTCAGGATCAAAGTGCTTAAAGAAGTCCGTGTAGCTGGTTCCCTTAAAGAGCACGTAATTAGACGAGTCCGAGGACGACTGGACGATCCAGCCACGCCAGATCCACTTGAGACATCTCTGGTAGCCGCCCGAGGAGATGATGATAGTGGCATGGGTGTCGACAGCCAGTTCCAACGCGTTTTCCGGCTCCGTGTCCTCGTCGTGGAGGTTGATGGAGTACCTGTTGCAGAGCATCGAGATGAAGAGGTACTTTTCGTCCTGCTCGTTTTCAATGAGTATAGCTGCGAGTTTCTGCGCAGCAAGCATCCGCGTTGAGTAGAGCGTGTCGTCTGATAGCTCCTTGATACTCAGAGAGTAGTACCAGCCACTGACCTTCAGCAGACAGAACACCAAACAGGCCTGGTACCGTCTGGCGGAGGCGCCTTCGCCTCCTGCGGCGTCCAGCACGGCGCGGATGACCTTATCGGTCAGGACGATTGAGTCCAAACCGGTGATCTGTTCCTCTCTCAAGGGGATGGGAATCACGTTGTCAATTAGGTGTTTGAGGTTGATGGCTATGCGCAGCACCTGTCTAGGCGACGGAGGCAGGTAGTCACTGCACTCCTCGTCTTCGTAGAGGGGAAGAGCGACCGACATGGGACAAGTTGCAGTTAAGTTTTTTCCGGACTGGAATTTCACCTTGAGCTGACCGGATTGGAAACGTCAACTGTCAAAACCGACGCGACTGGAAAAAAAACATGGTTATTGTTATGTCGTTTGATTCTCTGCCGGCAGAGCTCAGGATTCAGGTCCAAGACGTGATTAACGCGTACCCGCCCGCCGAGGAGGTGTTCAGTGCCGTGCTGGACCATACGGCGGGGGCCAAGCGGCGCAAGATCGACGCCGACGCCGACAGTCTGCCCGCCTCTTTAGCCGGGTCGCACATCGTGTTACAGATCCCAGACCTCTCTGTCCAGTCGCCGATTCGCAAGAAGCTCAACATCGTGTTTGGTTGTTTTGCCGGCGAGCGCAAGGTGTTCCTCGCATTGACCAAGAACCTCGAGTCGCGGCCCGAGCTGCTCATCACAGACCTATCTGAGGCCAACATCCAGTTCGCCGTGGTGCTGGACGTGCCCGAGAAAAAACAGTTCAAAACGCTGCTCATCACATACGGCGCGAACCTCGGCCAGCTGTACAAGAACGACCCGATTCTGATCAATTTTAACAACGACGAGCTGAGCGAGCAGTTTGGCCCGTTGCTCGAGAAAACCGACCTGACCGGATTCCTGCAACAGCAGTTCAGCACGTTTGGGTTCAAGCTCGTGCGCGGTTTCGGCACAGACTGTTTCTTTGTGGACGCGTACAAGGGCTCGAAAGAAGGGTACTTGTACTTCCTGCCGAGCCACGTGATTTTCGGGTTCAAGAAACCGATCTTGATCTTTGACTCCACCAACATAGAATCCATCACGTACACATCGATCACGCGACTCACGTTCAATGTGACGCTGACGCTGCAGTCCAACTCCGAGCGCCACGAGTTCTCGATGATCGACCAGAAGGAGTTCGAGAAAATCGACCAGTACGTCAAGAGCAAGGAGCTGCGCGACCGGTCCATGACGGACGAGCTCAAGGCGCAGCGACAGCTGAAGAACAACGCGGACGGGCCGGGCGCGCTGGCGGAGGCGGCCAAGCTGGTTCCTGGCGGCAACCAGATTGTCGGCAAGGACGAGGACGACGAGGACGACGAGAACTACGAAAGTGGTAGCAGCTCCGAGGAGGACAGCTCTAGCGGGGAGGAGGAGGCAGAAGAGGAAGTCGAGGTGGACGATCTCCAAGCGGAGCTCAACAACTTGCAGGAGGACTACGAGGAGTTCGGGTATATCGACTTGGGCAACGAGAATGACCAGCAAAGCCCGCTTGGGTGATAAGTATTTAATGTACGTGCGAGTTTCCGGTACTGATAAAAAAATAATCTTGAATCATTTTTTACGCGCTAAACATAAACCGGGGGAAAAATAACTTTTTCTCGGTTCTCCCCCACTGGAGCAGGTAGGAAAAAGGGGGAAAATATTTAGGGATAGCGTATAACATAATAAAAACAATCCCTTCTATTATACCATGTTCTTTTCCCAAGGAGCAGAGTTTGAGTTCGAAGAGACGTTCATGGTGGTCAACGGTCACGACGTCTCTTTGCCAACGTTTTTGTCATATATCCTCGACTGGGTGTTCTACGTTGTGATCCTGTTGAGCGCAATCTTTTATGGTGTTTTTGGAACGCCCAGAACAAGCGACTTTGATGTTAGAGACACCTCCATCATGCACATGTATGTCCAGGAGTCCAAGACCATGGTGCCCATTTGGCTGCTGATTGTGGTGGCCGTGGTGGTGCCCATCATCGTTGTTGTTTTGGCCGGTATCCTGGTCACACGCCTGCCTCCAGCAAGAAGAGTGTGGGATATCCATTGCGCACTGCTGGCGCTTTTGGGTGCTTGCTCGTTCCAGTTGTTCACTGTGGTGATTCTGAAAAATGTGTCTGCCCTTCCTAGACCGGACTTCCTCACGAGATGCGTTCCCTTTACCTTTGCTAACCAGCAGCTCGGTTCGTTGAGCACAATTGGTATTTGTGCCAATCCGTCACACAGATTGATTTTTGAAGGTCTGAGAAGCTTCCCCAGCGGCCATGCATCCACAATTGCAACCACGTCCACGGTGCAGCTGCTGTTCAGTGCCGGAAAACTGAACCTGTTTGACGGGAGAGGACTTTCCTGCAAGGCCATCATCACGGTGATGTATCCAATTATAATCACCGCAACTGTCAGTTTCTCGAGGATCTCGGACAACAGACATTTTGTGAGAGATGTTGTTGCCGGTGTGTTTCTAGGAACGCTCTACGGAACGCTCTTCTACACAATTTACTTCCCATTTCCTTTCATCAAGGAGAATTTGGGAAGAGCGTACTTGCCACGTAGATTTGGTGTCAATGATCTCTTCAACGGCGTGGGTGGGTTTTGGAAAATCCCTGACGTTCCTGGTGCTCCAACAGACAGAACAGAGGTGCCTGGCTACTACGAGGACTCTCACCAAAAAGACCAGGCTCCAGCCACAGGAACATCTCCCGGCGAGCAGAAACCCCCACCAACAAGACTAAGTTTGCAAACAACAAAAACAGCAACCAAACCAAGAGACCTGACCCAGTCGTCGCGGAGATAAGCCAATGCACCGTTTATTATTTGCCTATACAGAAGTTGGCAAAGATGGATCCCAAGATCTCCTCGACGCCAATTGCTTCACCCGTGATTTTTCCAATACCATCCATGCTTATTTTCAATGCCTCTGCCGCTAGAACAACGTCGTTCTTGTGTGCCTGAGAATAGAACTCGTCGAACCCGAAAAGCAGGTCGTTTTCTATAATGTTTTGGATCCGCTTCGAAACGTATATGGGGTCTTCCTGAGTCCATGTTTCCAATTTCTGCGAAATACAGCTCAACAGTTGCTCAATTCCCTCTTTTGTGCGGCAGCTGATTAATTGTGTTTCCTTGATGCCAAAATCTGTTTTGAACTTATTCACCAAGTTCCCAATATCCCGCTGATTTAGCAGATCACTTTTGTTGAAGATGACAATCAGATTGTCCTTATTACATTGCTCCAGATAGTTTTCCATCTCCTGCTCCAATTGCAACGAGGTGCACGGAAGAAGAACCAGGTTCAAATCTGCTTCCGAGACTTTCATCTTGGCTCTTTTGATTCCCTCTTTCTCAATGATGTTGTCTGTGTCTCTGATTCCAGCCGTGTCTCCAATAATGACTTTGTATCCGTTGATGTCCAGGGGGACCTCGATGGAGTCCCGTGTTGTTCCCTCGATCTCGCTCACGATCGCACGGTCCTCATTTGCTATGATGTTCAATAACGACGATTTGCCTGCATTTGGAGGCCCGGTGAGAGTGATCTTGAACCCGTCCAGCAAGATCTGGGACCGTTTGACGTTGTCCAGATACGTTCTGACCTCTGTTTCCAGCTGCTTTATATCCGATTCCGCACGGTCAAAAAGTTCACCGATTTCGTCAATGTCATGCTCCTCGCCAAAATCGATCAATGTGGTTATCAAAGCATAATTATCCAGAATCTTGTGTCGCCACGAATGGAACAATTGCTTGGTCTCTCCCTTCATTGATGCGAGAGAGGACAATCTCTGTCTTTCTGTTTCTGCGTGGATCAGGTCATTAATCCCTTCGACCTGAGTGAGATCCATTTTTCCATTCTGGAACGCTTTCCTTGAGAATTCTCCTGGCTCGGCAGGTCGTATTGGTTGCTCAGGAGTGTGCAGTTGTTCGATGCTTTCGAGAATACACTTGACCACTGCTGTTCCTCCGTGGAGATGCAACTCGAGCATATCTTCGCCCGTATAGGAGTGGGGGGAGTTGAAGTACAGTACAAGGGCCTGGTCAATCAAAACTTTTGACCGGGGATGGTACAATTTGGTCAAGGCAGCTTTTCGAGGTTGAGGAACCGATTTTGATGTGAGCGACTTGTGGACGAACGAGGAAGCTGGGCCGGTAACCCTGACGACAGCGATAGCAGAGCGCGCCGGATACGTCGACAGGGCGTACACTGTGGGCAAAAAGGGTACGGTGGAGGACCAGCGACGAAACAGCATTTGGTTAGACAAGATATTATTGAGGGTGAATTATTTAGGGGCCATCTCTAAACACACCTGGAACCACCGCGGGCTATGAAATTTGGATAGCTGGGAGGACAGACACGGGATTTTGGAGACGGGCAACGAATGAATGAGCGAAATGGTAAGCATGAATGGTACAATAGCAAAAAAGGAGCGAAATGGTCTGAGCGAGATAAGGAGCGATTAGGCGTGAGACCGGGAAATTAGGTGATGGTGCAACAGGTGGAGTCGGAGGACTCTTTGAGCAGGAGGCTTGCGCGTGTGGCGATTTCAAACACATCGTCGACGGCCTCTCCAGTCAATGAAGAGCATTCGACGTACTTGCGCGCGCCAATGAGACGGGCAACCTGTTCTGCTTTTTCTTTTCTGACAAACTTTTGATCATAGTACTTGTCAGAGCCGTCATCCTCGGGACGAAGGTCTTTCTTGAGGCCGACGAGTATGAGTGGCGCGTCAGGACAGTACGACTTGACTTCCTGGGCCCACTTCATGCCTGCATTATCGAGAGAGTCTGGAGCGTTGAGAGCAAAGCCAATTAGGATGATATGGGCTTTCGAGTACGACAGTGGTCGCAATCTCTCGTACTCTTCCTGGCCGGCTGTGTCCCACAACGCCAATCGCACCGGTTTCCCGTCCACTCTGCAGTCTGTGGCATAGTTCTCAAACACTGTTGGGTGGTATTCTGTCGGAAACTCGCCCAAAGTGAACACGTACAGCAAAGAGGTCTTCCCACACGCGCCGTCTCCGACAATGACGATTTTCCGCTTGATAACGTTTTGTGACATACGGCTAGTGACGTTTCAAAATCTCGTCCATAAAAATAGACATCAAATTTGGAAAAAATTTATTCTAGTTGCAAGGGTTCAATCTCAGGGGCTAGAACTACCGAAATTTCTGGGAATGCACATATTTGCCTATTTACGCGCCTAAAAGCCAATGTTCCACGTGCTGGCGCCGAGGCCGGTGGGGACAGTGGTGAGCTTGATTAGTGCTGGGGACGCCAGCTCGTCGTAGATGACCTCGAACGCAAATCCCAGCTTCGAGCTCAGCTTCGCGCCCAGGCTGCTGACAAACTGGTCCATTGTCAGGTCCAATCCGTATGCGGCCAGCATGGCCTGGCGCGTGTAGTGGTGTAGCAGCGACGCTGGGTAGCACTGGTTGTTGGCCACCATCGTGCCGGTGGCCTTGAGGGCCTCCAGTTGCACCGCCTCGATCTGGGCAGGGGTGAGTTGAACCGCTGCCGGCTTGGACCAGATGGAGGACGACCCCCAGATGGACTTTTGCGGCGTGGGTGGGTCCCAGATGGATCCCGAGAGCGACGGGAATGGCTGTTTGAAGCTGGTGATTGGGTCTGGGAACAGGTCCAGCGACGGCAGTGGGGGCAGGCTCAGGTCGGGCAAGCTTGGTGCGGGTTGCTGCGACGAGGCAGACACGGGCAGCGGGTCTGTGAACGGTTCTGAAACCGGTTTCTCCACCGGGATGTTGAGTTTCGAGAGCAGATCGCTCAGCTGGGCAGCCGAGTACTGCAATGGCGTCTCGGCAGCAAGCTCCGGCTCGGCAGAAACAGCCTTAGGAGCTTCCACCTGTTTTGGCTCCTCCTTGCGCTCCTCCTGGGCCTGCTCCTTCAGCTTCTCCCTGCGCTTGTCCTCCTCTCTGCGGAGCCGTTCCTCCTTCTTGCGCTGTTTCTCCTCCTCCTTCCTGCGCTGCTCCTCCTCGCGCCGCCGCCGCTCTTCCTCCTTGCGCTTGCGGCCCTCCTCGGTCTTTCGCCGCATCTCTTCCTGGTGTATGCGCTCCTGTTCCAGTTTGTCTTCTTCTCGTTTGCGGCGCTCCTCCTCCTTGGCGAGCTGCTGGAGCCGTTTCTTCTCCTTGAGCTTTTCCTTCTTGCGCTTCTCCTTCTCCTCCTTCTCCTTCTTGCGACGCTCCTCGGCCTCCAGTTCGGCAATCAGCTGCTTTGTGCTGTCCTCGGCAACTTTCTCCTTGTACGCGGCAAACAGTCTTGCACTGATCACCTTGGCAATCACCACTTGCAGATACCGGTACGCGTTGTGCAGCTGTTTGCGTTCTCGCTCGCTCTCGGCCTCGTCGTCGTCGTCATCATCTCCCTCGTCGTCTTCTTCTTCTACCTCCTCCTCCTCCTCCTCGGGTCGTGCCCCCCGCTCCTCGTCCAGCTGCTCCACCAGATCGATGAACGAGTTTGCATTGTTGTTCAGAATGTCCTCGGCCACCCGGTCGATGTCTGCGACGCTCACCTTGTCCGGCTTGGGCTCGTCCAGCCCCAGCATCTCGTGCACCAGCGCGGTGTTCAGCCCCAGATCCTCGTTCGTGGTGAGATACATCGCGTGGTACATCTTCTCCAGGTCGCGCTCGAACGCCAGCTTCGGCTCCGTGCAACCCTGGCAGTTGCACCCGGGCGGGTTCTGGTGCACTATCTTGTAGATCTCGTCGTACCCCACCGTCAGCAGCTCGCGCCGTTTTTTCTCGCCCAGCCCCAGCCAGAACTGCTTCACCTGCTCCCGGTCGTCCACCGACGGCAGCGTGTTGTTCCAGTACACCTCCTTGTGCGGGCCCGCGTGCTGGTGATGCAGACACTCGTCGTAGTCCTCGTCGTAGTCCTCAAAGTGCTCCGAGCAATCGTCGTGGTCGCACGAATGGCAGTACCCCTCGTCGCTGTGCTCCGAATGGCTGTGGCTGTCCAGCTCGTCCGCCTCGCTCAGCTCGCTCACAACAACGTCGCCGTTCTCGCCAATCTTGATGACCCTCGACTCCGGATACTCGTCCTGGTCGTTGTTGAGCTGCACCTGGACCTTCATCTTGGTGCTCTGGACGGGCTTCGCCGGCGGCTTCATTCGTACCGTGTGCCCTCCGTAGTCAAAGTGCACGTCCTCGCCGGCAATATAACTCATGCTTTACAAGGAATGCTAAATAGGACACAATTTTTCATGGCCGGGTAAACATACTGTCTGGAGTTTAGATACAAACTATTTACCATCCTCCGCGGCCACCGGGACCTCCTTGCCCGCCAGGGCCGCCGAACCCGCCTGGTCCTCCTTGGCCGCCTGGTCCACCAAACCCACCAGGTCCTCCCTGGCCTCCAAATCCTCCTGGTCCACCAGGGCCACCAAAGCCACCCTGTTGGCCATATCCGCCTCTTTGCTCACCGTAGCCTCCTGGTCCGCCCTGTGGACCACCGAATCCGCCCTGTTGGCCGCCGAAGCCGCCCTGCTGGCCAAATCCACCCTCGTGGCGGCCGCCGTGTCTTCCCTCGCCGCCAAATCCGCCCTGCTGGCCGTGGTGACGACCCTCCTCGTAGTTCTCAAACTTGTCCTCAATCTTGTTGGCAGTGAAGGCGCCCATCAGACCACCGGCAATGCCTCCGAGCGTGGAGTGCTGGCCAGAAATCTTGGACCCTCCGTACGCACCAGCAGCGCCACCAACGACGGTGGAGAGCAGGCCTCTCTCGCCGTCAGCGCCAACCTGCTGTTGCTGGCCCTGTTGCTGTTGTGGTTGTTGGTAGGTGCCCTGTTGGCCCGAAGAGTAGAAATCGTTAGCAGACATGTTGATAGATCAATGGACACAGTGGGGGCACGCAGGCGTATTTATACACTGGTCAGGATTCCCCGGGTGAAACAGATCGGGTTACCCTTTTGGGCTGCGCCTGCGTGTTCCACAAGCGACGCACACAAAAATAGCCCCTAAGGCGCAGCAAATGCCGAAAGGAGTCCGCTATGCGCACAAAACTCCAGCGCGCACAGATATTCTCGTTCCAGGTTCCTTGGCCCAGTTGGTTAAGGCATCGTGCTAATAACGCGGGGATCAGCAGTTCGATCCTGCTAGGAACCATTTTTTTGTCACCCAGCTCGACCTTTTTTTGAGTCGCTCACTACCCGGCCCTCACCCCCTTCTGCCTGCTCCCTGATAGTCTTAATGAACATTTAGTACTACATAGCTAACTTTTCACTGCTGACCCTCGTGCTCAGCCCACTCAGCCTCGGCCTCCTCGGCCTGGTTCTCCTCGTACACGTCGTCGACGGTCTGGTGGAGAGAAAGAGCTGGCTCCTTGACGTACGAGTTGTCCAGAGTCCACGAAGCAAGAGCGTTCTCGGCATCAATGATGATCTGCTTGGAAGCCTCGTAGCCGTCGTAGGCTGGTCTGGTCTCACCTGGAGTCACTGGAGAGTCGTCCAACAGCTCCAACAGAGCCTTACCGTAACCGGCAATCAAAGCGAGCTTCTCGGAGAGCTCTCTGAGAGCGTCAAACTGGTAAAGGAAAGAGGCCTTCAACTTCTCTCTGGTGATGTTGGACAGCTGGGCCTCGGCAACCAAGGACTCGGCCTCGGCTCTGACCAGCTCCTGCTCCAGAACTGGGATCTTTGGAGACTGTGGGTCCTTGTACTTGAGGTGTGCGATCTCGTCGGTGATCTTCTGTTTCCGGTCTCTGGATGGTTGGACAGAAGCCTCGATGTTTCTGATACTCTTGAGAGTGATTCTGTACAAGTCGTACTTGTCGATGAACTGGTCCTCCAACTCACCGATCTCGTAGATTAAGACACCGAGCTTGTCGGTCACGTCCGACACGTCGTCGTCGTTTTCCTCACCCCAAAGAGAAAGTTGCTTGGCAACAACTCTTCTCTCTCTGGCAACGAGCTCGACGCTTCTCTCAAAGTTCTTCTCAATCTTGATCAATTGAGAAAGCTTCTTGGAAAGCTCTGGGCCGAACGAGCCAGCAGCAGACTTTCTGATGGAGGAAGCAATGGAGGTGGAACCAAAAAATTTACCTCTGTGAAATGTTAGTATACCAACGCGAAGCAACTTACTTGGTGGTGGATGGTGGGGGTGGCGGAGTGGCCAATTGAGAAGCGGTTGGGGCTCTCGATGATCTCAAGGAATAAGTTCTGTGCATCTTTGGTGAATAAACCTTTGGGAAGAAAACGCTTTATCAACTCTAGCAATAAAGCCAAATTTCAGGTGCTTGATTTCCAGATACAACCAAATAGTTCCTAATTGGGTCAAAAGTGCGCAACACCATTGCTGTGGCAACATCCCAAAAAAATCGTTCTTTTTCGGGAATATTGTGGCTTCCCTATTCGGAAATATGTTTCTGCTTGCGTCAGCGCTGACGTCACCCACCAACCAGGGTTTCTGGGCTCTTTCGCGTTCACACCTTGACCCGCTTGTTACTCAGGTCCTCGCCAGAACCAAGTTCTCTCTTGACAGTGTACGCAATGTGCGCTTTTTCCAGAATCCGCTCGTAGTCCTCTCTGAGCCGCTCGTACGCCGTTTGCAGCTTGTCCATCCGGTCTGCCTTTTCCAGCTCCACTAACGCGTCTCTGTTTTTGATGTACAGCCGCTTCTTGATCTGGAGCCGGACGTTCTTCTCGCTCAGATTCGGCACACCGCTCTTCTTGTTCAACAGCAGCCATATCAGCGCCATCTCCAAACACCGCTCAAACTGTCTGCGGTCCATTTTCTGGGCCTCCACCTGTTTCTGGAGCCATTCGTCCTTCACCGGCAACTCGAGTCCCTGCAAGAAGTTTGCGCTTGTCAGACGTTGCAAATCGCACCGGTCACGTAGATCATCAAACGCTTCGCTAGGGTCCTCCACCGTGATCTCCTTCACCTTGTCGTCCTGGAGCCACTCGTCTACAATCGTGTTGTACAAGTGTTTGCCGTGACCTTTGGACTGGTACGGAGGCAGAATCACAAACTGGCTGATTTTCTTGCGGAATTGCAACTCCAGCGTCTCGGACGCGTCATGAACGGCCGTTCCCGGATGCTTCCAGTGCGCGTATGCCGTGCTGAACCCAACAAACGACTCCTTGCCGTTCTTTGGCGTCTTGTAGATGGCGTAAATTTCCCAAACCTTGTCGGTAGAGTCGATGTAGCTACCGGCCTCAATGAACAGCAGAACAAAGATCTGGATCCGCAGGTGCAGTTTGAGCCCGTTAGCGTCTTCCAGATTGAACTTGTACACGCTGAACGTGTCGGAATCGACCGAGTAAGTGTGGATCACCTTGCCTGGGATTTCGAAATTTTCCTGGTCAACCTTGTCGAGCCACAAAGCTTCGTCTTTCACCACTGTTTCGGTCGGCAGGTACTCCAGCAGAATCTTCTGCACGTCCTTCACATCTTCCGAAAGCTTGGACTCGTACTTGACGCCCAAAAACGGGTACATTGACTTGGAATCAAACGCAAGATCGATTCGTAACCCTTTGTAGCCAAAGATCTGTTCCGAGTCGCCAAAGATTGGGTACGTGAACGTGGGATTGAACGTAAAGGCTCCCTCCGGCTCGGCCAGGGAAACGTGTAACACCTCGTTCGAGGAGCTTGTCCAGCTGGTTGGCTCGTAATCTGGCACCGACATAGCAATATCGTGAATAATAATATTTCAATTTTTTTCTCGCATCAAACCTGTGCAACGATGTTAATATTAGCAGGTTGGAGCAGTTCCCATTTGGAGCGCCCGTTGAATCCAATTGGCTCGAGATAGACAATGTTTTGCGAGCAAAGCTCGAGCAATAGACTGAACTGCTCGGCCGCGCTCGACCGCGTGCTGGTAGCCGTGATCACGTCAAAACCGATCTGCACCAGATCAGACCGGTCCGTCGCGTCGACGCTTTTCCCGGCAGTTTGACACCGGTCCACCAGCGACGTGTAGTAAACCTGCGCCTGCAACGGGTCCTTCTTGGCCTCGGTCTCGTCGAAACTGATATCCAGCAGCGCGTCGTCGCCCTCCCACGCGACCTCACTCAGCTCGTTGATTGGCTCTGAAAACCGGATCTGTGCTGACGAGATACTCTCTCTGCGCGAGGACTCGCCCGACGCGGCACGACGGACCTCCTCGATCGACGAGACGCTCGACGCACGACTGTACCGCGCCGACTCGACAGCCGTCTGCGGATTAAGAACAAACCGCATAAATGGGGGCAGTTTGGCCAGCTCTGTGTCCACCATCTGCAAAAACGAAGACTCTCCGTCAGTCTGCTCCAGCTGCATGTTCTCACGGTACCTTTCCGCGTCTTCTTTTTGTTTAGCGGTGGAAATCGAGATCTCCGCGTCCACAACAATCCGACGCAGCTTCAGCTTACCCGTGTCTGGCCTCACCCGTTTTGGCGGAGTCAGGTCCACCACGGGGATTTCCTCTGGCGCCATCTCCGGGACCAGCGACCGATCTGCCTGGTCGTCCTCCCCGAGATCGAAATCAAGGTCCACGTCCAGCACGTCGCCAACAGCATTCCCGTCCTGGTCAAACGAAAACTCCAGCTGCCCCAAACTCTGGCCCATGAGCTCGTCTTCGGGCTGTGCAAACGAACCGCGACTCACTGCTGTGGTGGCCGTGTGCGCAGAGTCGCGCGAGAACACCGCGCTTGTCGCGTCCGACACAGACGAGTCCGCCAGCAGCGTCATTTCCCGGTCAAACTGCCGGATCTGGTGCTGGTGGCTCGACTCCAACGTGTCGTCGATCTCGTCCAGAGTCAGCAATCCCACGTCGATGTTGAAGTTCGGGTCGTCTCTCAACACGTTCAGGTCTCTCTGTCTGTACGCCATTTGGTACGATTGGCCCAATTGCGCCAAATTGCCCGCGTCCGCAGCGGCAACGTGCCGGGCTATTTGGGTCTTGAAAGTTTGTGCTTCCCCTTTTTCGTTAGTCCTCTCCCAAAATATACCTACTGAACGAATACTCTGTCTTTTGCCGGTACGCGAGCGTGACACCGTACAGCAGACTGGACGACTGCCGCAGCGAGATGTCCAGCGCCGGACTGGCGATCGACTCGCACGCGTGGGGGATCGAGATCTGCTCGATGCGTTTGCGAGAGAGTCGCGAATGGGAGCTGCGCGAGCCCAAAGTGGCCAGAAGCCTGCGGTTAGTGCCGGGGGAAAGCGTCTACGTACCAAATGGTGGCCATTCCGTCGCTGAAATCCAGAGAAAGCATCGGTCAATTAAAAAGGATACGTCTTTATACAGGGCAACTTTGCGGGTCGGGATCCTTCCCACGTATGGGCAAGCACACCTCACACCAGCACCACGGCGAGGGAGCCGGCAACGGTGAGAACGATGCTGACGAACGCCATGAGCGTGAGAGTAGTCTTGTGGAAGGACGAGAGCTCGTGTCCGTACAGTTTGAGGTAGAACGCGAGCGGGAGAGTGATGCAGACGGTGAAACAGATGGCCGAGCCCAGCAGCGACATGATCTTGCCGAAATTCGTGATGAGCAGAGACGACACCAGCAGCACAATGCTGAGCGCGACGCGTGCCACGAACGGGGGCATGAACGAGTTCGCGGCAGAGAGAATTGGGCGGCACACAAGCGGCAGTTTCGACAGCGGGAGAATTCCCATGAGAACCACAATGGTGCTGGTGATCCAGGCCGGGTACGTGTCGTTGAGCAGGATGTTTTTGGTGACTTCGTCCTGGACGAGCTGGCCAAACATCAGGAACCCAACGACCCCGGTGATCAGGTCCAAAGAGTAACTGAACGAGAAAGCCACCGTCATGCATCGGTCGTATTTCTCTGGGTGTCTTTGGTCGGTGTACACTTCTGGGAACGCGGCATGGCCACCCCATGGAGCCAGAAACAGTCCCAAACTGAAACAGAGGTCCAGGAACGACGTGGGCCAGAAGTTTGTTGGTGCAGGCGGGAACAACGATCCTGGTTGCGACTTGGTGGCCAGTCCTGCTGTTAGCAGAATAGCAAATGTGGACGTTGTGCAGACGATTCCGGCGAAACTGAGCACGGAGAGTATTCGGAGCGGCAAAGCGTTCAACACCAGCAAAATGAACGCCAAGACGATTTTGAAGGTGGTTGCGGAAACGTCCTGGAAAATTGCATTAAAAGAGTCGGCAAACAAGATCACCATAGTGACGTTTGCTCCATAAAGGTCCAATGCGAAAACCGCAAACACAAACAGACTGGCTTTGTTGCCAAAGGCTTTCTTTGCTATCGAATGGTAGGTCCGGAGCTCTTTATCGTGAGACTGGATTCTTCCCAGTAGTATTGCTGTGTATCTTGTAGTGAAAGCTGCCAATGACAGGATGGTGATTCCGAAGAACCACCCAGAAAGTCTGAATCCAAGCGGGACAGACAAAATGCCGAGCCCGATCAGAACGTTGATTGCGTTGAAGGTTGTTTGTACTGGAGTTGACTTTAAACAGACGACTATCTCTGAAGCGTCGTCCTTTACTGGTGCAAGCAGCGGGGTCTGGTCATCCATGGGTGGTATCTGGTACGTTGGTGTTGTTCTGGGCACAACGTACTCTCCGTCTATGGTGGCCTTGGACCCTGCAGACGTTGACAGGTAGTTGACAGACCGTCTTAGGGAGGAAGCAAAGTTGTTGATGGAGTTTTCTCCGCCCATATCCAGGAGCGAGCTGCGTCGCGACCCGTGGTACACCAACACGTCCGGGGACGTTCCCGTGGGGCTCTGATGGGGGCTTTCGACGGCCGACATAGGAAGAAGCACTAAACAAGGGAAAATTAGGAGAAAAAAAATTACCACTTATTATTCTTTGGACAATAAGATGGGTCCACGAATTCAGCGGGTATTTGCTCGATGGAAATCGTCGTACTCCGCGACGATCCGGCTCCCGCAGACCGACTTTCCTGGACGCACCAACCAGCAGCTCGTTCAGTCGGTGTTGATTCCGCAGATCACCAAGGACCTGTACCGGTGGAACAAGGAGCGAGAGGTTCCCCCGTTGGAGGACGTTTTCATTCTTCATGACGGGCCTCCGTATGCCAATGGCGATCTTCACATTGGACATGCGCTCAACAAGGTTCTCAAGGACATCATTGTGCGGTACGAGCTGCTGAACGGGAAGTATGTCCATTATCGTCCTGGCTGGGACTGTCATGGACTACCGATCGAGCTGAAGGCCCTGGAACAGATCGCGAGTCGCAACAAGGCCCGCAAGAAGGAGATCAAGAAACTGCTGAAACAGGGCCCCGACGAGAGTCTGAAGGCGGAGCTGGAGCAGCTGGACTCGAAGCTTAAACCGCTCGAGATCATTGGTCTTTGCAAAGAGCACGCTTTAAAAACGCAGAAGTCGCAGTCGCAGCAGTTTGAGAAAATGGGCATTATGGGCGACTTTGACGAGCCGTATTTGACGCTCGATAAGCAGTTTGTGGCTCGTCAGTTGAAGGTGTTCAAACGACTGTTTGACAATAACCTGATCAAGAGACAGGACAAACCTGTTTACTGGGGATGTGAGAACGCAACGGCTCTGGCCGAGGGAGAGCTCGAGTACAACCCGCAGCATCGGTCCACCGCCGCGTACGTCAAATTCCCCGTTGTTGGACAGGACGTGTCGTTGTTGATCTGGACCTCGACCCCGTGGACGCTGGCCTCCAATAGAGCCATCTCTGTCAACGAGAACATGGAGTACACCATTATAGAGTCCAGGGGGGATAAGTTGGTCGTTGGACGAAACCTTGTTGAGTCCCTGCGCAAGATCGACCCGGACCTCAAGGAAACAGACGTTGTGCTACCTGGAGCTACACTTTTGGAATACCAATACAAAAACCCATTATATTCGGGCAGCTCTGTCGATGTGGCGTTTCCTGTTTTGCACGGCGACCACGTTACGGACACGGCCGGTACCGGGCTTGTGCACACGGCACCGGGCCATGGTCAGGACGATTACTTCCTCTGTCTTAGCCACAACATTCTGCCGTACTCTCCGGTCAACGAGTACGGTAAGTACACCGCAGAGCTTCCCGACAACGATCTACAGGAGTTTGTTGGTCTGCGTGTTCTGGGCGAAGGAACAGACAAAATGCTTGCCAAACTGGACAGTCTAAGCATGTGCTACCACGTTGACGGGAACTACATCCATTCGTATCCGTACGACTGGCGGTCGAAAAAACCGATCATTATCCGGTCGACCCCGCAATGGTTTATTGACGTGGCCAAGATCAAGGCCACCACGACGGGTCTGCTCGAGACACAGACGGAGTTTGTGCCGTCCAAGGGCTCGAAACGGCTGATTTCGTTTATCCACCACCGCAATGAGTGGTGCATTTCGCGGCAGCGCAGCTGGGGCGTTCCAATCCCCGTGGTGTACCACAAGACGACGGGCGAGCCGCTGATCAACGATCTGGTGATCGACCGCATTTCCGAGGTGATTGCCAACGAGGACGTGGAGAGCTGGTTTACTGGGGGCTCGATGGCCAAGTGGATTCCGGCCGAGTGCGGCGTGGACGCGGAAGACTACGTGTGCGGCACTGACACCATGGACGTGTGGTTCGACTCGGGCACCAGCTGGACGCTCGTGGAGCAGTTTCTGGACTCGCACGGCTTGCTACCAGACGCGACTGCACGTGGGTATCTTGCAGACGTGTATCTCGAAGGGTCTGACCAGCACCGCGGATGGTTCCAGTCGAGCGTGCTGACCAAGATCGGCGGCACTGCTGCCCACGAACGGCCCGTCATGCCGTACAGCAAGATCATCACCCACGGGTTCACTCTGGACGAGCAGGGCGACAAGATGTCCAAATCTCTTGGCAACACGATCGTTCCGGGCGACATCATTGCGGGCAACAAGCAGAAACAGGTGCCTTCTCTGGGGATCGACGGACTGCGGCTGTGGGTGTCGCAGGCGGACTACTCGTCGGACATTGCAGTGGGGCCTGTTATTTTGAACCGGGTGGCCGATATCGTGAAGAAACTGCGGTTCACGTTCCGGTTTCTACTGGGCAACATCAGCGACCTTGAGCAGTCCGTCTCGTACGCCCAGCTCGACGCCATGGACCGCTACATTCTGTCCAAGCTGCACACGTTTGAGCGCAACACCCGACACCACTACAAAACACACAACTACTCCAAGGTGGTCAAGGACATGAACCAGCTGGTCAATTCGGACCTGTCGTCGCTGTACTTTGACATCCGCAAGGACTGTCTTTACACGGACGCGGCAGACTGTTTGAAGCGGCGCAGCACGCAGACGGTGTTTGTGGAGATTCTGCGTGTGTTGACGAGTGTTCTGAGTCCGATTGTTCCTGTGATGATCCAGGAGGTGTGGAACCACGCTCCTGAGCTGGTGACTCGGTCTACCGAGTCGCCGTTCCGGGCGGGCTGGTACGCTGTGCCGGACGAGTACAAAGACACGGCTCTGGAGCACGAGATGGAGCAGCTGGTCAAGTTCAGCCACCAGATCAAAACCAGCATCGACAAGGCTCTGCGTTCGTCGGAGTCCATGAAGATGGCCGCCGAGGCGTGTGTCACGGTGCAATTGGACCCGGCCTCCGAGCAGTACGGTGTTCTGGCCAAATACGAGCCGTTCATGACAGAATACTTGATGGTCTCGCAATTCACGCTGCAACCTGCTCCCGGCCACAAGACCGCCATCGATGTGGCCAGAACAGCCCTGCACAAATGTCCGCGGTGTTGGCGGTTTGTGGTGGACCACCAAGACGCGCTGTGCAACAGATGCACCGCCGTGGTGGCATGTAGATAGAAAAAAAATCAATTAAATATTTTCCACTTATTTTTCATGTCGCTCCAGGCAAAGTACGACAACTTCCAGCAGACCATCGAGTCGCTCAACACGAAGATCGTCCAGCTGCACGCGCAGGCCGACGAGCACGCGGTCGTGCTGGAGACGCTGAAGGAGGTGCCTGCGGAACGCCGGTGCTACCGCATGATTGGCGGGTCGCTTGTGGAGCTGCGTGCGGGCGAGGCGTCGAAAGTGCTGGCCGAAAACCTACAGGGCATGAAGAGCACGACTGAGAAGCTCACCGAGGAGCTTAAGACGCAGCAGAAACAGTTTCTGGACTGGAAGGAGAAAAATAACATCAAAATAGTCAAGGCTAATTAATGAGACGTGTTTATACAGTGTGCTTTTGGAGACTCATTCTGTCTTTTCCTTGTCGAAGTGCTTGTTGCCCGAGAACACAAACAGAACCACGAACGCAAACCACCCAATGACCACGGCCAGAGCACTGCTCAGGTACACCCACGAGTTGGTGATCTCCCAGGACCGCGGGTACTCGTCGTTCGCGAGGTGTCTCACGGGCACCGTGGTGGACTCGTCCACGAAACTGTACCCGTCGCGCTGGTAGAGCACTTTGTAGGTGAACATGCCGTGGCGGTCTGGAATCTGGAACGTGGTGGAGTAGATCTGCGACGAGTTCTCCTCGCGAGTAGGGACCAGGTTCAGTCTGTAGTATGGGTCGAGCATGACGTACTCGAGCTGCACGTCTGTGCGGTTCTTGAACGGCACCCATTGGTCGCCGTTCCAGTGCGAAAGCCCGATCTCGTAAGTGGTTGTGTCTTTGATCTTGTAGCCGGCGTCGCCGTTCTCGTTGTAATGCTTGGTGGAGGTGGCCTTGATCAGGCCGGAGATCTGGAACGTCCAGTTCACGAGCGCGTCCACAACCTCCTCGTTGAACGAGGCGTCGTGGAAACTGGCGCTCGAGCCCGTCCAGAACACACGGGCGTTGTTCAGTCCTTGGAACCCGACAAACAAGAACCCTTGCGACCCTGAGTGCCACGTGGAGTCTGTGCTCAGACGGCCCTCGTCCACGTTCACCGTGTACGACGTGCGAGGCGCGCGAACCACCGGCACCAGCAGCTCGCTGTTGGACAGCAAAGCCACCGACCCGTCGGTGTACGAGATGGACTTTGCCGACGGCAGCACCACGGTGTTCTGCACCTCGGGGTCGTCAAGTGTTTCTCCGTTGTGATAGTCTTTATATTTGTACTCTTTTGGACTTGGGAAAATGCCCAATTCGTTCAGGAACAAAGCAACGTCGGTTTGGATGCCCTTGTTGTCGGAGATCACAAACACATCTCCGCCGTCCTGGACAAACTGGAGCAGCGTCTCTGTTGGGACGAGGTCTCTGGACGTGGTTGGCAGCACCAGAATGTTCTGGTACCGTCTGAATCCGTTGGTGAACAAATCTGGCGACGGGGAGTCTGGACCCACCAGGCCCAGCTCCAGGTCGAAGTTTTTGCTCTCCAGCGTCTGGAAAAGCTTGGAATACTGCGTGGTGAACTCGGGCAGTCGCGAATCGTACAGCACGAGCGTCCTGCTGTCTGCCAACGCCGACGAGACGGCCAATGCCAATGGGGTCAGAAGAAACAAGAGAAAAAACATGAACAAAAAAAAACGTGTTCGCGGTTTATGACTTTAGAGAAGGAGGAGTTTGCTGAGGCGTACAGACGTTTGAACGAGGCCGAGGCCGCAGCTACGGTAAGTGGCAGGTTACAATTGGACTAACGCGTGTCAGCACCTGGAGAAGATGTTGGACGAGATCGAGAGCAGAATGGAGGAGTTGGAAAAGAGTGGCAACAACACAACAGAAACCGTTGAGGAGCCGGTTTCTAATGCCAATGAAGTGCCCCAGCCACAAGAGAACGAAAAACAGCCCGCTGCTGAGTGATTGATAACCCGGTTATTTGTATTTCTCGGACATAATAATTTTATTCATTATTTTATAACTACGTGTCATGCCGATCGAAGCGTACAACGACAAAGTGGTGCTTGTGTCGCCAGAAAACCCAGACACCAAGGTGTCGGTGCTGCTGTACGGAGCCACCGTCACTTCCTGGACCATCGAGGGCAAGCAGCAGCTGTGGCTTTCGTCGGCCGCAAAGTTGGACGGCACAAAGCCGGTCAGAGGAGGTATCCCGCTTGTTTTCCCTGTTTTCGGTAAAAGCAAAGCAGACGGGTTCGCAGACCTGCCTCAGCACGGTTTTGCAAGAAACTCCACCTGGGAGTTTCTGGGCCAGACCAAGGAAAACCCGCCAACTGCCCAGTTTGCTCTCAGTCCAGAACAGGCCAACAAAGACTTCTATTCCAAGTGGGACAACGGAACAAACGATTTCACCCTGTTGCTCACTATCCAATTGAGCCCAGACAGCCTCACCACGACCATTGAGGTCTCCAACACAGACTCCAAGTCGTGGAAGTTCAACTGGCTCTTCCACACGTACCTGGCCGTCAACGACATCGACGACACTCTTGTCAACAATCTGCCGGGCGAGACGTGCTATGACCAGCTGCTCGCCGAAACGTACGAGGAAAAGGCTCCGGCTATCGATTTTAACGGCGAGCTCGACAGAATTTACAAAAACGTGTCCTGCGACAAGCTTTTGCAAGTGATCGAGCTCGGTAAGGTCGTCCACAACATCGAAAGACATAACCTGCCCGACGTGGTTGTTTGGAACCCATGGACCGAGAAGTCCGCTGGTATGGCCGACTTCGAGCCAAAGACCGGCTTCCACAAGATGGTTTGTATCGAGCCGGGTCATGTCCACGATTTCGTCACGCTCGAGCCGGGCGAGTCCTGGACCGCGTCCCAAGTCATCAAGAAGGGCGACGCCATCAAGCTCCAGGCCATCTAGTCTAGTCTGTCTCGACGCCATTTGATTCTGTTGGTTTTTTAATAAAGTCTTCCTCTGTGGTTTTGGTAAACGGGTTCGGTGGCAGTCGCGGGTTCACAATGTACTCGCCACTGTCCAGCTCCGGGAACCGCACCTTGATCTTTCCTGCCACTCCGCCAGGGATCCACCACCTCGAACCAGTGGTCTTCCCTGAAGGAGCGGGCAGACCGTGCGGGAGCAGAAAAGTAGATTCGTTGATGTTCTGTGCAAGAACCAGAGAATTCACCCCCAGAAACTCCACCTTGCGGCTCTCGTACAGCTGTTTCTCGATCTGTGACATGATCGTCTGGTCCGCAATGTCCAATTTGGCGTGGAAAATGCCGTAAACTGGCTTGTGGTCGCTAAACTTGATATCGTAAGCACAGCCGTACTCCATCTGTTTAAGCTCCACGTTCTTGCTCCGAGCAAGACTCAAGATCCGATCGGTCCATGCAGGGATCCGCTGTTTGTCAGAAGTATCGTAGGTATCTGTTCCCCGATCAAACTTGTACGTTGGCGGGAAGTTGATGGCCATCTCGTCAAAATACGGGAATGATTCTCCAGTAGCCATCTGTTTGTTCAACTGGTCGTACTCAAACAAAGGAGAGTACTGGACATCGTCCAATTGAGTGCGAACCTCTTCATTAGGAAGATCTATGCGGAAATTGAAGTCTCCAACCCAGAAAATACAGTCAAAGTCCCGGATGCTCTTGTTGTGTCTGAACCGTAAACCGTTTGCAATAGCTTTGTAATTTTGGTGTCTTTCGTCAACGTTGTGGTGGCCAGCTGCCAAATGCGATGTGATAAAACAGAACCTGATGGACGACGAGTAGTCAACGGCTATCGCCACCCCTCCTTTATTGGCAGAGATTCCTCTGAACCCGGTTTTCTTGAAACTGGTTTCAACGTTTCCAATATACTCAAAACCTTTTTCCTGCACAAAGACGAGGTTCAAAATACCACCGAGTTGCTCGCTCTTTAGTAGAGTGTATGAACACCCTTCTTTAAACCAATTCAATGTCTCCTTAATCTTCTTTTCCCAGAAAATCTTGATGGAAGCGTCGATATTGAGCATTTTTCCGGGACTCAGTTCCACCACTTCCTCGAGACCAATGGCAACAACGTCGTACTCCTGGTATTTGTCCGGGTACGGGAAGAACCACGAGGTGAGGTCGCCATCGTATTGTGTGGCATTCACATTGAATGTTCCTGTCCATATTTGAACGTCTTTGGTAATAGTAAAGACGTCTGCTTTCTTCTCGAGTTCTGCAAGAACAAAGTCATGAATTGGGTCGTACAGCTCCACGGGCGACTGCGAGTCCCGTTGTCCAAGCAGCTTGTCAAACTGGTTCTGTTTGGATACGTTGACAGACGATGGAGACGAAACGTATTTCTTGGACCGTTCAGCCACTTTCCCCACAATTCCGCCTGTTTTATTCTTAGTCTTTTTCGAAACGTAACCTTCGATCATTCTCTGCAACGTTGCTCCGTTCTCGCTCCACAGAAACTGGTGCTTGATCCAGAACTCGGGGCCCGGAGTGAAGTTCAAGAACTTGAAGAAATAGTCCAGAACTTCTGCAGAAACACCGGCTTGGATAGTGTTTGATCTCTCTGTTGAGTTCAGTGTGTTCACCAACAACACGCCAGATTGTCTTCCGATGTACGTTCTGGAGTCGTTGTCGTAACAGAACGCTTCGTATGTCTTTAGAATATCGGAAATTTGGTGCATCAGTGGAGACAGATAATGGTAGCTGGACTTGAATAGCAGCGAGTTAGGCACCTCCACTTTGGTGTAAGATAGCTGGTCGCCCCAGAACGCCGAGTTCTGGATCATGGACAAGTACCGTCGACTCAGTTCCGGCTGGTCACCGCTCTTCGATAACGCATCAATGACGTGCACGGCGCCGTGTTCGAGAATGAGTGTTTCGAAATGTTTGGTGAAAGCGACATTGGAAGCGTCCTCTGACTTGGGGAACTCGATCTTTGTAGACACGAGCTGCGATTCGAGCTTCCATACGAGCGGGACGTTGCCGCTGAGCTGGACAAGTGCAAAACAATAGTCTTTATTTGTTAGGATGATTTCTGTCTCGACAAAGTTTGAGACGTTCCCGCTGTCGTCAGCACAGAATGGTCCAAATATCAACGACCCTTTTCGACAGCTCTGTTTCGATATGATTGTCAAGAGTCCCTCGTTTTCGTTCACGGTCACCGACTGAGCAAATCCTCTTATCATGGAGACGAGGAACTGGCCCGACTCGAACGCGCGGCGCTCCTCTTTTCCGAGTCGATTGCGAAACGACTGGAAACTCTCGATCATGTTGCGGTTCCATGCAAACTGTCCGTCGTAATCCTCGACGGAATTGAGCGAATAGGACGATCGAGTTCCTCTTGCGCCTCGCTCCTGGGTTCTGGAAACAAGGTCGAAATGCGGCGAGTAATAGAACGTTCCTGTGGCCAAAAGCTTGACGATTGAGTAGACTGGCAGTTCTGGGAAATCCTCGTGGGTGTGGACTCGATCGTCAAACAGAACATAGTCGTAGGAGTCGTTGCTCAAACAAATAAAGGTGGCTGCTGTGATTCTAAAGATCTTCTCGTTGATCCTCACGGACCCGACCTCCGAGCGGCCGCTGACAAACCCAAGAAATATAAGGCCCTTGATGCACGTCACTCCCAGGAAAGCGTGCAATTCTGCGCCGGCGATTCCTCGAACCTCCACAAACTTGTGTAGCGGAACAAGGGACTCGGGCACAAACTCGATCACGCACCGCGATTGGGTCCCCTTACCAGGGTTCCCGTGCATGTCTCTCAATAGAAGAGCAAATCCATTGGAAACGAGCGCCACGGACCGCGGGTTCTTGTTGAGATATACCTTCATGAGTAGAACAAAAATAAATATAGAATAAATAATTATTTCAATGGCTATTGTTTCTGACGGGTTTCGAGATCTGTGTTTGGCATGTCGTCAGGGCGATGTTGAGCTCGTCGACAAGTACATTTCGCAGGGAGTCAATGTAAGTACCGGGAATTGGCATTGTTCTAACGCCAGATGAATCAAATGGACGAATGGGACTACTCTCCGTTGATCTTGGCCTCTATCTGTGGTCACGAGAACGTGGTGCGATTGCTGTTGGAGAAAGGCTCAATTGTCAGCAGAGACACTTTTGAAGGGTCGCGGGCCATATATGGTGCGCTGACAGACTCGATCCGCACGTTGTTGTTGTCCTACGATATAACCAAAGCTGTGGATGTGACTCAACCGTTTGCCTCTCATATCTCTGCTTTATTTCAGAAACCTCGGTTCACCACCGCGGATCTGCGCATTGGCGAGTTCTGTTTGAACCGGTTTCTTCTGAGCTCGATGTCCAGCTACTTCCAGACGACAGAGATCGACCTGAGCAAGTATAGCGCTCGCTCTTTGCAGTTTCTGTTTGAGTATATTTATCTTGTGCCGTCTTTGGATCTAAACGCGGTCAAGCTCGACGAGCTCCGCGAGCTTGCGCAAGTCACAAACCTCACATACATGCAAATCGCTGTTGACCAGATCGTGAGCCAGAAAACCGCAGCCGACATCAACAAGGCCAAAAACATCATCCAGCACACAATGTACGAGAACGCTAGACAGAAGCTGAAAAGTCTCGTTTCCAAGATCATCGACCACCATATCACCAAACCTTTGGATATTGACCTTACCAACGCAGACAAACAGAAACTCTTGCGCAGTTGCAATGCCGACTTGGTCTTCAAAGTCAATATCGGCTCAACGTCGCATTATTATCCCGTTCACAGAGCAATTTTGTCCAGAGCGGAATACTACCTCACATTATTTGTTTCTGGGTTCCACGACACGGCGATCTTCGAGGATCTCGAGCAGGACGGTGTCGTTGACCTTGAAAAACTGTACATGGAGCCAGAATTAATACCCGTCATATCTCTGCCGTCGTCAGACACTTTAGAGGTTTCGCAAGAAACAACAGAGATCCTGCTCCAGTACTTGTACTTCGACGAGGCGTCGATTCCTCCGGAAAGTGCCATGGACACGCTTGTCATTGCCGACTCGCTGTTCTTGGACCGGCTGAAAACCATGGCTGCCATTAGTCTATCGTCGATCGACGATTTTTCCACGGTCAACATCTCGGTGTACGACATTCTGCGTGCTGCGTGGGAATTCAAAGTGCACCGTCTGGAAGATCGCGTGGCACACATCATTGCCAACCAGATCGAATCTTTCATCAAGGATCCAGAGTTTAAAGAGGTTATTTTGGAGTCTTCGAGCCGGATCAGTGCCAGACAGGAGTTTGACACTATCGAATTAATTGACGATATCCGGTTCCATTTGACGAAAAGATATGCTATAGACCAAGAGGGAGGAACTTTAGATCCGACCATGACGCGAGTGGAGAGCGAGGAGTATCTGGAACGGTTACAAGAGTACGAACACTACATCGAGGAGATGGACCTAATTCTGCAAGATCTGGGTCTCAACGCCTAAATACAACTGACAAATTGAAATTAACGCGTACACGCTTACCTAGATACGTTTATTAATCTAATTCTTCTTGGCAGTTCTGCGTTTGGTTTTCAAGTGGGTCTCTGGGAGCCAGGACTCGTCGACTTTCTGGGGAGCCTGTTTTTTGGAAGGCTTGTCTGCCGGGAGTTTTTGTTTTTTAGCGTCCTTCTTCACGGTTCCGAAATAGTTGGCTCCGAACAGGGAGTAAAGCAGGTAGGCCACACCAACAAGCGAGGACACCAAAACGGCTTCCAAGACAAGCAGTTTTGGGTTGAAGATGGAGATTTTTGGATCGTCCACCTGAATGAGCTGGTTTCTAGAACCGAGCATCATGAGTTGCTCTTTGAAAACAACGTAGATAGAAGGAACAACGAGGTACGAGTCTGGGTTGAGGTCGATTCCGATGTTTTGGGAAAACTCCACAATGTCCTGGCTGGCCACAGAAAGAGGACCAATGTTGGAAGCGGTGATGTTATATAACACGTCGCCGGTGACAGGAGAGATCAACTTTCCGCCAACGCCCAAAACTGTACATTCTTCGTCCTCACCGTTGTAGAATTTGTAGTTCAAACTGATGGTTTCTCCGTTCTCGATGTCGACAATGGCAGATGGCACCTCTTGTTTATCTTTGATCAAGTACTCCACTCTGAGATCGAACGGTTTTTCTGCCGTTGGCTTGAAGTTGCCCTTCACGATATCCGGCTTTTCTTTCGTATCGGCACACAGTGCGGAAACGGCTAATGCTAAAGAGGCAAACACAGTTGACAACTTCATTATGAAAGATGATTATGTTTTTTATGTTTTTCGTCGAGAAAAAATAGCCATCGAGGCAAGCACACGGAAATCGTCCTTTGCAAAACTTGCGTCGATTTCTTGCCCAATGTCTTTTGAACACGCCATGAGTGTTTTGAATTTGGACCCTGTGCCTTCTGTTGAGCCCGAGACGTTGCAGACCATGGCTCTTGACCAATTGGCCCAGTTGCGTGGCCGGATCGAGTCCCAGATCGACGCCCTCTTGTCTCGCTTGAGGGCACAAAAAGCCGACATGGATACACCCTTGGTCACCCCAGACGGGTTCCCTCGTACAGATATGGACGTTGTGGAGGTGCGGCTTGTTTGCTCGCAGATCATTCGTCTGCGCAACGACTGGCGCGCGATCTCGTCGTTACTTCAAACTAAACTCGCCGAGTCCTTCAACTCTACAAACACATCCTCGCCACCGTCCAGAATTCCGTTCGCCACAGTCGACCTCGTCGCCGAAGAAAGCCCAGCACAGCTCGCAGGACTCGCCGTCGGCGACAAGCTCGTCTCGTTCGGCCGTGTCAACGCTACAAATCATAATAACCTGAAAGCTCTTGTCTCTGCGGTGGCAGAAAACGTTCCTGTGGACCTAACTCTATTAAGAAATAATACCCTGCACACAATCAAGCTGGTTCCCTCCAAATGGAACGGACAGGGTCTTCTGGGATGCAAATTTACCGTGATCGCATAAGATCCTTCATCCCCCGTGAAGAGTGCTGGTAAACGCAATCACGTCGCCGTCCTGGAGCTCGTACTCGTCCTCGCCCTCCAACTCCCAGTCGGTGTCGTTGATCAGCACCAAAATACCCGGCCGGATCGTGTCGTCCTCGACAAAAACATCATAATCCTTCTGGTCCACTAATAGTGTCTTGGTTATATGGTACATCAGGTCCTTTATGGTTGGATTTCCCTCCGTGGAAACAGCACACTGGCTTTTGCGCAACCCGCCAAAGATCACATCCAATCCACCCCTGTTTGTTAGTCGCCAGCTCAAACTCTACCTACAAAAACTCCACCTTAACGTTCACAGATGGCATGGTGGATGAAAAGAAAATTTTGGAGTGCAGAGATGTTTCCCCACAGGGAAGAAAGCCCAGCTTAAAAAATATTTCATCATCGGTCACACTTTGAAAGATGCTTTCGAATCCATCAAAAAAGTACAAGAAATTTGTGCCTTTGAAACTTCCTAATAGACAATGGCCAGACAAGACGTTTGAAAAACCACCCCGCTGGCTCTCCACCGACCTTAGAGACGGAAACCAGTCTCTTCCAGACCCCATGTCTGTCGAGGAGAAAAAGGTGTATTTTAAGAAGCTGGTCGAGATCGGGTTCAAGGAGATTGAGGTCGCATTCCCTTCTGCCTCGCAAATAGACTTCGATTTTACCCGGTTCTGTGTCGAGACTGCCCCAGAAGACGTGTCGATCCAGGTTCTTTCTCCGTGCCGGCCGGAACTGATCAAACGGACAATCGAGTCTCTGACCGGAGCCAAACGCGCCACAATCCATCTGTATTTAGCCACCTCTGACTGTTTCCGCAATGTCGTGTTTGGTTTGTCGAAAGAGCAGACTTTGCAGCTTGCTACCGAGTGTACCAAATTGGTCAAGAGTCTCACCAAGGACGACCCTAAACACAAAGACACCATCTGGTCGTACGAATTCTCGCCAGAGACTTTCAGTGACAGCGATCCAGACTATGTTGTCCAGGTTTGCGAGAGTGTAAAGGCCGCCTGGGAGCCGTCACACGAGAACCCGATCATCTTCAATCTTCCAGCCACCGTCGAGATGTCGACTCCAAACGTGTATGCGGACCAGGTGGAATATTTCTGCACTCACATTTCTGATAGACAGTCTGTTTGTGTTTCTTTGCATCCGCACAACGACCGTGGCTGTGCTGTTGGTGCTGCCGAGCTGGCACAGCTTGCGGGAGCAGACAGAGTCGAAGGATGTTTATTTGGAAATGGAGAGCGGACAGGTAACGTTGACCTTGTGACGCTTGCACTCAATCTGTACACACAGGGAATCCATCCGAAACTCGATTTTTCCGACATCAAGTCTGTGATTGACGTTGTGGAGAGATGTAACAAAATTCCTGTTCATCCTCGTGCTCCTTATGGAGGCCAGCTTGTTGTTTGTGCATTTTCTGGCTCGCACCAAGACGCAATCAAAAAAGGTTTCGAAAAGAGAAAGGATCCAAAGGAGTACTGGCAAATTCCATATCTTCCCCTGGATCCGCAGGATATTGGCCGTACCTACGAGGCCATTATTCGTGTGAACTCGCAATCTGGAAAGGGAGGTGCTTCGTGGATCATTCTGCGCAATTTGGAGATGGATCTTCCTCGTGGCTTGCAAATCAACTTCTCCAAAGTTGTCCAGGATGCCACCGAGAAGAAAGGTAGAGAGCTCAAGACGAACGAGATCGTGGATCTGTTCAAGAACGAGTATCTGTTGTACAACTTTGATGAAGAGGAGACTCTGGAGCCTGCTGGTCATCTGTTCAAACTGGACAATTACGAATTGACCAACAAATCGGACAAAGTGAGAGAACTGAGTGCGCAGATGTCGAACTACGAAGGGTCTGTTTCTTACAAAGTTATTGGAGAGGGAAATGGTCCGATTTCTGCGTTTGTGAACGGACTGAACAAGAAGTTCAAGTCCAAGTTCCAGGTGGTGAACTACCATGAGCACTCTTTGGGAGCAGACTCCAACTCCAAGGCTGCGGCTTACATAAGCTGCAAAGTGGACGACGAGCACTTAATCTGGGGTGTCGGCATCAACGAGGATGTCAGCACGGCCAGTTTCAGCTCTTTATTGAGTGTCATCAACCAGGGAATCCGGATGGGTGTCATTAAAGAAATGAGAGCCTGAGGAAATTTACTGTTTATTATTAATTTTTTTTATTTATTAATTTACTTTTATGGAACCATATAATGATTTGAGCCGGGACGAGCTGATACAGCGTCTTTTGGCGCTGGAAAAGGAGTTCAACGGCTATGTTGACGAGTCTAAGGAGCTGGAAGAGTTTCTGGAGTCGGAAACCAACCGACTGACCCAACAGGTGACAGATCTCCAGACACAAAGCGCAAAACTGCAGGACCGTTTGGACGAAGCTCGAAAGGAGAACCAGAGCTATCTTCACCAGATCAGCACGCTAGAGGACGATAAGAAGACACAGATTGACCAGTTGACTGCCAAAGTGCGAACGCTCGAGCGACAGGTGATCGATACGGAGGTGGCCAACGACGGGCTGGAGTCGAAGCTGCGCATTCTGGAGCTCTCGAAGGGCAACGAGGATGCACGCACAGGCGAGCTGCTTGAGCGACTGGCCATTTTGGAAGACGACAACATCGAAAAAGACCAGCTTCTCATAAATACCCAGCAGCGGGTCAAACGACTCGAGACGGAAAACCAGTTTCTTCTGCAGCAGCGCGAAAAGTACGAGAAGATCAGTAAGCTCATGACCATCAACAGAACAGAGCTCAAGGTCTCCAAGTTCCAGACCCCTCCCATTAACGACTGACGACACCACAGCATCTGGTAGCATTTGACACAGCCTTGATTTTTATTTTATATAGGTTGGGCATGAAAAAAAATGTTTTTGTATCGTGTATATGTCTGATATAAACCAACGGCGCACAAAGCTGTACAATTCGCGTGTGATCCGCACAGAGACGGCGGATCCGGCGTTTACGGCGGGGAAAGATCCCGTCACCGGAGTTTCGGCGAAGCTGGACGTGGAGAAGTTTGTGCAGTCTCGAGAGTTCGAGATCAAGGAGTTTGAGCTGTCGAAGCTCAGATCGCGATACTCCTCGGCCACGCGGGTGTTCCAGAGTCTTCCGCGGGCGATGAGACGTCGTACGGCGAGCCACAACGTGAGGCGGGTTCCGAAACGGCTGCGTGCGCGGGCTCTTCGAGAAATGGGACTATCGATGAAGGAGCCCACAGGACTGGAAACAAAGGGCGTGGACAGTCAGGGCCGTCCCGCAAAGGCCAAGCACTCGCGTGGGCGAGAGCTGTATCGGCTGAGACGCCAGGAAAAACTGCTCCGGTACGCTGCTCGGCTGAAGCTGTCAGGAAACTTAATAGACGGGGAACGTGTGAGCGCACGGACGATGAAGATGCGGTCCAAACTGCAAGCGCTTAAGGAGCGGATTGATGAGCTGAGCGAGCTGAAACAACAACAGGTTAACAACTCGGTGGGATCGATCGACTGGACAGGAATTAATCAACGTGCTACCATAGACAAAATATCCACCATCAGATACTCCTCGCGTCAACGGGACTACAAGTGGCTACCTACACACGTCTGGCATGCTAAAAGAGCTCATATGGTGAAACGGTGGGGGTTCAATGTGCCCTACGAGCCAACCATGAAGTGTTTCAGACAAACAAGTCGACAAAGCAGGATCAAGGGATGCGTGGGTTTTGACACATCGTACATGAACACGGTGATTCTCAAGGGAGATGGGGTTTTTGTGCTTATTGGAGAGCTGACCAATGACGAGGCTACAGGGAAGAAGTACCATTCAAAAGGACGAGTCTGGGAAGGGTTTTTGATGCTCAACGGGGAACACTTGTGTCGCTCTTTAATTTGGTGGATCAAGTCTGGGACCGAGTGTGTTTTACGGTTCCATCCGTCAGTCTACGATGTTTTACTTGACCATCTGGTCAACCATGCCAAAAATGTTGAGTTTGAGGATTGCAGATACTCCCTGGGGTCGTTGACGGTGACTGGTCCTCAGTCTCTGTGGTCATTGGCCTCTGTGTTGCATCCTTCGATTTCGTCAGAGGCTGGAAGCACATTTGAGAAGCTTGCAGGACTCAACGAGGTTTCTGCTCTTCCTGTTGGGTCGACGTTTAGCATGTTCATAGATGATCCTCGTCTTTGGCCCAAACCAGTCAGACCAACGGGCAAGTACGCAGACGTGCTGGATCTCATTATAGACGTTCAAAATGGAAAGGCAACAGACAGATCTGCGATCGAGGCGCTTTTTTCGAAAGAAGGTCGCGTTGCATCCTACCACGGCCAGCCGTCGCTCAAACAGCTTGGCCAGCGTCGCACGCCGGAGTTTTTGGGCAAACCAATTCCAAAACTAGAGTCCGACCCGCAAATTCCTGTTGTAATCGTGAAAACAACACAGGGACTCGTTCTGTTTGCTCCATGGCACTGGATTCTGCCGATATGGCACCAGCTCGTACACGTCCCGCATTTCTCGATGGGAGGAACAAAACAGCTGAACCAGCTTGGATTCGAGAAGGGCGAGCTTGGGTTTGCCGACTGTGTGTTTACAAGAGCCGGATTTCTTGAAGGCCAGCTGAAGATGAAAGAGCTGGCCACCAAATGGAGCAAACGGCCGAAGAGCAAGAGGTTCAACATTTCCAAGCTCAACGAGGCCGGGTCTCCGTTCGGCTGCGATTGGAGGTACCTCCAGCTTCTTTGGAAGTATTTGGGAGAGCTTCCTGAGGTCGAGGACCATTCGGGCACCGAGTTCACTGAGCTTCAGGAGAGAGTGGTGAAGACCAAAAGAGACGTTTTCGAAAAGATTCAGGACACTATACAGAAAGACGAGACGTTGGCACAGCTTGGAAAGCCTGTTTTTGCACAGCTTCCAATTGAACTATACCGGGGCGAGCACCATAGACCTTCAACAGAGAAGCTACCTCTGGTTGCAATTCAATTTAGCATGCTGAACAGAGGCCATCCGCACGACAATGCACGAATCTACAAGATTCCCGAGACTGAGTACAGCTCATGGATGGATGCTGCCAACAAGAAGACTATACAGGGCAGAACCGTGGCCTTGGAGAAACAGTGTCCAGGCAAAGAGCATCTTATTGGCTATGTCACGAGTGCCACGTTCAATCTGGCACAGGGCAAAGGCACAGGAGTTGGATTCATTGCATCTAAAGCGTACGACCATCTCAACTTCAACAAGGCCGACTTCGTGCTCGTTCGCAACGTGGGCAGTACTGCCTGCCACCTTGCCCAGTGGAAGCTTGTGGCTGTGCAGTAAATAATTTCGGCCCAAATAGGAATATTTATTTGTTTACAAAACAGAGATCTGTCTTTCTACACTATGACGTTTCTTCCCCCACGAATGGCCAACACGCCCACTCGTGCACAGACCCCCACCCGCAGCCGGTCGTCACTTAGCTCGGCAGGCTCTGCCACGCCGGTGCCGTCCTCGATGTCGCGGACCCGGACCCCTGGTCCATCGTCCTCGTCTTTGAGACGGCCCACGACTCCGCGAGTGTCGCTGGCGAGTCCCGGTCCTGGCCTGCGTGCCCGGTCGTCCATGTCGAACATGAGCACGCCAATGCGGCCCAGCAGCTCGCTCAGCTCTCACAGCTCGTATGGAGCCCAGTCGTACCAGGGCACAATCAAGGTTTCGGTGAGACCACGGCCGCTGCAAACCACTGCAGGCAATCTGACCGGCAACTGGAACATAGACAGAGTGGACAACACAATCAGCAACCACGAAACGGGCGATTTCCAGTACGATAACGTTTTCGAGCCGTCAGCTAACAACTCCGAGGTTTACGCAGACGTTGTGCAACCAGTGGTGACCAAATGTCTGGAAGGATACAACGGCACTGTTTTTGCATACGGAATGACAGGTTCGGGAAAAACGCACTCAATGCAAGGTTCCGTTGACGAGAACGGATTGATTCAGCTGTGTGCGGCTGAACTGTTCCGGAAACTCAAGTCTGATTTCGACGCTTACAAGGTTGGATGCTCGTATTTGGAGATCTACAACGAAAAACTAATCGACCTGCTCAACTTTGACGGGTCGCCGGTAGACGAGCTGCGAATCAGAGACGACCCGACGTTTGGAGTCCGTGTGGTTGGACTTAGCGAGCACTGGGTGGCCAGCGAGCACGAGTTGGTCGAGGTGGTCCAGAAAGGTGATTCGGCGAGAAAGACCAGCTGTACCGATTTCAACGATCGGTCGTCGCGTTCGCACGCAGTTCTGCTGATGCGCGTGGAGATGAAGCAGGACAGCAGCACGCGGCACTCGACGCTGTGTCTGTGCGATCTTGCCGGTTCGGAGAAGGCTTCGTCGCAGACGGAGCGGCGCAAGGAAGGAGCATACATCAACAAGTCGCTGCTTGCGCTGAGCACGGTGATCCAGAAACTGTCGCAGGGCTCGTTCAACCACATTCCCTACAGAGACTCGAAGCTGACGCGGCTGTTGCAGCCGTCCTTGAGCGGAGAGTCAATTGTGTCGATTCTGTGCACGATCCACCTTTCCAGCAGTACGATAACAGAAACAATCAACACACTGCGGTTTGCGGCTCGTGCCAAGAACATTTTGATGAACGTGCGCAGAAACGAACAGCAGGAGCCCGAGAAAGAGAGGTACGAGTTGTTGTTGAAGGAGAACCAGCGCCAGAAGCAGGAGATCGAGGACCTGAAGCGTGGGCAGGTGAGCAAGCGTTTGTGGAGCGGACCAGGCGAGGACGTTGCGCAGCTGAGTGCCGAGAACCTTATCTTGAACGAGCGACTCGAGCACATGAAACGGCTACACGACACAGAGAACGTCCAGTCCGCGATGGAGGTACAGGAAAATATACAACAGCTGATCCAGTTCGACGTGAGCGACCCGCGGTTTGCAGGTGTGGTTGCCAGTTTAGAGAGACAGCACAAGATGCAGGTCAGCCAGATTGAGGAAATGAAGTCCTATATTTCGCATCTGGAGAACCAGCTGCGCAACCACATTGGAAGCGGAACACAGACGGCTACGGTGAGCGGATCGGACAAGGACGAGGAAATTGCCGACCTTAAGCGGCAGCTGCGTGGCAAGGACTCGATCATCAGCGCGCTGCGACAGTCGACGAAAGTGCGCGACACCATCAGCGGCGACAAGCGAGGCAAGTTGTTTCTACGGCCGATCGAAAACACCGTTGGTGGCCAAAAAGAGCATATTAAGTAGGATCCCTTATTAGCTGGTTTTTAGTTGTATTTATAGGCACGGGGTAACTTTTTTTTTCACTTTGAAAAGACACCAAGAGCAAAAAATAGATTTTTCTGTTTACATCGATCAATGGCCTCGGATAATCCGTATGCTAGCAAATTAACCAACCCGGACACTGACATCGAGCTTATTGGCAGAGACCAGTTTGAGGACGGGCTGTCCACGCGGTTTGCGGCCAAGACGGTGGAGGAGACCGTGCAAGAGTTGGACACAAACGAGACCAAGGGGCTTTGCAATCAGAACGACATTGTTTATCGGCGTTCGATCCATGGCGTTAACGAGCTGGAGGGCGAAGAAGAGGAGTCGTTGTTTATCAAGTTCGTGTCGACCTTCTATGGCGACCCGATGATCATGTTGCTTATCGGATCTGCTGGAGTGAGTTTCTACATGGGCAATTTGGACGATGCCATCAGTATCACCGCTGCTGTTTTAATTGTTGTTACTGTTGGGTTTGTTCAGGAGTACCGTTCGGAAAAGAGTCTGGAGGCTTTGAACAAGCTTGTTCCGGAACAGGCCCATCTGACACGAAACGGCACTACCGAGACGGTGATGGCCATGACTCTTGTTCCGGGCGACCTTGTTCGCTTCCAGGTCGGTGACAGAATCCCAGCAGACATCAGATTGACTGAGTCTGTTCACCTGACCATCGACGAGAGCAATCTTACTGGTGAAACCAAGCCTGTGTCAAAGAGTCTGGACGTGGTGTCCAAGCCTATGCCAAGCATTGGAGAGAGATCCAATATTGCGTTTATGGGAACGCTTGTGCGGGACGGCCACGGGGCGGGTATTGTGATTGCCACCGGCCACAAGACCGCGCTCGGCAGCGTGTTTTCCATGCTGTCTTCGATTGAGAAGCCAAAGACTCCGTTGCAGAACGCCATGGGCAAGCTTGGCCAGCAGCTTTCTTTCTTCAGTTTTGCTGTGATTGGTGTGATTGGACTGATTGGTGTGATTGAGGGCCGCTCGTGGCTCGACATGTTCCAGATCAGTGTTTGTTTAGCCGTTGCTGCTATTCCCGAGGGATTGCCGATTATCGTGGCAGTGACGCTCGCACTGGGTGTTTTGAGAATGGCCAAACAGCGTGCCATTGTCAAGAAATTGCCTAGTGTTGAGACACTGGGCTCTGTCAACGTGATTTGCTCAGACAAAACAGGAACGCTCACCCAGAACCACATGACCGTCAGCAAGGCCTGGACCGTCGACATGAAAACGAGCCATCTGGCCGTGGACGGCAACAAGCACCTGCCGGACAACGTCGACAAGGACGTCAAGTACATGCTGGAGTCCGGAAACCTGTGTAACAACGCCAGGTTCTCGGTCGAGAAGGAGAAGTTCTTGGGAAACCCAACAGATATTGCAATTATTGAGTCTTTGTCGTCTTTCGGCATGGACGACCTCAGAAACACAAGAGTGAGAACCAACGAGTTGCCTTTCAACTCGAACAGAAAATACATGGCCATTTGCTCGCATTTCGGTGACAAGTCCAAATCCGAGACGTTTGCTAAAGGTGCCGTGGAAAAGATCGTGGCCATGTCCAAGATGTACTACACCAAGACTGGCGAGATCAAACCTATTAATGACGAAATTTCCAAGCTGATTTTCAAGATGGCCGACGACCTGGCCAGCGACGGGCTACGTGTGCTTGCGTTTGCCAGAAACTCCAAGTCGTTCGACACCGAGCCTTCTGACCTGGTGTTTTGCGGGCTGATGGGCATGAACGATCCTCCGCGTCCCCAGGTGAGCAAATCCATTGCATCTTTGCTGAGAGGCGGTGTGCACGTTATCATGATCACGGGCGACAGCGAAGTGACTGCTCTGAACGTTGCTCGCAAAATTGGCATGCCATTGACCGATCCGGAGCGCAGCGTGCTGACCGGCGAGAAGATCGACGCCATGTCCGAAGAGGCTCTTTCCGAGGCCATTCAGTACGTTTCTGTGTTTGCCAGAACCACTCCTGAACACAAGGTGGCCATTGTGCGTGCTTTGCAACTGCGTGGAGACATTGTGGCCATGACGGGAGACGGAGTGAACGACGCCCCGGCTTTGAAGCTGGCGGACATTGGTATTGCTATGGGTAAGAACGGAACCGACGTGGCCAAGGAAGCTGCCGACATGGTGCTCACAGACGACGACTTCTCGACGATCTTGCACGCCATCAGAGAAGGTAAGGGAATTTTCAACAACATCCAGAACTTCCTCACGTTCCAGCTGTCCACGTCTGTGGCTGCGCTATCGCTGATTGCTGTATCGACCTTATTTAACCTGCCAAACCCGCTGAACGCCATGCAGATTCTGTGGATCAACATTCTGATGGACGGTCCGCCAGCCCAGTCGCTCGGCGTGGAGCCTGTTGACCAGGAGGTGATGAACAAGCCGCCAAGATCCCGGTCCGAGCGGATTCTCACCGTGGCTGTTCTCAAGCGCGTGCTCACCGCTGCCTTTTTCATTATCATCGGAACCATGTACGTGTACGTGAGAGAGATGAAGGACTCGGTCACCAGAAGAGACACCACGATGACGTTCACGTGCTTTGTGCTGTTCGACATGTTCAACGCTCTGGCGTGCCGCTCATACTCCAAGTCGGTGTTCCAGCTCGGCCTGAAGAACACCATGTTTAATTACGCGGTTGGAGGCTCGCTACTGGGCCAGCTGTGTGCGATCTACGTGCCATTTTTCCAGTCCATCTTCCAGACCGAGGCCCTTGCTGCCAGCGACCTGCTCTACCTGGTGGCCATTACCAGCTCGGTGTGGATCGTGGACGAGGTCCGCAAATACCTCAGACGCAAAAACGCGAGTTATACGTACGGTTACTCGACGGCTGTTTAGAATTAGGTAATAGATAATGATTCCTATTTAGTCTCCACGGATCAGTCTTTCTGTCAGCGCTTCCAGGTCCTCCATGGTTTCTGGCTGTTCGTACTCGATCACACGTGGCTGTTCCGGCTCGGGGCGGGCGTGTGGCTTGTTTTCGAACCATCTTGGCTTCTTGGCCGGTCTTTCGTCGTCGGAGTCGCTCTCCTCCAGGTCTGCGTCCAAATCTGCGTCCAAATCGGCCTCTGACTCCGACTCTGACTCGCTCTCCTCCGCCAGCCGCTCCAGCTCCTTTCTACGGATCTTCTTCTCCTGCCGCTTGCGCTTGGCCACGTCCTTGTCCTCCACATCTGCCAGCTCCATCGACTTCTTCTCCTGCGCCACAAACTGCGCCTTCTGCTGCTCGGCTGGCCCCAGCTTGTGGAAGTCGTCCTCGTCCTCCAGCTCGTAGATCGGATGCGCCACTCCCTCGTCGTCGAACTTCATCTTCGTGCCTGTGCCGCGGTCCTTCGACGACAGCTTCTTCGACAGAGCCTTTTTGATGGCCCGCTTCGACGTTGGCGCGTCCAGGTCCGGCTCTGCTCCCAAATCGTGGTCCTGCCGCTTAATCGACATGAACTCGTCCTCCTCGTCGCGGTCGCTCTCCATGTCGGCGTTCAGCTTCAAGTAGTGCTCCGACAACACGCCCTGGTTCGTGCGCTCAAACATCTTGTCGTACTTGGTGCGCACCTTCTTGGCCTCGAGCTCGCCATCATCGGTGGCCTTTGCCAGCAGTTTCAGCTGCCGCGAAGTGTTCTTGCGCTGTTTCTGTTTCTCCAGCTCGGCGTCACCAACCGGAAGTTTCAGCTTTGGCGTTCCCGGCAGCCCCAACGACTTGGCAAACTCGTCCAATGGTAGCTCCTTCAGATTAAACACCTCCTTGTCCTTCTGGATATACACAGACTTGCAGTACGAGATGAACGCCTTCTGGCCCAGATACTTGAGCTCCGGGCTCTTGAAACACAGCGACTGGATCTGGTCCCGAATGCTCTTTTTCTTGGAGTTTCTGATGTTGAGCTTTTTCGGCTGAATCTTGCGTGCGTCCATGCGTTTCACAAACGCGTCCTCCTCGCTTGGTGTAAGCATCAACATCGACTTCCCAGCACGACCTGCCCTCGCAGACCGCCCCACACGGTGGATGTACGTGGCCACGTCCTCGGGACAGTCCAGCTGGACGACCCAGTCGATGGCCGGGAAATCGAGGCCTCTAGCCACAATATCGGTTGCGAACAGACAGCAGTTGCGCGACTCGGTGAACTTGACCGTCGTCTCCAGCCGCGCTTTCTGTTTCTGCCGGCCGTGCAGCTTCATCAGCGAAATACCCGGTTGCAGCTTTCTGAACGTTTCGTAGATAAAGTGCACCTGCTTCGACGAGGAAACGAAAACCAAAATCTTGCTGTCCAGATGCGACTTGATGAAACTCCAGAGAATGTCCAGCTTGTCCTGCAGTCGGATCACCACGTACGACTGCTCCAGAGACTCTGGTGTCGTGGTAGCATCCGAACTCGTGTTGACGTACTTCGGGCTCACAAGCGACAGTCGTGCCAGGTCCTGCACGGATTTGGTCTGTGTGGCTGAAAACAGCAGCGTCTGTCGTTCTGGAGGCAGGTTGCAAACGATATCGTCCAGAGTTTTTTTGAATCCAAGGTCTAGAATACGATCGGCCTCGTCCAGAACAAGCATCTGCAAATTGTCCAGGTTCAGCGTCGCCGACTGGTCCATGTGCTGCAATAGACGGCCTGGAGTGCCAATCAGAATGTTCATCTTGCCAATCCGGTCCTTCTCAAACGAATAGTCCTTGCCTCCAATCACCAGTCCAGCAGAAAACGACGAGTACTTGCCAATCTTCAGCAACACCTCGTAGATCTGCATGGCGAGTTCCCGTGTTGGCGAGATGATTAGCGCACCCACACCGTCAAATTCGTTCCAGTTCTCGTGGATAAGCTTCTCAATCACAGGAATCAAAAAGGCCAGTGTTTTACCGGACCCGGTTTTCGCAGCGCCGAGCAAATCGTGGCCCTTGAGCGCCAAATGGATCGTGTCCCGCTGGATATCCGTCATCGTCACATAGCTGCTCTCCTTGAGCCCCTTCAGCGTGCCTTTTGTTAATGGAAGCTCCTCAAACTTGGTGAACTGCTTGACCTGGTCGTCCTCCAGCTCGTCGATCCGCGCCCGAAGAGCCTCCAATTCTTGAGACGCCAACTCAGAAAGCTTCTTCTGCTCCTCGCGTGTGTGTCTCTTCTTGATTTTGGCCATTTGTACAGAGATCTATGCTACTGATATTTTTCAATTAATTTTTTCTCGTTAGCCAAATTTTTTTTTATTTACAATTACACAGCCTTGCTCTGGAGCATCATGTCGGCTTTCTTCTCTTCCTGGGTGTCTTCGAACTTCATCTTGCGCGCAAGCTCTGTTTTTGTGAACTGGAACCGCGGGTCGCGCACACTGAACTTGTGCTGCAGCAACTCGGTCGCAGTTGGCCGGCTGTCGGGATCTGTCTGGAAACACTGGTCCAGGAAAGCAGAGCCTGTCTCGCTCATCATCTTGCGAGTATCTTCAGGGATCGGAGGAGCAGACTTGGCTCCAAGCTTGAAAATGGCTCCGGCAATCGCAAAGTCCGACCACGGCCGTTTTCCAGCATACATCTCCAAAACAACACACCCCAGAGACCAGATATCCACCTTGGCACTGTACCCCTTGTGGCTGGTGTTGTCGATGATCTCGGGAGCCATCCAAAAAATGGTTCCTTGGAACGACATCGCCGACTCATTCGCATAGATATCCTTAGCCTTCTTGCTGATACCAAAGTCGCTGATCTTGCAAATTCCGTCCATCTCCAACAGTAAATTGTCTGCCTTGAGATCTCTGTGTAGTATACCCTTGGAATGGATGTAGCTGAGTCCTTGGAGAACCTGGCGGGTCAGGAACTTGATCAGGTCCTCGTCAAAACGTCCGTACCGTCTGATCAGATGTCCAACAGATCCACCGGAAACATATTCCAGGAAAACACTGTAGATATTGTCTTTCTTCTCAAAGCCCAAGTATTGCACTATGTTCACATGATCCAGGTCTTTCAACGAGTCAACCTCTGCACGGAACGTGTCCATGATCTCCTTGGTTTCCCGTTGCGACGTGAACCGTTTGGAGATCACTGTCTGTTTCACAGCAATCATTTCTCCGGTGGTGACGTTCAATGCAAGGTACACCTTGCCAAACGTTCCAATACCGATGAGTTCACCCTTGACCCACGCAAACTCTTTGTACTGGCCCTTGTGGTTCTTGAGCTTGTTCACGTAGCTAGCACGGTTACCAGGAGTCACCTCAACCACCTTCTGTCCCCACATCTTGGTGCTTGTGCGTCTTAACAAACTGCTCGACCTGTATTTGTCCTTGCGCTGGGCCTCTTTCTTGGCCTCCTGTGCAACGATACGGATACTCTTCATGCGGTGGATCTTTCCTGACGGTTCTGGTGGTTTCAGATGGCCCGAATAGTCTGCCTTGGCAGGCACTTTCTCCTCAGCAACCGGCGAAACCGGCGGCGAAACTACCTCGTCGATGATCAGCTTGTCAAGATCTGTGTTGGGGAAGTAGATCTCCAAATTGTCGTACAGAACCTCTGCTGGAGGACGGATATCCAAGAGCGAGTCTGACGAAGAAGAACTGATGTTGGTGGCCACCTTGACGCTCTGGGTGTCCGAGTTGGTTGTTTTGGACGGAGCTTTGGCAAACAGACCTTCGTCAGAATCCACGCTGTCGCCGTCGCTTTCCTCTAGTTCAGGAGCGTTCTCAAACGTGATTGCGTTTTCTTTGAACGGATCAAACCCGCCACGTTGGGTCCGAGACCGCTTGATCGTGTTGGCTCTCGTGACAGTGCCGCCGCTGAGCTTATCAGGAGATTCTGGGAGCGGTGGAGGCGGTTTGCGGCTAGACTTCGTACTTCCCGTCATGGATATTGGTGAAGAATCTGGAATAGGAGGAGCTGGCGCCGAACGGTGAGCCACAAGACTGTCACGACGCATAAACGGCGATTCGCGTTTCTTGTCGAAATCGATCTCCTGCTTCTCTGAGCGAATTACACGAAACGATGCCTGGTCTGGGTTCGACGTGGTGGTGATCGACCGTGCACGAGTCAGAGAAGAGCTTGTTGACCGTTTAGGCTCGATAAACTGTCGTGCGTCCTGATTCATGTAGTCCTTGAAGTTGAGGTAGTCCATGCCGTTCTTGTTGGCCTCGAGCAAGTACTTTGGTGTCTGGTTGACGCGTTCGAACGAGTTGTCGCTGGTCAAAGAGTGGAACGAGTATGTGGACAGCATACTGCTGTTGCGCTCAAGACCTTTCTGGACGACCAGGATCTTCATGGTCTCGCCAAAAAACTTGTGTTTCATCAACTCGGCAAACGTCTCATCGTCCAGTGGTGTTCCTGGGTCGCTATTAAACCCAGTTAAGCAAAACTCTGATTTGAAAAACGGCTTCATGTTGAGTACAGCAAGAATTCTCTTCTTAAACTTGTCGATATCGTCAAACTTGGCAGCATCCAGCCGCGTGAACGTGATGTTGTCCTTGGAAATCAGTACAAAAACGTCGCGGTTGTTGCGTGGAACAGGCCGGAACTTCTGGTCAAGCACAAACGGCGACTTTGCGGGCGGAACTATGGTGGTGGCAGACGAGGACAACGACTCTCTCGAGTGCAGAGTCGATTTTGTCACCACAGGGATCGTCACTCCAATCGGAGACGGTTTCTTGCCGACTGGTCCCAGCTTCTCGAACTTGGAGTCGATATTCTTTTGCTTCCCGACCATGAACGACTTCTCGTGCGAGTTCTTGCGATCATTAGGCTTTTTCATAGAACCATGGGCAGATGCTGGGCTGATCGGCGAGTCTGTTGACTTTGGCGCTTTCGGGAACGTATAGTCTGTGCGCGACTTGCCAAAGAACTTGTTGAATATGTTTTTCGGAGTGGTGGACTCGTTGATGGAACCTCGGGAGCTTGTTCGTTCGTGTCTTTTTTGGAAAGACTCTACCACCGGCGTGCTGGCCGACTGTGTGTTTGAAGACGGTGGCGGCGGACCACTAGTCCCAGTCGGATGGTTGCCAAACATGGTGGTGAAGAAAGACGACTCGGAAGAGCTGTTTTTCTGGTGTCTTTTGAAAAACGGCTTCGAATGGTGGCTGTCTGAGTTTGTGTTGTACAACTGGCTAGACGAGTCCTCAATCGTAGACAACGGGCGCGGTTTCGGGACAGAGTCTTTGTCGCTGGTGTACAATGGCGCGGTGCCCGGCTCTTCAACCGCCAATGGCGGAGCAGACGCAACAGGCTGCAGTTTTTCTCCCAGAGTGCGATGCTCGCCCGACCGGTCGGCCTCTGCGGTTTGGTCGAGCGACGAGTCGTACGAAGAGCCAGAAATCAGTGAGATTGTCGGACTCGGAGGCTCCAATTTGGGCATAGACGCTTTTCCCAGGGTCTTGCGCAACAACTGAATAAATCTGCTGGGTGTGGAGTTATCGTCAGTCACCAGGAACGGGATGTACTTCTTGAGTTCGTCGTACGACTGCAACTTAAGAAATTCATTCTGAGCAAGCCGTTCGTTTGTAAACAGATCGATCCAGCTCTCATTAAACTCGTGTGTCTTGAACCAAACGGTTATATTCTCCAAAGTCCATTCTTCAGGGTTGCTTACATTCCACGAAATAGACGAGCTATTCGAATGGAACCCACGGGATATTCGTCTCGACACCCGAAACTGAGTCTGTGACTGATCTGGCTGCGGGGTCTCGAAGGAAAACTGGTTTTCATCAGACTCTTCCGGTGCACTAAGAATAGCTGAGAGCTTTTCGTTGACTTGTCCGTAAAGCGGCTGGTTCTCGGCGCCGGGCTCTCTCTTGGGCACTTCGAGGCTGCGCGCGTCGTGAGAAACCTTGATAGGGATGTTGGAGGGCGCAATTCGGTTGATGGAGGTGTCTAGGGTCAAAGAGGAGGGAGCGATATGCTGGGATTTGGCAGGCTTGGTGGGGATGGCTCGGGAGTACGGCGAGTCCTTGGACGCCTTGATCCTGCTGTTGAGAGCCCCGGAGTTGGAGATCTCGCTCGGGATCTGGTCGTACAGAAACTTGGGCAGCCGGTCCGGGTCTTTGGACATGATCAACAAGACAGGAATTTCTAGCGAATTTGTTTGAGATGGGTGATTACGTAATCAAACTGGGGAGTGGTGGATGGAAGCAGTTTGCGGCAAGGACTGGTCAACAGAGAGCCAATGAGGCATCCGACCGTATCAGATAACATGCTGGGATCACATACCCGCTCCCATTTCATCTCCCTACAACATTCTAAAGCGGCTTATTATATACAGTTATATGTTCAGTTTGAGCTCGGACACACGCAGCACGGTGTAGTCGTGCTTCACCGGGACATGTCTGACGTGTCTGTCTCTCCGTTTTGTGATCTCCTTGACGTACATGGGTTTCTTTGTTTTTTCCACCACCACGGCCTTGATGGTGAAGATGCTTGGGTCGATGGCCTCTTTGAGGTGGAAGGTGTAGTTTCTGGAACCGATAGTGGTGACGTCGTTGAAGTTGAGCACATCGCCCACCTGGGCGTGTTTGAGCCGGAACGGCAGAATCATCTCGTCTCCCTTGGTCACGAGATACGGTCTGTTGTGGACTCTGAGCGAGGCGTATAGGTCCTGTTCGTACTTCAACGGCGTGAGGTCCGGCACTGTGGACTGGAACCGGCGGCTGATTGTGGCGGCTATGCCTGGTCTTGCCAGGCTTCTAACCAAACTGTTCATCATTGACAAAATTTTCCAATGGAAAAAAAAACTTAAAGGTAATCAACTACTTAAAACTATTCAGCCTTTTTCAAGCTCTGCTTTTTAGCCTCTTTTCTTCTCTGTTTCAGCATGTGCGTGTACATGACGTATGCTCCCGGGAAGTAGATACCCAGACAAACCACCAGGAACCATTTGTACCAGTCGCCGACCGACAGTGCTGCTTCGTCGAGACTCTTGTAGATCATGGTCCACTCGCTGGAGATGCCAATTGGATACAGAATAAGAAACGCGTTGTAACGGAGCCATTTCAGAGTCTGTGGAGGGTTTCCCTCGCTCAAGATGTTGGCTGCGTAGTAGTAGTAGCGGATAATCTCACTAATGGACCACGCAGTGATCATGCTGATGTAGGCCCAATGGGCATTGGCTGGAGAGTCTGGCAGCACGGTGAAAATGCCAATCACAAGCAACAATCTCGACGACACTTGCACCACGGTCGTCACGAGCGGAGAACGCACGTTACCCACGGCAGAGTTGTATATTTCCGTCACGGCAAGACACTGGATCAAGGTGTTCCACGTGGCGGTCAAGTCAAAGATCTCATAGCCGGAATAGAGAATGGCAACAAGAGACGTGTTTACCAGCACGAACGACCAAAGTGCGCCGGAAATAATGTTGTAATTGACGATCCACGAAGGAGAAGACATGGGGGTAAAAAGATTAGGTAATTTTTTATGCCGTTTTTTTACTTAAAGAGTATTCTATTCAAGCCTACTGGAAAACCGTCCCAAACGGTGCGTTTCCGAGTAGTCTGAGTCGTCAACTTCGTTATCGTGATCATGACCAGTGAGATCCTCGCTGTCGGAATCGGAATCAGACAGAGGAAGCTCACTGACTCCTGGAGTGCCAACCTGGTAGTTCAAAGAGCCATCTGCTTGGTATAAAGGATGGTTCTCCTTCACATACGACTGGCCGTCGTCGTTGGGGTCTTCGTAGTCGTCATCATCGTGTGAAAGATCCTCATCCGAACTCATCTGGTGGTACGGGTGGCCGCCGATGGAAGAACTCACAAGATTCTTGTCATAAAACGAGTCAGAACTGGCCTGCTGTGCATCCTCGTCTTCTGAATCCTCGTCCGAAGATCCAAACTTGTCTTGAACGTTACTAGTCATCTGCTGTGTGATGTATCTGGAAAATTGGTCCGAGTCCAAGTCCTGGTCCTGGTTCTCGTTCTCGTTCTTCTCCTCCAGATCGTCGTCGTTCTCCGCGCCGTACTCGCGCTGGTACAACGACAGATCATGGTCCTGGTCCGGGTCCAGCTGCAGCTGGTGCTGGCTTTGCGAGTACTCCTCGTCGTCCAGTTCCTCGTCGTTACCCAAAACAGCATTGTACTTGTTTCGCGTTTGAACAAGAGTTTCGTTAACATAGTGCGTCCATTCCGGATTCATAATACTCTCCTCAATCACAGACGCCTTCCCGTTAGGAACGTGCAACGAGGTGAATTTCACAACCTCTTCCGCAATCAAGGTCAAGTGTCCCATGTATCCAAGACGCAGCTCTGTGTGCTCCTCGTAGTCAAGACATTTGTTGTGTCCGTCAACTATGAGTTTCGTAATGGTACCCCGATCAAAAAGATCGATAGCAAGATATTTGTTGTAGCCAACGTCCATCGACGCGTTCAAAACCTGTTGAACAATGTCAAACACAACGTTGTGCAAGAAATTGTTCCATGGGAACTTGAAAAACATTTGCAGTATCGTTACAATCACATTGTTCTCATAGAGAGCGATCTTTAGCTGGTCGCCAACAACAGGGTTCTCCCGGAGACTCTGTTCGTTCTCGTCCACGTCTTCTGGATTCAATGTTTCCTCGTTCTCGTCAAACCGGCTGGCTTCGTTGGCTTCGCTCATCTCGTCGTAGCTAACATCCTGTGTGTGATCTTTCTCACTCTCCTCGTTCTCTTTCAAATTAAGATTCTCCACCTCCTTCGAAATGTCGATCTCGTCATCAGACTGGGCGTCTGGATTCTCACTCAGCTCCTTGTGTCGTTGAATTAGAATTTCTCTTGCCAAATCTCTTTCAGCGACAATCTCCTCACCCTTTTCGTGGTTTAACAATGCCATATTAGAGCAGTGGATCAGCTCTGCAACAAGCTCGCAGATCTTGAACCGCTCGAACCCAAGCGGCTCAATCTGACCAAACGGCGTCTCCAAAACTTTGTCCACTTTCCTTTCCAGCATCTCGGTAAATTGCGGCATATACTCTGCAAAAACCTTCACCAGAGTGCCCAAATAGATTGGGTCACGAGGACTAGGCGGGTGCGACTCGATGGTGATATAAACCACCGGAATGGCGTCGTAGTCGGAGTTGTTCTTCCGAATGATCTCGATCACAATCCCGACTCCGTTCGAAAGCCCAGTGCCACCACAAAGCATCATCTTGGCCAGCTCCCGCACCATCGGCTCGCTCACAAGCTGTCTGCTGAGCTCGTTAGGACCGATCGTGGTGTTCTCGGCATTATTTGCAGAAATAGTGATAAATGCCTTGAGGAAATCTCCTGCAGCACTTTGAATCGTGGACGGAATGTCTGGTCCCAAAAATGCTATCAAAGAAGGGATCAGGTCCTGCTCCTTCATCACCTCAATGACCCCAGTGCTGGCATCTGGCTTGTCTGTGGAGATCACCTTCAACAAAAAGTCCATCAAAGGCGGAGTATCTATATGTCTCATGAATCTCTCAATCAGATTCGAATCCTGTAAAATAAACTGTATCATTTCATCCATCTTCATGTCCAACAAATGCTCATTAATTTTCATAAAATACGTTGCAAGGAAAATCGGCAACGGTGCAGGCTTGTCCAGGATGCCCCACAACTTTTCTATCAAATGTGGAGCTTCCATGAAAGCATCAGTCAACGACCACACGTCAACAGATAAGATTTCCGCAGCCACTTGTGCTCGTCTAGAATGTCTTTCTGCCGGTGTTTCGTCATCCTCTTCTTCTTCTTCTTCTTCGTCATCTTCGTCCATATTAATTTCTCCAAACGATTCTGTGTCGTCGTCGTGTAACTGATCCTCATCCTTGCCCTCCTTTGTGTCCTCGTCCGAATCAGAATCGCTGTCCGAGTCGCTTTTTTGTAGTGTTGAAGACAACGACTTCGGCTGTGAAGTCTGGGTGGACCCCTCCTCAGACTCAAGCGACTCGTTCGACTCCAATGACTCGCCGGACTCGTCGTCCGACTCAGGCTCGTGGTCTTCCTGCGGTTCCTCCGGTTCCTGTGATTCCTGATGTGTTTCTGTGTCGCCTTCAAGACCTTGTTCCAACTCGCGTTGGTACTCGTCGTCATCAACAATGTAGTTCACCAACGCCTCCATTACTTCCGGCTCGCGCAAGTACTCCACCAGCTTCGCATTCGAAGCAAGCAGCTCAGGAATCGTCTCCTGCTCGTCCAACAGATTCTCCAACGTGAAGTCGGGCTGCTCAAGAATCTTGGTCACCCGAGAAGCATAATTGCTCGTGAATTTCCAAAACCCAGACATGCTCAATAATTCCCCGTGGTTAGATTATGTACACAACCCCAGATGCAATACGAAAACAAATTCCAATACAAGATAGCAACTTCGACACTCTGATTTTGATCCCCTGGTATGTCTCCTTGGTTTTTTTATCAGCCAATTGCCAACTCCTCTCGGCCGGGATTGCGATTACCAGTTCAAAAAGACAATCTCTGTAGCTATGTTCGTGTGGGTTAAACCAAATCGGCTCGCCTTAACGTTGTTCAGGCTTGTCGTGGTACCTCCTGTTTGCAAAATAAATTCGTCTTCCGTTTTCGACAGACAACCTTTTTACTCTCGCCGACAGAAACAAGCCGGGTAAAATAAAAACTTTTCGGGGCGGTGCAAAGAGGAAAGGCCTTGCCTAGTCTATATAGTCTGGAACTGTTCTAACCAGCGCAGGTTTCTATCCAGAAGACTGATCAATCCGTGGGGGTCTGGGTCATATTCAAACAGACCTTGAACCTGGTCTTTGATTAGCACTGGATCTTGCGTTTCAAGCATGATCTTTAGCACCTCCAAACACTCCACTGAAAAGTCTCCGTAGTATCTATGGTTCCAACTCATCAATTTGCAGCACAGTTTCAGCACGTACTCTTCTGTGAGCTTATACTTTGTTGTTTTAATCCCGTGTAGTTTGCTGAACTCGGTAGGGTGTTTCGTGTAGTTCAAATAGTACCGTAGCAATTGGTAGCCAGCAAACACGCTGAACCGGTTGTCCAGACACGTCTTGTAAGGGACCAGCGACGTCTCGAACCGGTGGATGCTGAAACACTCCATGGCAATCAGCTCCCATTCCAGCGCGATGTGCTGCACAGGAGCGTCTTCGTTGTTCATTTTCTCGTTCTCCCAAATAAGCACAGATTTTAGGTTGTCGTAGAGAATTAGAAAAAGCGAGTCCAACCAACGCTCGCTCAGCCGTTTGCCGCGGAACTTGGACACGCGCGGGTTCGACGAAATCGAGCCATTGCGCGAGCGAATCGAACGTGACCGACTGCGACGGGTCTCTACCGGCAGTTGCAGCATGCTTTGGTCGTCCTGGGAGATCTGCTCCCATTGACGTTGCTGTTCCTGCTGTTCCAGAAGAAGCGTGTTGTTGTACTCGTTTTCCATCACAAATATCGACGATCTTAGTTTCAGCAGCTCCGACCAGCCCAATGCCCGCTCCATGATGGCCAACAAGCTGTATGCTTGTCGGAACGTGCTATGAAGCTTGGTGATCTGCTCGTAGATATTGAGATGGATTGACGACACGCCTTCGACGTGCTGGACCGGAGAAAATTCCACAATGCCCCCGTACCCAGAAATACAGCCCAAAGTCTCTGCGTCCTGCCAAACACCCTCCAACTTGCCGTCCAACGGGAACGGGAACTCGAAATCTTTTGGTTTGAGCGCCTTGAAGACGTCTGCCTTCTTGTCCGTATACATTGGACACGAGTTCAGCGCCAACAACCCGTTGTGGAAGTCCTTGTTGAGGATGTGCGACTCAATCAGCGTCTTCCAGCACTCGAACTCGGTCGGCAGACACTCAACGGCTCTTTGCGCGGACGGAAGAGCAAGGTCAGCACGGTTCTGGCCGTTCAAGTACCGCGCCTGTTCCATCAGCATGAGTCCGTCGCGCGGATGTTCATGGATAGACGAATGCATCAATTTCACGGCCCGAACAGTTTCTCCCTGCTGAAGAAGCATTTTGACCTTTAGAACGTTGGCATTTAGACCCTTATGCGACTTTTCGAGCGTCTCGACCTCGCGGAACGCCAGCTCGTACAGCCCGGTGATCTCCAACAGCCGCAGCAGCGCGTCGACCAGGTTGTTGTTCATGATGGTTGGCTGGTTGATGGTGCTAGAACAGCCGCACATCACACCTTTGGGGATCAGCGACACCAGGGCCACAATGGCCTCGGAGGCGTCCTTCTTGGTCTCAAACAAGTTGAACTTGCACATGCCGGGCAACTGGCGCTCGATGTCGTCGGAAAACAGTAAAGATCTCACAATGCTCGAGACATATGTCTCCAACCACACGTTTGAGGATCCGTCCGGAATTTCGTATTTTTTCATGGTTCTGGTGGGCAGAAACTCCGCAAGCGGCACGCCCGTGTCCGGGAACACTCTCTGAATGCGCAGGTCGCCCTTGCTGAAACAATTGTAGGAGCAATAAATACCCGTCACAGGGTGTTTTTCTGTGGCCGGCCGTTTGTCTGCCAATTGCACGGTCTGGAGATACATGTAGGGCTGGACCATAGAAACGGTGTTGATTCCAATACAATAATGGTACTCGCCCACCTCGGATTTGGAAGAGGAGTCGTACTTGGAGAAATGGACCAGATCTGGGGGGCCGAGCTCGTTCAGCTGGTCCAGAACAAGCGTCCGCGCATTGACGCTCTCAGACAGCCTGTTTTCGTATATTCGGGGAACCGCAAGAAACGGGATGTTTTTGGGCATCGCCGAGGCCTTGCTATGCTTGGATTTGTTGGATGTCATGATGATGCCAACAGGAAGTATAATAATAAATAGACTTCGACGCGTCGAAAAGTTCCGGGTAAACGACTGTCGAAAACTTTTTTTCCACTACTGAAAATTCATTCAACACAGTAACAAAAGGATGTTCCGGCGTCTATTTTCCACCTCGCGTCTGGCGTTGAACGTCAAGACGTCCGAGCTGGACCCCAAAAAGCTCAAACACATGCAGTATTTGTTGCAATACTACGAGCCAAAAGTGGTGGAGTCGATCATGCTCGCGGAGTCGTCGATCAAGAAAGAACACTTTGACAACCGCAAGATCGCTGCTGTTCCGTTTGGTCCGCACTACCTGGACGACCTCACTCGCAAAGACCCATACTTCGACCATCTTCCTGAGGAGAAGTACAGAGACTTTTTGAAAGTCAGACAATTGAATAAACCAGACTACCCTCCAGGACACAAGGGAGACATTGCGCAGTTTCTTGGAGACGAGGAAGGTAACGAGATGTCCATGATCATGCAGGATCTGGTGATGTCCACCGGATTCAGCGAGGAATACATCTCGAAGCTGCGGAGCAAGACGTTGATTATTAAAAGCGTGAGAAACCAAACGTCCAAGGGTAAAATCAGCTCTTTCTACGCTCTGGTGTGTGTCGGCGACGGCAACGGAATGCTCGGTGTGGGAGAAGCCAAGGATAGAGACGATAATGTGATGGCTGTGTTCAAGGCCCATTGGCAGGCAGTGAAGAATATGGCCAAGGTTCCGCTGCTCGAAGACAGAACCATTTACGGAAACATCGAGCACAAGTACGTTTCCACCGTGGTTCATCTTCGGTCTGCGCCGCCTGGTTTCGGTCTCAAGTGCAACCCGATGATTTTTGAGCTGGCCAGATGCGCAGGTATCAAGGATCTGGGTGCCAAGGTGTACCGTTCCAGAAACAAGATGAACGTTATTAAATGTGTGACCGAGGCGTTGGTCAACCAACGGTCCATCTCGGAGATCGCTGCTGAGCGCGGGAAGAAGGTTGTTGACCTTAGAGGCATGTATTATTCGGCATCGTGATGTATATAGTGAACATAGCTCATATCCTTTATTTAGACCGTTTTTGAGTAGCCTCTGCAACCAGCTCCTCGAAAATACGGGCTTCTTCCGCCTCCCACTTGGATCGTTCTGCAGTCTTGAAGATCTCTCCAATCATTATAAGAGCCTCTGCACGCTCCACGGCTTTGGAAACGTCGATCGACTTGTCGTACAGAACGGAATCCACAACATCGCGAATGGTGGACGAAATCTCCATCTGGGAACCTTTCCATGCGGCAGCAATGATCTTGCCTATGAGCAATTTTTCCATCTCTGCCACCGCTTCCTCGGAAGGTATTTCCTCATTGGGGGTCTCCTTCTTGTCATCCTTCTTATCAGCGGGCGCTTCCTCCTGCTCCGTGGTATCCTGTTCCGCCTTCTGCATCTGTTCGCGCTTCTCGGTCATCTTGGCCAGTTCCTGCATCGTGCTCTGGGCCTCCAAAGCACTGCTGATGGTTCTAAAAGTGTCCTTAATGATTCCACCCTTTTCTTTCAAAGAGCCCATCCATCCACCCAATCCCAAAAACGACTTGTGCGATTTCAGAAAGATGTTGGCCTTGACAATGTAAATCGACCCGATCGTGTGCAAAATCTCCAGCCCAAACGACTCCATCTTGAGGTTTTCGGCCTCCAACCGGAACTTGCCCTTGAAAGACTCAACAATGTCGCTCGATTTGTCAGTCTCCGTGTACAGCGAGAGCTTCGAAACAAGTTTCTTCACAAGCTCTTCCTTGATTTCGGCCCTGCGCTGCCGACTCTCCTCGTCAAGCTTGTCTTGCTCTTCTTTCTTCACTCTGTCCTGTTCCTTCTTGATCAACTTGGTCTTCTCCTCCTCACTCAGATCAGCATACTTGCCATCGTCAAGCTTCAATGTCCCTGGAGCAGCACCCTGCTGACGAGCCTCCTCCTCAGCTTCCAACTCGTATTGTTTGGAAAGGTTCTTGAATAGGGTCAATTCTCCAATATAGTCCAGAAACGCCTCGCCACCAAAGATCTGGTCAAAGAATTGCTCCGGGTCAGCCATCTCGCTGCTGTCAGAAACTTCCTTCAGTCCATTTTGGTCGTATTTCTGCCGAAGTTGCTTGTCGCTTAATATTTGGTACGCCTGACTGACCTTCTTAAAGATCTCTGCAGCCTCCTCATCGCCCTGATTCTTGTCCGGATGGTACTTAATGGCCAGCTTACGGTAGCTTTTCTTGATCTCCAGGTCATTTGCCGTCGGATCAACCTGCAAAAGGTCATAGTAAGTGGTGTCAACAACCATCGCACTACCAATTTAGTAGGAAATATTTTTTTCTCTAGCCATCTTCAAAATATAAAAGCACAAACATCCATACACCAGAAAGAGTGAACTACAAGCCAGCACGTCTGTGTTTCTGGGCCTCTGCACATTTAACGCCTTGCAAAATGTCCTGAGCCACAAGCTGGTCTGCAGCTACCCGTTTAGGAATGTATTCCTGGCATTTTTCCGCCAGGTCGCCGCTCGCGTCTAACTTCACCACCCCGTTTTCATCTCCGATTATGTAATCGCCAGGGTTTATAGTTTCCTGATAAGGCTCGGGATGGGAGTCCACAGAGATTTTCAATGGGACGTTGATTCCGGCAAGTTTGACCACGGGCGCATGTGCAGCCGAACCGAGTCCGTAGCTGAACACGTTTCTGTTCAGGTCCTGGTGTTCCTGGAGGTCTCTGATACGGCCAAACACCACGGTCCCGGGGCTTTTCAGGTAGTTAGCACGGGTAGACATGAGACCCCCGTACAACGCGTTGTTGATTTTGACGTAGGGAGCATCGAGTTTCTGTAATTCCGGCGTCAATGCAATCACCAGCACGGCATCTGGCGGTAGGTTATCTATGTAGCCACCTTTAATTGCGGTGTAGTTCGGATCGTCCTTTGCAGCGAACAAAACAGTGTAAGCTTTTCCGACCATTGTGGAGCCATTGTGGCTGAATCTTGTGAGGTTGGGCAAATAGCCCCCGTTGGAAACGCCGAACTTAAGCAGGGCGTCCGAAACGTCGCAGGTGGAGTACTTGGAAAGGAACTTGAGCATTTTTGAGAGCCAGGAACTTTTCTCGGACGATTGGAAATAAACTCTGGGGTAGCGAGGATTTGTGGGACGCCAGCAGACGATCGACGCGAGGAATCTCCTTCCGAAAAAAGAAGGACCAAGCTTTCGCGAATACCGGAAGGCTATTGTATGGACAATAGAAAGAACGGTTAGTAAAGAAATTTTTTTCCATGGCGGTGCTGAAAATTTGCTCTCGTTGTGGCTCTCGGGATGTTACAAGGGGTCCTATATAAAGTAAGTAAAATCCCTTCCTGAGCTGTACTTTGTTCAATCGCAATGGTTTCCGCAGCAGCTAACGTTCTTGCCACCATTGGCACGGTTTTATGGTGTATTCAGCTTATTCCTCAGATCATTCATAACTATAAGCGCAAAAACACCGAGGGACTCAACGAGTGGATGATTTTACTGTGGTGTCTGTGTGCTCCGTTCTTTGCCATCTACTTTGTGTCCGAGGAGAGTTCGATCCCCATCCAGATCCAGCCCCACCTGTTCGGGTTCTTCTGCTGGGTGGTTTATTTGCAGGTGCTTTACTATCCGCCAGTGAGCAGATCGAGAAAGGGTATCGTGTTACGCGCCGGACTTTTCCTGGTGTTCTGGGTTGCTGCCGAGGTTGGGTTTGTGATCCCGCTGCGCAGAATCTACCAGAACGGAACCACCTGGCCCGTGCTAGTGTTTGGAATTCTGGGGTCTATCCTGCTCGCTTTAGGACTGCTGCCCCCATACTACGAGCTGGCCAAACGCCAGGGCCGCGTGGTGGGGATAAACTTTGTGTTCCTGGCCACCGACCTGAGCGGCGCGCTGTTCTCGCTGGCCTCGCTCGCCGTCGGCGAAATCGATACCATGGGCCTGATCCTGTACTCCATTTGCGCCAGTCTCGAGATCGGCATCTTCCTCAGCCACGCGATCTGGTGGCTGAGAATCGGAAGAAAAGCAAGCTCCAAAGACGGAGAACTCACACAGGTCAACACAGAAACAGAAAAGATCGTCGAAAAGATCCCAGATTCTGACGACAGCAATCTGGACGCTTTCAAGTCGCCGGGAACTTTGGTGTAAATAGCATGGGTTTGGTAGGTAATCATAATCATTTAATTTTCTACACATCGAATAAATTAGTCATAATTCTATCATGCGGGCCGTCACTGTTTGCCGACCTGGCCAACGATGTAGTCCACGGCCTGGCCGATGGTTTTTATGGCGTCCTGGACCTGGTCCGGGATCTGGATGCTGAACTCGTACTCGAGCTCCATCATGATTTCCACGGAATCCAACGAGTCCAGTCCCAGGTCGCGCGACAGCGACGTCTTCTCTGTCAACGGCGTGCCCGGCTTGATCTTGTTGTAACTCTCGAGCATGTGTGTAATTCGTTGCAGTGCCTGTTCTCTGGTCAGCGAGCCCGAGTCGCTGTAGAATCTCACCGGCACGGCCGCAAGTCTACTGCCAGTCATGCACCAGCCACATGACTGCCTCGTCCGGGCCAGAACAGCAAGAGACCCGCGTCTCGAAACAATCGAAGCCAGCATTTGCTATGGTTTAAATTCGATTTATCTTGAGAAAAATATTCCGGGTAACGTTGAAACGGTGTGAAAATTGTATTTTCAACTTTTCTTCATAATAATGTTCAAGTCGCTGACCGGACGTCTATTTACTGCAGGACGGTTGCTCAATCCCGTCAGGGTCGCCACGCCGTCGGTGACGTCGTTTATCTCGCCGCTCCGCACCGCTTTCTCTCAACAACGGTTTGTCACCATCAACCAGATTAACCGTGGACAACAATATATCAGCAAGAAAAAGAGAGGCTCCAAGTCGCCGGACCTTGAACAGAACCCTATCAAGAAGGGTGTTGTGCTCAGAGTGATGATCCTCAAACCAAAGAAGCCAAACTCCGCCCAAAGAAAAGCCGCCAGAGTCAGACTTTCCAACGGAGAAGTTGTTTCTGCCTATCTGCCAGGAATCGGCCACAATGCACAGGAACACTCGGTGGTTTACGTGCGAGGCGGCAGAGTCCAGGACTTGCCTGGTGTCAAGTACCACACGATCCGTGGAGCTATGGACCTGTCGGGAGTCGCCAACAGAAAATCGGCCAGATCCAAGTACGGAGTGAAAAAGCCTGCTAAAAAAGAGTAATGTACATAGACCATTAATGCTAAGTGGTATTTTTGATTTCTTTCTCGAGCAAGTCCAACGACTCGTCGTACACGTCTCTGTCGAGTTCCAGCACAAAATCCTCGGCCGTGTGCTCGTCGTCCTGTCTAACAACCTTGATCTCGTCGATCTGCTTGCCGTTTCTGTTGATTACTCCACCAGAGTACACCAGTTTCTTGAACCACTTGTACTCGCCGTCGCCAAAACACAGCGTGAACGCGGTACCCGGTCTATTGGCCCGGGCCGTTCTCCCCACCCGGTGGATGTACTCTTTGGTGGATAGTGGCAGGTCGTAGTTGACCACAAACTTGATTGAGTCCATGTTCATTCCTCTGGCGATCAGATCAGTGGCCACCAGAATACCGCCCTGCTCGTCAAATCGCCGCAATAACTGCGTTCTCTGCTGCGTTTTCAGACTGTAGTTGATGCAAAGAATGTCAAGGTCCAACTGAAGCTTGGTACATAGAATGCTCAGCAAACGAGACAATCGGATAGCGCTCTCGTTCGACTTGGTGAAAACCAGTCCGTGTGACGAGTATTGCTGTTGTTGCAGGAATTTGAGCAAAACCATCGGCTTGAAGAACGAAAGCTTCTCGTTGACACGAATATACTTCTCTTCCAAATTGAGCGGAATCTGGTACAACTCGTTCACCAACTGCTCCGTGTTGTTGATCACTATCAGTTTCGGCTTGAACAGCTTCAGATGGTGCAGTTTCTCGGAATCTGTCGTCAGAGTAGCACTGAAGATCAATTTCGTGCACTTGACACCAAAAGTGTTGTAGAACGTCTGGCCAGGCCCAAACTGCTGCTGCTGTTCCAGCTTCGAAACAAGCACGTCACACCAGTTCTGGAACGACTGGTTCAGCAGCCGGTCTGCCTCGTCCACCACCAAAAACCGCAGCTGCGATAGGTCCAGGCCATTGGTCACGTGCTCTACCAGCCGTCCCGGCGTGGTGACCAAGATGTCCGGATTCACGGTAGCCAGTTTATCCGTTTCCTCTTTCACGCTGGTGTCGCTTCTCAGAGCAAGCGCGTTGATGTTGATCCCTCGCGTCAGCTGCAAAATCGTCGCGTACACCTGCGTGATCAACGGCTTTGTTGGCACAAGAATAATACACCGGATTCTGGGAACAACTCGGCCAATTAAACTGTGCACTATTGGAATCAGATAGGCCAGTGTCTTTCCTGACCCGGTCGATGCATTGACCAGATAATCGCCAAAAGGGGTTGGATCGAGCCTATTAGCAGCGATGTCACGCATCAGCGACTCAATCACGTTGATCTGAACGGAAAATGCAGAGCTGATGCCAAACTTTGACTCCAGGTTGGAAATAATAGCAGAATCAATAGCCGGCTCAAACTCCTTGAACGGCTTCGTTTGCAAAGTGTCGTGGTACTCCGGCTCCGTCAGCCAGTCAAGATTCTTGTTCTTGCGCTCTTGTGAATATAAAGACTTGTCTCTTGGTAGTTTGGGCTGCGGAAGAGGTGCAACATCCATCTCAACGTCTGCCTGTTCAGATACGCTGGCGTCGCCGTTCGGGTCGTCCAGCTTGTCCTGCAAACTCATAGTTCTGTTGTAGCGCTCAAAAACAGAAGAATGAAGATCGGGCTCATCATCTTCGTGCGGCCGTTTACGACTCACCTCCGTCATATTTATTAAGTGTGAATCTATGGCTTGAAAAAAATATTTTTCCTAAATAAATTATCATGGCTGTGCAGCTCTGTTCTATGAGGTATTGGGAACAGCAACAGGCGAGTAGTCTTCGCTTTCGTGTTCGCGCGCGCGGGTTTGGAGTTCGTTGATTTCACTCTGGAGCCGCTCGACCTCTTTCTGGAGCTTCTTGCCGTAAAAGTCAATATAGTACGTTGCTCCGTTGTAGCTGGCCATGAAAAAGATGAACGACAGATAGATCGAGGCAACGTACTTGTATTTGAACACCAGAGGACAAACGCTCATAGTTCCAAGCTGGTACAGGTACTGCAGTGCCATAAATGCGAAAACAGGGAACGGTTCAGGCAGGGAGTTGACAAACTTGCCGACCGGTTTCTTGGCAAACGCCTTGCGAAGGTGCTCGAAAGAGGTGATCTTGCCGTTTTTGATCTTGTCTGCGCGCTTGACAGTGATAAAGTAGTGGTAGAGCGACTGCCACACGAAATACATCGCCGATGTGTAGAGAATTCCGTTCCAAATCTCCCAGCTTTTGAGTTTCATGGCGCCCGCAAACCGTTGCTGTCTGAACTCGGATGGTATCTGGTGCGTTATCACGTACATCACCGTGGGAGGAACCACGTGAATGAAGGTCGAGGTGGTTTTATCGATCGAGTGCAGAACAAGCTTGTTTTTCCACGTGATCACCGCAAACGAAAGTGTTCCATACGAGAAGCTCAAACAACTCACGTACAGCAGTTTCGAGTCTGGAAACACCCAAATAAATAGCATCAGCAGCCCATTGACGTAGTAGCATAGGTCTGCAAGGTAGTAGCCCCAGTTCATTTTGTAGTACGTGATGAACCGGATCGGCATCAGAATCACAAACATCAACGTGTACACCCAATGGAACCATTCTGGGTGTTTTCCAATGACCAGTCCAAACAGGAAGATCATGTACACAGACGTTGCGTAGTACAACTTCTCTGTTTTAGAAGCGGTGATGGTCTTGTCGATTCGCACGTACAATTTGTCAAGTCTATTGTTGAGAACAGACTTGAGGTTTTTCATGTCTTCCTGGTTCAGATTGAACTTGAGACCCTTCTTGTTGAGCTTGCGGATCGACTCCGACGAAATGTTCTTGACCCGTTGGTATGTAGGTAGTTTGCGGATCTCTGTGGAGAGAATTTGCGGGTTCAGCAGATCGAAAAACGAAAGGTCGTCCATATTGATACTGCTAGAAGAAGACCTTCTGGGGATCCGCGACTTCTTGTCGTGGCTCAGATCCAGTGCCATCAGCAACGGGGAGTCGGAATCAGAAGCCGACTTCATCAACGGTGTGGAGTTGACTGTGGACGGCTGGCTCACAATCGCGGACTCGGCGTTACCGACTTCGGCAGACGACTCGCTGGAGTCGTTTGTGTCTGCAGCAGGCTGATCGGGCGGCTGTTTCGTCATGGGCAGGAACGGTACCTAAATAAATAAATTGTATATTTAAACAAGCAAATTTCACATGCTACCAAAATATGTTGGCACTGAACGTGGGACCCTAGGGGGTGATTACGTAAGAATATAGAAGTGGTGCTGGTATAAATGGCAGCGACTAGGTCCAGCGATGGGACTCGTCGCCCTGGTCCCAGGACTTCTCGACATAGCCGAGCTCTTTCTTGACCCGCGCAACAGTGGCCGGGTCGCCCATGTTCTTGCCCAAGTTGTCGCTGATCTTGATGGCCGGGTTGCCGTTCATGCTACGCAGCTTGATGACGATGTTGAGCGGCGCAGACCCTGCGAAATCGTTCGTGAGGTTCGTGCCAATTCCGAAGGACGCCTTGAGCCCCACCGAGTCGGCCTTTTTCTTGTACTCGAGGCACCGATCCACGTTTAGCGAGTCGCTGTAGCACAGCACTTTGGAGAACTTTGGTAGCTTGAGCACGTCAAAGTAGTGGTGGGCAATTTTGTCGGTGTATTCCAGCGGCGACCCTGAGTCTTGGCGCACACCGATGTAGTGGTCCGAGTACGGCGGAACGAACGAGCGCAGAAACGCGTCGGTGCCAAAAGTGTCCGTGAGAGCCAACCCGGCGTTGGCAGGGCCCATGGTGTCAAGCCAGTAGTCCATGGCGAGCTTGTTTGCGTTGGTGTAGTCCTGTGAAATGGCGGCGATGCCCATCATCCACTCGTGGCCGACGGTTCCAATGGGCTTGACTCCGAACTCTTTGGCGAACATCACGTTGGACGTGCCCAGGAAGCCTGTTCCGTTTGCAGACTGTTTGGCCGCCTCGCACAGACCTTGCATCACGAGCCGCTGTGTGGCCAACGAGCGTCTTCGTCTCGTGCCAAACTCGCTGAAAACACAGCCGTTTTCGAGCAGCCGCAGGCCCTTTTGCTTAGCTTTTTCCAGCTGGCCGTCGTTCGACCATTCCGTGTCCACAAACCGGAAATACGCCTCGGAAACTAGCGACAGCAACGGGATCTCGTACAACGTCACCTCTGCCCACTTGCCCGAGACCTCCAGGCCAAACTGGGCCGGGTTGTCGAGATTCGTGATCTTGACCTGTTCCGCCGGCCGCAGCTGGAAATCCTGGATGTATTCGAAGTACTTGGCCGGCATGTACGGCAATTGCGTGCGCAGATACTCTATCTCGTCCGCGGAGAACCTGAGCGTGCCCAAATGCGAAATCTGCGCCGACAGCCATTCGACAGCAGCCGTGTTCAGCTCCATCGATGGCGTCCTGTTCGTGTACGTGAACACGGCTTCGGCGTTGGGCAGGTTTGTATAGATAGCCGCGTGCATCGTGATCTTGTAAAGATCCGTGTCCAGCAAAGAGGTAATAACAAAGCTCATTATAATGTGCAAAGTTTATCTAGATAATTTTATCAGTCATATCACGACTAAAAAATAGCGTCTTCTCCGAGATTGCGGATTTCGTCTGCCACGGGCGCCAGACGGGTGGTTTTCATTTCTGTTTCCGTAATTCCAAACACTTTCAGTCCGTACAGCGCCAGCACGTCCGGATGGCCCCAGTTGTCCTCAACAACCAGTGCGACGCTTTTGATAGGATACTCTTCCAGCACAGCAAGCACCTGGCGCGGAAGCGGGAACGTCTGGTATCTATTGCGGGAGCCTGTCTGATAGACGAACTCGCTTACTTTGGCCAGGCCGCGGAGGTTGGAGAAAACGAGGTCTTGGTTGTAGTGTGCTGCCATTTTCGACTTGAGCAGCTTTGTGTCGCGAGAATTGGCCGCCTCCACCAGCAGAGACACCCGTTTTGGCGCACATTCGAGAGTCGTTGCCGTTTGTGGGTGGTAAATCCCCGCCTGTCGCAAGTAGATCGGCTCACTTAGCCGCACTCCGTAGGTTATTGGCAGGTCTCGCACCAAAGCCTGCCAGAACTGCGAGTTGTCCACCAACGCGTTGGACGGCGAGTTTTCCTGGCTCGTGAGCTCCACGTTGTTGAGTCCCGTCAGCGCACGCTTGTGGCCCTGCACGTTGCGCTTGATGAAGTCGAGCCAGCCGTGCAGCACCCTGTCCAGTGCTTTGGTACGCACCCGTTGCAGTTTCGGCAGCGTCGTGTACTTCTTCACCACGCGCGCGCCGCGGTCGTAGCTTGCAAAGTTCGCCGTCCCCACAATGCGTGGCTCCAGCCGCTGATTCAGCTCGTGTTGCACCAACTGCGGCACCGCCACGTCCAGTTCCTGGCGAGAGTAGCCGGTCGACTGCAGAGCGTCCAATTGCGAGTTGATCGACGAGATATGCACATTAACCTTGTCCAACACCTCTGACGAGGTCTTTTCCTTGATCTGGTCGACTCCCAGGTGGTCAAGCCGCGTCTCAATGACCGATTGGAGGTCTTGGAGCTTTTTTTCAGCCAGACCCTCCAGTTTCGCGTCCAGAGAGTCCTGGAAATACGCCACCACAATGCCCTCCACCGACTTCTTCAAGTCCTCCTCCACACCTGTTTGACGGCTCTTCAACTGGCGCACCTCGTGCCCCAAAACCTCCACCAACTTGTGATCCTTTGACTCGACACCAGCAGATATCTCGGCCAATTTGTCATTTATGTCCCCAAGCTTCTTCTCCAAGCCGCGCACCTTGTGATGGAGAAGCCCAAAGTCGGCGTCTGTGTCGTAAAAACTGGTGTTTGAGGCAAGTTTCGCAATCACAACAAGAACCAAAAACACAATTATTGCCGGAACCGTCTTGATCAGATAGACAATCGTTCTGGACTTCAAGAACGCGGGCGGCTCGGCGTCCTGAATCACCGTCTTGTCCTCGTCGTCAGACTCAACAATCGTCTCATCCAGCGACTCGTCGCGGTCGTCGTCTACCCAGTCCGAATCAGACTCAGACTCAACAGGGACCGAGTCGTCGCGACGTCGGAAGTACTCCCTGTTCAAATACTCAATGTCGCGCCGTTCAAGCAGGCTCGACTCGTCGTCCGACCCAGTCCAGTCGAAACTGGACGCTATCTCCTCTAACTTGTCTTGTATCTCCATACGCGAAATAAATATTAAGTTATTTAATTGGGGGCATTAATTTGGGTGGCTGTAGACTCTTGGGTCTTGACCTCCCAAGGCTTCTTACGTTCGGTCAGAGTGCTATCTGAGGCGATCTCCGCGCCCAGAACGGTGTCTGGGATCTGTTTGATGCCCGGAATCGGCTTGTTGTTGACTATCAGGTCGACCAATTGCTCGTAGTTGGACGAGTACGGGATCTCTGCGTCTTGCGGCTTGGTTTCCGTCTTTTGAGCTTCCCATTTCTTGTAGTCGTCCAGGTCCAGGATGTTTCCCGTCTTGGAACAGAAGAAAAACACCTTGGCCTGCCAGATAAGCTGCTCCTTGTCGGCCGGCTTGATTTTAGCAAAGTCCAGCTTGCCCTCCGAAACGTCCTTCTGGATCTCCAGATCGGTCTCGCTTTGAAGCACCAAGTACTGCTCCATCACCTGGCGCAGTCCGGCCACGTAGTCGCGGTCCGACTCAAAATCGTAGCGGGAAAACTCCTCGTACACAGAATCCATAAAAATATAATCTTTCGTAGTAATTATTAATGTACAAACAGGTTGTGAAAACATTTTAATGCGGACCCAACAGACACCACAAGGAAACAGCACACAGGCCTTAGCGTATGACAGGCAATCAATGGCCTTTTAAGAAAGTCTCTGCGAGACCGCTTCGCAAATCCTTCGTCTCATCGCCACTCCCTCCGTTTTGTTGTTTCCCCATTCCAATCGCTTTGCTGTGCTATCAAGCCACACCTAGTACTGCTCTCCCTCGATCTCCTTCTTCTCCAGCGGGTTGTATCTCAGGAACTTCTCAATCAGGTCCACATGTGTCAGCACCATACGTCTACAGCAGTATCTCTTGAGCTTCAAACGGTCCAGAGCATCTCCCTCCGTCATGTTGTCCTCCTGAAGGTACTGGAGATACGTCTCCCACTTGTCACCAACGACTTTGCCACAAGAGAAACACCTAACAGGAATAATCATGTTGTTAAAAAATTTTCAGTTTATTAAAAAAATATTTATTTCTACATCAAATGGTCCTTTCTGACTGGAACCTCAATTTTGGTGCCGGTGGCCGTCTGTTAGGCCGCGCCCAGCTGCTCTCGCCAGACTCCAAGTTTGCGATCGTTCCTTTCAAGTCCCAAATCAAGGTATACTCGCTTGCTACCAGACAGTCTGTGAGAAGCATCAAGGTGGATATCGACTTCGACACGGTGGTGGACTCGGTTCTCAGCGAAACAAACCCAAACCTGGTGTATCTGTTCACCAAGACCAACCAAGTGGTTGTGCTTAATTGGAAAGAGAAACTTTTGTCCCCGGTGGTGGAAACCCACTCTCTCGAGCTCCCAGCACCAATAGTGAAATTTGTGCGATTCGGCAACTCCGAGGACGAGTTTTACTTGTTGATCGGGAAATCCACAGCAAAACCCCAGCCACACACACGGTCTTTGCTTAAAGTTTCCAAGGACTCCAAACACCACGAAATAATGTCGCTGAAAAATGTCACTCTTTTTGCTGCCTCAGCAGACAGATCGACCCTTGCATTCCTCACAAACAAAAACCAGCTGTACTTACAAACTAATGACAACGAGATCGAGCAGGTGCCGATCTCTTACAAGACACAGATCACCTCGTTGGCCGTTTCGAATACCCCATCGCCGATAATAGCTCTGGGAACCGTTACCGGTATCATCCAGTTCTTCTACGTTGCAGACACCAACAAGTCGCAGCGTCTGTTGAAATGGCATATTGGTCCTGTGAACACCGTCCGTTTTAGTCCCGACGGCTCATATCTCTTGTCAGGAGGACAAGAAAAGGTGCTTGTTTTCTGGCATTTGGAATCGGACAACCAGCAGTTCCTGCCCCGTTTGAACGGAGAAATTGAAAACATCGAGATCTCTGCCACCACTGAGCAACTCTACGGAGTTACTCTACGTCTCACTCCGTCTGATAGAGAATACATCGTGCTCAGTGCTGTGGACCTCACCTCCAGACTGAACGTTAATGGTGTGCGGCCAAAGTTTGCTACTGAGCTCGAATTTATAGAGAAAGACCGTCGCCAGCTGCAAAAGAAAGACGTCCAACTTGACGACAAGCAGATGACAAGAATTCTGCACGACTACTCGTCGCAGTTCGAGGTGCACCCAACTTCGAAGCTGTGCTACTTCCCCTACGGCCCCCACCTACAGGCATTTGATTTTGCCAGAAACGAGCAGATTTCTGTCATGACCGCCGCGCCAACCATCCAGGCCGGTAAGGTCCGGAGCGAGACCAGCATCCAGGACCCGGAGATTGAGCAGCTCGCGTTCAGCCAGGACGGCAAGTGGATGTGCACTTTCGACAAGCTGCAACCGCCGGAAATCGACAGCCTGCCTTCGCGCAAAGACTCACAGTACGCCCTGAAGTTCTGGAACTACGTCGAGGGCAAGGACCAAGCCGGCTGGTCGCTCTCGACGAAGATCATCGACCCGCACGGGCCCGGCGTGGCCGTGGTTGCAATGGTTTCTGCGCCCCAATCGTACAACGACGGACTGGCGTTTGTCACGGCAGACAGCAAGGGCGGTGTGCGGTTGTGGAGACCACGCGTGCCTAAGGAGATCTACCAGAAACTCGGCAAGGACAAGAAACTACAACAAACCGCATGGACTCTGCGTAAGGTGCGCAACGGCAGCGGCCGCTCAGAAAGCAGAAGCGCCAGTATCTGCTGGGCACCGGACGCGTCGGTGATTGCGTTCGGCCAGGAGGTCAAGATTAGTCTCATTGACGTGAACACTTTCGAGGACACCGAGGTGCAGCTCCCGTCGATCGCCGGGTCACGTGTTCGCTCGTTGAACATCATCGACCGGTATCTTGTTGTTTTGGCCAGAGACCGGCTGGTTTCGTTTGATCTGCTCACTTTTGCCACGAGCGAGCTTGCCGTGAAGGTGAACACGCTCGTCGGCGGCAAGAACCAGATCGCCATCGACCACGAGAGGGGGTTGGTGTGCTACTGCGTCAACTACTATTCGAAGAGCTTCCAGTTGCGTTCGCGGATATTTGTGTTTGAGCCGGCTAAGTTGCAACCGGTGTACGTTTCGGAGCACGACACAGGCATCTCCAGCGTGCGCTACTCGTCCGGAACCGGCTCGTTCGTGCTGGTGGACATCGACGCTCAAATAGGCGTTCTGGGAGCAGGCGCCGGTGTGTTTGACGAACAGTCGCACCTGGACCGCGCGTTCGAACTCACCACGTTGCTCACAAACGCTAAACAGATGGTTTCCATCAGAGAGACTAGTTCCGACGTCGACGGCGAGACACGGCCGCTCAACGCACAGGCGTTTGAGCCCGTTCTTGAGAACCTCGAGGGGCTTCCTGTGGAGGTTCTGTTTGACCGCGTGATGAAGATCATTGTGTAGAGTGTAATTCATAGAAAGTTAACCATCCAATTGAAATCCCACGGGGCGTTTTCTTCGTCTAACAAGATAAAGTCGGTCTGGCACACATTTTCTGAGTTTCAAGAACCAGGTCTCCTGATCCTTGCTACCAAAATAACGACGCTTACATAATCACACAGATCAAATACCGGCCGGCAAGTAAAATATTTAGCTAAAATATATTCAATGGGTACTTTTGACAACAAAACGTTCCGGTCCAAGCGCCAGCAGGCGGCTTACGAGCGCACTTTCATGGGAAAGTACCAGTCGCTCATCAAGAAAAACTCGTTTCTGTATCTGGGACTGCCGATGATGCTGTCTGTGGCGTTTGGCTCGGTCATCTTGTCCAAGTTCACCGCATTGAGATACGAACAAAGAGACGAGAAAGTGAAGGAGCTGGACGAGCAGCAGGCGATGGACCTGGTGACGAAAAAACGCAAGGTCGACATCAAGGAGGAATACTACAAGTTGCAAGGACTGATGGACCAGCACGAGAACTGGGAACCGAAACGAGTCGAACGACTTCCTGGGGAATCCGACAACGTTTGGTGAGTCCAAGTCGGGCTGTGTTCCGCATACATTTTTTTCTTTAGCGGAAAAAAAAAATTATCAGATCCAAATGGTTTCGTTCTCGTGTGAGGTTTGCAACGACACAGTTATCAAGAAGAAGCTGGCCATCCACCAAAGACAGTGTCAGGGTGCTTACTTCACTTGTATCGACTGCAACAAGACGTTCTACAACAACGAACATGTGCAGCACACGAGCTGTATCACCGAGGTTGAAAAATACGAAAAGGGCTGGAAAGCTCCTAAAGTGCAGGCTCCTGCCAAAGTGACGAACCCCGCCAAGATAGAAGCCAAGAAGAACAAGCCGGCGGAGGAGAAAAAAACTCCTCTGCTATCGTCGTTTGTCTCCGACTCAGACTCACTCTACAAAGTTCTCAAAAAAGCTCGCAAAGGACTCAACAAGGACAAGTCCAAGCTGCTCAAGGCTCTCAAGGTGTCCAAAAACCCAGACGGCTCTATCACCGTCTCGCTGTGATTATACTGTATATAAATATACACTATTCGACCTTTTTATTTAAAGATCTGCCCAGTTTGTTGTAGAAGTTGTACAAGGTGCTTGAAGGGAAGGTCAGGTTGTCCAACAAGTACTCAGGCAGCACTTTGCCAAGCTTGTCCAGGTTTTCTGCCCAATCGGCACTATCCAAGTCAGGCTCGCCGTCGCCGTGTTCGAGAATCGGAATGTACACTATTTCTCCTGCTCCCAATTTGCTGATAAGCAGCTGGTATATCAGCGTGCACGTCTCGCCCGCTTGCTTCATTTTGAAAATCATGTTTTCCGAGTCCTCAGTGTACTCGAGACACGATAAACCGGTGAGAAGTTCCATGATCTCGAGTTTGGTGCCAACAAGATCGAGTTCTGCCACGGCTTCCTCCATCTTGGACTCGCGTTGAGCAGGGCCGCGTTTTGCGCTCTGCGACTCGTGCTCTGCCACCAGACGAGCATTTTCCTTCTTCAGGGCGTCCACTTGTCGTTTCAGCTGCTCGATCTCTTTTGTGGAGGTCTTGTCTGTTTGCGCAGACTTCAAACCCGTGCGTAGCTTTTGGTTCTCCTTTGTCAGGTTCGAAATCAGAGTCTCGCTCGCTTGCTGTTTCCGCTCCGACAGTTTCTTGTAGTCCTGGAACATGCGTTCTGGCTTGGACGAGGTCAAGTCGTTCAGAATATTGGTTAGCGCTTTCAGATCTTTGCGTTGGAACAACTGGGAGATTGTAGCTTCGGACGGCAGCTTGAACTCAGGGCGTGTCCTGGTGGGCGAGAGCAGCGTGGATCGATCGGGCGTGTCGAAGAGACGTTTGGACGGCGTGAAAAGAGCGGCTGTGGGCTTCAGATCAGGTTTGGGCTCGGGCTTCTTTTGTTCTGGCTCAACGTTTTCCTTTTGTTCCTCAACAGTCTCTGTTGGCTCTGATGGGTCAACTTCTTCGTGCGTTTCTGGACTGGCAGACTTTTCCTCCTGCGGCTCAGGCTTCGACCGCGTGGTACGTTTGCTCGGCGACTCTGCGCGCTTAGTTGTCTTTCTCTTTGCCATGACGCGAAACACAAAAAATCAATATTTACGTTTCTCAGGTTGCACCTGTTCGAAAAAGACCGCCACACCCTTGCACCATAAACACATTCAGGTCAAAGTGGACCACCATGCCTCGGTGAGCACGCCGGCCTCTGTTTTGAACTTCATCACCACTCCGTACGACGCAGAAACAGTCGCCATCAGCGCTAGTTCGCGGCTCAGAAAAGAAGTGTGGATCGGATCGTCTCGGTGCACAATGTCTCTGTACAGCTCGTAAATCACTTTGATCCAAAATAGAACAAATCCAATCACGTAGAATATCAATGGCGGCGTTGTTGCAATAGAAACCATTAGCAGTGGGATATTGTACAAGATATGGGCTTCCAAAATGAAATACTGACTAAAGCTTCGAAACATGTCCAATGGAGGTCCCAGCAAGTAGATTAGGAACCGCTTCCATCTCGGTACTTCCCTCACTTGTTGAAGAGTAATTTCTTCGTTCTTGTCTTTGCCAATCAGCCAAGCGTATAGTCTTTGACGAAGATCGTCCAATGTGTGTCTCGGTGGCAGCATGGACATCGATATGATCTCCAACGCTCTAGCAAGCCTTTCTTCTTGGTTCTTGTCGCGCTCTGGAGCAACCACAATTCCATGGCTTGTAGTTGCGTAGGTCATTGGAGTATTAGGGGGACCTGGAGGCCCAAGGGCCTCTGAACGCAGACTCATTGCAAAGAAGGATGATTCCGGTTAGGCGCTAAGCTGAAAAATTCGGGGGTTTAGTTTCATACTCGTAGAACCGGCACTCATGCACAGAAGAAATCGCACAATGTATCCTCGCATGGACTCTTGACTATCTGGCGTTTAAATCCCTGCCCGGTCGAATTATCCCTTTGATTACGTAATTGTCGGGCTAGCGATATGTTCCTAATTGGGCAAGAGTAGGCGGAGGTGGGGGGAGGGGAGGAGATAAAGCATGGGCGAAAAAAAATAAAAAACACAAGACAATCTCACGACCATGACGACAGCACGTCCTAAGCCGTGGGAAACCGGCACTTCGACCGCGTCCACCACATCAAACTCAACAGGCGATTCTGTTGTGTCTTTAGCATCTACGGGAACATCCACCACTGCGCCCGAACTACCAGAAAAACCATCATCGCTTACAGCCAACCCAATGACGAGCCTAAACGGATCCAACATGCTTTCACGCACTTCGCCCTACTACGGTGGGTATGGTAACTATGGGTCCAACTCCATGTATGGCGGAGGCATGTACAACTCATATGGCTCCTATGGTTCGTCCATGTACGGATCGCTGTACGGGAACGGGATGTATGGGAATCGATACGGCCGCATGGGCGATATGGGGGGAATGAACAACGGAATGATGGGGCAAGGCATTGTTGGCTCTTTTACACAGGGCACAGAGGCCACGTTCCAGCTGATAGAGAGCATGATAGGAGCTGTGGGTGGGTTTACCCAGATGCTGGAGAGCACGTATTACGCGACACATAACTCGTTTTTCACGATGATGTCGATGGCAGAGCAGTTCCAGCACCTGAAGAGCGCCATGGGGTCGCTTTTGGGGATCTATGCGCTGTCGAACTGGATCAAAAAGGCACTGCGCGCGATCAGCGGGGGAAAAATCAAGATCAGTGTCGACGAGTTCAAGAAGAAGATTGACAAGAACAAAAATAACAAGGACCACAATAAAGACCGGATGTCGCTGAAGCCGCTGCTGTTTTTCCTGGCTGCGGTGGTAGGACTCCCTTATGTGATGAAGAAGCTGGTTGCGCAGATGGCCCAGCAACAGCGCAGTATTCTGAACGGACCGGAGGGCCGGAGCCAGGGTGCGATTACTGGCTCTGGAGCGTCACAGGACGGCCCGGTGGATGCAAAGAAGCTTGAGTTTGCGCGGGCGCTGTACGACTTCAATCCGGAGAACGAGGACATGGAGCTGAAGCTCAAGAGGGGAGACCTTGTTGCGATTCTGAACAACGCAGATAGCTGGTGGAAGTGCCGCACGCGCGATGGCAGAATGGGTTTTGTTCCGTACAACTACTTGCAGGTGATCAAGCGCACGGCGAAGGAGGTCACTGGTGTTGCTGACGCGACGGTCAAGGCCGACGTTGAGGAGTTTAAGAAGCTCAAGTATTAAAGTGCACAGCCTCGATAATATATCTGCAGAGGGTTTTTTCCGTGTAAATGCGCTGCACAGCCAGTGGATTTTATTGTAAAAAACTTATTTACGATGGAGTACAACATGGAGGCGGGAAACCAGTATGGGTGTAAGTATTTGCCCGAACCGCACTAACCAATCAGACCCGATGGATTACAACCTTCAGTACCAGCTGTCAAAGAAAGACAAGAGACGACAGCAGATCCAATCGAAACTGGTCAAAGTGGAGGACCAGTTTCAACAAGAGAAGGATTATTTCTACCGGGACTCTCTGATCCAGTTGCAGTACAAGTTGAGCTCGCTGCACTCGGGCGACAATCCGCAGTATCTTCAAAGGATACGGGATTTCCAGGAGCAGCGGGACGCCGAGCTTGTTCGTCTGAAACTGGCCGAGGAGTACCAGGTACAATTTATCAACAAGCAATTTAAAGAGGACTACGACCGGGCCGTTGATGAGCGCGAGAAGGTGATCCAGATGGTCAAGGACAAGCTCCACGAGCGGATTTTGAAGAAGATCAAGCAGCTCAAGGAGGACAAGGCCTTAATAGACGTTGCCACTACGTCCTCCTCGCACACAGCCTCAAGATACACGAGCAACGGGAGCGCGAAGGAAAACGGCTACAACAGCGGGTTTGAGTCGTCCACGTCGTTCTTCTTCCCGGGCGAGAGACGCTCACGTCGAACGCACAGCAAGCGGTACGAGTCTGGGCCGTTGCATCTGAGCAACGCCGAGGATTCGTACGACTCGGGCACAGGAACAGGAACAGGCAACGGGTATGCTTCAAGCTCGGGCCGCAAGCGGTTCAAGCTGACCCGGCACCTTGGATCTGGTCAGACCATGGGTACGAGGAGCGGCGACGCGTCTTCTGCTGGCGAAGAGACCGGCTCGTCCGTGAAGGTGGTCACCGATAACCCTGAGCTGAACGAGTTTTTGTACGGCGAGGAGTTCATCAAGCGGCAAGAAAAGGCCAACACCCGGCACTCTACTAAGAGCTATCAAGGGTGTCCTGGTCTGAAGCCCGAAGAGGTCAACGAGGACCTGAATTTCCTGCGTGGAGCTGTTGGTGCTATTCAGAGTATGAAGAGGAAATAGTACACGTTGGCTATTTACATGTTTTGAGATGAGAGCTTTTTTGCGAGCTCTTTGTTACCGCCCCGCTGGTACACGCTGGACACCATGTCGAACAGAATAGAGTCGTAACAGCGGATGTCCCAGCCGGCCCCGTTGGAGATGTCAAAGACGATCTTGTCGCCTCTGTCCAGAGCCATGACGAACGGCAGCAGCTCTTGTTTGTTGAACTGCGGGTTGATGATCTGTGTTTCCAGGTACGAATTAAAGTCTCTGGAGAAGGCATAGTGGCTGATCAGACGGGAACACAGGTCGACGTGGCTGCGGTCGACTTGCGGCTGGTTATAAATCTCGGCAACAAGATGCAGGACGGTCTTGTTGAGAATGGGCAGCTGAGCGGTGGTCATCATGTTGAGCAGCTGGGCGACCCGGTCGAACTGCGCGGCGCTCACCATGAACAGGCCGTGCAGCAGGAACGGCGTGGGGGCGATCGCGTACAGCACGGGCGGCATATCGGGCGCGGTTTGCAGCCACTCGTTGACGCTGTCGACGCGGAGGTTGTTGCTGGCAGACCGTTTGATGGAATATAGTCCGTGGTGCTCGTAAACGGTGGGGGACTTGACCCACGGTTGGTGGGTGCTGGCTCTTTGCACGTGGAACGGTTTTGCCGCAACTTTGTTTGCGCTCGCAAACATGGCCTCCAAGATGGACAGCACGGCGTCGTGCTGGCCAAACACGGCGAGTTTCAGCACAATCCGCTCTAACAGTCCCCGGTCAAGGTGAATTTTTTGTGCACGGCACAAATCAGTCAGATTCAGCAGTGTATTGAGCGAGGAACACTTCTCCACCAAACACCGCACCAGCCCGCCGTCTGCCGGGACGCGGGTCTGCATCAGCTGGATGATATGTTCGATGTGGCCCGGGTACGTGTCTATGAGGAAGCTCCAGGTGTGTGGGTGGAAGAACTGCCGGTCCACAGCGACCTGTGCGACCTGTTCAAAGCCTGGCAATGTGCGCGTGTGGAAGTACACCAGTTTAGTTTGCTCGGAGGGAGACAGCTCGAGCGCGAGGTCGTCCAGAATGCGGATCGCCGTGTCTGCTGTTGCGAGACTGTCTGTATGCGTATTGAATATCAGGGTAACCAAATTGTGTAGCTGCCACTGGGACAGTCTTGGCTTGCGTGGGGTGGGGGTATCGAGGTAGATCTCCCCCGCCAAGTCGAGGTCTTTTCTGCTGATGGCACGGTCAAGCATGATTGACGTTTCTGGGGGCAGTGGGGTATGCTGCATCAGTTCGGGCAACGAGCGCGGCGCCGCGAGACTTAGACGACGCGGACCTAGTCTCACGAGCGGAACGTTTTTCCGGCGGAGCAGTCTCACAATAGACTTGAGTGATGCGTAGCGGGGGTTCTGCAGAGCGGCGATAGTGTCTGAGCAGAACCGGGCCAGTCGCGTGTCGTTCTGCGGGGCCGGTCTGGTGAGCGACGTTTGCCAGTCGGGCGCCAGGGCGGTGTGCACTCGTCGGAACACCACCCCCACCGGGCACGCTCGCCGGGCCAGTGCTTGCACGCCTAGTTGGATCATTTACAGATTACTATTGCAAGCTGGAAAAAAAAGTTTGTATCTGCACAGCCCGGAATTGTGCTGTAGGAAATACCGGTAGCAGGAGCGAGTGCCAGCGTTCCATCAGCACAGGCCAAGCGTTCTGCGCACAGCGCGCGGTATTGTGTGCGCAGGCCGCAACAAGGAATTTCGGCATTTCAAAAACGGAAATCCCAGATGCACACACCCATTCGGGATTTGCTTAGCCAAGTGGCTTAAAATGTCTCATATAAATAATCACTCCGTCCCCCTTATTTTCTCATCATGTCTAAATCCGTTTTGCCAGAGTACACCGACGTGACCTTGCCTAAGGCTGAGGTCGACGAGTTGCAGGACACCAAGAGAAAGTATGAGAGAGTCAAGAAGGCCCACAAGATTGGGCTCGGCATGCTGTTGTTTGCCGGACTGTGTCTTTTCCTGAATGCGCCTCACGACCCACCTCACCATGAGTTGAGACCTTTTGACCACCACGGCGGCGAGATGCACAGAGTGCACGAGGGTGTTGATGCTTTTGAGGCCCACGACTTTGAGCACCCAGCTACACCTCCACCAATGCTTGGCAAGGACTGTGGCGATAAGGCCCGTAAGGCCCACAAGATGAAGGGCAAGGGCATGAAGCACCACGGCGGCAAGGAAATGAAGGAAATGAAGCACCACGGAGCCAAGAAGGCTAAGGAGGCTAAGGAGGCTGAGAAGGCCGAAAAGTCTGACAAGGTCGAGGAGTCCCGTGAGGAAGACCAGTCCGACGCCGAGTCCGACTCCGACTCTGACAACTAGGCCCGCTCGCTATTTCGGTTACGTATTATGGTTATTAAACTCCTTCAGTATTTGTTCTCTATCAACCATTTGCCCAGCTCCGGCCCGAAAAAGTCGGACACCAGCTCGTGTTCGTACTTTGACAGTCTCGCTATCGTGTCAATCAGGTCGTAGTTTATCTGTTCGCTGACGATGCTGTCCTTCTTGTAGTCTGGGTGGCTGACCACGAAGTTGCGGATGTAGCTGGCAGTGGACGGGATCTTGCCAGAGGCCCGGTAGCTCACCAGCTTCAGATACGCGTCTAGCTTACCTGTGGCTGCGGGCTCCCAGGTCTCCTTGATGAACTGCCGCACCAGCGACAACAAGCCCTCAAAGGCCGCGCCGCCGTTGAAAATCTCGTCCAAACTCAGCTGTGCAACCTTGGCCGGCCCAGACTCCCAGATGTTGGTGCGGAAGTGGAACTTGTGCTCCACAATCGCGTTGCGCCGGTGCGCAGTCTTCATGTTGGCCTCCACGTACGAGATCGGCAGGTAGAAGTTGGGCTTGTACTTGAGTACGGCCAGGGCCAGCAAGATCGACACGTCTGCGTAGGCAGCGTTTTCCCAATCGGTGATCGAGATCTCCATCGGCCGCAGCTCGACCCTCCACCCGGGCACGTCGTCATTTCCCGGCACGGCGTTCTGCTTTGGCGGCTTGAAACGCAGCGTCTGCCAGTTCGTCGACTGGATGTTCTCGAAATGGTCTGTTTCTGTGAGGTTGTCCTGGTGGATCGACTCCGTGAATATCACGATCGGGTCTCTGATAAACAGGTGTGCAAAATGGTTGGCGAGCGTCTCGTCAAACCCGTTGGCGACCAGCTTCGCAAACACCTTGCTGTTGATCGGCGACTCGATGTCGTTGTACTCCTTGCGGAAGTACGAGAACTCGCTGCCCGAGGCGTCGATGTCTCCCAGGTACTGGTCCACCGAGTCGTATCTGGACTTGGGGATCCGCTGCAAAACGGCCGAGTCGGTGGTGTTGCCGCGTTCCTTGTGGCCCTTGAGCGGAGGCTCGCCCCGCTCAAACGGAGTGCGGTCGTCCACCGCCCCTGCAATCACGTTCCACCGCACGTCCTGGTCTGCCAGGTGGCCACGGAAAATGGGAGCCGCCGCAGTCACCGCCAACATCAATGGAGCCACATTCACCAGCGAGTCGTACAGAAACCTGGCCTGCCGCACATCAGAAGCCTGCATCGTCACCTGTAGACACGAGGCGCCCATTCCAAAGCCCATGGAGTCCATGTAGATGTGTCCTGGCTTGGCTGCGCCGAGGAATGCTTCCTCGTCATTGTACGGGAACAAATCCCGACGAGGAATGGTTGGATCTGGTACGGACAGGTTTGTATGCTCATCCTTGAATAGCGGGATGTTGATGCTCACCTTCTGGTCCCGTCTGCGGCGAATATTGGCCGTCAGTGTCGGGAACCTGAAATGCCGGTTGATGATCTCGTCTGGCAAAAATAAAGATTTGCTAGCCTCGCCATTGGCCTGTGCTGCAGGTTCGGTGAAAATATCCACACCCATTCTTGGGAACGAGGTCAGGGTCAATGGCACTACGTTGGAGCCGCCCAGCTGTCCCACGGCGATCTGGCGTCTCTTGGCCATGTTCTCTTCCACGTACGTGTAGTCCTTGACGTCGAATCCATGATAGGGTCTCAGGGGTGTGGCTTCAATCATGAATCTGCCATACTCCGGGTGGAACAGGACGTTGTTTTTCGTGGCCAGCTCGTAGAAGGATCCATCTTCGCCGAGATCGCGCAAGATGTAGTCCTTATCGATCGCCAGACGGGCAGTCTTGTGACTTTTGTCCAGACTAACAAGCATATATTCCACCTCGTCTCCCCACAAGAAAGGGTCGTTCTCCCGGGCCTTTGCCGCCGCAAAACAGTTGATCAGCTGCTCAACACCGTTCTCCCGCACATGCTCAGCATAGTTGCGGGACTCAGTCCAGTGAAGAGGCGTGCCTAAAGAAAGAAGGCCCATTATCGAGAATGGTTTAGTGAGGAAAGTTTTTCCTTTTTAACTCGCACCGATTTGTCAGCACTGCGACTCGAGTCGATGCGATAAGCGGTCTGCTGCCTCGAAACGGCAACTACCACCCGCCGCATCCGATACGAAGTAATGGGACGTTCAGAGTGGACAGGTTGTTTGCCGGGAGAGTGCTTGTGGTGTGCGAGATCGGCTTGCCGTGGTGTCTGTGTGTAAGCTGCGGTCGATCGACCCGCTCAAAAGACGTAATTATTTTGCTCCTAATTTTTTTTCTCCTAAAACCTTAAATGTCCTTTGCTCTTCCTGGAGACCAGATCCAGCTGCAATCCGCCACAAACGTGGTGGTCGGGCCCCACGTGAGACTGGACGGCACCTCTGTCACCGCCGCGACGGCCGGGTTCCTCGTCAACACGCAATCCCAGGGCTCTGCCGTGTGCTACATCGAGGCAGACTCCAAACGGTACGTTCCGTCGTCGCAGGACTTTGTTGTGGGCACCGTGGTGGGCTCGTTCGGCGAGTCGTACCGCGTGTCGCTGTCTAACTTCTCCACGCCCGCCGTGCTCGGGTTCTACGCGTTCCCAAACGCAAGCAAGAAAAATAGACCCCGTTTGAAAACCGGCGACCTTGTGTACGCCCGAATCGCATCCACAGACCCAGACCTCGACGTCGAGCTCGAGTGTTTCGACGCAACAACAGGGAAAGAGGGCGGGTTCGGACTCCTCGAGGGAGGGTTCGTGTTCGACGTGAGACTCGCGTACGCTAGACATTTACTAAGACACCAGGACGCACCGGTTCTCACTAAACTAATGAAGAAATACCAGTTCGAGCTCGCAATCGGCGCAAACGGACGCATCTGGATCAAGTCAGACACTTTACAAAACACCATAGAATGCATGAAGGCCATTCAGAACGGACAGAACGAAAAACAGACCTAGCTCTACATTTTTGAGCTGGTCTCCAGCACGTCGTTGAAATCCATGTCCTCGTTGACGCGCAGCCCGATCTTCATCGATGCCTCGTACACGCGCAGGTTCTCGTCTCGAATCACCGGGAACCGGTTCGAGTACTGCTCGCAAACCAACTCGAAGTCGGTATTCCCCGTGCTGATCGTGGACGCTTCGTCGTGCGAATCTTCATACGGAGTCCCTATGAGCTCGTTGGAGCGTGGGTCCACCACAGGTAGTTCCCTGTTGGGTCTCACGTAGTCCTCCGCCAGTTCATTGATCTTGTCGATATGAGACTCTCTCTGGGTCTCCACGGACCGCAGGTGCTCGAACTGGTGTCGATAGAACTCCAAAAGCGCATGCGACTCTGGCTCAATCGTCTCGTTGTCCTGGTCGCCGTCGCTGGAGGCCTCCAGGTCCAGGAACCGCAGCTCTCTGTGCGGTTTGCGCGACTTGAACGGAGAAACGTACCCCTCGAATTCTGACTCCGACAGGTTCGAATTGCTTGCTCTTTCTGTGAGCGTGAGCATCTGGATCCGCTGCTTGGCTTTGTTCTTAGTGTCCTTGACCTTGTTGATCGTGGAGCTTGAGTTCGTCGTGGACGCGGTATCTCTTGGTTGTTCTTCGTTGAACCGCAGAGTCGAGTTCATACAGTACTCGAACAGGTCGGACATGCTGCTTAGTTCGCGCGGCACGTACCGCACGTTCCAGTAGTTGTCGAAACAGCCCGGATACGGGTCGACTTTGGTGATGATCAGACCTTTATCGTGGGGCAGCTGCTCGTGCTCGAGATGGCAGTCCGAATACCAATGGGTGTAGCTTGGTCTGCGGTTCAACAGCACCCCCAAATAGTCATTGTGAAGATAATAATCGGTATTCAGATCCCAGAGCATTGGGAGTCCTTTTTCGTAGACGTAGTTACCCAGAAACAGGTTGATGGCTTCCTGACGCTGGGCGTCGACAAACGAGTTGCTGTAAAATCGTTTCACGCTCTCTATCATGTCGCGCGAATGCGACGTCCACTGGTTGATCTTCCGGTACGTTTGCAAAGTGTTGACGAGATGCGACCCGCCGTACTGCAACGCAATGGTGTCTCCGTGGTCGTGGAACATTTCTGTAAGGATGTTGATAGCGTCCGAGTCGTACTCGAGGTATTTTTCCTTGATGAGCCCGAGAGCGTGCAACTGGTGACCCAACGCGCGCTTGCCAATCACAAACTGCGCTGTGTTGGTTCTGTCGAGACAGTCGATGCAGTTTGTGCGACACACTCCGTACTGGAGCTTTGTGTCGCCGAGAGTCTGGCCGTTGTGGAAGAACCCGGTGGTCTCGAGCGTGCGAGCAGCGTAGTTCTCCAGCCATTCAATCACGTCCTGGCCCCGGTTCTTGGACGCCCGCGACATGTCCCAGGCCGTGTAGTCGAGCTTGTCGTCTTTCGGAAGAAACTTGTTGAGATACTCGATGCAGTCTTCGAACGCGCGCAGCAGCTTTGTTTCGCGCGGCGTCTTCTCGCGCTGCTTGATGAGGTTCAGGATCTGCACGGGAGCACCGTACCGTTCAAACAGGTTGTCGAAATGCAGAGCAGAGGTGGTGTAGAACGGGTCTACGACGTTGATCTCGATCGGCGGCTTGGTGATCCGGATATTGGGCGCGGTTTCCTGCGACCACGACAGCGGGATCGACCCGCGGTGCTGCACAAACGACGTGTAGCGCGGATTATTGTAGAACCCTGCCGCTGGGTCGTGGAACGACGTTGTGAGCATGTCGCTAACAATCTGCTCTGTTTCGACCTCGTTTGCCACGTCGCCGCGATCGTTGACTCCTCGTTTGAAGAACCGGGCCCCAGCAAAATGGTGCGACCGTCTGGCTATGATGGTGACGTAAACTTGCACGTCAAAGATGGAAATGTCTACCTGGTCAATAAACCCGTGGATAATCGGTTGGAACCAGTCGTACACCCTGTCGAACGACTCAAACACGGGCTTGAGCAGAAACGAGTTCCAAACGAACCGGTCATGGTACTCAAACGTCTTGACCAGGTCCTTTTTGTTCAACCCAAGCGACTGTTTCTTGTTGCGCAGAAAATTCACCTGCAAAGTGTTGGTCAGGTCGTAGTTATAGCTGTAGTAGAACGTCTTGCCCAGATCGATGTTCTGGAACGTCGAGATGTACCGAGCCTCCTCGGAATTTCTGTCTGGCCGTTTCGGGTTGTTTGCCACGGGGATCAGCTCTGTGGCGTCGATATGGTACAGATAGTACCCGCCCAGAATCGCCACGGGCCTTCTTTTCGTAACCACACACAGATAGTAGTGTCTGGTGAACCGGATGAACCCTAGCAGCCCGACAGCGGTGATTTTCTTGCTCAGACCGCCCTCGCTGGACTCCTCGAGCCCGTTCAGAACGTCCATGATCTCGTTCCGCGTGAAATAAACGTTGTCCTCCATGATAACCAGCTTTTCTGTCAATGTGAGATCAATCTCCATGATCCGAAACACCGTCTCGCGCCCGTTACTGCCGACAATGTACATTCGTTGTGTAGTGACGTAGATGGTGTATTTGGTCAGTGTGATCTTGCGGGGCTTCGTGGTGACGGCCAAGCCGCCGCCGTTGGCCGTCTCGTCCACACGATCAACCAGATCCGCCAGAGCAACCGCCGAAACCCCGATGGTCGAGTCGGCCTCGTTGCCTCGCTCTGTTGACATAAACAATATACAGATTAATTATTTCCAGACAAAAGCACAGCCTTGATTGAAAAAAAAATGGTAGCCAAATCTATTCCTTCAGGATATATAGACAGCAATAAATAATATCACTATGAATCGTTCGTTCTAGAACTTGTGGGAGCAGACAACTGGGTCTGATTATAGGTCGGTCACACAGCCCTTGGAGGCGTCCGACACGAGCTTGCTGTACTTGTGGAGAGTACCTCTCTTGTATCTTGGAGTAGGCCGTTTCCAGTGCTTTCTTCTCTCGGCGAGCTCTTCAGGGGACACGAGCACGTCGATGGCGTTGTTGTCAGAGTCGATGACGATGATGTCGCCGTCCTTGACCAGTCCGATAGGGCCTCCCTCGACGGCTTCAGGCACAATGTGGCCAATCAGGAATCCGTGCGAGCCACCAGAGAAACGGCCGTCGGTGAGAAGAGCAACGTCTTTTCCGAGTCCGTATCCCATCAAGGCGGAGGATGGTTTCAACATCTCCGGCATACCAGGACCTCCCTTAGGACCCTCGTTTCTGATGATGCACACGGTCTTTTCACCCTTTTTGATCTCTCCTCTCTCAAGAGCCTCGATAAAGCCCTGTTCTTCCTCAAACACTCTGGCAGCACCCTTGAAGTAGGTTCCTTCCTTTCCTGTGATCTTGGCAACTGCTCCTCCTGGAGCAAGCGAGCCCTTGAGGATCTGCAGGTGGCCTCTTGGCTTGATAGGGTCTGAAACAGGACGCATCACGTCCTGGTTGATTGGAAGACCAGGCATTTTCTCCAAGTTCTCCTTCATGGTCTTTCCGGTAACGGTTGGCAGGTCGCCGTTGAGGATTCCCTCTTGCATCAGGAACTTCATCACGGCGGGCGTGCCGCCGTACTTCTGCAGATCGGCCATGACGTACTTTCCAGACGGCTTGAAGTCTCCGAGCAGCGGAGTCTTGTCGGAGATGGCCTGGAAATCGTCGATGGTGAGGTCGACGTTGGCGGAGTTGGCGATGGCCAGCAGATGCAGAACGGCATTCGTGGACCCTCCCGTGGCGATGACGTAGGCAATGGCGTTCTCAAAGGCCGGCTTGGTCATGATGTCCAGCGGAGTCAGGCCGGACCGAAGCAGCGTCTTCATGGACTCGCCGATGTTGTCGCACTCGGCGCCCTTCTCTGCCGACACGGCGGGCGACGAGGACGATCCCGGCAGCGACATGCCCATCACCTCGGCCGCAGAGGCCATGGTATTGGCGGTGTACATTCCTCCACAAGATCCTGGTCCAGGACACGAGTTCCGCACAATGTCCTGTCTCTGCTCCTCGTTGATCGACTTGCTCAGGTACTGGCCGTACGACTGGAACGCAGAAACCACGTCCAGCGTCTTGGGCACTCCGGCACAGGTTCCGGAGCCGGGCAAAATGGTTCCTCCGTAAACCATGATGGACGGTCTGTTGTGTCTGGCGAACCCGATAAGCACACCGGGCATGTTCTTGTCGCACGATGGGATACCAATACATGCGTCGTAGTGCTGGGCCATCACGATCGTCTCAAACGAGTCCGCAATCACCTCACGGCTCTGTAAAGAGTACCGCATACCGGTGGTTCCCATACTGATACCGTCGGAAACACCAATCGTGTTGAACTGCATGGCTTTCAGGCCGGCCTTTTCCACGGCCTTGCTACACCGGTTGTTCAGGTCCATCAGGTGGATATTGCACGGGTTTCCCGTCCACCACACCGACCCAACACCAACCTGGCCCTTGGCAAAGTCCTCGTCCTTGAATCCGGTAGCATACAACATGGCCTGCGAAGCACCCTGCGACTTGGACGTGGTCAAAATCGAGGAGTACTTGTTGAACTTCTGCAACTCGGCGCTTGTTGTGCTGAACCGCCGACACGCCGAAGCGCTCGACCCGTTCGAAATGTGTCTCAACATGATATTTTTGTTTGGTGAAAAATATTTATTAGTCTTAATTCGATCTAAAAATTTTCCACCCCCACACACCAATGAAAAAAAGAATATTACTAAAACTTAAGAGTCTTGACATTTATTATATACTTTGCGGACGGGACATCCGCTGGCCGTACCGCACACAGTAATCCAAAGAGGCACCCAGCATACACTCGCTGACCTTGCGCGTGCGGTCGGAAACAACCTCCACCATCTCGTTGTCGCCTAGCATGTACTTGCCCGAGTCGTAGATGCCAAAGATGTAGTTGGCAACGTTGCGCAAGAAAATAAGCTTCACGTTCGAATCTGCCTCGCTCACCGTCAGCGCCATGTAGTCCGAAGAAAGACTGTTTGTGTTCGACCCCTCGCTCTCCTCAGGCACCTCCTCCGCCAGCTTGATGTTCCAGAACGAAATACCGTTTGGAGTCAAAACGTTCGGACCCCCGCACGCACTTCCATGTTCGCTCCATGAAAGAACGTCCATTCCGAAATCAATGCTATCGGTCATCAACTCCACCCGGAAAACACCATCCTCCTTGATTAAAAGCATCAGACTCGGTCTATAAATGGTGTCTCCACAGCCGCAACTGTTAAGATGTGTCTTTGCAAATCCAACCCACATTTGCAGTCGGCTGTCGATCCCGCCTTTGCTCAACTTCTGCGTGATGATCCGAGGAACAGGCACCAGCTCAGTACCCCCACGCACGTACCCCTTGCCCTGTCTCGAGAACGTGGAATAATTGATATTGTCCTGCAACTTTTCGCACTTTCCGTTGTCCAGGTTGCACCGGAAAACAACCAGCGGATCAATTGTGTACAAGAACTGAACGTATCCAGAGGTCTTGGGAGAGTCTCCGACTCTGACTGTGTCGAAAAAGGGCGTCCAATTCTTCTCTGTGGACAGCTTGGCGCTCGTGTTGATCCCAGATGCCTTGAATTGCACAACGTCCAGTTTCTTGGTCTTCGGATTAGGCTTCCGCAAAGGGAAAACAGCGTTCATTGTCCGTTTCGAGTCCACAAGCATGTTGAAAAAGATCACCGGCTCCTGCACAAACTCACCATCCTTGAACAAAATCCGAGGGTCCTCAGGGCCCAACATCTCCTTGGAGTTCACCTTGGGATCGAATGGAACGTCCAGCACAGTAGGGAACTTGAGAGAGATCCGGTCCAGCAGCGAATCGTCTTGAGCTTCGTTGTAGTCTCTAAGCACGCCATCGATTTCCTGTTTGGTGATATCGTTGTAACGGATCCGTCTTCCGAGAATTTCATTCCACTGAGCATCGAATAATTGCAGTCTAATAAAAGAAGCAACCGGGGAATTTTTGGCTTGCGGAGCATAGCTGACTCGGCTGGCCATCAGATGACACTCCTCGTCCGGTAGCCAGACTGAGGCACCCGAGAACTGGTGCCATTTCTCCTCCACTTTCGTTTGCAAGCTGTCGCCCATGGTGATGAGGTTTTTGTATTCTGTTGACAGCAAGGCAGTACGAATACTGGCCAAATCGTCCTTCAACAGCACCGGCTCGGAGTATTTTATCTGTCTGTTTTCGTCTGGCTTGTATGTGACGTCCTGACACGTTAGATCGTAGTATGTCTTTGCTGCTGGAACGTTCTTGTTGCCAACGTAACCAATAACCGAGCTAAGAGGCTTATACTCTTTGTCGGTGACAAACTCCGACGTGACCAGCGTGCCCTTTGACTGCGATGGAGCTTTTCTGGAGTCGGCGTTTTCCTCAAGAGGCTTCAAATTAAGCACTCCCAAAGCCTGGTTGACCGAGTCGATTTCTATGATTTTAGGCACCTCCAGTTCGCTGGTGTCTGGGTTGAAGTTGACGCGTAAAGGTTTGGTACTCACGCGGTAGATACGATCGTCCTGCTCCTCCTGCTGAGGATTCCCACCTTGCGACCCCGACTGAGAACTTCCCTGAACAGTGGACCGTTGCACTGTGTCAGACAGCTGTTCTATTTGATCTATTGGCCAATAGTAGTACGTCAGCAGCACCAAAACGGCAACCAGTATGTAAAACCGGTACCGCGATCGTGCTCGAAGAAACGGAAATGCCATTCTTGTAGTGTTCCCAAAGTACCACCGAAAAGACAAGGTGTTATGTAAGGGAAAGAAAGCTTTGTTTGTTTTAAGATTTTCGCCAATCTATAAAATCACGGTGTAAGGGTGCCTTGTTAATTTCATACTGGTGTGTTCGATGAACTGTAAAATACATAGGAAATAGGCCATGGGATCCTTCTATACTGCTGATCTTGCACTCTTTTCCCTCTACTGTGCCCACATACTGTACAGCTGCGGCTCCTTCACGCTGATTGGCTCAAACGTCTCATTCAGCTTCACCTTGTCCGGAATGTTCTCGCCGTTCACGGTTCCCAGCTCGCTGGTCTTCTTTGTGGAAACTACCCGTGGTGCACGGGTAGCCTCCAACATGGCCTCCTCGCAAAGCATCAGACCCTCGTCGGTGGCCCCCAGTTCGCTGGCCTTGAGCAGTTTCTGCCGCACAGAGATCGTCTGCTTGCGCAGGGCCAAACGATCCACCACAAGGTTGTGCTTCTCCAGAGCCAGCTGCTGCTTCTCGGCCTGGAGCTGTTTGTCCAGCTCCTGCAGCTTATCGAACTTGGTCTCGAACTGTTTGAGCGAAAGAGCCAGAATCTGACTTATTAGGTTGTCTTGCACAGCGGTTTCGCGCTGTAGCTTTTCTGTGGAGCTGTCTGCAACTTTCTGGAGCGACTCGCCGTTGGATTCCAAAAGCTGCTTGATACTGTTGTTGATGGTGTCCACCACGCCCTTTGGCTTGGAGCTCTGTTTCAAAAACTCCTGGTAAGTGGCTTTCGACAGCTGTTTCTCCAGGTACTTGTCCTCGATCGGCAGCTGGATGAACCGCGCAATGCACTGCTCCTTCGACCGCGAGCCAACGTGACCGCTGATCGACGTCCAGTCTTCGTGGTACATCTCGATGGCTTCAAGCAGCAAAAGTGTTTCCTGGTCGGTCCAAGGTCTGGCGTCCGATTGGTTGTACGTTTTTTCCAGCTTGACGTAGTCGCTGCTCTTGAAAGCGGCCGGGAACTGGCCGTCCTTGAACGCTTGCTCGCTGATGTTCTGCTTGGTCTTGAGGTTGTGGTACCGCGACTCGGTGATTTCGTTGCCGGTGACGCTGCAATAGAATTGCTTGACCGCGTTTTTGGACAGCTCGTCGCTTCTGAGCGAGAATGCGTCCTGCGCGGTGTCGTACACGTTTTTTCTGATCTCGAGGTTCAACGGGAACCCGCTGTTTGTGGAGATTTGCGGTGTTTCTGAGGCCTCCTCCTTTTGTTCCTGTTCCTCCTTAACGGGGATATACGTCTCCAGCCCGGTGGGCTTGTCTAGCGTGATCTGGAAATGGCCGGTGAATTGAGGCCCCAACACCACGGGTTTGGTCTTGGGGTCAATTTGGTAGTTGATTAGCCCCCACTTGCACAGAAACCCGTGGACTCTGATGATCGACGCAACATCGCCCGCCAGCCCGCGTCTTGCCCCAGTCACCGTCAAGTACTCCATCGGGTTCAGACGGTACGTGTGGATCATAAAGTCGCGGTACTCCTTGTAAACCTTGGGGGTTTTGAACCGGGACTCGTTGTTGAAGAACTCAGGCAACGAACGCTTTTCGATCTCGTGGATCTCGTTCATGTCGAACCAGCGCGAAAACGACGGCAGCACGACTGGTTTTGCCTGCTTCGCCACAAATGCGCGCGCCTCGTCGTTCATCGAATTAATCTTACTCTCCTGTTCCGCCTGCGTAGACATTGAAAATTGAAAACAAGTTCCGACCAGGTTTTTTTTTCCAGTGTGGTGATAAAAAAGTTTGCGGTGTACGGATGACTTGGGCAGACGAGGAGGACAGTGAAGAGGACCGGATTTTGAGTCTTCTGCGCACAGAGCAGGCGCGCACAGCCACGCCGGAACAGGCCGAGTTCAACAACCTCAGCAAGACGCGTAAGTTGGCCAAACTCACCGATCTGGTGAAACGGTCGCAGGTGTTCAGCAGTATCATTGCTGACACGCTTTTGGAGAGCGCACAGGGCACAGAGGCCCAGGAAAGACAGAAGCGCCGTAAGACAGCCACGGGCGACGCCGTGGACGCGAAATCGCAGCAGCCCAAGCTGCTGACCGGGTGTGCCATGAAAGAATACCAAATAGCAGGCATGGAGTGGCTGATCACGTTGTACCAGAACGGGCTGAACGGGATCCTTGCTGACGAGATGGGGCTGGGAAAGACGTTGCAGAGCATTGCGTTGATCGCGTTTCTGATCGAACAGGGCATAAACGGGCCGTTTCTGGTGTGCTGTCCGTTGTCGACGGTTTCGAACTGGGTCGCGGAGTTTACCCGGTTCGCACCCGACATCAACGTTCTGGCGTACGTGGGGTCCAAGACAGAGCGTCCGGCGCTGCGCCGCAAGTTTTCCAAGTGCTCGGTGGTGATCACGTCGTACGAAATTAGTATCAGAGATTTCCGGTACCTGAGCACGCGGCTGTGGAAGTTTCTCATTGTGGACGAGGGCCACCGGCTGAAAAACAGCGAGTGTTTGTTGATCCGGCAGCTGAAGCGGCTCAACACGTCGAACCGGCTGCTTTTGACCGGAACGCCGCTCCAGAACAACCTCAACGAGCTGTGGTCGCTGCTCAACTTCATTCTCCCGGAGATCTTCCACGACGTGGACGTTTTCCAGCAATGGTTTGACTTTTCCGCGCTGGAGGAGATGAAGGGCGAGGACTCGGAGTTCAACGAGCTGATCACGGCCGAGATCCATAAAACGCTCATCACCAACCTGCACACCATTTTGCAACCGTTTCTGCTACGCAGACTGAAAAAAGACGTGGTTCAGGGCCTGCCGCCGAAACGCGAGTACATCGTGTACGGCAAGCTCACGCCGCAGCAGGAGCTGCTGTACCGGGCGACGCTCGCGCAAAACCTCAAGCCCACGCTGCTGCGCGAGAGTCTCAAGGAGTACTTGGAGGTGAACCGGCTGGGAAGATATACTAGCGACCAGATTGAGCAGACGATCGACGCGCCCGAAACAGCGCCCGCAAAGCTGGCCGAACACTACGAGTTTGTGCGCAAACAGGTCGGCACCAAGAAGCTGATGAACGTGATGATGCAGCTGCGACTCGTGTGCGACTCGCCGCATCTGTTTTTCTACCCCTGGAACGGCTACGCGGACGCCCGTTTGGTGGAACAGTCGGCCAAACTGCAGCTGTTGGACCAGCTGCTGCGGCCGTTACACGCGAAGGGCCACCGCGTGTTGGTTTTCACGCAGTTCACGTCGATGCTCGACCTGCTGGAAGAATACGTCGCCAACACGCTGCATTACAAAACGTGTCGTATTGACGGAGCAACCAGCCAGACAGACCGCCAGGCGGAAATCGACCGGTTCTCTGCCGAAGAGGCAGACGTGTTCCTGCTCTCGACACGCGCAGGTGGCCTGGGAATCAACCTGACCGCGGCAGACTCGGTCGTTCTGTTCGACTCGGACTGGAACCCGCAGGTCGATTTGCAGGCCATGGACAGAGTGCACCGGATCGGCCAGAAAAACCCCGTGGTGGTGTACCGGCTCGTGTTAGCCAACACGGTCGAGGAGATCATGCTGGCCAAGGCAGACTCCAAACGGCGGCTCGAGAAACTGGTCATCCAGCTCGGCCATTTCGAGAGCTTGCTCCACTACGGTAGCAGTCGCGCAAAGCCGCAGGATGTGCTGCTGGACAACTTGGACGAGTTCCTCGTGACCAAGGAGTTCCGCAAGCACGAGATCGCAGACAACACGCTCGCGCCAGAAGAACTGCACGAGCTGTTGGACCGGTCGCAGGCCGCTTACGAGAAATCCGACGCAGAAACGACGCACGGTCACGTGATGCTTTTCGAGACGGTAAGTTCGTTAGAGTAATACATACAGTACACGCGACATGTCCCAGCGCAAGGCGCGGTCGGGCTGTAGGCACGCGGCAAGGATGTCGCAGAGCTTGCTGGTGGCGTGGAAGTCGCCCAGTGCCGCGCGGAACCGGCCGCTATCATAATCGTTATTCATTATCATTAGTTTGAGTCTCGGCTCGAATTTGTGCTGGTAAGGAAGGCGTAGGGTCACAAGTGTGTAGAGCAGCACCCCTACTGCCCAGGAGTCCGTGAGGTGGTCGAGGTTGTATGGGTTTGGCCGTAGGATCTCTGGCGCGGCGTACGGCAGAGACCCGATATGGGTGTCTGGCAAACGGGAGCTGTCGATGGATGAGGTTGTTGAGAGTGACGCTGGCGAGCGCGGCGTTGGCGTGTTGGCGGCAGATGACAACGGCGAGTTGCGCACAGACACCGACGAGCCCACAGACACCACGCGCGGAGGCGCGGCGGAAACTGGGTCGTCCAGAATGCGTCGCGAGAGGTCTGGAATCCGAATCAGGGCGTCGGTGTCGCGCGAAAAGAAACTGGCCATGCCAAAATCGCACAGAACCACTCGTCCGTGCGAAAGCAGACAATTCTCGAGCTTGACGTCTCCATGGCTGATCCCAAGGCTGTGCATGTATTCCAACCCTGAGCAGATATCGGTGAGGTAGGACACCACCGAGGAGAGTCTTTCTGGGTCGGACGACATCTCCCAGCGTTTGACGCAGTCAAACAACGACCCGGCGTCGCATTTCTGTGTCAGCAGGAAAAACGACTTGGAGGTGAACTTGAAATCAAATAAAGGCAGAATGTTTTCGTGGTGTAGCAGCGACCACATGAGCGACTCTGTTTTGAACCGTTTGATCAGCTCGGCCGAGCCGTGCACGTTGATCACCTTCATGGCTTTCTCGTTGTCGTTGAGGTCCGTGCAAGATCTGATGATTCCGTAGGCTCCTCTGCCGATGATACGGCCGAGTCTCCATTTGCCCAAGACGAGAGACCCTTTCTGATTGTAGTTATCGGCCACAGACATCGCACTGTGCACGGACGAGCTGTGCAGCGAGAACGAGTTGGTGAATCGCTGGGCCGGCGACGAGCCAGAAATGGAGTTTCTGCGGATCAGCTTGGTGATGTGGTTCTTGTAGTCGGCGTCGTTCTGCAGCGACTCGGGCAGCACCTTGTTGATGAGCTTTTTACGTTCGCTAAAGGACAACGACAGGAAGTTCGACGGCAGCGACGACAAGATCACACGGTCCTTGTCGCGCTCCGGCGAAAGAGAGAGCCGCGAAACGGGTTTCGGTGACACCTGCTGGTTTTTGATTGAAATTGGGGGCACCTGCGAGTGCAATTCATCGAAAAGGCGGTCCTCGTCCAGCACCGCGTCGTCAAACCAGCTGCGGAAGTTGAACTCCTTGAAATCAGGAACGTACTCGTCCTCGATGCCGTCCATGGGGTGTTTTCCCAGAACGAGCCTCCGGCCGGCCTGGTCAAAGTACGCCTTGTCGGTTTCGGACGAGACCTTGGACAGCCCGCCCTCCACCTCCCACCCGTGGAGCAGGTCGTGGAAGTCGACTGCCGGGATCAGCTCCTCGTTGTCGATGTTGTTGAGCACGCGCGACTCCTGGTACGAGCGGGGGATGAGGGTGGGGGCTTGTGCTGGCGGGAGACCATTGAAGGAGAATTTTTGCATGCGCCAGCCAACAACAAGACGATCCAGCAAGAACGTCTTGTAAACAAAGGGGCAAGGTCTGGTGGTTTAATAAATTATTTGTGCGGCGGGCGGGTTTTTTTTTTGTAGAGGTGTCAGGGTGCACCTTGCACCTCTGCACCACGGTTTTAACCAATAATTTGTCGCGGAAAAAACTTTACTCTTTAACAACAATCATGGCAGGACATCCAGGTGCTTACATGGGATGGTGGGGTCACATTGGTAAGTTATACGCATGATAAGTGGGTTATACTAACAGGATAGGCTCCCCAAAGCAAAAATACATCACTCAATACACCGTTTCTCCATACGCTCAGTCTCCATTGAAGGGTTCTCTTGAGAGTGCTTTCTTCAACGTTTTCAGAAGAACCAAAGCACAAATCTTGTACGTTGTTGTTCCAGGAATGATTGTCTGGGAGATCTGGGCCAGAGCCAGAGACTACAACGAGTACTTGTACACCAAGGCTGGTCGTGAGGAGTTGGCCATTGTCAATGTTTAAACTAGTGAATATATGAATTAGATTATAAGTAAGGTGGTTTTCAATGTTGCCCAATTGTGTGTCGAATGGGCAGCGCATGTAGATGTGGTGCCGTTGGTGCCGTTGATGTAGTGGGTGACCTGGCAAGGTCGGGCGAGGAGTTTCGAGTTGTTCGAGTTGCCCGACGCCCAGGGTGGGGGGGAAGAGAAAGGGAACATAACTGAAATAACTTCTACATGTCATTGCTTGAGGCCGGTGACACCGTGCCAAATGGCCACGGGATTTGAGTACACTATTTCATTAGGTTCTATAGACACTATTTCTCGAACGTAGGTGGTAACATGCTGTTTTCTGTGCCCCCGACGGACGCACTACTCCGTCTTATCCTTGTCCTTGTCGATGTCCTCGTTGAATGCGACGATCACGTAGCCAATGAGCACCACGTTGGCCACGAACGCGGCAAGCCCACCAGACACGATGGAGTTGTCGAAGACGGCGCGGCTGACGAAGAAAGTCAGCAGCGGTGCGATGATCATCAGCGCGGTGCAGATAATGAGCTTTCTGATGACACGGCTGGCATGGTTAGCAAAGCGAATTAGATAACTTACGGTGGGATGTCTGCCATAACTGAAAAAATGGGTAAAAAAAAAGATAAGACTTTTGATTTATTTATTATGCTAACCGAGGAGCAACTAGCGCAGTTCCACAGAGACGGGTGTCTGGCCATTGAGAATTACCTGGATGCAGACACGGTGGCCAGTCTGAACAAGGAAATAGCCACGCTGTTGAACAACATCGACCTCAAATCCCACCCATTGACCAAATTCACCACCCACGAAGACGAGCAGCATGTTGGCAACGACTACTTTATCAACTCGTCCGACAAGATCCGGTTTTTCTTCGAGGTGGACGCCTTTGAAGACGGCGAGCTGACAAAGCCGGTTCCTCGGGCCATCAACAAGATTGGCCACGGACTACATCTGCATAACCAGGCGTTCAGGAACGTGACATTGACCAAGGACGTTGCAGACATCTGCCGGCAGCTGGAATTTAAAGACCCGCGCGCACTGCAAAGCATGGTGATTATTAAGCAGCCAGAAATCGGGGGCAAGGTTCCTAGCCACCAGGACGGCGAGTTTCTATACACAGAGCCGCAGTCGTGCATTGGGTTCTGGTTTGCGCTGGAGAAGTGCACTTTGAGCAACGGATGTTTAAGCTTTGTGCCTGGATCCCACAAGAAAAACGGGATAATCAGACGATTCGTCAAGGACTTCGAGAACGGAGGTACCAAATTTGTGGACCCGGTCTCGCTGCGGGACACTACCGCATGTTTCGACCCCTCGGATTCGGACTTTGTCAATGTGGAAATCCCGGCCGGAACTCTAGTCCTGATCCACAATCGGGTGCTCCACAAGTCCGAAAAAAACCTTTCACAGCTCTCCCGAAATGCCTACACTTTCCACGTGATTGACGGGACTGCCAAGTACGACGAGCTCAATTGGCTGCAAATGCCGCCAGAACGGCCCCAGGGCGCGGCTAACGTGCCAAGAGTATACTAACTGGCTGGTTCCAGTGCCAAGACGTCGGCTTTAGGCGGGGCTCGTCTCGGTTTTAAGATATTTTCGCGAACCTCGTGACTCATCTCTCTATTGTGTAGCGTCCGAATTATAGTTATTCTTGAACACAATTGAATGCATGCGGCCGGTGGTGAGGCTCTGGAATCTGTGGTATACGTACAGACAGCTGGTGCAAGTGTAAGAATGTGCAAGCTTGCGAGCTGTGCTAGGGGAGACATCGGTGAATGAGTTTGGTTCAGGTAGTTTACGAATCCCGTATGGAATCCTGGTGGGTCAATTGACGAGCCCCGTGAGGCTGGCCTAGATTTAGCCCCACCCCATGCAACTGTTCTACCTAAAGCCTCTTGATCTTAATCTTCTTATTGTTTAAAAAAAACATTATTTTTCATTGTCCCTTCCCTATAAGCCGCGTTTGCTGATTACTAACATATTCCCTGTGATAACCTTCCTGGTTTGCATAAATTGGGAGCCATCCCCATGTCCTGGGCCGATCTATCGCCACCAGGCACAAATTAGTCAAAATATCCAGCTCAGAAGAAGAAGATACCTCCCGGCTCACAACTAAGCCCATTTCATCAAGACAAGCAATTATGCAAGACTTTTTACCATCTTACCAGCTCCACAGATACCTCAACAGGCATTTGGACGACATTATCAATGACCACAAGTTGCAGTCGCCACCGGACTACATTGAGGTCGAAGAGACCTCCCAGGCCGTTTCGCCTCAAGTGTCCTTCACGTCGCAACATCTGGAACGCGACGGAATGTCCTCATTGGCTTCGGATGCCCAGAATTCCATCTGGAACACCATTGACAAGCACCAGTACATGACCCAGGATGCTGTTTTCATTGACATCCAGCTGGACGACCACTCCAACGTCCATTACTCGCCGTACACCAGCGGCGACATCGTCAAGGGAGCCGTTCGGGTGCACAACATCACCCCGAATCCGATCCCTTTTGAAAACATCTTTGTCAGCTTCGAAGGGTACTTCTGGGCCATCAAGACCAACTTCAAGATGATCATCAACAACTTCTTGGACATGGTGGATTTCGAAGCAAGCTGTTTGTGCGAGGACCCGGACTCTGGCCTGCCCCTCGACCGCATTCTGCGGCCCAACAGCTCGTACGTGGTGCGGTTCAAGTTCCAGATCCCAGAGTACTCCAAGAAAGGGTTCCCACTGCCTCCTAGCGTGGGGGACCTCCACTTGCGGCACAAAATCCACTCCCAAATTCAGGACACAAAGTTCCTCAGAGACAGCTTTGCGCACCGGGATTACAGCAACGAGAACTTCAGTATCAGCTACTGCGTGAACGCGCGACTGCTCGAGCTGGACGAGTCGAAAAAACGGCTCGTGATCCGCCGCCATAGTCGTCACATGATCATGTTCACCCCAACGTACCACGAGTTCAAGTTCAGATACCTGGATCCGGCGGACGAGCTGCGGCTGTTGGTTAACTCCTTAGAAGACCTGATGAGTAACCACCTGGCCAAGCGCGAGAATAACCCAGATCCAAAGCGCGTGCGACCGAATCGACATAAGTTTCGAGTATCTGAGGACCGTGAGGTATTCCGGTTGCAACTCAAGAACGACCCCTCTGTCGTTATTGAAAAGTACCTGGACTACACCACGAGTTCTCAGTTCCTCAACTCCAACGCTAATTTGACCGTCACTTTCAAAGAGGACATCAAGGTCAAGTGCATCGAATTGATCGCCATTAATTACTACACGCAGAGCACTCTGCCCGTTTCTCTTATTGCTGACTGGTTTGTCAACCATGTTCAGTTCGAAACCACGATCCGTCCCAAGTTCAAAGAATTGGAGCAGGTTTTGGCCGATTGCGACGACGAGGAGGCTTTGAACATGATCCGGTCGTTCTCCAACCTGCGGTTTTCCACCACAAAGATGCCCAAGGTGATCACCTTCAAAAAGTCTGCTCCGTTCGCGTACACTATTTCTCTTGCAAAGACAAAACGGGATGTGGTTGTCCCCTCTTTTGAGTTCCCATACTGCGGCCGGTTGTACTTCATGCGGTTCCAGGTGAAACTGCCTGTTGGAGTGCTACACAACGGCGAGTCGACTTTGGTTTTTGACATCCCAATCAGTCTGAACTCATGAGACCCAAAAATCCGAAAAAAGAGTTGTTTGTATTTCCGTATGGCTTATCTTTAGTTGTTGTCAAATGTAGAGGTCTTCGTCCTCGTCGGTGACGCGGTTGAGCACCTTGTCTCTGCTTTTCGAGAACTCAACGGGATACGTTTCTTTTAGCCTGGCGGATAACTTTTGACATAACTTTGTGTTCTTGGCAATGTTGCTGCTCAGCTCCGGCACGATCTGCGTCTTGAGTTGCTCGTACCGCTTGATGTGGGTCTCCATCTTGGCGCTCACCTCGTCGATCGTGCGCAAAACGTCCTGCATCGTGCTGTTGATCGCCCCAGACACCTGTGATTGCACCATCAGCGACCGGTCCAGGTGCACAGAGTCCAGCGAGTTGTCGAGCGAGGATATGAGATACTCAATGGCGTTGAACGTGGATCGTTCTTCTATGGGCGCCTCTTCGGTGGTTGTGTTTGTGTACGACTCGTTGTCGGAGTCGACCCCGAAGTCGTTGGCGTTCAGGGACATTTAAGAAAAAATAACCACAAATAAATAACTTTTTTACAAAAGCTTACAATTAATCTCCCTTCTTCATGTCTGCGGAAACCGTGAAAACGCGGCTCAGGCCGTTCGGCATCTCGTTTGAGAAGTCGCTGACCGACCTCATCAAGGGCATCCGCTCAAATAACCACGACCCAGACAAATTGGCCGACTTCTTTGAGCGATCTATCCAGGAGTGTCGCCACGAGCTGAAAACAAACGATCTGGAATTGAAGTCGATGGCGCTTCTAAAACTCACCTATTTGGAGATGTATGGGTTTGACATGAGCTGGTGCTCGTTCTACGTGCTGGAGGTGATCTCGTCGCCCAAGTTCCAGCACAAACGGATCGGATACCTGGCGGCGATGCAGTTATTCCAACGACAGAACAACGACGACGTTTTGATGCTCATGACGAACCTGCTGAAAAAGGACGTCAATTCGGGCAACTCTGTCGAGACCGGGCTCGCCATCAGCGGGATCGCCTCGATCGTCACCCCGGAACTGGCCCAGGACATCTGCGAGGACATGGTTCGTATGCTGTCGCACTCGAAACCGTTTGTGCGGAAAAAGGCCGTGCTGGCACTGTACAAGGTGTTCATCAAGTATCCGGACGCGCTGCGACTGCATTTCGACAAGGTGGTGAAACGGCTCGAGGACGAAGACGGGTCTGTTGTTTCTGCCACGGTCAATGTTATCTGCGAGCTGGCGCACAATAACCCCAAGAGTTATGTCGACCTTGCTCCGCAGCTGTTTGGTCTGCTCAAAGAAACAAGCAACAACTGGATGGTGATCCGGCTGTTGAAGCTGCTCTCGTCGCTGTGTCTGACCGAGCCTCGGCTGCGGTACATTCTGTTGCCCGAGGTTGTCGATCTCATGAACAGCACACAGGCGTTGTCGCTCGTTTACGAGTCCATCAATTGCATCCATAACGGCCAGATGTTGGCCCCAGAAGACACACGTGTGGCCAAGCTGATCATCAACAAGCTGCTAGGCTTCATCAAGAACGACGACCAGGACCTCAAGTACGTGGGACTGTTGGCTTTCATAAAAACGTGCAAGATCCACAAGGACCTGATCAAGAAGCACGAAAACGTCATTATGGACTCGATGTTCGACCCAGACCCAACGATCCGCGAAAAGGCGCTCGAGCTGATCGACTCGCTCGTCACAGACAGAAACATCGTCCCTATAGTGACGCGGCTGCTGGTCCAGCTGATCCCGGAGGAGGACCAGCTAGCACGTCTGGACGGACTCAACGAAACAGAGATCCACTACCAAAAACCGCTCGCCGTCACCGACAAGTACAAGATGCTGGTGATCACCAAGATCATCCAGGTTTGTGCTGCCGAGAACTACGAACACGTGCCCAACTTCCAGTGGTATCTGGGTGTTTTGAACGATATCCTCAACATCAACACAGAAAACCGGCTTGCGGGCGTGGAGGAGCTCGTTAGCAGCCAGTTCATGTACGTGGGACTCAAGGTGCCCAGTATTCGCAGTCGATTGGTGCAAAAGTGTCTGGATCTTGTCCTGGACAACACGCGGCTGCTGGGCCTGAAAGGCGGGCTGCAGAACTTCATCTGGCTCGTTGGCGAGTACTACACAGAATACATCTCTACACTGGACGAGAGCGACGACGACGACAGCGACAACGAGGAAGCTACCAAAATCACCGGCGCGCAGATCATCCAGCGCGTTGCAAGTCAGGACGAGTTATTCAAGTTTACAGAGTTGAACGACCCAACCATGGGCATATACATCCAGGCCATGGCGAAACTGTTTGGCAAGTACTGTTTGTCATTGGGACGTTCGTGGGACAGGGACGACCGCGACCATGTGGCTGAGGTGTGCGAGACGTTGATCTCGTGGCTGGCCAAGTTTTCGCGCAGCGCCAACTTTGAAGTGCAGGAACGGAGCATCTCGTTCACAGAGCTGCTGAAACTTGCACTGGACTCGATCAAGGAGGAGGACGAAGGGGCTCCGAATTTCGTGGTTTCTGGTTATAGCCAGTTATTCGAGCAGCACCCAATCAAGCCTGTCGGCACGTACACGCAGCAGCGGATCCCCATTGGAATCGACCTGGATTCGGCCATTGACCAGGACTCGATGAGCGCGTTCCAAGGCATTCTGGCCGGAATCAAGGAAAAGGAGCTGCAACAGAGCCAGGTGGATGAGTATGAGGAGGAGCTTGTTTCGGAGATCAATCAATCGTCCGAGGACGAAGAAGAGACCCGCAGGGAGAAGCCCGACCGCCTGAACGATCCGTTCTATATCTCCATGGACACCAGCACTGCGGACGAGGTGTCTATTGCCGCTTCGGAGCCTGTGGTGGAGAAGAAGCGCAAGAAGCCAAGCAAGAAGAAGATCCGCAAGGAGAAGGTGCTGATTCTGGGTGATGACGACGCGGCCGCAGACTCGGGCGCAGAGCCTGTTGCCAAGCCGACGAAGAAGAAGGACAAGAACCTGCTGGTGATCGACTCGTCCACGTTGGACGGGTTCGACTTCACGAAAACGCCGGAGGAGCCCGACCGCAGTGACGAGGTGGAGCAGATGCGGCAGGAGTTCGAGAAACTCGAGCAAAAACACGAGCCTGTCGTGGTGAAGAAGCCCAAGAAGCCCAAGAAGAAGCTGGTGGTTATCGAGTAGTTATGGAGATATAACCGAATCTGACTTGCGCTTTCTCGACGCGTCCAAGTTCAATATAGAGTCGAACTCGGGACCCAGAACCGACGATGTAGGGTTATTTTCGATAACTTGTAGAAATTCCAATAACTCGGGCGTTTGCAAAGCCTCTGTGTCCTGCAACAGCGGCGACAGGTACTGTTCCAAAAACGGTTTCTGGTCGATGATATTCTGAACAGCAGCGTGCTCTTCTTCTGGCGATAAGTTTGTGTGTGTTTTGCTGAGTCGGTTGGCCTCTGATTGGATAAGCAGCTGCACCAGCATGTTATTCCTCAGCTCGAGGTATCTCACGAGTTTGTTGATCTGGGCCTGTTTGCCGCTGAGTCTCTGTGCCGCGGCATGGACCTGTGCATACTTGTCCAGCAGCGATTGGTATTGCTGGGCCTCTGGGGATTGGCTGTTCTGGACGATTGGGTTATTTAATCGAGAAAGATCCATAACGTGTAAATTGGCGAAAAAGTATAACTGCAATCCCAATAAGGATATCTATAAAAAAAAAATTTAATATAAAAAAAAAATTATATTCAATATCCTACGTTAATGGTGCTCAAGTCTACAACCGCCAACAACGTTTCGGTGTACCAGATTTCCGGTACAAATGTGGCCAGGTCGTTGCCGGACTGGATTGCTCGGAAACGGAAACGGGCGCTCAAAAACGACCTCGATTACCAGAACCGTGTGGAGCTGATCCAGGACTTTGAGTTCAGCGAGGCCTCGAACCGCATCCGGGTCACCAAGGACGGCAAGTACGCCATGGCCACGGGAACATACAAGCCGCAAATTCACGTGTACGATTTTGCGAACCTGTCGATGAAGTTTGAGCGGCACACCGACTGCGAGAACGTGGATTTTGTTCTTCTCAGTAATGACTGGACAAAGTCGATTCATCTGCAGAACGACCGGTCGATCGAGTTCCAGGTGAAGGGTGAGATGCATTACAGAACGCGGGTGCCGAAGTTTGGCAGAACTCTGGCGTACAACGACGTGAACTGCGACCTTTACGTGGGAGCTGCCGGGAACGAGATCTACCGGCTGAATTTGGAGCAGGGCCGGTTTTTGCAGCCTTTTGAGGTGGAGAGTGAGACCGGTGTGAATATCGTGGACATCAACGATGTTCACGGACTGGTTGGAGCTGGTCTGGAGGACGGCACGGTGGAGTTCTGGGACCCCAGAGCGCGGCAGCGGGTGGTGAAGATGCAGGTCGTGGACGGGGCAGACAGCTCCAGCACGCAGGTGACGGCGTTCAAGTTCCGTAACGACGGGCTGAACATGGCCGTGGGCACGTCGAACGGCATCTCGCTGCTGTACGATCTGCGTCGGTCGCAGCCGTTGATGACCAAGGACCAAGGTTATGGGTTCCCAATTAACAAGATAACTTGGCTCGACGATAACTCGAGTGTGAGCAACAAAATCATGACATCGGACAGAAAAATCGCCAAGATCTGGGACAGAAACGACGGAGACCTGTTTGCCAGCATGGAGCCCAGCGTCGACATCAACGACGTTGAATACATTCCGGACTCGGGCATGTTTTTCATGGCCAACGAATCCATTCCTATGCACACATACTATATTCCTGCTTTGGGACCTGCTCCCAAATGGTGTTCGTTCCTGGACAACATTACCGAGGAGCTCGAGGAAAAGCCCTCGGACACAGTGTACTCGAACTACAGATTCATCACCAAGCAGGACGTTGCGCGGCTCAATATCTCGCATCTTATTGGGACCAAAGTTATGCGTGCTTACATGCACGGTTATTTCATCGATACAGAGCTGTACGATAAGGTGAACCTGATCGCCAATCCGAACTCGATCCAGGACCAGCGGGAGCGCGAGATCAAGAAGCGTCTCGAGAAAGAGAGAGAGTCGCGGATCCGCAGCACAGGAGCCATCACCAACACCAAAATCAAGGTCAACAAGGATTATGCTACCAAATTGGGCCAGAAGCTTGGTGCAGAGACTGCGGAAGGTGTTGTCAACGACGACCGTTTCAAGGAGATGTTCGAAGACCCTATGTTCCAGATTGATGAGGAGTCTCACGATTACAAGCAGTTGAACCCGGTGCAAGGGTCGAAGCCACTGACGGCTGCCGAGGAGTCGGACGAGGAGAGAATGAAGCCGGAGAACTCTGACGAAAGCGAGAGCGAGAGTGAGGACGAGAGCGAAACCGAAAGCGAGGACGAGGCCACTGTCCAGAAGCGCAAGGAGATCCAGAAGAAGCAGGACCAGCGACTCAGACAGGAGCTCGAGAAGGAGGAGTATCTGAAGAGTTTGCAGACCGTTTCTATGAAACCACTGGACGCTGCTGCAGAGCTGAACGGCAAGACTGACGGCAAGAGTTTGTCGTTCGGAAAACGGCTGAACGAGGCCAATAAGTCGCGCGAGGAGCACAGAGCAGAGAAGCAGGGCGTGCGGATGCACAAGAACGTGCAGGGCGACGCTGAGATCAGCTACGTGCCGCAGAAAAAGAAGAAGGTGGTGCGTATCGAGAGCACCGAGTCCAGAGGCAAGACCAAGCAGAACTACGAGGGTAGAAGACGTGCCAGTAAAAACGCATTCAGAGGCATGTAGATAACTTTTTTCGTCTAACAAATTTAATTAATGCAGTCTATTAATTATACACGATGCTGATTAGGAGGTATTGGGGAGATTCAATTTCGATTTGATCTCGTCCCAGTCGTCTAGAAGGTTATTGTCTGCGAGTTTACGGAACACTTGTAGCAGTAAGTTATTCTCGTCCATCATTGTGCTCTCTGCCACCAAGTTATGTAGCGACTTCCCCTTGTGGACCAGGGGAGTGAACCGCCGCGGGACTTGCACGTTGAGGCCCTCGATCTGTTTCACCGCGTGGTTGGGTAGTTGTTGTGGCCGTGCAGGGCCTGTTTCGTGCAAAAACTTGCACTTTGCGCCGTTTCTACAGTTTCGAGATCTCTGCCAAAACTTGCAAACACGACGGTTTCCTTGTGGAGCAGGAACCTTTACCGACTGCTGTGCACTGCTGGCTTGTTTTTCCTCGACTCTCTTTGTCGTGGGCCAGTTTTTGCGGCGTTCCTCGATCCATTTCTGTATATCTTCTTCTGTTTCCAACACGATGTTTGTTCCTGCGATGGCAACCGTTTTTGCAGCGATCTCTTTTTCGTCGTCGGACTCGTCCGCAGAGTCGGTTATGGCGCCAATGTCCAACTCATTCGGGTTCTTTGTGATCTCGGGCGGGTTAGCAGCCGCGATATCTGCTGCCGTGGGGATTGCAGAGACGTTCAGGGGAGTGGCCTGTGACGACACAGCCACAGAGTCTAGCTTTGGGCGTTTCACTGACTCGAAATCGTCCTCCGGCGGTCTTTTCAGGTCGTTCATTGATCCACTAGTCAAGATAACTTTTACTAAAAAATTTATCAGATAAAACATGTCTAAACATAACAAGCCGACTACACAGGCAGAAATTCTCGAACGACGCAGGAACAGGTTCAAGCAGGACCAGCAGAAAATTGATCGAGAAAAGAGTAACGAGTTTGGACTCGTCAGCCGCGGAGAGGACTTGCGATTGCAGCAGAATCACTCCGATAGAGAAAAGTTATACAAGAAGATCTGCCATAACCTCGAAACAGGTGCCAACAACGACTCTATTCTTCTTGATTTCCGTAAGCTCCGCGAAAGCTTGCTTGCATTGAAGCACTCCGAGTTTGCAAAGACTGTGTTTGTGGCGTCAATCGACTTCTCTGCGTCCATAGGCCACCACCAGTCGTATGTCCCCAGCATAATGCATTTGATTCAAGCGGAGAAGACCAATTCTTTTATGAATAAAACTGAGCGCACGCGTGTTCTGGTTCTGCTTGCCCTCCATAAGGCACATTTCAACAAGGAGTACGAACAGGCGTTCAGCATTCTGCTACAGAACTTTGAACTATCACCAAACTTTCAGAGCCCCAAGAAATCCGACCAGGACCAGGCATATTTTGCATGCTACGCAGCTTTGACGAACGACTTCCAGCTCTGGTGGCCATGCTACCGCCAACTGGCCGAACAGAAGACCTACAAGGGGGTACTGGACCTGGAGATCCATCAGTTTCGCCAAAAAGCCATCAGCACCGTCAATTGCACGTATTACGTTCTGAAAAAGAACACACTCGAGGACCTGCTCCACATCTCCTGGGAAGACCTCCAGAGCTCCTTCTCCACCAACTGGTCGCTCCAAAACGACACCGTCACGATCCGCAAAAGAAAATAGCTGCCACCCAGCCGCTTACGTAATCATATAAAAGTGTAAAACGTAACCCCGACACCGAGGTTTAGGATATCGAAATCAAATCTTGTCAGACGATGTCTATGCCCACTCCCGCGACGAATACAACGCCGTCGGCCGCTCTGGCCGGTCCTCCCAGCGTGGACACCCCCTCTGTGGAGCCCATTGCGATCCAGGATCTCGAGAGCGGCAAATTGGACGTGGACTCGCTCGTGCTGGAAATACAAGACCTGCGGTCTCATATCGCGGGATTACGCTACGAGATGGCTAAATACATCCGGCTGCTTGCGTCAGTGAATGAGGACAGCACGTCTTCCGGGTTCTACCACGAGGTGGCGGCCCAGATCGGCGTTTTGAAAAACAGCCTGGATACATATAACAACGCTTACAGAAGACTTCTCCCTGTGATTCGGTACTCGAAACTGAAGAAAGGGCTGAGCCCCGAGGACCAGACGAAGGTGGTGAGCCACGAGGTGAAGGTGGATACGAAGTTTCTGAGCGAGCAAGCGGCAAATAAGATGGATATATCGAAAAACCCGTTAGTGGCGGCCTCAGAGATGGGTGCTCCGTACTCTGCGGGCAGTGTTGGGTCGCCTGGTGCGCGCAATGGGGCTGCCAAGCGGCCGATGAAGGCCAAGCCGCCAGTCAAGAAGAAGTGAGACCTGGGACGATCGACGCGTCGCCTTCTATTTTTCGCTGGCACCAGAAAAATTCCCCGGTGATGACTGATTTTTTCAGTGATTAAGAGTATGTCGAAAGCACTGAGAGAAGCGTTTTTGAAGGCAAAGGCCGAAAAGAGAACCGCCTTGGTGACCTTCATCACCGCCGGCCATCCGACTGTCGAGGAGACGGTCGATATTATGCAGAATCTGCAAGCTGGTGGAGTGGACGTCATTGAGCTTGGTGTTCCTTTTTCCGACCCTATGGCGGACGGACCAGTGATCCAGCAGTCCAACAACGTTGCTCTTGACAACAAGGTGACTGTTCCTTTGGTTCTGGAATTGGTGAAGAAAGCCAGGGCTGCTGGCGTGACTGTTCCGATCGTTCTTATGGGATACTACAATCCGATCTTGCAGTACGGAGAGAGACAGATGATCAAGGACTCGTACGATGCGGGCGCCAACGGGTTCATTGTTGTTGATTTACCGCCAGAAGAGGCGCTGAAGTTCAGAGGGTTCTGCAAAGCCGAGGGAATGTCGTATGTTCCTCTGGTTGCTCCGTCCACTACTGACGAGAGACTCAAGTTGCTGGGTCAGATTGCGGACTCGTTCATCTACGTTGTTTCGCGTATGGGCACCACTGGAGCCACCATTTCTGTGAGTGCGACCGTTGGCAGTCTTGTTGACCGTGTTCGCAAGCTGACTGGAGGCAGTGCTCCATTGGCTGTTGGGTTTGGTGTGTCCACCAGAGAGCACTTTTTGCAAGTTGGTTCGAGCTCTGACGGAGTTGTGATTGGTTCGAAGCTGGTGACCATTCTGGACGAGACTCCTAAGGGCCAGAGAGGCGAGGCTGCTAAGAAGTATGTCAAGTCGATTCTGACCGGCGAAGGAGAAAACACCGTGGGCGAGGGTTTGATCGAGGCCGAGCTGAATCTTCCTGAAGAGGTCAAGTTCGATGAGAAGCACTTGCACAACCCGCGGTTTGGCGAGTACGGCGGCCAGTACGTTCCAGAGGCCCTGCAGGCCTGTTTGAGAGAGCTCGAGGACGGGTTCGAGAATGCAATTGCCGATCCGCACTTCTGGGAGGAGTTCAGATCGCTCTACGACTATATTGGAAGACCATCTTCCCTGCACAAGGCCGAGCGTTTGTCCGAGTACGCGGGCGGCGCCCAGATCTGGCTCAAGAGAGAGGACCTCAACCATACCGGATCGCACAAGATCAACAACGCTCTGGCACAGATCCTGATTGCCAGAAGACTCGGCAAGACCAACGTCATCGCAGAGACCGGAGCCGGCCAACACGGTGTGGCCACTGCCACTGCCTGTGCCAAGTTCGGTATCAAGTGTACGGTTTTCATGGGAGCAGAGGACGTCAGAAGACAGGCTTTGAACGTGTTCCGGATGAGAATCCTCGGAGCCAACGTCATTGCCGTCACCAACGGTACCAAGACTTTGAGAGACGCCACTTCTGAGGCCTTCAGATACTGGGTGTCTCATTTGGCAGACACACACTACATTGTTGGCTCTGCTATTGGACCTCATCCATACCCTACGCTGGTGAGAACTTTCCAGAGCGTGATCGGTAACGAGACCAAGGAGCAGTTCCTCAAGAAGACCGGCAAGCTACCAGACCTTGTTGTTGCGTGCGTTGGTGGAGGCTCGAACTCCACCGGTATGTTCTCTCCGTTCGAGAAAGACAGCAGCGTCAAGCTTCTGGGAGTCGAGGCTGGAGGAGACGGACTGGACACAGACAGACACTCTGCCACGCTGACTGCCGGAAAGCCTGGTGTTTTCCACGGAGTCAAGACGTACGTTCTGCAGGACTCTGACGGCCAGGTCCACGACACTCACTCTGTTTCTGCCGGATTGGACTATCCTGGTGTTGGACCCGAGCTTTCTGCCTGGAAGGACCTGGGCCGTGTGGAGTTTGTTGCTGCTACCGACGCGCAGGCCTTGGAAGGGTTCCGTTTGCTTTCGCAGTACGAGGGTATCATTCCTGCGCTCGAGTCGTCGCATGCCATCTACGGAGCTCTGCAGAAGGCCAAGGCCATGTCCAAGGACCAGCACGTCATCATCAACGTTTCTGGAAGAGGAGACAAGGACGTCCAGAGTGTTGCCGAGGTGCTGCCGAAACTCGGCCCCCAGATCGGCTGGGATCTGCGGTTCGAGTCCTTTGACGACGCCAGCAAGTAATCGCGATAAATTAGCTACCAAAAAAATATTTTGTATAACCTTTTCAAAGTTATTCCTTTTCAATGTGGCCTGGGAACCACGTCCACCTGGCGTACGGTGTGGACGGAACGTGTGTTTATAGACGCCAGGACGACACGTTTGATTTCCCCAAACGGCGCGAGCCGCGGTCTCGCCAGTGGCACACAGTTCGTTCCTCGTTCGAGGTTCTTGTTCCTGCACAGCTTGCGCCCGAGCCGGCCGCTCTGCCCGCGCGTCACGTCAAATCAGCGCTGCAGAACACTGACACCAGTGCCGACTCGTACTTCGTGCCGCGCTCGCTCGTCCGCACGGGCCACCAGGAGTCGCTGGCCGCCCAGGACAGCCACATCTACGACCCCACGTACGGCGATCTCCTGGCTGTTTTGCCCTACAGCGCGCCGAAACTCGCCGCCAAGCTGCTCATCAGTGCGACTGGGCACTACGGAACGCTTGTCGCCGTGAGCGTGCTCGACACTTCGCCAGAGCCCGCCCTATCGGCCACCAAGGCCCTCGAGTTCAGCTCCAGAGTCAAGCAGGTGTTTGTGCTCCCAAACACACACCTGTTTGGCGTGCGCACCAGCACGGGCATCTCTGTGTTTGAGGCCCGTCTCGAAAGCCGGTTCCACGTCGGGGTGGCCCGACTCGTGGAGATCCCAGACAAATCGCTCGCCGGCCAGGCGTTCGCAGACGTGTGCGTGTGTCCACAGACAGGCTCGTTCCTCGGAGCGGTCGACGTGAAGGGCAACTTTGGACTGTACCGGCTGCTCAAGCGCGACCTCGACCGCGTGTTCAACGACTTCAAGCTGGTGTACTCGTCGTCGATCTTCGACCCGGCAGAACTGTCCAATTTCAAGAAGATCGTGTTTGGCCAGCAGAGCGACACGCTGGTCGTTCTTTCGCGCTCCTCCGCACACATGTGGACCCCTGCCAGCCAGAATTGTAAAGTGGTTGCAAACCACTGGACAAGGCTGCTGGACCTAGCTGTTCCTTGCAACCAGACACAATACTGCGTTCTGCTCACCACAAAAGAGGTTTTGTTGGTGTCGTTGGCCACGTTCGACGTGGTCCTCGGTTGGTCGCACCTGCTCGACCAGACAGACCCGACGTTGAGATTGTACGTGCGCCAGAACGACGACAGACTCGAATGTCACGTTGTCTCGCAAACAACGCCCATGGTGTACGTTATAGTGTTCCAACTGGACGAAAGACCGCACATTGCGGGCGACCCATACTTCTATGTGTCACACCCCTCGCAGCCGGTTCAGTCGCTAGCATTCACCGGCCGTGGCGACGACCTGTTCGGTATCCAGCTCACCAGAGATCTCGAGCTTTCCCGTGTAAGGATGCAGCGAGCAAGCGGACCGGTCGAGGTTCCGCAGCCAAGAACAGAGACTGTTACCGAGAAAGCACCCGAGATCGACGTCTCATTGCTGGAGAAGACAGCATCCGACCCTGACCTCGAAAACGTGCTTGGGTCGCGGATATCTGCCCTGGTGGCACAGTTCCAGAATGACAGCTCGTCTGCAACCGATCTCTCTTCGCTGCTGCCTGTTTCGGGCCCAGCACCAGACAATCTCTCTGAGCTGGTGCACGACTCGTGGTCCGTCTACGAGTCGTCTGCGCGTGTCTTTTCGGACCAGGGCAAGCTCGAGACAACCACACAACTCTCAGGAACTCTCATGAACCTGCTCAAGCCCCTGGACTTCACCAGCCGCGGTCTTCTGGGCATTTTACAAAAACAGGACCCCCAGATCCAGTCGATCAACACCAATCTTGGACTGAGTCTGGTGTCGCTTCACAAAGCAAGCACCGACGACCAGCACATCCACGAGATCCGCAAACAGTTGCCGTTGGAGCTGGCTGCTCTGCTCGACCAGTGGAGGCCGCATGCGCCACTTGCGCGCGGGTCCATCAGCCACACCCAGCCGGGGAGCCAGGTCCCAACGATCAGCGTGTCGCAGGCGCGCAAGAAGCCCCGCGCGCGATCCAGCCGGGCCGGTGTTCCACGTCCGCGTGTGCAGCTGTCGCAGGCCGTGGAGCCATCGTCGCAGGTTGTTTTTTCCTCGTCACAGGCGTCTGAGCCCTCGTCACAACCTCCTTCTGGAAACCTTTTCAGCTCCCAGCCGTTGTCGCAGGGCACCTCCTCGCAGAAGAAACGAAAGAAACGGAAAATGGGTGGGTTCATGTAAACTTGTCCCCACTGTAAATATATTACCCACAGTAAAAATATCTCTCTATGCTTTTGTTCATAGTATTGGCATATCTCGTTGTTTGCTCGGTTGCCAAGGTTGACTACGGAACCCTTGACAACCAGCGCGAAAGCATAGATGCGCTCGTTGCCGAGTACACCGCGGCCAATGACAAATCGCTGCTATGGGGGGCCTACAGATCGAACCTCTACCTGGGAGTCAAGCCTCGTCTCCCCGAGTCGTTGTTGACCGGGGTGATGTGGTACAGCGTGGACGATTACCAGGGCATCGGGTATCTGCGCCACGAGTGTCGTCAAGAGGACCAGCTGGACAAGTTTGGCTGGACAAAGTACGACGCACGGATCGGAGGCCACGAAGTTATCAAGGACGCACAGTTCAAGACCCAGATCGACGCCGACTTTGTCAAGACAGAGTCAGGCAATTGGGCGTTGAGGGTCAAGGGCAAGCCGGAAAACCCAGACGCCAAGACATCGGTCGTGTTCTACGCGGGTCTCGAGGGAGAAGGCGAGCTGCAATATGCTGGTGCTGATGAGATTGTTGAAAAAGATGCGAAATTGGTGGGATACTCCGAGCGTCTTGGAGGTCTCTTCGAGATCGACGTCACTCGCGGAGCCGACGACCAGTACATCAAGAAACAGAAGGTCCACGAGTATGGATTGGATCCGTCGGTTACCAGACACTTATCGTTGACGATTCCTACAGGAAATGTCTGGCGTGCTAAGGACATTTTATTGACACTGATTGGCGAGAAAATCAACCAATTGAAGGATAAACTGACCGTGGACAATAAAGTTCCTCCAGAACAGCTTTTCCAGATGCAGAATATGGGCCAATTCAGCGGAAACCTGCATTTTGTGCAAAAAACGTTCCAAGGAGAGTTTGAATTTGATATTTTATACAATGTTGCCGAGACTGACCATTTGAGCTCCGACGTTCTTCCTCAGAAGATCAAGGAGATGAACGACAGGTTTGACAAGAACTTCATTGAAAAGTTCCAGCTGCTTGCTCCGTTCACTAAGCCGTCTTACTTCCAGTTCGCCAAAGAGATGCTTTCTCAGCTTTTGGGAGGTATCAGCTATTTCTACGGTGACCAGCTGGTTGACCGCGACGTTGTCATTGACGATGTTGAGTTCAGCCATGCCCATCTTCAGGGCAAGTCGGAGGGACCTTATGAACTGTTCACCGCCGTTCCCAGCAGACCGTTTTTTCCACGTGGATTCTACTGGGACGAAGGGTTCCATCTCTTGCCTATTCTTGAGTACGACTCCGACCTAGCCCTGGAGATCGTTCAAAGCTGGTTCTCGCTGATTGACGACGACGGATGGATTGCCAGAGAACAGATTTTGGGAGACGAGGCTCGAAGCAAGGTGCCACCAGAGTTCACTGTGCAGAACCCAAATATCGCCAATCCGCCAACCTTGATGCTGGTGTTCACCAAACTTTTGGACCTGGCCAAACAGGCTCAGGCCACCCAATCTCACGGTCTGAGGCTGGACGACACCCTCGATGTCTCGCAGCTTGGAAACATGCATCTTCAAAACCCAGAGCTGTTGGTGGACTATGCCAACAAAATATATCCACAGCTACAGAAACATTACAACTGGTTCCGCAACACCCAGCGCGGCGAAACCAGCTTATTTGATAGACAGTGCCATTCCACACAGGATGTTTTCCGTTGGAAGGGCCGCACCAAAGATCACTGCTTGCCCAGTGGAATTGACGACTATCCGCGTCCGGAAGCTGATGTTGCAGAGTTGCACGTTGACCTGCTGGCCTGGATGGGCATCATGACCCGTTCCATGTACAAGATCGCGCATCTTCTAGACAAGCACGACGACTCCAAACAATACTTGGACATTTACAACAACATTGTTGGCAATCTGGACGATCTTCATTGGAGTAGCCAAGATAAGAGCTACTGTGACGTGACTGTTGATGACAACGATGAGAACGTGTTTGAGTGTCACATTGGATACGTCAGTATCATGCCATTTGTTCACCATCTGATACCGGCTTCGTCAGACCATCTCGAGCATGTGCTGGCCCAGTTGCATGATCCGGAGCAGCTATGGACACCATACGGTATCCGGTCTCTTTCCAAACAAGACGAGTATTTCCACAAGGGCGAGGACTACTGGAGAGGCCACATATGGATCAACATCAACTACCTGGTGTTGGAAAGCTTGCAATACTACGGAACACATCCAGAGACCAAGCCGGAGATTCGAAAGCAGATCAACACCATCTACACACAGCTACGCACCAACTTGGTGGAAAACATCTTCAAAAATTACAACGAAACAGGATACCTCTGGGAACAGTACAACGAGAACACGGGTGCCGGACAACGCACGCGTCATTTTGCCGGATGGACGTCCTTAGTGGTGCTGATGATGAAGATGCCTCCTGAGCTTGATCTGTGAAAACCCCCATTTACATCACGTGATAGTTTTTCGATAGAGCATTTTCAGTTTTTTTTGCGGTGTTGAATTTTTCAAAAATTTTCCTGGAAAACTTAATACTACATCATGGCTCCAAAAGGAAAGAAGGTCGCCCCAGCTCCTTTGGCTACCAAGGCTAGCAAGAGCACCGGTTCTAAGAACCCTTTGATTGAATCCACTCCAAGAAACTTCGGTATTGGTCAAGCTATCCAACCAAAGAGAGCCGTCAACAGATTTGTGAAATGGCCAGAATACATCAGATTGCAAAGACAGAAGAAGGTGTTGTCCATGAGATTGAAGGTTCCTCCAGCCATCTCCCAGTTCTCCAACACTTTGGACAGAAACACTGCTGCTGAGGTGTTCAAGCTCTTGAACAACTACAGACCAGAGACTGCTGCTGAGAAGAAGGAGAGACTCACCAAGGAGGCCGCTGCTATTGCTGACGGTAAGAAGAAGGAGGACGTCTCGTCCAAGCCATTTGTTGTCAAATACGGATTGAACCACGTTGTCTCTTTGATCGAGAACAAGAAGGCCAAGTTGGTTTTGATCGCTCACGATGTTGACCCAATCGAGCTTGTTGTTTTCCTCCCAGCTTTGTGCAGAAAGATGGGTGTTCCATACGCCATTGTCAAGGGTAAGGCTAGACTCGGAACCTTGGTCCACCAAAAGACCAGTGCTGTTGCTGCTTTGGTCGACGTCAGACCAGAGGACGAGGCTACTTTGGCCAAGCTTGTCTCCACCATCAACGCTAACTTCACCGAGAAATACGAGGACCAGAGAAGACACTGGGGTGGAGGTATCATGGGATCCAAGACTACTGCCAAGTTGGCCAAGAGAGCTAGAATTGCTGCTGCTGCTCCAAAGAGAGTCGAGGCTTAAGTAATGTAAGACAAGTAAGAAGTGTATTGAAAACAAGCACATCCGTACACCAGCAAACAAAAAGACGAGTGGAAGCTGACGTTTACAAGCAGTTACAAGAGTCTTGTATTACACTATCCTGCTATATGATGACCTCTATCCCTTACTTCAACTTGTAGAACAACTTTGGAGCAGCACAGTCGTTGATGCAATGCTGTAAATGGAAGAATTCCTCCACGCAATCCTCCTTGTATTCCTTGTCGGCGTATCCTTCCTCTTCCATCTCCTTGGTCACTCTCTCAACACACTCGTGGTAGTGGTGGACGTAATGTGCGCAATCTTTGGTCTCGGAACACTCCTTTCTAAGGGCGTCCAATTGGTCGCCGGCTTCTTCCTCCTCGTCTTCGTCGTCTTCGTCGTCGTCATCCTCGTCTTCTTCTTCCTCTTCTTCCGCATCACCGGCATCCTCAGCGGCGGATTCTTCGACCGGCTCCTCGGCTGGTTCTTCAGCGTAGGCGGTGATTGGCGTCAGGGCGTCTATGAAATCTTTCAAGAAGGACATTGCAAATCAGCACAGGGTGGATTAAATGTTTAACTTTTTAACCTAACAAAACACTTTACACCGAAAAATTTCAATTTTTGTGTTTTTAATTGGTGGATTGCAATTATGGCGTCGATCGGCGCGTCGCTGGCTCCGGCACATTTGGGTAATTTTTTCGTGTTTGTCAAACTTCCATCTCGCTACTCGGCCGGGTAACGGCCCTGCAACCCTGCCCAGTGGTTGCCCCCCGGGCGAAAATTTTCGAGAACCCACCATGTCACAGACATAAACCACCAATTGTAAGCCAACTAATCCGCATCCGGAACCCCAACAGCGGCAACAAGAATCCTGGTGAGCCTCTACACGTTGAATATGTCTGCGTCCGAAATCGAAACAGCCCAGCCAGCCACCGAGCAAGTTCCTTCTCCCGTGGAAGAGACAGATCCAAACAAGATCTTTGTGGGCAACTTGCCATATAAGGCCACTGACGAGCAGCTCAAGGCTCTGACTCCAGAACTGGAGATTGTGTCTGTTGAGTTGCCTACCAGAACGGTCGTGAAGAAGGCAGATCAGACCCAAGTCGAGCTCCAAAAGGGCTACGGATTCATCACCTACAAGAGTGTTGAGGAGGCAGCCAAGGCAATTGAGCTCATTGGAGGCAAGTCCGTGGATGGAAGAGAAGTTTATGCTAGAGCAGCTCTTCCTCCAAGTCTTGCACCAAAGAGGGAGAGAAAGCCTAAGAAGAGCGCACAAGGGTCTGCAGCATCGAGCGCTAGCGGCAAGCCTAAGAAGAAGAACAAGGCCAAGTCGAAGGCCAAGAGTGCGCCAAAGGAGTCCGAGGAGGCGGTCTCGGAAAAGGAGACCAAGACCGATTCAACCGAGAGCACGGCCACGACCAAGAGTGAGCCCTCTTCTTCCGAGGTGGCGGAACCAGCCAAAAAGCCCAAGAGAGTTGTTCTGTCCAAGGAGGAGAAGCAGAAGAAGCTTGCGGACGGGGTGCCTTCCAAGACAACTCTGTTCCTGGGCAATCTGGACAAGACTGTTACCAGTAAAGATCTGAAGGAATTGTTCTCCGAGTACGAGCCTGCGTGGGTCAGAGTGCCAAGAAGAGAACTGCCTAAACATCTTTACCTGAAGCTGAAGGCCAAGAACGTTCAAATCGACAACAAGGGAGTTGCATTTGTCAGATTCAAGTCTGAGGAGGACCAGCAAAAGGCCCTCAAAGAGTTCGAGGACAAGGAGTTCAAGGGCAGAAAACTCAACGTCACCGTGGCAATTGACTCTGTCGCGGAGGCAACCGAGGAATCTGTCGAGGAGAAAGAAAATTAGTGGAAGCATCTGGCACGGTTAGACATTCATTCATCGGGACCTGTTTTCTACACAAATAGTGTCTGCTTGCTGTGTATAATTATCTATGTCTTATTTACGTGCATCAATAATAGCGTCAGGCTCAAATCCTGGCCATATTTTGATAAGCCTGTAGACACGGCGCATTGGCCCGGCAATTCGTATATATTTCGAGCCGTATTTCTGCCATTATTGATAAAGTTCAATTTAAATATTTTTCTCTTGTTAAAAATTTAAGAAGCCCCCATATAGAGTCATTGCTTCTGGTTATGTTAGCTTTAGCGAATAACACCGTTTGGTGCGACTCGTTGTGGGATATTGACGATTTCAGTGTCTGTGGACGGCAGCTGTTTCTAGAACTGTGGCTCGTCCTCCCGCTGGGAATTAGTATTCTGTTGGTTGCCAGTAATTTTCTCTTTGTGAGGACTGGTACCGATAATTACGATGCCAGCTCAAAATTGGACGCCGAGCAACAGCCGCTGTTGGGAAGTCATCTGCGGAAATACAGTTCCGTGAAAGAAGATACAGACATTTCACCTTTGAAAAGACATTTCGATATCTCGTTAATCCAGCCCGTCGAGCAAGATGGCACCATCAAGTTTGTTTTCCGGGGTTTTGGCGAAAAACTAAGCGTGGCTTTGGAGTTTCTACTTTTGCTCGTGCAAACCGGGTTCACCATCGTCGCGTTGCCAGAAGTCGAACCATACACAGACTCTCCTTATTGGTTTGCTAAATATGTCAGTCCCACCCTCTGGGTCTACCTGACTCTGATCACCGTGATTAGACTTTATAACGTGTCTCAAGGTCTGGCACCAGAGAGAATCGACTTGTGGACCCAGTCGTCCATCTTATACAATGCGCAATGGTTCTGTTCCGCAATGTTCTTCCGGTCGGCCCTTTTGGATCATGCTCCATCCGCGTTGGCAGCAAACTACTTCTACACTCAATTCGGTATTAACACGGCCTTGGTCTTCATCAACGGCTTCCAAAAGTTCTCGGATAAACCTGCTCCTGTGTATGAGAAGGACGGCATTCCTCCCTCGCCAGAGACAACCTCCACTTTGTTCAACATCGTTACCTACTCGTGGATCGATAAGATGGTGTTCAAGGCCTATGCCAAACCAATCACTTTGAACGAAATTTGGGGCTTGAGACTCGACGACACGTCTCACGTGGTTCTTTCCAAATTCCACCAGCTCAACTCGAAAACCAGATTCACGATCCGGTTGCTTTTGCAATTCAAAGAGCCGCTTTTTTTGCAATCTGTCTACGCGTGCGGTAACGCAGTCATGGGAATTATTCCATCGATCGCTCTGAAAAAAGTTTTGGAATACATCCAATCGCCTAGAACATCATCCACAAGCATGGCTTGGCTCTGGGTGATTATCATTTTCGCCTCCAGTGCTCTCGAAGCAGGTCTTTCTGGAAGATGTTTGTTTGAAGGAAGAAGAATTTGTATCAGATTGAGATCTATTCTTGTTGGCGAAGTCTACTCGAAAGCTCTTAGAAGAAGACTTGCTGTGAAGGAAAAGTCTGCCGAAAAAAGCGACGGTGAGGAAGAATCAGGAGACGAAAACAAAGAAGATGAGCCGGCTGTCAAAGACATGGGTGGTATCATCAACCTCATGGCTGTTGATGCTTTCAAAGTCTCTGAGATTGCAGGTTATTTGCATTTCTTTACCAGTTCTACCATCACCTCCGTCTTGGCTGTGGTCTTGCTTTATAAGCTATTGGGCTGGTCCTCTTTAGTCGGAACTGTCTCCTTGCTTGCCCTAATGCCTTTGACTTACAGAATCACCACCACCTTAGCAGGATACCAGAAAAAGATGTTGGAGGTTACTGACAAACGGATTCAAAAGATCAATGAGACGTTCCAGAACATTAGAGTCATCAAATACTTTGGCTGGGAAGAAAAGTTTGCTGATACCATCATTGGCATTAGAAACGAAGAATTGCGCTTTTTGCTGCTCAGATGTTACGCGTGGACCTGTTCTGCATTCCTTTGGTGTGTTGCTCCATCTATTGTGTCTTTGGTCACATTCTATTTCTTCACTGTCTGGCAAGGTGAAAGCTTGACCACACCTATTGCTTTCACTTCTCTGTCTCTATTCAATCTTTTAAGAACTCCATTGGATCAATTGGCCGAGATGATGTCATTTGTTATTCAATCCAAGGTTTCTCTGGACAGAATTGAACAGTTCTTGGACGAGCCAGAAACTGAGAAGTACGACCAATTGACGTACCCTCGTGGACCAGACTCGCCATTGGTTGGTTTCGAGAATGCCACTTTCTACTGGTCCAAGAACTCCAAAAACGAGTTTGCATTAAGAGATCTCAACATTGACTTCAAGGTTGGCAAACTTAACGTGATTGTTGGACCTACAGGTTCCGGAAAGACCTCTTTGTTGTTGGCCCTTTTGGGAGAAATGGATCTTGATAAGGGACATGTTTTCCTTCCTGGAGCCTCTGCAAGAGAAGAGTTAATTCCTAACCCAGTTACTGGTTTGGTGGAGTCTGTTGCTTATTGTGCACAGACTGCTTGGTTGCTCAATGCTACTATCAAGGAAAATATTTTGTTTGCATCTCCATTCAACCAGGAAAGATACGACGCAGTCATCTATGCTTGTGGTTTGGCTAGAGATTTAGAAATTCTTGAGGCTGGTGACGAGACTGAGATTGGTGAAAAGGGTATTACTCTTTCTGGAGGTCAAAAACAACGTGTTTCCTTGGCAAGAGCTTTGTACTCTTCATCGTCTTACCTTTTGTTGGATGACTGTCTTTCTGCTGTGGACTCTCACACTGCTGTTCACATTTATGACAATTGTATCAACGGTGAGTTGATGAAGGGCAGAACTTGTTTGTTAGTGTCTCATAATGTTGCATTGACCATCAAGGAGGCTGATCACGTTGTTGTTCTTGACAACGGTCGTGTTAAGGCCCAAGGATCTGTTGACAAATTGATTGAGGATGGTGTTCTTGCTGAGGATACCATCAAGAGTGTTCTAGTCTCAAGAAGTGTCTCAACTGCTAATCTCGACGAGCTTGCTGACAAGCAAGATGTGAAACAGACGTTGAAATCTGCTGGTCAAGCTCTTGTGAACGCTTCAAACGCAGACGTTAAAGACCCTGACAAGAAACAAGGAAAGTCAAAGCTGGTTGAAGAAGAGACCAAGTCTGACGGTGCTGTCAAGAAAGAGGTGTACTATGCCTACTTCAAGCACTTTGGGTCCATTCCATTCTGGATCATCCTGATCTTTTCTTTCGGAGCTACTCAAGGAGTTTTCGTTGAACAGTCTTACTGGCTGAGACTTTGGGCTGCCCGCGAGGACGAAAAGGTTGGCGTTTCTATGAATGCTGTCTCCCACGCGGTTGGATACATCACCTCCGGTGCTGCTTGGCAAGACTCTGTTGCATTTTTCCGCAACTGGAGCTCGAGCCCATACTTGACCACATCTGTGTTACAACCAATTGCTTCCAGCGCAGAGGAACATGGAACGATGTTCTATATTGCAATTTATGCTGCTATTGGGTTCTTGTACGCAGGTTTCATTGTGTTCCGCTTGCTTCTGTGTTTCTACGGTGGTATCAACGTTTCTAAGAAGATGTTTGGGGAGCTGCTCAACAAGGTGTTGCATGCAAGACTGAGATTCTTTGATCAGACACCAATTGGACGTATCATGAACAGATTCTCGAAAGACATCGAAGGAATTGATCAAGAATTGGCACCATGCGCTGACTCATTCCTGGACTGCTTGATTTCGTGTTTGACTATTCTTGTAATGATTTGTGTGGTCACGCCAGGATTCATCTTTGCAGCTTTGATCATCTTTGCGCTGTACGTTGCTGTCGGTGCGTTGTATCTGACTTTGTCGAGAGACTTGAAACGGTTCGAGTCGATCACAAAGTCTCCTATACATCAACACTTTTCGGAGACTTTGGCTGGTATGACCACCATCAGAGCATATGGAGAGGAAAGACGGTTCCTGAGACAGAACCTGGACAAAATCGATGCAAACAACAGACCTTTCTGGTATGTTTGGGTCAACAACAGATGGCTTGCATACAGAGCAGACATCATTGGTGCATTCATTTCGTTCTTTGCAGCAGTGTTTGCTGTTGCTTTTGCGTACACATTGGATGCCGGATTGGCTGGTATTTCTCTTTCGTTTGCTGTCTCGTTCCGTCAGAGTGCCCTTTGGCTTGTCAGAATGTACTCCTATGTTGAGATCAACATGAACTCTGTTGAGAGAGTGCAGGAGTACATTGAGGGAACACCACAGGAGCCAGCCAAGGTTCTTCCGCAAGACCCAGTCAACTCGTGGCCTTCTGAGGGTGTTATTGATGTCAAGAACATTTCTATTAGATACGCTCCAGATCTGCCAAGGGTGATTGACGATGTTTCTTTCCATGTGAACGCTGGTGAGAAGATCGGTGTTGTTGGACGCACGGGAGCAGGAAAGTCCACCATTATCACGAGTTTCTTCAGATTTGTTGATCTTGACGACGGAAGCATCACCATTGACGGGCTGGACATCTCGAAGATCGGACTCAAGGCCCTGAGACAGGGTCTGGCGATCATTCCGCAGGACCCAACACTGTTCACGGGAACCATCCGGTCGAACCTGGACATGTTCCAGGAGTACTCTGACCTGGAGATGTTTGAGTCCTTGCGCCGGGTGAATTTGATTTCCGGATTGGACTTCCAGCGGATTGTGAACTGTAACGGGGCCCCTGTGGAGGACGAGGCTGCTGCCACGGAGGAGAACGCCAACAAGTTCCTGGACCTTGATTCTGCGGTGACGGAGGGCGGTGCCAACTTGTCACAAGGAGAGAGACAGCTGCTGTGTCTTGCAAGATCGATCCTGAAGACTCCAAAGATCTTGATGCTGGACGAGGCCACCGCTTCGATTGACTACGAGTCGGACGCCAAGATCCAGACCACCATCAGGGAGGAGTTCTTGGCCAGCACGATTCTCACCATTGCACACCGTCTCAAGACGATCATCGACTACGACAAGATCCTGGTCTTGGACCACGGCAAGGTGAAGGAGTTCGACCATCCGTACAAGCTGATCACCGACAAGAAGTCCGATTTCCGCAAGATGTGTCAGGACACGGGAGAGTTTGACGAGCTGGTGAATCTGGCCAAGCAGGCTTACAAAAAATAACGACACTGTTCAATATAATATTACCATGGTTACTCCAGCTTTTTTTCCCATCTTTTGACCACGAGCCCGTCGCTGAGGGTGTCCTGGACCGGGTACAGCGTGTAGTGGCCCCAATGCGGCGCCCAAACGAAGGTGTAGGCCCAGTAGAGCACGCAGAGCAGCAGGATGCTGACTGCGGTGTATGCGTAGTTGGGGAACCCGACAAACTCTGACGGCTTGAACGGGTTGAGCGGCGCCACGACCAGAAACACGGCCAGCGCGAGGGTGACCACCGCGTGCACCACCAGCAGTCTATTCGGGTACTGGTAGTCTGGGATGCGGCGTTTGAGCACAAAGATGCCGGCCACGGTGAGCCCCAAAAACAGCTCCAACGGGTAGCTTTCGAGGTTGATGATGTAGTCGTACACGTTGTCTGGTGTAGGGATGAGCAGGAAGAAGCATGAGATCACGAGCGGGAACACGAGAGCACGTAGTGGAGCGCCAAACGGCCAGTTGGAAGCAAAGAACCGACTGAACGGCAGAAACCCTTCACGGAAGATCTCCTGGTTCATCCGCGAGAGGTGGAACATCACGGTGAAGATGTTGCCTGCCGAGGAGACGGCCACGGTCATTGTGAGGCACTGGCGGCCAATGGTGTAGCCAAATAGCTTCTCGTATAGCAAACTTCCCACCATCTCGCCGGAAGAAGCAAGCTCCGAGTCCGGGATCACAATCAGGTAGCTGAGGTTGAGAAAGAAGTACGACACGTTGACGATGAGCAGGGCGAGCGGGCCGGCTATGGCGAGCGTCCTGACCGGGTCCTTGATCTCGTTTGTGACGATGTGCGCGGTGTGCCAGCCGCCAAACGAGAAGGTGGCCTTGAGAATGGCCGAGATGAACGAGGCCAGCGTGATCTCGCGTTTCTGCTTGAAGAAGTCGTGCCAGTGCAGGTTGCTGGTCACGCCGGTGACGCTCGTGGGCAGAACCAGCACGTAAACGCCCGTCAGCGACATGATGGCCAGCAGCACCAGCTTGAGTGCTCCTGTGATATTGGACACCCGTACACCAGCGTTCGTGGAGACGCCAACAACAACGCAGCACAGCACCACGTACACACAGCCGATGTACTTGGGGGCCATGCCGTTGACGTCGTCCCAGCCGAGCGAGTAGAGCGTGTACTCGCCGAAAATGATGGCGTTGGTGATGGTGAAGCCGAACGCGATCGAGTACGTGTTGTACAGCACGCTCATGAGCATCCGCGGCTTGTAGTAGATGTATTCGAGGAACACCTTCATTCCGCCGCTGCGCGGGATGATCTTCCCAAGCTCCAGGAAACAGAACAGCCCGGCAAAACTGACATATCCTGCTATCAGCCAGACTGCAAAGAACAGTGCGGGCGAGCCTCCAAGGTCTCTATAGATCAATGCGGGCACAGCGAAGATGCCCGACCCGATGATACGCTGGAGGATCATCATCACCATGGCGAACACGCCCAGATGGCGGCCGTGGGGCGTTGTTTCTGGTTCCTGGAGATAGTTCATCTGGTCGATCATCTGCTGCTGGAGGTCCAGCTCCGAGTCCAGCGACAGCACCACAGACGCTGTATCTGTGACCACGGTGGGGGCGGTCGGCGGGCTGTACGGTGACGGCGTCAGCAGCCTCAAGCTCTCAGAGTCCTCAGACGGACCGTCCACCATTTTTATAGATAACAAACAAAAGTGGCGAGTGTGGCTGGAAATATTAGTAAGGGAAAAAAGGGGGAAAAAAGGGATCTTTCCTAATTTTGTGTTTATAGTATGGATCAAACGTACACCTCGATTCCATTCCGCAAGTTTTCGTATATCAGCGACCAAAGTCAATGGATTCATTTCCCGTACCGCTCGGATTTGTCGCTCAATGTGGGGAAAAAGTCCCCCGCTAAGGAGAAGCCAGAGGGGCAGGACCTCTTGATCAAGATCATGTGGAAAGCCGAGGTGTTGGAACGGCTTGTTTTCGACGAGAACCAAATGATCAAGGCGTATACCAAGTTTCCGTCCATTGCATTGAAATATTACCCGAACGCGAGGTACTGCAAGAAACTCCAGCTCGGGTTCTCGTCCCACGAGGACTTTGACCAGTGTGTCCGGCTGTTGGAGACACATAACATCCCTACACAGACCCAGGAAAAGGGGGCCAGCCAGTTGCGGTCACAGGTGGATTTCGGCAGCCAGATGCCGTTTTCGCAGAGCTCGCAGCTGGAAAAGCCCAAGAAGGACCAGTACAAGTCCAACATGGTGGACACGTGGTCGCAGAAACAGGATACAACTGGGGCCGTGGAACCGGTGTCGAATCTGGCCGACGTGGATATTGGGCCGAACTTCGATTTCCTCAACTCGGTCAACTATGCTTCGTTCCAGGAAGAAGAAACTTCTAACGACACAAACACGTCGCTATCGTTGAACAACACGACGCTCGAAATGGCCAATGTCAGCACATCGACCAGTGTCTCGTGCGTGGATTTCTGCGGTTTGAGCGATAAAGAGCTGGGGTTGTACGTGCTCGGGAAATTAAAAGAGGAGAATTTTAATTATATGCTATACAAATTGGATAGGATCATCAAGAAATAGCTGGCATGACACTACCCAACCGGTAGATCATATGAAAACACCAAGCAGAAGAAGTCCAATGCCTGGAATCATAAGAGTGGCTGCACCTGCAGACGAAGCCGTGGACACGGTTGTGTCGGCCTGACTGCTGGAGCCAGAGCCCGCATTTGAGGTTGAAGATGCCTGCAACACCTTCAGATCAAGACCACCGCTCTGTTGTGCCAACGCAACAGTCTTGGAAGCCAGGTCCTCGGTACCATATAGAGTCGACTCGCCGGCCCGGTCAAGCAAAGAGGTGTACCATGGGAATGCCGAGATGTATGTCTTGAAGTCAGACATTGGGAAATCGTTTGCAAGCAAAGAGCTCAACTTGGCAGTGTCGGTGGTCTGCTGTTGGGCCTCCATATAGAACTCCACCAGGGTACCTGGAAATGCCATGTTGGCAGAGTCCATGTACGCAGTATAGTCCTGGTATCTGGAGCCGAAATCTTCCAGAAAGGCTTCAATCACACCCGAATCCATGCTATAAGCCACTTCGGCCGCATCCGATGGAGAAATCGTTGTTGTGATGGTCGTAGCACGACACATCATACAGAAACTCACAAGTGCTAATGGAACCAGCATTATCCAAACAGTTGGGCACTCAATCGCTATTTATGCTACGTTTCTTGAGTTGGGGACTGCTTCGCCATGTTTGAATTTCCATTTTAGGTTCACAAAGGGGTTACTCCGAAACTAGCTACAATTTAAATTTAGCCTGTGGTTAAGAAGGCGCGTTAGAGTCACAAATTCATAGATAACCCAGACGGGCTCGGTATTTTGGATCTGGATCCCTGAGCACACTCGGGAACCTGAAAAATTTGGCACCATTACTATCGATTTCCTAATGCGGAAAATTGAAAACATCATAATATTGACTTTTCCAGGTTTATCTTCAAGATTTGCATTTCTATCCGAAGTTGTTTAAGGTCTTCCAACAAGATGTCCCATAACTTTGAGAGAAACCCCTTTGACGACTTCCCAGAGTCGCCAAGGAAGCCAGATAGCATATATACCCCTGCTTCTTCTCCAAGAAAGCGTGAGTATGGACTCAAATCGTCAACTAACCAGTTAGAATCCCCTTCCAAAGCCGCCTTGAAGTACTCCCCGGCCGTTTCATTCAAGAGAAGCGAATCCGGTCTGTTCAGCAGCAGTACTGCCAACAAGTTCATCATTGCAGCAGAGAAAAACGGGCCAACTCCTCGTGCTGCCTTCACCACCCATGAGTCTCCAACCAGATCGAAACCAGCATTGGTCCGCACAAATTCCGATTCAGATGACATTTTCAGCTCCAAGAGCGACGAACTGAACAGATCCCTCGGCAGCGACCGCAGCGACCGTGCCCTTGATACCCCACGTCCATTGTTTTCCGCGTCTGCCTACACTGCAGCCAATGCCAGTCCATTCAAAAACTCGATTCCAAGCCTCAACCCGTCTAGAGAATCGTCGCAGTCGTCGCAGTCGACCTTGAACAGTAACATGGTCGAGCTCACCAAACAGGAATCCGGACCTTCGTTCTTTGACCGTGACACAATCGGTTCCAAAACTATCGACGAGGAATACGACTTTGGTTCCAGCTTGGACGGTAAGCTGTTCGAGGAGCTTCCAAAGGACTTCCAACCAAGAAGAAACAAATACAGAACTACTCAAAAAACGTTCAAGTCCAAGAATGGCAACCTGATCTTGGACAACCCGATCCCGTCGACTCTGTACAACTTCCTCCCTTTGAAAGGAGAGGACGAGTTCGATTACATGAAGTACTCTGCCGTCACTTCTGGTCCAGACGAGTTTGAAGAGGAAGGTTTCACATTGAGAACGCACGAAATGGGCAGAGAAACTGAGATTGTTGTTTGCATCACGATGTATAACGAAGACGAGGTTGCTCTGACCAGAACATTGCATGCTGTGTTCAAAAACATAGCTTATTTGTCAAAGAGAACCAACAGCAGCACTTGGGGTAAAGACTCCTGGAAAAAGGTGGTTGTGTTGATTGTTGCAGATGGTCGTAACAAGATCTCTGCTGGTGTTTTGCAAATCCTCTCTGCCATGGGAATCTACCAAGAAGGTATCTCCAAATCGCTAGTCAACCAGAAGGAGGTGCAAGCACACTTGTTTGAATACACGACCCAGTTGTCCATTGACGAAGATTTAAAGTTCAGTGGTAGCGAGAAAGGTTTGTGTCCTGTTCAGCTGGTTTTCTGCTTGAAAGAGAAGAACGCTAAGAAGATCAACTCGCACAGATGGCTGTTCAACGGTATCTGTCCCGTGTTGGAGCCACGGGTGTGTGTTTTGCTCGATGTGGGAACGCGTCCTTGCGAGAGCGCCGTTTACAACCTGTGGAAAGCATTTGACTACGACTCGAACGTTGCTGGTGCTGCTGGAGAAATTGTGGCCATGAAGGGTAAGATGTGGCGCAAGCTGATCAACCCGCTGGTTGCATCGCAGAACTTCGAGTACAAGATGTCCAATATCCTCGATAAGCCTTGCGAGTCTGTCTTTGGATACATCAGTGTGCTGCCCGGTGCTCTTTCTGCGTACAGATACTCAGCTTTGAAGAACCACGAGGATGGAACAGGTCCATTGAATGCCTACTTCAAGGGAGAACGGCCTGAAGGGTCTGAGGACGCTGGAATTTTCTCTGCCAACATGTATCTTGCCGAAGACAGAATTTTGGCCTGGGAGCTTGTTGCCAAGAAAGATGCCAAGTGGGTTTTGAAGTACGTCAAGAGCGCCAAGGGAGAAACAGATGTTCCTGAGGCCTTGCCGGAGTTCATCTCCCAAAGAAGAAGATGGTTGAATGGAGCGTTCTTTGCGGCCGTTTACTCGCAGAGCAAGTTCTTGGACATCTGGCGGACAGATCACTCTGCGTTGAGAAAGTTCTTCTTGCACATCGAGTTCCTTTACCAGTCACTGACATTGCTTTTCAGTTTCTTTGCCATTGCCAACTTCTACCTCACGTTCTACTATCTTGCCGGATCGCTGATCAATCTCGCCGGCACTGGAGGAAAAGTGCTGTTTGAGATCATGAACTACCTGTGTTTGTGTACTCTGTTGGGAATGCTTGTGATTTCCATGGGTAACAGACCACAGGGAGCTCCGAAACTGTTCCTTGTTGCTGTGATTCTGCTCACGATTTGCGGAGCGTACGCCATTATTTCTGGGTTCTACTTCCTGGTGTTGATGATTCAGGACAACTCTGCCGGTGATGCTGGCGGATTGAGTTTTGCATCCATCTGTGTCAGTTTGGCATCCACGTACGGACTGTATGCGTTGATGTCCATTTTGTACTTGGACCCATGGCACCTGCTTTCGTCGTCGGTGCAGTACTTTTTGATGCTGCCGGCTTACACCTGTCTGCTCCAGATTTACGCGTTCTGCAACACGCACGACGTGACTTGGGGAACGAAGGGAGAGAACCAGCCGGTGTCGAGTCTGGGAGCTGCCACCGTGGTGACCAACGAGGAGGGCCAGGAGGTGATCAAGCTGGATATCGTGGGAGACCAGAGAGACATCGACTCGATGTACGCAGAGAACCTGTACCAGCTGAAGGAAAGAAGAAAGACGCCGTTGAGTATGAGAGACGGAGGAATTCCAAAACTCAAGATCAACTCCGAAGATTACTACAGAGACGTTCGGTCGCGGGTGGTGCTGATCTGGACGATTGCGAACGTGATTCTTGTGATGACCATCACGCAGATCTACAAGCCTGACTCGATCAAGAACAACAAGTACCTGGCTGTGATCCTGTGGAGTGTGTTTGTGTTTGCACTGTTCCGGTTCGTGGGCTCTTTCTCGTTCCTGGTGCACTTTTTGCTGCGGAAACTGGTGATTGCCAAGAGCAAGTGGGACCTGCGCCGCGGCGGGGGCGAGGAGAAGGTGAATGAGATGGTTATGCTTTAAATCAATAGAATATAATATATATCGGGGCCAGCCTCAAGTAGAGGTGTACTTCATGGTGAGCACTTTTTCCTTGAGCTTGTTGAGGTCGTCGTCGTCTCTGAACGAGGCAGCGCGTTTGCGGGGCTCGTCAAGAGCAGGCGCAAACAGGTCCATGGTCTCGAGGTTGGTGAGCTGGTCCAGGTCTTCTGTCTGCTCCATTTCGGAGCTATCCTGGCCCAGAAGCTGGTCGTTGAGACTGACTTTGAAGTCGTTGAGGATCAGCGACTCGGGCTTGACAAACGACTCGGCCATCGACCGCGACCGGCCACGGCCCTCGTTGTTGCGCAGCCGCCGCAGCCCGTTGTTCAGGTTGCCTGTGACGGACTGGCTGTACGTCTCGTATAGCGCGCTGCGCTCCTTTTGGGTAGGCCCAGCAGCGGAGGCAGATGCAAACAAGCACGACGGAGCGTCCACGGAGCCGATCGAGAGCCGGTTGGACGAGATGGACGACGCGCGCGAGATGGACGAGAACACGCTCGAGGACGGCGACGGAGGCGAGCCCGAGGCTCTGTGCCGGTGACGCTTGGAGGCTCTTTCCACGGCCGGATCGGTGGCCGGGGCGAGCGAGCGGTACTCTGCCGGGGACTCGAACGCAGCCAGGTCAAACAGCTCGGGCTCCTTGCGCTTGAACAATGACGACGGAGCCAACGAGTATGTGAACGAGTGTAGGTCCTCCGCGTCGAGCGGGTGGGTCACGTGCTTCACGAGCTGCTCCACGACAGGGTCGCACAGCTTTTCTGTGGCGAGCTGCGAGTACAGCGCGCACAGGTTGGCGTGCTCGGCGGGACGGTCTTCGGGAGCTTCGAGCTTGGCGAGCGCCAGCAGCGTGGTGAGGTGGAAGTTGAAGCTGTTCAAGGCGAGCTTCTCCACGTCGCCGTCCACCAGCCCCACGGCCAGCTGCACGATCTCCGCGCACAGGGCCGGCAACTGCGAGTGGCTGGTGCGCAGGTACAGGTTGAGCTTGAAGTAGTGGTAGTACGACTTGAGCTTGTCGACGGCTGTTTTGTTCTCCTTGCACACGATCGACTCGAGGTCGTTCCAGGAGTCGAGCTGGGCGTCCAGCGCAAGCAGGTCGGCCTCGGACAGGCTCATGAAGTTGTATGGAACAATATCGAGCAGCTGAACGAGCTTGATGGTGATGTCGAGGTCCTTGGAGGCCAGCTGAACGCTTTCCAGTGGTCGTGGGCTGCGCAGGTCTTTTCTGACCTGGATGTTGAAGAAGATCTCAAACAGCTTGGTGAGCGAGTGCAGGCTCCAGTAGAGTCTGAGTCTGTGGATTTTCTGTGTTTGGGCGAGCTCGGGCTCGAAGCTGAGCTGGTCCGAGTCGGTGTTGAGCGAGAAGACTCTACTGAGAAACACACACACGTTCAGGATGTCTCTGAGCAGCGGCACGGGCGGCTGCTGGTCCTTTTTGATGTGGTAGTTCTCGAACTTGAGCAGGTGGTACATCATGAGCAGGACGATCTCGAACTTGTCCAGAGATGGGTCCACGACAAAGTTGATGTTGCGGAACAGGAAACTGAGGTTTTTGTTGTTGATGAGCTTGATGGCCTCCTCGAACTGGTTGGGCGACTGTTTGTTGAGCACAGACGACTGGGCGGCGGCGCGTGGTGACGGCAGGGCAAACTTGAGCACCAAAATCAGCTTGACCAAAAAATCCTGCTCTTTCGGCGAGAACTCGTGGTACTTCTTCTTACTCTCGCCGTTCTCCACGTACGTGGACGACTCCGGCGTGTAGTGGTTGATGAACGTGAGGTAGTCGTTGTAGAATAGCTCGAAGTCCAAAACAGGGATCAGTTTGTTGAGGTCGTTGAAAAAAAGCCAGATCAGATGGTCGAGACTGTGTTCCGACTTGTCGGCCAGTAATGGGAAAACCAGCTTGTACAACACCAGGTTGAGGTACCGGTTGAGGTTCATGTGGTAGTTGGCGAGCATCTTCTGTTCCGACTCGGACATGGCAGACGACTGTTTCTCGTACCCGTTGAACAGGTTGAGCTGGAGCTGGTCGATGTGCTTCTGGAGAGGGGACACAAGGTATTGGTCGATCACAAGCGCACCGGAACTGTCCACGGCGGGACGGTTTGTCAGGGAGTCACAGCAAGCGCCGGGAGAGTCTTCGAGCTTGACCTGGGGTGCCGACTCGCCTTTAAGGCCGTGCAACTCCCGCAGTTCCCGCACCTCCAGCATGAGTCTGTTTCTGTCGAGCTCCACCTCGAGCAGCTTCTTTTCCAGGTTTTTCGTGTACCCCTTGGGGAAACTGTTTCTGGTGAGCTTGTCGCTCACGACGCACTGGAATCCGTCGCGCTCGCAGTTGGTGCACCGGGGTGACTGGTCACTCTTGCCGGAACACTTGATCTTGCGGCTTCGACAGCGGTCGCAGGCCTGCGAAATACGGGTGCGGCCGTTGACCGGGTTCTTAATGAGGTTCCAAGGATTCTTACGATCTTGAGACATGGTACAAATTGCGGGAATGTAATAGGTGGTTGGGTATTGGCTTTTATAAATTGACGTGGGACAGTTTTGAATGCGTCATCTGCAGCCCCGCCAATTCAAGACGAAATTTCTGGGGAAACAATAGATTGCAGAAAAAGATGCGTGCGTGACCAATAGTTTTGGCTGAAAAAGAAAGCTTGGATGAGGTCGGAATTGCGACGTATTTTCCCCCTACCAAGTATTGCCCCCCCACAGACAATAAGACAATCGCGTTTAAATGGGCAAACGGATGCACACTATATTAATTTTTATAAAAGATTTTCCCACCCACACATTTTCGAAACCCCCCGTCCGGAATCGGAATTGGAGGGGAGGCTTATGGGGTGTGTGTGGGCGACACTACGTCATTTTTGGAAATTTTCCAGCAGCTTTCACCACCCAACAAGTCGCTGCACGACCCTCACTAGTGGATCAATAGCGCTAAAAACAATCATCAGGGTGCCAAACAGAGTGAACGCCAACGAACTCATGGCGCCCGCGCGCGGATCGATGTCGATCAAATATGCCGTTGACACCGCGCCGCAGTTGACCCCAAACGTAACCCCTCTGGTGACAAAATCGTGTTTGCGCACCCTGAACATCTTGAAAAGCATAAAGTCGCCGCACAGCACGCCTAGAATCCCGCTGATAATAGTGGTGACAGCCATTAGTTGGGTAGACCCATCGAGCGCAATCACCAGCGGCATTCCAAGAGCCATTGTGACAGATCGGCCAGTGAAACCCAACGATCGCGACGCAGAAATGCCTAAATGATAGCAAACCGGTGGATATATGAAAAATGACATAAATGAACATAGCACGATCGGCGGCGCAATCGACACAAAGTATCGTTTCAGATCTTTGCGATAATTGTACATCGCCAGCGATAAAGAAACAATCGAGATATCCATCAACGAAATGAAGAAATCTCCAGCTCCGGGCCAAGCAGTGTACTGGTTAGCGTCAAAAAGGTGAAGGTACGTTCTTCCTGTCTTGTAGTGACGTATGCAGCTGAAAAAATTCTGACCCTTAATCACACTCAAAATGTAAAAAACAAGTAAGCTTACAGAAAAGCTTATTAGGATTGGGTGCAGGAACCGCCGCCATCTGAGCGGTTGAAGCATACAGACGCGGAACAGTAAAACCGCTGTTGACAGCTGAACTGGCATTTCATATCCGGTCGTGTAATAGACAACCACGCCGACCCAAAATAAAATTCCGTACACCATGAAATCCACCCATTGTAATAGGAAACTTTTCACCTTGTCCTCCCATTCGATTTCTTCGGTCTGGACCCCATGTGGGACCCGATGCGGATCATCTTCATTATTTAGTCCTTCCTTATCTTCTATCTGTTCCTTGATCTTGTCTATCTGGTTTGAGTCTTGGTCAGACTCTTGGCTTTGGGTTTCTTCGTCCTGCGCCATGTCTGTCTTGTAAGTGCCAAGCAAGATCTGTAACCCCCACGTGAAGTACGCGATGATTCCGAACCCAATAAGATAACCAACCACAAACACAGCAGCGATCGTGAATGCTTCCGCCACGCTCACCTTGTCCGACAGAACAAGCGTCACAAACGGTGGGGTAAAATAGATGTTCATCCAGCGAAGCGCAAACCCAAACGGGATATCGATGTACCGCAGCACGATGTTGGTTTTGTCCTCGCCAAACAGCCACGAGCTCAAACTCAGCCCGCCAAACATTAGCAGCATCAAACAAACAGAGGCGGGGAAATTGATTGTGGTTTTCTTGATCACTTCGTTAATGCCGTACAGTAGTAAAAGAACAAGCACCGATCCCACGGCCACAAGCACGTACTTGTACCAGAAATGCAGCGCCAACGGCCATAGCGCGGCCCGTATTCCTTTCAGTGTTCTTGCAAACATGCCTGCCACATTTGGACCGCAGATGCCTTGTATATATACGTTTTGCTCATGACGGAGGCCTTTTTATCGGTTGTGCGGGATGCGACGTGGGATGTAGAGAGAAAACCAGTGCCATGCCCACACACCCGTGCACCAGCTGTGCTTCCCACGAAAGTCCCTGCCATTTTGTTAAGCGAACGAGAGAACAAAAAAAAATCGCGTCTCGTTCCCCAAAAAAAAAGCATCGTTTCATGGGCCCTGGAACTAAACACTACAGGTACTACAGAAACCGCGCGATCGCGTACTGGCACCATTACCCGGCACGGGTGGTGATACTGGCGGTCGGGCTGGTTGCTCTGTTTGGGTTTCTGTACACCTCTTCGTCAAGTCAGATCCAGCAAAACATAATACCATCGAACTACACCTCGTTTTTGAACCCGTTTTTATCGGGCAAACAGGACAAGGGCGGCAAGGCGGGCAACAGGAACCCGCAGGAGGAGTTGCAAGACCGCAAGGCGGCCAAAACCAACTTGTACCGGCAGATCTTCAAGATCATGGAACAAAATAGACCTCCAGTGAAGCTGGACAACTTTGAGTTTGACCAGGCCGCACACGATACGCAGGATCCGTTCACGTCGATCACTCTGGGCAAGATCGGTAAGTTCCCGCACGATTTCGTGAGTGGGGTGAAGAGCGCACACGCTAGTTTCCTTAAGCAAATGCCGGAGTATGACGACGTTTTGCGGTTCAATGGCAACGGAGTGATCATTTTGGGTGGGGGAGACTACTCGTGGCTCGCTCTGTTATGTACGAGAATGTTCCGCAGAATGGGCGGTTCGTTGCCGGTGGAGGTGATGCTTCCGCGTAAAGCTGATTATCTCAAAGACCGTGAAATTTGCGATATCTATCTGCCGCAATTGAACGCCAAGTGCGTGGTGATGACCGAGCAGCTGGGAATAACCCAACAGGATGAGGAGGAGCTGTTTTTCGCCGACTTCGGCGTGAACTACCACATGTACCGGTCACTTGCTCTGTTGACCTCAAACTACCAGAACGTTCTGTTGCTGGAGAGTGAGACGTTGCTGATCAAGTCACTGGACGAGTCCATCTTTGCCTCCGAGCCGTTCAACACGTACGGCATGGTTCTGTGGCCCGATTTCTGGAAAAGAAAAACGTCGCCGTTCTGGTACTTGGCGACCGACTGCTCTGTCGACAAGACTCTGGTCCGAGACGGAATTTTAGACCTGCCGGAGTCGAAACAGGTCTCGTCGTCCAAAGCAGACATTCAGTACCCATTGCACGACCGTCGTGGCGCCATTCCAGACATGTCCAACGACAGCGGTGAGATGATGATCAATAAAAAGACACACTGGAAAACACTATTGTTGGCACTCTACTACAATCTCTACGGAGACGGGTACTACTACCCGCTGCTGACCCAGTCCAACTCGGCTGGCGAAAAGGAAACCTTCGCAGCAGCAGCTACAGCACTGAAAACCCCATACTATCAAACAAGAACCCCCACCGAGGCCAACGGGTTCTGGTACAACGATGATTTCCGCGGAGTGGGCATGTTGCAATTCGACCCAACGGTGGACTTCTACTCGCTCAACTCGTTCAAAGAGAAGTACGAAACAAACCCTGATAAACTTACCGAAGAAGAGCTGGCAAAGTACCTCTCGGACTCTCCAGAAAGAAAGTCGGCCTTGTTTTTCAAGGTCAACTACCCAAGACTGCTTCCGATCGAGCTAATCAAGGACTCCTTCATCGTGAAGGAGAACGGCGATCGGATCCGCATGTTTGGCGACAACGAGCGGTTCAGATCGGACTTGGAGGTGACTCTTTGGCGGATCATGGTGGATTACATCTGCTACTCCGAGCTGCACTGCTCGTACCTGGACAAACACTTCCCACCAGACCGCAAGTACAAAGAAACGGTGGCCAAGTACTGTACAGACTCACTCAAACCGCACCTTCTCTGGCTGGCCGGCAACCACTAAACCGCAGTGGCATGAATGTTGGCTACACGGTGCACGGGTGTTCTGTCAAGAGCCAACGCTAAAAAGAAAAAAAGAAAAGCAAATTATTTAATTTTTTTTTCCAGGACCCCAATGGCGCCGGGCTGTGCACACTAAAACAAGATCCCGTGACTTATCGGAGTAAACAACAAGGGCCCCCGGTGGGGGTTTGAGCGGCTAAATTGGTCCAATGCCGACACTGCCCAAGTTAATGTGTAGACTATGTAGGACTTTGGAGTTTTCTCCAGTGTATTGTGTCTTTGCTTTAACTGTGAATATAAAAAGAGAGTACCCCCCACGAAAAAAACTTTCTCCCCTTTATGACCACACTCGAACTCAACTCTGCGCAAGAGTTTATATTTGACGGAGTTTCAGAGCCCAACAGCACACCAAACGAGTTCTTTCTGGTGCAGCAACAGAAACTTGATCGGTTTGACCAGCTTTCGCCGTTTCCTTATGAGTTATTGGACAAGATAATTGGGTACGTTTATTACAACGATCCGGACAACATCTACTCGTTGAACTCGAACATCAAGGACTTTTGCAAGTCGATCAGCTTGGTGAACAGCGCTTTCTATCTTCTGAGTCTCAAGTATGTTTTCCGGTACGGCAATTTTACAAGATCCACATTTTTCGACCGGTTCCTGAAAGACCTTCAAAAGAACAATCTATTGGGCTGTTATGTCCAGCACTTGGACTTTTCCGAGTTCACATCGGTTGGGCTGGGAAGAACTGGCCAGATGATGCAGGAAATCCAGATGGTGACCCACAAGACCATTCTGGAGTGTCTACAGTACGCACCGAACTTGACCGAGTTTCTGGCCAGCGAGAGCATCGAGGGCGACATCGACCACTCGATCGTGGACTACTTGTTTAACAAGCTGCCGAAACTACAAAGCATTGATTTCTGCGGGTCCAGCGGGGTCCGGTTCTCCCAGAGTTTCCAGGACCTGGAAATTGCCGGCAACAGCAACATCAAAAACCTCTCTTTCCACGAATGCACCGACCTTTCGAACAAAGCATTTACCACCATTCTACAAAACCTCACAGCATTGGAACGACTCGATCTTAGTCATACTAGCATTAGCATTCCGGATCTTGACAAAAGTCTCCAGGACTCTACAAGACTCACCCATCTTTCACTTGCACGGTGCTCTCGGTTAGGTGCCGCGCGGCACCTGATTGAGTTTTTAACAAAACACCCCGCCGTCAGCCAGGATTCTCTGCTGTGGCTTAATTTGCAAGTTGACACAACAATAGCATCCCCGTTTAATAATTACACACTCAAATTTTTGCTCGAGAACGTCAATGCCTCTGATCTTCGCTACTTGAACCTTGCTGGAATCGACGTTGAGCCGCAGCACCTGATGCTGATCTCGGAGCGGTTCCCGATGCTCGAGAGCCTGGTGATTGCTCATTCGCAGATCTCGATCGACGACCTGATCCTTGTGCTACCCCAGATGCCGAACCTCCGGTTCCTTGATTTGACCGGGAACAAGTACATCACCCGGTGGACTCTGGAGAACCCGAAGCTGCTCACATGCGCTCCGAAGCTCGAGGCCATCGAGGTGGCCTACAAGGTGGTGGACCTGCTCGACGAAACCTCAGGCAAGCTGAGAGTTTACGGCGACAACACCATTGAGATCTGGAAGAGTTACAACGACAACAGCCAGGGCAGACGCGCGTGGGTGTTCAAGCTGAACGAGGAGCAGCTGAAGAAGGAGCTGGATGGCCAGTCTCTAAACTTCAACAACAACCTTGTTTACTTTGACATCAAGACAGGCCAGAAGATCATGCAGAAGATTGAGCGGCCCGGGTTCTTGAAGTACGCCTCGCGTAAGATCAGCAGCAGCCGTGGGCTTTTCCAGGACAAGCAGCTTGCTTTCCCGGCAGAGTTTACCGAGCGCGGCATCTACAAGTACTACTCGCTCAATAAGTAGCTGGGGTGGGGGTTGCACAGCCGTGTTTAAATATTTTTTTTCTAACAATAAAGAAAAAATTCTTTAATTTTAGTATGTCAAGACGTCCTCAGTTTTCACGGCGTGATTTGGACAGCGACGACGAGGACGGCTATTCGACGGACTCTTCGACTTCGTCGTTGGCGTCTATTTCGTTTGAGGCTCTTTCTGCAGCCAAGAAGCGGATTGCCCAAGAAGATCAGGAGCACAGCTCGGACGACCAGTCCGAGGGCGAGTTTTTCGAGCCAGAACGCACAAGAGACGTTGCTCGCAAGAAGAAGAGCAAGCACGCCCCAAAGGAGGCGTCCTCGAAGAAGCCCGTGTCGAAAGTGCGCGAAATCCCCGGGTTGTTGGAGGGAACAAAGTACGCTAGCAGCAAGCACCACGATATCCGGTTTGATTCTGCGTTCGGTAAGGTGAACGACAGCGAGGTGCGGCGAAACTACAAGTTTCTGGACGATTACAGAGAAAAAGAGCTTGCGGAGGTGCAAAAGGTGCTGAAAGACAAAAAGAGTCGGACTAAGCTGGGAGATAAGGAGATTCAGGACCTGGAATACATAGCCAAGAGCACCAAGTCGAGACTGGACGCGTTGAAGAACAGAGACATGGAGAAACAGGTGGTGAAGGACTACAAGAAGCAGACCGGATACGACTTTGTGAAACGGAGCGACAAACGGAAACTGGTGCAGGTTGCCCGGTTCAGCAACATGAAGGGAAGACAACGGGAGAAGGTGATGGAGCGGAAACGGAAGAAGAGGTTCGGAAAAGAGATGCGCCAATTCGAAAAGAACTACAACAACGACCGTTAGAATATGATGATAGACTATTAATGATTCCGTATTTAGTGTTCCAGAATGGTCAAGTTTCCGGTCACCACAACGTTCTCGAGAATGGAGCCGTTGGGGATGTCGATCCTTTGACCCTCGGAGCAAACAATAATAACCGTACCCTTCAGCTGCACGCCCTTGCCGAAATAAACGTTACCGGTAACCGTAAGGTGGTCCAGTTCGAGGATTCTTGGCATGTGAGGGATTCGCTGCTGGAAGTTGGACACTTTCTTGAAGTGGGAGCCGAGCTTGATGAGTGGGGCGCCGCCAAAACGGGCACTGTCGAGGTTCAAAGCGCCGTGTTGCAGGTTAAACAGGTCGCTCTTCACCAACATCAGGTCCGACGAGGTCTTCACAGGCAGGAATCTCGATCTTGGCACAACAACACCGTGGGCGTTCTTGAAATGTCTAATAGCGGCACCAACAGCAGTCTCGAGCTGCAAAACACCCATCTCTGAGTTTCCAACGCTGATACTCTTGGAGTTTGGAATGATCTCCATTTGCAATGCGTTGGCCTCGACCAGACGCTTGATGGCTGGCAGGTTGATCCACAAGTTGTTGGTGTTGAAGTTGGTGAACTTCTTGATCGACTTGAACTCCTCGGTGTGGTCCTTTGGAACCTGAGCGATCTCCAACAGTCTCACTTGTCCGTTGTAGTTGATCAAAGTACCTCCCTTAACGTCGGCTCTGGTCTTGTCGGTCAGCTCCATAATGTATTCTGCTCCTGTTTCAAGCATGTGGTTGAGGATCTTGGTGTCGACGGTGGCACCCAAGTTGTCTCCGTTGGAAACAAACAAGATCTCCTTACCCTGCTCAAGCAGAACGTCCAGCTCTCCCGAGGAAACAAGCGACTCGAACAAGTCACCGTGTCCAGGTGGGTACCAAGCATCGAGCTTGTCGTCGTAAGATTGTGGAACAGGGAGCAACGAGTCCTTGAACACTCTTGGGTACCTGGACTGGTTGAAAGTTCTGATCCGAATACGGTGGCCCTGGTACTTTCTCACAATGACCTGTGTGTCGTCGTTGGTGTTGAACGAGTTCATCAAAAGAAGTGGGACATCGGTGTCGTAGGTGGTGTTGAGGTGTTCGATCTGACGAACAGAAAGATCAAGGAACGACTGGCCGTCTCTGACCTCAATGACGGACTTAGGACCAACACATCCCATAGAAGTACCCAGACCACCGTTCAACTTCAAAACCGCCAATTTGGATAGATTGCTATTGTTTGCGTTTTGCAAAGTGGAGTAGGCAACAACTTCGTCAGGGGTCGGAGAACGGATCTGGTTCCAGTCCAGCGTGGTACCAGACGCCTTGTCAGTAAGGTACCGTCTGAACAAAGCAAAAAAAGAGTCCATTTCGACTTCAAACTTTGCCTTGGCCTCGGGATCTTCCACGCCATCGATCATCTTATTGAGAGAGTTTCTCATTTGCGATGCCGCGACGCTGGTGCTGGTGTTCTCAAAAGCGTACGTGCTCTGGGATTTGGCGTGTTTGCTCATCTCTGCAAATTTGTAAGAAATACGATTGCTTTGCTGCCAAAGAAAGAATATTCGAGTTTGTTTATATGATGAGTTGTTGACTTACACCTCCCGCGCGAGGTGCACGACCCTTACTCCCAAAAAATAACACAGACCAGAATAAAAAAAATCGTGTTCCTGGTAAACTACAAACATCCGTACACCACCTTACACGTGCCCAGAGTAACTGCCCGCGATGATGGTTTGCAAGGTGGCAACAGGGCGCCACTCGTCCCCGACGTTGTCGGTGGAGCTGAAGGGGTCCTCAACGGTGTCGACAAGCGCCTCGATGTTGAGGTTGGTGTTGACGTGCGACACCAGTTCTGCCCCGCTCGCACTATTTATGGTGAATCTCAGCTGGATTCCGGCGTCTGCCTCTTTGGCCAATCCGCTGGTCACAAACCGCGCGACAAGACGCTCCTCTGTATGAGACGCCGAGAAAACAAACGGTGTTCCTGTGAGGTTCCACGTGACTCTATTTTTTTCTCTGTTGAACGATCCTGCGGGCTTGGTAGCTGCAGACGACGAGTGTGCGCCGGTGATGGACACAGACACCATCAGGTTCGACAGTTCCAGCGAGTTCGAAGCCAGCAACGGCAGCAACTCGTCGGCAGGCTTGACCGAGATGATCACAGTAGACTGGTTTGGTTCGTGCTTCCAAATTGGTTGGACAATAATCGGCGGCTTGGAGCTGTTAAGCATGTATTTGAGTCCACCCACCGTACGCAAGTGAATCTGCGATGGATCCAGAATAGTGAATAGATTAGGCTGTTCTTGGCTTTGTTGGATGAAAACAGGGTTTGCCATGAAGTTAGGCAGAGGACCAGCAGACGTCAAGTTCAGTTCGATCTTGGCCGGGATCTTTTTGGTGTTTTCGTCCAGAATGTAACTGAAAGCCACTTCTCCAATCACATTGGATCTGGTCAATTGACCGTCCTTAAAGGAAGCGTTGTATATTTCCACCACCGAGGCATTCAAACCAGGTTGTGTCAGGCTCGGATGGTGAATCTGGCCACTAGAGAGTCCGCCATTGCCTGTATTAGTTTTAGAAAGCAGGGTGGAGCCGGTGGCATTTGGCGCAATCTGAGCTTGTTCCAAAGTGCTACCAAGAGTGCTGATTCTGCGCTGCTGAGGCGGAGCAGGTGCGGATCCGTGAGGAAGTCTTGGACCGGAACCAGGTTCTGGAACAGTGTGTTTTCTTGAAGAAGGAACAGGAGGAGGAGCTGGCTCGGAAGTATGCTCAGGGGCTGCGACTGGAGCCGGAGCAACAACGCTCTTTTGTACAGGTTCTGGAGCAGTGGTCGGAGCTGTTCCCGAAGATGGGAACGCAAACGAGCTGGTCGAACCGCGGTACGATGGCTGGATAGACGAGTTAGTGGTCAGTTCACTAGCAACTGAGTTGGACCGCTTTGTTGGTTGCATTGTTGGATAACCGTTAGCAATAGGAGTGGCAGTTGGAGCGCGTGCTGGTTCAGATTCAGCATTCTGTTGAGGAACTTGTTTTGAGACTGGCTGTGTTTGTGCTGGAGGAACAGGCTGAGCAGGCTCGGCAACTGGCTCGGGAACAGGAGCGTGCTGTGGAGCCGACCGTTCAGCAATGCTGGATTGACTGGCACCAATGGCAGCGGTAGCCGCATTACTTGGGGAGCTGATGACCGAAGAAGTTTCACTTTCGGCAATGGTGCTGCTACCAAGGTCACTCTTCTTCTTTCTGCCACCACGCAACATAGTGCCGAATCTAGATCTCAACCGATGTTTCTCTTTTGGTTTTTTCTCCGGCGAAACAGACGACACCGAAGGCTGTCTGGATTTCGTTGGAGAGGCCGGCTCGGTTTTCGAGCTTGCCAGGCTTAAAATCCGCGATTTGCGGTGAGAAGGTTTTGGAGTATTGGTGAACTCGGACTCCTGGGCCTTTTTCACCGGAGCAGCCTGTTTGGTGAGCTCAATTGGCAAAGACTTTGCTGCTGCCGCGTCGCAAAAACGTTGAATTTCATCTGTAGGACTGAAACTCAAGGTGTGCTCCAGACCGGTTTCGTTGACTTTTTTGAAAGCAGTCAGCACATCGCTGACATCTGCTTGGTAGTTGGAGAACACGTCCTTGAGCAGAACAAGTCTGTTGTAGTCGTATTGCTCGAATATTTCGAAAAAATACGGAGCACGCTCGCTCCACTCAGTTCTTAGGGTGCTTGCGTTTCCGCTGGAATCTTGACCGGAAATGGAAGCCGCGAGGGAAATCAAGTCGTCCATCTCAATCAGATTCGAGTCGTTTTGACGACCAAACACCTTCAATGGGGCAATCATGTCTCTACCCATCTTTCTGGTGCTAGTATCAAACATCTCAGCCTCCTTGTGAATAGTGTTCAAAACGCTATTCCACATCGGAGCAGCCAATCCCAAGGAGTCAATGGTGCTGTTATGGAGCTTTGGGTTGGCCTCTCCCGACAATAAGGTGTCACCCTTTTTGAGGAGCGCTTTGAGCTGGTCCACGTACTGGAGCTTCAAACGGCCGTACGCGGTGAGCCATTCGGCCAATTCGTGATTGATAGTCTTCAGCTGCACTTGACGCAACTTAACAGCCTCCATAGACTCCTGCGGCGACTTGCCGAACAGGAGAGTCGAGGAATAAACCACTTGTTCAGTCATTACAGAAAAGTTTGTTGCCATTTTATTCCGAAAAATCGTCGCGACGGATAGGGTCGTTTCCGACAAATCAGCACGCTCACAATTAGCGATGCCCCCACTCTACACAATAGGCGCGTATCCAAGCGCTTCCAATTGCAAATAACACAATCTTTTCAAATATACAAGTACAAACTATCGATTCCATGCAAATATGACCATAAAGTGGAGAAGTGGGTATTCAATTGCTCCTTTATTTCTTGTCAGAAGAGCACTTGCATTCTCCCTCACAAGCACATTTTCCACAGGTGCAGGTCTTTGGTTGAGGTTCAGCCTCTTTGCAATGAGAGCAGGTGCATCCCGATTGACATTTGCAGTCGCCTTGACTAGTACATGAGCAAGCCATTTTTAAATTTAATGATCCAACTTTTTCCCCATCCTGGAGCTCCTATATATATGTTGAAAAATTTGCGCTTACGTCATGCTATAACATTTCCTTCACTAGATAAGGCAGCAGCACGCACGCAGCAATAGCCAGCGTGCAGATGTTCTCCCAAAGTGCCAAGGGACTGAGTAAAATTCCGCGATCACAGAAGTTCATGTAACAGCTGTAGAACGCCACGTTGAAGAAGTGGTAGAACAGTAGTCCAGGTCTCTGGATCATTCCAGAAAGCAGCCCCACGGGGCCCGATATGCACTCTCCTCCTCTCTGGAAATAACCGAAACATCCTCTCTGCAAAAGCTCCATGTACTTGGAGTCTGCTGCGAACAGCGTATACAGGGCAATCGACAACGTGTTGAGCACGGCGTCGAGCGGTATGCGTTCTCCGTGGAAAGTGAGCATTTTTTCTAGCATTATTCCGTGATCGAGTAGTTCGTCGTTGGACACGGTCGAAAGTAGCTTACCGAGCAGAACTGCATCGTTAAGTCCAACAGTCATCCCCCCACCCGTGAGTGGGTGTCTCATATTGAGCGAGTCGCCAATACATATTAAACCAGGGACCGTGTTTGGTTTGGCTGTCAAAAATTGGTTGGGCATGCTTTTGTAGACGTTTTTCTCTGCTTGCAGAGCTTTTTCGAAACAAGGCTGTAGGGACTTTGGCAAGGAAACAAGTACCTGACTTCTGAGGTACTCTAGCACCTCTTTTTGTTTCGGAAGCTGGCTGCTTCGGTACGCACATAGAATTCGTGTGTGATGAGGACTGATCTGGTAGACGAGAATTGGCGCGTGTTTGCCCAAAATGACGTGACCGTGGTTCTTGCGCGGAAGCTGCGCATCCACAAGGTCGAGGCCGACAAAGTATGACCCGATGTCCGGCTGTTTCTCGTGGTAGAGCTCTTTTCTAAACTTGGAATAGATACCGTCGCAACAAACCACCAATTTGGCCCGGTATTCGTCCGTGTTCCCCACCTTGACTCCCACCACACGCTCACCTTCGTGAAGAAGGTCTGTGACGTTTCCTTCCAATTTAGTCACGTTCGGTTCCTCCAAACAGATCATGCGCAGATTCATAAGAAACTCGCCATGGTGGAACGCAACGCCCCTCAGAGTAGACACATTGTCCCACTCAGCAATGTCCAAGGTGCTATCAGACTCTAGCTTGTCTTCTGAGCCGTCTTTCAAAGCTCCGGGCACGGGATCTGTGTCAATCGTATTCAACACAGACTTGTCTGGGTACTTGATATCCACATGTTCACCGTAGTAGGACACGTAGTATCCATCCACATGGATAGCGTCTATATTGTTGATTGCTCGGATCATACCCAGCTGCTTCAAAGCCTTGACTCCTGCCGGTTGCATGAGCTCTCCGACTATTCTATTCGGCATGGTCCACTCGCGCTCCACAATTAAAACTTTGCGGCCTTGTCTGGCTAAGGAGGTGGCCACACACGGACCCACGACTCCAGCCCCAACAACAATCACGTCAAACATAGAAACAGGCTCGGCGGTAACGATCTCGAGTGAAAACAAAATGATCTGATTTTACGAATAAACGAGTACGGGCTTTTTTTATTCGGATTGTTTGGGTTTCGCGCACCGCCTCGCGTGCACAGTTTTTTTTCTTTCTGTCCTGTGTGGCGGTGCAGGGATAACGGTATCGGTGCTATTTTTTCAAAAACAACACGGTAAACGTTTATGCCTGAGGGAGTGTTGGCTTATCATATTAACGAGAAAAAGGCCGCTTCCGAGTACGAGAAGTACGACCATGTGCGTGAACGGTTCAGCTACTTCATCGCCGTCCAGGTGTTTCTCGTATACCTGATCTTCCTCTACTACGATTCCATCAACGAATATCATCCGCTGTTAGCAGGTGCCTTGCTCGCGGGACAAACGTCTTGTCTGGCACAGACGTTGAATCAGTTCTACCACCGCTCAATAAGCATTTCCAAACATATCAAGTTCTACATCTGGGGAGTCATGAACGGAATGGCCACTACACTCTGGATCAAAATGCTAATGACAAAAGTCGACACACAGTCAATGAGATTTGTTTACGATCAAACATTTGGGGGATTAGTGTTCCAGTTCCTCTTCATTCTGTACAATTGCATTTGGGAAAGACAGGATCTTCTAACACACATGAAAACCACCTATATCCAGTCTTTGAAGTACTACTACATGATGTGGCCTTTTGTGTCGTATCTTTGTTTTTTCCACATCCCGAACCACCTTATTTTCCCAATCAATTGCCTGTGCAATTTGATTTTCACAGTGCTGCTCACGCTGTTAACATGATTGACAGCTCCCGCACCTACTTACCCCTTAATAAAATAATTATTTTCTGTATCGGACTATTTTTCCCAACCTGGGCTTTGGTGGGGCAGACCACACCCGTGCACCAGCCCAATCCCCCGCAAACGACCAATAAACTTTTCCGGGCCAAACGGATGAACTGACAAGCAGTGTTGCGAAGAGGGACCACAAATTCGGAAAAACTAAGCACATTCTTCTTGTTGAGATCTGAACTTGGATCTTTGTCCCATGGTCGACGATACCTACTATATCACTGTCCATGAGGCTGCGCTGGCCGTTGTGGCCACTGCTATGAAGAAATCAAGACTCAGGCCACATTTGTTGGTCATCAACTCAATTATGGGAGCTTTTCTTTTCTGTGCCGGTGGAATGCTCGATCTGATGGTACAATCGTTGAACCCCGGTTTGATGAACAACGGGTACGCTGGAATTGTGAGTCTGTTGCAAGGAGCTGTTTACTCAATCGGGTTGTTTTTTGTCATCACTATGGGAATGGAGCTATTCAACTCCAATGTGCTATTTTTCTCGGTGGGGGTGTTACAGGGTGCCGTCACCATAATGGATCTGATTGTGAGCTGGATGGTGTCGTTGTGGGTGAACCTAGCGTCGACGGTCTTTGTTGTTTATGTCTTTGGTCATGTTTCCGGGGTTACTTCCAAAGGAGATTTTGTCGAAGGATCCAGGACGATTGCTGAATTTAAGGAGTCTTTCAGTTTCATGCAAACGTTCCTCAAATCAATCGCAGGAAACTTCTTTGTGTGTCTCGCAGTGTATTTACAAATCATGGTGAAGCCGCTACATGTCAAGTTTTTGATGATCTTCCTGCCAATTTTCACATTCGTTGCTTTTGGCTTCACTCATGTGGTGGCAGATATGTTTTTGATTCCTGCTGGCTTGTTCAACAAATGTTCTTTTGGCTGGGGCCGGTATTTTTGGAAACTGTTTCTGCCTGCCAGTCTGGGAAACATGATCGGAGGCTCTTTCTTTGGAATGATGATTCCATGGTACTTGCATCTGGTTGTGATCGAACAGGATAGACAGAACCTGCATCTTCCGGACTACGACGAAAGAGACGAGCAACCACAGCTCAACATGGATTCGAGAGTTGTCCGCACTCCAAGACACTCGACCGCAGCATCGATCTCCACCCACAACTCCCAGGTGGAGGACTACTCCCCGCTGGAGAGGATGCAGTCTCCAAAGGGAGTTTTCCCCGTGTACGACATGGGAGATGCGCCCGAGCGCGAACGCAGCATTGCCGACCCGCCAGAAGGAGGCGTCGGTTTACAGAAAGTTCTCACCAGGGCCAGCTGGCGTCGTCGTCAGCCGGATATAGAGGCCCAACGCGGTGTGAACACACAAACAGAAACCGACTCTCTTGGTGGACGTATCGCGAGACATTTTAGCACATCCAGCGCGTTGGATGATCGTGCTACCATGCGTCAACGACTGCAGGCTGCCGGCGTGACACGAAAGATCGCCAACTACTCGAACGACATTGCTGGTATCCACCAGGATTCGATCGTGTCCAACAACGATGCGCCGAACAGAAACGTCAGAAAGCCATCTGACAACATCGACCCGGCCCAATCGCCCGAGGACAGCTCGCTTTCAGATGAAAAACACGAGTCCGCGGATTAATTTAGAGAGCTTTGTAATTACACCAAATTCTCGCATCTTGATTACATAGTGTATATTTTTGTTTGACGTTGAATTTCTGGCTTTTTTTACGTGTCGTCGAACAAGCTTTTTATTTTGTTAGTGTCTATGCCGCCTAAACAGTCTAAAAAGGAGGTCATTACCGAAAAACAAGTGAAAGAGAAGCTTGTGGAGCTGGCCAGACCTTCAGAGCCGGTTGAAGAGACCGCATATGTTGGTTCTGACTCAGCCAATTGGCTTAGGATCGAGGCAATTCTGGCACCCGTGCTCTTTACTCTCTTATCGTTCTTCGTTAGAATGTACAAGATTGGAGCCAATGGAAACGTCGTTTGGGACGAGGCCCATTTTGGAAAGTTTGGTTCTTACTACCTAAGACACGAGTTCTACCACGATGTTCATCCCCCTTTGGGTAAAATGTTGGTGGGGCTTTCTGGTTATCTTGCCGGCTACAACGGTTCGTGGGACTTCCCTTCAGGACAAGAATACCCAGAATACATCGATTTCGTGAAAATGCGGTTGTTCAACGCCACTTTCAGCTCTTTATGTGTTCCATTTGCTTACTTCACCATGAAAGAAATTGGGTTTGATTTGAAAACCGTTTGGCTGTTCACGTTGATGGTCACACTGGAAACTTCGTACACAACGTTGGGTCGTTTCATTCTGCTCGACTCCATGCTTCTGTTCTTCACCGTGGCCACTGTGTTCAGCATGGTTCGTTTCCACAACGAAAACAGAAAAGCTAACAATTCGTTCAGTCGTAAATGGTGGAAATGGCTGCTGTTGACAGGAATCTCTATTGGATGCACCTGTTCCGTCAAGATGGTTGGTCTTTTCGTCACCGCGTTGGTTGGAATTTACACAATGCTCGATCTTTGGGAGAAGTTTGGTCAATTACGCACAACCATGTCTTTGAAACGTTACACTGCTCACTGGGCCTCTAGAATTGTGGGACTGATCATTGTTCCAATGATTGTGTTCTTGGTTTGTTTCAAAGTGCACTTTGATCTCCTGTTTGGCTCTGGTCCAGGTGACGCCAACATGTCCTCATTGTTCCAGGCCAATCTTGTTGGATCGGATCTCAACTCCGGTCCAAGAGACGTGATGACTTTGAACTCGGCAGTCACCTTGAAAAACCAAGGTCTGACTGGAGGTCTGCTCCATTCTCACGTCCAGACGTTCCCAGAAGGTTCCAACCAGCAACAGGTCACTACCTATTCTCACAAGGATTCCAACAACGACTGGATCTTCGAATTGTCCAGAGACGACCCAAGAAACGAGTTCACCGAGCCTCACTACGTTGTCGACGGAATGACCGTCCGGTTGATCCACAAACAGACAGGAAGAAATTTACATACCCACGAAATTCCTGCCCCTGTTTCGAGTTCTCAGTACGAGGTGTCTGGATACGGAAACCTCACCATTGGAGACCAGAAGGATAACTGGGTTGTGGAGGTCATGGACCAACACGGGTCGGAAGACAAACTCAGACTGCACCCACTCACCACCTCTTTTAGACTTAGATCCGAGGTGTTGGGATGTTACTTGGCTACCACCGGTATTGCTCTTCCTCACTGGGGTTTCCGTCAAGGAGAAGTTGTTTGTATGAAGTCACCATTTACTAGGGATAAACGCACATGGTGGAACATCGAGAATCACAACAACCCTGAGCTGCCAAACCCTCCTGAAGATTTCAAGCTTCCAAAGACTTCCTTCTTCAAGGATTTCGTCCAGTTGAACATTGCTATGATGGCTACCAACAACGCCTTGGTTCCAGATCCAGAGAAACAGGACGATCTGGCCTCGAAGGCATGGCAATGGCCAACTCTGAACGTTGGTATCAGACTCTGTGGATGGGGTGACGACAACGTCAAGTATTTCCTGATTGGATCTCCGGCTACCACCTGGACCTCGTCGATGACGATCCTTGTGTTTATTGCCTTGCTGGTGCGATACGTTCTCAGATGGCAACGTCAAATCAACGACTTTGAACAACAACCAGAGAAATTCAACCTGTTCTTAATGGGCGGACTGTATCCGTTCCTTGGCTGGTTCTTGCATTACTTCCCATTCTGTATCATGGGAAGAGTCACCTATGTGCACCACTACTTGCCAGCCTTGTATTTTGCCATGATTGTGTTCTGTTACACCGTCACTCGTTTGTCTGAGAGATTGAGCAAGCCTGCAACGTATGCCCTATACTTTGTGCTCTACGGATTGGTGATTGGCTGCTTTGTGTTCCTGATGCCCGTCAGTTTTGGAATGAGTGGTCCAAACCGCAACTACAAGTACCTCAATCTGCTCAAAACATGGAGAGTGGCCGATTAGTTAGCTGTGTAGTTCAAAAAAATATATCATATATACATACTCCTGCTACATTTCCAAGCTTAATTTGCTTGGTGTAGATATTTTTCTTTTTATTTTCTAAAACTACCCCATGACTCTCCAGGAGTCTTATGAATCTCTACTGCGTCCATATAAGGACAGAAACGAGTTCGATTTGAACTATCCCATCTCTTACAAGCCTTACGTTGGGATTATCGACAACAATACCAACCAATCAATTTCTTTGGACCTACCTTTTGTGAGCCAGGCTTCTTCTACGGGCCCAGTCAGAGCGGCTCGCAAGATCATCAAGCCTTTGGTGACAAAACCGCAAACCATGTACCAGCGAAACGTCTACTCCGATTTGGAGTTCAAAGAGTACTTGGATTGGGCGAATCTGAAGCAACTGGTCAGTTCGTTGCTCCACTCGTTTGCCACTGACTATTTTAAGCTTTTATTGAACCAACCCTTCGAGATCGCCACGCTGCTGCTCCAGATCGGGTCTTTCCACGACCATGTATCGATTAACAGTCGCGCCATTGCGGACGATTCGGACTCTGACTCCGACAACGACTATTTCACAAGAGAAGACGACAGTCCCCACAAACTGCGGGAATCCCACATCGAGCGCGCGCCAAGGCTCAGTCATTCGAAGAACATCCCCAGACGGCCTGTGGGAGACCTGATCGAGCCGGAGTCGCTCAACATGCTGGACATTGTGTCGTCGCTGATCTCCAAAGAAGGTCCAAGAGGAATCTTCAAAGCCGTCAACACGTCCTTCCTGATCAACTCTCTTCAGTACACACTTAGATCGTGGGTCAGCGGTCTCATTTCGGGCATTCTGGGGATCCCCGACCCGCTCTACGTGGAGATGATCCATTCACCAAACGCAAACCTCAGTTTGGTGGTGAGTCTGGGATCAGACATCATCACCGGCCTGCTTCTGGCTCAATTGACACTCATCAGAATGAAATTTATTGTTACAAACTCCACCAAGGGAACTAGATCGTTTAGACAGATCATATGGACACTGCCGCGTTTCTTCTTGATCTCTCCTCCAAAAGAACTCATCATCCCAAACCTCATCACCAATACTGTCAAAGCGCTCACAGTGCATTACCCAACTTATTTGCTGACGGTTGTTTGGCAGATGAACCGGTACAACTCCATTCCACTGTACAACTCGCTGGTGTTTGTGCTAAAAGCAGTTGGCGTGTTCCTCAAGCTTCCCTTTGAAACTCTATACAACCGGGCCCAAGTCAACTATCTGTTGACCTCAGATTCGCTGCCAGCCACAATGAAACTGTCTCCAGAAGAGATGTGTGTGAAATTTGGTGGATACCACGGCTATTTGTCGACTCTTTACTATATTTTCACCGGATCCAAACCTGTGGATTACGGCTCAAGCTCGTTCAAAGAGTCGGTGGTGGTGGAAATCGAAGACGCCAACGAGACAAACAAGGGATACGAGGCACTTGTGCGTGGCTGGAAGATCCAGCTCGTGAGACTCTCGTCCAGATTCATCCTCAACCTGTTGGAACAGGAGTCGTCCAGCTCGGAACGGCTCTAAATATACATGTAATTAGTTTTTATTTTCCATCTTTTGTTTGCCGCGTTCAATTAGACGCTGTCCCAATCGTTGTAATGCCTCACCTTCTTCCAGGTCGTCTTTCTCGCGCGTGTCCCACACGTGTTTGAGACCGCTAATGAGCTCTTCGGTGAAGTGTTTATTCAAGAACTTGCGGAAGTCAGACCCATCCACGATCTCGTGCACAGCTCTGTTGGTCTTTGCAATGGAGGCAGTCTGTTGTGTGTTAAGCTGGGGGATTGGCTGCGGGGTGGGGGACTCCGTCTTTAATTTCTTGGGCGTTGGCCCGTCTCCGTTTTCCGAGTCCATTTCAAATTAAATTATTTTTCACAATCAATATACACTTTCTACTATACAACAGATTAGTCTCCATCACACTCTTACCCGTCTTTTAAGCTCTTTTCTCATATCTCGCCATAGGTATCCGATTTCCTGGTGGTCCATGAACGCGTCCATGACTTTCTTCACGGTGTCGGGGTCCAAAACAGGATCTGTCTCGATAATCGCGTACTTTTCCGGATCAAAAACAAACGAAACCTCGCGCGAATAGTCTCGGCTATCAACGTTCTTGAACACAAATAAAATATGGTTCTCTGTTCCTGCGTTTTCCATTCGAAGTCCCAGTAATTGCTCCAGCTGGAACGCCTTGTCCTCTATGAGATCGCTCTGTTTAGTGATGAATGTCTCGCGCGCACTGATTGCTTTCATACTTTCTTCCAGTTCGTCATTAATCACCTTGATTTTGTGTTCGTGTTCGGCCTTCTCTCTCACCAGCTTCTCCTCCTCAATGCGAAGCTGTTGCACACGCGACGACGACGCGTCTCTATCCGACAGAAGCTTGTTCAGCTCTTCAAGAAGCTCGTTATGGAGTCCCTCGTAGGTTCGCAATTTCGCATTCAAGTCACGTTCCTTCTCTTGAAGATGCAGCATCGACGTTTCGTATTCACGTTTCTTTACCAGCAAATCCGCCTGGACCTTCTGCAGATACTCTGCCAGTCGCAGCTTCAGCGTCTGCATTTTGTCCTTGAGCTGTTCATAGTTTGCAAGTGACTCTTCTAGGTCCTGAGCACTGGACATAATAAAGATAAACAAAAAAAAATAATTTACTAGCCACATTTAAATCAACAAAGTTTGGGCAAGAAAGTGGGATGCGGTGAACATACCCTTCTGAGGTAATCAATTGGGTTACTAAATGTTATACCATAGTGTATGATCTAACCAGCTCACTGCTCCTGATCCGCCATCTCATCTCTCCCAACAGAATATGTTTCTAAATCCGCTTCCCAGCCTCTCCTATGCTGCTGGGCCGACCCCCACTTGAAAGAAATATCTCCGAATGCAAATAGCTAACCGCCCAGAATATAAATCCCCCGCCACTAATCTTTCTCTCAGTTTGTTAAAGCCCGATGGTTTCTTCCATTCCAGTCGCAGGCTTTGTCATGCCTGAAATCAACCCAGAACTCCCGCCAGGCGGGATATACGCAATTGCTGTCTCGTTGCTCGTGGCCATAGTAGTGATTGACTACCTTTTTACTCGCCCGCGCCGGATCAAAAACTTGCCAGCTGTGCCATCTCGAATCCCGGTCTGGGGCAGCTTGTCCATTCTTTTCCCTCAGGCAAAAAGCAGCAAAGACTCCCCGTGCTCCAAATTCGAGGAACTGGCTCAGAAGTACGGAGACCTGTATCAAGTGAGACTGGGAACAAGAAATGTCGTGGTAGCAAACTCTTACGATTCCATTCTCCGTCTGTGGTGTTACCATAACATTCGAAATAACAACTCAAGACCGATCCTTCACACCTTCCACGGCATTCTATCTCAATCAAAGGTTTACACGGTGGGTACGACGCCATTTGGCGACTCCTACTTGAGAAGCAGAAAGTATATGTCGAGCAGACTGCTTAATGAGTCGAGTAATAGAAAGTACAACTCCACCGTGATTAGCGATGAAGCTACCAAACTGATCAAGTCGATGCTGGCCAACGCAGAGTACGGGTTCGTTGAGGTGGATATCACCAGAGACTGTCAGTACTTCCATCTAGCCGTGGCATTGATTCTCACATACGGCTACGAGATTGATGTGTGCGGAAACGAGGAGGACAAAAAGCTGGCGGATGAGATGATTTATGTGGAAAACTACATCACGAAAATCAGATCCCACATTCAAAACGTCCAGGACTATCTGCCGTGGATTATACGGCCTTTCTTCAACTTGTTCTCGAGCAAGTCGTCCATTTCCAAACAGTTATATGTGAGGAGAAACAAGTATCTCACCAAGTTCCAGAACTTCACCTCTTGCAACATGAACGGACCAACAGAGTACGTTTGTCGAAGTCTGATCTACAACTACTTCAAGAACGGCGACCAAGACAAGCTGAATAAAGACCAATTAGGAAGTATCTGCCTGACGATGGTCAGCGCTGGGCTGGACAACACGCCATTGAACTTCCAGTACGCCATGATTCAACTGAGCCAGTCTCCGCATGTGTGCAAGACTGCGCGGCTGAAACTGCTGGAGTGTTTCGACAACGACTCGATCCAGGCCTGGGACAACTGTCACGTGGAAGCTTCGTGTCCATATATGGTAGCCATTGTGAAAGAAACGCTGCGGCTGTTCACGGTGCTACCAATGTGCCTACCACGAGAAACAACACGGGATATAGTGTTAGGGGACGCAGTTATCCCACGAGGAACCACGCTATTTATGAACGCCTGGGCAGGAAATCACGATAAGACCCGTTTCTACAAGCCACTCGAGTTCATCCCGGAAAGATGGCTGGACCCAGAATCAGGTCTTATCGACTGCAACACCAGACATTTCTCATTCGGAGCAGGCTCGCGGATGTGTCTGGGAAACAACCTTGCATTCAAAGAGCTGTACGTTCTTTTATGCAAATTTCTGCTAATGTTTGATATCAGTCCAGGCCCAAATGAGATGGAGACACTGAACCCACTGGAACTTAATCAGTTCCCGGAGTCGATCGCTATCGAGCCAATAGAATTACAAATTAGGTACACGATTCGGGATTTGACATTGAGCAAATATGTGGAAGCAGTACAATAAATAAGACGTTTAAGCCAAAAAAAAAATATAGTTATTAAATAATTATGGACCACTCTCTTCATTCTATGGACCACATGGACCACATGGATCCAATGGATCCCATGGATCCCAAGCCAATGTGCAAGATGTCGATGCTGTTGAATGCAGACTACAAGAACGTTTGTGTTTTGTCGTCGTCATGGCAAATTACCTCGTTCACTTCACTTATATTTACTCTTATTGCCATCTGTTTGATATCAGTTGGTTACGAGTTGCTGAAAAACTGGACTCTCAGATGGGAATCCCGCGCATACAAGCAGCCAGCATTCACCGGCAACGCTTTGACGGTCTACAAGGCCAAGAGCTCACTCTTGTACGGGCTTGCTGCGTTCTACTCGCTGATGATCATGTTAATCTTTATGACTTATAATGTCTGGCTGATGGGCGCCGTGGTGGTGGGCAGCGTTGTTGGCAGATACTTCTTTGGGTTCACGGAAACCGGTACCGCGCTGCCAGGGTCGGTCGGATGCCACTAAACGGTCAATGCAGGGTAATGGTCCAGCTTTTTGCAACCAATGGTTTAGGGTTTCTGATCACAAACGAATGGTCCTGTGGAACGATCTCGGCGGTCCAGGACTCGCCGTCCTGCTCCACAGTGGCCTTTGTGACCTCTTTGTCGCTTAGAACAACTATTTTCTCGATAATAATACTGGTATCGTAGCTGTTCTTCACCGTAGAAACGATTTTGTTGCCGGTGAACTCGAACGTTGTCAATACGAACTCGCCGTCCTGATACGCAAACGTCTCACCGTCGTCAAAATAGAGTTCCCCCGTGGCAGCAGATTCGGATGGCGCAACGTACAAGGTGTATGGATCGTTTTTCATGAGTTTTGAAGATCTTCTGTATCGTTCCTTGGTGATCAATATGGAACCCCCACGAATAAACACCGGGATCTTGTCCAATGGGGCATCAACATCATGATATCCTTTACCTTGAAGAACTGTATAGTTTTGCAGGTCGTAGTATGGTTTGTCGTCTGGAATGTAAATGGAAACTTTATCTGTGTCTGGAGAAGTCACTGGTTTCACCAACAGTGGACCAACAAAGAATTGGTTATCCATCTCCAACACTTCTGAGTCGGAAGGGTACTCAAAGGCCATTGGACTGACAACAGGAGTACCGGAAACCGAGTTCTTCTGGAACAGGGTGTAATATAGCGGCAGCAGCTTGTATCTGAGCTTGATAGCGTCTCTCATGTAACTAGTGTATGGTTCACCAGCCACGTATGGCTCATGTCTCCGAGAGTCGATATGAGCGTGGGCACGGAAGAACGGATACCACAAACCTGTCTGGTACCATCTCACTTGCAGATCCTTGTCAGGGTTTCCAAAGAATCCAGCCAGGTCTGCACCTGCAAACGGGAATCCAACGGTGTTCATAGTGAGCACCATTGGAATACTCTCGCGTAAGTACTCCCACTTGGCAGAGTTATCTCCCGTCCACATTGCAGAAGTACGCTGAGATCCGGCATAGAACGATCTGGTGAGAATAAATGGACGCAAATTTGGGTTTCTCTTGATCAACGACTCGTAAGTCATTTCATGGTACGTCAATCCCCATAGATTGTGAACCGACCGGTGTTCCCAGTCTCCATAATGGATCAGGTCGCGTGGAGCAGATGTCTCTGGACCGTTGAACACAGACGGCTCGTTCATGTCGTTCCATAGATGTCCGTTGGTGGAATGTCCCAAAAGATTCGAACCGTTCACAAACTGTTCGTCCCAGAACAGCTGGGCATCTGGGTGCATGCTGTCGATCCAAACAGACTCTCCAGGCCACGAATGACCATGGTAAACGTCTGATCCGTCTGATTTCAGAATACCAATTTTCTTTTGAATAACAGTGTCACTGATCTCGTAACCAACCTTCAAGTGCGGGTCAATGATCACAATCAAAGTCCGGCCCGTCTGGTCGAGCTTTCTCATCATGCGATCTGGATCAGGGAATGCCTCCTTCTGCCATGTGAAATACTTTTTGTCGTCTGTGTACTCAATGTCAAGCCAAATAGCGTCGAATGGAATCAACGATTCGTCGAACTTTGCAGTGACACCCAGCACATCTTCCTCGTCGTTGTAGTTCCAACGCGACTGGTGGTATCCAAGCGAAAACAGGTTTGGTAGCACTGAGTTTCCACTGAGTTTTCCATAAGATTGCAAAACCTGGCCTGGAGTATCTTCTGTGATGAGAATAATGTCGAGGATACCGCTTTCAGAAATCCAGTGTGTCTGGACCTGCGAGTCCGATTTCTTAATGTCCACGTTGGTGTCTGATCCCGTGATCCAGAACACACCAGCACTAGACTCGCCTCCAACGCCAATCATGAATGGAATAGAGCCGTACATTGGATATTTGCTCTGGGTCTCGTACTCAAAGATATCCACATTGTACAGTCGGTATGGCTCTGTTTCCGAGGTATCCTTCAGGGACAACGAGTCTGCATGTTCTGGGATACCGTACACGGCCTTGGCACCCAAGAACGAAACGTCCAGAGCAACGGATTCCGGCCCAAATGGAAGCTTGTCGTCCCTTGAGTCTTTGAAACTATCGGTGTACGAATCAAAAGTAGACTCTTCAGGTGCGATGTGGATTGAATTCTCCCTGGACTGTTCCTCTCTTGTTCTGTAATGCTCTAAATTGAAGAAATTGCGTTCGTTCAAAACGAGCTGGGCTTGGTTGTTGCGCAATAAAGTGATTTTGAACGGATGCAGCTGGATCTCGGTGACGTAGTCGTTGTAATTGAGGGTGATCTTTTCTGAATCGACCGAGTGAGTGAACTCGCGTGCCTTAGGCTCGCTTTGCAGAGCGTATTTCCACGCCTCGTTGTATCTTTTCGGATTGACGTGGGTCACCGGTGGGGATCTATGGACCTCGTCCACCTGGACACGCAGATTGGCGTCCTGGAGGGTGGTCAAGTGGAGGTCAAGGGGGACAAACGTACCATCATTGAGCATTTTGAGCAACGTAGCGTGGAGATGGCCGCCGTCGTGATCAATTTTCAGCGACTCAAGATCGACAGAGTACCGAGACTGGTACTCATCGCCTTGTTTGGCGATCTCTTCGGCAAAATGTCTGTTTCTGGAGCAAAATCCGGACTCGCTACATTTCTTGAACAAGTACGGCTTGACCGCGTCAACAGGAACGAATGCCAGCCAGAACAGCAAAAACAATGTACCATACATTTTCCCTTCAACAAAGCTGGAGTAGATTGAAATATTTAATTTGGAGCCCTGGTAAGATTTCGCGACGCGCAAAATAAATTATCAAATAAACAAACAAGACACAGACCACCATGCCAGGTGAAATCATCACTTTACAGGCAGGTAAGTAGCCACGCTGTTGCCATTCTATTGCTAACGACATAGGACAATGTGGAAATCAGGTCGGTGAACAGTTCTGGGGCCAGATCTGTAATGAACATGGTATCCTGCTGGATGGTACAACATCGCCAGAAACACAAAATACTTATAGAGAAGACCAAACAGACATTTTTTTCCAAAGAAATGACAACAACAGATACACGCCGCGTGCGATTCTTATTGACATGGAGCCACGAGTGATTAATAACATCAAATCTAATACCGGCAGTCTTTTCAACCCTAAGAATATATATGTTTCAGCCGAAGGTGGGGGAGCAGGAAACAAGTGGGCCGAAGGTTATAACCACGCACACAAACACAGAGAGGAACTAATGGATATGTTGAGTCGAGAAATGGATGCGTGTGACTCGTTTGAGGGATTCCAGCTTATTCACTCCGTTGCTGGAGGAACGGGTGCCGGTATAGGTTCCTTTTTGCTCCAGGAACTCAGCGATCGATTTTCGAAAAAACTGATCCAAACGTACTCTGTGTTTGGTGCATCTGAGGTGGTGGTTCAGCCATACAATACTGTGCTTACGTTGAAAAGACTGATAGAGAACTCTGATGCAAATATCGTGTTTGATAATAATGCTCTCATGTCCATAGCGTCCAACAACCTCCAAGTGACGAGTCCCTCGTACAACGACACAAACAAGCTAATTTCCACAGTGATGTCTGCGGCAACCAACACCCTCCGTTTCCCTGGGTACTCATACAACTCGTTGACGAGTATCTTGTCGACGCTGATCCCATCGCCAGATCTCCATTTCTTAATACCGAGCTACACCCCATTCACAAGCGATTATGTGAGCAACGCGCACGAGATCAGAAGAAGCACGGCGTATGATGTGATTTTGGAAGTGCTTGACAAGAAGCTGCGTATGTGCAGTTCCAGCGACACGGGGATGAACCTGTCTGTTCTGGACATCATCATCGGGGAAATCGACCAGTCCGATGTGCAGAAGGCACTAGTGAAGGCCCGAACGCGGCTGAACTACGTTCCATGGAGCTCTTCGGCCATCCACATGGCGCTTGGCAAAAAGTCTCCATTCCACAACAAAACCAGCAAGCAGGTGAGCGGACTGATGCTTTCAAACTCGACGTCAATTCTGAAGCTGCTGAAAAAGACTTTGAGCGAATACGATCAGCTCAAGAGCCGTGGAGCGTTCCTGAATAACTACACGAAGGGAGACTACGAGTTTGATCACGGCGACATCAGTCTGGAATTTGACGAGTCGCGCGAGGTACTCAAGTCCACAATGAGCGAGTATCGTGACAGTGAGGAGATCGGGTACCTTGACGAGATCGATCCGGATGAGGAGGCCGGCTCTGACTCGGCCCCGGTGGTAGCAGGGGATGTAGAAATGACATAATCCCAAGACGGAAATATCCGACCTTGAAAAATAATATATTTCTTATCGCGAGCACAATCAGGCATGTTTCCGGCAGGACCTACCTACGTTCAAGACGACAAACGCGAATCTCTGGAGCTGGCTCCGCTGGCTCACGTTCACGATGAATACGATTCCCGGCCAATGGCCTCTTCTTCGGCGTTCCAGTCGGGAAAACCAAGCATGTTCAACGATAAGACGTTCCAGGACGATACGGTGGAGAACTCCACAGAAGTGTTTGAAGAAGATCCTCTGGAAACAGTGGAGTATCCGGACGGCGGATGGAAAGCGTATTCCACGGTGGCTGCGTCGCTTCTCGGGCTCATTTGTGCTTTCGGTATCATGAACTCTACCGGAGCCATTGAGTCATATCTTGAGAAGAACACTCTCAAGACGATCCCTACCACAACGATCTCGTGGATTTTTGCTATATATACATTTCTGAGCTTTGGAGGGAACTTGTTTTCCGGTGCTCTGTTCGATACTTATGGTGCTAAGAAAGTGGCCGTTCCCGGGGCAGTGCTGCTCTGCGGCGGGCTTTTGGCAACGGCCAGTTGCACACAAGTGTGGCAGTTCGTTCTCTCGTTTGGTGTGTGCTGCGGGATCGGCTGCGCACTACTGATGGCCCCGATGGTCAGCTGTATTGCCCATTTTTTCAAGCAGAAACGAGGCCTTGCTTTGGGAATAGCCATGCCGGGAGCAAGTATTGGTGGAGTGATCTGGCCGTTGGTGTGCAACTCGCTGTACCCAAAGATCGGGTTCCCCTGGACAATGCGTGTTCTTGGGTTCATATTTATGGGGATCCTCACAACCAGTTGTTTGCTCATTAACGACAGACTGGACGAGATCTCCAACCAAACGTCTTCCAAATCAAGTGTCTGGGCCAAAGTCAAGGAAAGCATTGACTTCAAGACTTTGAAGGACCCCGTGTACCTGATTCTTGTCGGAGCACTGTTTATGAACGAGTTCTCGCTCATTCTGTGCTTCACCTACATCCCATCCTACGCTCTTGACAAAGGCTATTCGGAGTCGTTCTCCCTGATTGCTCTTACAGTGGTAAATGCCTCAGGAGTCGGTGGAAGGTATCTTCCTTCACACCTTTCAGACGCATACGGCAGATTCAACATGATCCTCGCGATGTCGGCAATTGCCACGTTCGCTGTTCTTGTGCTCTGGCTACCATTTGGAAAATACAAGCCGGCTTTTGTGATTTTCTGTATAGTCTACGGCTTTGCAACCGCAGCAACTTTGGCTCTCACGCCGCTGTGCACCTCGCAGATCTCCAAGGCCAAGGATTTCGGTAAGCGGTACGGAACAGCCTATTTCTTTGTCAGCTTTGGTAACCTGATCTGTATCCCAATAGGTATAGCTCTTACCAAGACGTCTGCTGGCTACAACGGTATGTTGGCGTTTGCTGGAGCTGGATCTTTCTGTTCTACACTCTTGTTTGTTCTTGCTCGCTACAAGTTGGCCAAGTTCACCTGGAAAGCCGTTTAAAGTGTTCAAAAAGCTTAATTAATCGTACGTACATACATGTTGCCTATATTATTTAAAATCCTAAAATGCTGCCGGTGGAGTACGTGAGAATACTCGAATTGGCGCTCTTGAGATCGGACGTCTCCCAAAAGTTGTCGTTGCTGCTCTGGTGTCTCCGACGACGACGGGACCTGCTCTCGCTGTCGTCACTGGCGGATACCACCACCCCTTCGGATAAATTGGAGATCAGACTCTCTTTGCGGGCAGAAATGTACGGGGCCATCGGCCCAGTCTCGACGTCCTTCTTGCTGTTGTCCTCGGTATCTGTCTCGTCGTCCAACTGCTCGAATTGCGGAAGAAGATCGGACGTGATGATCAAGTTCTTCAAAAAGAAGGGGATGTACTTCTGTAGACTCTTGTTGTTCATGAACTGATCACTATCGCGCTTCTTTGCGGTCTGTGTGTGCATCGTCGTAATGGTCGACGTGGAGACGGTGCGTGTTGGCATCTGCGGAACAGAAGAACGTCTGCGCTTGGCTCTGACGGTTTTCCTCAAAGACGTGGATAGATCCTCCAACACACGCTTCAAAACAATCAAGTCCTCACTTGAATAGCTCAACAAAATGCCGTCTCCGTAAAACTTATTAATGGCGGTTGCCTTATGGAGGTTGGAGCCCTGGAGCTGGTGGAGGTTGGAAAACGTGGAGTCGTCCACGCCCCAGGCCTTGATCAGATCCATGGCGTCGTTGTCCAGATCCGACTGGCCTCCTGAAAGATCGTGTAATAACACAGAAACCTGCTGCCGTCTCCAGCTGTCTATTCTCGAATTAAGATCCTCCTTCTTGTAAGGAGTGTTTGAGTCGATATGGTCCTGCAGATCATCGATCAGCGAGTCGTCATCGTCATCGTTCTCCTCCCGCTCGATGTCGACATAGCTCTCTTCATTAGTTGTTTGTCTTGAGGTGCGGTCTGCGGTCGTGCTTAGCAAATCATCGTAGTACGGATCATCGGACGGTTTTCCGTGTTCCGACTGGCCAGGAGAAAAAAGAATCCACTCGCTCGACGAGTCCAAGATATCTGATGAAACGCTTCCGCGGTGGTCTGGACTGGTTCTGGACGGATGTAGCGGCGATCTCTGGTGCTGGGTGTGACCGTTCGCGTTCTCTGCTTCCAAAGCAGCACCCGTAGACGGGGCTCTTCTTATTCTGCTGTGTCTTGCTCTGAGCGAATGGAAATCCAGGTTTGCAAGGTTGACGTTCTGTTGTGCCAACGACGGCTCAAATGAGCGCGTGGACGAAGACGATGACACGGTAGAAAGCTCATTTGAGGGATATTTGGTCCTGTTTGGAGTTTGCGGATTCACCACAAACGAAACTGAATTCGAAGCCATATTATGGGTAAAGAAGCTTCAGCCTGAAGAAAGCCAACTATTAAGCGCACTATCCGATTAACTGGAGACTTTGGAAGAAGGCGCCTAAAGGTTTCAAAATATGCTCAAATATATTTATATTCGCTTGTCTTATCAATTTCCCCTTATATTTGAATAAAATCCGCCTGTGTGGCGCACAGCGCAACAGAAGCAGCCCAGTGACGTAAAAAAAATCCCGTGTGCGCGGAAATCGCGTGCCGTTGAAAATTAGTGGCCGATGGATTGCTCCTGGCAGGTTTCTTTTGCAGAACATCTCTGCATCGCAAAACAAAGCATACTATTAACCTCATTACATTAATTAAACGCATCTCCTAGTATGATGCTTTAGGCACTCTCATCAGGCTTCACGATAGCACTGATGAAGGTTGCCTCAGTATATCCGTAGCCATGTTCGGTGCGTTCAACCGTACCATTCTTGATCAATTTGAACTCAAGCTCATTACTAAATTGGAAAATGTACGGCTTGGTTCCAGCAACTCCACTAGCAATGTTCTTCACAAACTGAGGCAACTCATTCATCACGTCCACACGCTCACTGAGTTGTTTTAAAGGACCGGAGATAACTGCCTTCAAGTCCTCGCCCCCCACGGTAAACTCAATCTCGCCAGGAACGTTCCATCCCGAGACTGAATCCTCATAGGTCTTGATATGCTTGATCTTATTATTAGTGGATCCCAAAATAATCTTGCCCTCTTTATCAGCAACCATGGCAACACTGACGGTTGTGGTGTTGTACGATTTAGGAGTGGTAAACTCCATCACAACGGCCGAGTACTCGGAAGATTGGTAGTTCAAAAAGTTCCAAGTAGCAGCAGCGTGATGGGGCTTCATTCCTTGCAATGCCATCACATACATGCCCAATCCTGAGTCAAGTTTAACTGTGTCCTCAAAAAGCTTGTTTCCTTCAAGAGAAATGGTACCAGTGGACTTACAACGAGGCCAGAAAATGTGTCTCATCGAGCCCCATGGGTTCTCAATATCTGTCCCGTAATATGTTGTGCCGTCTTTGCCGAACTTGATGCCTTCGCCAACAAGCTCCATTGTTAAATCAACAACACTCTGCGGGGTGACCGAAGACTTGATCTTGTAGACCTTTTGGGCATCGTCCAGTTTGATCGACAGATTGTCAGCGTAGAAGTTAGCTCCGTCAATTCTGAAGTTCTCCAGCTTGGTGGAGGTCCACACGTAATCTTCTGGCTTTGATTTCTTGAATATTTTGAAAGTGAACTGGGCAGTGGTGTGCAATCCAACAAGGTTGGAGTGTATCACCTGAGCAAAACCATAAAAGACGTCGTCCATAAAGTAGAAAGTTTGAGTTTCCACACAGGTTTGACTTGGGACCTTGTATTGCATGTCCTCCAAAGTCAAAGGAGAGTAAAGAGGCTCGCCTTGGGCCAAATCCGAGCACACTGGATGGATCGATTCTGGACCATACTCTGGCTCTGCGGTTCCTGCAACTACCGAAAGCCCCGATTGAACTAATTTCCACATATTTTTAATCAACTAGTCTTGTAGTGTTCCCACAACAATACATGGTAATAATTTTTTTTTTATACTAGCATACACAAAGTCCAGAGACACGTAACCAGAAATGACAGACAGAAATTATTGCTGGTTGCTGCTGCCAAAATCATTCATCGTAGGACTCTTCGTCTTCCTCGTCTTCCTCGTCGTCCGATTCATCTTCTTCATCTTCCTCCTCATCCGCAGCATCTTCGTCAAACACTAGCGAAGCGTCAAAGTACAAGCTTGGGTCCAGTGCGCTGATATCACAACTTTTTGCTTCGCCATCCAAAAGTAACTCGCTCATCAGTAAACCTGTAGCCGGAGCGTTATTAATCCCCCAACATGAATGTCCAGATGCTAAATACAAGTTCGTGACATTAGTCTCACCAATCAGAGGCCCGGAAGAGGACGGAACGTCCAAAACAGGCAAATAACATGCCTGTCTCTTTAAAACTTTACCGGTTTTCAATGTTGGAGAAACTTTGGAAACATAGCCGAATAACTTATCACACTCCTCGGTCACGATCTCAACATCGTCGGTTGTTTCTGGGATCGGCACCGAGGCGTCGCCTTCGCCACACACGTACACCTCGTCTTTTCTAGCGTACAACTCGGGGCTGACGAACTTGTACCTGTTCAGACGCAACTCGGTAAAAACTGCGAACGGCGAAATGTCTTCCTCGTTTTCGGGCTGAACAGTAATCGAATGAGCACGCAATCCGGAAATCGGACAATCTGCAAGAATCTTGGAGGTCCAGGGTCCAATAGACATGACCACTTTGTCTGCACTTAGTTCCACTAGTTGGTCCGCGGTTTTATCGTACTGGGCCTTGGCAGTGGAAGGATAATATGACACCCCCTTACACTCTCCCGAGTCTTCATCGATGATAATATCCTCCACTTTGCCGATGATAAGCTCCACAGCCCCTGTTGCAATGCATTGTTTCAGAATATGTGTTGTAAATTGATACGGATGCACCTGGGCAGTTGTATTTTGATTTCCCAAATGATTCCATCCATCTATAAGTCGTTGGTCGATCCAGGTTAGGCCCTCAGGTAGATCGGGACTCGAATCTGCAGAGTTCTGGCTCTCCATGGAATAATTCCTGGTATTTTTAGTGATTTTTGTGGATTTCACCTCGGTAGCATCCTGCTCTGCCTGTTGGCTTCTCTTGGTAGTTCGTTCTCGTTTCTTCACATCCAGGTTCTTCAATCGCGTCTCTGTGATGTCCCCCTCCACGCTGATCGTGGTCAATCTTCTGTAACCCCATTCCTTCTCGCCGTTAAATTCGGCAGCTAAGTCTTGATGCAATTGGAAACTCAACGGCACTATCTGTTGCGGAAACGCCCATAACGCCAGCAAACCTCCGGCCTTGCCCGAGGCTCCTCCAGCAACACGCTTGCTCTCGACAATTGTGATGTGGTGTTTTTCTGGATCAAAGTTCGGGTGTCTCGTTAGATAAAATGCTGAGCACACCCCAATAATTCCAGCACCAACAATGACAAAATGGGTCTTCCCGTGGTGGCGTCCCGATGGGAGAGACGAGTCCGTTAAAAAATCAGGCCGTTCCGGGGGAATTTGCTTCTCTGTCCCCATGCCTGTTGTCAACTGTGTGCAAAACTAAATTTTCCTGTGTTAATTTGTATATCTATTTTTTTGGCCACCTCTTGAGCTCTGCCTAGAAAAGTTGCGTGAGAATTTCAATCGCCTTGCACCGCCGTGATTAATATTATACCTCATTTATTATGCTACACCGACTCCTCAGAGTCGCTAATATCTATTTGCTTTCCGTTCGACTCCACCTCAATGTCACTGAGCTGGTCGTCCGACTGGTCAGAGTCAACGACGTCTTGCTCTTCCTCGGACTCCGACTCTTCGTCGTCCTCGTCACTGCTTAAAAGACCAGCGTCATCCAGCTCTTCCACGTACTCCACTTCGTCCTCCTCGTCCTGGTCGCGCTCCTCCAGCCCAACCATCTCTCTCTTGAGCTCCAGTCTATCGGTCAGCATGCTAAACTTACCTCTCAGTTCCAGTAGTCTGTCAAGGTTGGCTGCTCTTCTTCTCATCGTGGTAGCAACCAGACTCAGATTTGCAGAGTTCTGCAAAGCACCTCCATGGAAAATTAAAATGTGCTTGATCCAGTACACCAAGTTTGTCTGACGGTTACCATTTCTCGAGATTCTCTCGGCCAAACGGTCAAGAAGTGTGCCCACGTAGATAGAGTCCAGCTTCAAAATGGTGTTTCTGATCACTGTTTCGTCCTTGTTGTTCAGAACACTCTCCAGCAAAGAATGATCGTTCGATTTGAGTGCCTGCGACAGCACAGTAGTCAAAGTTCCAGCAGTGGCACGGCCAGACTTCTTGGAAACAGTGCCGTTACTACTGGTTTGAATTGCCTGCAACCGTTCAGCCAAAGTCATCTCGTCCTCTTCATCCTCATCAGACCCGTCCACGTCTCTCAAATTATCGCCAGAAGAGATGATCGCATGGCTCTCGTTGTAAGTCTTGGAAGCAGCAATGTCGTGGCCAAACTTAGAGAATTGGGTGAACTTCAAAACAGGTTTTGGTTTTTCCACCACAACGTCTCCCTTCTGTTTGTATTCCTTGTCACTGTCCTGCGAAAGAACCCACCAATCCAGAGTCTCAAAGAACGGAACGCTCGAGTCTTCGAGCCAGGTGACTGTAAGCTGTTTTGGCGTCAGGGTGACGTTTTGAATAGGAAGACTCTCTACCAGATCCGACGCAGGACGGCTCACCGTCAGCTTGGCGTCGCTTCTGTGAGTGTTGACGACTTTCTTCTTACGCTTAAAAGGCGAGCTGGCTGTGTCTGCTGATGAGTCGTGTTTTTGGAGAGGAGCATTAAAGATCTCGACGGCCCCACTTTCTGTGGTGGCAGCCAAAATTGACATGTCGAACCCGTTTTCTGCAAAGGCGAGAGAAACAACCGGCTCCTCAGCCACAAAGACGGCCAACGTAGAAGCCTTGTCTATAGAAATGGCGTTGATAAAACGGTCACCTTGCGCAGCAGTGAAAATTATACCATCGTGAACGCTCAAAATCGTGTGGATTGGAGAAACATGGCCTGGGAAAGTCTTGACAATCGAGTAATTGTCAACGGGATCAACAAGGTACGTGGAATGCGATCCCAGAAGCAGATGCGGTTGCTCGTTATATGTGATGCTAGCCAGTTTGGACAGTGTTGTTTCTTCGCTCAATGGTCTTAACGTCTTGGAAACCTGCCAGCTCTTCAAATCAAGCTCAAACAAGGATCCCTGCGAATCGCAACTCCAAGCGATCTTGGATAAACCGTTGTGGTGGAAGTCTGTGCTGGATATGTGACTGGAGGTAGTAATCTTGTGTATCACCTCATTTCTGCTGGGAGAGTAGATATACACCGACCCGTTGTCCAAAGACAGTGCCACTAATTGATCCTCCAAGGAGGCATCCAGGCGCCTGAGTTTGGTAGACTTGACGGACTCTGCTGGCACATGGATCCACACCAAAGAGTTCACTCTAACGGCCTTGTCGAACGGGTACACGTTGGAAAAATTGTCGCCTGCGTCTCTGCACGACTGAACACGCAGCGTGTGCGAATTCAGCGAAACAGCAACGCTCGCAAAGTACTGTCCCGTAGCATCAAAGGCTGATGCAACAAGAGACATGGATGTGAATATATTTCTAAAATTTTTCAACACAGCCCGACTTTTTTAGAGAGCGCCAAACAGGAGAAGGTTTTTAGAAAAAAAAGTTATGGTCAGCATAATTGTTACCCGGCCGGGAAGAACGGTCATTTGGAATTCGTTTCCCACGATATAAAAAGCGTGCAAATTTCCAGACTGGTTGGAAAAAAAAATGGCAGATACGCGGGTAATTATCAACATATAATTTGACATCCAGGGCCTATCACCATCTGCAAGAACGCCATGTCAGACAATCAGCAACCGCAAGACGAATTATCATTGCCCAAGGCAACAGTGCAGAAAATCATCTCGGAAGTTCTCCCGTCTGAGTTCAGTTTCACCAAGGACGCTAGAGAAGCTCTTATTGAGTGCTGTATTGAATTTTTAATGATTTTATCCACAGAGTCTAATGATATCGCCGACAAGGAGCTCAAGAAGACAATTTCTACCGACCATGTGCTCAAGGCGGTGACTGAGCTTGGTTTTGTTGACTACCTGCCTGTTTTGGAGAAATGTTTGAGCGAGTTCAAAGAAACTAACAAAGTTAAGGAACGCAAGAATAGCAAGTTCCAGAACAGCGGGCTGTCTGAGGAAGAACTTTTAAGACAGCAGGAAGAGCTCTTCAGAGCAAGCAGGAACCGTCTTCAGCAACAGAATGTCAAGGAAGAGAGCGAGTAATGTATATTAGCGGATAGAGATGTATATTAATGTCATAATAGCACAGCCGTGTTTTTGGTTAATATTTACCTTTTTTTTCATAACTATCAGGAAAATATTTATTTACTGATTAGGTCAGTGATGAACTGCTGTTTTTCCGGAGGAAGGAACCGTCTGAGTTTTTCTTGTTCTCTGGAAAAGAACGACTTGAACTCGTCTACCACGTTGATGGCGTCTATTGGCGTGTCCTTGGTCAACTGGTCAAGTTCCTCGATGTCGTCTTCCTCGCTGTAGCCGTCTCCATCGTACTGGCCAAGCTCCACCAGTTTGGTGATGGCCATGTCTCTTTTCATGAGTGTCACTCTTCTTTCAATAGCGGCAGGCAGTTTCTCGAACGCGGAAACGAGACGGTGCAAAATCACGTCGTTGAAGCCCGAAAGAGCGCCCACCTCCCCGCTAAGCAAAGATATCAGTGCAAGAATCTGTAGCTTGAGATCGTACACGGTCGTGAGAAGCGTGTCACTGTTGTTGAACCAGAGCTCGATGAATTTCATGAACGCGTCTCCGAAGGCCTGTGCAGTTGCAACCGGACGCACAAAGCAGGCCGAGATGAACACCTTCATCAGCGGCTTGAGAGTGCTCTCAAACACCTCACGGTCTTCTGGGTTGGATTGCAACTTGATCGACGTTTGCAAAACTGGTTGCAGTATCTGCGGCAAAACAGGCTCGATATTTGGCCCCACAGACAGAAGGACCACTTGTAGTAGCTCGTACACAAACTCCACCACTCCTTCGTCTCCGTCAAAGTCGTCTGTGTCCAAAAGTCTAAGCACAGAAGTCAAAAACTGTTGCAGGTGCAAGTTGCTATTGATATCTGCGTTTTTGAATCCGTAAGTGCAAACGGTGTCAAAATATGCCAGGTAGTTGTCGAAGTACTCAAATCCGTAGTTCTCAAACGAATCCATCACGCACTCGTACAGACTCCAGGATTCGGGTATCATGGCCTTGAGAGTGTAGTTGACCGACTCAAGCAGATCCATTGTCTCTGTGAGAAAAATTGCTAGTCCATTCTCAAGAACAAATCTGGCTGTTGGGTCTATGGTCTTGAGCAGCTGGTATGTGATCTCCTTCTGCGATGTCATAGTTGTCACCATTGTGGTGAACGTGTGCAAGATAGACGAGGCCTGGTACTCTTTCTCTGTCTCCTCAGAAGTCTGTTTATCCGAGTTCAAGCTTTGAAGCTTGAGCAGGTCCTCCGCTAGTCTCAAGAACTGGGCGTTCAAGTTTCCAGCCAGTTGAGTAGCAAACGGCTCCAAATCTTTTGCAAACTTGGCAACAATATCGTCCATAATGTTGTTGATCAGTTCCATCTCCAGAGTGTTGCTCAACTCCAGCAACTCGGCCATGATCAAAGAAATCTTTGGAGAGAGCGCAGTAGCAACAGGCTCGTATGAAATCAAGTACCGCAACGAGTCGATGGCCTCGATCTGAAGAGGCAGAGGGCTGGATTTGTTGAAACATTTCAGCAGCATCTCGTATATATCACTCAACAGCTGGTTGTCTTTATAAACATGGCTGGTCATTGCGACAGTCTCACAAGCTCTGGTTTGCAACCATTTGAAATTTGAGTCGCACAACTGAGGGAAGATGAACGACTTGGTGATATCGTCTAGCTGGTCTCTCATAGGACTGTTTTGCTTTGCAAGCTTCATCCACAGGTTGCTCAGGATCCTGAGACCACCCTCAGCTCTCCAGGCCACCTGCTCGTCAGTCGGGTGAAGCTGTCTTTTCTGGAAAATGTCGTTCAGAATATTCATTACCACGTAAAGTGAATCGTCAAACCGCTTAGCGGTCAACGTGTACATCAGCTCATTTGCAGCCACGTCTGCAGTTTTGGAATCATGAGTGATGTCGTAGTACCGTCTAAGATATTCTTGCGGGTCGTCCTCAAAAAGCTCCACGGTTTCCTCCGAAGCACTAAGCATCGGAACAACGATATGGTTGAGGATTGGATTCAGCTGATCTTTAATTGATCCCCAAATCTCGTCGTATTGCAAACACTCGCCAATGAAGGAAACTAAGTGATAAAGACAAGCCTCGCTGAGCCAGTTGTCGGAACGGGACTGCGACCATTTGCCGATCACCGTCCAGTAGTGTTGCAAAATAGTAGGCAAGAAGTGGGTGATCAAATTCTGTTTCAGAGCGGGTTTAGCATCGTTGGTACAGTGTCTTATTCTGAGTCTGTGCAAATTGTAGAACGACCACTTTTGACACTTCACCAAAGGTTGCAACGAACGCTCCGAAACGTCCAAGTCAGCAAGGCTCTTTGTATCCAGGTCGATGATTTGGAACATGTACCCGCACCATTTGCTCAGCAGATTCAAATCATTCTCAAAATAGGATGGGATCTCGGTAAAAGTGCAGTATTTGTAGATTTTCAGAATCACATGTATGAGTTGACCCATTTGAGCGTTTGCGGTTATCTGCGGAATATACGACTCCAGAAGCGTCTCCAATGCCGGGAAGAACCTGGAGACCAGCGAGTTTATGAAAGACCGACTATCTGCGACATCGAAACGGTGGCATTTAGAGACCTGATGAACCAGCAATAAGCTCGCGTACACGTAATTGAAATCGTCTGAATGTTCGTTCAACATCTTGTATGCCGATTCTGTCAGCTCTCTGTCCCATCCCGACTCTAATCTAAGTATATGCTCCATTGAGGAGGTGACCTGTTTGAGAATTGTCTGATTGTCGGTGTTGGTAAGAAGAGAGGAGACAAGTTGGTACTTGATCCCAGATTTCTCCTCTGAACCAATTCTATGTGACAACAATGGCTCCGGGGAGCGGTCTGTGATGAACCAAGAATGACGGATCCGGTTCTTGACAAACGTGATTGCCACTAACCGGATGTGTAGAGGAAGGGTTTGTTCCGAAGACAGTTCCAAGCAGTTGATCAAAACACCCTGTTGAGACAATGCCGCCAATAAGCTGCGCTCCGAGGAGTTCCGCAACGCATTGTCGGGAGACAACGTGTTCACCAAGTGCTGCAGTAACTCGTCCTTATTCATATGGGAACCTTTGATAAAAAAATATGGAAAAAAGCTGTTTACATAATCCACCTGACTTCTAGCCCCTGGTTGTTTGCGTTATTGCTCAATTCGTAACTTAGGCACATCCCATCGATATACACCAAATAGAGCATATATCTGTAACGGTCGAGCCTTTGGGACGTGATTCCAATCAAGGTACGCACGCCAAAGTCTCCGCTCAGACACAACCGTTCGTAGTTTGGAATCACAAATTCCTGGCGGAACCCGTAGATGCCCCGGAACGTTGTGAGACGGAAAACCGACACCAGACCAGATTGCGAGCCAGCAACGTAGCAATTGAGGTCGGGAATCACGAAACTCAGCGAGATTCGGTTCGAATGCAGCCAGTCTTCGTTGAACGGCTTGAATTGGAACACTTTCGAAGCTGTCGCGTTGCAGATCAACTTGTCGGCACGAAACAGGCCCAGTCGAAGTGCCGTTGAAACGAGAAGAAACTTGTTTGAAAATTGCGCCGTAACGGCCTTCTCCTGCCAGTATTTCTTGCAGTTGAAAGAAACGTGTGATTTCTGTTTCGATCTCTGGTTCGTCAAATAATATTCGTCGTACACCTTCTTGATCCGCCGATAGTTGTCAGACAATGACGCAAACGGCTTTGGCTGCATCACTGGGTGCATGTTGTCCAGAGCCACGGTCGGAATAAAGAAGTTGTGGAAACATGAAGCCAGCCCAACATGGCTGGACGAACATTCGTCAGACTCGCAATCAAGAATTCGGCTCTCGTTGAGCATCTCGTTGATTATCATGTTTTCAGCCATCCACTCGTCTCCGGTCAATTCCCCCACTGAGTCCACCTCTTTGAAACAACTTGAATCAACATAAGTGGTGGTCCATACGTTGTCTCCTAAAAGCGCACGGCTCACAACGTATGGTCTTTTCAACCGGATTCTGTCGAAATCGCCAAGACCTTCCTTCATTGGACCATGATTGTAAACCATCGGGAACTTGAAAATAACCAGTTCCCCACTGATCGATGCTGCGCTCACGTATATTTCGTCCTCGTCCCTGATAAAGCTGACAGACGGGACATTGTGCAATATTTGATGGGTCTGGATGCTCTGGTGCTTTCCCCCGTCGTCAAATACATGCAACTGAATACTCTGGCTGTTATCGGAGACAACCACCAGATTGTTGTACATATCTATGCCCCATACAGAAGATGATGCTGTGAACTCGTAGTTGGGGCTGTGTTTGACATTTGAGCCGGCATTCTGGGGGTTGAGCGATTTTACCAGCTCGCAAACAGTGTACAACAGTACTCTGCCATCGTCACAGCCCATGGCCAGCGTCTCCTGGTTTTTGAACTCACCAATGATCATGTAATTAATTGTATGTGGAAAGTGTAGCATGGTTGCGTTTTGGCGATGAGTCGAAGTGGTTGTTGCTGGCTCCGTGTGGATGATTGCTTCAGCGTTTCTCTTTGGCTCCAACTTGCTGCATTCCAAGGAGTACACATAAATCGAAGCCTGTATCCCCACAAACACTTTGGAGTATCTTGCAGAGCAACAAACGATGTTGTTTTTGTACTTCCCTGGCCTTGCAAACTCCATCTTTCTGAACCCTTGAAACGCAATATCCAACGAGTCCTCGAACTTCTGTGCGGGCTGCGACTTGATCGGAAACTCAAGCGAATCTGTTCTTCCAAAATCCATTGCTGATTGAAGCTTTTTGTTGCCTGGCCGGTTCTCATAGTTTTGAAACGTATCGTTCGAGTTCAACGGACACGGAGACTTGTGGGTATTGGGCACTGTATAGTCTTCGCCGCCGATGATCGCGTGCGGGTAATGGCTTTCGCTGGTATATATGGTGTTGCTGTCTATTGTATTTCTAGTTCCCTGGGCCACTTGAACGTCTTCGTCAAAATCATCATCATGGGGCGGGAAGGCCATGTGGTTTTCGGCATAGAATAAGTCCTGATCTTGCACATTGGCCTCTGTGACAACGAGCGACTGGAGAGCGTTGTCTTCAAACCGCACACTGTAAACATCGTCCTCATCTTCGTCTCTGTCGCTGGCGTCGCTAGAATCCGGAAACAGATTGTAGCGCTCGCTATTCCCGCTCAAAGACACTGCCTCTGCGGATCCCACACTAGGCCGCACAACTTTGCTCTTAATCCCGTTCAGTGCCAGGAACCGTTCAAACCGTCTCTGGTGGTCAAAGTCCTGTATTCTCAACTCCCGGAGCTCTTCTCGCGCAATCTCTTCGCTATCGCTGAACTCCATCATGTCTTCTCGCTTGGGTGTGGCATATAAGGCGTCAATCTGACGTCGATCTCGCGCTTGTTCGGTCTTTATTATATCACCTAAATCTAAATCCCCCATAATTACTTTTTGAGGTCGATCGTCCTTTAGATAACGTTACTCATTACTCATTACAATTACCGCTCTCTGTACTCCAACGCCCGGGTTGGAGATCGCGACCGGGACCGTTCCTGCGACTGACTTGATTCTGATCTTCTTACCACGGGAACATACGTGGTATCTTGGCGAATGGACCGATCTTCTTGTGCCGGAGACGGTTTGGCTCCCAAACCAAGGTATGGGATCCTAGGTTTGGAGTTAGACGGCCTCGAGCCTGCTTTCGACCCGTTCCAACCCATTCCTCGCAACATCGCCTCGCCAAACTTCTCAACGGGCATTTTCTCGTAGCTCGAAAGTGTTGGAGCCTCGCCATCCTCAGTTTCCTGGGTAATCAATGGAACCGACCGCGACGATGGCTGAGAAGCTGTGGTCTTATTCTGCTTGTTGAGTCCAAACTCGAGTTTGGGTGACTCTTCCAACTTCTTTTCCTCTTGGCGCTGTTTCCTTCGTGCCTCCCATCCAGACGCTTTCACCACAGGCTGAATTACCAAAGGCTCTTCCTTTTTCTGTTCAATGTCCTGCACAGAACTGATTTGGGTTTTCGTTTCAGTTTTCTCCTCTGCTCCAAACAGATCGTTCTTCTTCACTGCCGAGGCCTTCTTCTTGACCGAGAACCCAATTTTGGATCCCGGTTTCTTCAAAGAGAAGTTCATCCAAAATAAATAAAAGATATTTTATTATTTCTTGTCGGCCATGTTTATAGTAAGAAGAGTCCCACCGCCAAGATTTTTGGTTTCTGTGCGAGCATTTGCCAGCAAGCCAGATCCACAAACATCAAACGAACAAATAGCAGACCGTATCAATGAGCAGACGTCGAAATTGATCAAACAGATAGAGTCCAAGAATCCTGGAAATAACGGGTCCCCCTTGAAAGAGTATGTGAATTCGATCATTGAAAGCGAAAACTTCAAAAACCTGAAAGCCGAGTTGTCCAAATTCAGTGCAGAAAGAGCCAAAGCCACAGAAGAGTACTCGAAATCGTTCAGTGAACGGCTAAGCAGAAATGCTAAAGAATTAAAAAAGAGTGTCACGATAGCATCCAACCTGGTCAATGATGTTACTGGATACACCAAGATCATTCAGCTACAGAACAAGATTAGTCAGAACGAGAAGAATTTGAGAAACTTGAGAAACGAAATCACTCAGGCCAAGTATGAGTCCAAGCTGGCTATGGAAGAGCAGAGCTCTTCACAGAAACACATCAACGAGCTCTTGGAACGCAAACATAATTGGAATACTAAAGACCTGGAACAGTTCACCGAGCTGTACAAGAATGGCCACGAGTTGGAACTCAGCGTAGAACAGAAGTCCGCCAAAGTCACAGAGCTCGAACAGAGAGAAGACGAGATGCACAACGAATTGATCCAAAGTATCATGGAAAGATACCACGAAGAGCAAGTTTGGTCGGACAAGATTCGCCAGTTTTCAACGTGGGGCACCATACTCATCATGGGAGTCAACTTGCTGCTGGTGCTACTTGTTCAGTTGGTGTTCGAGCCATGGAAGCGGTACAGATTGTTAAGTTCGTTTGAGCTCAAGGTGAAAGACCTATTTGAGACCCAAGGAATGGAGAACTGGGGCAAGCTGAAGACAGAGCTGGAGGTCATAGAGCACAAACTGGCCAATTTCGAGCAAGTCGAGGGACTGCTACCGGAAAATTACACCTGGGAAAGCATCAAACAATGGGGGCTAAAACTGAGAGGCTTGTTATTCGGAGGCGAGATCTACAAGCTGAATGTCTCATCGGCAGAATTCACGACGTTCTTTGGGGCGTTCAGCTCGCTGTTCCTGTTTCTGGGCGTCCTCATATCTAGACTACTTATATAGACCGGTCGACGCGACGATACATTGTAATAGAATACACCTCACACCAGGTTTTTAAAGTTGGTTTAAAAATCGAAAACTGAATAAATCAGTTTGCCACCGGGTAGTTAGAATATAACTGGGGACGACTGCAGATTTAGTTAGCTCACCATGGAAGAAATTGGCATCTACCCAACCCACACACCGAGTATTGGACAGCCTGTGGAAGGCATAGTCGTCAATGGAAACGGCGGCTCCAACAAGAACAACACCAATGTTTACCTGAGGGTGAAGAAGTTGGAGAAAGAATTGCAACTGTTGATGTTGCAAGAGGACTATATCAAAGATGAACAACGTCATTTGAAGAGAGAACTGATTAGAGCTCAAGAAGAAGTCAAAAAAATACAGAGTGTTCCGCTTGTTATTGGACAGTTTTTGGAACCTATTGATCAACATACAGGAATTGTTTCATCTACAACAGGTTCGAACTACGTTGTCAGAATTCTGTCCACGTTGGACAGAGAGCTGTTGAAGCCTTCTGCCTCTGTTGCACTGCATAGACATTCCAACGCCTTGGTTGATATCCTACCTCCAGAGGCAGACTCGTCGATTTCGATTGTGGGCGAGAACGAAAAACCAGACGTTACTTACAATGATGTTGGAGGACTGGACATGCAGAAACAGGAAATCAGAGAGGCTGTCGAACTGCCTCTGACGCAAGCCGATTTGTACAAGCAGATCGGTATCGACCCTCCACGAGGCGTTCTTTTGTACGGTCCTCCTGGTACTGGTAAGACCATGTTGGTTAAGGCTGTGGCGAACAGCTCTACGGCATCTTTCATCAGGGTCAACGGATCCGAGTTCGTTCAGAAGTATCTCGGAGAAGGACCAAGAATGGTGAGAGACGTGTTCCGTCTTGCCAGAGAGAATTCGCCAGCCATCATCTTCATTGACGAGATCGATGCTATTGCCACAAAGAGATTCGACGCCCAGACAGGTGCAGACAGAGAAGTTCAAAGAATTTTGATAGAGTTGCTCACGCAAATGGACGGTTTCGACCAATCCACAAACGTCAAGGTCATCATGGCCACCAACAGACCAGATACACTCGACCCTGCTCTTTTGAGACCGGGGAGATTGGACAGAAAGATTGAGTTCCCATCCTTGAGGGACAGAAGAGAAAGAAGATTGATTTTCAGCACGATTGCTTCCAAGATGTCGTTGTCTCCCGAGGTCGACCTTGATTCCCTGATTTTGAGAAACGATCCATTAAGTGGAGCCATCATTGCTGCTATTATGCAAGAAGCTGGTCTACGTGCAGTGAGGAAGAACCGGTATGTTATTTTACAGAGCGATTTGGAAGAAGCATACACGGCACAGGTGAAGACGGGTAGTGAGGTCGACAAGTTCGAGTTCTATAAATAAGCGGTGACGTTGAAGATGCCGATCCCGGGCTTGAAAGTGCTCCATCCATAAGTTTCGAATTCAAAATGATCCATATCATAATGCCACGGGTAGCTCCAGATCTCTCTGTACTGGATAGTTTTGTTTTGCACGTTGAGCATTGCGTTTTGCGGAGCAACCAGTAGCAGGTGTTCGTTTGCAGAGAGCAATTGTTGCACCGCCGACTCGAAACCCTGGTACTCCAGGCCCATGCAGTCGACCAAGAACGGCGACTTGATGGTTTTGATGGTATCCCAGAACATTGGGTCGTCTTTGTTGGCGAACTGACGGTCTCGGTTATGAATGATCCATGTTGGCGGCTTGTACGTTCGCCAGAACACGAGGTTTTCGGTGTAGTTCTGGAGCTCGAACATGGCGGGGACAACTCCGCCCTGGTGGAACTTGCCCATAAAGACGAGCATTGCAGTGTTGAACGGGATCCACAGAATGTATGGGAACTTGAACAGCTGTGCTTTGGAAAACTTGGCGCAACATGCCCAGAGCGGCACCATGGGCACGAGGAACCTCAATTCCTGGTGGGGCACCAGGCTGTGTACCAGGACTCCTGACACCATGGCGATGAACGGCGTGGACTTGATGTGTTCAGTATTGAAAGGGAACGCTGTCAGGACAAGCGGGCCGAGAATCAGCGGGTAATTGACCAGGACGTGCTGGTAGTATGGATGGAGGCCGTGCTGTGCAAGGTTGGAGATCTTTGTGTTGTATAAAAGACTGTTGAGTGGGGTGATGACGAGAGTTTTCGCGGAGCCGGCGAAGTATTCAGAGTCTATAGCTATGAATATTGACGAGAACGCGATCAGACTTGTGAGAGCGGCCAGTAGATGGCCCCAGTGGTTCAGGAAGTATTTGAGAGCAAATACGGACGGCACCAGTAGCCACGAAACGAAGGTGACTCTGTTGAACACTCCAAGAGCCACCAAAAGGCCCAGGACGAACGATTTGGCGACCGAGCTTCTGTTGTTCCGCATGCCGTCGACGATGACGACGGTCGGCAGCAGAAGCGTTGTTTCCAAGCTGTTTGAGAACGTGTGTGATTGGTAGACGTAGGTGATGTAGCTGGTGGAGACAATAACGAGTGCTGTTTGGCGGTGTTGAAGTGACGGGAGCAGCGAGTTGATGGAGAAGTAGACAGCGAAATAGGATGCTCCGAAATAGACCATCTTGACGATTAGGTAGATGGAGGCGGTGTACGGCGGTTTGGACAAAGATAGGATAAATTGGATCAGTTTCAATGGAACAACAGACCGACACGCATGGACAAACTCCCAGGGGACATTGTCGTTGAGTAAAGGCTGGAACGACTGGAAGAACTCGTCTGGATGGATGTACGAGAGCCAGCTGACACTCTGGAAGCCCAGGAACGTGAGCGCAGGGCTCAAGATGGGCCAAACAGAGGACATGTCGAAAGCCATTAAAAGAAAATTAGTGTAAATAATAAAAATTCTATCTAAATGTTACTTCTGTTCAATTAATCTAAATACTTAACAAGACACCAACTCAACAACCTTCAAGTGCACCTCAGTACATTGGTCTCCAATGTACTCGTCGTACAAGTTGTAGAAGGTACCAGAAAGACATTGGTAGAATTCGGTGTTGTTACCGATGGCCAAGAATCCGTCAGAAGAAATACCCCATCCAGCAGCGTAGATGGCACCGGCTTGTGGTGGTGGGCCGTCGAATTGGACTTGATGGTTGGCGACAATGGAACCGATTCTTCCTTCAGAGTCGTACAAGACACCGTCTTTCAAGGTAATGGCCAAAGCACCGGTCTTGTAGCAAGACACGGAATCGACGTAGTCACCAGAAGCAGAGGAAGTGGAGGAGGCGCTGGAAGAGGTTGCAGAAGCGGTGGTAGAAGCTTGCACCTGGCCGTCAGAGATCTGGGAAGCAACACCGCTGGTGGTCTTAGAAGCAGAGGTGGTGGAGGTGGAAGCCTGCACTTGTCCGTCAGAGATCTGGGAAACAACATCAGCAGCAGTAGAGGTAGAAGAAGAGGCAGACGAGGTGGTGTCAGCCTGAATCTGGCCATCTCCGATTTGGGTCACGATGGAGTCGTCGGAGGATGCAGATGGAGTGGCGGTGGTGGCCTGGATTTGGCCGTCGCCGATCTGGGTCACAACAGCAGCATCGGTCTTCTTAGCAGACGAAGAGGAAGAAGAAGAGGTGGATGTGGTGGCTTGGATTTGGCCGTCGGTGATTTGAGAAACAACAGCAGCGGCAGTGCTCTTCTCCTCGGAGGCGGTGGTGGAGGTCTCGGCCTCAGTGTTGGTGGAAGCTTGGATTTGACCGTCACCGATCTGAGAAACAACCTGTCTCTTCTTCAAAGCGAGAGAAGACACGCCAGCAGAAGCAGAGGAAATTGGCTCGACAGCAATACCGAAAGTGGCAGAGTAGCTGGTCAAAGCAGCGTCCAAAGTAGCGGACGGAGTAAGGGTGGTCCAGTAGGTGGAGCCAACGTAGGCAGCGAATGTGTTGGAAGCCAGAGAAATGACAGCGAGCGAGGAAGAGAATTTCATAATGCTAGCGAGTTGACTGTCCTTCGGGGAAGCTGGAAGCCAGGCTTTTATAGATTTCTGACGCCTGAGCCACTAAATTTAGTAATTGTTTTGTAAAGGAGCGTGCATACGAAGCTGAAACTCCTTTGAAAAATTCCGAGAATTTTCACACAAATTCGTAAAAACACGATACCATACTCTTCGTGGAGTGCTGGACTATCGAGCTAAACGCGTTGTTGGTCCGTTCATAGCCATCTTGGAACCCATTTCGCTCTGCTCCGTATTCTTTATTTTCAATTTGCAACGCGTTTGTTGACGCATCCTCTGACGCATCTTCAGGAACGCGCAAACATTTTTTAAAGGAGTTAGCGGTGCGAGGGTGAGGTTGCACAATTGTATTTTAGCGTATTTTTTTCTTCCCCCTTGTCAGACGCGCATGTTCTCTAGCAGGAGCGATCCACATGGTTTGCGTGCAATCATTTTGCCAATTTGGTGATTTTCCGTACAAACTTATTCGAGCCACCGTTCCTTTTCGTTTTTTTTGTAGCTGTTTGCATACACATTGTATGCGGCTGGAAAAAGCCCAGATTTACTCAGGATGATGGTTTTGGACGGGGTCAACTTGGCCTTGAGCAGGTTCGCGTCGATCAATGTCATCAGCAGCGTCTCTGTGAACGACTCGTCTAGGTCGCCGTTCGTGATTGTATACATCCAGAGTGATTTCGAGCCGAAATAGCTACGCGTCTGGTCTGGGTCAATCGACAGTCTCAGGGCTCTTCCCACCGTTTCAAACGACAAGCCGCCTTGTAGTTTGTACACCTTTTGGATCAGGTTGCGCAGAATCAGAATTCGCACTCGCTGGAGAAATCCGACCAAAATCCCCAAATTGGCAAAGTATTGCTGGTTGGTGGCCACCAATTTCGAAAACGAAAACAGGTCCCCGTTTTTGTAGCACTGGATCAGCGGAGCGTAGAGCTGCAACAGATGATGGTTCCCCAGCTGCGATTGTAAGTATGCGAGGTTGGGGCATCTCCCGACAAGTAGTCCTGACGGGATCAGGTACTTGAGAATCAACAGGATATTCTTCAATGGGGTTTGTTGGTGACAGTTGGAGAAACACCAGTCAAAATGGTGGTATGCAAGGTAATAGTTGCTCTGGAGAAGATGGAATTTCCCGAGCATGAATCTGTACTGGATGAGCTGCTTGCGCGAAATGAGACTTTTGTCGAGGTTGAGGATATTGATGTTGGAGAACACATTGTTGCAGAGCATGACAGAGTCGATCGACATGTACGTCTGGCACAGAGTTATACTCAGAAACATCAAGATCGAGATCTTGAACCGTTTGGACGGGATTCCCAGTTCAGGGTCGTTTCTGATATTGTTCAGACTTTTCAGCAACAACGTGGACATGTATGACAGCCTTGGATAATCATTGATTCTGCCTGTGGCGTTCATGAGTCTCTGGTCGGCCAATTTTGCCACTGGTACAATTTGCGAAGTTGATTCCTTTACAAGAACAAGCAGTTTGGCATTCTGGGCATTATTCAATGCAACACTAAGACTCTCGTAGAATTTGATCAGCAAGTCCACGGACCTTTGCAAAGACCAGGGGTCGAAATCTCTCACAAATATAAGATAGTTCTGGACCAGACTCTCGAAAGAGGGCCAGTTGTTGTCAAAGTACCCAATTTTTTCGATATTAGACATCAATTGGCTATTGGAGTAGCTCTGTAGAGCCTTCTGGAGAGGCGCAATATGAGAAGACGTGGGGTTTATCGACAGCGTGACATGGAGAGTGTTTGATTGGATGGAGTTCTGGATCGCTCTAAGGTGATCCTCGAGAGACATGGAACAATAGACAACTTGGTTATTTTTTTTTCTTTATTAATGATTTTTTATGGACCGGGGAAGACCAGTGTAAAAGCTGCTGAAACGGCTTCTGATCCGAGGCCAAAAATCGTCCAGAACGACTGGAGGCTTGTGGTACGAAAGCTTCCGCCTTTGATGATGTATGAGGAGTTTTTGCACGCTATAGCAGGACTCAAGGGGGTGCGTTCCAACTATTTTGTGGGAGGACGAGCTGCTTCGAACTCGTTTGAGACTTCCAAACACTCGCGCGGGTACCTGAGCATGCAGAATGAGGCCACAATGATGGAGGCGGTGCAGTTGTTCAAGCAACTGCAGTTCCAGAGCGAGGGAGTGGAGTACAAGCCTGTTCTCGAAAAAGTGTTCAACAAGAAGTTCACGAAGCCGTTCCATCCTAATTTCTACAACGATCCTGCGGATGCGTTCCCGTTGGATGAGTCCGAAGGGTACGCCAAGTATCTTCAATGGAGGACGGGGGAAATCGATGAGACAGAACTAAGGTCGTGGTTTTCTCCTCAGAAAGCCTTAGCAAAGGAATCGAAACACAGAAAGAAATCAAAGAAGTCTCGACAGAAACCCAAGTCCGACGACAAGAGCAAAGGCCATGATGACGACAAAAAACTGCCACCAGCGCCGAAAATCAAGAAAATTGCAACCAGACCCACTTCAGAGGCTGCGACGAACGACGCGCCGACACCCAAAAAACAGGGAACAAAAAAAAAGGATAAAAAACAAGCACTCACCCCGTCTGAGTCTGTTGATCCCGCGCCAGCAAAAGACGCAGTTGCCAAAGAATCGCCCGCTCCAACGAAAAAGAAGAATAAGAAGAAGAATAAGTCGTCAAATTCAGTGCCTGCAGATGTCAGCCCTCCACCACAGCCAGTATAAAACCATTATTGCATCTATCAAATGGCTTCAGGAGTACAACACTCTGGCCATCTCTTCCAAACCTCAGCTAGTTGATCTTCTGGATCCGAAGTTCATCAATGAAGTCTTAGAATGTGTTATCGGCGAACAACCGATGGAAACCGCTGCCATTCGAGAAGATACCCAGTACTTCAAAGCGCTCAAGGATTTTTTCACGGAGATGTTCTTTGGGAACCAGATTGTTGAAGACCATATCAATGCGTTGAACCCACCATTGCTGGATAGTTTCGTGAAAGGCGACGTTAAATGCGAGTCGGTTGAAGATCTGGCTCTGATGGAGGCCATATACCATTTCTTCTGCTTGTTATTGGTTGCCAGTGTCCGTGGCAAGCGCATGGCGTGGGCTATGACCAATATTAACTACCTTCCTAATGAACATAAAAGGGTTTTGGAGAGATTTAGCCTAATCGCAGAGAAGGAGGACCAATTCTCAGAACCATACTCCCCCAAAAAACAGACCCAGGAGCTCAGTGGACTGTTGGCAGAGAAAGAGGAAGAGATCCAGGCCCTGACTCTTGAAGTTTCCAATTTGACCCAGCTTACCCAAGCCAGAGAAGAAGAGCTACTAGCCGAGTTAAATGTCAAAGAAGACAAACTCGTCGCCTACGACGTCCTTGTGGCACAACTACGTTCCCAAATAGAAAAACTGAACAACGAGTTAAAAGAGGCAGCTATGGAAACATCATTGGGCGCCCATTCGAAACTGGAGCTGTTTGCTTTTGAAAACAGAGTGTTGCAGGAGTTCATTGCGATTTTGGCACAGTCATCAAATTAAAAGATAGCATCTAAAGTACAGCAGATACACATGGCAGCTAAGCATGCCATCAGACAGTCTTGACCACCACCACTTTGTTGTTGTTGGTAATATGGCTGTTGCTGGTAGTACGGCTGCTGCTGATAGTATGGCTGCTGCTGCTGATAATATCCCTGCTGTTGCTGCTGCTGATAGTATGGGGGTTGTTGCTGGTAGTATCCTTGTTGCCCGCCGGAGAACATTCCTCTTTCCTGCGTGGTCTGCTGACTGTATCCTTGAGGCTGTGAGGAGTATGTGGTTGTACCGGCGTTATAATACTCAGCAGCCGCACCTTTGCTTGCTGGGGGCGGACCTTGAGGAGGCTTTTTGTGTTAGATTGAGCTGTCCGGGGTACTTACTTTGTATTCTGACATTGTCTATAGAGGAAATTGGCACAAATAAGACGATGCAGCTAATTATACTTTTCCAATTTTGTTACCGGGCTAGGCGAGGAAAAAAAAGGAAGTATGCACCAGCCACATCTAACAGTTTGCCACTAGAGCCAATGCTGCATGCGCCACGTCCTCGCAACGCCCCGATTTTAGACCTCAATTGTAGGCGAAGCAACGGAGATGAGCAAAGCTCGATAAATAAAAACGCTTGGGATTGATTGCATGATATTTAAGCTATTTTGGAACATCGGCAAGCAACCAGGACCAACCCGGTTCAATCACGTTGCCCCGATCTATGGGACCTGAGCTTCCCCTGTCGGTGCAAAGATGTCTGCACCATTTTTTAATTTGTTTAGAAAAATCCACATTTTCTAGTCAAACAACAATCAGGAAGGAGTGCAAATCCTATTGTTGAACCTATAAGGCGCTCAGACTCTCTGTTCACCACGATCACTATAATTATCTACACAAGGGTTTGACGTTGCCAGCATGAATATAGATCAACGAAAGCAATATACGCGAAAAGATCTGGATCAGGACGAGGAGTTTTGGCTACAGCAAGACTCTTTGGCCATAGATCTCCGACAGATGCCGCCTTCGCGACGGACCTTTCTACCGGATGAGTTGTCCAACAGTTCTTCACAGGCGTCTTCCACGGTGATACACACGCACCATCAAGGAGACGCAAAACGTACTGTTGATGATTTGAAACACGCAGTGTCGGGTACGTTGGACACGGACAAGATGTTTGAAGACACGCTCAGGGCGTTAGAGGACGAGTGTGGGAACGGCGAGGACGAGGAGGACGCGAAGTCCAAGGACTCTGAAGACGATTTTAATGACTACATTGATGGGATGCTTCCGTCACCACCTTCTTCGCCTCCCAGAGAGTTGGATCCAAACAAGCTGTATGCCCTGTACGACTTCAGTGGGCCAGATCCATCACATTTGGAGCTGTCGAAGGACGATTCCGTGGTCTTGCTGAACGATTCAGACAGCTATTGGTGGCTTGTCAGGCGCAACTCTGACAAGGAAGTTGGCTTTGCGCCTGCCGAGATCCTGGAGACGTTTGAAGAACGTTTGGCACGACTTAACTGCTGGAAGAACGAGGTCATCGAGCGTCAGGATACGAGCTGTTTGTCTGTTAACGATCTCAAGGAATTTGAAAACAACTCGCAACGCGTCTACTCTGGATCAAATTTGACCTTGTACGAGAACCACAACGACAGCAGCAAGAGCGAACAGTCGCTGTTAGGTCGCAAAAGCTCGCTCAAGCGCAGCAAGTCGTCGATCCGCAAAACAGTGTCGTTTGTGCCAGCCAACCTGCCAGATCTCAAGGAGGTTGACGACGGTAAGTCTGAGACCGGCAGCGATTCGCCGTTCAAGCCGGGAAGTTTGGTGGTCAACAAACGTGTGAGCAACACTAACTTCCTGGTGCGCAACCTTGACGATTACCAGCAACATGCTCGATTCTCCTTCCAAGAAAAGGCAGACGACGACGACGACGACGACGACGAAAGCATCTCTTCCTTTGATACCAACGCCTACGATGAGTCTTCGTCGAGTCCAGAGAAGGCTGATTACAAGCAAGAGTCTATACACTCGGTGGGATCCTTCTCTCCATCAGCCACCTCGGAATCAGAACCCGACAACTCTAATACTACTATTGATGAAACTGCACAACAAACCAAATCATTCAAAACTTTGTCATTCCAAGAACAACGAACCAAGTTCCTGGAGAATGAAAAACCTCAGTTGGCTGAGCGTGAGACATCCAACGATTCAACTTCTTCTAGCCTATCGCAGCAAAAAAACGTATCCAGCTACTCATCAGATTCGCTCACTCCACAAGCTTCGCAATCTGAGCTTACGAAACCTGGTTCTCTACATCCAATCACTAACGAATTGTTCAACCCGTTGTTCAACCAGCTTGAAGTGCTCGAGAATATGCTGAACGACTTCATAGTGACTGACAAGGAACATGTATAATTAATACCAATGTACGTAATCTACACATCTTTACACTGTAGGAAAAAAAAAATTCCAATAAAATTTTTTTAAAACCTTAGACAAAAAGTGCTGATTTAGAGTTGATACAGCAGGGGAAGTGACCAAGAAGTTCATTCAGCATCAACAGTCATCTTGTACACATTCACAGTTTGGTCTGTATTGTTTTGAAATACAGAAATAGCCTATTGGAACCTCAAATTTCCTGATAGCCAAACAAGACAATATTTATTTCTCCACCACATGATGTCGACCTGGGCGCCTAATGCTCAGATCTTGGACCAGATCGTATACATCCTGGCCGGTACGTTATCGTCTGACGCTAATGTGCGGTTGCAAGCATCTGATGCCCTGGAAAAGGCAAGATCACAATCGGAATTTGACAATTACCTTCTCCACATATTAATAAATGGCCAAGCTTTGGAATCCCAAGTGAGAGCGTCTGCTGGTTTGATGTTGAAAAACGATTTGATCAGAAACCTCCAATCCAAGTCACAAGATCTGAAAGCTCACATTTTGCAGGAGATTCCAAAAGGATTGCTGGATTCCCAGAATTTGGTCAGAAACATTACAGGTAATGTGATTACCACCCTATTCTCAATCTTTGGTGTTCGTCAATGGCCCAACATCTTGCCTAACCTTATGGAACTTGCCTCGGGTGCTGCAGGTACCACCGAGTCCCAGGAAGGTGCTTTGAGTGCCCTCGCTAAGATCTGTGAGGACTCTGCTCGTGTGCTTGATCGTGAGTACGACGGACAAAGACCGTTGAACTACATGATTCCAAAGTTTATTGAGCTCACAGGGGCTTCAAATTCAAAGGTCAGAGCATATGCGATCGGCTGCATCAACCACATCCTGCTCACGAAGACGCAAAGTATGTACATTCATCTGGACGAGTTCATGGCCCGATTATTCAATCTTGCCACAGACGATGACCCCGTTGTGCGTACCAAGGTCTGTACTGCGTTTGCAAACATTTTGGAGGAGCGTCCCGATAAGCTGCTGCCGCATCTAGATGGAGTTATTAATTATTGCATCCACTCCATGGGAGATTCAAGTGAGGAAACCGCGTTGGAGGCATGCGAGTTTTTGCTTGGACTTGCCACATCGGACATTCCAGAGCCGATTGTGAAAACCAAATTGCCGGTTTTAATGCCTGTGTTGTTGGAGAAGATGGTATACTCTGAAATGGAGGTTTTCATCATCGAGAACTCTGACGAACAGGAAAACGAAAATGTCGAAGACAAAGACGACGATATCAAGCCTCAGATGGCAAAGGGCAAAGATGCGCATAAGCTTTCCAATAAAAACAGTGCCGCAGCTAAAGGTGCTGAAGACGAGTCTGACGACGAAGACGATGAAGACGATATTGACGGATCGATGGAGTGGAATCTGCGTAAATGTTCTGCAGCAACGATGGACATCCTGGCCACGAATTTCCCTTACGAGGCTCTGGAGATTTCGCTCCCAATTATCAAAGAAAGAATCAGTTCTCCTCAATGGCCTGTTAGAGAGGCGTCTATTCTTGCTTTGGGAGCAATTGCCGAAGGTTGTTTGGACCAGGCATCCCCTCAGCTTCCGTCGCTAATTCCATTCTTGGTCGAGAGACTTAAAGACTCCGAAACCAGAGTTCGTCAGATCACCTGTTGGACTCTTGGTCGTTACTCATCGTGGGTGTGCTCTGAAGCATTGAGTGGTGGTTCTTGTGCCAACTATTTTGCTCCAACGTTCCAATCGATCATGGAATGCGCCTTGGATACCAAGAAAGTGGTTCAAGAAAGCGCCTGTTCTTCGCTTGCAGACTTCATCGATGCCGCCAAACCAGAGCTCCTGACGCCTTTTGTGGAACCTCTTCTCCGTCACATCCAGGCCTACTTCAAAAAGTACCAGCGCAAAAACCTCATCATTCTTTACGATACTGTTCAGACGTTCGCGGAAAGAGTTGGAGACCAACTATGTTACAAGCCAGAGTACATTGAGATGCTGCTTCCTCCGTTGATTGAAAAGTGGCAGCAGCTCACCGACGACGACAAGGACCTTTGGCCGTTATTGGAGTGTATGTCTTCTGTTGCTGCGGCACTTGGCGAGTCGTTTGCTCCGTATGCTGTGCCGGTATACGAGCGTGCGTTCCGGATTCTTGTCATGTGCGTTGAACAGGTCAAGCTGTCTACTGATGATCCTGGATTCGAGGCTCCAGAGAAAGATTTCATTGTGACGTCTTTGGACCTGATTGACGGCTTAGTGCAGGGACTCAACACACACAGCGCGGAGCTGATCCAGCAGTTTGACACGAACGATGTTTCTTTGATGAAGCTGGTGATTCTGTGCTTTGACGACCCAACAGACGATGTTCGTCAAAGTGCGTACGCTCTTTTGGGTGACCTTGCGATTTTCCTGCTGGACCCAATTGTGACGTCGAATCTCCACCAGGTGATGGTTTGCATTGGTAACGAGATCACCAACAGAACGTTTGACTCGACCGCTGCTTGCAACAACGCCGTGTGGGCTTTGGGAGAGATCAGCATGCGTTTGCCGGGAGAGGTGTTCAAGCAGTACTTGGTGAACTTTATGAACGTTCTTGTCCCACTGCTGCTGAGCACCGACGTCGAGCAAACCATTCTGGACAACGCGTCGATCACCATTGGCCGTATTGGTCTGAACAACGCCGCCAGCATGGGCTCCTACGTGGGACAGGTTTTGGTCACGTGGTGCTCGTTCATGAAGTACCTGGAAGAGAACGAGGAGAAGGAGACCTCGTTTGAAGGGATGTGCAACATTATCACTGCCAATCCGACCGCGCTGAATCCTCACGATGTGAACGGTCGGCTGGCAATCAAGCATTTAATCGATTGCATAGCATACTACGAAGCTCCGTCCAACAGACTTGGAGGCATGTTGCATTTGTTGCTGACGGGTTTCAAGAACGGATTGGGCGAGGCCGGATGGAACGGTCTTCTTGCCGAACTGGATCCGTTTGTGGGTGAAATCTTGAAAATGAAGTATGGAGTGTAATACTAGGTAATAATATTAATTAAACATATTTTTTAATATTTGTAGCAAGAATTGGACTCTATAAAGAATGGAAGAGCACTAGAGGAATCTTCTAGGCTCCAGAAGCAAATTACCCATAGGCACGTCGCAATGGCCTTTCCCAAGAGCGTAGATCGAGCGTCCACGAAGGACGGTCTCGACCACACGTCCCTGAACCTTGTGGCCGTCATAGGCAGTGAGCTTATTTTTGAAGAAAGTGCGCATGTTTGCGACAGAATGGTGCTGTTCCGGGTCGAAAATGGCAAAATCGGCGTCCATGCCCGGAGCTATGGCACCCTTTCTGTGTTCGAGGCCGACCTGTTTGGCGGTGTTCTCGCAGCACCATTTGGAGATGTCCACGAGAGTGACACCAAACTTCTGGCCCTCGGTGTAGAGCAGCGGCAGGCCAAAACCGACCGAGGAAATTCCTCCCCAGGCCTCGAAGAAGTCGCCTCTCTCGAGCCCCTTGAGCTCGGGGGTGCATGGCGAGTGGTCGCTCACCACAGTGGTGATAATTCCTTTCTGGAGGCCGTGCCAGAGCTCTTTCCGGTTCTCGTCCGTACGGATCGGTGGACAGCACTTGAACTGGGTGGCACCGTTGGGGATGTCCTCGGAGTTGAGCGTGAGGTAGTGAAAGCACGTTTCCACGGAAAGCGGCAGGTTGAGGCGCTTTTGCGCGTAATCGATCATAGGCAGTGCTTCTTTGGTAGCAAGATGGACAATATGCATAGGGGTGGTTGGATATTTTTTGGAGCAGTTGATGATGTTGCTGATGGCGGTGATCTCGAACGAGTCTGGACGCGAGGCCAGGAACGAGGAGTATGCGGTCGGGTCAACCGACTTGAGCTCGCTGTTTTCCTCGATGGCTTTTTCCAACGGTGTGATCTCGTCGTCCAGGGACAGCGCCTGGATCTGTGGCGACTTGGCCATCTGCGAGATGTGTCCGACGGTGGGCTCGACCGGCTGCAGAGTTGGCGATGAGGCCAGCAGCTGTGCCTGGTGATCGGTGATTCCGTCGTAATGAGGCCGGTCCGCGTGGGTGCAGCACTCCGAGTCCATCTCGGCGTGGAACAGAAGCACAGTCGAGTGACCCTTGACTCTCTGCAAGGCCTGCTCGATGTACGCTGGCGTGATCATTGGGAACTCGCTCACACCACTGTCCATGAGGAATCCCTTGAATCCTCGCACTCCGGCCTGGATCAGCGGAACGAGGTGGTCGAGGTTGGTTGGCACGAGCCCGCCCCAGAACGCGGTGTCGACCCAGCACTGACCCGTGGCAGCCTCGAGCTTGAGATGGAAGTTCTCGATGGTCGTTGTTGGCGGAACAGCGTTCAACGGCATATCAACAACGGTGGTCACTCCTCCGCTCGCAGCCGACTGGGTGCCGGTCGCAAAACCCTCCCATTCTGTTCTTCCCGGCTCGTTCAAATGCACATGGGCGTCCACTAGTCCAGGCAAAATCACCAGTGGGTCCAGCTTACGATACGACACAACGTTGTATTGTGACAGCAGCAGATCTCCCTGGTCCAAGATCTCCGGGATAACAGTCAGAATCTTGCCCGAGATGTCAGAGTAGATGACTGTGGCAGGACAAACCTGACCGCCAGTCACCACGCGCGACGAAGAGATAGCTTTACTCATGAAGTGTAAGAAATGCGCTCCGGCCCGTTTAAAAGCTTTTCGGGGTTCTCCGTCGAAGGGTGCGAGGTGGTTCCTAAAAGGGAAGGTTTGTTATCAGGCCGGCCGAGGGAAGCTATGAGATATAACTTTAAATTGGCACCTTGTTCAACTGATATACCTGCTAACTAGCACCGTGTTGCTGTTGCTAGCGCCAGAGGGTCATGCACTCAAACAGGGAAACCACTGACCTTGTTTTGTTGTTTTTGTGACTACTTTATCTTTGTTTCTTTTTACACAACCGCACCCCTACAGGACACCCGTGCACCACGACAAAGAAAACCGTTAGAGCGAGAGCATTTCCCGAAGCACCCCGGACTGGAACTCGGACTTGTAGTCGGATTCGACCACGTCGCGCAGCTCCTGCTCGACCTCGTCCGGGGACAGTTTCTCGAGCCCGCCGCGCTGCTCGACGCGCGCCTTCCACGCCTTGAGCGCCTTCTTCAGCACCTCGTTCCCGCGCAGAATCTCGCCAGTGTCGAACTTTGTCTTCTTGGCGGTGCTATTTTTAATTTCGTCCAGGTCGCTGGCCTTGCGTTTGGCCATCTCGATGATTTTCCGCGGGAACTTGACGATCTCCGCCACGTTGACGCCGAACGACTGGTCGCTCACTCCTGGCTCCACCTTGTAGAGCAGCGTGATATTCTTGGACTCAGCAGTGGTGTCTGTGTGTGCTACCACATGTAGATTTCTAACGCACTCGTACTGGTCTGCCAGCGCAGTGAGCTCGTAGAAATGGGTAGCGAACAGCGTGAACGCGCGGACGTTCTTGCAGATGTGCTCGGAAATGGCCCAGGCCAGCCCAAACCCGTCGTACGTGGACGTTCCACGTCCGAGCTCGTCCACGATGATGAGCGAGTTGGACGACGCGCTCTTCAGGATCGACGACATCTCCAGCATCTCGGCCATGAACGTGGACACGCCCTTCAGCTGGGAGTCCGACGCCCCGACACGCGCAAGCACAGAGTCGAAAATACAGATCTCTGCTCCTTCGGCAGCAGGAATGTAGCAGCCGATCTGGTTCATCAGTGCAATGACACCCATGGTACGGATGTAGGTGGACTTTCCACCCATGTTTGGTCCCGTGATGACAAGGAACTCAGCCGAGTCTCTGGCGAACTCGATATCGTTCGAGATGAACGAGAGTCCGTCCTGTTGTTCCAAGCACGGGTGCCGAGCTTCTTTCAAAACAACGCGTCTTTCCGAGCTGTCCAGGTTGTGCACTTTGGCAGGACGAGTGTACGGAACAGGAGCAAACGCGCAGGTGTGGGCGAACGAGACCAAGACGTCGAGCTTGCTTAGTTCCACAGACAGTTTCAGCAAGATTGACGAGTAGGTGGTGGTGATGGACACGATCTCCTTGACGACCTCGCTCTGTCCGCTGGCGTACTGTTCCTCGAGACTCTTGATCTCCGAGTTGAGCTCGCTGAGAGTAGACGTGGTGAAGTAGACACCGGCCTTGACGGTGGACAGCTCTCTGTAAGATTTGTTACCACGAAGACACGAGCTGTCGTTTCTGGTGAGACGGAAACACCAGCCGTGGACGTGATGGACCTCGAGCTTGAGCTTCTTGTCGAGCTCCATGCCCAGGTCGTCGGATGCCTGCTGGTGAATGTGTTTCATCTCCGACTTGACCTGCTCTATTTTCTGGTTGATTTCCATCAGACTGGCGTCGAACTCGGGGTTGATGGCCACCATGGACGAATGGGCGGACGAGGCGTTGTCGAGCGAGTCCAGGTCGATTGTGGTCTCGACCATTTCCTGGAACTTGGCCAAAGACCCAGCGTACTCGGTGACGGGAACGATCCAGGTCTTTTCAAACAGCTGCTTAATGTTCTCGTCCGACTCCGACAGCGAGTCCATCGAGATATGCAGGAAGTCCAGCAGGTCCGGCAGCCTCACACACAGCTGGTACAGTCTGATCACGTCGTCGAGCGACTTGGTGCCGCGAGGAGACGCCAGCCGCTTGACCAGGCGCGCAATGTCTGGCACCTCGTTCAGGAACTGCGACTGCAGCGACTCGCGCAGATTCAGGTCGTCGATTAGGTGGCCAACAATTGCGTGGCGGTTCTCGATCTCCGCCACGTCCACGAGCGGCTGCTTGAGCCACTGCGACAGCAGTCTGGTTCCACCAACAGACTTGCAGTTGTTCAACAGACCAAACAGCGACGAGGTCTTGTTCATCGAGTTGTTGTAGTTTGGCGGCGGAAACAGGTTGACTGCACGCACGGCGGCATAGTCGAGCTTCATGAACTGTTCGAGGTCGTACTTTGCGATCTGGAGCGAGCCAAAGTTGGACGAGTCTGACAGCAGCGACAAATACGACAGGATCGCGTTGCAGCAGCCGAGTCCGACATTGAGCGACGATATCTCGTTCGTGGAAAGCACCAGCTCGTTGCCTGTGAGCCGAATGAGGTCCTGGTCGATGTTCTTGTCGGTAAAGTCTGCGGATCTGCACTCGGAAACGACAATGTCGCATCTGTCAATGAGCTGTTTGACCTTGTCGAGGTCTGTGTCGGTGGTTCCCGAAGCAGGAACCAGGCACTCCTTCACGCCGGTCTGGATCAGCAGAGCCTCAAGGTTGGAAAACAGGTCGTTGTCAAGAAACTCGGTGACACCCAGAAACTTTGCGTTTGGATCGTAAAACGACAATCCAATGCGCTTTCCCTCGGCGGAATTGCTGACGAGCTTCAATGCAGCCAAAATCGACACCGCGTTCAAGTCGGCTGTGTTGATCAGCTCCTCGATCTCGGATAAATTGCCCGGAGACGCGGTCCGCATGTTGTCCCAGTTCTTGGAGTAGATCTCGAGCTTGTGGCCAGAGTCCACCACCACGAGCTTGAGCAGATTTGCAAACACCGCAGGCGACAGAGTGATATACTGCACGGTTTTCTTTTCCGCAGTGGCCGTCTTGACCACCGATTGCGTCTTGTAGATCAGATCCGCAACTAGCTCCGCGTCTTCATCCAAAACAATGTAGTAGTCGCCCTTGTCGACAACACGCAACGTGCGCGCAGTTTTCGGCGGCAGTCTAAAGTATTTGCTGTAGAACGACGTCTGATCGCGTTCGTCGCTGAATTTCAGCTCAGGGCGGATGCTAGACATGCTATCGTTGCTAAAGGTCTTTGGAGTATTTTTTTTTTATGTACGCGTCTGGAAAATATGGGTGATATTTTATTTTAGTACGGGGTGTGAGGTGTAGCCTAGGCTGCGTCGTAGGATCTGGTGGACGAAGCAATTGGCGCTGTTTCGTCCTCGAAGTCGAGTTCCTGAAGGTCCTCCTCGTGTTTGTAGAGGAAGAACTGCACAAAGATACAGAAATCGAGCGCAAGCGTGCCCATGGAACCTGCTAGCCACGAAGAGTTTACCAACAGGTATCTGCTTCCAGTGCTGACACTGAGGATGGAAACAACGTAGGTGATGTTACCGAGACATGCAAACAGGAAGAACATGAACGAGATGCCCTCGCACGACTTTCTCTCGTAGTTGAGCAAGATCTGCGGGATCCGCGAGCCCAGATACAGAGCAGCACAGAACCATCCAAAGATCTGGGCCAGCGGGTTGAAAACAAGGTCCTTGTCGCTTGGCGGCGGCACATCGTCTCCTTTGGACCCGCCAAAGAACCATCCGCCGAAACCAGCAATCACCACAAGCAGAACCATGAGCAGGTTGTAGAACAGCTCTCTGCTACGTTCTTGCGGCGAGACGTTCATGTTGACGCCGTCGATGTCGTTGAAGCTTCCAACGTCGCCTGTGGTGTCTGGGGTGTCGTCCTCACCGCGGCTGATGACGTTTTCGAGCAGCGGTTCGTGGTCAGAGAGAGGATTGGCCGGGGAAAGGTGGATGGGGTCGACATGTTCTGCTTTGCCGTGTCCGTACACCAGACACTGCCAAAGCAGCACCACATCGGCCAGGGTGTAGTAGATGGCCAAAACGATCATCGTGGGCAAGACTCCTTGCAAAATGGCGCCCACCACGTTGAACAGATCGCCAAGCAGCCAGAGCACCACGAACATTAGCGAGAGGCCTTCTGCGCTAGAGCGCATGAAATTTTGGTAGATCTGCGGGGCAAACACAATTATCCAGCATGCGATAGAGATCGAGCCCGTGATGCCAGAAACGGCCTGGGCGTCGATGATGATAGGGCTCGGAGGGGGAGCCATGAGCAACAGAGTGATGAAATAATGGAAAAATTTTCGACCAAGTCGATCGGCCCCAAAAATAATGAGGATGAAAAATTGATTTGGTATGGAGAAGCCAGAGCACCGGGTCAAGCCGGTCATTCCCGAGGGAATGAGCAAGTCTGCTTGGAAGAAGGAGCAGCGGCGGTTACGATGGGACGCTAATAGAGACAAAATGCGAATCCAACGCAAGGAGAAGCGTAAGGCGGTGAAGGAATCCAGAAAGCTCAAGAACGCAGACAAACCAAAGAAAGACAAGGTTGTGCAGCAAGACAGTGGGTATTCTGTTGTTGTGGACTGCGCGTTTGACGATATGATGCTTGACAAGGAGATTGTCTCGACGAGCAACCAGCTGGTGACGAGCTATGCTGATAACAAAAAGTATCCGTATCGGGTGGATCTGACAGTGACTTCGTTCGGAAAACGACTCAAGGAACGCTTCGACACGGTTCTTCCTCATTACGCCAACTGGAAGCCCGAACATATGAAATTCACGCCCGAAAGTTTGGAATCTGTGCTTCCTGAAGATTATTCCAAGGCTGTGTACCTGACCGCGGACACGGACGAGATACTGGAGACCCTGGAGCCGGGGATGACCTACATTGTTGGCGGCATTGTGGACAAGGGACGGCACAAGCTACTGTGTAAGAAAAAGGCGGACGAGCTCGGCATACCGACCAAAAGACTCCCAATAGACGAATACATCAAGATCAGTGGCCGGCGTGTGCTGGCCACCTCGCACGTTGTGGAGATGCTGATTCGACGAAACGAGTTCGACAGCTGGAAAGAGGTGTTTGAGTCGGTGATCCCGCTGAGAAAGGTGAAGAAGGCGGCCGAAGAGACCGAGGAGGGGGAGGAAACTGAATAATCTATCGGCAAGACCTGCTTGGAATACTATTTAAGATCGCGTTGTTCTTTCTGTTTGCGCTTGATGAGGGTGTTGTTGTAGGTTCCCAGGACGAAGTAGCAGAAGTTGAAAAACACGGCCCACTGGTTAGGCTTGAGGAATCTCTGGGCGACCAGGATGAAGATCGGACTGGAGATCCAGGACGACCGGATCACCGAGAACAGCGACTTCTGGAGCGCCAACTTGACTTTTTGCAGAGCCTCAGAGAGCTGGGATTTCGCAGACTCGAGGTCTTTGACCTTGGCCAGTTTGAGGTTGGCGATCAGGGAGATGTAGCTGACCATCAGGGCAGAGATGATAGGCGTGATGGTAGCCATGGAAGTGAGGATCTGGGCGAGTTTGAGTTTCTTGCTCAGCGGTGGACGGTAAACTTTCTGCAGTAGCTTGTAAGAGTAATGGGAAAAAGGCCCGTTGATTAACAAGCCGTACAAAAACATCAAAGGAACGCGTTTGGTGATGGAATGGGAGATAGTGATTGATTTGGAGCCGAGTTTGACAGTGTATTCCTTGGAATCTCCTGCGAAAAGCGATGCCAACTGTTCATTGAGGCCGTTCAAAACAGCCGCCGTGACCGCTTTGGTGGCCAAAGGACGCTTTTCAAGGGTGTCCAAATACTTTTTATTTAGATCTGATAACATGTTGACAATATTTTTCCAGCAGCTTTTGCTCGTATCAATTGCCATTTTCAGTTACCCTCCATGAGCTGAAAAATTTTTTAAATAAATTTTCTAAAGTTTTAACTTGATTTCTTTATAACTAAGTAACTATGGCATTCTCAGACAGAGGCGGCAGAGGCGGCAGCAGAGGAGGTCGTGGTGGATTCAGAGGGGCTTCCAGAGGAGGAGCCCGTGGCGGTTCGTTTGGCGGACGTGGCGGTTCTTTTGGAGGACGTGGTGGTGCCCGTGGTGGTAGAGGTGGAGCTCGTGGAGGACGTGGAGGAGCCCGTGGAGGAAGAGGCGGTGCTCGCGGAGGCAAAGGTGGTGCCGGCGCCAAGGTGATAATCGAACCACACAGACACGACGGAGTTTACATTGCCAGAGGAAAGGAGGATCTGCTTGTGACCAAGAACTTGGCAGCAGGAGAGTCTGTTTACGGTGAAAAGAGAATATCCGTCGACGAGCCATCCAAGGACGAGTCCACCCCAGCAACCAAGGTGGAGTACAGAGTTTGGAATCCATTCAGATCGAAGCTTGCTGCTGGTATTATGGGTGGTTTGGACGAGCTGTTCATTGCTCCAGGCAAGAAAGTTCTCTATTTGGGAGCAGCTTCCGGTACCTCTGTTTCGCACGTTGCTGACGTTGTCGGACCAGAAGGTGTTGTGTATGCTGTTGAGTTTTCGCACAGACCAGGAAGAGAGCTGATCGGTATGGCCAAGAAGAGACCTAATGTCATTCCTATCATCGAGGACGCTAGACACCCGCAAAAATACAGAATGTTGATTGGTATGGTCGACGTTGTGTTTGCCGACGTTGCCCAACCGGACCAAGCCAGAATTATTGCTCTCAACTCGCATCTGTTCCTCAAGGACAAGGGAGGAGTGGTGATTTCCATCAAGGCCAACTGTATTGATTCTACTGTTGATGCAGAGACTGTTTTCGCTAGAGAGGTGCAAAAGCTCAGAGAGGAGAGAATAAAGCCATTGGAGCAACTTACTTTGGAGCCTTACGAGAGAGATCACTGTATTGTGGTTGGAAGATACATGAGAAGCGGATTGTAAGAGGTCATAGAGGATAATGTGCGTTTGAAAAATCAATTCTAAATAGACTGGCTGTGCAGCAAAAAAATAACCTGTTTGTTTGAGTTACAATTTTTGTAATACAATCTATCGATCGGTGTTTTCAGGACCAAACCGTTTATAATTTTTTTGGTTCCGCCAATTTTATACCCTTGACAACTTGAGAACGAAGCGCGCGCTTATTATTCACCGATGAGTCGACGGAATTCGGTGATAGAACTGTTATCTGACTCGGAGGACAGTCTCATAGTTGGGTCCTCCAATCGCCATCGTATGAGACAAAGGCGACAGGCCCGGTCCACAACGCCACCGGAGGATCCGATCGTGATTCCTTCGGATGTGGAGGAGACCCATTCTGATGGAGACGTGGAGATCACAGGCGAACACGCCTTGGCCCCTACAGAGCGCAGAGCCTTTGCCAGGGCACAGAGACCGGGATTTACCTTGTACCAGCCAAACGGGCCGGTTTTCCAGCCAGACAACACAGTTAGGACCGCAGGATTACAGAGATTCATGCCAGCACAGAACGCGCGCCAGAGATTCCGTGCTCGTCATCCGAGAAGGGCTGCTACACACAGAGGACACTTCCACAACCAGGGATTCATTGAGAACGTACTTCGAGGCCACTTGTTTTCAAATTATTTGGACAACAATTACGACACAGACAGCTCGATGACGAGGCGAGTTTTGCGGGACCTTCGTGCGCGGGTTTCTTCCTTTGGCAACCCGCACAGCTCGGTCTTTGTTCCTGTAGCCACGAACGACGATTACATCACAGAAAGCGAAAACGACGAGATACCGCGCAGCATTATGGACGAGATTCGACGCAGGGAGCAGGACGAGGAGGACCGCAGAATACGGTCGCGGTCGAACGTCGCCAACAAGATGAAGACTACACAGGCGTCCAAGGCTGTGATTCCTGAAGATCAGCGCGGGATGTTTAGCAACGGGTTATTATCCAACCAAACATCGGTGTGTATTTTGTGCGGTGTTCCGCTCGCAGAAGGCATTCCGGCCGATTTTAGCACAAGCACGGACGTCGAGCTGAAGCGGAAGCTGGTGGTTCAGGACAAAATCATTTCTCCGTGGCAGTTTGGCAGAGACTTGACCACTGCTGATAAAGATTTGTCGAAAAAAGTGTTTTTTGGCAAGTGTGGCCATGTTTACTGCGGAAGATGTATCAACAACATCAACAGACACGCAAAACAGAAGAACAAGCCGAAGGGCAAGCGCAAGAAGGTGGACCTGGACAAGGTGAGTGTGGAGCAGCTGGACTTGAACGACCCAGAGTACTCTGCTCCAAACAGATGTGTGGCTCAGGACTGCAAGCGATTGCTGACGGGAAACTACTTCTTCCGCGAGCTGTACGTATAAAGTATGTATCATTAAGCGTATGTGAAGGTTGGGAACTGGACGCATTCGTCGTCGTCGCTGTCGTTGTCGCATAGATTGCACTTATGGGTATAGTAGGCCATATCGACCGGGTATTCGTCAGATTCCACCGTCTCAACGGAGGTGTGGAAGTTTTGCGGGAACAACGGGATCTTCGGATTGTACTGGTGTTTCTTGAAGTCCGGGAGGCTGGAGCTGAGCGGCAGCTTGGCGTTTTCGGATAGAAAGCCCGGCACAAAGGCAATTTTCAAGGAGTCGAAGATGTAGAACTTTCTGTCGCGTTTGTTGATGGCCTTGAACTCGAGCTCGTTGTGGAGTTTGCGCACGTTGATCTTGAGGTCCTGGTTGGACTCGGAGTTGTAGGTGATGGTGCTGTTTTTGCGGAACTTGATCACCTTTTTATGGTCTTTGCGGAGACTCGTCACGTCGTACGGGAACAGCAGCAGACTGGTGACGTTTTTCTCGTTGTTGTAGATGATCAGCTGGAGGGTTCCCTTTGGCGGGATTTGGAACCCTGGGAACCGGCGTTTGGACCCCCGTGAAGGGGACTTTCTCTCCTGACTCATATAATAGTCATTCAGGTTAACCTCAGCGAAATACGGCGAATCGGTGATATCTTTCAGACACGACGCGGTGAACGGCAAGGTGAGCTGTTTATGGTAGGTTTCTGACGAGACAGACATCTTCATTGTGAATGGCAACGGCTCTGATGGGGCAAGCAGCTCCGAAAACACCACAGACGAGGACGATCGACGCCGTCTGGAGACAGTGGGGACAACGGTGTGTTTGGAGCATTGGAAACATCTGAAGCTGTCCTTGACAGACTTGGCATGCACCTTGAACTTCTCGAGATCGTCCAGCGTCGACAGCTGCGATAACGACGACCTCCGTTTAGACATGGGATAATAAGGGGTTATACTAAATTATTTATTTAAACCCGCAACGATAAGCCATGCACCGCCACAAAACTGGGTGAGCCTAAAACATTGATATAAACTTCTTGCTAGTATGACGAGTAAGGTTGTTGTAAGTGGAATATAATTGCGCGGCTAACGGACAGGTTTTGGTGCTAGTGGCGGGAGTGGTTGTTGGCGGGTGTTTGAACTCGATCGTTACCAAGTACCAGGACATCCAGTGTGTGGCCCACTGCGACGAGCCGGGCAGGGAGGTTATGTTTGAAGAGCCGGTTTTGCAGACGTTGCAGATGTTTGTCGGGGAGATTTTGTGCTGGCTGCCTGTGCTGGTGATGCGATTGCGTAAGGGCGACGCGCCGGCCGTGGAAGCTGCCCCGTTGCTGGGGAAAAAACGTATCACCTCTTTCAAACAGACGCTGTTTCTGGCTACCCCCGCCGTGCTCGACTTCACGGCCACCACGTTGCTCAATGTCGGGCTGCTGTACACACCTGTTTCCATCTACCAGATGGTGAGAGGCTCGATCATTCTGTTTGTGGGGCTGTTTTCTGTTCTATGGCTGAAACGCACCATCACGACGCTCGAGTGGCTCAGTTTGTTTGTTGTTGTGTTTGGCGTGTTCATTGTTGGGCTGAGCGGGTCTTTGAGCTCTGCGGAAGAGTCTGATTCGTCCGCCGCGTTCAACGGCGACATGCTGTTTGGCCTGTTCATCATTGTTGTTGGAATCATGTTCAACGCTCTGCAGTTTGTGGTGGAAGAAAAGGCGCTTGCGTCGCTGGAGGTGAGCCCGTTGGAGGTTGTCGGGTACGAGGGCATGTACGGGGCCGCCGTGACGTTTGCAACGATGTGCGCGGGCCATCTGCTGGGCCATCGCACCCGGGCCGACTTCTGGGACATGGGCTACGCTTTCCAAGTGATGTTTACCAACGGGCCGGTGCTGGTGAGCTCGCTGCTGATCATGGTGTGCATCTCGACGTTCAACTTCTCGGGGGTGTCGCTTACACACACGCTGAGCGCGACATCAAGGTCGACAATCGACACCTCGCGCACCTTGCTGGTGTGGCTGGTGTCCCTGGCTCTGGGCTGGGAGCAGTTCAAAACTCTGCAATTGCTGGGCTTCTCACTGCTGTTGTACGGCACGTTGGTGTTCAACGGGGTGATTGAGGCGGAAAAGAGCAGACTGTTGCCAAATTGGCTCAAACAGCGCTCAACGCAGCCACTCATAACTATAGATGAGCCACTGGAAAGGTTCTAAAAAATTACATTATAATTTACCCTATCGTTTTCGACATGGACTCGCAACGCTTGTTTCGGTTCCCGCTGCTGCGCTTCCCCAACACACAATCGGCCAAGTCGGCAGCCATCTACGTGGCTGGTGCGCTGTATGCGATTGGGTTCTGGTCGATGGTGGACGCCTCGATCTTCTCGAAAACAGTCAACGCCTCTGTGGTGCACGTCACCTTTGTGGACTGGATCCCGTTCATCTGCAGCACATTGGGCACTCTGATCGTCAACATGATAGACAAGAAACAGCTGCTGTCGGCGGACAGCTTTGGGAGCGGCTCGATCAGATGGCAGGCCCGGCTGGTGCTATTTATCGGCTGCACGCTGTTGGCCGTGGGAATGTCGGGAAGTGCCTTGCTTGTGATTCTCAAGTACGTGGTGAAGGGCTACACGTCGATGCCGACGCTCGGAATGGCATTGGAGAACATCTACGCTACAGGAAGCATCACGTTGAGCTGTATTATTTTGTGGGTTGTCCAGAACGTGGAGGAGGACTATAATTATTCGTTGGCGTTGTAATGCAAATACTCAAGACTCATCAACAAGAATCTCCTTGACCGTGTCACCAAGCACGCGTAGCTCGTAGTCGCTGAAGTTGTACAGCATGTTGTGCACGTTGACAGGGGAGTTTGTGGTGCGGCTGATCGCATGGAAGTTTGGCGACCGCAATGGCTTGAAGAACTCGTGGGCCAAGATCGCAGGCGGCCGCAAACGGTCCTGCGGACGGTACACAAGCACCTTCTCCAAAAGATCGATCGCGACCGCGCTGGCGTGCGAAAAGGTCTTTTGGAACCGCGTCGACAGCTTGGACGTGTACAGTCGGTGAGAGTACATCGGTCCGTTGTAGCTCGGGTTCGACTCGAAGATGAACTCCTTGTCTGGCGGACCCAGCAGCTTCGAAATCTCTCTCAGTTGCAACATCGGGTCCTGGCCTTGGAACACCGGCTTACCGATAAACATCTCGGCAACCACACAGCCAAGCCCCCATATATCGATTTGAGTCGTGTAGAGAGCACATCCCACAATTAGCTCTGGCGCACGATAGTATCGGGAACAGATGTAGGACACAGACGGCTGGTTGTACTCCAGTTTCTTGGCCGAGCCAAAGTCGCAGATCTTGAGCACTAAAGTATCTGGGTCGATCAGAATGTTGGAAGGCTTGATATCTCTATGGCAAATTCCAAAACTATGCAAATAATTCATTCCTCTGGCAATCTGGAACGAGTAGACCTGTATATGGGACTCGTGTAGAATCAGGTTCGCGGTATGGTATCTTTTGATTTCTGTCTGGAGGGTGCACGGCAGCGATTCCATCACCAGATGCTGGTACAGCTTGCCGCGGTCCTCTGCGTTCGGGTAGTTGAAGAAGTACTTGAGCGACACCACGTTCGGGTGCGACGTTTGTCTCAGGATCTCCAGTTCTCTGGATTTGTACTCTGTTTGGGCCGGCACTTTCTTGATGGCAAAGGGACCCAGCCACTGGTCGTCGGAGGTCGTTGCGTTGCGCAATTGCGCCTTGGTCACGGTGCCAAACGCCCCCTCCCCGATCTTGGCCAGGTCCTTCACCACCATCGGCTTAGTCACGTTGGTATGGTTGTTGGTCACTTCCTCCACCAAATACTCAGCTGTCATCTTGAGGGTCGGTTTCAAACTTTGAACAAGCACAAACAAGGTGTGTAGAATTTAAGCGGCGGTTAATCCAAGCGTCAATCAGCGCACCGATCCACAAATCTGTATTCGCCCACGGAATAAAAACCTGTTGTGTCTTGTTCTGGATAATCTCCGTAAACAAACGTCGCACAACGCACTCTCGCGCAATTCACCACCCAGGCGAGGGAGGGGGGCCCACCCCTGCACCAGAAAATTTTGGAACATTATTCTTTGTCCTAATATTAGCACCAATGCTTAGAGGTTGTAACAGAGCCTGGACAGGGCTCGGATCGGTGCGTGCGTTTTCGCGAGTCAGCGCGTTGGGACAGGAGCCCAAGTCGGGCGCCACTTTGGGCGCCATTCTCAACCAGAAACCAGCACAGAACAAGAAGAAACCTACAAAATTGAAGCTCGTCAAATACGTCCTCCACGGCTTCTTCCGCAAAAACAACTCATTCTTGACACTCTCCAAGGTCGAGTACGACCCTGCGTTTGAACAGAAGAACCCGCATCTCTCGTTCAACGAGAAGGTGTTGTACTACCTTACGTTGCAAGAAAAAACAGTCTACACACTCAACACCGGTACCGTGGGTTTCCGCGGGGCCCAGCGCGGCGAGTACGAGGCAGGATACCAGCTGGCGTCGGCGTTTTTCCGTACCATCAGAGAACGTCAGTACCTCAAACAAGATGTGAACGTTGAAGTGGTGGTGAAAGAGTTTGGTAAAGGAAGACTGGCCTTTTTCGACGCATTGACTGGAAAAGAAGGAATGGGCATTAGAGAACGCGTGTCGAAACTGTCGGACCTCACACCGGTCAAGATCGGAGGTGTCCAGGGCCCAACTCCAAGACGGTTGTGATCTGCTTGTACATATGAAAAATAAAACTGGGAATCCACCATCACGTGACTAAAATTGCGGGTTGGATGCCCTTCTGTATTTGAAAAATTTTAGCTGAAAAATATCTTTAAACAACTATGGCTCCAACTACCAAAGCACAAACCGCCAAAAAGGCTGCCATTAAAGGTTCCAACTCGTCGAAGGCCTTGAAGGTGAGAACCAACACCACCTTCAGACTTCCAAAGACCTTGAAGCTTGCCAGATCGCCAAAATACACCAAGTCTGTGCCTCACTACCCAAGAAGCGATGCTTACAAAGTGATTGTCCAACCAATCACCAGCGAGACCGCCATGAAGAAGGTCGAGGACGGTAACACCTTGGTTTTCCAAGTTGACCTCAAGTCCAACAAATACCAAATCAAGCAGGCCATCAAGGACCTGTACGAGGTGGACGTTGAGAAGGTGAACACTTTGGTGAGACCAAACGGAACCAAGAAGGCTTACGTCAGACTCACTGCTGATTACGACGCTCTTGACATTGCCAACAAGATCGGTTACATCTAGATAGCGGAGAATGAACTAATCATATGAGAATAATAAATAAGTAAATCATCATTATTGTCCAAAGTTGAGACCTGTTTTGATATTCCCAGCCAGTTTTCTGCACGAGATACGAAGCAGCTCTTTTTCCTTGTCGTTGATTCTAGTGAGGATATCGCTTTTGATTTCCTTGACACCGTCTTTACTCAGAACAACCGGCATAGCAAAGTAGTCCAGGCTTGCCCCGCCGGAGATGCTCTTGACGAGCGCCTTGGTCTCCTTGGCTCCTGGAATCGAGTCGTCCAGGTAAATGTATGTGGATTCGATGATGCTTTGCTCTGTGGTGGAGGAAGCCAGCACAGCGTGCAAAAACTTGTAGCCTGCGTACGCCATGGACAACGTGGCACTGCCGCCTCCATTCTTGGCCTTCACAACCAAGTCTCCCGCGTACTGAACCTTGTGCACGAGCTCGTCCATCTTTTCGGGAGGCTCTAGCAAGTAAACGTGCGGAGCACACACAGAGTACAAAGGAACAATCGTCTCGCCCGCGTGGCCACCCACAACACGGATGTTATACGACGTTGGGGCCTGGTCGGCCTCGTGGGACGCCAGCTCCGCAATAAACGAGTTGGACCGGACCGAATCTAAAGTGGTGACTCCAAACAGCTTGCGAGGATTAAATGTGCCCTTTTTTTTAAACGTCTCTGCAAAAACTGGAACGATCGAGTTGACCGGGTTGGTGATCACAAGAACAAAGGCATCTGGACAGGTGTCGGAGATGGCAGAGGCGATGTCTGCGCTGATGCCCGCGTTGATCTGGAACAGATCGTCTCTGGTCATGCCGGGCTTTCTAGGAACACCCGCAGGAATCACCACGATGTCCGATCCTTTCAATGACTCCACCAGCCCCGTGTCGCCCGCGTCCGACTTCAGATGGTAGGTCACCCTGGTGTCGGTATCAATGTGGGACAAGTCCGTGCCGATTCCATAAACGTTCACCACGTCGTACAACGCCAGGTCCGAGATATACGGGTTGAGCTTCAACATAAGAGACAATGGCTGGCCAATCCCGCCAGCAGCACCCAAAACAGTCACTTTCACCATGTTGCAAAGATCTGAGAAAACAATATAAAAAAAAGTGACGGCTACGCTGCCTATTTATGTGTGCCCCACTATTTTGCAATCCTGTGTACATGACCTAAAAATTCTGCCGCACGCGCACTCCATCTCCGGCTCCGGTGGGTAGCCTTTCAGGCCACGGGGCGGCAATAGGCTATATAGACGGGGAAACACAGAGGGTTGTGGACTCACTGGGCCGGTTGCGGCCGTTAAGGGGCCCGGTTGACAGCTCCTGGGAGGTTGCTTTGCGCAATTTCGGAGTTTCAGGTGTCCGGATTTGCTGATAAGTAAAACTTGGACGTCGTCAGCGTGAACAATAACCGGTCCAGAAACGGCAATGGGTGCTGACCAGAAAATTGTCATTTTTTCGCACACCCCTGGTTTGTCGGTTTTATCCATCCCTTGTGTGGGGGTCACAAACACACCAAGCGAGCCGACAGAAACTAAAACGGTGTTGGTGGGGCACTTCAGAAAGGCCCCCAGCCGTTGCGTCACTAATTCACTTGTTTATAGAGCACACGAAAACACTCAAAACACCAAATTTCGCATTCCCAACTCTGGCTGCCTCCCCTGGCTGCCTCCGGCCCTGGCTTCCTCCCACCTCCTGGAATATATTTTTCCCTGGCTGTGCAAGGCTGTGCAGGCCTATAGGCGTTGTTTCGGCCAGTTTTTTCAGCACTTTTGTTGACATGTCTCTTCTTGAACAATCGCTGGACGATATAATTAACAGTGGCGATTCTGGCCCGAGAAAGCCGCAGAACAGGGCTCCGCGCAGACCGTCGCGCGGCGTCTCGAAACACAACGCAAGACCGGGCAAACCCAGAAGACCCCACAGACCGCAACCGCTTCCTCGCAGCAAAGAAGCTGAGGAACTGAGTGGGGGGCGTCCATATTTGAGGATCTCGAATCTCCACCCAGAGCTTACTGAAAAAGATTTGTCAGGACTGTTTTCCAGTGTGGGGGACCTGCTGTTCACCAAAATAGAGTACAATACCAGGGGAGAGTCCACAGGAGTCGCGTTCATTGGGTTCCACAACCCTGCCGACTGCGAGTTCGCGATCGACAGATTCGACGGGCGCAGGGCAGCGGGGCAGGTGATCAGTGTCGAGAACGCCATCCCATTGTCGCAGCGGATCTCCATTTCTAAACGGGGAAAGAAAGCGGGGCCCCGTGAGAGAGCACCTAAACAGAGCCGGAAGTCGGTGGAGGAGCTGGATGCCGAGCTCAATAGCTACATGGGGGGCCCTAGCGAGGAGCCTGCACCAACCGTTTCCGAAGAGCCAGCCCCAGCGGGGGATGCTGAGTCTGCGTTCCCAGCCACAGATATGATGGTGGAGTGAATTCTGGAAAAAAATTATCTCACTGTATAACTAACTAACTACATGTTTTGAATGTAAAACGGCTTATCTTACAACTATTTAATGTCCACCGGCACCCAACTCGACGGCTGGAGGGCAGTTCAATGCACCCTTGATAGAACCGTAGAGGGCAAATTGCAAAGAGGTCAAGGTACCGACCATGATCAATCTGGTTGGCAGACCAGCGAAGGAACCTCTAACACCAAGCTCTCCAGCAAGTTGAGCAAGGAGACCCAAGGTGGATTGACCTGGAGCCTTCTTAGTCTTGTTGACCTTGGAAAGCAAAGTGTCGGCTGGTTGGGAAACGATGGCGGCAGCGCAACCGGCAATGACACCGGCACCAAGGTTGATACCGGTAACAGCAGTGGAGGAAAGCTTTTCCTTTGGAGTTGGGATGAAACCGTAGATGGCAGCAGAAGCTCTCTCGTAAGTCAAGAACTTAGCAATGTTGTAAGGAATCTGCTTGAACAAGATTGGGGTGAAACCGTTGTAGAAAGAGCCTGGGCCCTCCTCTCTCAAAATTCTGGCGAATCCACCAACCAAACCGTTGGCAAATGTTGGCTGGGAAACCAATCTGATTCTGGTAGCCTCCAATGGACACAGAGCAATGTCAGCAAAGAACTCGGCAATAGCAGCAGAACCAATGTAGATGGCGTCCTTGTATTGGACGGCGGTTTGGTATCCGACAGCGTCAATAAAAGTTTTCTTGAACAATTCGTAACCACCGAATTTGAAGGCACCCTGCATGGAGTAACCCAAAACAGTTGGGCCCAAACCGGTCAGCAAAGCACCAGCACCCTCGTTGGCAACGATCTTCTTCAACGAACCAACCATACCGGTGTTGTACACGGTAGGCTCAAGTTGAATTCTGGTCTTAATAACATCGATTGGGGTCATAGATCCGTGGGTAACACCGCAACCAATGGCACCAGCAAGGGCGAACTTGGCGTAGTCAGTCACAGAATAGTTAGGGGTCTGATAGATAGAAGCCATCTTGAATATTATGCGTTCTATGAGTGATCTAGAAGAAGATACGTAAGATTGAAGAAGAGAAAAATTTGGACCGTTTTTTTACGTAAGTAAGTTGAAGAAAACGCGGTATTTGATTGGATTACATTTTTTCTTTTTTCAATTTAACTCCGAGCCCTTAGTTTCCCTAACCCGCTCCACCACCTGTGCCATTCCGGGCGCGCCTTTCTGTTTCGAACATTGATCCGACAATGCGTTGATGCCCGGGATCTTTTCTTTTGCCATGTAGGCTTCTACTCTTGCAACCGCACCAGCCACGTCCCCTTCCTCACCCGCCACCAGCTCCAACAACCGAGCCACACGCTGCAGCCGGTTGAAATAGGTGGTTTCTGTAGAGCTCCATTGCGGGTACTGCTGCAACAGCGTCCGGATCGGCATCTTGTCTGGGGTGCTTGCGTTTCCCACAAACCACGCCTCGTACAGCTGCCGAACACTCAAGCTTTTATTTTGACGGGGACCCCGTGGCAGCCGGTAATTTCGCACGCTGTCTGGGATTTCCGCTGCCCGGCCTGCTCGGGATGTAATTTTCGCCCGCCCAGGCTTCAGTTCCGGCTTGTACTCTCTCTGCAGCCGTCCCAGCTGCAGTTTCAGCCGGCGCAGTTCCTGGACCTTGGATTCAATTGTATTTTCCGTCTCCAGCACCTGCCCCAAAGACAACATCTCTTTGATCCGTAGCTGCTGCTGTCCGATCCCGTCCAGACGGGACCTGCACTCGGCCGTCCGCTGTTTCAGCTCCTGTCGCAGTCGCTGAATCACTAGAGCCTTCTGCTGGGCAAATACGTCGTCAAGCACGGCGCCTACACGGTCCCAAAATTGTTCGTTTTCCACATCGTGCTCCAGCCCGGAGATCTGCTCTGTCAAAGTGTCTATTCTATCGTCCATCGACAGTCGACAAGATTTTTAGTAGCTAAAAACAGAGGAATTTATATAAAAAGGAAAACATCCTTACCCGACAAAAAGGTCGATTTTCCAGTCCTGAATGATCTGATGCCAGTTGGCGTAGCTCTTGAACCCGCCGATTAAGTGATCATCGAACTCCAACAGGAGGTTCTGGGACTTGTAATGTATTAGTAGTTCGTCTTTGCGGCGCCACACCTCCTCGACCACGTCCATGACCGGCAGGAAGTTGGACGAGCACGTTGCCTCAAACACGGCGCGCCACATCATCTTGTACCAGGCGCGATCCTCGAACGCAAACGCCTCGCACGACGAGATGAACAGGGGGAACACCATGATGGGCACAACAGACCCGGACGTTATTTTGATGCTAGAGATGTGGCTTTTGATGATGGACGCCAGCTTAGTGGGTCTCATATGGGGCTTGATTTGCGGGAACACCTTCTGCAGCAGCAGCAAGCTAGAGTGTCTATGAGCCTCGGCTGCCTGCATCTGGTCGTGGATCTCTTTGTCGGACCAGGAGCTCAGATCAGCCGGTGGAGGGGTCCAGTTGATGAGCCGTTGCTGCAACGCTTCCGCCTGCTTGACAACAGTCCCGGGGTATACGGATTCCGGAAGGTCTTTCACCTGGTAAAGGAGATCCATGACCTTGTCAAGGAGCCCGAACAGCTCCTGGCACATGCCGAGGATGTGGTCCATCTCGAGCCCGTCGCAGAGCAGCATGTTCGGGTCCGAGGTGTTGAACGCGAGGTTGGGGTTCAGGAACGTGGCGCGCGAGATCACACGCATGTACTGCCACGCGCTGATGATGAAGTTGAACCGCGGATCTTGGTTCGGGCTGGAAAGCCGCCGGTTCACAAAGTAAGACAGAACCGACAGGTGCGAGAGGTCGAGGTGCGGCTTGGCGTCCCACAGCTCGTCCAGCGACAGCAGGAAACAGCTGGCCAGGCAGATGTCGTTGGACAGCTTCTTGTCCTTGATGCCCTGCGACAGCTGAAGACACGCGCGCACTTTGTAGTCAAAGCCGGTGGCATTCAGCTCCGGGTGCTTGGCACACAGATGCCGGCACACAATCATGCCGATCAGGTCGACTAGGATCGGATACTCTTTGATGAGCGGGAGAAACTGCGTTTTCCACGGGTTCAGTCCCTGCGACTCGTAGACGCACAGAACGTTTCCTGTGGCCGTGTCGAACGTGTTAAGCACAAATTGGGTCTGGTCGAACGGAGAGTAGGTGGAACTGAACATAAAGTCCCGCACCTGGAAGTACCGTTCTGAGTTCATTGCGAGCTTCTCAAACGAGTCCACGCGGAACCGACGCAACAGCCCGTCCAGCTCCGTGGCCAGCATCGGGTTCTTGCCCCTTTTCGCCAGGTGTTGCTCCAGAGCGAGCTGTTTGTACGTTCTGCCGGTGATCGACTGCGCGGCCTTGTTGAACTGCTGCGTCAGCGTGCCGTCTTCCAGCTGCGGAGCCAGCACGTCCTCGCGTTCGGCCAAATTTATCTTTTTCCCTCGCTTCCCAACAGTCGACTTGACCTCCTTAAACTTGAAGATCTTGATGTACCCCCCACACTCGATGCCGCGGTTAGTGCACACCGAGCATTTCGGCTTGGCCTCGTCGCACTTGATCTTGCTCTTCTTGCACGTGATGCACCCCCCGCGACTTTTCTGTCGCATACCCTCTGCCTTTCGCATTGGTTTATTTAACAAATAATCCCTGAGCTTTTTTTTTTTTTTTGTACAGCAAGACTAATTTTCATAAAGTCCGGGGTCCAGCAGGGTAACTGGTAATGGTTATCGATAAGCCGCTAAAATGAGCCGCGAAAAATTATCCGGAGTCAAACCATCTTGGTAATGAAACTTTCTGTCGCTCTTTCTGCCATTGCGGCCATTGCCTCCGCATCCTCGTTCCAGGACCCGCTGAGGTTCGTCTCCAACTCGGAGCCCACCTTGGACCAGCTGTGGGGTGAAGAGTGGCCCTTCACCGGGGTCCAGACGTTCGCCCACCTAAACCACACCAGGTGTCTGCTCAACCCGGACGAGGACTTTGACATCGGCGTCATTGGCGTCCCGTTCGACACGGCAACCACCTATCGCAGTGGCGCCCGGTTCGGGCCTCGGGCGATCCGCACAGGCTCCCAGAGACAGAACTCCAAGAGAGCTTTCAATACCAGGGCAGGCATCAACCCGTACCAGAACTGGGCCAAGGTGCTGGACTGCGGCGACATCCCGGTGTCTCCGATGGACAACAAGCTTGCGCTCGACCAGATGACGCAGGCGTTTGAGGAACTGCTGCTCAGACGCAAGAACGCAGTCGACGGCACAGGACCACCCAAACTCGTGGCTCTGGGTGGGGACCACTCCATTTTGCTCCCCCACCTGCGGGCCCTCCACAAGGTGTACGGAAAGGTGGCAGTTATCCACTTCGACGCCCATCTCGACACCTGGCTGCCGTCCAAATACCCTTCGTTCTGGTCGAGCGACCAGTCTAAGTTCACGCACGGCTCGATGCTCTGGATGGCCCACGACGAAGAGCTTCTCAGCGACAACTACAACGTCCACGTTGGCCTGCGCACAAGAATCAGCGGAACAGACTGGGAGGATTACCAGGACGATGACGACCAGGGCTGGGCAAGATTCAGCGCAGACGATGTCTGGATCAACGGGGTGTCTGGTCTCAACAAGATCATCGACACAATCAACTCCAGAATCCCCAAGGACTACCCAACGTATCTGTCGGTGGACATCGACTGTCTGGACCCGGGCTTTGCTCCCGGCACAGGCACCATAGAGTCAGGTGGCCTGCTACCAAGAGAGCTGATATACCTGCTCAGAAACGTCAACGTGAACCTTGTGGGGGCAGACATCGTGGAGGTGTCTCCGCAGTTCGACCACGCAGAAATCACTGCCACCAACGCAGCCGAGGTCGCGTACCAGCTCATCACGTCGATGGTCAAACAGCGCAAAGATTGATTTAGATAGTCTATTTATTTCTGAGTCACAAACGAGGAAAAATACTTGATGGACGAGTAGATCTCCTTCCCCACTGGGACGATGTATTTTGGCGGGAGCAAAAAGCCGTGACTGCCTGTGTCTCTTAGCTTGAGCACAAACGCCCAGTAGGCCTTGTTGTGATACATGTAATCCAGTGCAGACCCGGCCCCCATGGACGGTAGCAGGTCGGACCCTTTATCTTCGCACGCCGACAGAACAGTGTACGATTTGCCCGTGGACAGTCTGATCGACTGGCTCAGTCCGTAAGCGAGCTCAATCAGGTTCTCCTCGTCGCGCGGGGTCTCGGAGCAGGTGAACGCGTACGGATACAAAATCTCCTCTGCGTACGAATGGAGGTCGATGTACCCGTAGATTGGGTGATCGTGTTTGGTCTGGTTCAGGTAATTGTCCCAGGCGTTGCTTTCGAGACTCTCAAACGCTCCCTCGCCAGGATAGTCCTCGCCGCACGGCGACTCGTCGCTCCTGGTGAAGTGGAAGTTGAACGAGTGGTCGATGTCGATCCCAAAACACGCAGCGTTGTACGTCTCCTGTTTGTTTTTGCGCCACAGACGGTCAGACGACCACGTGTGCTCGTACCCGTCCGGGTTCATCACAGGCAGGAACAAAAAGTCCATGTTGTTCAGAAACTTCTTGGCCTTCTTCTTGCCGCTATCAAAGTCCTGCAGCAGCTTGAACAAAATGTAGCACGACGTGGACACACTGATCCATTCTCTTGCGTGGATGCCGCTTGTGATGACCAGGGTCTTCAAAGGCTCTGTCACGGACGGGTTGTCTTTATGTGCAGTCAGTCTAAGAGCCTTGATGTCTCTTCCTTCGAAAGTCTGGCCAATCCACTCCACTGTCAGTAAGTCCGGGTACGTGTCGACAAGCAGGTCAAACCATTGATAAATTGTGTTGAGGTCTCTATAGCGTTTGAAGAACAGTTCCGTCTGTACAGTAATGTCATTATCCTGTTCTTCGTCCAGGTCGTCTGCGGCCGGGAATGTCTCAAACACCGCCTGTGGGAGGTCGTGAACCACCAGCGACAAGTCCAGCGAGCTGCCGGGCAATCTTGTTTGTATTGTTTGCAAATACTGCGAGCCAGAGTCCCTGGAAACCAACAAGTCAATAAACAGTTTGGTGCGAGAAGACTCCCAAATAGACACGTTTTGCTCGTGTGCGGCAAGCAGAAGGCCGTCCAGCTGCTGTTTTGTGTCTGCGTGCACTCTGACGACGTACTGGTCGTGGTACTGGGACAGGTCGATGGGCCAGTTGTCGGGATGGAGAGAAGAGTAGTGAGTGGATTCCGACTGGACGTTGGCAGGGTTGTCTATCAGGGCCAGGAACTTGGCGTCCAGAGGGGGCTGGGAAAACAACGGGAGCTGCGGGAGGCTCCAGCTGAGTGCCCAGGCGCTGCTGGACAGCAGGCCGAAAACAAGATAAGTAGGGAACATTGATAAAAAAAATCTCCAGCCCGATTATTATTTGACAATAGGGGTAGCTACTTGTGGGGGGAAGGGAAAAAGTTATATAAGGGGAGTGGGTGGATAATATGCGGCCCATCTCTATAAATCTAAACTGTATACTCAGGTGACCTTCTTTTTGAGAGCCTGGGGGGTGTTTGCGTTTGGCTGTCTGATCTGTTTGAGCAGACAGAAGGCGGAAAAGGCCAGGAAGGCCACGACGGAGAAGATGATGGCCCGGTGGAAGTTGTCCACGTCGAGGAACGGGTACGGGAACCGGCCCTCGGCGGGAACCACTCTGTCCAGAAGGAACCAGTACCCGTTGGCCAGCAGAAACGTTGTGACCAGGGCCTCTTTTTTCGAGACCGTCCAGGGGTCCATGAAGAAGAAATAGTCTGTGAGCAGCGATGCGAACGGCATGGCGTGGATCAACAGGTCCAGCCACAGTGGGACACCGGGGCCCTTGAGGATCAGGTCTCTACTAACGAGCCGGAGCCCCCAGTAGACGAAAGAGACGATAAATTCGACGGAAATGGCCATGGAGTTGATGAACTGGCGCGCGTACGCGAGGGACGAGATCTCAAACAGCTGGTGGACCGCATTTAGCGAGAAGTAGAAAAGGGTCACGATCATAGCAAGGTTGGTCAAAAACTGGATGTGGCCGCCCTTTGCCAGATCTGGCGGCAATTGGATGTGGAACACCACGTTGAGCGCAAACCCGCCTGCAAGAAGCACCGCATAGCTGAGTGTGAGGGATAATTTGCTGCGTATGGAGGACATGAGCAGCGGACGCAAAAAAATAAGCAATAAAATTATTGCGTGCGTGGGGGAGGCATAACAGATCCGGGGATGGACACAATAGGCAAGGAACAAAGATGGGGGGTTGCAAGTGGAATTTCGTTGTTGGGAGAGTGTGGGGAAACCCCCCTTCATTTGGCACGCGATAGCAATGACTCCAGGGTCACGGCCAGGTTTAGGCGCAACCACATCGGAATTGGCTGAATATTTCCAGTATAAATGATCTGGGGCAGGAACCGGGCCTAACCAGCCACCATGACCAAGAAACACTCAAAGATTATCGAAACAGCCCCTTCCCATCTGGAACACCTGTCTCCGCCCTCGTCAAGAAGAGGTTCTGTCGAGGGCCCTGAGGAGACACCGGTCAAGACTTTTGACGACCTGCTGGCCTTTGAGCAGGATTTGGCCCACGAAACCTGGGACAATGAGTACGACAATTTTCGTCTGGAGCTTCGGTATCTTCCGCCTTTTATTCTGAGCTCGATCCACAACAATTTGGAGCAGATCAAGCCAACCATGAACTCACGCTCCAAAAAGTTTGTGAGACACCTGAACCACCACATAAAACGACACCTGCTCACGGAAATCAACCACTACAGCGGCGTCGACTACCACTTCGATAAAGCCGTGGTGGAGCACATGCCCGACGGCAAGGTGCTCTTCCACCTGCACGACTACTCGGACCACGGCTACGGCGAGGAAGCAGACAAGTTCCACAGACGCTGGACGCTTGACCTGGACGTCATTTGCAACCCGGAGAACCCGTACGTCACCGTGGATATTCGCAGTGTCCCTGTTTAGCACTTAGGTACAGTTTGATTAGCTTCACTATATGATACTTAAACCTCTTCGCTCTTAACGTGGTGTTGCACTTTACCCTCGTGGATTTCGCTCGAGGTGCCTGTGCCTTCGATCACGTTGTGTTCGCCAAAAGACACGCCCGAGTTCTTTCTGCCCGTGTACTCGAAAACACCGTCCTGCTCGGCCATCTCGTAGAAGTCCATGCCCATTTCCTCGGCCTCCTCGATTCCCTTGAGCTTGCAACCGGGGATCTTGTCGACAATGAAACAGATCGCGTAGGTGGCCACAAACGACCACACCGACGTGCTGACCCACCCAGCAAACTGGTAGCCCATCTGGTTCCAGTTGTGGTAGATCCAGCCGCCGTCGATCTCGGTGACTCCGTCCAGTCCAGCAATGTATGGCGAAGCAAACACTCCCAGACACATTGATCCGAGGATTCCACCAATGCCGTGCACCACGAACGACCGCGTGGTGTCGTCGATGCCGATCCACTCGTTCACGTTGTACAACAGACGACAGCACGCAGACACAAAGATGGAGGTGATGAACGCCCAGTAGGGGGTGTAAAAGCCGCAACTAGGGGTGATGTTCACCAGCCCGACAACAGCACCCTCGCACGCGGCCACCAGACTCCAACGGCCCTCCATGAGGTAGTCCACGACGGTGAAGGTGAAACTGGCCACCGAGGCGGCGATCTGCGTGTTGGCCATGATGTAGCCGGTTCTCGTGTTGACTGCCAGCAGCGTTCCCGAGTTGAAGCACAGCCACGTGCACCAGATCACAGACACACCGATAAACGTGGCGATCACGTTCTGAGGCTTGTAGTCGTTGTTCGTGGTTGGGTCTTTCCAGTACTTTCTCTTGCCCACAAACAGCGAAAAGGCCAGAGAAGCAACACCGGAAGCAATGTGCACCGGTCCTCCGCCAGCAAAGTCCAATGCGCCCAGGTTGTACAGCCAGCCGTTGCCGGCCCATGTGGCGTATGCGAACGGACAGTAGCACACCGTGCACCAGATGAAGCCAACCACCAGCGACGGCACAATGCGTGCACGCTCAGCAATGGCTCCGACGAAAATCTGCACGGTTGCAATTGGGAAAAACGCCGAGAAGGTGAAGTAGATGATGGACGGAATGGTTCCGCCTTCAATAAACGGGCCGGCGCCCAGCTTGGCAAGCGCACCAAGCGTGAAGTTGCCGCAAACGTGCGATGGAGACACCGAAACGGCCAACGAGTAGCCAAACAAAAACCACTGGATCGTGATGGTGCACGTGACCATGTACGACTGGAACAGCATCTGGATGATGTTCTTCTTCTTGAGCATTCCTCCATAGAAAAGGCCAATGGCCGGGGTCAGGATCATGACTCCCACGGTACAGAACATCACGTAGCCCATGTCTGCGGCGACGAAGGTGGACGTTTCGCTGGCGAGGTTGTCGAGCGAGTCGCGCTTGGCGGCCATCAACAGCTCGGCAGAGGCGAGCCCTGAGTTTGCGTATCCTCCCATTCTATAATGAGCGGAAACGATGCAGTAAAGGCGATATATATGTCATTTACGCGAAGACCCTAGAAAACCTGTCAAACTCGGAACTTCCTTATCTAATCGCCAAGAAATTTCGAGCTAACCGCTAATAGGAGGCCTGAGACGAGTGCAAATTTTTGCCAAATAGGGCAAGTTGGTCGTCCATGTGCATAGGCATTCTCCAATCTCCAGAGATAAGATACAACTTGATCACCAGCTACTTAAATAGGTCCACGTTTGGCAGGTGCCAAAGAACAACACGGAACAGTGTACCACAACTTAAAGTTTAAGCACCTCCTCGTCAACAGGTTCCAGCTCGAATTCCACGCCCTGACGTAATGCGTCCACGTCGGTCACCCGCTCGCCGTTGTTCAGCTCCCGGTACCGGATGTACGCTTCCTTCATCGCAGTGGCAGAGGCACGGTACTGCATGTCTCTTTCGTTCCACTCCACAGGAGCTAGCTTGGAGTCCCAGTCTGGTGTAGAGTAAATCTGATTGTTGAGCTCCTTTGCGTAGCGCACATCATCCGGATAAAAGAGGTTGTGAAATTTCGGAGAGTCGCCCATCAATTCGACCGTGCGGAGCTCGTCCTGCTTCATCTCCTCGATGCTCGGCAGCTCCAGCTGGCCCTGGAAGATCTTGGCCAGCCAGATCGCCTGAGTCTCGCTCAGACGTGTAGGCAGCACGTACCGGGGAGTTGCAATCAGCGCCAGCCCGGGGAAATTGTAGCTGACACACTGCTTATATAAGCCGTGGAGTCTAAGGCCGTCAGTGACAATTGGTGTTTGTGACGAGTTGATCTCGTCCAAGAAGGGGTAGTGTCTAAGGAAACCGGTGGCAAAAATGATGTGCGCAACGTTCTCCACCACGGTGCCGTCCTGGAACCTGATAGACTTCGTTTCGGGCTCGAACGAGGCGATGTCCGGGACGGTGATTATGTAGTCGCTGCTTCCTCCGGGGAGCATGGACTTTGACCGCGCGCTTTTGTACACTTTACGGTTCAGGTAGGAAGCCAATTGGTACGCCAAGTCTGATCCAGACGCGGAGTTTCCCACCACCACCAAATTGCCGTCTAGGTTTTCAAACTGGCGAGGGTGACGGTAGTTTTTCGAGTGCGACACCGATCCCGGGAACTTGAGGGCCCAATCGGCCAGCCCAGGCTTCTCGGGCACATAGGGCAGCTCGTAATGGCCGGATGCGACCAAGACCGCGTCGAACTCCTCGGTTTGGTCGGGGTGATCTGGTGATTCCTTAAGACCCCCGGCTGTGGCGTCGCACACTTTACGGTACGTGACCTGCCACCGGTGGGTCTCGTCGGGCCGGAACTTCACCGACACAACGTTGGTACCAAAGTGGATGTACGGCTCGACCTCCTTGGAGTATTCCTGGATGTACTCGAGCACCTGCTGCTTTGTAGGGAACAGGGGTGAGTTTTTCGGGAAGGGGAAGCCACTGTACTCCATGATATGGTACGGGACGTTAGTGTCCATGAGCTCGTAGATGGCGCTGGGCCAGACGTACTTGTCGCTGGCGAGGCGGATCGGGCTGATTGAGTCGAGGCGGTGCGGATCTGTGGAAGGAACCTTGGTAGGCTCCGGGCCCTTGTTTGAGTCATAGTAGTTCCACAGGCCGCCAGTGCCAGCACGACGCTCAAACCCGACGATCTTCGAGAAGGCTGCTTCTTTGAGCAATGCCTTGATGGTGGCCGCCCCACACGGGCCGCCTCCAATGACGGCAACAGACTTGACTAATCCGATATTGAGCTTGGCCATGAAAAGAAAGGAAACGCAACAGGTGTAGGGGTGTGGCGGTTTTTTTTTTCTTTTCTGCTGAGGAAAAAAAGTGTGCAGTTCCAACGGTTGTTCCGCGAAATGGAACTCCGCCCAGCCGGAATTCCACCGTTTTTGTACGCTGCCCGGGGGTGCTGTGACCTTTCTTTTTCCTAAGAGGCACCCCACAGGTCGGAGTTCCTAGGTAAAAAAATTTACCTGTATCGCCCTTGTTTGAGGATATATAAAGCAGCCAACCCCCCGCCGTTCAATAGCACAGACATTCGTTATTCAATATGGCTGACATCGTTCCAACTTTCAGACTCGACAATGAACTCACAGTCGTTACTGGCGCCTCAGGAGGACTGTCCGACGCTATCCTCAAGGGCCTTCTCGCTTACGGTTCTGAGATCGCCCTTTTGGACATGAACCTCGAGAGAACAAAGGAGACTCAGGCAGAACTCGTCAAGTTCTGCATCGAGGAGCTCAAGATCAAACAGGAATCTGTTCCTAAAATGCATTCGTACGTCTGCGACATCAGCGACGCAGACCACGTGAACGAGGTGTTTGCCAAGGTCTACGCAGACTTCGGCAAGTACCCTCTCCACCTTGTCAACACCGCCGGCTACTGCGAGAACTTCCCTGCGCACGAGTACCCGGCCAAGAACGCCGAGAGACTCGTCAAGGTCAACTTGTTGGGCTCCTTGTTTGTGGCCCAGGCCTTTGCCAAGCCGCTCATCGAGCACAACATTAAGGGCGGTTCCGTGGTCATGATCGGCTCCATGTCCGGAGAAATCGTCAACGACCCACAACCACAAGTCGCCTACAACATGTCCAAGGCTGGTGTCATCCACATGGTGAAATCCTTGGCTGCTGAGTGGGCCAAGTACAACATCAGAGTTAACACTCTCTCCCCAGGTTACATCCTTACACCACTCACCAAGAACGTCATTAACGGTAATGATGGCATGTACCAGAGATGGTTGTCTGGCGTCCCAATGGGCCGTCTTTCCGAGCCAAAGGAGTTCACAGGTACCGTGCTTTACCTGCTCTCCAACTCTGCCTCGTCCTACACTACAGGAACCAACATTACTGTTGATGGTGGATTCACATGTTGGTAAGTCCACGCGCCTCGCATTGAGTAAACTTAATATGGATAGAATAATATTCACATTGGATATGAACATTCTAGTTGTAATTTTCTGGGTTAAAGCTCGTCCCCACGTAAGTCCATCCGCCAAACTGTTTCTGGACACTTTCACTAAGGAAATCGTCCACGACAGAATCCATTGGCCGTTCGTCGGTGAATTCTGATGAGATGTTACTGATATCTGTGAGGTCCTTCACCTGTGGCTTGAAAGGCGGGATGTAGCCCTTGTGGCTGAGCTTATTCCAGTCAATGTCTTTGAAGAACTCGTGGTTCTTGATCTCCTCGACGCCGTTGTAGCCCAGTCTCTTTTTTGGGTCTCTGTTGAGCAGTCGGGTGATCAGATCGCGCGTTTGCGGGTCAAAGTCTGCGGGGAACACCAGTGGATCGTTCAGGATCTTTCTGTACATGGTGTTGACGTCCTCGTCGTAGTATGGTGGCAGACTCGTGAGCATCTCGTAGAGCAAAACTCCCAAAGTCCAGAAGTCCACGACTCTGGTGTAGCCCTTACCCATCAGCAACTCTGGAGCAAGGTACTCGGGCGTGCCGCAGAACGTGTTGGTCTTCTGGTCCAATTGCATGTTGATCTTACACAGACCAAAGTCGCATAGAGCAATGTGGCCCTGGTAGTCGAGCAGAATGTTTTCTGGTTTCAGGTCTCTGTAGACGATGTTCATGGAATGCAGGTTTTCGATGGCGGACAGCAGTTCGCAAATATAGAACTTGGCCCGGATCAGCGGGAACCGTCTAGCCTTTTGCAAGTGGTAGAACAGCTCTCCGCCGTTGATGAAGGATAGCACGAGATATAATTTCTCTGCGGACTGGAATGCGAACTTGAGAGGAACAATGAACGGCGAGGTGACTCTGCTGAGCACAAATTTCTCGGCCAGCGTGTGGGTGACCTCCATCTTGTTGACGATATGCGACTTTCTAATCGACTTGAGAGCGTAGATCTTGCCGGTGTCTTTCTTTTTCACCTGCATCACTTTTCCAAAGGAGCCTTTACCGATCACCTTGAGCAGGTCAAAGTCCTCAATCGAAAGGCCCTTCTTAGCAGACAGCGAGAGTGGCTTGAAATCCAGCGATATATTCACTGCACCCGGAAGTTCCTGGTCTGTGTACGGGTTGATCAGGTTCTTCCATTCGTGGTTCAGCAGCCGGATCTGGGTGTCCTGCTGCAAAGAGGCAGAGTTGATCGGGAACCGGAACGTTCCGATCAAACAGTCCTCCTGGCGCTCCGACTCCAGCAGCGATCCGGGGATTCGCACGTACACGTGCACGCTCAAGCTTGCTGTGTTTGGGGCGGTCACGTCGAACGTGGTGACACTGTTGAACTTGGTGTTGCTGATGGTGTTTCCTGTGGAGTTGATCTTTTCACTGCTGTTCTCGACCTCAACAAGCGCGTAAACGAGACTATACCTGGTGGTGGAATTGCGGGCCTCGTCGCCAGAGTTGATACTGAGCGTGGAGGGAAGGTAGTACGAGATGTTGGACTCGTTGATCTCCTCCATGGTGTCGCTCAGTGCGTCGATGCGTCTGAGCAGCTCCTCCTCGTTCAGGCTGGCACCCATGTTGGCCAGCCTGCTCAGGATCGGTTTGCTGATTCTTAAAGGCGTTGGTATATGCAGATCCTTGGACGAGTAGATTTTCACTGTGAGAAGGCCTGGCTTGAGCTTGACCAGGTTGCTGGGCTCCTTCTCCATGACCGGGTCGGTAGTCCCCAGGTCTTTGGTGAGCACCTGGGGCGAGCTGGCGGCCAGACTGATGTTGCCGACTCCCGACGCGACATCGTTGACCAGCGTCTTGCGCGAGTCCCGCAGCTCGTCGTCCACGTGGGACGTTCCCGTGCCCGCCGACGACGTCGTGCGCAGGCTCGAATTGCTGGAAGGCTGCTGGCTCTTGTGATTTTTGTTGAAGAGCTTCTTCCAGTTGGACATGGTGGCAAACAGAAAATAAATAAAATAGAAAAAGTTCGATATGGACTAAAAAAAGCCGGGGAAACTAAGCACATGAAACTCAACTACAAAAGCATCGAATTCGAGTTATCCGTCCGCCTGGAAGAGCTCACTAACATCCCGCAACTGGACCATGTTTCGGTGATGTACGTGCACCAGGTGTCCAATAGCAGACTCAAACCAAAGCAGCAACTCCACCATAGACACTCGGCACAGTCGGGAGTGTTTGGCATCCAGCACCACAAATGTGTTTTTAAAGACGAAGCCATTGTGACGCGGCTCAAGCTGTACGCGGACCCGAAAGATGGGTTCACCTTGTCTGACAAATGGCTGTATATAACGTTCTTTATTGAAGACTCACGGTCCACGAAAAAAGAGCGATTAGGAACGCTGGAACTCAACCTGACCGAGTATGCCAACGATAGAGAACCAATCCAGCTGCGGTACCTGCTGAAAAACTCGAAAGCAAACGCCATTCTCAAATTAGAGGTCTATATGAAACATCTGGATAGCGCACAGGATTATCATTACAACATCCCTAAACGGTCGACCCAGCAGATCTACACGGGCTTGAAGGACTCCATCGAGACTTCCAAGCAGGAGCTGCCCAAGCCACAGGCGTCCCAAGACGACCCAGACGTCGTGCTCGACGATATCATCAACAAAACGTACAGGTTCAGCTGGCAGTTCAACGGCATGAACTACGACGAGTTCACCCCAATGGAGTGTGTCAGAGACATTGTTGAGCACCATGGCAACGGCTGGCGTAGAAACGAGTATGGGGTTCCGTATATCGACACCATCCACGAGAATTGCACGCTGCCAACCGCAAAGAAAAGCGATTATCCAGTCCAGGAGGCCGATTATCGCTCCGATCTGAAGAGCTGGCACCTGGCCACCTAGACCGCGTGTTCAATTCCGTCGTCGCTCTCTTCAGAAAGCTCGAAATCCTCGTACCCGCTCAAAACGTCGCCGTCCTCCACGTCCCAGTCGAAGTCTTCCTCCTCGTGGTCCACAGGGTCTATCTGGTCCAGCTCCACAGGACCCAGGTCCAAGTCCATGGACCGGGCCCGCTTGTACCATCTGCGCGTCACAAACGGCCAATGGATCGGCCCCTTGCGGCCATACACGCACCGCTGTGTCACGGAAGTGACAAAATGCACAAGCTCGCTCACCAGCCGCAGAATCCGCGACTTATTCACCATCCCTAATATAAGAACGAAGAACACTATAGCCACGATCACCCACGGGTGTTCCTTGGCGAACGGCTTGTGGTCGATCTCGCCGGCCACATCTCCGTCGTAGTTGAGTCCCTGTTTCATGTCTTTGAGAAACCCGGGCGGCTCGTAGCTTTCGAACCGCTCAAAAGCTGGCCGCAAAGGAACCCCGTCGTTCTCTGAACCTCGCACAAACACGCCAGGCGCAGAGTTATGCGAGTAGCCGACCTTGCTGCGTTTGCCGTTATCGACGAAATCGTTCGCGAAGTTCTGAACCTCGATCAGACTCTCGTCGCTGGCGTACAAAACGGCGCGACCAAGCGTCCACGTGAAGGCTGATCCGTTGACCTTGTCATTAACATGGAAATCAGATTGGTTTTTGTTCAAACCAAACCCGTTGTGTAGTAACGTTGTCAGGTAGGTGCTTTTAAAACAGAGCTCTTCAAGCTCCTGTTTGGACATTCCTTTGTACTCCTTGAGCACTTTCCAGCTCGAAGAGCACACTTTTTGTGTTGCCTGTGCCATTTGATCGTAAGCGTAAATCTTGCCGTAGTCTTCCTCGTTCTGGTTGTACGAGAGAAGCTTCGAAATAGTGTCCCAATACCCAGAGACTCCATAGAAATGGCTGTCGCTGAAGCTGAACTCAGGCAACTGGTCGCTCAACAAACATGCCGATACGTCTTCGTGGTTGACACACTTGTTGGCTATTAATTGGTAGATTTTCTCGCTGCATTCCTCGTAATTTCCCGTTCCTTCAACGTGTTTCTCGATCCCGTCAAGTTCCAATGTCTGGTGTCGTTTAGCAGGGAAACATGGATCCAAAAGATACTCCTTTTCCTGGTCGACTTTGGTTTCCAGCGTGCGCAAGAACTTGAGTCTAATCTGAGAAAACCCGTACCCGAGGAACGAGTTGGAATGCACATTATAAGCGAGGTCGGGCGTTTGCTGGCCAAGCGTGGCCAGTTTGAGATTAATTAGTTGATTAGAGTGTTCTTTTTGTTCCTTTTCGTTTGGCTCGAACGAAATCTGCGTCGAGGCCCCTCCCATGTCGAGTAGCCCAGCCGTTTGTTTGCGTTTGGAAAACGAGCCAGTGAGGTAGTTGAGAGCGATCCAGCCATAAAGACCTTCAACATCACCATCAATCACGTTCACATGACTTTGGCAATCAGGAATGTATAGGCTAGACTCCCGCTGCAAGTACTCGCAGATATTCTGTAAAATCTCGTTTTGCTCGTTGGGCATTAACAGCCGCATTCCGGCAGTTGCGTGCACAAAGATTGGAGTTCTGTAATGCTGCTCTATGGGGATGATATCGTGCACTTTCTTCAAAAGGTAAACCAGATACTTGGGCCCGATATGTGCCGAGTTTTCTCGGAATTCGCTGATTCCAGGCTTGAGCTTCTTGTACCACTTCTCTCCCGTCTGGATCGAGGGCAGATCGCTGGGATCTTCTTCCACCCGGCTGAGTAGTCTGACCGAGTTGTCCGCCACCTGCAATTGGTTGTTGGCCAATAGATACTGCGTCGAGGTCCAGTAATACACGTACGCACGCGATCCCTTCGATCCGGCGTCCACCACTACCAGATAGTTGTACGGGATGCCGTTTGCGTCGACAATCTCCCCCTTGGTCATAGGCAATATTTAGAAAAGAAAAAAGACGGTGCAACGTGTAGGACAGACATGTGCGGTGCGAGGAGTACTCCTCACATCCGAACGGTTTCGGATAAGCAGTGTTGATATCCGTGGAGCGATGGTCGACTGGATGCGCACGCTTTCGGGTTGTTACGGTTACAACAATACAACAATAGCATTCAAACGCATTTGCCCCCACTGGAAACCCATTTCCGATCGTCCTCCGAATTGCAAGCAATCATAGGCCTGAATTTTGTAAGCGGGCCCAGGGCTCGCAACACATATATATGGGGTCATCCCCGGACAAAAGATATAGTACTCACCATGTTAAAGATCGGATTGCGCGCAAAACCAACAACATCCATAAGACCGCTTGCTTCTCGTGGCTTGTTCATCAAGACCATTCCACAGCCACCAGGAAACATCGTGGGAACCGTGAACGATGCTTACGTTCCCCCACCGCCTACCAAGTCCCATGGGTCCTGGCACTGGACCGGGGAGAAGATTGTTACTATCGGCATGGCCCCACTTGTTTTGACTCCTTTTGTCACAGGTACTGCGTACCCGCTGGCCGACTCCATCATGGGCACTCTTTTGTTGTACCACTGCTACGCCGGATTTGAGAGTTGTATTATCGATTATATTCCACTCAGAGTGTACGGTATCTGGCACAAGGCTGCGATGGGTCTTTTGGGTTTGGGAACTCTTATTGCCGGTTACGGTATCTACGTGATTGAGAAGACTGAGCAGGAAGGACTTGTGGGAATCGTCAAGAAGCTTTGGACTGCTTGAGCGGATGGCGATTACTCCAGATTTTTTATTTATACAATGCATTCAATGATTCTGTCAGGAGTCAGCTTTCGAGACGGCGTTTGAGCGTCGACGTGGCTGTTTCTGTGTCGTAGTTGAGTTCCTTGAGTAGATCGTTGATTTTAAGAGGCTTGGTGAACGTTGTCTTTGGGTCTCCGTGCACCCAGATGTCTCTGGGACTTGCCTTTTTCACGGTGACCTGTCCCGCGAGCTCGTCAATCTCCAGCTCCAGCAACGGTGTTCGTGCGAGCAGTGCCAGCGTGCGCACCACGTCGGAACACGCCAGCTGCTCCGCAACAGTATCAAAACTCAGCGTCTTTTGACGTGCCAATGACATCAACGTCAACTGTCGCAATTTGAGCAATTGGTGGTCAGTGAGCTCCCCGAGAAGCGCCTTGTTGTTCATGTAGTCGCTCACCGTGCCGAATGCAAAAAGCTCGCTCACGGCGGTCGGGTTCTGGCGCCAAACATCGCCGTACTCGTTAAACTGTAAAGAGTACGTATTTCTCATTATCTCTATATTTTTTAATTTAAATGAATTTATTACCATTCAACTATACTTACAATTGTCGCTCGCGTCGCTACTCCAGCTCCATCTGGTCCAGCACATCATCTTCAGCAATGTCTTCGCCCTCCTCTTCTTCTTCGTTTTCGGCCAGATTCACATCCTTAAATATACTTTCCTCAGGCATTCTTCTCATATCGCGTTGGCTCTTAAATAGAGGTCCGATCCGCGAGATCCACTTGTTGCGCTTCTCCAATAGACTCATGAAGGACGAGTTGCTCATGATCTGCTGGTTGGAGTACTCATCCTTTTCCTTGGGACCGTTGCCGCCTGGATGGATGCCTCTTTTCTTGGCTTTCTTAGGACCAACACTGATTCTCCGTCTATAATGCTGTTCCACCTGTTTGTCCAAGTCTTCCAAAATGGACATGTACTCCTGCCATGCGATCTGCTCCTCCACAATCGGAATGATCATCTTCTTCCGCTTGATGTTGCGCGCCTGCACCTCCTTCAACTCTTTCTGCAAATGACGCAGCTCCCTGGCAATCTCGTCGTCCTCTCTGTTTTGGACCCAGTCTTGGTCAAACCCAGGCTCGTTCAGCATCTGTTCCACGTTCATGTAAACACCGATGTACCGCAGCTCCCGCTTGAGCCGCTCGTCCAGGGTCTTGTAATCGGTCTTAATGATGGAAGACTTCCATCCCTGCTGGTCTGCGAGTGCCGACGACGACAGTCCGTCGCCATTGGCACTTTCCGTGCTACCATTCTCCTCATTCGCAACGGGAGACCCAGCAAGATCGTCGTCCTGACCGTCCTCGTCAGTAGTGTCCTTGATCAAAGCAGAAAGTAGCCGCGAAGTCAAAGGTCCGCACGAAACGTCCTCCGTTTCCAAAGTCTCGTTGGTCAAACTGTCAGAAGACAGTTTCGGCTCCACCAAACTCAGCATGCTCATTTCCAGGTGTTTGCGCAGACTGAACCCCATCCCATTCGAGTCCTTGACCAGACCGTTCCGCAGGTCCTCTTCGTACCAAACGTCCGCATAATGCGGTCCCAGACGCGGGATTCTGTACGGGGTCTTTTTGTCATCGTAGTCACGCGGCAGGTTGCTGCTCAGATTACACTTGGTGCGCAACAACCGGCTGTCTTCCTCGGTAAATGGACGGAAGAATGGATCCACATACGCCTGGAAAGACGTGAACGCAATCTGGTTATTGTTGGGCTTTGCGGTCGAAAAGTCCGTCATCGGAATCTCTCCGGGCAAATAGTCTTTCATGTCGTTGTGGGGAAACTCGGCTACCGCATACTTGTGCTTCAAAAATTCTTCTCCATCTCCGTATTTTTCATGCGCTTGTTCCTCATCGAACAGTTCCAAATTCTCGTATGCAGACTTCAGCAACTCTTTCACGTCGAACTGCGTCTTCTCTTTGCCAACATACACGGAGGGAATGGCGTCTCCGTTGGTATCTGCAGTATCCAGGTCTGACTTCTTCTCCGAACTGATTTTTAGAACTTGCCGCTCTTGCTTAACATCCAGTGCTCCAAGAGGCGTGTCCTCGTCATCAATTGCATCGTCGGCATCAACACCGTTCCCTACGCTGTCGTCGTCGTCGTCGTCGCGTGCATCAGGAGTGATCTCCTTGCGCTCTCCATTGGCCGTGATTATTATCCGCCGCCGCTTTCGCTTTGGGAACTGAATTCCGCCCTCGTCGTCATCTTCATCGTCCTCCATCTTCACCTTGACTCCCTCTTCAGCAGCTCCGTTCGCAGCCTCCTCGGCAACAGGCTTCCCCTCTGCAGCGTCCTGCCCGTCAGCCGTGTTGGTTTCTGCGTCGATCGACGCCACGAGGCGTCTGTCTGTCTCGATACCAGTTTCCAAATCGCTAATAAACCTCTCAAGCAGCTTCTTCAGTGCCGTCAGCTTAGGCTCGCTTGGCGCAGAGAACATGCTGTCTCCTTGCAAAAGCCCGAGACTCGAGTCGTAACTCAAGTTTAACTCGCTCAAAACAGCATGTAAAGTTTCGGAAGGAAGACCCGGCCGGTCGACAGCTGGAGCCACAACCTGGCCCTTGCCCTTCCCAGAGACATTCTTGCTCTTGCGGCGATTGGCGTTCCGCGGAGGCATACTATTTTCTCCAGCCTTGTTGGAGTTTTTTTCCGTCATCAACATTCGCAAGTTACCGGTGTACGGGTGTTGATATTCTTTGCACTATATACATCTTACTCGGTCAGTATCTGCTTCAACTCCACCTTTCTCGAGCCGGAAGTGATTGGCCGCTCCCATTCCTTCGGGAACTCGTAGACCCGTCTCTTGCGCTGCTGCTTCTTCTTGTACTTTGCGACTGTGTGTCTCTTGTCGAGAGGAGTATCGGCAAACTCCTCAGGATGGCTTTTCGCTTCGGCCACCAAATCATCCATCACATCCGACAAGAACGACGCGTTCTGTGCAGGTTCCGGATACTTATCGCTGGACATCTTGAACACGTCTGTTGCATGATCGTATCTAACACCGGCCAGCAGCTTGAACTTGTGGCTCTGTTCTGGAGTCAGCTTCAACTCAGACAATCTAACAGAAACGCTCACTTTCCGCTCCCCAGGATGGCTTTCTCCGAAAAACTTGGTGTAACGGTACAGCACTGGTTTCTCGCCTTTCTTTGGGGGCACGTACTCCTTTCTGTATTTGGTGAGCAAAGGTAACTCGTAGGCAGCCATTCTGTTGAACTCCAAGTGGTCTCTGAAGTTCTCCACTCGTTCCTGAACCTCTGTTGGGTATTCGTCATACTCATCCTGTTCAATCTCGTCGGCAAGGAAACCTCCACTGCGGTGGTAGGCGTTCGATTGGAAATTAGGCTCGTTTCTGAACATGTCTCCTTCCTCAGCATTGTAAAGTTGGGTGGCCATTTCGGCACTGTAAACGTCCGGAGTAGCGGCAACAATGGCCTCTAGCTCATCCTTGTCCCTCTTATATTCGGTTCCAAGAAGAGTCTTACGCTGTTGGTACAGCTCAAACACTTTAGAGTCGGGAAGACCTTTCCAAAGATCAGGTCTTGTGATCAGCGAGCCATCGTCCAAGTTCAGTTGAGACTCCTCTTGGAGCTGCTTCAACTTCTCGTCAATCTGCTTGAGATCCGCAGCCGCATTCATGGCTGGCCGCACCCTCGAAAAGGTCCTAACCGAGGGCCTCACTAGTCGTCCAAACATGTCTCGATAAAAATTTTGTCGAAACCTTTTCAGTCAAATCTGAGGTCGATCGACCGTTCGAGCCAAGGCAACAAGGGTGTACCCCTCCCAACTTTGTTCCACACTATGGTGTACAAGATGGTTACCATTTAGCTTTTGCATTAAATAGATGCCCGTATGTTCTAGGTATCCCCCCACCCACAGATATCCCCTTAACTACCGTTTTCCCCTTTCATATTTCCCTCTTCTGCGACCATAAAATTTCTATCTCCTTTACTTGTTCATATCCCCTTTTTCTCGCCCTTGGTTTTAATATCTCTATACACCTCAACTTGCTCCAGTTTGAGGCTTACCAACAAAGAAACTTGCGGTTCATACTTTGCCACCTCTTCTCGCCATGACTTTGCTTAAATCACTTAAAATCAACGATCCGGAAAAACTCAAGGATCCAGACTTTGTTTCGTCTCTCAACCAAAATGAGGTTATTTCGAAACTTCTCATGACCGTCTTCTCGTTACAAGGACAGATCAAGGAACTCAACGAAAAGGTGGAAAAATACGAGAATTTGGACAAACTTTTAAATGGTGAGGATCTGTCTGAGCCCGTTCCGCCAACTCCAGAAGAATCGCTTGTGGTGGAAAAAGTCTCCAGAACACCTTCAGACGATACCGTACCAGTCGGATTCACGCCCTTATACTCGACGCCCGCTCTTTCTGAGTCGGATATCATCGAAAAACCGTCAAAGAAAAACCCCGTCGTGAAACCTTGGCCAGAAGTTTCACTTAATCAACTGGCTCAAAGGTTCAAAATCCCACGTGAGCAGCTCCTACAGACCAACAAAGGATTAGCGACGGACAAAAAGGGTCATTTACGTCCACTAAAACCAAATCCAGATTCTAAATCAGAAACCCCAACTGACTCCAAGGAAACAACACCTGTCCCCAGTTCAGGCAAAATAACCAAACCACCCAAACGCAAATACGAGGAAGTCACAGAATCCCCAAGCTCGGCGGGCTCCAACTCGTCCTCCAGCTCGGCAACCTCAAGTGAAATTGTGCCCGCAGTGACGAAAAAGCCACTAAAGTACACAATCACCAAGTTTGGGCTGTACAAGTGCGATGTGTGCACAGGCGACGAGATATACTCCACCTATCCTGCACTTTATCAGCATAAAAGAAGTACACACCCTGAAGAATTTGCAAACTACGCTCCGGAGAAGTCAAGCTGAAGAAATGATTTCTACTCTTACACACAAAACTAATATAACAAAGCGACAAACACTGCGAAAAGTTTCACATTTCACCAAGAGTTGATCACGAGTCGGTCCATTTAATCGCCCATAAGGAGTTGCTGCTGCTGCTGCTGCTTTTCCTTCTTCTTCTTCTTCTTCTCCTTCTTCTTCTCGTGGTCGCTCTTCTTCAAACTGGATGGTGTTGGCGCAGTTTCTGGCTTCTTTGGAGCGGTGTATGCAGCACCGGTTTCCTTGGCAAGGAGGTATTTTTTGTTTTCCTCTTCGTACATGGCTTTCTGCTCTTCATAGAGCTCTTTCCACTTAGCCTTCTCGCTGTCGCTGAGCTCCTTCCATCTCTTGGAGGTCTCCTGTGCGATTTCCGGCTGGGACAGACTGCTTTCCCCAGAAAGCATTCTTTCCTTCACGATGATGTCTCTCATGGCATTGGAGTACAGGAAGAAAGACGTTAAAGGTTTCTTCGGAGCGTTAGGGTCCTTAAGAGCCTTCTTCTTCTTCTTCTCTTCCTTCTTATCGTGCTGCCCGAGATTTGCGAGCATTGGCACCGAGTCGTGACCCACAATCGGCACCATCAGATCCTCAAACAAGGATCTGTCAGTGTTGTTGTTTTCCAACGCGTTGAAGAACAGGAACGTAGCCTTGGACGCGTCGCTGGCGGCCTTTGACAGCTCCACGAGAGCAGACACAAGCTGGATGTTAGGTGGCCGGGTTTTTCACGCGTTTACTTACCGCATCTTTGGCGCTTTTAACCTCGTCAGTCATTTTTTGTTTATCGTGGTGGAAAGAAAAGCAGCGGCGGATTTTTTGGGGGGGCAGCGGGAGACCCCTCTGGCCGGCCGTCTTAATTCGCGCACACCGGGGACCATGCACGCGCGATGAAAAAAAAACATTTGAAATAAATAAATAAAATTAAATAGACCGTTTGCGCCACTTGATGCATGGAGACGCAAATGTCGCAACTTAGGCGGTCTGTCTCGGATTCCAAGAAATTGGAGACCACCGCGTCCAAAGTTGCCACCTCCTCGAGATTTTCGTGGTGGTTCACCTCCTCGAACGAAGCCTCTACCTACAATTACCAGAAATATGCAGGTTCCCAGTATTTCCTTTTTGGCGGCCGATTGTTGGGGCTTAAGCCAGCCAACATGTACCGTTTTTTTGTTCTGTTGGTCGAGATCATTATCATTATAATTCCGCTGCCTGTTTACATTGTTTTTGAGGCTTCATACACTTGGAACGTGATCTCCCCCGCCCTAATATTTATTTTCTGTTATCTGTGGTGTCTAACAATGGCCAGTTTCGTTAGAGCCGCATTCCAGGATCCGGGGTTTCTTCCCAAAAACGTTCACATGGTGGACAACGTCACGTACAACGGGATCCCCTGGGAATACTACAGTCCCGCCGTGGTTGACGGGCCGTCCTCCAAAATAGAACTAAAATATTGCACTGCCTGCTTCATATGGCGACCGATCCGATCTTCGCACTGCTCGCGGTGCAACGCCTGTATCTACAACATGGACCATCACTGTGTGTGGCTCTCGAACTGTGTGGGCCAACGCAACTACTGGCACTTTCTCAACTTTTTGATCTTTACCGTTTTATTGTGTGCATTTGTATGTGCGCAAACCGGCTACCGAATCTCAAGACAGCCGGTGAGCGAGACGCCGATGTCGCTGTTTCTGCTGATCTACGCGGCTATTTGCTCACTCTATCCGGCTCTACTGCTCTTCTACCACCTCTGCCTGGGGATCACAGGGATCACCACCAGAGAGTACCTCAACACGGATAAGACCGAAAATAGGTGCTTTTTGCAAGACGTTTGCCGGAACCCGTTCAATTCTGGCAATTGGGCCCGCAACTGGACCCGCCAGTGGTTCCGTCCACGCGGACTTAGCACCTTGCCGTTGCGCCAGCCATATACCCCCACCGACACCCGCTTCCACCAGGTCGTGATAGGCTCGCTGACGTAAGCGCTGACTTGCATGCCGCCCCGGCTCCTTTCTTTTTCGCGCGATCCGAGCTCCACCGCCACCTTTTTTTTTTTTTTTTTATTTAACAGCAGCACAGGACGCAAATTCTTCAACTGGATCAAAGCCATGAAGGTGTTCACGTCTACGCAGTTTTACAACTACTCGTGGGATTACGTCAGCGCTGCCAACTGGTGCAAGTATCCGAACGAGCTAAGCACGCACGTTGTTGGTGTGGACGTTCTAAGACGGGAGTTCGACGCCACAAAGGGTACGCTAACGACAGAGCGATTGATCACATGCAAACAACCAATTCCAAGGTGGCTGACGTTCCTTGTTGGGGGCCAGGACAAGTCGTTCGTGCGCGAGGTTTCTGTGATTGACAGGAATCAGAAAACGTTGACGATGCGGTCTTGCAATCTGACAATGTGTCGGCTACTTAAAGTGTACGAGACCGTTTTGTACCGGCCGGATCCTGTTTCGCCTGTGTCGCGGACACGGTTCGAGCAGGTTGCGGAGATCACGGCGTTTGCGTCGTTGCGTCAGCTGTGCGAGAAGCTGGAAGACTGGTCTGTTGAGCGGTTTGGACAGAATGCCAGTAAAGGAAAGCTCGGGTTCGACTCTGTGCTGAAAAATTTAGAAGAGCAATGGATTGGGATCAGCGATAAGACCCAAAACCTGCTTGAGGAGGTGAACGAAAAGACCTCCGAGGTCATAACCGAGGTGAACCAAAAAACAGGAGCCTTGGCCAAGGCCTTTGGCTGGAAAAATTAACATACATCCAACACGAGACGCACATCATAGTATTATAGAGCATATATAAACGTGTTGATGACGATCATAGGGAAGTCTTCTTTGCTTTGCGTAGTTTTCTCATGTCTGGCGGCTTTTCTATCCCCAGCTGGGCCCGGAGGTGGTCCACGTCGTGGTCCAGAATGTTCTCCCAGTAAACGTTGATCAACGGCTTGCACGAGGCGCTATTCTTCAAAGCCCACGGATAGTAGATGTTGAGCAGACGCGAGCGCTGCGACTTTTTGATCGGGATCGGCGCAAACAGTGCCCCCATCCCGGCAAACGGGATCTTGAGGTTGAGGAACTCAAACAGCTTGAGTGCGATCTCGCCCTCCCGCACGATCGGCAGCCCCGTGATCGCGTGGTAGAAGTCGTGGCACTGCCGGTACCGCTGGAAAATGAACGCGAGCTCCTCGTCGTCAATGAACCGCACAGGCTCCCGTGTGTCGGGAGACACCCCCTCCATGTCGAGCCAGCTGACGTAAGCACGTGCAAGCGAGTTTTCCGGGTACTTGCGCAGCTCGTCCAGACGGAGCGAGTCCGATGTGATGTTGGGCCGCTCTTTGAGTATCTGGCGGCCAACTGGGTCGTTCAACATCTGGACCTTGAGCTGGTTGAGAAAGTATGGCAATGCGGTGGATTCTCCCAGAGCAACAATGAACTCGTTTCTTTCGGGGTGCAGGTACGCGCCTGCGGCAGAGCCAACGAACAGAGCGGCCTTCTCGACCGGATGCAGTGGGACGTGGTTCGGATAGTTTGGTTCTGGCCGCTGGTACAATGGGACCTTCTTTTTCGGAGGAGCCTTGGTTTGCACGGCGTCGGTCTCGAACTGGTCAGCCAGCGATATGCTGCGGTACAATTGGGACCCGGCGGCAAGCGCGACGCTGAGAAATTGGCGCGTAGTCACCAAATCGGGCCGTTTCACCAGTGGCATGATATCCCGATGAATATAAAATTGATGGAAATAATTAAAAGCTAAATATTTTGGTCAATATTTCATGTCGCTAACCCGGTGTTTTAGAACTCCCCGTCTCAACAACAGGTTTTCCAAGCTCTGCGTCTTGAAACTAGCCAGGTCTGTTCCCTGGATCAGCCCTTGTAGTCCTACCACGCGTCCTGTCTCGACGCCGTCCTTGTATGTGAGCACACACGGTAACACCTTGATCTGGAGCTTGACTGCCAAAAACGGAGCATTGAGCGCCTCGATCTTGTAGAAGTGCGTGTCGTAGTACTTCGAGGCCAGCTCGCGCAACGCCTGGTCCACCAGTTTGCACGTCTGGAACTCTGGGTTGTGGAAAAAGATCACAACGTTGCGGGTCCCGGTGGTCTTGCGCATGAGTTCTCCTTCGTCTGTGATTTCCTGGTACGCGTCCTGGGCGTTCTTTGCATGTCGCACCTCCTTCGCAAGTTCCTCCATCCGCTGCTCACGGTACTGGACGAGATAGTCGTCCATCTCATCCTCGAGCTCGCGCAGTGACTCCGAATCAGACATAAGAAAAGAATGTTTTTTCGCACGCCAAATTTCTCCCGTGTTGATACCCAATTTTGGTTTTTAGTTATCTGGATTAATTATTTTTGAAACAACATGGCTTCCCGAATCAAGTATCTTCGACGGCGAACGGACAACACATCTTCGAAGTCTCCTGTTAACCAGCCTCCAAAGGACTCTCCTGAGTACATCAACAGTCTCGTCTCGCAATTGTTCGGTCCAAACCACGACTCGCTTCCCGCTCTCACCTCTTCGCCTAATTTGGACCCTGAACTGTACGCCCTTCTGGGTCTCATTCTACGCCAGTTTGTCACAGGATGGTACAAGAACGTGTCCTTTGACGAGAACGAAGAGTTCATGAACGAAATCATCGCCCTAACCGCACACATGACACGCGATATTCAACAGCGATGTCTCAGGGTGAATTGGGGCCAGCTGTTCTTCGACGACTTGTTTATCCTGCTTGATAGACATCTTCAGGCATTGAGAGAAACACAGATCAGATCAGGAACAAAGTATAGCCGCGATGATACAAACGAAACATTGGCCAACTACCTCATCCTGAACGGTCATTTTGCTGTTCAAATCGACGACCCGCAACTCGAAAGCCAGTATCGCTTGGTGCTGTCCAAGAAAATGCTGCAACTGCTTCTGCCCAGCGAAGAACTGCACTCAAAGCTGAGTATGATGTTTGTGGAAACCATCTTTTCTGATCTGCTTCTAAAAAACATCGTGGAGAACCTTTCTGATAACTTTATGTTGTGGAACCTGACAAGATCCATAAGCGAGTCTGTTGCCAAACACCCTTCCGAAAACAGACCTTTGTTTGAAAAATTGATCGGACTAAGTCGCAGACTGGGCCATATTATTGCATATTGTACGTCTGTGTTTTCCATAAAAGTTGTGCCTGAAACCTCAATCATCCAGTATGCAGTTTTCCCGTTTTCCGACCACTTGGTCCATTTCAGTGAAAGACACCCAATCTTGAGTTTCCAGATTGCATCGGCGTTCCACATACTGGACAAGTCTGCAAAATTCAACCATCTGTGCAACAATGTTCTGAATAATCTGATATACAACAGAGTCCTAACAGACTCTGTGTTGGGGCGGTGCGTTCGTGGACTGCGACACATGCTATTCCCCACGGATGGGCCGTTCAATACGGCTCCAAGATATGTTCCTGAGACACGACAGGAACTGGACCAGATCAAACTGGCTGCTCAAACTGCTCTCAACAAGGTCGTGAGCCACCCGTACCTGGACACATCGTCTTTTGTGGACTCATTTGAGTACAAGCTGATCAACAAGTCGCTGATATGGAGTGTTCTCGATCTGGTCCTTTGCAATATTTTCCCCGAACTAACACAGTCCACCGAACAAGACGAATAGTTTAATGACGCCTCAGAATCTTTTTGAAAAGCCTTCGTAGTTTTGCTAAGAACACCTTAAACCGTCTTCTTTTCACCACCACCTCCTCCTCAGACTCAAGCAAGCTGGGAGGATAACTGTTCATCAAAGAATTAACCAGCCCAGAAAACCTCTGGTCTTCTTTCAACAGATACCGATTCACTCTCAAAGTGTCCTCCGATTGGCCAACAGAGTTCCTCAAAACAACCATGTTGTGTCTGAACAGTTCAGAGTCCTCCACGAGCGACTCCTCATCTGCCGTCACCGACTCTGCTCCTGCAATCGTGGTATCTGTCACAATGTCGGTGATAGACTCCAAAAGCGGGTCTGACGCGGCGGTGTAGAAACTCTGAACTTCGTCGTCAACACTGAACGCAAGCGAGTGCGCCAAGGACGTTGATCTCGTGACGGTCTCCATGCTACTAAACAAAATAGGGCCAACTCTCAGAAAGGGGGTCACTAGTTTCTGTTTACTGCCAGAAAATAAGGGCCCGAATCCCACAAAAAACGGTCACGTGCAAGATACACAGGGTTGGATGCCCTCGGGGTGATTGAAAAAAAAAATTTACATAGCGTATTTTTTTCATCAAGTAGGTGAGAAAGAAGCATCCCTTGCAGACAATCCTACCATGCAAATCTTCGTCAAGACCCTGACCGGTAAGACTATCACCCTCGAGGTGGAGTCTTCCGACACCATCGACAACGTTAAGTCCAAGATCCAAGACAAGGAAGGAATTCCACCTGACCAGCAAAGACTTATCTTCGCTGGTAAGCAGCTCGAGGACGGCAGAACTCTTTCTGACTACAACATCCAGAAGGAGTCTACCTTGCACTTGGTGCTGAGACTCAGAGGTGGTGGTAAGAAGAGAAAGAAGAAGGTCTACACCACCCCAAAGAAGATCAAGCACAAGCACAAGAAGGTCAAGCTCGCTGTGTTGTCTTACTACTCCGTTGACGACGACGGAAAGGTTGAGAGAACCAGAAGAGAGTGTCCATCTGCTACCTGTGGTGCTGGTATCTTCATGGCTAACATGCAAGACAGACAGTACTGCGGTAAGTGTCACACCACCTTCAAGTTGAAATAGAGCTGTCTTGGTTCTAGTTCTATGGTGTTGTAAGCTAGAGAATCTCCATATAGTGTTTTAATAGTATTACTTCACCAATTTTTTTTGTAAGCCCAACATGAAATAAATGTGGTGCTTGGAATCAATACAGGTTTCAAATTACGTAATTTACATTTTCCCCCAGAATACGATAAGCTAGCAACGGAATGGGACAGCAAATTTCAAGAACTAGCAGTGTCGAGGCGCGCGATCTACCGCCAAATACCACGCACATCACCTCGTTGCCGAAAACGAGTCTCTCGCGGTCGACTGCGGTATCGTCCTCTGGAAAATGGCGCAAGTTGACAGGGCTGCTTCGAAGAAGGCGAGGTTCCAGTTTCCATGCCGAGCCAGCACGGATGGTCAGCACGAGTCTGCTCTCTCCTGCACAGTCTTCTGTCGACGCTCTGCGAAACGCATCCAGTAACCAGGTCAGCGACGTGGAGTCGGTCGCTCCGGCTCCGACAGAACCCGCACACAACGATCTCCTGGATTCCCAGTTCCGCACGCTGTCGAGTCTCTTGGAGAACGTCACCATGAGCACGCTACGCCGTCTGATCAACGTTGGAGACAGCTACTATGGCGAAAGAATGTATCCTGAACAGAACATCGAGGGCAGCACAGATACCGATTTCGCAAGTTTTGTTCAGGGCCTCAATTCTGGCGACCTTTTACAACAGTCGCTTGGCACCCAGCTGGACATGGGACGCACTCTCAGTTTTTTCAGAGCTTTCCGCTTCGACGACAGCTCCCAACTGGGATATAATTCAACTTTGCACGAATTCGAAAGACTGGTCCCTGTACTAATTGTGGGGGTGGTGGGGCTCACCGACCCGGATTCGCAGTCAGACCAGCACCGCTCCTGGGTGATCATTGTGATGGCCCACCACTACTCGGTTTCGGATCCTGTGTTGGGATCAATGGCCGTTTTCATCGGGCTTTTGGCCAGCTACGTCGCCAGCACTAGCAATATCACTTTGGAAGGCCACTCAGATTACTCGGATACCCGCGTAAGCACATTCAGAGACTCTCTCTATCGCATCTTCAGGGGCAGAAAGCTCTCGCAAACTGTACTGGACGAACACACCGAGTCTGTGTTTGAACTACAAAATACTAACGATAGATGTCCGATCTGTCTGGTCGATTACGAATCGGGTGATCAGGGCCGTCGCCTTGATTGTTGTCACGAGTTCCACAAGGACTGTGTGGATCAGTGGCTTCTGAACGATAATACCTGTCCAATATGCCGGAGCCGTGCTATAAGTACAGAAATGGACTTTTAACTATTTAAGATCTGCCCTAGCTTACCTCCATAGTTATTGAGAATTCGGTTGGGGGTTTCCGGGAACTGGCTGATACTGCTTGCCGCGATACTGCCGACCTCTGCCAGGTTTCGCACCTTGAGCATGGCTTCTGAGCAGGTGTCATTCATGCTCATGTAGGTAGCAAGCAATCCGGCAGCTATGGCAGCAGACATTGAGGTGCCGGACTTGCGGGTCACCAGGTCTGGTCCCGGAGACAGCGTGGCCACCCCGACTCCGTCGCCAAACACGTCTACACAGGGGCCCCAGTTCGTGAAGAAGGTCAGGTTGTCGCTGTACGGCTCGATCGAGCCAATTGTGAGACCGTGTTCGAAAGCAGCGGGGGAGTAGTCGCACGCGTTGCCGTGGAAGTTCCCCGCCGCAGAGACGACCGCAAACCCGCGCTCCACCAGCTGCGACAAGGCAGAATGGAAGATCTCATTGCGTTCGGTCACCATCGCCAGCAAAACCACCCCAGGAACCTCATTATCGTGTATCATTTTGATTGCTTCAAGAACAGAAGACAGTTTGCCGACTCCAGTTTCGTCAAGCACCCGGTAATCAACCAGAGTGCATTTCTTGCTCACTCCAAACATCTCTGAGCCAACCAACCCAGCTAGTGCTGTTCCGTGGCCGTTAGGATCACCATACGTGCCGTCCTTGACCAGGTTGGCGCCGAGTCGAGCTCGCGAGTTCAGGTCAGGGTGGTCCAGCTTGATCCCGGTGTCCACGACATAGGCGCTCACGTTTGCGCCGGCCGCCGGCTCGTACGTGTAATCCATCAGCTGGCGCCGATTGACGTTGCCGAGCTGCGAGATTCGCACTAGGTGTTTTGGGGCAAACTCCTCCACGCCGGAGATTTGCACCGGGCGGTCCAGGCTGATCCGCTTGACGGCCTTGTCAAAGAAGGCCGACTTGACAAAGTTGATGTTGAACGCGCCGTGGCACAGCTTGACGTGTCCAATGTCGTAGCACTTGTGCTCACCCGCCAACAACTGCCCGTATCTAGTTTCGAAGGAACGCTGGTCCTCGGTAGAGTCCAGCTCCAGAATCAGGTTCACGAGGTCCATGCCTCGACAAACAACAGCAAACACCAGCACCAGAAAGAGTCTCATGCGTTTTAGACGAAATATTGCGTCCCCAGAGATACGTCTGGCTGCGAAGCCGCACAGCCAGGGTTCACCACTCCTCGAACTGGATGTCGTTTTCGTACGTGAGGAACTCGTCGTCATCGTCGTCCTCTTCGTTGTCATCGTTGTTGTCCACCGTGCCAGTCTCGTCCTGTTGGACCGGCGGGTTGGTGCTTTTTCCGGTGCGCTGCTTGTATTTCTCGCGCCGAACTTCACTTTCTGTGACTTCAAACTCACGGTACTTAGCAAGATATATCTTTAGTGTCTCCGCGTAGTTCTCAAAACCCAATGAGTACATAGCAAACAGGATGTCTTCGCCGTTCAAAGTCTTGCGTTTCTCAATGGAACATTTTTCTGCTGCCTGCGAGGTGATGAAAGAGATAAACTCAGAAACACACTCCTGCATGCACTGTTTGGCCTGTTTGGACAATTTTCCCTGTGGAGGTAGGGCATCGCGCATTACTCTCCCCACGTTCGCAATAGGCAGCCATCTGTCTTGCTCTCTGATGTTCATACTCGCCAAAGAAAGTTCCCGGTGTTATCGAATTTAAGAGAGACACAAGCAGTACCAGTCACTCGAATTCAACAGCTGTGGTAAGAATAACCTTTTTGTATGGAACAGGAATGTTTGTGGACCCAAAGAAGAGCTTTCTAGTATGTTGTGGAAACTCCGAGTACAATAGATCTGGAGTAGTCTGGCTGCTACCAAAACAATGCAAGTTTAAAATTTTATCTAGTGCGCGAGATCCACCCCACCGATCATGGGTGCGAAAGTGGGGGACCCAGACCCCCAGTAGTTGGCGCAAAGCGGTGCTATGTATAGGTATGCTAGTCGTTGCGAATGATCAGGTCCACGTCGCACGAGTTGTTGCGAATGTACTCTCCGTTCACCATGTCGTTGTGGTCTGTTCGAGCCTCTGCCTCCTCTCTGGTGCTGCTGATTCCTGCCTCCAGATGCCGTTTAATAATGCGCTCTCTGATTTGGTCCAGATTCGCTGCCACCATCCATCGCGTGTCCACGAGCTTACTGATCACGTTCCACGGCTCTTTTTCCAAACAAACGTAGTTTCCTTCCACCAAAATCACCTTTTTTTCCGGAGAGATCTTAATGGCGTCGTTCACCGGGTCTTTCAGCTTGTGGTCAAAACTGGGCGCGTAGATCATCTCGCTAGGATGAGCCTTGATCCGCCGCACAAGCTCAACCAGCTTCTGCGCATCAAAGGTAAACTCTGCCCCTCGGCGAGCCACCATCAATTGCGGGTCGTCCATCCCCATCAGCTCCTTCATCGAGTAGTGGAACCCGTCCTGCGGAACCACCAGCCCAATTGGCCGGCCGTGCCGTGAATTGAAGCGGTCAATAATGATGTTGGTAACAGACGTCTTGCCACTTCCAGGCGACCCACAAACCGCCACAATCACCCGCTCCCCCGCACTTTTCTTTTCGTATAGCTCGTCGAGCAGGTCGACTAATCGCTCAATATCAGAAGCAGCGATCTCTTTCATTTTCGGAACATCTTCACCCGCGCTGGAAAATTGTCTGTTAACCATAACATTTGAGCAATCCCTTTCTTGCAAGCGTGCACTCCTCACACCAGAAAGATAATCTCTCAGCTGGAGCCACCACTTGAGTTTCTCTTGGTAGCTCAGAGACACGAGCCCCGAGGTGCTGGGAATCACAAACACATCACAGCCCTCCAGTTGGATCTCCTGTCTCCCCCACCGGAACTCCTTCAGCGCTTGGACCTGACCAATGTTTTTCAGAACGTGCTCCCAAATCCCCTTGCCAACAAAACAGGCCACCATTGGCCGGTACTCTTTTAATTCTGCACACAGTCGGGGAACGTTTTCCTTGATCTCCTGTTTGGTTAGCTGGCTGGCGTTCTGTGTCGGCCGCAAAACAAGATCCGTGAACCCAATGCCATATTTCACCAGACCCCAGTCGTCTTGGGCCGAGCACGGATGCGCATATTTGCCGTCAGTCGCCACACGCAGTATCTGCGACTCGTTGAACAGCTTCCAGAACAAGTTCGTCGGGTGCGCATAGTGGTGCTGCGCAGAGGACGACCGGATCGAGGGATTGTAGCCGATGAACACCACACTCAGATCTGGCTGGAGCGACGGGTTCAGATCGGCGAGTTTTGGCAAGGGAGGTAATTCGCCGGACTTTCTTCTGCTCCGGAGCACTGTCTTGCTCACTTTCTCAGTGTACTTGTACTTCTCAAGCATCACAGCAAGCAATCCTAAAAGACTGGATAATTGTTACAAATTTAGTATAATCTTTCACTCGGGAGAGTCCCGTGCAAGGATGTTTTGGAGCAAAGGAGCAGACCAACATTTAGCCACAAAAGCTCGTCGATTGAGCCGTATACAAAACAGAAAACGGTTCACCGTAAGTGCGAACATGCTTGTCCCTGGAAACCGACCAACCTGAAACCAAAAAAGCACATGTAACGCTCGAATGCCGCGTCCCACCCCCTTCCAGTCAGCCCCACCTTACGTTGGTGCGCTCTGTGTGACCCGACATCGAAATTCCCTCAACATCAGTGTCTCCTGACGCAGCTTCATCTGCAATCCTGCGAGTCGCTATTCTGTCGGAAACACCAAAGACAGATTCCGCCTGCAGGTCGTGCACCTCCTTACACGGATAAGATAAATAGTGTTATTTTTCGTAAGATAAACTTATGTCTCTTTTGGTAGTCGGATCTGGAGTGTTTGGGCTCTCCACTGCCATTGAGGCCGCTCGCAAAGGCTATTCTGTGGTGGCTATTGATAAGCATTCTGTTCCGTCACCGTACTCTGCCGCTTATGATTTCAACAAGATCATTCGCAGCGAGTACGACTCACCAATGTACGCCAAGATGAGCTTGGATGCGATGGATATCTGGACTTCCGACCCGAAGTTTTCAAAAACCTACTTTGAGTGTGGCCGGCTGTCAATTTGTCCGACGTCCAACGCTGGCAGACGGAAGTTCGACGACACGTCGATAGAGGTGCTCACACAGCTCGGCAAGGCTGACAAAATCCGCAAGTACACGGACGGAGAAACGCTGAAAAAGGACCTGGAGTGTCTTAAAGACTGCGAGTTCTCGGAAAATGATGTCTACGTGTACAACGGCAGAGCGGGATTTGCACACGCTGCGAATGCTCTGAAGGCTGCGTACGAAATAGCCACAGATCTGGGAGTCAAATTTGTGTTTGGTGAGGCAGGAGAAGCTACTAAGATAATTGAGGAGGATGGAAAATCGTACGTGTTGACCAAGTCAGGCGCAAAGTACACCGCAGATCGGATCCTTGTCACCTGTGGAGCCAGTACCGGCTACGTGATCAACATGGGAGGAATCCAATCTGCTTCAGGTGTGTTTGTTACACATGTTCAGTTGACCCCTGAAGAAGCTAAAAAAATGCAGGACATTCCGATTATCTTTGATGCTGGACTAGGCTACTTTTTCCCACCCGATCTTGAGAAACGGCTTGTCAAGATCTGTGTTTCCGGAACGGCAGCCGCTCATACGGTCGACAACCCGCACGCACAGGGCAAAGTCTCGCTTCCTCGGTACAAAAAAGATTCTCCAACAGACACGATTCCGAAACATATGACTTTGCAGGCCAGAAAGCTTTTGGGCAGGTACTTTCCAGAGCTGGCTGCGAAGCCTTTTGTTGATAGCAAGACGTGCTGGCTAGCGGACAGTTCCAATTCGGATTTTATCATAGATAAGGTGCCAGATTACAAAAACGTGTATGTGGCTTCAGGGGACTCTGGTCACGGGTTCAAGTTCCTGCCCAATATTGGTCAGTACATTCTCAAGCTATTGGATGGGCAGCTGGATCAGGAAATTGTCCAGAAATGGAAGTGGAGACCCGAGATCGAGGGGGTGGAAAAGTACGAAAAGACAAACTGGAAGCTAACCAAGGAATTACTCGATTTTAACAAAATTGACTTTGTGGAGGAATCCACAGGAGACAGCTTGTCATAGATAAGACATATGCAGAACTATCCAATAGAAAGTAGCAGAATAGGATGCCCTGATAACGCCATAGATTTCATTTCCGCTCATTGTCCCGCCGATAGCATCATGTCCGGTGTTTCTGCGGCTGCGCTATCATGACGGAAATTTCTTATCAATTTCCCGATTTGGAATCTAGTATAAAAAAGGAGCCGTGGCTAGAATTGGGACGACATTTGAGCAAAATACATGGCTGGCGTTTCAGACTCTGCTGGAGAGAAGATCTCTGCTGTTTTACCTCAAGATGATAGGAAATGGTACCAAAGACCAAACTTGAGAAAGCTCAACTTTCTGATTATGAACTTCATTCTCTATGCAGCTGCCATCGGGTACGATTCTGCACTGACAAATGCTGTTCAGGCCCTGCCTCAATGGCAGGAGTTTATGGATAATCCGACTGGAACCTGGCTTGGATTCATCAACGCTTGTCCTTTTATTGGCACATGTGCAATTATCTTCTTTGTTCCTTACTTTTGTGACAGATTTGGACGGAAAATTGTCATTTTTGCTACCTCGTTTTTGATCTGGGTTGGAGCCATTGTGGCAGCTTCTGCAAAAAACCATGTCTCCTACATTATGGGAAGAGTCATGATTGGATTCTCATTTGCTTGTAATTACGCTGCTTCGTTGTATATCAATGAAATGGCGTACCCAACGACCAGAGGAAAGTTTTCTGCTGCTTACCACTCAATGTTTTTCTTTGGGTCTCTGATGGTGGCCTGGATCGTTTTTGGTACCAGATCTCTGCCAAACAGAAACAGTTGGAGAATTCCACTGGCGCTACAGGCGTTCCTTCCAACGGCTCTTATGCCCTCCCTGATCATGTCTCCTGAATCTCCTAGATGGCTGGCCTCTAGAGGAAGAATCAGCGAAGCAAGAGAAATTCTATTGAAGTACCATGCAAATTACGAAGAGGAATACGTTCCTCTTGTTGACTTGGAGATGGCAGAAATTGTGGCAGCCATTGAAGCACAGAAAGCTAACAACGCAGTCACCTGGAAATCTCTTGTGGCGACTCCAGGAAACAGAAGAAGAATGTTCATCGGATGCTTTACTACCCTGTGTAACGCCTGGTGCGGCCTGGGTATCGTCTCGTCTTATCTCTCCACTGTGCTGAAGTCGGTTGGTATCACCAGTGTTCTGCAACAGACACTGATCAATGGTTTCCTACAACTGTGGAACTGGCTCTGCGCAATTACTGGTGTGCTATTGGTTGATAAACTAGGTAGACGGACTTTGTTTCTGATCTCGATGATTGGACTATTCATCTTCTATATTCCATTGACTGCGATCACTGCCGTGTACCAGGAACAGGGAAAGAACATTGGTCAGGCCATCATTGTGTTTATTTTTCTCTGCTACGGGTTCAACGATATTGCGTTCACCCCGCTGGTTACGTCGTACCCTGCAGAGCTCTGGCCTCAGGCTACCAGATCCAAAGGTATGTTCTCTGCCATGTTTGTTCTGAACGCCGCTACGTTCTTCAACATCTTTGTCAACAGTATCGCTCTTAACGCGCTCCACTGGAAATACTACTGTGTTTACCTTGGAGTGCAGGTCGTTATGATCATCGTTATTTATTTCACCTTCCCTGAAACCAAGGGCCACTCGCTGGAAGAAATTGCCCTGATTTTCGACAAGGACGAGATTACTCAAAACACGCTCGGAGGTATCCAGGTTATCAAGCCTAGCGGAGAGAACGGAAAGATTGCCGCAGTGGTTTCGGTCACGGAAGTCCCTGCTAGCTCGGAAAATATCTCACTAGTCTAATGCAGATTCTTGCCTCCTTTAAAAATTGTTATAATCACTTTTTTCTTCTTATCAGCAAACCTTATCAATCAGTAGCATATTACAGGTGGCATGTACGTTTTTGCGCTTATCAATGCACCCCCAAAATTTCCTATTTTGTATTCAGGAAATTTTGATTGAAAATCCACACCTTGAAAAGCGGAGTTGCCTAATCTGTAAAAGTTGCCCGAGTCATCAGTATAAAATGCCTTATCACCCACTCTGGGTGACAATTTCTAACTCAAGACATGTCTGACGTTAAGATTGCAATTGATAGAGGTGGAACATTCACCGACTTCTTGGCCATCATTCCGGGCCAAGAGGACTACGTTTTCAAATTGTTGTCGGTTGATCCCGCCAACTATGCAGATGCCAATATCGAGGGAATCCGTAAGATCCTGGAGTACGTTCAAAAGAAGTCCATTCCCAGGGGGGAGCCTTTGGATACCTCCATTGTGAGTAGTATTCGTTTGGGAACCACCGTCGCTACCAATGCTTTGTTAGAGCGTAAGGGTGCCAAATGTGCCTTTTTAACTACCAAAGGCTTCAAGGATCTCCTAAGAATTGGAGATCAGAGTCGTCCTGACCTGTTTGCGCTGAAAATCGTCAAGCCTGGTGTTTTGTACGAAGAAGTGATTGAGATCGACGAAAGGGTGACCATGTGTGCTTTCACAGAGGACGCTCAAGGAGCAAACTGTAGAGAGCTTCTGGATGGAGAAAGATACGTGGAGAGCACCACCAAGGAGGTGTTTGAGATTCTCAAGCCAATTGATCTTGAGGCAGCAAAAGTGCAGCTTCAAAGACTCAGAGCCAATGGCTTCAGATCGGTGGCTATTTGCCTGATCCATGGATACAACTTCCAAGAGCATGAAAAACAGCTTAAGAAGCTCGCTGTCGATATGGGGTTCGAGTTCATAACCACCTCCCATGAGATCATTCCTATGATCAAGGCTGTTCCGAGAGCCCAATCGTCGGTTCTGGACGCATACCTGACCCCTGTGGTTAAAGAGTATATCTATGGTTTGCTCAAAGGATTCAAGCCTGGATTTGAAAAGCACACCCGTATCGAGTTCATGCAATCCGACGGAGGAATGTGCACTGCTGAGAATTTCACTGGACTGAAAGCTCTTTTATCTGGACCAGCTGGAGGTGTTGTTGGCGAGGCTGAGACATGTTACGATGCCAAGTACAAAACTCCCATTATTGGCTTCGACATGGGTGGTACCTCAACAGATGTTTCTCGTTTTGCCGGCCAATACGAGCATGTTTTTGAAACTAATACTGCTGGAATCAACATCACTGTTCCTCAACTCGATATCAACACTGTGGCAGCCGGTGGTGGTTCTATTCTGTCTTACAAAAATGGTATTTTCGTTGTTGGTCCGGAATCTGCTGGTTCCCATCCTGGACCAGCTTGCTATCGTAAAGGTGGCCCATTGACTGTTACCGATGCAAACCTTGTGACCGGTAGAATTGTTCCCGAGCAGTTCCCTAAGATCTTTGGACCTAATGCCAACGAGTCTCTTGACGTTGAGATTTCCAAAAAGAAGTTCCAGGAGATCACCGATTTGATCAACTCGGAAAATGACAAGGCTCCGAAAACAATGGAGGAGGTTGCACTGGGATTCCTGACAGTTGCCAATTTCAACATGTCCAAGCTGATCAGAACTCTAACGGAGTCCAAGGGCTACGACATCACCAGACATAATCTTGCTTCGTTTGGTGGAGCTGGTGGTCAGCACGCTGCTCCGATGGCAGAGATTTTGAAGATCAACAGAGTCGTCATTCACAAATACTCCTCGATTCTTTCCGCCTACGGTATAGCTCTTGCAGACACTGTGGTGGAAAGACAAATTCCTTCCAGCGAGGTGTACAGTGAAAAGGCCCTTCCTGAGTTGCTTGCAAAATGCGAAGACTTGCAAAAGGAAGTCAAGAAGAAGCTGCTGGAGCAAGGTCTTACAGAGTCGGACATTTCATTTGAGGTGTTCTTCAATATGGGCTACCATGGATCTGAGACCAAGCTGATGATTACCCAGGTCGCCGAAAAGGACTTCTTTTCTTCCTTCAGAGAGTCCCATCTGCGTCAATTCACGTTCGTGGACGACGAGAGAGACGTTATTGTTCATGACTTGCGTGTTAGAGGAACAGGAACACTGTCTAAGGTGGTTGAGAGATCGCCCTACGAGGATTTGGAGACCATTCCACAGCAGCCAGTTGCTAAAGGTGTTGAGGTCAGCGAGCAAGTTGTGGCATTTGATGAAGGAAGCATGCCATCTAAGGTGTACTTCATGTCTGACCTGAAGATTGGAGATGTTGTTCCTGGTCCAGCTCTTATTTTGGACGAGACGCAAACCATCTTGGTCACTCCGGGAGCTAAAGCTGTGAATCTTCCAAGACACATCATTATCGATGTGGACAATGAAAAGACCCAAGAGGAAATTTCATTGGACTATGTTGATCCGATTCTGTTGTCTGTGTTCTCTAATAGGTTCATGTTCATCGCCGAAGATATGGGAAGAACTCTGCAAAAGATTTCGGTTTCCGCCAATATCAAGGAAAGAATGGACTTCTCGTGTGCGTTGTTCGATGAAGACGGTAACTTGACCGCCAACGCTCCTCACGTTCCAGTCCACTTGGGATCCATGAGCTTCAGTATCAAGTACGCCATCAAGTACTGGGGAGATCAAATCAAGGAAGGTGATGTTCTTGCTACCAATCACCCAATTGCCGGAGGAACTCACTTGCCAGATATTACCTTGATTTCGCCAGTGTTCATTGATGGAAGAATCAGACTGTTTACTGCATCAAGAGCACATCATGCTGAAATTGGTGGTCTTGCTCCAGGTTCTGGATCGTCGAATGCAAAGTCGTTAGCTGAGGAGGGAGCCCAATTTGAAGCATGGAAGATTGTCTCTAAGGGCCAATTCGATTACGAGGGGTTGCACAAGTATTTCATGGAAGTTCCTGCTGAAGCTCCAGGCTGCTCTCCAACCAGAAAGCTGGAGGACAATGTCTCTGACTTGAAAGCACAGATCGCCGCTAACCAAAGAGGAGTCAACCTGTTGCAGGACCTGTTCAAAGAATACGGAACTGAGACTGTTCTTTTCTACATGAAGAATGTTAAGAAGACGGCTGAGCTAGCTGTGAGAGCTGCATTGAAAAGACTTGCTAGAGAGAACAGAGGGAAGCTACCATTGAGAGCCGAAGAAGTTTTGGACACTGGATCCAAGATTGTGGTCAGTATTGATATCAACGAGGAAGATGGTTCTGCGGTCTACGATTTCACTGGTACAACAGAGCAGGTCTACAGTCCTCAAAACTCTCCAATTGCTGTTACCCACGCCTGTGTCATTTACGGACTCAGATGCATCATCAACTCGGACGTTCCTCTCAACGAGGGTTGCCTAGTTCCAATCAAGATCATTGTTCCAGAAGGCTGTTTGTTGAATCCATCCAGAGAGGCTGCTGTCAGTGCCGGTAACGGAAGTGGCTCCCAGATTTTGACAGAGACCATCTTCAAGGCTTACCAGGTCACTGGAAGTGGACCGGGATCCATGAACTCATTATCCTTTGGTATGGGAGGTCTCGAAAACGGAAAGCTCATCAAGGGCTTCGGTATGGTTGAGACAATTGGTGCTGGTAGTGGAGCTGTTGAGGGCAGTGACGGATTCTCAGGAACCCAGTGCCATATGACCAACACCAAAATCACCGATCCTGAAGTTTTGGAAAAGAGATATCCATGTATCCTTTGGGACTGGAGTATCAGAACTGGAACTGGTGGTGACGGAAAATGGAAAGGTGGCGATGGTCTACAAAGAATTATTCAATTCACTTCCAAGGTGGAGGCAGGTATTGGATCGTTCAGACGGTCCACTTCACCCTACGGTATGGCTGGTGGAAGTTGTGGAGCCCGCGGTGTCAACAAGATTGGAAAGTTGCTTTCTGATGGCACCATTCAATGGTTTGGACTTGGTCCGTTTGCCGATGTTACCCTGCAAAAAGGAATGTACATTGCAGTGTTGACTCCAGGAGGAGGCGGTTACGGTGATCCTAAGGAAAGAAAGACCATCAAGATGAAGACTGGCCATGAGCTTCCTAACGTTCCTTTGGCTGGTGGTACCCTTTTCAACCTTGTGGACGCAGCCAATACTTCTCAATAAATAATTACAAATATATCAGATGTTTTTCAAAGAGTCGGATCTAATTATTGTTATCGCATGACGGTTATCAAATTCCGAGATAAGAAATTTACTGATGATTTTCTTTTATTTAAGTCGACCTCGGGAGAATCAATCATTTGTGGATTTAGTTCAATGTCTGAAAAGGAAGCAAATGAACATTCTGTCGAGTATCTAAGTAGTACTGGTGCTCAGGACTGGTCTGACGTTGATCAGGCCATGCAACTTGCTAATGAGTCGAAGAAAGTGGTGATTGACGAAAAAAGAGATAGAGCCGTGCTTAGAAAGCTGGACTTTTATTTGATGCCTCTTGTCTCTTTTCTTTACGCATTGTTTTATATTGATAAAGCATGCAATGGTTATGCTGCAGTCATGGGTATCCAGACTGACATGAATATGAAGGGAAACCAGTACTCCTGGACGTCCTCCGCATTTTATTTGGGCTATCTTTGTTTCCAGCCATTTGCTGGTTACACATTGCAAAGATTTCCATTATCGAGAACATTCAGCTTGTACATGCTCTCTTGGGCTGTGATTATCTGTTTGCAGGCTTCAAACAGTAGTTACGCCGCGTTCACCTTTCTGAGAACCCTCTTGGGCTGCTCCGAAGCTTCAGCCTCGGTGTTCACTACTCTACTTACATCTCAATACTACCGCAAAAAAGAGGCGTTTTTGAGAGTCTCATTTTGGTTGAGTACCTCGGGATTTGGAATTGTATTTGGATCGCTGATGAGTTACGGAATTGCAATCAGGGCAGATCAATTTACGATTGAATCCTGGAAAGTGCTATTCATTGTGGTTGGACTCATTTCTTTGGTTATTGGGATAATCGTGTTTTTCCACATTCCTAATACTCCTGCGGAGGCATGGTTTCTTTCCAAAGAAGAGAAACTCGTTGTTGTTGAAAGAATCAGAGAGAACTACCAAGGATTTGGTAATAAAAAGTTCAAGAAACAACAGTGTATCGAGGCTCTATTGGACCCAAAGACGTGGCTCTTCTTCCTTTATGCTATCGCTTTCAATATTCCTAACGGAGGAATTGCTTCATTTGGATCTATCTTGCTGCATAGCGATCTTGGTTACTCGTCGACCACAGCACTTCTGTACGGTGTTCCTCAGGGAATTGTCGAGTTTGTTGGACTACCGATCATTGCTTACACAATCCAGAAACTCAACTGGTCTCGGCTGTTGACCACAAGTATAGTTATCATCTGCTGCATCTCTTTTTCCTGTATGCTGGCGTTCGGAAAGGAAAATCATGTTAAGCTTGCTGGATACTTGCTTTTGAGTTTCATGCAAATTGGTCCAATTGGATGCTTCTCTTATTTTGCAAGCAATGTTCCAGGCCACACTAAGAAAATTACGGTCACCGGTATCTACTTGATTGGGTACTGTGTTGGAAATCTAGTGGGTCCCCAGACATACCGTGCTTCAGATGCTCCTCACTATGTCCCTGCAAAGATAGCCATCGTGGTTTGTTTGGCGGTGTCGGCAGCATGTCTTTTGGCTATTTTCACAATCTGCATGATTGAAAACAAAAAGAGAGACAAAAACCCTAATGCCAATCCCGAACTCGCCCCGGAGAACATTGAGTTTTCTGATCTGACTGATAAAGAGAACATATTTTTCAGATACACTTTATAATTTTATCTCTATTATTTCCTAATTAAGCTTCATGCCGTTCGAGTCTTCTTTCAAAGTATCCATTACAAGCTTGACTAGTTTTTGTGATCTCTAATTATTCGCTTGAATAAAACTATATTTTGCTAGTCTGCTAAATACCTTCAGCAACCACAGACTTGAATGCCTCTTCAATTAGTCTCAAGCCTTCACTCATCTCCTCTTGCGTGATGGAGATTGGAGGAGCCATTCTGAAAGTGGTTCCAAAAGACTTCACTGCAATCAAATTAGCGGAAAGACCCAGACTCATCATTTTAGCAGCGAGCTTGGAAGCAAGCTCTGGATATGGCTCCTTGGTCTTTTTATCCTTCACTAGTTCCATACCACACATCAAACCCTTTCCTCTAACGTTTCCAATCCACGGATAAGTCTCAGCCAGTGCTTCAAGACCTTCTCTAAATTGAACACCTCTCTGGATAGAGTTTTCAACCAAGTTATCCCTAATCACAATGTCCAGCACCTTGGATCCGACTGCTGCAGGAATTGGGTCGTTGACGTGGGTCGTGTAAAACAGGAATCCCTTCTCTTGGGTCACCTCTGCAATCTTGTTTGATGTCATGACAGCAGAAAGTGGCAGCCCATTTCCAAGAGTTTTACTAAGAGTCAGAATGTCCGGAACCACACCCGAGGCAATCGAAGCAAACATAGAACCGGCACGGCCAATTCCGGTCTGGGCCTCGTCAACAATTAAGAGCATTCCACGAAGCTCACATTGGTGCTTCATTTCCTTCAGATATCCATCTGGAAGGACAAGCATACCACCAGACGACAAGACCGGCTCTAAGATAACGGCAGCTAGAGAGCCAACAGAAGAAGCGTCAACCAAAGACCACCCGTAAAGGAGCTCGGTCTTCCAGTCATACGATCCATCAGGATGACGGAAGATTGATCTATACTCGTTAGGAGCCGGAAGAACAAGTTGTCCTGGAACAGTTGGGCCGTGACCGGATCTACCAGACTGGTAGGTACAAGAATTTGCATTTCCTGTCATTCCATGCCAGGACAAGGAGAGTCCAACTATCTCAAACTTTCCGGTGTAGGTCTTGGCAAGCTTAATAGCACACTCGTTAGATTCCGCTCCCGTGCTGAGAAAGACAGATCTATCCAACCCTTCAGGTGTCAATGCAGACAGTTTGGAAGCAAGATCAACAACTGGCGGACACAACATACCAGAAAAGATGTGATCCAGATTGTAAGCATAATTGGAAATTACTTCCCCAATTTCCTCGTTGCAATGTCCAATCAGACAGGACATCTGACCCGAGGTGAAGTCAAGAATCTTTTTACCTTCATTAGTGTAGACGTATAATCCTTTGGAGCCAACAATTATCTCACGAACAAATGTTCCACCAAAGTTCAATAGGGTAGAATCAGCTTTCTGCCAAAAGTCTGAGGAGGTTAGTTCACACGAAACAGTCATTGTGATAAAATTAGAGAGCTTGTTGAAGTTATTTTATATCATTTCGGTTATCAAAATCCGAGTTGTGCCTGCAGCTATTTCTTTTTTTTGGTCGGCTATCAAAGTTTATCATTAAACGTATAATCCGGGAACAAGGACTCCCAATTGTCAAAAACTTCAGAAGTCATAAACAGGGGTGGTCCGCCAAAACTATTGTCCAGTGGAACTGTGCCCCAATCGGGCTCTTTGTAGTTGTCTAAATATGGAGGTGTGCTTTTCAGATAAGCTGCGTACTCGGAGTCGTAGTCAAACTCGTAGTTAGTCGACAGCTTGGACCGAATCATTGCATATGACTTCTCACTCAATTTCCACGTCTCACCACTTTTTTCTAGTACCACCATGAAGTCGAAAAAGTGCTGTCGTGTGATTGGATTCTGATGGAGGTATTCTGCAACACTTCTTTTGGATGAAAGAAGAATCACAGATATTGATAGAATGCAAGAGTAGATGATCAAAATTGAGCACTTGCGAAATCCGTGGATACTTGTAAACTGAGTAATGGCAATGTGTAGTTCGGATATCACATCCTGACATATTTTAATCGATTCTGGCGATTCTCTGGTCAGGCTGATGAATGGGCGATTCAAACATAGAAGGACGATATAGTAGAAGTATTTCAAGACCATCTTTGTTGGGTCACATCCCTCAGTTTCCAACTTAGCTGGTGTCCAGTGTAGGTTTTCGGGCAATCGAGCTTTCCACTCTATTAGTTCTTCATTATACTTTTGAAGAAGCTTAAGCTTATCAGATATCTCGAACGAGTGATCATCCAAAGGTCCAGCGCCAGTAAATATTTCCAAGAGCATGTATTCGGTGATATTAATCAGGTCAACAATGGCTTTGAGCGGATTAACAATATCAACCTCTTCAGGGGTTTCATCCGAGCGCGGATCCTTGTAAGTGAACTCATCAATCCATTCAATGTTGGGCATAGTCTCGCATTCCTCAATGGTAGTCTGGCTCATCTTCAAGACACTAGGTCTTCCTAAAATCAAACTTATAAAGTGATCTGCTAAATAAGATCCCCATAACACCCTGCTACGGATACCCAAATTAGTCTCATTCACTTGATGCTTTGATCCAACATTCCAGCTCTTGGGACTCAGTTGAAATCCAAGATTGTATCCCATCCTAAGACCAGATCCGGACAACATCCATCCTCCATTATTTCTGCCGCTGTAAATATCGTAGAGACCAAGAAGTAAGAAACTTTGTAGAGACGTCAACGTTGGGTGGTTTAATTTCTTCAAAAGACTTTCTCTGGCCTCATCGTAAAACATTAATGACTTTTCTTTTATCTTATCATTTGATGATAGCAGAGCACCAATAGAGCATATGGATAAAACTAGCTCTTTGGAACAATATGAAAAGTCCTTCTTCGGGTGGAAGAAATCTAGCAGAAACGCTTCTCGGTATAGGAAACAGTGAAGATCAGGATAAAGCCATTGGAAGAATAATTTGATGCATTCCAATATTTCAGTATCCGAGTTCAGCATCTTCAATTGATCAACTTCATTGATCTCCGAGTTAGGAATGTTCACACTGTCGAAAATACTTGTAGGCCCATAAACAGATAGAGATTGGTTTTTATATTCCGGAAAAGAATCTGTCCATGGATATTGTACATTTTCGTGATGACTTTTCTCCACAGGTTTTGATGGCTGCTTTTCAGGTCTGGAGATCCCAGATATTGTGTCTGAAAGTAGAGCAATCTGCGATTTGAGTTGATCAAATAAGTGCGTGTTGTCCTTCAGCCGTTCTTCTAAATCTCTGATGTATTTGCTATCATGTCGCTCTTTCCTAAAATCCTTTGACGAGCGCTGACATTCTAAATTATGCTTAAGGCACGAGCTACATGGATGTTTCAAGCTCAAATCGCATTTGATCTTTCTGTTCCGACATTCGAGGCACGCCACCGAAGCCCGCTGTCGCTGTCGTCCTTGAATACTCATGAAAAATTAATTTGGAAATATTTTAGATAGCTACGTTATCGGTAAATAAAAACCGACACCTCGAAAAAAGTTGATTAAACATGATTTTATCCTTTTTCTACTGTTTGGTGGTTGTGGGTGCCTTTCAGGCTACCTTCAGACAAAGCTCGTTGATTGAGCTTCACAAAGATATCACTGAGATCGATTCAGAGGTTGGTAACGAGTACGATGTCGTTCATTTTCTTGCTGGCTATCTCTCGGACCATGGACTTACTGTTGAGCTTCAAACGGTAGCAGAGAGTAGAGAAAATATCTATGCTTATATTGGGTCGAGTAGAGATACAAAGGTGCTTTTGACATCTCATATTGACACTAATCCTGCTGGAAAGATACCTTACCATGTGATTGGAAACGAGATTCACGTTCGAGGTGCTTGCGATGCCAAGGGCAGCGTGGCATCCCAAATCTTTGCTTTCTTAGAGCTTCAAAGAGATGGAATCATTACCGAGGGAGACCTGGGGCTTTTATTTGTCGTGGGCGAAGAGTATGATGGAAGTGGATCTTTGGCCGCAGTGACCAGCCTCAATGCAACCTGGTCTAATGCTGTTGTCGTTGGTGAGCCAACTGAGAACAAGTTGAGTGTTGGACATAAAGGTAATTTCAGATTTGACGTTAATGCGATTGGTGTAGCCAGTCATTCAGGTTATCCCGAGCAAGGGTTTAGTGCAGTGGAATTTTTGATGAGAAGGATTGAGCTCTTACTTGACACAGCTTTTCCTCATTCCAATCTCCTCGGTCCCACTACTGTCAACATTGGAACTTTCCACGGAGGAATATCAGCGAACTTGCTTGCCCCATCTGCTAAAGCTGAAATTTACATTCGGGTGGCCGACGATATTAACCTTGTTAACGATACAGTCAATGAGATTTTTACTACGTCTCACTCCAACTACTCAATTGTCCAGATGCTCGAACCACAGTATTTGGATTACGATATTCCTGGGTTTGAAACTGTGGCATGCTCATATGCCACAGATATTCCTTACTTCAAACGTCCAGGGGTCAAGAGATATCTATATGGGCCTGGATCAATTTTGGTTGCTCACAGCCCAAAAGAATATTTGACTGTTGAAGATTTGTATGAAAGTGTCGAAGGATACAAAGCTATTGTTCAGTATAATATCTGAACGGAAATTGATTGCCGGGTTTTTTCTCGGGTAAATAATTTTCAACCATGTATTTTGACATAATCTTCAAATTTTATGTCGCTTTTTCCTCTAAATCTCTCGTTTGCAAATTGAAGTTCCAACACGCAACCTTGACTGAAACATCTTCTTCAACGTATCAGCTCATAAACCATAAAAGTTCTTAGTTGCATGTCTACCAAATCTCCGCTCTTGGTGGACTCTTCCGCAGCATCGCCCGGCTTAGTCGCGACAGATCTGATTGACGACTTAGAAACCACAAGTGTCGAGGAATCACTGAACTCGGTAAGACATTATGGGTCCATAGCCATTCAGAAGTCGGAACCAAGCGTATCGCCAACTCGGCTCAAAATCATACTAGGGTGTTTATTTGTTAACGTGTTCCTATCTGCTCTTGACTCTACCATCGTCGCTACACTTCTAAGTATCATTGCTAGCGATCTCAACGCACTACCATACTTGTCATGGATAGCTACAAGTTACCTGCTAGCATGTTCCGCATTCCAACCACTGTTTGGTAAAATATCGGACATCTTTGGTCGCAAAAGTATCACTGTCTTTTGTGCGTTGTTGTTTGCCTTTGGCTGTCTCTTCTGCGGAATCACAAACTCTTTCTGGGTTTTTGCTATCGGCAGATTCATCACTGGGATTGGTGGTGGAGGGTTTAATACCCTCTCAACAATAACTTTATCCGACCTCATAGAAACAAGACAGAGAGGTTTGTACCAAGGCTACATGAATATAGCCTTTGGAATGGGAACAGCGAGTGGAGGTGTTATCGCTGGTATCTTTCAAAACTTTTTCGGATGGAGATCTGCGTTTCTGATTCAGTTTCCGATCTGTATTTTATCTGGAGCACTGGTGCTCTTATTCTTGGAGCTTCCAGATGGATCACCAGGAAGAGGAGTCCAAGGATCTTCTATATGGAAAAAGTTAAAACACATGGACTTCATTGGATCGATATTGCTGGTCGCATCTTTGCTTTTTCTCATGTACGCCGCATCTTCTGGTGGAAGAGATTTCCCTTACTCCAGCAAACAATTCATTATACCAGTGGTGTTGGGAACAACTCAGATAATCATATTTTACTTTTATGAACTAAAAGTGGCTTCCCAGCCAGTTATTCCCGTTCAACTGCTACACAATAGAACCGTTTTGAGCTCCTCATTAAACTGCTGGTTCATTTCCATGAATGTATTCTCAATTTTGTACTTTGTGCCGCTCTACTGGTTAGTGGTCAAAGATTTGTCATCTATTGATAGTGGAAACAGACTTCTTCCCTCAGCTGTTGCAATTTCTCTTGGGTCCGTTTATGCTGGCTACCGTATCAAAAAGACTGGGAAATACAAAAACGCCTTACTATTTTACGGAGCACTGACTACTCTCGGAAGCATTCTTGTTTACTTGCTGACTCCCTCAAGTAGTGCACTCTTTGAATACTTGGTTCTTGTCCCCAGCAGATTTGGAACCGGCGCCGTTATCACTGTTGATCTGATTGCAATGATCTCCTCTGTTCTCCCCGAAGAACAGGCACTAGTGACATCTATCCAATATGGATTTCGGTCTACAGGATCAACGCTTGGAGTTGCCATCGCATCAGCAATTTTTCAAGGCTTTCTTCTCAAAGATATGAAATTCAATATCTCACATCTCGAACACATCCCGGATAAATACAAGAGCGATCCAGATAAGCTTCAAATTATTATTGAGAAGGCATTACAAAGTACCTCCTACATTCGGTCTGGGTGCCCAGAGTTTGCCCGTGAAGCAATAATTTCTGCATATAGCTCGTCCACTCATATGGTTTTTGTTTTTGTTGTTGTGACTGGATTAATTGCTACCTTGTGTTCCTACTTCATTGAGGAAAATAGTTTGGAGAGATAAAAAAAGTTTTTAGAATAATATTATACAGCAAAAATATATCCCCAATGCAAGAGATTCTCTCCGGACGGGCTACAAAACTCTCGTCGAGTGCTTGTTTGTTTTGCAAAAAGCGGAAGCGCAAGTGCGATGGAGCTCAACCTTGTACAACATGTATCAAATATAACAATACGGACAACTGTGTCTACAAGTCCGAGAACGACCGCCGCAAGAAGAAATACGACTCTGCTCACATAGACTATTTGGAGGTGAAAGCGGACCTTCTCGAGCTTCATGCAGCCAATCTGATCAAGAACTCTAGTAATCTCAAGGGATTTGATATTAACTCAATTCTGCCCAAGAGGCCTCAATTAACTCAGAACAACGATTCCACTCAACTTCAAAATATGACCGAAGAATATACCGACATAGGAGCTTTGGAAGAAATCGTTTCTACTGCCTGGAAAGTTCGCCAGCATGGTGATAAGACCGAGTTCTATGGTCCTTTATCAGGTCGACAAGGAGTCGTCGAAGATGGTGAAGAGGAACCAGTTAATCCGGAAACAGGCTTTTTGGACATTAACTTTACCTCACCACAGTTCAAAGAACGTCTTCTCAGCACTTTTGAAGAGACTTTTGCTTGCTATTTCTATGTTTCAGAGCTGACTTTGGACTCTGTGCGCTCTTGGCAATTTCCATCCCCTGAACCCGATAAGCAGCTCTTGATTTGTGCAATCTTCGCCTACGCATCCGCCTACGTGCGACCTTCCATCACCTCAGCATTCCTGCAGGAAGCAGAAAGCTCCGCTCTAATTGCTTGTAAAGAGTCTTTGAACGAGAATGTTTTACAAGGATTATTGATTCTTTCTTGTTACGAGCTTGGAATGGTCCACGATCACAGTTCATGGTTGTTCGATGCAATGTGCGCATCACAGGCACAGTTCATGGGACTACACCTAGCGTCAAAGCCAATTGACATGAGTACTCCAATGAGCTTGGCTACGACATCGCCTTTAAAGAGTGCACTTTTTTGGTCTATAATCATGCAAGACAGATTCATTACCACTGTTTTGGGCCGGGGCTGCAGAATCCAATATTTCCGTATCATGACTCCATTTTACAGTCCTCGAACTTCGCCGCAAAAACATGACAAATACATCAGTGAGCTCACGTTTTCGTTCCATTCACGATTATGGTACATTCACGATCGATCGACACAGCAGATTTACTCTTTCAGAGCGGATTATCTACACAACTCTCACCGCCAGATGCTTTTGGAGCAAGGATTTTCGAATTTGAGAGCATTATATGAATCATTTCCCGACACAATCATGTTAAAACCTGATACCACAGATAAGCGGATCCTTCTTCTACATTTGTCATATTACGTTGCTCTATTATTATTGCACCGGTCATATCTGATTCAGAATCCAAAGAAGATTATTCAATTGATGATTAAGTTATGTACCTCGGCATCTAAAGTGGCTGAAAGATTCTCAGAACTTTATGGATTCAACAGAGCGCCTTATTTCGTTGGATACCTTCTCTTCCAGTGTGCAATGTTTGATTTATTCATTCTCGCAAACAAGGATCGCAGTCTTCATGAGGGAGCGAACTCTCGGTTTGTCAAGTTCATGACTGCACTAAGCGAATATGCAGATGTTTGGACCCGTGGAATCAAAGACATCAAAGTGTTGGATAATCTTTCTCAGCAGTGGAACGTGAACGTCCCTATATTACAAAAACTCAGACAAGGCAGTCAGCCAGTTTCAGATATATCATCCACTGAGAACGATCTTTACGGAAATTATCTGGATGTTGATCTGGACAAAGACTTTGCCAACACGATGCCGGTGCCTGATGTCTACAACATCCCAATGTTTCTGGACAGTTTTGATTTTGATTTTGCTTCGTCTTAAAAATATACCACGTACTGCTTATCAATATTACGCTCTTTGCACCAGGATTCCACGGAATTGTTCATTCCAGGTGGTCCACAAACCAGCAACATGTACTCTCCTGTAGACCAGTTGGAGACATAGCTATCGAGCAGATCATAGCTAAGTCTTCCTGTGAGGCCTCTCCAATCTTGAGGAATATTTCTCATATCAGATAAAGCATAATCAACCTTAAACTGCTCAGGATGTTTTTGAGCGAGTTCGTCCAGCTCTTGTTTCAATAAAATGTCGTCGAGCGTCCTGTTTCCGAAAAATAGTCTGACACTCGTTCTGTCTTCTGGATCAGAAAAGATCGCCTGGATCACCTGATATGTAGGTGTGATACCTGATCCACCCGATATCATGACAAAATGCTTCATTTGATACGGTTTTTCATTGAAAGTACAAGACCCACATTTAAGGTATTCAAACTCACCAACAGGACCTTTAACTTCAATGGTGCTTCCAATTGCTAGTTTTTCGATAAGATTCGTCATAATACCTCCATTTGAATATTCTGGACAGGGGAAATAAACTTTGATCAAAATTTCCAGTCTGCCCTTCAAACTCTTTAAAGACTTTGGAGTGTATGCACGCATGACAAACTTGTCAGATGCATCTTTCAGCCGCAAGAACAAATGCTTACCGGTAGGAAGGCCGATAAGCTGATCCTCATGCTCAAGATCGAATTTAAATATACGAGAATCAGATGATATGATCTCTTTCTCTGCAAGTGTGATTTTATGCCATTTCTTTGGGTCGAGTAAACTGTCTCGCTTGACATTCTCAATTGAAGATGATTCAGAGGATGATTGAACTCCACCCTGTTCCAGTATACCCAAATGCATTGGCGGTAGCAGCTTCTTGGCGTAGGATGAGTGGATCGCTATGAAATCTTCGGTAGCATCTTCTCCGCTCACCATCACAATGGATTGAACTCCTCCTGGATGATCATCCAGGTAAGATGTTCCGTCAAACACGTGTCCCTTGACCACAAACCATGGTTCTTTATCGTTATTTTGATGAGACTCAAATTCTGCTTTGGAAATTATCACGTTCATTTTGTCTGGGTTGCACATCATTTCAATATCCTCGTCAACGATTGGTTTCCTCTCTTTGGTTTGCGCAAAATCAGCAACCTCGCCCCAATTTTCATCCAGGATGTCACCACCTTCGGCTTTGACTCTGTCCATCCATCCTCCCGGCTTGTTAGCAACCACTGGATGTTCAAATCTTAAAGAATCACCCTCTTTAATGATGGCAACTCTGTACCACCAATTATTCAACATGGAGGTAACATTCCAATACATTGTCCTTGGTTGGACCACCATTCGCTCATCCATACCACGCACAACAATGTCTTTTGCGTCAGAAAGCTCGGATATCGGCACCTTTAGCTTCCAGAAGCACCAGCATAAACAGCTCATTCGATCACAGACGTTCACAAGTCCACCAAAAAGCCGGAAGTAACCAGCCTCCCGGTATTGATCTTCAGGATAATCTATGTCAGCCAGCTTCCATGTCCTTCCCTTATCCAAACTTATTTCAACTCTTCCAATTCTGATGCCTCCTCCATTATAACCAAAGCCAGCTATCTCGAACTCTTCATCTGAGATCTTCACGACCTGCTGGTTTTCAGGCTTGCAAATCACGGTCTGCAGATTGAGATCGTAAATTGCATACCGCTCATCCTTCCACCACCTGTCATCACTCTTGGCCATTTCAGGAGTAACCATTGTTGGCAGCACTCTGTTATCAAAATAATGGTACCAATTCTCGGATGGACGGTCGCTGACAATAAGCTTTCTTAACCATTTCACAGACCGTCCCCCAATAACACCAGGAATAACAACGCGCAATGGTTTTCCATGATCTGGTTGCAGCCATTCTCCATTTTGCTTATATGAAACCATAATAGATCTTTCAGGATCCATTGCCCAATGGAGCCGGACACAAGTTCCGTAGGCTCCATTTGCAGGAGAATCGCAACCTTCCATCCAAATGTATCTAGCTTTCTTGTGAGGCTTTGCTTTGGCTATCACATCGCCTAACATGCAACCTGTCCATAGCGAAGTAGACGTTCCTGCAGCACCCCAGTTGAAACCAGTACCCTTCTTGACCATATTTTGCTCCTTTCTTCTGTTACCAGCACAAACAAGCGTGATAGGAACCGTATAAATATCAAAGCTCTCAATGATTTCCGACAGTTTGAGCTTATAAGGTTTATCGACCATACCTTCGATTGAAATTTCCCAATCCATGATACTCTGGTCAGGAACTTGTGGCACTGGACCATGATTTCTCACAAAATGCAAATTAACTGGAGTCAAGAACCCTGAATCATAAAGCTTTGACAGGGGAGGCTCGCAATTAAATGGATGCGATCCTGTCAGTCTTAACAGCTCTGGATCTCTTGGAACATGGTGGTCTTTTGTTTTCTGATCGATACTCAAAACCTCTTTTAGTGGTTCATCCTGTCTAATGGGAAACGGTAGCTCGGTAATGTCTTTTATCTTTTTGAGCTCAAACACATAGTTGACTTCAGTGAGTATGGGAACCATTTGCAAAAGGACCTACAATGGTGCTAGCATTAGAAATAAATTACATTTTACTCGTGTATACTTTTATTCTCCGTCCTGATAAGACGGAGAATAAATTTTGGAAGCGGAAATAATGTGTTGTGAAAAACATCAAAGAGCGGTGAATTGGTCGTTTTCGCAGGTTTCCAGAATTGGAACGCTTATTCCATGGCGGTCTGAAAACTCGCGGAGCATATTAATATGGCGAAATGACCTCTTCCAGCGGTTTCCATGTATAAGCATCGCTTGAACACATATCTCGAAGTTACTCAAGTGATCCGGCTTGGCTTTTTCCGCATAGAGCACTAAATGTATCATAGCAGCCAGAAAACAAATGTACCCAAAGTGGTAAGAGGTTTTTTCCACATTGTTTGTTTTAAGTAGCACATTCACAAGCCGGGATATCTCTGTAGCAGAACCAACACATTTGCTGCTACTGACAGGATTTTCAATAAATAATCGTTCCAAAAGAATGGAGCAGCCTTCGAAATGGAGATGGAATATTATGATGTAAAACTCTTGCGAATAATTTGGATCCTTGAAAGGAGCTGGCAAAGAGGTTTTCAGATCTTGTAAAGCCTGTTCAGCAGTCTTCAAAAGTTTTGTTCGTTCCTGTGTGTCTCCCAGATCACCCTGAACTGAACAAATTTGATCTGTGAACCGATCCAAAATATACCAAAGGCGTGTGATATAGCAGAAACAAAGGTCTATGAGGTAGTCCTGGCTAGACGGTGGTGACTGTACTTCGTAAAAAGGCGAGATGATTCGTTTGAAATGGATGCATGAAGGAACACCTATTTTTGTGGTAATGATCCGGTCTTGTGTACAAATCGACCACAACAAAGCAGACTGATATGGTGTAGTTTTTGGAGCAAACTTCGCCGCCGAAGAGTCCTCATCGTATGATATATGATACCCCATATGTTGAGTTAGTGCACATGCCATCGAAATATGTAGATACGACATGGAATCGTTACCTAATCCCATTTCGTAGCAAGATAGTAGAAGCAGTCCCTGTACCACATATTGATCAAGATGGAATTTGGATGCATATACAGCAGTTTGTTCTGCTTGATTAATAAATAGTTTGCTGATTTTTTGCGAGTGTGGGTTTTTTGAGTATACGCATGCGAATCCGAACATTGCACACATCAACAGTTGATGAGAAGGATTGGAGTCGGTGCTGAAGTCCCACGATATCACATCCGGCAACGAGAGCTTCAAAATGTAAGCAACCTCGGGACAGTTATTTTGGAATAGGTTTGCAAGCTCTGCTTTAAAGATCGGATCAATGTAATAGATATGTGGACCTGTCACGGCTATCAAAGAGCCAAAATCTTCGTAATCTTCTTCAGGCTCTGAGAAATTATCCAAATCTAAATTATCAATTTCATTCAGAAGCGTTGCTAGTTGTGCTTCTTCGTCCAATCTTTTCATGAAGGGAGTCTCCTCCAGATTCATATCTGTATACTGAATAAGATCTGGGTCGTGTTTGCGGACGAACTTTTCCAAAGTCTCAATCTTTTCTTCCAAGTACTGAATATAGTCCGTATGATACTTTCTTCTTCGTTTGTCACTTTCAGTTAAATAAACGCATTCTCGGTGTCGTTTTATACAATTAGAGCACGAAGGCGATCTCCCATCGCAGTCCTTTCGACGCAAGGCTTTGCACGAAGAACAAACCCTTGGAGCCGGAGTACTCATTTCTGAAAGATTTTTTTACGGTATATTTTTACTAAAATTCCTATAGATAGCGAATCGGTGACATTTTTTATCAATTACCAATCCAGCATCACTTTAGAAGTCTCCAATTTCTTGGATGCCAATATTTTTTTCACTTTACCTTTCTCTGTCTCTTCGCCCTTCACCTTCCACTTTGTAGTTCCCAGAACCTCATCCAATTCCGCGGTCGGTGGCAGCTTAGCAAACACTTTCCCATCCTCTTCCTTGATTTCAAATGTAGCAATAGATAAGGATTCATCATTCTTGCAAGCCCCGGTCTTCAAGTAATAATTACGCTTGTGCATCGGACAAGAAATGTAACAGTTTTTCGAATCATCTTCAGATAACAGTCCTTGGTTCAAGACAAAAGCGCGCTTGTGTCCACACATGTTTTGAGAGCAGAAGAGCTCGCCGTTGCTTGTTCTGAACAATGCAAGCTGGGTGTCTCCTTCGAGAATTGTGGTAGAAGAGCCTGCTTCAGCAATAGGAAGATCAGAACTGTTGCACACTTCTTTCCAGTGGGTGGATGACCATGTTATCTTGTTGAACTCCTTGTCTGCTGACTTCTCTGGCCAGTGAGCTGGACGAGGCTGGCCTCTTTCGCTAACAATCTCCACTGTCTCCTGAGTCTCCGGAGTATTCATGAACTGTTTGAAAATTGGATTATCCGAGTCCTCGGCGACTGCTCGTGCCCATTCATCGTAATAGCCAGCAACAAGCGTTCTCATCTGACTTTCCAGCTCGTCACAAATTCCCAACTTGTCGTTGATAATGACATCCTTTAAATATTCAATGCCACCATCAAGCCCTTCAAGCCATCTTGCAGTACGTTGAAGCCTGTCAGCAGTTGTAATGTAGAACATCAAGTAACGGTCCAAAATTGGTATGACTTCATCCGGACGAACGTTGGATGCTAACAGCTGGGCATGAGCCGGCTTCATTCCACCATTTCCACCAACGTAGATATTGAAACCATCTTGAACGGCGCATAGTCCGAAATCCTTCGAGTGGAATTCTGCGCAATCACGAACACAACCAGAAACTCCACCTTTCATTTTGTGAGGAGACCTGATACCCTTATACCGTTCCTCAAGTCTAACAGCAAGACCGACAGAATCGCCGATACCATATCTGCACCAAGTGGACCCAACACAAGACTTCACGTTACGCAAAGTTTTTCCATATGCCTGTCCACTTTCAAAGCCGGCATCATTAAGGTCTTTCCAAATCTTGGGCAAATCACTCTTCTTGACTCCAAATAGATCAAGTCTCTGAGCTCCAGTGATCTTGGTATAAACGTCGTACTTCTGAGCGATTTGACCTATGGAAACAAGTTTCTCTGGGGTAACTTCACCCGCAGACATTCTCGGAACAACAGAAAAGGTACCATTCCGTTGAATGTTTCCAAGGTATCTATCATTGGTATCTTGAAGACCATGAACCTCTTTCTTCAACAAGTGTCTGTTGTAAAGCGTCGAGAGGATGGATCCAACTGTTGGCTTACAAATTTCGCATCCAACTGCTGACGGATCGGCACCAAGGTTCTCCATCACCTGCTTGAATGACTGAAATTTCTTCACCATAATAAGCGAGAACAGGTCGGCTCTGGAATATTGGAAATGGGTACAGAGATTATTCGACACCTTGTTTCCCATCTTCTTCATTTCTGCCTCAAAGATGACCTTCACAGTTGGTTCGCATCCTCCACACGCAGTTCCGGCCTTGGTACACTTCTTGAGATCTCCTAAGCTTGTGCAACCATTTTTAACAGCTTCCACAAGCTTTCCTTTGGTAATATTATGACACGAACACACCTGAGTATCGTCAGAGAGCATCTCGACATCGTCGTCTCCAGGTTTTCCAATGATGAGCTCTGACGGAGACATGGTGAGTTTTTTCTGAACCATAGAAGAGTACTTGGTGTAGTTAGAAGTATCGCCAACGAGAATTCCACCCAAGAGATATTTACCATCCTTAGTGAACAGCAATTTAGCATAGGTTTCATCAATAGGATCTTCAAACACTAATGCACGGACCTCCTTCTCGTAACCTCTTGGAACCCATTTAGGGCCATTTCTATCGGCAAAGAAGTCACCAAATGATGCCACATCAACACCCATCAGTTTTAGTCTGGTTCCCATATTTGGTTCGGAAAACTCTTTGAACTGATGAAACTTCCCTTGTGTCAAGTTAAAAGCTAGAATGTCAGCCATTTCATATCCAGGAGCAATTAGGCCAAAAGTCATGTTGTTCCAAGAAGCACATTCTCCGATTGCATAAATGGAGTCGTCCGATGTCTTCAGCACATTATCCACTTTGAAACCACCTCTGCTACCGACATCAAGTCCCGTTGATTTCAGATCATCTCTTGGTTGGATTCCAATAGTATAACACAACAAAGAGCATTCTTCTTCTTCACCGTTGTCATATTTGACGCCAGTCAAATTTTGATCTTGATCAAACTGAAGTTCTGAAATAGTGGTTCCCGTTCTGCAAATTATACCCAGATCTCTGACCTTACTGGTCAGTAGTGCACCACCTTTCTGATCCATTTGCTGAGATAATAGCCACTTTGATCTATGCACAATAGTGATTTCATCGAAACTTTCCATATCGTAGAGTGCTTTTGCAGCTTCCAGTCCAAGCAAACCACCTCCAACAACAATGGCACGTTTCTTTCGCGGGCCTTTACAAAAGTCAACCATGGCATAAAGATCGTCAATAGTACGGTAAACAAAACAACCCATCTCTTTGTAGGTCTTCGAGGTCGGTGGGGGCAGCATTCCGATTGGTAAGATAGCCGTTGATCCAGTACACAAGACTAAAAAATCGTAATTAGCGGTCTTGCCTTTGCTTGTGCTAATGGTCTTTCGTTCCCGATCAATATCTGTCACTTTTTCGTCAATAACGTAATTCCACTTTTGATCTCTGGTTTGGTAGAACTCCTCAGGGGACAACAGCAGATTATTGAAGTTGCGGTGCTGAAAGTATTCGGTAAGTCCAACTCTATTGTAAGCAAGGTAAGGTTCTTCACCATAAACCGAAATGGTGAATTCGTCCAACTTGGAATCGTTCAAGAGAAGCTTTTCAAGGAACGAGAGTCCAACCATACCTAAACCGACAATAATGAGTCTCTTCTTCTCGACAGGAGGTTTGCTCTCCTCCGGCAAAGGAGGCATCGAACTTGTCATTGGAAAAACGAATATTAAACTTCTGACCTTCAGGCCAGTTTTTATTTGTTAAGCTCTACCACATGATTTCCGCAGCTAGATAATCTCCGTCCTGCCAAATAATCTCCGCTTGAAAAAAACAGTCGTCTGAATATTTTCTTGAATTATATGCGAGATAAAATAAATACTGCACCCTGCAATGTTAAATAAAAGATAAGCATGTTTATAATTTAGTTTCCACCTCCACTGGTTTTTCTTCTCTGATTGGAATAAAGGCACACACTGCGTTCACAGCAACACACACTATGCCAATAATCCAAAAACCGCGGAAGTAGTTATTAACTCCGTCAGAAATGGTGTACCTAAACACCAAACTGAATAGAATACCACCAAGATTTCCCATTGCTCCTGTAACTCCACTGACTGTACCTGTGTGGTGTTTGTTGATAATCGGAACACAAGCGTAGTTTGCACCGTTACCCATCTCAAACCACATAGACATAAAACACACAGCAACAATCAATCCAGCGATGGATAGCTGGGGAACAAAGCCAATCCAGATCAGAAAGATACCTTGCATCAAACCAGTGAAGATCATCCAGAACTTCTTTGCCTTTGTAGTTTTGAACCGTCTGTAGAGAAAGTCAGAGATCATCCCGCCAGCGGGTCTGGTAACCACATTCAACAAACCGAGCATGGAACCCCAAGCTCCAGCTTTCGAGGTGGACCAGGACTTCATTTTTTGGCCGTAGAGATTTGAAATGATAGACTCAATAGCTAATTCAGTTCCAAATGAACACAAATAGCATAGCGCGACAAGCATGGTTCTTGGGGAGATCGAAATCTTGAAGACGTCCATTAAGGTAGGGTCTTCAATGATTTCATCCTTGTTGATAAGGTCATCAACGTCGACAATTTCGTGGTCATCGCCTTCGTTGTAGACAACCTCGTCAATACCGTTATTGACTGGCTCGACGTGGACAGAGGTCAACTCTCCCTCTTTAGAAAAGTTTCTGGTGACGGAAACGGATTTCACAAGCAAGTTATCCATATTGATTCCCAAAATATCGCCTCTAGAAGACCATTTTCCACGTGGACAGTCGCTTCCAAAAACCAGAATCATCAGGGCAGTTGCCATCAAGATCAAGAATGGTCCAATGACGAAAGCATAAGACCAGGAATGATGTAACGAGTATCCGTTCCTTTTGAGACCCTCGGATATAGCAGGCATAACAAAGAATGCAACACCTCCACCAGCATTTCCCCATCCAGCTGCAATCGCATTTGCGGTTCCAATGATATTGCTGTCGAAATACACCGAGCAAAACTGAGAGCAGCAGATAAATGAGGATCCAAGGAAACTAATAAAGAATCTGATGGCGTGAAGACCCGAAACATTATTCACTAAAGGAACAAATGCTGTTGGAATGGCACCAACAATTAACACAAAAACCATAGTCAGTCTTGGGCCAAATTTGTCATTAAGTGGACCAAGAACAAATCTTCCAATAAGGGTCCCCGTCAACCCACAGATATTATTGTTTGAGATTTCAATTGCAGTCAGCTTGAGATCTGTCTTCAGCATACCATGAAGCAATGGTGGAAAAGCAAACCATGAAAGGAAACAAACAAAAAACCCGAACCAAGCAAAAAAGAAGTTTCTTCCATAGATATTGAATGGATTCAAGATAGGGATCGACTCGGCCTTCAGGTTACGTGGGTTGACCACGGGCGCTTTCCAAAGCAAGGAGATTTTCATTTTACTATTTTGAGTTGCTAGTTATGGGTTTATTCGATCGAAATATCATCGGTTTATATCAGTTTGGTTGAATATCTTTTTCGAGTTCTCGAGCTATGTTATCGCGATTATGCATAAAAATTATTGTGCAAACAAATCTCCGTCAATTGTAATAATAAGCTTACTCAATTTATGACTGTGATATCTATTTTTCTCTGTTTTTGCACACATTATTCTCCGTTCTCCTAGGATCAAGCGGAAGTATGTTGTCCAAAGAAAGTGGTCTCAGATTTGCAGATTAGTATGACGGAGTGTATTTTTTCTCACGAGATCGTAACCTAATAGGATGCTTGCTGACAGTCGAAAACCAACACATATATGAAGGAAAATGGTAGCCCGTGGTTCGAATAGCCACAGTAGCACAACTTTGCCTTCTCTGGATAGAAATTTGATAATTCTTGTCAATATAGCTCCTTATCTTTTTAGGCCAAGACTTCGGTGTATATGAGGAAACATACCTGATGATCAGTTTACTGTACATGATATTGCTAAGTTGGGCTACTTTATGAGAGTTAGAAAGTGGGCTTTTGCAGTATCATTTTAAGCCCTGTATTGGCTCCAAATCAATCAGTAGATATACCGGTTTGCTGTTGCTTGTAATTGAACCAGTTGGATATATGTACTTCAATTAAAGACTTTAGCTCCAAGCTTTACATTACCCCATCTGTGGATTTAATATCGCTCGAAAATAAAATTTCCGTTTGGGGATAAAGACTTCTCGCTTATCTGTTCAAGAAATTCTTCATGCTCCCCAGATAGTAGTGGTTGCACACCTTATTATTTCAATTAATACCTGCATTAAGGCAACTGTAACCCATGAAAGTTACTCAACTAACCAATTGTTGTTGACTTTAGCGCGAGTCACGCTAACGTGATTGACGCGGCTTGAGACGTTTGAAAAATGATCTTTATTGACACGAGAGCTTATCAAGCCTTTAAAAATCTGCTTATCCAATAAATTCATTTCTTGGTGTTACTATTTCATTTATGGATAAACTACCCCAGCTTCTGGATTACTAATACACCGCTGATCATGCAATTCTTCAGGGTCAGGTGTAATTGATAGATCTGAGTTCGATAAAATGCAATTGCTGTTAATTTCAATGAAGACGACTTGGTGGACGATCTGAATCTGAAATAAGAATCCCTAAAAGCCCGTCCTTTGGATAAGTATTGACTCGACACGACTTAGTTTTGAAGAAGGTAAGCATTTTCATTGATTTCAAGATAGATAAAAAACAGGGGTAAGAAATGTGGCTTTGTGGTTCGCCACAAAGGTCTGAACGGTCTTGGATTGCCACAATCTTATCTCGGGCTATAAAAGGGCCATGATGTCTTCATTTCCAGAGAAGCATGTCTAATACTGCAACACTTAAGCTGGAAGCAATTCCTGTCGATAAAGAGGTTGAAAACCTGATCAGATCGTCTGACAAATTATCAGTCGGATTCGGCCAGACTGAAAACGTGAATTACGGGCCTGATCCTATTGGTCTGGATATTCTACCAGAGAGCACAAGACAAAGACTTGTCGAGTCCGGAATTGATATTTCTAAGGGATATCCTTCTAGACCCGATAAATCACTTGTGCCAGTTTTCCTTGACGAGGCCACAGCAATCCGCGACGACGACTACGAGTACATTGAAAGAGGTAAGAATGCGGATCCCGAAAAGAAAGCCCTTTTTGGTGCAGCAAAGGAGGTCATCAATTTGACAAAACATGTCGGAACAGAAATCGTCGGGTTGCAACTGGAGGATCTGAATGACAAGCAAAAGGACGAATTGGCACTTCTGGTTGCAGAAAGAGTTGTTGTCTTTTTTAGGGACCAGAAGCTGTCTCCACAGAAGCAGCTTGAACTAGGAGACTACTGGGGACGGGCAGAAAGACATCCACAAACTTCACAAGTGAACGGAGTTCCCGGTGTCTCTGTTATTTGGGTGGATTATTACCGGAAGTCGTATGGATTGAACTTGACGTTCAAAAACAATGCTTTAGGAAACTGGGATGCCACCAAGCACACGGTCAGAGGTCCACAAGTTTGGCACACTGATCTAGTTCACGAAAAGCGGCCATCCGGGATTACCCATTTACATTTGGATGCCATTCCAAACGTTGGAGGCGACACTTCCTGGGCCTCTGGATACGCTGCGTACGACAAGCTTTCGGAATCTTTCAAAAAGTTTTTGGACGGAAAGAAAGCTGTGTATGTTTCTGCTCACGGCTACCTGGACAGAAAAAACCCATTTTCTGGCCCAAAGAGAATTGAGAGGGTCCATCCTTTGGTCAGAACCCATCCTGCTACCGGTTGGAAATTTTTGTACGTGAACAGAACGATGACCAAGCGGATACTTGGTGTTTCTTCCGTTGAATCCGACTTGATCTTAAACTATTTGTTTGAGGTCTACGAGAAAAATGCAGACATCCAAGCTCGGTTCAAGTGGACTCCATCCTCAAAGCCTGGGTATGGAACATCGGCTATCTGGGATAACAGAGTCTCTCAACACTCTGCTGCTTGGGATCACGAGGGCAACGAATCTCGTCATGGTACGAGAGTGACATCTCTGGCAGAAATACCTTACTTTGATCCGGAGTCAAAATCTCAGCGCGAGGATCTTGGACTATCATTAGATGAGAGAGACTTTTTTTAGTAATGCCAAGATGGTTTCCTAGCTACGTACGGACATGAAAGTATAGTGGAGCTTATGACAAAATGACGTAACCGCCTGGATGAGAAGCAGCTGGAATGATATGGATCATCCCATTGTGAACCTCTCATAACAAAAGTTTTACTTGTGTTGACAACTCGAAATCATTATGGGTGTAGAAATGGAACACAATAGGGTACTAACACTACTTTTTCTGGAGCTACCTTTCTTTCCCTTTCAGATTGACGTTTACAAAGCTACTTCAAAGAAAGATTTTGGATTGAGGTGACGCTCAAACCTCAAGCTGTCTTATTGTTCCTTCAAAAGGCTCAGAAAGTACTTAAGGGCTTGGCATCAAGTAATATTAGTAATACGCAGCAAGCAAATTTGTTTCTCGTCAAAATCTCAGAAGACCACAAAAACATTAACTGACAACAAACAAGTCGGTACCCTATGGTCTCCAGTCAGCATTTCAAACCAGTCACTTGCAAAAGGAGCAAGGAATAGCTAGCTTCCCATTAAGTTCCGAGATTATTTTCAAAAATGCTGCCCTGCTTCCAGCGTGCGGCTGAAACCAAAATTCAAATCTGAAGAACGTGAGGAATGTCCTCCGGAGAATAGTCTTATCTCCGCATAGGGTATATTTTCCTCACTATAAATACCAAAGAAAATAACCTTTTGCTCGCCAACAATGAATCGGAAACAATTTGCTTATTTTTTCATTTTGATTGGATTAACCCTAGATAATCTGTGTTTGAGCGCTGGGTTTACTATTACCGAGAGCCTGGAAGAAAAGTTACACGAGGATTATGTGACAGTCTCCTGGGTCATTTCCGCTTACGCGGTGACCCTCGGCTCTTTTATAATCTTGCTCGGTAAACTAGGGGATATCTTGGGGCTTCACAAGGTTTTCCTTGCAGGACTTGTTTTGATGAGCATTACTGCATTGATCAACGCCCTTGTGCCCAAAGCTATACCCCTTATTATTTTCAGGGCAATCCAAGGAGTTTCTGCAGCAGCTCTCATTCCGACCGGTATGGGATTGACAGCCTCGTATTTTCAAGGCGACCAACTTCTTCTTGCGATCAGACTACTCATGCTGGTCTTGACTTCGTCAGGTGGATTTGGCATTGTTCTTGGTGGTGCGTTTTCTGTCACCAAAATTGGTTACAGAGCGTTTTTCTATTTTAACTTTGCGGTAAGTACGGTGTGTTTTGTTGCTCTTTGGTTCCTTATCATACCTGTTGAGCCTCATCAGTCTGTCAAGATAAAGAATCTTGATTACGGTGGTGCTTTCTTTCTGGTTGTTGGAATGCTTTTGATTATTGTTGGGTTCACGGAGGCAGGAGCCAACTGGAATTCAGCAAAAGTGTACGTCACAATCCCAGTGGGAGCTGCGATTGTATTCGGCGTTGCACTATATGAGATTGCATACATCAGTCAGTACCAGAAAAAGCACCCCGACTCGGACGATTGGAGGTCTAAATTAGCCGTTTTATTTCCCCTCGAGTTGAACAAAGTTCGGCTTTATGTACTTTCATGTTGTGGAAGTCTGTTTCACTACTGCGCATATACTGTGCTTCAGCTGGGACTCATTCAGTTTCATGAAGAGTATGATCACGATTCCCCATTGATTGCAGCATTGAGGGTCCTACCAATAGTTGCAGCTTTTGTTTTTGGAACCATCATCTGGAGACCGGTGTATGTTCAGAAAGTTGAGGATAGGTATCTCATTATGGCTTCAGCTATCATCTGTATTGGAATGACTGCGTGGTCATCTAAATTTCAAGCGGGTCAATATTGGAGGTATGAGCTTGTCAGTTTGTTCATCCTAGGGTGGGTTGTTAACATCTACTATCAAATAGTGTTTGCAACTATCATTACACAAGTCCCGCTTCATTTACAGGCCAATGCCAGTGGGATTTTCCAAACATTTGGACAAATTGGAGTTGCTCTTGGAAGTGCTGTTACTGCTTCGATCGTTGGCACCAACAAGTCAATGCTCAAAGAAAATGTTGGCAAATGTTTCTATCTAGTGTATGCATGCTATGCGGCAGTGTTTGTGATGTTTGCTGCAAACACTCTCTTCACCAAGATGAGAGGAAGTGGATCAACACAAGATAATGAGAAGGAGCCTGCAACTCCGAAGATTGAATCTGATGACGGCATTGTCGAAGAACAGCCAGCGAATGATCCAAGTTCGGATACGTCGCCAAGTTTTACTCCGAACAACATCAAAAAGTGATCACGATTAGTAAGCACGTAGATTGCAGTCTTTTGATATTGATGTTCGTCGGTCTTGGAATCAGATGGTCACTTTTGTGAGTCAGTCACATGTTGTGCGCGTTCCTTATCAATAAGAATCTGGAAGAATTATTTGGCAAGATACAATATGCATTTGGTCCTTCTTCGGAGGAAGAACTGCAATATAGGGTGAGTATAGTAAATCTCTTGGTTTCCAGGTTAGATCAATCATGGATCATTCTGACCACCTCGTTGGCGATAAGAGTCTTTATCGAGATTACGTAATAGTATGATTCTATCGGGTTCATATCAATCTCTAACACCCGGTAGATATATCCCCAAAAAGATTTACATGTGTCTGAACCCAGTTGAAGAGTTTACATTTGATCAGAATTGATGTCTAACATGGAGACTTCCCGGCAGCAAAATAATGCTACCAGCCAGAGCGATTTTGAGCAGATCGGAACTGCAGCCAATGAAGTCGCGGCGTCCGATGACTTGATAGATGAAATCACATGGCCAGCTGTCGCAATCCTTGTTTCGGGATTCTTTGCAAACTTTATAGTCTTTGGAATTGGGTTTAGTTACGGTGTTTTCCAGGAGTTTTACCTTTCCCCAAAAGGTCCACTCTATGGCCAGAAACAGTCCCAAGTCGCTATGATTGGAACCTTGGCCACCTCTTTGACATATTGTGGGGGCATATTTCAAAACTTCATAAGGAATCACTACTCTACAAGACTGAGCATGAGCTGTGGTACTTTGATGTTAGCATTGGGGATGATTCTCGCAGGAAGCTGCACTCAAGTCTGGCAATTTAGTCTGACACAGGGAGTCATGTTTGGAATCGGCTCATCAACGTGCTATCTACCTCCTGTCATTTACGGTCCCCAATATTTCAAGAGATGGAGAGGCACCGCAAACGGGATAATCTTTTCTGGTACCGGATTCGGTGCTCTTTCATTTGCATTTCTCACAAGGTATTTGCTGACTGCTATTGGCTGGCGATGGACTTTGAGGACTCTTGGTCTTATATCACTGATTGTGGTTGGGACATGCAGTCAATTTGTGACTCCTCATCCAGATTATGTTGCACATTCAGACTCTCTCGTGCTGAACATGTCAGTCATTAGATCGAGAAAGTTCCTTCTTCAAATACTAGCAGCAGGCTTTCAGTCGCTTGCATACTTGATTCCCCTAACGTATATGTCGTCCTACGGTATAACTTTAGGTTTTACTGAGAACCAAGGAGCGACTTTCATTGGTATCAATAATGCGATAAACGCAGTTGCAAAAATTGCGGTAGGTCGTGCAGCAGATCATGTTGGACGAGTCAATATGCTCGCAATTTGTTGTCTGTCGAGCACGGTGGTGGTGTTTGCCCTCTGGCTTGTTCCGCAACGAGAAACATTCACTACTTTCGTTGTTCTGTATGGTGTGACTTCAGGCCCGATAATTTCTCTTTTACCTGCCACTCTAGTTGAAACATTTGGAATCTCGTTATACCATTCCGTTTCGGGGCTACTATATTTCTCTCGTGGGGTTGGAAACGCACTTGGGTCCCCAATTGCAGGTCTTCTCGTGGGAACTTCGGCCGAGAGACCATCTAATTACAGAAGCGTGATTATTTACACCGGCACGGCATTAGCCATGGCATCGTTGCTAGTTGTATCATTTCGACTCAGCGTCAACAAAAGGCATTGATGGCGCTATTTCAATAGCCACACATATAGCACTAAAAGTTTTAATTAGCGATATCAGTTTTAGATCGAGTTTTCTGAAAAGAGAACTTGTTGAATGAGAGGAAGCTCGCGAGATACAGTAAGCATCCAATACGAAGATAACATTAGAAGACTTCTCAAACTCAATGATGCGGAAAGCCTAAAACGATTCATGAAAATTTAGGTTCTATGAGAGTACAGCTCCTGAGTTCGCTTCCGGCCGAGCTCTCGATGCATTGTCCCAGTCTACTGATAACCTATTGTTAGGATATGCAGACACCTAGGCTGTAATAGTCTCGGGGACTAAACTTTTCAGCCTCATTAGCAGCCATAGGTGATTTGAGGTGGTGCACCCGGACAAGGAGCCCGAAAACTTTTCAATGGTCGAGTCACACTTCTACTCCCCAGCACTTGAGGGTCTTTTCCGCCTCGGCAATATGCACGAATATTCTCTTGGCTGATTGTATTTTACCTGCAGCCGGAGAACCTCGACGCAGAAAAGCCCCTTTTTTGTGTGGCTACCTTCTTAAAAAGCAGGAAAATAAAAAAAAATACACAAATCATGGCGCACAAAACGGTGGCTCTCCTGACGGAGAACTTATTATCAATTCCCGACGCTTTATAAGGAGGTCGGAGATCGCTGGATCGTTATCAATTATCGCTTATGGCTTCGAAGGAACAACATAAAGACGTTGGTGTTCAGGAAATTACGGTGTCTGACTCCGATCAGACTTACCCTGAATATCACCCTCACGACATCGAAGACCTTGCAGAACCTCCTGCATTTGATGACTCGCTCCTCTCTAAGCTAGGAAACATTAAAAGGATTTTCAAAAAGAGGGAGGATGGTCATTTGATTGCAACGAGAAGATCCTGCTTTGAGGATCCCGATTTTGAGGTGGTGAAACAGTATTATCCTCCAAAAACATACGAGAACTATCGTGCGTTCGATCCATCCTTTAGATGGACATTTGATGAGGAGCGAAAACTGACCAGGAAGATTGATTTCCGTATTCTTACTATGGTGTGCGCTCTATTTTTTGCCCTCAACCTTGACAGAGGAAATCTGAGCTCTGCAGTCGCAGGTGGATTATTGAAGGATATTGGATTGAGTACAGATGACTACAACAATGGAAACAGTCTTCGTTCGGTTGGTTTCATTATTTCTGAAATTCCCTCCCAGCTCATTGGAAAACGGTTTGGCCCAGATTGGTGGATTCCCATTCAAGTTTCTGTCTGGAGTTTGATAGCCTTATTCCAATTTTTTATATCAGGAACGAAATCTTACTTGGCCACCAGATTCCTACTGGGTATTGCACAGGGTGGATTTATTGCAGATGCCGTGCAATATTTGTCTTACTTTTACACAAGAGAACAAATGGGATTTCGTTTGTCTCTATTTTGGCTCACTGATGCTCTCTCTGGGATTATCAGTAACCTTCTTGCTATCGCTTTCTTGAAAGTTGACCTTCACGGAAAAGAAGGCTGGAGGTGGCTTTTCTTGTTTGATGGTCTGATCACGTTGGCATTCGGAATTGGATCCTTTTTCTTTATGGTTCCTGGTCCAACCCAAACGAAAACGAAATTAAACCCTAATGGAATCTTCACCGAGTCAGAAGAGAAAATTATAACCAACAGATTGCTTCGAGATGACCCCTCTAAGTCTGACATGCATAACAGAGAGGCAATCACATTCAAACAATTTCTGAAAAGTCTTGCGGACTTTGATCTATGGCCTCTTATGATTGTGTCGTTCATGTTCGAGATTCCACAAAATCCAATCAAGGCTTATTTGAATATTAACCTGAAAGCCCTCGGATTTGGAAGGGACTCGATCATATATTTGAACATTCCAATTGAGGTGATGACCAGTATCATGATTGTTTTGATCACTCTCTTATCTGAGGTTCTTGATGAAAGATCACTTGTTTGTTCGTTGCAGCAGATCTGGATCTTGATTGTTGTCATTGTTGAGTATGTGCACGTTGATACGTTGAGTCACTGGGCACAATATGCAATCATGTTTTTTGCAATTGGAAATCCATCTGCACAAGCAATTATTGTTTCATGGTGTTCTCGAGTGTCATATTCGGTCAGAACGAGAGCCATTTCTGCCCCTATGTCAAATATCGGTATTCAGTTGGCCGGAATTGCAGGAAGTTATATATACAGAAGTGACGATTCGCCAAAATACCGCCGTGGTAACAGGGTCATCATTGGTATTTGCTGCCTCAATACTGTTCTATTTGTCCTCACGAAGTTATACTATATTTCCAGAAACAATTACAAAAGGTCCAAATGGAACGAATTGTCAAAACTTGAGAAAGAGGAGTATCTTTCTGCCCACCGAAATGATGGTAACAAGCGGTTGGATTATTTATTTGAACATTAATTGTATTGCTTCTTTTTAGGAAATTTCCCAGATATCTCAGGTCACGTGCCTTTTCAAATTTCCCGCTTGATTGCAACCACTTTTGAGTGGTTTAATTTGGTAGTGTCTTCTGAGATTCGTGATCATGTGTCGGGATTACGACATGTTCCCAATGCACATAGCCATGAAGAAGTATATAATTCTCCGACTCGAATCTCCGTTTATCAATTCTTATCGATTAAACATGAGTACTGTCACACAAGAACTTCAAACGGAATCCAGCACTGCAAGACTCAAACTACGTCCTCAGAGAAGATCATCTTTTGACTTTGCAATCCCTGATGGTTTGAAAAACCTATTTCCAGGTTACCGGACCCCGGATAATGTGTCTCCCTACCTATATGCTCGCGAGCAAGGAGTCCAGTATCCTAACTACACACAATGGGAGATGGAGCCATACCAGGAGCAGACGGATATCGTTGATCGTGGAGTACTCTCAGATCCCGAAAAAAAGTCACTTTTTGAAGCTGCTGATAGTGTTAGGCACCTAACACCTTACTGCGGAACGGAACTAGTGGGTATTAAGCTCACGGAGCTGACCGATGACCAGAAGGACGAACTTGCAAGACTCGCGGCTGAAAGAGGGGTTGTCATAGTCAGGGCCCAAGATGATCTTGATATCCGTAAGCAAATCAAGTTTACCTCATATTTTGGCGAGCCCCATATTCATCACCAAAGTGGAATCATCCCTGATCTTCCATGGGTCCACCCTGTCTACAAGGACGAGACATCTACTAATGGCTTGAACTCACAAGTTTGGCATTCTGATGTTCCCTACGAGCTGAATAGTGCTGGAATTACGACTTTAAGATTTGACGTGCTACCTAGATCTGAAAGTGGTGATGTGCTGGGAGGGGATACTCTGTTTGCCAATGGGTACCTCATTTACGAGTCTTTGGATCCGAAGTTCAGAGAGTTCCTGGAGACTCTGTCTGCAGAAAGCAGTGGATTTGGTCAAGCGGCACTGGCAGAGGCAACTGGAAACAAAACAAGAAGACCTCCAATTGCAACAGTACACCCACTTGTGAGAACAAACCCTGTGACCGGACTCAAATCTCTCTATGTGGCCGAAAACTTTACTACAAGAATTGTTGGATTAGAAAAACGACTTAGTGACTCAATTCTTGAGTACCTTTTTGACCATGTTAGAAGAAGTTTACATTACCAGTGCAGAGTGCAATGGCAACAGAATGACATCGCCATATGGGATAATCGTTCCCACTTTCACACTGGTATTTTTGACTATTTCCCGAAGACTCGACACGGTACTAGAGTCATTGCTCAGGCTGAAAAGCCTTACTTGGACAAAAACTCAAAACTGTACAGCGAGGTAAGTTTCAAAGGCTACGAGATTTTATAATAAGAAAACAAGTCATCGCATTCAAATTCTTTCAATAGAAGTCGGATAAGTGATTCCGTTTTTAGTTTTCACCTGATCAAATATCTCGAGGGTCCTGATAGTTTGAGCAAAAGAATATTCAGCTGGTTCAAGTAGTTTGTCCCTAATCGAAACAGCAGCTGCATTTGCCTCGTAGTAGTAACCCAATCCGTCAATCAAGGGCAGTTCAACTATTGAGTCTTCAGATGAATCAGCTCTAGTTATAACAGCTTTTGTTGGTCGAGATGCTCGATCTATCGAGATGGACCCCCTTTTTCCCTCTATCAAGACACTATATTTAGGAGACTCTTGAAGGAACGAGCCAGTAGCAGTACCGGTGGCTTCTAGATCATCAAACACAAGTGTTATGGAGGACGAAATATCAATATTTGGTACGATCTTGGATAGAATTGACCAGCTGTTGATTCTGGGAGCACTTTTCGACTGAGAAAGGAGGAGAAGATCAACCCAGGTGAAAGAGTATATGATATTATCAAATAACACTCCTCCACCAAGTTCAGGATTGAATAGTCGATTCTCAGCAACGAATGGGCAATCGTGACTCAAATCCGCTTGAACTCGAGTGACCTGTCCTATCACGCCATTCTCCAAGACCAATTTTTCGATATATTTAGTAGTTGGCAAGAACCTAGTCCAGACACCATGTAGAACAAATAGTTGCCTATCTGCAGCAAGCTTTTGCAACTCATATGCTTGTTCATGATTAATCGTGAAAGTCTTCTCAACCAGAATATGTTTTCCGGCCTGAAGAGCTGCTTGAGCCAAAGGATAATGAAAGCTATTTGGCGCTGCTATATAGACAATATCAATTTCATCATCATGTAAAAACTCATCATATGAATCATAAAGTTTTGGTGTCCCAGCAATGCTCGTGTCGATCAAGTCCAGAAACTTTTTGGCTTTCGAGAGAGAAGTGCTAGAAACAATTGCTTTGAGCTCATGGGTGACTGCTGCTCCATTTATCGCATCTCTTTGATAATTAGAAAACACATCGTTTATCCATTTGGCTGAAAATGCTCCGAGGCCGACCACTCCCCAACGGAGAACAAATCTTCTCTGTTGATCACTCATAAAAAAAAAAGACGGAGCTCAGGAACTTAAATAAAAACTGTGGCATGCATAAATCCCGCTTGTCGAGTAATTCGGACGAGGTCTGTGGGAAGAAAAGAGCGGACTTTTGAGAAACGGCGAAAAACAGGTTTCGCACTTTTCCTAACACTAAAATGTCTCTGACCGGTATAGACCCACAAGAAATTTCTGGTATTTACCAAAACATATCTGTGAAACTAGTTAAGAAACCATTGGCAAATAGCCGCCTCGTCCGAGGTAAAGAGTATCCAATAGCATTTGATTTACTGGTTGAAGGTGATGGAGAGAAGTCTTTCGTGGCGATTAATGACTTCTTCAGTTATTTGGGCGAGTCTGGAGAGCTTTTGAGGCTCGTCACCAACCATGGGTTAGTTATTATTCAGGGACTTGCTTCGACAAACCCTGAAACGTACTCCCAGATTGTGAATCATTTATTTCAAGCACAGAAGTATCAAGAATTTGATCAAGTCGGACTTTTAGCTACGAGGGAAAAGATAAAGGAATCTGTAAGCTCGGTTGGAAATGACGACGCTCTTGGCAAAAATGTTAACAAGCTGCACTCCCACCAAGAGTTCTCAAGATATCTGGAATATCCCCACATACTTACGTTTTTTGCTCAACAAGCTTCAAAGTTAAGTGGCGGAGAATCAACAACGACGCACGCAACTGAGCTATTTGATGCGGTGAACTCAAAATATCCTGAGTTTATCAAAGACTTGTACGAAAAACAAGGGAATCATGTTTATCAGAAATTTAGCTACAGAATCTCACCGGATTCCAAATTTCAAATATCTTGGACTGATGAGGGAGCTTTTGGTAAATATATTACCCAAGATGAGAAAGACAAAGGTGATCTAGAGTCTATGAAGACAAAAGCTACTAAAATTGCTCATGAAAGAGTCAGCAAGGACATCGAATTTGATGAGAATAATGACTTGATTGTCCATCAAAGAACTAGCATTGTTAATCTTCACCCGATTACAGGACTGCCTCTCATTTTTAGTAGCTTGCCAACTTATTACTCTGGCTACTACAACTCAAAACAGAAAGGAGATAACCCTAAGTTGCCACCACTCACATACGGAAATGGAGAACCAATTCCCGAGAAGTATTTGGATTTCCTACTTGAGCAGTCGGTCAAACTTGAGTACACTCACAGATTCAAAGATGGGGACATCTTATTCTTGGATAATTTTGCTGTTTATCATGGTAGGAACCCTTACACTATTGGTGATAGGAAAATCTTAGCTAGCTTTTGGGAGCATGAATCATTTCAAAGAAAACCATACAGGCCCTCCAGTTGGGAAGCTTTGGTCACAGATGTTTAACTATGATGTATTTGAAAAAAATATGGGCGTTCCTGTAACGGGACCCTTGCCATGCACTGCCCTTGATAAAAAAATCTTTTTATCTTTTTTGTGAGGAAATCGAGAAGCGCGCATGCGTGCGGCTCGTGGCTGGATTATGTATTAAATGCATATATAAGCAAATACACTAAAATATGGAGAAAATTCACGTGCTAAGTGAGATAATGCAAAGCACATCTCCTCGATGCAGCACAGTCGCTAAAGCTTCGGATTGATCATGCATCGGAGATATTTAATGGGGGAGATCCCGACTAAAGTTTTTTTTCAAAATGGCTTCTTTTGATAATAATGACAAAGAAGCTTCTCTGAACGAGATTACCGTTGCTACACCAACCGATAGTGAGAAGATTCCGGCTATATCTTCAGTGTCATGGTTTAGATCAACATTTTTTCAGGCCACCGTTGTTGGATTCGTTGCGCTGTTGGCCCCTGGCCTTTACAATGCAATGCAGTCTACTGGAGCTGCGGGGATGTTCACTCCGTACTTGACGATGAGAGCCAATGCAATCTTAAACACTTTGATGTTTCTCGTTTGTATTGGAGGATCTACAGTCTCAAATCTCATTGGTTTGAAGTACACATTCATTCTTGGGACCACTGGTTATCCACTTTATGCTGCTGCAATGTACTGCAACAACCGTTATGGAACTGAATGGTTTGTTTACCTTGGTGCAGCAGCTTGCGGACTCAGCGCTGGACTGTTCTGGGCTTCGGAAGGTGCCATCATTATTGGCTATCCCGAGGAACACAAAAGAGGAAGGTATCTTGCATACTGGCTGGCTTTCAGAAATAGTGGCTCTATCATTGGAGGTGCAATCAACTTAGCCTTCAATGCTCACGGAGTCACTCGTGGAAAACTGGATTGGCGAACATTCTTAGTGTTTGTCATTTTGCAATCCCTATCACCCTTTGTTGCCGGTTTCTTATCCCCACCTCACAAAGTTAGAAGACAGGATGGTGCTACTATTAAAGAGCACCAGAAAACGTCGACAAAAAAGGAACTCGTTGATCTATATCACCTATTCAAGTCGAAGGAAATCATACTAGTCTTACCTTTGTTTTTCTATGCAACATACGAGCTCTCCTACATTGGATCATACTTGACGCTGTATTTTACAGTGCGTGCAAGAGCACTTGCGTCTCTTGTTTCAGCATTGGTTCAGATCCTTGGAAATTTGCTGTTTGGTGTGTTTCTTGACTGGAAGCGTTTCAGCGTGAATCAAAGAGCAAAAATCGCGTACATATTCATGATGTCAATTATTGGTGGATGCTGGATTTGGGGAACTGTTGTGCAGTATGATTATTGGAAAGACCCCCCAGCGTTGGACTGGAATGATTCTGGATTTGGCAGAGGATGGGCTCTCTATATTTTCTGGCAGCTCAATTTCTCAATGGTTTACAACTACTGTTATTGGATGATTGGGTACATGACCACGGACGACACAGAACATGTGAGATACACTTCAATTGTGAGAGGTGTGGAAGCCGCAGGAGGTGCAGTCGCGGCTGGAATTGCTTCAACTAAAGCTCCTTTGATCGCATCAACGGGAATCAACTTTGGATTATGGGCAATCTCAGTTCCAACTGCGTGGGTTGTTATTCGTAAGTTAGGCAAGAGGGAGTAACGTAATACACTTTAGGCTAGATCTGGGCTGCGTGCCGGCGGGAGAGGCACGTCTGACTCGTCGACGCCCGAGGCCAGGATGACCACCTGGCGCACGGCGAGGACCTGTTCTCGCGAGGCCCCGAGCCTGAGCGCGCCCTTCATGTGCCAGAGCGACTGCACCGGGAGGTTGTTGGCGATCAGCGCGGCGCAGATGCAGTAGGAGGTTTCGGTCTGGGTGAGGATCCCGTGGAAGTGGAAGATGGGTCCGAAGATCAGGGCGAGCGCGGAGTAGGGGTAGTCGGGGTGGACGCTGGCCAGCAGGCGCAGGGTCTGGTCTGTTTCGTCGCCGTAGATGGACTGGAAGTAGGTGTACCCGCGGTGGTGGAGCTCGGTGACGGGGACGGTGGGGTCTCTGAGCGGGGTGTCGCTTAGGAGGTGCGGGTCGACGCTGTTCCTGAGGTGCAAAAGCGCGTTGATCATCAGCGGGTTCCCGTAGAGGACGCCTGTGGTGAAGATGGCCTCGCGCACGGAGGCGAGGAGGTCGACTTTGGCGCTGTGGTCCTGCGCGCGGCTGAGCAGGAAGGCGACGAGGTCGACGAGGAGGTCGAGTTTGCGCTGGACGGTGAAGCAGATGGCCACGAGCAGGTACCACGGGTTGCGGGCAGCGGTGTCGAGCGGCTCGGCGATGCGCTGCAGCTGTGCGAGCAGCTGGGGCAGTTGTTGGTTTGTCGTCATCAAGCGTCTGTGTGCACGGCGAGGAGGTATCTGAAGATAAATATGGGGACTGCGCATCGGGCAATCTCGGAGCGATTGCGCGAGCGCGAGGTAATATTACTAAAGAGGAGCCATAGCTGGCCGACGAAAAGTGCGACGAAAAGTCGACAACTCGACAACGCGCACATTGCACTAAATGACCTCGGTTGTTGTGGAGAATATAGATAGCGAGCTGGTGAGAGGGCGCACGGCGGTGGTGACTGGCGGGGCCAACGGCATTGGGCGGGAGGTCGTGAGGCTGCTGGTGAGCAAGGGCGCGAACGTGTGCTTTGTGGACCTGAGCGAGGAGGAGTCGGGCAGCCTGGTGCGCGAGCTGGCGACCACGCGGGTGCTGTACCAAAAGGCGGACGTGACGTCGTGGGCCGGGCTGCGCGGCGCGTTCGAGAGCGCGTGGAGGCGGTTTGGCTCGATCGACATGGTGGTGCCGGCGGCGGGGATCATGGAGACGAAGGACTTTCTCGCGGAGGAGGTGGTGGACGGCGAGCTACAGCCGCCGTCGTACGCGGCGCTGGACATCAACCAGAAGGGCGTGCTGAACGCGGTGAAGCTTGCGCTGTTCTACTTCAAGAAGCGTGGCGAGAGGGCGAGCCGAGCGAGCCTAGCGAGCCGGGTGAAGTCGATCGTGCTTGTTGCGTCGACGTCGGGGTACTTTGGCGGGCTGGGGCAGCTGACGTACAAGGTTGCGAAGCACGGGGTGGTGGGCATTCTGCGCGGGCTGCAGGCGCACCAGGCGGAGGGTGGGTTTGTGGTGAACTGCGTTGCGCCGTCGTACACGGAGACGTACATGATGGGCCCGCTGCGGGAGATCTGGCGACAAGGCGGGGGGCCGGTGAACACGGCGACGGAGGTTGCGGCTGCGGTTGTGCAGCTGCTGGTTAGCGAGACAGGGGGACAGACGTGGCTTGTGAGCGACGGGGAGGTGAGGGAGATCGAGCGGGCGCTGGCGGGGCTGGCACCGCAGTGGTGCGGGGAGGCTGCGCTGGGGAAGCTGCGCCGGGGCGGGCAGATCCTTGCTGAGGTGGGGAGGTATCCGCTTCCCGCTGCGCGGCAAGAATACGAGTGAGTGGTGGGAGGGAGATGGGAGGGAGATGGGAGGGAATACTCAGTGGTGATAAGCGGTGGTGAAAGTGATGCAGAGTAGAGAATAGAGAAGCCTACATAGAAGGAACATTGATGCGATGCGGGCTAGCCCGCGAGCGAGTGATACTAATAGAAGGTGGGCAGTAGTGAGTAGGTAGCAGGTGAGGGGGGGAGGCGGTGCAGGGGTGTACTGAAGCGAACCCGAAGTGGTGTGCGCACGACCATCCGAAAGGGGAAAGGACGCGTAAACAGAGAAGGGAGGGAGAGGAAAAAGTAGAGCAGTGAAATTAAAAAGATGGGAAAATAAAAGATGGGGGGAGTAG